AATCTTCAAAACATCATTGACAATTCCTCGCAAAACTACGGCTTACGAAGAAGAAGACAAGGCAATAGGCTGGCCAAATGGTTTGCTGTGACGCCAGACTGAACAGCATGTTCACGTCTCCGTGACACTGTTAAGCCAACTTCCTGCCTTCAATTTCGTAAGGTGATTGAGACAGTCGGAGGCGAAGTAGTAATCACAAGAAAACCTTGAGAGACTGCCTCTCAATCCAATTTCTCTAGATACAACCCTTCTTATTACAATCCCTCTTGATACAATCCCTCTTGATACAATCCCTCTTGATATCAAGAGCTCTCAATCTTACAAGAGAGGAAACTGCACGTGGGCCTCAAAGACCCTGCTGCTCTCAACGTGTTACAAGCATACATCGCAGACGAGTTCCCATTGTGCTGCTATAAGAGGCAATTATATCATGCAAACACTTCCTTTGCCACACCATCTGGGCCATCCAATGTTACATGACCCTCGAGCCAGATACATCTTCTACACTGAACCACTTCAAGAGCCCTCTTCTAATAGGTAAAGATCTGGAAAGACTGTTGCTAGAAAGAGTCATCTTGCAACCTTGCACTTTGTAAGTCGTCTTAGGTTTGCTTCACTCGGCGTAATAATACAACAACAAATCTTGCCTATGCTTCCCATATATCCAACGTGTCACAAATAACAACGACTTACTTCAACCACCATTAGATACTCTCGTACCTACTCAGAGACGCTCGTACTTCCTAAGGAATTGTAAACTTGACATGTTCACTCACTTCTGTCGAATGACCAAGAACCATCTCATGCCCAATGCGTGTCATTTAGACCTCGTTTTTTCTATCAACATACATTTGTTAACCTTGATGCAGAGCAGCCTGGACGATGCCGATGAATGCATCGACATGGTAGCTAAATAATTGGCTGATAACAATGGATCACCTCTCGTGTCCTTATGTGATATACGTGCAGACCATTAAAAAATGAGAAAAAAAAGCAAGCAAACAAAAATCCGTCAACAAAAACCAAATAACCGATGACTGCGCAGGAATGCGAGTCAATGTCTAGTTGAAACCAATCCTGTCCTCTATCAAACGCCGTTTGAGTGCATTGGGCCGTTCACGTGTGGTCATGCGTTCCAGGGACTCCAGGCTCGGGCGACTCGCACTTGTCAGGGTCGCCTTCGCCGGTTTGCGCATGAGCTTCTTTCTTCCTCCTTACCACCGCCGATTGCCGAGCGGAAGGTTGTTGGAGTTGTTGGCTGATAGACCGCGGTCAGCTCCCGACCCTGCCCTATGCTCCTTAGTATCGACGATACCCACCTCTGCCGCCGCCACGGCCACGGTAACCACCGTAGCCGCGACCACCGCCGCCACCACCATAGCGAACCATCTCAGCCAGGCGAGGATCAATCTGCTGCTTGGCCTCCTGGAGGACATTGACAAGATCACGAGCCTGCTTCTGGTCTGTTTGCAAGTGATTAGCGTCTGCGTGTAGATCAATGCAAGGGGAGCGAAACAGAAAAACTTACTGTCAGTGGTGAACAGCGTAATGGCGGTTCCGTGCTGGCCAGCACGGCCGGTACGGCCAATACGGTGGATGTAATCCTCCGAGTTGTTAGGGTAATCGTAGTTCAAGACATGCGTGATGTTGCGAACATCTTGATTACACAAAGAAAAAAAAGGGTTAGCAAGCGGAATACGGGTGTGTGTAGCAACCTCCAGCGCGGAACGTGAAGAGACGGCGAAAGGATATCGTCCATCTGTGTACTTCACTCCTTGGTAAACCAGGGCCAATCCAAGTGCGTTTCCAAAATGCCATCCATCCTCCCTGAAAAGGGGGACATATTATGTGATCACGGGGTCCTCAGGGGAGACAAGGAGCCTTGGGGAGACAGCTTGATCTGGGTCAAGGGATGCCAACCTCCACGCTTGTACCACGGAAGTGAGCAGGGTACAAGAATGGAAATACGAGTATAGCAGAGGGAAGCGCTACACAACGGATCAAGACTCCACCACATAATGAGAACCATACGGACACGGTTTGCTCAGGCAGTTGCGCACAATACAGATAGCCCCTAGACGCGAGAGTAAAGTATACAGCAAGTGCTTTTGCTGGAAGTTGCTGGAGAGAGGGGGAGGGGATTGATACGTACCGATACCACGAGACGCCACGTCGGTAGCAACCATGATAGGGCTCTTTCCGGTCTTGAACTGGTCCAGTACCCAGTCTCGCTCGTTTTGCTGCTTGTCGCCGTGAATTGCTGTGGACGTTGTTAGTTATCGAAAGGTCACAAGAAAAGTTTTTCTTGGGGTTAGCTTACAGAGAGCGGGCCAGCCGTCCTGGCGAAGGAATCGGGTAATCTCGTCGGCAATGCGCTTGGTTCCGACAAAGATGAGGATCTTGTTCTCCTTGTTCTCCATGACCTTCTCGAGGTGCTTGATCATGCGATCGCGCTTCTCCATCTCGGTGACAACCTCCACAATCTGGGTGATTCGGTGGTTGGCAGCCAGCTCCATGGAGCCAATGTTGACCTGGATGAAGTCCTGCAGGAAGTCGGAGGCAAGGGCACGGACTTCCTTGGGCCAGGTGGCGGACCACATGAGAGTCTGTCGGTCGGGTCGGATCTGCTCGATGATCTTGCGAATCTGGGGCTCGAAACCCATATCCAGCATGCGATCAGCCTCGTCGAGGACCAGGTAAGTCACACGACGCAGGTTGGTCTTGCCGGCCTCGAGCATGTCGATGAGACGTCCGGGGGTGGCAATGCAGACCTCGACACCTCGGGAGAGGTCGCGGATCTGGGGGCCCTTGGGCACACCACCGTAGACGCAGGTGTTGCGGATGCGGGATGAGCGGCCAAACTTGGAGATTTCCTGCTGAATCTGGACTGCCAGCTCACGAGTGGGGGCAAGAATCAGCACGATGGGGCCGTCGCCAGGGGCGAGCAGGGGCTGGGCGTTGATGTGAACAATGGCGGGAAGACAGTAGGTCAGAGTCTTTCCGGAACCCGTCTCGGCAATACCGACGACGTCGCGACCGGAGAGAGCCATGGGCCATCCTTGAGACTGAATGGCCGTGGGCGCAGGGAAGCCCTGGGCCTTGACTTCGTCCATGACATAGCGGGGGAAGCCAGCCTCGTCAAAGGTCTCGACGGGCTTGGGGACGTCACGACCAGCAATGGTCATCTGGTGCTTGCGACGGAACTCATCGACCTCGGCAGGAGAGCGAGCAGTGACATCGGGGTGCTCTTTGTAGAAGTCCTTCTCGAACTTGGGAAGGGCGGACAGGTCTGTTCATCAATAGTTAGCAAAAGGATACTGCCTGGAGCGCCAGGGGGAAAACAATTGAATCCAAAGTGCGGTGAAATCAGCGTGTGAAGACTTACCCCAATCCTGCTTCTGCAGACCAGCGCCGAGGTGGCCCATTCGGTCACCACCGCCGCCTCCATAACCGCCGCCATAACCACCACCACCACCGCCGCCGTAGCCGCCACCGTAGCTGTTGCCGCCAAAGCCGCCACGACTAAGCACAAATTGTTAGCAAAGGATTCAAAGAAGGAAGTTGGGGGGTTTGTCCATCGCGCCGATAGGGACAAGGGCTCCCAGTCGATGCGCAGGCGTTGTCAGGAGATGAGAAGCCAGCTCTGCGACGCCTGCGCATGTCGAGGACAAGAGTAGAGACAACAAAGAAGCAACTTACCCTCCGCCGTAGCCACCGCCTCCGTAACCGTTGCGGTCGCCGCCGCGATCACCACCACGATCACGGCCGTAACCACCGCCGCCTCCGTAACCACCACCGTTGGATCGACCGCCGCCGTAGCCAGACATGATTCTGGATGTGTTTGGTTCGTAGAGCGTTCTTCTGGGTGTCAAGATTGAGAAACGCGGTTGTCAGGTCAACAACTCGAGAGATGTCGAACTGGCGGTAAAAGACGGAAAGAAACGCGTCTCAAAGGGCGAAGAACTAGAAGTTCTGATCGTCTGCCTCTGGAGTGCGATGAAAAGAGGATATATGTAGAAAAAAGAGTGAGAGGGAAGACGCCGTAGAGTTGGCTGTCGTTGCAATGTTTGTTGAAAGAAGAGAAAAAGGATCTGGAAAGCAGGGGGGATTCGGTCTGCGCCTAAGTTTTTTTTTTTTTTCTTGCCTGCAGTTTTTTTGGCGCTAAGAAAATCTGATTGAATGGCGCCTGCCCGGTACGTACCTGCCAGGGCGCGGGTGGCAATCTGCTGATGTAATCACGCGTCATGGCTACCCTGGAGGCTTCTTGAATTTTCCGATTTGCTCGATTCACGCGCTTCTACTGACGGAGGTGATTGTTTGTTTGCTTTGCATACTGTGTTGTTTGCGATGATGATTGCTTCATGCCTAGAGGGCGGCGTAACTGTGTGTGAAACTGCATGAAAGTAGACCTGCTTTGAAAGGGGGAAAGCGTCGCACCCCCGAAATGGGAACTGCCACGCGGTGGCTTGTAATGGGATGGCATCAACTGGGCATCCATTTGCGACACGGTTCCCTGGGGAAGTCGTGGGTAAAACGTGCACGATAAAGCAGAACCCAGCGCAGACTCGAGAGACTAGAGACTGTAGAGTCAATGTGTAGGTATATAGCATCACAGGTTAGATGGTAGACAAGTATAGTAGGTAAAGTCTGGTCACACCATCACACTCTCGACTTGTTGCAATAGGTAGGTAGGTAAGGTAGATACAGGAGGTCCTCCAACTCCTTGAGGTGTATAAATTCAAGTATACAAGTAGTTTACAAACGATAGAGGTATCCTAGCCTCGAACCCGATCCGACGTTTTATTAGTCTTCCGCCCAGGCAGTTGAAGACGCCCACTCTATGTCATGAAAAGGAAAACAAGCCTCCGCTCAACACAAAACGGACAATGGAATCATGGTTGTTTCGAAACGCGGTCAACCAGCCGCTCTTCCAGCGCCAATTTTTCTCTTCTTTCTCGTTCTCTCTAGTATTGAATCGTTCTTCGCTCGTCGTCTGACATTTACTCTCGGGAGACGTCACGGCCGAAGGCCTTGGACTTGAGCCAGTCGAGCAGGACAAGGACACGGTTTCGTGCTACGAGCTTGTCAGCAAAGAAAGGAAATACAAGAAAAGGGACCTGTCAAGGAGACTTACTGCTAAAGCACATCGAGAGATAGGCGCTTCTCCAGAAGAGATAGGTCAGGCTACCACCGGTGGCCAGGTTGCCGTTCCACCAGCTGACGTCGGCAACGGCCTTCTCGCTGCCAATGTAGGCCAAGCTTCCCTGGTGGCTGTATCTGAAGGGCTTGACATCACGGATCTTCTTGAGCTGTCTCTCCAGCAGCTCAATCTCCTGAGCGGCCTCGGCAGAGTTGCCGGTCTCAATGTTCATCTTGCTGCTGAGCTCCTGGATACGCTGCTCGTAGCTCTCCGTCTTGGCCATGTTGTTAAATAACTTGCCAAGGAAGCTACCCTCCTGCGAGGCCACCTGTGCGGTAGGGGCGTAGCCAGCGACGGCGCAGTCACCAATGGCCCAGATGTCGCGGGTTCCCTGGACGACGAGGTACTCGTTGACGGCGAGGCCGCGGCGGGAGTCCTTTTGCGCAGGAATCTTGCTGGCCAGGTCCTTGACAATGGGGCGGACGGCGTTGCCAGTGGCCCAGACAAGCAGACCGTAGGGGATCTCGACACGCTCCTTGGAGCCGTCAGGGCGGGAAACCTCGGCCTCGACGGTCTTGTCAGTGACCTTCTTGACCATGGTCTTGGTCTTGATGTCAATCTTCTCCTCGCGCAGGGTGTTTTCGGTGTAGTCGATCAGCGTCTTGGAGAACATGGGGAGAACGTTGGGCAAGGCCTCAATGAGGGTGACCTTGAAGTGGGGGCTGATGTCGGGGACCAGCTTCTTGATGTCCTCCTCAAAAAAGTCTTGGAGCTCACCGGCGAACTCGACACCAGTAGGGCCACCGCCAACGACGACCATGTGCATGAGACGGTCAATCTCCTCGGGCGTCTGGCCCTTGAAGGCGGCTGTCTCGACGCAGTCCATGATCTTCTTGCGGATCTGCTGGGCATCGCCAATTTCCTTCAGAAAGCAGCTGTGCTCTCTGACGCCAGGGATGCCAAAGGTTGCGTTCTCGGCGCCGACGCCGACGACGAGCATATCGTAGGGGATCTCCGTCTCCGAAGTTGCGCCCTTGATCTCGGAGTTGTCCGCAATGCGCACGACCTTGCGCTCGGGGTCAATGGAGGTGGCCTCGGCCTCGAAGAACTTGGCGGCGGCCTTCTTTCCGCGCAGAATGGCGCGGACCGGCTCCATGATGGAGCGGTGCTCGATGGTACCGGTGGTACATGAGGGCAGGAGGGGGGTGAAGAGGAAGTAGTTGCGGGGAGAGACCACGACGACGTTGTAGTTGGAGGTGTCGAGCTTCTTGAGGAGAGCCACGGAGCCCCAGCCGGTGCCTGATATCGAGTGCCTGGTTAGTCATGACTTTGTCTTACACGTGAGAGCGCATCGTCGTGCCGCCGTCGACTCACCCAGAATGACCAGCGTCTTCTTGCTGGGATCAGGCTCGTACTGCTCGTCGGGGTGTCGGTCCTCGTAGATGTTGTAGGCAGTGTATCCCACGAGGCCAATGGCCGACAGATACGTCAGCCTCCAGGCCCATCGGAAGGTCCTGCGCAGCTTGCCGGGCCTGGGCTTGGGGGCCTCGTCGGCGTAGGCTCTCCGGAAGGCAATGCGACCAGAGTTGGCCAGCTTCATGGCCACGGACGGCCGCGCAGCGGTTCGCAGCATCGCGGCCTTGGTAGCCGATGAAAAGGCTCGGGTTGCGACGCCATTGGGAGCCAATTGGCCAGCCCTGGCGAGGGCCCTCATCGACTGAGTTGAAGCCATCTTGAGGCTCCGGGACTGGGATCAACAACCACCACAGGGGAAGAGGATCAGGGGCAGAATCGATATCAGATAGAAGATGATGTCGCAACGGTCACGATAGGGACAAACGATATTTTGGAGACGACCGTAGGAAACAATGAAAAGGTGCGCTAGGGGAGGATGGAGCTCGAGCTCAGTCCAGGTGGATTGGCCAGGGCAAGGAAGGCCTAAAAAAAAGAGAAAAAAAAGTTGATGACGCCTCTGAGGCGAGCTTTAGCGGCCGGATTTTTGCTTTGTATTTCTCCCCTAAAATAAAAAAAAGCCATCCATTGATCCATCCAGCCTTCCCGCTCGCAAAAAATTAATAACGCAGAAAATGATTGGGCCCGGCACCCACTCGAAAAGTCTGCCCCTACCCGTCTGTTCTAGTGATAGCAGGGACAGTTGGCGATAAGGCGTCGGGGGCAAGCATGACAGGAAGATACCAGTATGTAGACCCAAGGGCTGGGAGTGACCGATTGGTCTCGACCGTTGGGTGATCGATATCGGCATTCCGCTGTCTGTCCATAGATCCCGGGCATGTGCCAATGCAGGCTCGCTCCGTCCAATGCCGATGGCCTCCGGAGGCCTTCCTTGAGCACATGCAATCCAACTCTTTCCGGAAACCCGAGGCCATGGACTTACACTACGGGCTCGTGGGACTATGTAGGTAGGTATTTGAACTGACGAGGATTATGAGAGCGGGATACTGGAAGCCGGCTAGGGCAGCACGCTGCAGTCATATCAACCAGTAGTTGCCTACCTAGAGATCAGACATTGTCACTGCCCCCTCGCCTCTCCCATCCTGTCCTTGGCGGCTGCCAACTCTCTGTTTTTTCGTCTCTTCATGCTTCTTTGAGCCTCGAGACGATGCCGGTTTGATCCGTGCACGACCGGGCCGGTAGCCTAGCGACTTGGACGGACACGCCTGTCGAAGCCACCGGATGCCGAAGCTGCTCCGGACAGCGACGCTGACTGGAGCGGCTAGACGGAGACTTTGATTCTCATCCCGGGATCTCTCAGAAGACTCACGACAGGAAAGGGGGTAAGGGAGGCGATTATAGAGAGCTAAGAGCAGGCTATTGCATGTATGATGCAGGTCTCGTTGCCATTTCAGAGGACGGCGTTGAATGGCCGGACCGGTGAGAATAAAAAACGGAACGTTAGTTGCATAACAAGTCAACATCCTTTATATCCGTTCGTCATCACACTCCGTTGGGCCGGTACCGCTGGTTGCCTGCAGTCTCGTCTCGAAAGTTGATGGTACTACATTGAAATGGGGTTACATGGCATGGCACCTCTTCGCATGTGCTATTGGGAGAGGCTGCTGCCAAGAGAAACAGAACCCAGCTAGGTTCTGATGCACCCTGGATGCACCTTTGGAATACTGTACCATTCGTTGATCGTCCCAATGCTAAATATAGAAGAAGCCAAAACAGCTGAGAACCCTCGGACCTGGTCTGGGGTATTGCAAAAACATGTGAAGGGTGGACTGTGGCCTTTGACTCAAAGCTGTAGACAACAAAGCGCGTATTCGGCAGGTTCTCCGTCTTCATGACTGTTGTCAGAACTAGGTGTCTAAGGTATGATAGAGGAGTGCAATGCAATTCCATGTCAGGGGCTCCTCTTAAGAGCGGACAGAGACTGCCCTGCTGCTCCCAAAGCCAAGGCGACACAAACTGCAGATCTCGCTTAATTGACAAGCATTCCATGATTAGTGCTTCTAACTCAAATCAAGCGTCCCTGCTGTTTCAATTCCTACAGTATGTACATACAGTCAAGCTTTCGCATTGAGTCTGTCTGATCGTCGCCCCTGTTTACATGCGCAACAATGGCTGCGCCACCGCTCCTTCAATTGTCTGTCAGCCACCAGCCATATCACCAGCCACAACGTGCTGAAACCATTCTTTGTCTTGGTCTGGCAGTTCCGTCTCATCGAATCGAGACTCATCTCTCGCCATCACAACAGCAGCCTCTGACATCGCCATGATGCGAATCTCGACACACCAGCTTGACTGCATTTGCAGCAGCCGATGGCTGCCAGACACAGACACAGACACAGACACAGATGCCTGGCTGCCTGCCTCGGCCACTCGCTTCATCTGGCAGCTCGCCCTCTCCAGGTTTCAACCCCCAGCGCTACTCAGTAGCTGAAACGCTCGACGACACACGTTGACGCCGCCAAAAGGGCTGTGCGCGTTGCACTCGAGGCCTCCTTGTCGCAAGCCTTGCCCGCTTGAGCCGCGGTCCCTCAGCTTGTCATTGCGCGGATCTCGCTGCCCTGCATGTAAATGCCCGGGGCCGAACCGGTGCCCCCGTTGTTCGATACGTGGATACGTGGGCACGATGGCGACCACCTTTTGCCTCGTGCGCTTGATGAGACGCAGCAACTGCAGATAGCAGCGCTTAGACTCTTGTTTTTCTTGTTCACAGGCCATCATAGTGGGACACGTCAGCCAGAGTCCCCAGCTGCTATTACTGCCCCAGCTACCACTGCTATGAGGGTATCATGGTCTCATGGTGTCAGGCCATCTCCCTGTCAGACCAGAGACGCAGTCCCGTCCGTGTCCTGCGCGCCCCTGTCTCGAGACGAGATCCGACTTACACATCTCCCTTTGTCCCAGACAACTCGGCACTCCCACAACCTGGTCGTTCGATAATTGACATGGGAGTCTACGCTACTTTCCCTAGTGAAGCCAGCATTGGGTTTGTCCCCGAACCCAAGCGTGACGGGGGGCGGCGCACGATAGACATGATCGACAAGCTGTGACGAATCTGGGCTGAGCTGATTGGCTCCAGACACTTTGTTCGAAGCGGCGTTTCTCCAAGAGTCTCTCCGTCTTTGAGCTAGTCCGCATCGAAAGTGATTTGAAGATCCGGGAGGTCAAGCGGCATCTTATTAGCTTTGTCCCCACGATTTGTCTTCCTTCTCTTCTTCCTCTTCTTCGAAAGGGGTGTCTTGGCTTTCGTTTTCCTACTGTTTCTTCTTGTTTTCTTTGCCTATTCCTTTCTTTAATACGGGGATGGGCCTGTTATCTTGATATTATTTGTTAAATGTGCAGAACTGGTTTCTTGCACAGGTGTGGCGCATAATTTTTGTTTCATTTTGGCTTCCTTTCCCTTCTCTCCTACTCTTTCATTCCGGGGTTCAACTTTTCTGAGGCTATCATTTGCATGTTTTGACGAGAGTGAGCACGTTGATTGAAGCTGGACTATAACCAAGGTGCTCAGAATAAACCAAAAGAAAAAAAAAATAAGTTAGGAAGAGTCTTGGCTGGTGAACCATGGCACCGACCTCGAAGCCGGAGAAAAGACGCCCGATTCCCAAGGTCGACACTGAACACAACTTCGACACCAATGCCCGACACTTTCAGGCAGCAACAAGCGATGGTGTCGATATTGAGGGACAGCTGAAGAGGGCCCTCGTGGGACTGCCGGGCCAGGGCGAAGAGGTGGACGCGAATGCGGATGGGCCTCCCGAATCCCTTCCTTTCATCTCTCTCCCTTACCTCCCTCCTCCCTCCGTGCAGCCTTCGGACCTAGCAGAGAGAGGCCCAATCGCTACACTTGTGCCCATTCTGGATACGGACACCGTCGCCGCACCGGCTGCTGCTCCGCCTCCTAAGCCGTCTTTCAAGACAATTTTCAGACCAGACTCGAAGCCAACCTCCACCTCGACACCCAAGCGGCCCGTCTATACTATGGGCTCCATCCTTCCGAAAGGCACGGCCACTGGGGTAGCCGGAAACTTTCAATCGGCATCTGTACGCCCTCAAAGGACCACCCTCAGCGCTGCCTTGCCCAAGGCCACCGATGTTGACTCTGATAGTGATAGCGATGAGAGCGTCGACAGTGATGATAGCCTCGACAGCGATGATGAGGATGGAGATGATGCTGAGAGTGACGATGAGGACAAGGAGGACGATGGCAAGGCATCTGCTGGCAAATCTAGCAAATCACCTGTTGCTTCGTCGACGGCAACTCGACCCGCCATCACATCACCAATCTTGGCGAACCAAAGGGCGGGGGTTACTGGAATCCCAGAAACGACCACTTCCAAAGGAATAACAGGTGGCGAAAAGGCCGCTATTGCGGTTGCAACGATTGGTGAGCACATATATCTGTCTCAGCGGTCCAGTTCGGAAGTAACTCATCCTCAATTCAGGCTTCGTTGTCGTCCTCCTGGCCATGGGTTGGTTCTATTTGCGCCGCATTAAACGCAAACCTGTCTCCAAGCCCGTTTGGCCACCCAACTTTCCCTCAGGCGACAGCCTCGCTGACGGCACTCGACGCGTCTCCAGCAAATTCAGCGACAAGTTTCTGTCCCTGAGAGATCGCATCAAGCCTGGTGCCAGTGGCTGGAGCAGTCTTGATGACGGGACTGTATATGACAACGATAAATCCCCCATTTTGGAGGCATCGGATGCCAAGGCCAAGCAGGGAAAGAGAAGAGCCACACTCTCGCGCGTCATGGTGAACCCGTATGGCATGGTGTTCCGTAAGCCGAGACACGACTCGACGTGGTCGGACATCATGGTGCCAAAAGGTGAAAAGGCACCGCCGATGCCTTCCTCCCCAGCCGCAAGCCTCGCCCGCGCCTCGGTCATGTCAGAGAAAATCCCACCAATGCCACCGATGCCTGCCTCTGTGATGTCGCCAACCACGAGTGTCAGCTCGTTAACCATCTCGGATAGGCAGGCGGCTGCAGCCGCTCACCTGGAGACTGCGAGGAAGAGTGTGACCGCGAGCTTGCACAACAAGGCACTGCAGACGCCTCTGCGCCGAAACACTCACATGAGCGATGTCTCGTCGCTGTCCTCGGGCTTTGGCGATGGGGACATCATCATCACTCCCCCTACCGCTGCCGTTGCGATGAAGTCGGGCCACCCAGGCGTTGCCGACTCCCACGTGAACCTTGTGGCCGTCAGGGGCTCCGAGGGGGCCAGCCTCGCCAGCCAGGCGGCCGGCAGCAGAGACACCGTCTACACGAGCGTGTCCGATGACTCGCGCCCTCACTTCCGTCCCGTTTCCGCTTGGGTCCGTCAGCAGTCGCGTCGGGCGAAGAAGGCCGTGCCGAGCGACGAGAATGGAATTCCTGCTGTGCCTGATGCTCCTATGGAGCAGGGTTTCGATCTGATGATGCCTGATGAGCAGGAGCCGAGACGAGTTGAGTCTTCGATGTGGAAGGACAAGAAGGGAGGGAACGAGATGGCTTAAAGGGATATGGATCTAGGGAACGGAGTTGATGGTGGCACGAGTGTGTGTGGAAAAGGAGATGGGATGAAGAAAAGTGAGGGGGAAAAAGGTCCAAGGTAAAGAGCTGGAAGAGAAATCCTTTCAACACCCATAGAGGAGAGTGGAATGGCTCGCCCGATGACGAAGCTGGTATGGCTCATTCAGTCTTTTAAGTAAACACACCTCTCATAGTCTACTTCTATGTTCGTCTCTACAATTCTAAACGCAAAGCCGAGGCTGCAAGCCCCTTCATCTGTCTATTGGATTTGCCTTTTGCCCATCTCTTTATCGATCCACCTTCTATTTCACACCTTCATTTGTAGGGAAACATTTCCCAAAAGCCAATTTCCATCTATCGTATCACATCCCCTTTGTTAGCCGAAATCAGGAGGTGTTGATGGGCAGGGGGGATTTGAAGCGTACTCTTGTTGCGTGGACGAAGATTTTGATGAGTTCTTCTATTCTGCTGGGTGATTGCAATCGAATATTCTTCTCGATGAGTTCTGAAAGCCGATAAACGGGAAGAGTTAGCCAGTTCTCTCTTTTTCCTCACGTCTCGAGGGCACAAAAAAAAAAAAAAAAAAAAAAAAAAAAAAAAAAAAAACCAAGGGAACAAAAACCAAAGGAAAAAGGCGGATTTTCTTTCAACGTACCGCTTCCTAGCCTCACGGCTTCAACATAGTCATCGGCCTTGTAGTTCTCGATCCAGGCCCAGTAGGTGTTGCCCTCGCGGACGGTGTCGGCGTGGGCGTGGAGCATCTTTGCGACGGCGCCGTAGCCGAGGAGGCATGGGGCGAGGGCCATTTGGAGGGCGAGCCAGTCTTCGCTTTGGCCGACGTCGAGGACGTAGCGGGTGTATGCGGTGCAGGCTATCAGTAGTGAAAATCTGCATTAGCAATATGACGGAGAAGGGGATCGCGAGAGAGGAGGGAGGAAGGAATGGAAAGGGAGTGAGTGATGTGCAGGAAAAAGAAAGGCATGAGCTTGCCTTGGAGTTCTTCGGTGGCTTCGATTTCAGGCTTGGATATGCCAAAGGAGTTGCAGTAGTTTACGTGGAGCTTCATTTCGTGGAGGATGTGGGTGATGATTTCGTTGGACTGGATGGTTGTTAGGATGAGGGTTTGTTCTGGGGAGAGGTTTGGGTGGACACGGACTCTTGATATGTCGCCGATGGTCTTTGCTTTGTATGCTGCTAGAGCATTGGCTCTGGAGAAGTGAATCTTTCGGTGTCTTGTTAGCTACAGGTGGGCATGATGGGCGGTTGTAGGCTTTGGAAGAGAGAGTATACCAAGTAGAGATAGTCTTGGATGATGTATCCCTTGAAAGACTCGAGCGGTAGTGTCCCGTTACCCAGGGCCATGACAAAAGGATGGTAGAGGAACTCGTTCCATACGTCGCGTACGGCGGGGTGTTCGAACAGGTATTCGACAAAGTATCCTCTATCGACATGGTCAGCGTTGGCAAAAGAGCACTCAAGGCAGAAAAAGAGAGGCGTTGTATGATGCTTACGGGGAGAAAGGGAGAACGTGTGTCGAGTGGAAGTGATCAAGCGGGCCGTGTCCATTGCCAATCTTGGGAGCCGTCTTGATGCCTGCTTCGATGTAGCGACAAGCACCGCGGACGGCCGTGGGAACATCGGCGCCTTGAGCTAGACGAGCTGAAATGGCCGCTGTATAACAATTAGCACACTGCCGAAGATGTTTTGTCGCTGTGAGAGGGATGGTACTGACAAGCCAGAGAGCAACCCGTTCCGTGAGTGCTTGTGCTCTCCTGATACGGGCTTTCGATCCGAACCACCGTTCCCTCTGGCCCGATCAGGAAATCAATGACAACCTCTTTCTCTTCCTTTGTCTTTGCGACTGTCAAGTCTCTTCGGAAAGGCATGTGGCCGCCCTTGACGAGGACCCATTTCGGGCCCAGCGCCTGGATTTTGCGTCCCATGGCTTCGACATCGGCGACTGACTGTATCTCTCCGACATCGTGGCCATTTTGCGACAAGAGGAGGGTTGCTTCTGGGATGTTGGGCGTGAGGACGGTGGTGTGAGGGAGGAGGTGCTGGGTTAGTTGTGCGATGGCTTCATGGGGGAGGAGCTGGGCTCCTGATGTTGAGACCATGACCTGCGGAGGAGAGGAGGAGTTCCCCTGTCAGCTTTGCATGGTCGTGTTGTGTGTGAGGATTTGGATGTGAGGTTTTGTTTACCGGGTCGACTACTAGAGCTGGGACCTTGAAGTTGGTAATCATTTGAGCAATGACTTGGATGGTCTCGGCGGATGCCAGCATCCCTTGATGGAGCTGGTCAGCGGCGGATTCAAAGGGTGTGCGAATGTGATGGGAAATCACCTGTTTTGATGACATCGGCGCCGATGTCTTCGAGACAGGCTTCGATCTGCTTTCCAACGACTTCAGACGGTATGACGTGGACGCCGGTGACGCCTTTGGTGTTTTGGATGGTCAGCGCCGTGGTGGAGGTCATTGCGTAGCAGCCATGCGCGGCGAGGACCTTTTGGTCTGCTTCTAGGCCACTGTGATCATCAATGTATTAGTGGAGGGCACGGACATTTGGATGGGTGTGTGTTATGTTTATGATTGCTCTAGTCTGTAAGGGTTATATGACATTGCGTAGTGAGAGAGAAGTGAAGCAGTGATGAGATGAGTTCATGTTTATAGCGCTGGTTGGTGAGAGTGTATGTATGTGTCTGTGCTGAGGGAGATGGCACTTACGCCCCCCCTGAAGGGTCCGACCCGGCAATGACGAGGACTTTTCCGTGGACCATGATGCCGTGATGGAGGCAATAAAGTCCAGCTTGTTGGTGTTGTTTTCCTTTGGGTGAATGCAGCTCGAGGGATTGCTATGGGGATGGAAAAGGCGCGGAATAGTTGCGGCTCTGCTTGGAGGTGGGGCGGGAAAATGTCGAGGTTGTGTCGATTTCTTGGTGGGGCTGATCTGATGTGAAGCTGATTTCTTAATGCTGCTCACATGTTGCCGTAGGAAATGTATTACTAGGTACATGAAGCGTCCTGATTTCGTAAATATTTATGGAGAGGTAGATTAGCTATTGCATTAATGGGATCTACTGTAGAAATCAGGGGAGTGGTGAGCGATAGTGGATGCTGAACATGCTTAGGAGATCGTGATGATTGGGAGAAGAACAGCATGCGAACGAACACTCCTGTCCCATGATTGAGGTAGAACAGAATGATGTCAGGCTCGTGATGGCCCCTTCCATTTGCCGCATTGAGACTACAATATCAGAGCAGTAACTGGATCTCGTTGCAGTCGCTGGACAGTCCGTCGAAGAGACCAGGGTTGCCGTGACTGGGTCGTGGACAGGTGTAACGCAAGAGACGACCCCTGCTCTGCAGGCATTGATGGCCCGAGATGCGTCACGGAAGCACGCACTTACACAACGGATGCTTAAGCGCGCTGCATCTAGTAGCCGTTGTCTTGCATCTACAGTAGGACAAGGCTTTGGCAATGCAGGCTGCCTTCTATATACGAGTACATTGTTCACCACTTTAGCATGCGGCTGTCCATTCTTCAGGCATCCATGGTTCACAGCCTGTCTGTTATCTTGCCGTGTCCCCACTGTTCTCTTCAGCGAGGAGGACGAAGTCGGAGGCCAGTGTTTTGCCACTGTTCCCGCACTGCCCGAGCTACAAAGCATCACCCCTGGATTCCAATGGTTTCCAGTGACTAGCATAGAAGCAGAGAGCATCAAAGAAAGTACCTAAGTCACGAGAGGGCATACAATCAAAAGAATCCAATAGTCATGCCAGTGCTTGGACAACGTAGAAGTGCACGGCCTAGTATCGAGTAATGGTCAAAGCTGTTGGGGGGGAGAAGAGATTCCATCTAGGCTACCTTACCTTAGATAGTAGGTACTATTATCAATGTGAACCCCACGTTCCCTTGCAGGCCGTTTGATGGATCTAGTCTGGCAGATCCTGCGGGGTTTAAAAAAAAAAAATCCAAATCGCGAAACTTGACTCTTTGCGCCAAAACTTGCCCTCCGATCGAGACGTTTTGCGCCGCAACCCGCGTCACCACGAGCGTCCATTGCGTCTCTGCAGCGCATTCCTGCGTTGTCGTGCTGATTGTCAACCGCTGAGGCTCACGACTGCTTCCATTCCGCCGAATCCGTCGTGAACAGTCGTCAAGATGTGTGGCGTCACTGGCTTGATGGTTCGTCTCCTCCAGAGGGAATCCCGCTGCAACGCTGGCAAGGATCTTTGCTGACTCTGGACGACTTCTTCAAATCTAGCTCGGCGACCCGGAGGCCACTACGGCCGCCATCGAGCTGCACGAGAGTCTCTACTACCTCCAACACGCAAGTCTTGACTCTTGTCCATCACCACGGCTGTTGCTTTCGAAGCTAACAGGAACGGGAAAAAAATAGCGAGGCCAGGATGCTGCCGGTATCTCGGTCTGTAACGGAGGCCGCGTCTACCAGCGGAAAGGCCTGGGCATGGCGCAAAAGGTCTTTTCCGAGTTTGACGGGTTCGCTCTCCTCGAGCAGCTGCCTGGTGCTTTCGGCATTGCCCACGTCCGCTATCCTACCGCCGGCACATCGTCTGCGTATGTGATTGCCCTAGTCACTCGATTCGATCGATGCCTCGAGCAAATGCTGATGCAGAACCATAGATCTGAAGCGCAGCCGCTCTACGTCAACTCTCCCTTTGGCCTGTCCATCAGCGTCAACGGCAACCTCATCAACCCCGACTACCTCCGCGAGTTTCTCGACAGCGAGGCCCGCCGACACATCAACTCGGACTCTGATTCTGAGCTCCTGTGCGTCTCTACGCCTTTTATAACCTTGTGCTGGTTGGATGTCACTCTTGGGGTCAGCTTTCTGACACTGAAGCTACAGGCTCAACGTTTTTGCATATGCGCTTAATGAGCTCGGCAAAGCTCGAGTGAACGTCGACGACATCTTCGCCTCTCTGCGTGACGTCTATGCCAAGTGCCAGGGAGCTTATGCTTGCACTGCCATGGTCACTGGTTTTGGCATTCTGGGTTTCAGGTACGTCCCTCTGACTAGGTACTACCATGCCAAGGGATTGGACCAGTGTTGACTCGATAAATCACACAGAGATGCAAACGGCATTCGACCTCTTTGCTTCGGCTCTCGACCCTCCCAAACCCTGCCTGGAGCCAAGGACTACTTCCTCGCCTCTGAATCCGTTGCTCTCAGACAGCTTGGTTTCACCGACATCATCGACATCAAGCCCGGCCAAGCCGTCTTCTGCCAGAAGAACGGCACTGTCCACTTCCGCCAGATCGTGGAGCCGAAATCGTATACCCCTGACGTCTTCGAGTACGTCTACCTGGCTCGGCCCGACAGCTGCATCGATGGCATTTCTGTGCACCGCAGCCGACAGAACATGGGTGTTAAGCTGGCCAAGAAGATGAGGGAGGTTCTGACTGAAAAGGAGATTGCGGAGATTGATGTTGGTACGTAACTGAGGTCTTCGAACGCGTACATGTATACATGCTAACAACGTCTTGCAATTTCAGTCATCCCGGTTCCAGAGGTGAGGATCGCCTTGGTCTCCATACAGTAGCGAATGTCCATGTCGACGATCTCGTATACTAACCTGTCGACCAGACTAGTAACACGGCCGCGGCTACTCTGGCAAGCTGTCTCGACCGTCCCTACTCGAACGCTTTCGTGAAGAATCGCTATGGTAAGATACTCTCGCACGGCAATACGGGCGTCAAAAGCTAACTTCAGTTCTGTCTTCCGCACTTTCATCTTGCCTGGTACGTTGATTCTCCTCTCCATGTATGGGAAGTCTCAAAAATCTATTATACTAAACCGTCCACAGGTCAAGAGGCGCGAAAGAAGGGCATCCGTCGAAAGCTCTCACCCATTGAATCCGAATTCGACGGCAAGGCCATTTGCATCGTTGACGACTCCATCGTAAGAGGAAACACGTCGCGCGAGATTGTACGTGATCTGTGAACCACGGGGAGCCACTGCTGCTGCTGGCTCCAACCATTCACCTTGTAGCTAACGTTTGATTTCAGGTCCAAATGGCCAGAGAAGCCGGAGCAACCCGTGTCTACGTCGTCTCATGCTCTCCCGAGATCATGAACCAGCACATCGTAAGTACCTGCCTCTGAATTCGTCTGGGGTTGTGTTAACCTAGTGCGGCTTTCACAGTACGGAATTGATCTCGCCGACCCTGACGGTAAGAAACACCCCAAGAAACATTCAGAGTCCCCTTCAGCCCGCTAACAAGTGCCCTATAGAACTCGTTGCCTACAACAGAACCACCGAACAAGTGGCCGAGAACATCCAGGCGGACAAGGTGATCTTCCAGAGCCTTGACGACCTCAAGGCGGCCTGTGTCGAAGCCGCTGGAGAAGGAAGCGAGGTCAAGGAGTTCGAGGTCGGAGTCTTCTCCGGCAAGTACATCACCGACGTGCCCGAAGGCTACTTTGAGCACATCAGCCAGCTCCGAGGCAAGAACAAGAAGCGCAAGACGCCCAACTGCTCAGAGTCCATGCTCATTGCCAACGGCGGCGTGGTTAACATGGCTCCTGGCCAAAATGGGGCACAGGGCAACGGCACCAGAAATGGCGTTGTAAGCCCGTCATACCGGGAGGATATTAAGTGAGTGACTCATTATTCTTTTGCAGCATGACACGTTATTGACAGAGCCATAGCATCTACAACATTGCCAGCTAATCGACGACTTTCGGAGCTCTACTGGCGTGTAAACTTTTTGGACCTGGCCTCATCGATGGCTTGCGCCACATATATTGGGAAAAAGTGAAGTCCCGTGAAGAAGCAAGGGGAATCTACAGCATCGTGCAACATGAAGCAGTCCACCAAGGCAGAGTTCACGCTGGAAATCGATGGAGCCGTTGGCTTAGTTGCCAGCAGCATCTGGGCATCATGCGAGATCCCCCTTCGTTGTAGCTCTGGAGCCGCTGCGTGGCAAGTCTATTTCCTACTTGTGATCTGCCTTGGGGAAGCACAAAAAACAAGAAAAAAGCAGTACGACGAACAGAAGTTCTGTCTGTTTCTTTGGCATCGTGATTTTGGGGCAAGCAATGAGAGGCAATACATGGATTTACTGCAGGGCGACACATAGACGACAACAAAAGACCAAAACAATGAATTAGCCTCAGGGCGTCGGCTTGTTCTCTGCTCGCTTAGCATGTTTGAATGCGGATTCTATTGTTGGGAATTTCCGACAGCTGTTCCAAGGTCGTGTTGTGGATGTTAATCGAAGCCCCTGAGAAGATGATTGCCAAAGCCAATCTGCTTTGCCAATCCAAGAAGCACTCATAGCCAGAATTTGAGTCTCATTTCTTGGGCGTCTTCTTATTGCTAGGCTGGACGTTTCCTCTTCATGTGTTAGACAAAGGTATGGTGGCTCAGCATAGCTGTTGATGTCTTGCTGTAAGTCTTCCCTGTTTGCCTGAGAAACGAGTTGAACTCTGCTTCCCTCGGTAGATAAAATCACCTGATGGACTCTATAAATGTGTGGATAGTATGTAATTCACAAATTGGATTGATCGGAACATAGTACAAGTATGCAATGGAACTCATGTTGTCATCGAATCTACAACACCAGGAAGTATTGTCATAGTAGTGTATTACTGTCTCCATCACCAAAGCGGCAAGGAGGTAGATGACTATCACGGTTGCCAGAATAGGCCGCTTCCACAACAGGTCATACTTCGACACGCTGCGAACCAATGCCAGTGCTCACTCGCCATCTTTGCCCTAGGATGTCCTCGATGATGGTCCGGCAGTCGGCACACGGTCGGGGGAAAGGCGGAGCTGGTCTGACCCTCGTAGGTGTAGCCGTTGCACTTTGGTTACGAGCCCTGTAGCGGGTTGCAGGGATAGCCTGGAGCGCTGGAGTTGGACCGCGATGGGCTCGACCACGAGGCGAAGGCGACCTGAGCGCTGCACACCGGGAGGGTGATGAAGCCGGGGGTCGTAACGTCCTGGCTTGCGAGGTCCTGCAGAGTCTGCTGGTTCTGCTGGTTGGCGGGGGCGCCCCCGTTGGTGTTGCCGTTGGCGACGTACGTGTTGACGGATCCCGCGATGAGGTCGGACAGGGAGAGGTTGCCCCAGTACCCCTTGGCGAGGCCGTCAAGTCCTGGCGGTGCGGCGAATTGGCCATGTGAGCCACCGCCGGGATAGACTAGATAGTACAAGCTGTTGTTGTGGCATGAATAGGTGGCTTCTTGGGTGTCCTCGGTCATGTAATTGGTCAGTGGGTTGACCGTGCCGCAGGGATAGCCCGAGTCGACGACGAAGGCATTGGTGCCGGAGACGGTCCAGAGGGCCGGGATGGCGAACGCGTAAAAGGCTTTTTGGATGAACTTCTCCAGGTCGTTGGTAAAGTCGTAGGCATCCACGGGGCTAGTACCGTTACAGTCGAGGAGATGGCCATTGGCCATCATTGAGCCGAGGAGTTTGACAGAGGCTTCAGATCCATCGAATAGAGTATAGAGCTGATTTTCAACGATGGTAGCCCAGCCGGAGAAGACCTGTCCCACGGTGGAACTGAAGGTTGTTTGAGACTTTGGTGTCCATTGCTTCCTGCGTAGACTCGGTTACCAAAGTGCTCATATCTTGACACCGATCCAACACTATTTGCGTGGACCGCCGCAGGGTACCATCTGACTCGGTGATTCGCCAAAGTGCAACGATTGTACTTACTTTGAACTACCATCAATCGTAGCGGAAACGCTTGCGGTTGTCAACGCGAGGCTGGCATACGTGATGTTCCTGGCCGTGTCGGCGTCTACACGGTTGCCAAGAGCTTGCGAAGAACCAAAAACTAGGAGAAGGGGGTGTTTAACCGTGTGTCTGATGCGGTGGTTCATGATCCAGACTTACTTACGCGCGTTGAAGAATGATGCGGAGATTGCCCTGACGCCGAGATCCAGCATGTTGCGCAATATTGGTAGCCACTCGGCGGCGGGTTTCGGAGGCACCGGTGCAAATGCTTGCTCCATGGGTAGAATCGAGAAGAGGACGATATCTTGTGCGGCATCCTGAATTGCATTGTAGAGGTTGTAGTACATCTGGGTTGTAAATCTGTGTCAGTCGAGTCCATCAGAAGGGAAAAATTACTCTTGCCATCTCTCCCTCTCTTCCTCTCAATATATGTGTGTCCTGTTCGCCCGCTGCCTCGGAGCCGGAGAGACGAGACTCACCTCGTTGATGGCCACGAGGGATTCATAGATCAGATAGGCCGCGGGCCCCGTAGCACCGGTACCGTTACTGCTTAGAATATAGCCGCAAGTTTGGGTCTGATCACAGTTGCCTTCGGGAGCGATTAACCCGCAGTCCGTTTCGTTAGGGGCATGGAGCGTGTTCATGACGGACACGCTGAACGTGGTTTTGCCCTCGTCGTGCTGAGTCCATACTCGGATGACGTCCTTCCAAGCGTCGTCGGCGTCCAACTCGGACCAGCGCTGGGCGCAGCCCATATAGAGAGCATCCTGCACGGCCGGATCTGAACAGGTCAGGGAGGTCCAGTTGCCAGTTCGATCGCTCGCTGCTGCGGCGGAAGATGTGCCGATGAACAAGCACAAGGTGGCGATGGTGATATATATCAGGAAGCCAAGGGAAGCATCCCGCGGCCGAAGCCACGCGGAAGACTTGGAGGGTAGCGACATCGCGTTATGCAAATCTGGTGACTAGAAAGAGGCTGAGATGGCAAAGCATACGGCGAGGTTGACTGCCACGTCAAAGATAGCGAGATGTTATTGTGGATTTGTCTTGTTCGACGCGTGATTGTGATGCAACTCGAATTGCAACTTATAAGCCGGCGTTGGCAGTGATGAGTGTTCTATCCCTCTTTGACCATTCTTCGCGGGTCACTTGTCGAGCCAAGTCAGTCAATCGGTTTCGCATCAACAGATAGGGTCACCTCTTCTATACCGTGTGGAGCGTAACTGTAGACCTATACGGACATATAAATGCAGCTATGGACGTGACAAAGTAGTCAAAATAGTAGTTAAGGATTGTATAAGTGAGAGGATGTCGAAGCTTCAACAAAGGTTCGATATGTTATGGTGTGATGTAACGAGGGGATAGAGGAACGGCTGTACAGCTAGGCATGTACGGCACTGACGCAGTAAACGAATACCAAAGAAATGTTACAGGATAATATTGTATGTTGATGGGGAGTGAGTGTAGATGAAGACAAAGTCGCATGATCAGAGTAAATGCTTGTAGCAATGGCCTTCCAGAAAGGCACTGGTTCGGAATCACTCCTCCAGGAACGCAAGATATACAACGAGTCAGCTCGCCGTCACAGTCGTACGTAGACAAAAGATCCCAAAGTCTATGAAGTCGGTAAATTGTCTGCGACCAACAGACATAACATCGCCCAGCATTGACCCGCACCAGACATTGAGCCATTGGCTATGATTTAACGTGGGTAAACTGGGCCATTGGTCTGGCAAGGTTGAGAGGCTGCCGTTGGACCGGAACGCGGCACGGCTGGTGTGGGAACTAAATCCAGGGGTAACCTTGAAGGAGCCAAGCGGATAAATCTGCCATCAAGGGCTGTATACAGCAGAGGTGGGAGGTGTTGCGGTTCTTCACCTCAAAGGCTTGTGTTACGTGGTGTGGACAAGACAGTACTGGACTCTTAAGGCTGGCTAAGAGATGAATAGCTATCAAAGGAACAATACCGGACCAAGAATGCGATGAGGGCGTTGAATGTGGTGATAAGTGTCAAGTTGTAAGACTCGGTGCTATACAACGTTGCACTCAGCTCTTGTTTTGGCAGATCCAGGGATTGGCTGTTGGCGGGAATAAGGACGGTATTAACTTCGCTTTTGCCCGTTGACCCGTTCAGTATTGGCGGATCAGACTCTCACGAGACCGAAGAGAGGCTTGAGTTCGATCTGTTGGTTGCTGCAAGTAAATTGATGGAGCTGTTATATTCCCTTTCCCAAAGCGCTTACAGCTCGATATGAGGCGAAAGTGGTCGGCTGCCTCGATGCGGAACCGACATGGGTGTCTTGACCAGGATCATTGGGTATGCACACCTTGACAACGCATTTTCCCGCAGTTCCCTGCTCATCTCCTGTGACAGCGACTCGCATGGAGTTGGTCTAGATTCTGTAGGTAGTCTACGGGACCAGCATGTTAACCCAAGAATTTGGCGGCGCAATGGCCAGGGAGTTCGGTCGAATGCTATCATGGACGGGTATGGTTGAAGGAATTCCATCGCAATTGCTATGTGGCACTGGCTATCTATGCTCTTCTCTATAACGGCTTTCCAATACATCCGAAGGAGTGACATGACATGAAGCTGTATCTCCAGCTGTTTGGTCTGGATCTCATGGATCTGCGATAGACCTTGTCGGGGATCTACTGTAGGAGACATGTTGAAAATCCTTTCCTCATCGGCTTTACAGTATGTATGTCAACCATTCGTACGTGGGTTCTGCTGATGCATTACGCTTATATGGGTGCTTAATTTAAGGTCAATTTTCACGAGGAATCAAGACTGCATCATTCAGACCGCAGATCTCGTATGTAACGCGCATGCCACAAAGAGTATTATATTACAAGAATGGAAGAATGGTCTTAAAGCATATATTAAGGCTAAGTAACTGCTATTTGTCAAGAAGAGAAAAGAAGGAGAAGCTGCACTTTGGTAAAAGTATGCATCTAGTTCTATCGAAGCTGAATCAGGACAGTCAGGGCGGCCGACAGCGTGAGTAATGTAGACACCGCTGCCACTCGAGGACTGCCCGATGAGGAAAAGGAAGTCGGACATGTGATGTTCGAGTTCGGAGAGCAGACGTAGCCCGTGGCCCTGGCCAAGGCGGACAGGCTGGACACGGCTGCAGAATCGACCGTCACCGAGCACGGGTTTGTGGTCGGGCTGGGCCCGGGCATGCCACATGCGAGCTCGTCCCAAGAGGTCACGTTGTATGCCAGGGCTGCCGAGGAGCCGCAGACGTCGGCGGATGTGCCCGCCTTCATGTCAGGTGCCTGCCCAGACTTGCTCACGGTGAAGACGGTGTAGAACGTTTCGCTGCGCGCCTTGCCTTGAGATGTAGAGCAGTTGAAGTACTCCAGACTCCAGGCGAGGGTCCAGACGCCGTCCGGGTAGGCAATGGTGTTGACGGGAGCGTTAAGCAGGAGAGGCTCGTTGGACCTCTGTCGCTCGGTGGCCACATCGAGGCTGAGGGCAAGCGGTACGCTGCCGACAGAGCCTGGCGATCTCGTGTCGTTGCCTCGCCACAGGTCGAATGTAATTGTGGCGGACGACGGCGCCAGAGTCGGATTCTGCACCGCAAACAGGATGGGCATCAGCGCGCTGGGAGCGTAAGTTGCATTGTGAGGGAACAGCAAGTCCACTTCAAAGACGGCGGGAAGTGCAACGAGAGATTCATCGCTTTTGTCGCCCATTGCAGTCATCAAGCCTGTCGTCAGCACGGCCCAAGCAAGACGGAAGTGACTGGAAGCGCCCATGTTGGATGATAAGAAAAGAAATAAAAGGCTGAAGAGAAGGGGAAGGAAACGATGAGTTGGCGGGTAGCCTGTGTTGGGTCACTGGCTGCTGAAAGGGGTTGAAAGAACTTTGTATGAGGCAGGAGGACAAAGGGAAGAGAAGGAAGAAGAAAAAAGCATCTCAAGTCGGTGCGTCGACATGATCGTGACTTTCGAGTTGGCGGATTGCAACCATCACATGCGGCAGGTAATTTCATGCTGCATGCAAAAGGCGCTTCTCCATCAGGGACCTTTGAGGACTGCGCCAACAATCTTTAGGAAGAGCATGGCTTCGCGGGAAAGACGGCACGCAGGAACCGTTGGTTGACCCTTGTTCGATACCCTGTCGATCCCATGAGATGGTCCAATGATGAACCAGATACGCGCGATATATCGAGCCTCTCAATTTGCACACAACAATCGGTGGTTTGCACACACCACTAAACCTGTTCTAGCAAGGTCGGCCCCCTATAGTAATAACATGCAATCTATACTTACTATAAACTGGTCTAGTTAAGCTTCTAAGTCTTAAATACATTATGTATAATAAAAAGTGCTTCTATTAGGTAATAGAATTTGCATTTATTACTATAATATTAGCGGCTGCTATAAAGGATAATAAAAATAATGCTTTAAAACCTATAATAAGCTTAAAAGTAATAGATTATATATATTTCTACTAAAATTATATATAAAAGTACCTTTAAGTTTACTAATTTACTGCTAAGAGGTTTACTATATTTAATAGCTTCCTAACTCTTAGCTTAAAGGCAGCATTTATAATGCTTAAGGCAGCAGCAGCAGTAGTATTTATAATATTTAATATAGCAGTAGTAGCAGCAGCAGTAGTATTTATAAAGCTTATAGGAAATAGCGCTGCTACTGCATTTACTATAATAATGCAGAAGGTATATTAAAATATTTTTAATATAGCAGAATTTAGCTATATTAATAAATAACTATAGGCTGCCTTTAAGTAATAGCTAGAATGCTATTAGCAGCTATATTTTAACTCTATTATTATAATTATAATATTATAGCAGCTTAACTTAGCGATTTTTTAAATGCCTTTTAGTTATTAAGAATTTAGCCTATTTTTACTTACTAAGGGATAGGCTAGTTAAAAGGCCTTTATTATAATAGTACTTATATTAACTTATATTTATAAAATTAGTTAAGTTAGGCTTATTATTTAGGCTTAAAGCTAAGGTTAGTATTATAATTCTTAATCTTTAATGTTTTATATACTATATCTGCCTTAAGCCACTAATGCTTATTAAGGTGTATTATTTTAAAAGACTCTCCTACTTATAATAATAGTAAAATTATATAATAATAAGGTAGTCCTTACTATATATAAAACGCCCTTATATAGTCCTTTAGCTTTATTTTCCCTTAAAGGTTATCCTTTATAAGGTCTAGTTACTTCTAGATTTATAATAAGGCTTACTAACTAACTTTTTATAATAAATTAGTAAAAATCAGTTTATTAATAAACTAGACCTAGTAATAGATTACCTTATACTAAAATTAATACTAATAATACTTATAGTATTACTTAAAAAGCTACTAAATATACTATTAAAGTTAAAATAGGTTAGTAAACCTATTTCTTAAAAGTACCTTTAACTATATATAAGCGCTCTTTATATAAGATATTATTATAATATTATAATTTTAATAGTCTTTAATAATATAATAGGTAAATTAGCAGCGCTTTAGTATATAGGTCTTTAAGAGATAACTTATAATCTTTATAATATTAAATTAGCATATATTATAATATAAATAGAGGTATTTTTAAACTTACTAAGTTAGTTTAAAAACACCTTTTATAGCTTAATAAAAAGCTAATTAAATTCCTTCTTAATTTTAGTATATATTATAGCTATTTAAGTATTATATATACTATTAGCAGTATTTTCCTAATCCTTTTTATAAAAAAGTAATATTATTATAAATAAAAAAAGCTAAAATACTTATTATATTACCTCCTTAATAGCTTTTTTAGCTATTTCTTATTATATAGTATTAAAGATCTTATTATCTTACTATATAAAAGGGCTAAGGCTAAGGCCAGCAGCTTTATAAGCTTTATCTTCCTTAGCCTAGCTTATAATCTAATTACTAGTAAGACTTTTAACCTAGTTCTTTTTTATATAAAGAATAATATTCTTTATTATATACTATATATAAATTTACTATTAAAATAAATTAAAGATAATTATAAGAGCTTTTTTAAAAGCTAAGTTAAAGTTTATAATAATAATTTTAAGATCTAGGATTTTAGCCTTTATAGCAGCTTCCTTTATTTTTTAAAGCAGCTAAATAAAGGCCTTTATATCCTCTTTTATAGTTAACCTAAAGCTAGCGTTAAAGTTTATATATAGCGCTGTTATCCTTATAATCTAAAATAAGGGCATATTAAAACAGTTTACCTTATAAGTGTTATTTATATTAAGGAGTTCTAGATTCTAGCTTTAGTCTTCTATATTATTTATATAAGTTTAAAAGAACTTATATAATTAGCTATTAGCATTATAATTAATAGTATAGTAAAAGATTTAGTTATTATTTTTAAGGAAATTAAGAAAGGCTTATATAGATATATAAAGGCTATATTACCTTAACTATAGCTTATGCTAATAGAACTAAATATCCTTTTTTATAAGCAGAAGACTGTTATATTTCTTATAAATCTTACTAGTAATTATACTAGCTATTATTATTATATACTATAATTAAGTTCTAATAAGGTTATATAAGCGTTTAATGCTAAAGTTAAGCTATAACTTTTTTTATAAGTAAAGAGAGAGAATTAAATCTTTAACTAGATTATAATTATACTATAAATTAGCTAGTTTAATAATTTAAGAAAAGTCTTAAGGCTTTTTTATAATAAAAAAAAAGAAAGTGCAGTTTAACTTTTTTATTAATATCCTTTTTTTAGTCTTTTTCTTATATTACTAATAATAAGACCCTTTATATTAGTAAATAATAAAGCAGTAATTAAATATACTAGTATAGTCCTTTATTATTTATAATTTTAAGACTATAAAACTATTAATAGCTTTAAATACTTTTATAGCAGTAAAAGTATTTTTAAATGCTATATATTCTTTAATATAAATAGAAGATATTTTAATAAGTAAAAAGATATAAAAAAAGCTAATAGTTTTAGTAGTAGCAGTAATAAAATAAAAGCTTAAAGTTAGTAAGTTAAAGTTATAGCTAAAGGTTAAAGCTAATACTATTATTACAATAGTCCCTTATAAAGAAGCTAATTGCGTTCTATATTATGTAATATATTTAAGACTTAGAAGCTTAACTGGACCAGTTTACAGTAAGTATAAATTACATGTTATTACTATAGGGGGCCGACCTTGCTAGAACAGGTTTAGTGGTGTGTGTAAACCACTGATTGTTGTGTGCAAATTGAGAGGCTCTGATATATCTGCTAAGCTTGAAGACCCCTGTCAGGAACAAGCCGGTATGGGGGATGCCCATGGTCTGTAACCCACCTACAGGTACTTTAGCCTAATGATAGCAGCAGTTCTGCTTCACAGGATTTGCTAGAAGGCTTCCTGACGTTTGTTAGTTCTGTGGAACCTTAACAGATAACCCGAGGTCCGTCCTTACTCCAGCCTCTCTCCAGAAGATGATGGATCTAGAAACTGGAAAATACACGAACTTGCAATGCAATTTTGCTACTTCTAGACCTATAGACCATTTTGGAGAGACGTTCCTGGGGGCGGCTGTTCAGGAGATGTGTATGAATGGCAAGGAGGCCGTGGTGTGAAACGTAAATTCGGTGGTAAATGATGTGCAAGGTTGGACTCGAGGCCTTGCTGTTTGACCAACAGAATCTTGACGTGGGCTTGGTAGTAGATAGGGTCATGAAGAGGCATCTCTGAGAGGCTCAACCATGAAGTGGCACGGAGTGGTTCGCTGCACAATGCTACCTATCCCTTTAGATGCGGTAAGGTGCCAAATAGATCACCATGGCCACTTCATCTTCATAAGACAGAGATACTCGTCTAATTTGGTTCTATAAGGGATAGATATTAGTGGTAATTCACTCATGGGTAGTCTCATTTGCTATCGTTATAGCTTGGAGCCATAGCTCTATATGGCAGCACAAGCGTCCTGAAAGTTCGCCGCTGTGAGTGGCTTATATGCTTGCAAGAGACATTACTGGCATCTTACCGCACTCGAAGGGATGGGGCTTCGAAATCAGCTGACAACCGTGCCATGATGATGCGGGTGATATCTGGACCTAGAAGGGTTAGAAATTATGCTCCTTTCCCATTACTATTAAAGGTATAGTATTCTCCTTTTAAGGAGATGCCCCCGAATTTATTCTGGCGATTCCTGAGTTGCTATAGATTGCTCTTTTGTCCTCGAACAAGCATCAGAAATTAGCTTACCATCGACGGTATCATCATGCTCATGCCCATTAAGTCGCGTGGTGACCAACTGCATGAGTCTCTGCCTAGTTCCCTTCGGGAGCTCGTGCGCGAGCGTTGCGAGAGGCCAAGGCATGAGGGTCGCCAATAGGGGGTCAGACCAAGCTGCAAGACTCTGCGCTTCGGCAATCACTCTTGTGTAGACGTGTGGATGGTGTAAATCCTTCATATAATATTAGTTGTATATGGTGGTTAAGCGCATGACAAGATTTTGTCACTTTGAACAACGCTCAAAGACATCGGTAGCCAGCTTTCCCTCGAAACCTGCTATAGCAACTTATAAAGGCTACATAGCAAAACCACACCAGAGAATAACTGGACTTCAGGACTGAAGCATGATATATAGAGGTTCAAGGTCACTAATGTCAACGCTACATGCGCTAGAGTCTCGTTGCAAAGATCATCCTACGGATGGATATATGTCGTTACGGCGTAAAGGCGCGCCTCCTCGATGTTTGTCAATCGTACCCTTTCAGTTCCTGAAAATCTCCTTGGACATATTCCACTCGAAAAGTAGATCCATTGAGTCCTTGAGGACTCCCTGGCTGGGCCGCATGAGACTGTTGAGCTTGGACTAGACTGGGCTTTGCCCCTGACGCCTAACCTACCTATATGGGTGAATAATAGGCGGCTTAGACATTGCCTCTATTGGTGCACAATCGTCGTGCCGTGGATTGTCTTGACTGACCCGAAGCTTTCTTTTTTGGCTCGTCACCGTCGTAAGCTGGACTCTCGTTCTCATAGTGACCGGGTGCCGGCATTGGACCATTTATGCATACCCCGCCCATCCGGCGAGCATTCCCCGATAGCACTCTGTATTTTGCATGTAAGATACCATGCATGTGCCTCAGGGACTGCCACGTGTGTTTTGGTGTCGTGATCAGACTGGTTTCTCGAAATCTTACGGGAGCGTCAAGGATCAGCCGCAGTAGATGTCTGGGGCTTCAGCAGATAGAGCTACGTCAGAAGCGTCCATGCCATGCTACCCGACCCAAGGGACTGTTAGGAAAACGTGGCGGAACAGAGGCCGCCCATGGCTGTCTCTCATATGCATGCAGAGTGTGCATGGCGATGATGCGAGCATTCGCATTGGATACACGTAGCTCGGGCTCTATGGCATGCCACCTCCGCTGAACATTGCTGCGTGCTTCCCTGTGTTAATATATTTGTTGTTTTGTTCCCCTCCCCCGCCTTCATGCTGCAGGGCGAGTCTCAGTAGTATTGGCAACTCGGGCCCAACTTGCAGATAGTGGGCGGCTTCCTATCGCTTATATTTGCTCGATCCAGTCCATAGAAACACCCGTGATTTGTCGATGGGGTTGGTGCCTGATGGAGCACCCTGTCTAGGTTAATCATCGTGAACGGTCAGGTCAAGCCAACAGTCCCGTTGAATAATGGAAATGCAGCCTCTGTCGTGCCGTAAATGGAGTACGCGATTCTAGCATGTGTCTCAAAGCTGGAAAGCTGCAAGAGGGGACCCGAGCTTGAACTGGTGGAGACTTGGGATTGAGCAAATGGAGGTGTTCACCTCTTCTCTGTAAACATGCATGCTAGGTAACCACGTTCCTAGATCAATCTTACTCTGAATAGTCTATCATAATTTAATGACATACATGCATGCTGGGATTCCACTCTAGGCTTTGATACTTAGCTGCCTCGCCGAGCAACCCGTTCGCTCGACTCTCAATGGCCGCTGGCACATTTGCACTCCCGTAACCGCTTAGAAGCTCATTGAGCAGAAGCGTCATTTCAGTCGAGTTTCTGGGATCCAACGGTACTTGCTCAGCTATGTCGAGGATTCCCGAGCAAAACTCTTGTTTGGTGAAGGATTGATGGGCCGTGACCAAGACGGTATTGCTCAGCTCTGCGGCATGTTGGGCGGCAACCGTCAGCTGCTGCTTGACAGCAACAGTAGCTCGTTGCAATGCGTCCGTCTTCTCAATGATGCCGGTGACCTCGTTCCCCAGGTCTTCAATCTCGGTTTGAATAGTCCGCAGCCGCCAGGCTTGATGCTCAAGATGAGCCTGCTGTTCTCTTGCAGCTGCGAGGCCCTCCATGGCTTGTTCCAGGGACCTACGCTTGTTATGAAGGTCGTTGCGGACGTTATTGACGGCGTCGCGCAGTTGGAACACAGCGCCAGGAGACGCATTCTCGTCAATCAAGCCGACAATCCCCCATATAGGTATCAGAATGCTTATCTGTACCCAGCACAATGAGCATTTTCTTCTTGCCTAGGGTATCAGGCTGGTTGACTTACAGCAATGTTGACACCGTCACGCACTCTCTCTGCTTCACCCAATTTATCTTGGAGAGAGCAGAGTGAATTGTTCATTGCGTTGACCGAATGCTGTAAGCCATCGACTGTGTTGGAAGTGGTCATGATGGCTTGTTGATTACCCTCAAGTTGGGCTCCTATGTCGGATTTGGTTTCCTCAATGCCATCTTGCAGAGGACGAAGTTTGGCATTTCTCAACTCGATGCTCTAAAAATCCCGGCCGGTTAGGAGCTGCTCCCCAATGGCACTTCTCTATGTTCGGCATGTCTCACTTACATCGGAATTGAGACGCCCAACTTCCGCGAGCTGATTGTCCGCAAGTTCGGTGATCTGAGTGAATGCCGCGACCAAGTGGTCAAGGGCTGCCTTGAGTCGCAAGTCACTCTGATCAAAGACAAAGTCGCCCCTAATCAGCACAGAAAGCATGTAGAGACGCTCTGTGCCAATTTCTAATGCACGTGAGATTTCTTCAGATCGCTTCGTTGCTGCGTCTACCGTCAGGGTGGAAGCCAGCATGCTTAACTCATGTCGCATGTGGGCTAGACTCTGTCCATGAGCGGAAACGCGACTCTCCATCTTGAATGAGAGAGTTCTCCTGTTATTGCAGATTGGCAATGGCAGCGGTATAGGTGTGGGATGCTGCGTTGTGGTGTATGTCGAGATTGGTTCACAGAGGTATGACTGATGTAGTCGCAAGATGTGATTGCTGGGTGTTGCCTCGCAGCTATGGTGAGTTTATAGTCAAGACAGTATTGATCGTAGAAAAGGGTTTGCTCGGGAAGAAAATTGCAACTTGCTGGATCGCGTGTGACAATCTCTTTGGTACTTGACACGTCAGACGACTGAAAGACCAGCTTATCACACAGATGGGATTGAGCAAACCAACAAGATCACAAGGTAGACTTATGCAAGTCTAAATTCGACATGCGAGTCTCAACAGTTGGACAAGTCAGATCAAGATTGAAGTTTATCTCCTGATACCAAGACATCTGCATATGACACACGCTTCTTTCTGCACATTCGAACGTATATCAACTGCGGGGATCGAGGTTTTGCTTCTACCCCAGCGTGGCCGATTGACCTAACATCGACTTCGATCTGTTACATGCCCGCTCACCCCGCCAGCCATAGACATTCCATACTTACATTACCTATGTAGGTTTGCAGGGTCATGGGATGGCATTTGCGGACCGCTGCAGGCGGTACGTTCCGGGATAGTATAAGGCTTGCGTAACAAGATAGTAATTACCACCTGCGGGAGGCCGACCATACCGTATGTATGCCTGGTCATGAACCACTCATCGACGTCCACGTTTGTAAGACACACTGAAGCGAGATTAGCACGCATATTCCCCTCAACTGCACTTTGATAGCAATATTTGGGGGCGGCAAGGCTGCAGGTTGCTAACAACAACGAAGCCACCAACCAATGCATCGATTACATGCCGGAGTGGCGAATTGGAGCTACCACAATGATAGAGCGCGCATAATACCGCATGTAACTGGAAAGTGATCTTGTTTTTTGACATAGGAAGCCCAACTCTTTACGTAGATGCTCAGTTGACCGCATTGTTTAGGCAATTACGCAACCTAATAGCTCTGAAAGACCAGGATCAAGTCCTGCTAGAGATACTCGAAGGCTTCTTGAGCGAACTCTTGCGAACTCTTTGGTGGCTGACGAGCAGTCTTGTGTGCCTATCTATTCATAAGTATGAAGAGCCACCCCTCTACCCCGTACAAGAATAGAGCTCTTTACTTGTTCTAAACGTGAGTTTGACTTAGGAGATCGAAACGACATCTCCACGCTTTCCTTTTCATAAAGCTCTCCATCATGGATAGCGCTCAGGCAGAGCTCGCTGTTGCCCTCAAGGCTCAGTATGACCTTGACAATCGACCAGACGTCACCGATGATGCCGTCGAAGAGATCAGGAATTCCGTCATCTTCCAGTATAATTGGGAAGAGCTGCTTCAATCGGGCCCTGTCGCTCTTGCCTCGATTGGTTCCTGCTTCATAGCTTGTACCTCTAAAGGTAGTGATCACATTCAGCTGGAACCGCCCGAAGACGGCAAGTTCGAGTACATCAAGTGAGTGAGACCCATATCATAGAACATGGCAACAAGAAGAGAGGATAATAATGTATCCAAAGGCATGCGTCGCTCAACGCCAGCTTGATGGATTCAGCAAACTATGGCCGGGAGGCCTTTCTCAAGGCCGAACGGAACATGCTGTTCGTCAAACAGGTTTCCGGGAGAGTCTCCAAAAGAGTATGTTGCCCTTCTCACCTATCCTGCCAACTTTTTCTCCTGACTGAATGTGACAAGGTTGCCGATGTAGTCGACACACTGATGGGTAAGTCTTTGCCAACATACCTAAGCTGGATTCAAGTGCCCTCAAGTTGTGACTAACATGTGCCTGTAAACAGATGAAAATACGGCTAGAACGCAGCTTGGCCCTCAGCTTACCATGATCAAAGTAGCAGCAGATGATTGCTACAACAAGGTGAAGGAGATTGACGAGAAGTTTGAGCGTTGGCTTATGCACTGCATGGAGCTTCACGCCGCCTGCATGCAGACACAATCCACAAACGACGAGCGTCTCAGCACCACCGAGATGCACATGGCGGTTGCCCAGACACTTCTTGACTCGGAGAAGGATTCCGTCGAGAAGACGAAGAAGATCACGAGTGACTTTGCTAAGCAGGTTGAGCTTGCCACTGAGACCTTCAAGCAAGCATCCGAAGAGTATCCCTCTGGGTTTGTCTCCGAAACGCTTCCGCTAGTACAGATCATAATAGACACAACTAACATTCTTTATACCACAAATAGATGGGATATAATTGGCCAGCAGGTTGTCAGCTCAATCGCGGAGACGACTACCGCGGCAATAGGGCAGCTAGTCAAGGGCTTTGCCAGCACCCTGAACCCCATAGCCGCTGCCTCGAATGGTCTTGATCTTTTCAGGAGCCTGGTGCAGTAAGTGACATTTATGATGCGTCCCTAATGATGAACCCTGTCTTGACAAGTGACCAGCGGAGGGAAAAACCCGCCCCCAAATGGTGAAGCGCCTCCGGTCCAGCCAACGCCGCCTGCGCCGAAACCGACAGAGCGGCCCCATACCGAAGACCCGGCACACACTTATATCATCAAGGACATTGTATACTTTGAAACGCTCAACGCTGTCTTGACCAAGGGTAAAGATGGCGGAGTGAATTGGGAAGAAGCCGCGGGCAAAGGTGGCCGGGCGTCTCAGAGCACTTATTGGGTGGTGTCTATGCTCCAGAGCGAATTCGACAATTTCAGGGTAGTTGCTACAAGCGACGAGCCCAGCCAGACCCTTTTGAATGCCTTCACTACCGCGCTGCAGGTATTGCATCCCCTGTTTGCCCTTTGGGAGAAGTTAGGCAACTGGTATACTAACAGGGCGGCGTGACTGATATAGATTGCCACGGCTATCCAAGACGAAGTGAAAAAGTCCGCAGGTATTGGCCAGAGATTTCCCAAAGCCAAATCCAAGGAAGTCAAGGACTGGCAGAAGCAGTGGTCCTCTGTTTATTTGTCTGTCCAGAAGCTGTTAGCCACGGCCCGTAGTCGACCAGGAACAGCGGCTTCAGGTGTGAGTATCGTTGGCCATCAACTACCCCTACCCCCCCCCTCCCCCCCCCCAAAGAAAAACGACCTGATCTATCTATTTAGAGCACCCCTTATTAACAATGTCTTTTGAAAGCTCCCAATCATGGTGGAAACTGAAGATCCTGCAATTGCCATCGCACGGACGAATGCCCAAACGGCGGTGGCGCAGGCCACTCTGGATGCAGCCAAATACCGCCTCAGCATGGCCCAGAAACGATTGAGCACAACCCAGCAACTATATCTCAAATCCTCTCAGATGATGGTCGAGCAGCAGAACAAACTAGCGCAGGTTCAAGCTGAGATCCAGAAGCTGAGCACCACCACAGCTGACCTTGTAAGCTTTATCTCCTTCTCATCCCTATATACCCAGTCTACTCCTTTTCCCCCGACAAGCTTTCGGAACGAACAATGGAACTGCTTCTAAGGGAACATTAGAACGAAGTCAAACAAATCCTTATACAGGCAATCGGGCTCATTGCCCAGATGAAGTCGCAGATTGCCAATCTCTGCCGCTTCTTTGGGGCGATTGGTGCTACAGTCGACGCTGTCATCAAGTACAATGTGCAACCATTCATTGACAATATCAGCGCCATTACCGACGAACCTACGAGCAAGCAGGCCTCCATTGCGGGGATCAAATATACTGATCTAAGTCGCACAGTATGATCATTCCTGTCTCATGTACTTGGGGCTGATGAGGTGAACAAAGCTAATGGGTTATTGCAGATGATATATCAGGCCGTAGTCACTATCAAGGCCTATTTCTCTGTGTTTGCCGATATTGCAGGCATGTGGAGCGAGCTCTCTCAGGACGACATCATGCCGGGGCTATCACTGGTAGATGCGATGTCACTCACGCGAAAGCAAGAGGAACAGGAACTCAAGATGCGCGAGCTAGTGGATTGGACGCAGAAAGCTCAAGACCATATAAAGCAGGTGGCAGCTGAGGTACGTTTCACGACTTACACTCTACATATGACCTTGTTGCCCTTCCTTCTATTGTGATGATGCCCGGATGTAGGCTGACACCTGTGTTTATGTTTTTGTTCTTCTGTAGAAAAGGGCTGATGTCATCAATGGTATGGGAATGAGAATCAGGAGCATTGAGGCCACCACGAAGATGCTGCCACCGGCCCCGGCTGTTGAAGCGGCGATTGAGGAGGGCACCAGTGCAGCCACTCAAGCGGGCGAGGATGAACTCACTCACAAAGCTGATGTCTCGCCTTTGAAGCGGTTTGGCATGAAGCGATAGTCTCGTTCTCATAGTAACCGGGCGAAAATACATAAATGAGTTGGGCGCCTAATCTGACCTAGCTCGAGGTTTACGCTCTGATGACTGGGGTAGACTGGAAGTGCCCGACTATGCTGAGGAGGATGAACGAATTCAACACCTGTTTCAAGAGATAATCGCCCAACTGTCATGTATTAGATCCCCCTTTCGTGATAGAATTTTGCATGTATAATGCTAATACCCGACTAAATCATGCAGAGTCCCCGACGATGCGACGCTGGGTGGTTGATGTGATTATAGGTTGAATCCCAGTTATAAAGAGCCCGAATCTCCTCACCAGACAGTTTCCATCATTAAAAACCTCTAATCCAGCTAAATTCCCCATACAGGCCATCGGATCGATATCGACTTGAAGCGCTCAAGCAAGAAAAATGGCCGAGACTGTTGCTGATCTTATTGCAACTCACGAGTATGTTCCCGCCATTTCCAACTTGTGATAGAACGTTCCTAACTTGACAATGATAGACCAAAGGGGTTCGTTCCATTGCCTACACTTGCCGAAGCAACCAAAGAAGCCAAGCCTCGACTCACCATCGTCGGTATGTTGATGCTGGGCTGGTTCTCACCATGTCTGGTGACTCTCTGACCAGATCGTCTTCATACGTTGGCAGTGGCCTGCGTAGATCCTCGATGCAGCGTCGATAAGTTCATCGACCTGAACCTTAGGGTACCAAACGGTGAAAGTACGTCAAGTAAAGCAGAGCATGATCACCAGAGGCTGATTACAAGGCAGTGGTCATGGTCTCCCGCAACGCTGGCGGCCACATTCGCCACGCGGTCCGGGATATCCTCCTCCTGGACGCGAGATTTGGGATTGATGAGCTCGTTATCGTTCATCATACAGATTGCGGAACGCTGACGTTTACCGACGACTGGATGCGCGACACTCTAAAATTGAGATTAGGCAAGGATCATTCGGAGGAGATTGACCAGATTTACTGGGGCGGAAACACGGAGTAAGTTGTTGAAGCGACATGACCTTGATAGCGGGAATTGTGTTACTAAAGCATGACTACAGTATGGCGGCCAGTGTTCGAAATGACCTTGAATGGCTTCGTGAAGACAAGTTGATCAGGCAAGAGCTTAAGAACACAGCACGGGGATTTCTCTTCGACATCAAGACAGGGAGGGCTGAGGAAATTGTACTCTCTTAGTTATCACGGATCGAAACGAGTCTCATCTAGCTATCTCTAAGCAAACTGTAAACGGCCATGATGTCAGATTACAACAGGGAGGAACCTCCAGATTTGGTTGGCGCTCTGTTGGCTCGGATACAGAATAGCATGAGTGTTGTCAGCCGAACTGGCATACTCGAGGTCTATAACGTGGTTCGGGAATCGCACACTTTCAATCCTAAGTGATGTGTTACAGTTTAGATGCGATACTGACGAAGAGAGATGGACTGATGGAGAGAAAGAGAGTAAAAGAAATGACATACTGATAGGTGTCGCTGGTAAGGGCTGTGATTTTCCAACGGGTGGCTTCGTTATAAACGGGATCGTACACAGACGTGTCGAGCTGAGAAACACTGCCATCGACTAAATGTATGAGTTAGCAATCCCATCCTGCTGCATGTGCATCAGCCGAGAGGCAATGTCGTAAAAGCATACCAGGGGCAGTGATCCAGACGTTGCTAATAGTAGACTTCAAGCCGTAGACACCCTTACGAAGAGTGGTCACGATCCACTGCTGATGTTTGTTGGTGGTGTTATTGGTGTCTCTCGTACTTGGAAACCGTCAGTTGATATATATGAAGGAGCACTCATAAGGAGGGGAACTGACAAACCGACTACACCGGAGATGGGGCTGTTGAAGGGATTGGCGGCGCCCTCAATATCAAGAACAGGATTGGTATCGAGGGTGCTGGCGATGATGTAAACTCCGTCTTTAAGAGGCATGATGGAGAATAGCTGGGGCAATGATTGTCTGGAAGACTCAGAATGATGGACTTGCAGATTGGAGTTCCAAGACTTGTGCTGTGAGTTAGAGGGAACTGTGTAATGCGAGGGATCTTGATGTTCATATACGCCCACTTGTCTTCAGAAGCTCTTCCCTCTACCATCACAAAATAACGATCATTCATCTTCTCTGACTGTCAGATTGCCCTTGAATATGTGACCACTAGCTGTCACGGTTGCTGCGGCTGAGACGTCATGCCGCTAGTCGGAGCGGCGTTGATCATGTTCACCTGGATTGCTTACATTGAGGTTCGAGAACAAGAGGGAGGATACAGCTTCCACGAGCTGAGAATTCGATAGTTTCTGTCTGATAGACCGCTTTGCCCAGTAGGGATCGGGGGCAGTGCCATCATGGGAGCTGAGACGTCTAGCTCCAAGCGTGGCGGCGATTACTGCACGTACTATTGATGACTGCCGTCCCGACCCCCTGACTCCCATGGCGGCATTGCTAAGTCTACCATATACCGAGTAAATAACCTTATTATTGACTTACTCAAGATGGTATTGGCGTTGCTAGGTTAAGTACTCTGATTTGTCGTTTCAAGCCGCCAAGGCGTCTGTACCTTGCCTTGATGGGGCGCCTGATACTGGTCGTAAACAGGTAGGTAAGAGACCCTTGCGATATTCTGTACCTTTGGCATTGTCGACACTAGATACCTATATAGTTCTGGCCTGCCATCTATGTCCCAACGCTCTCTCGAAAATGATCTCTATGCATACATGAAAACCGTTATTCAATCATAGATACCCTCACTTGCAGCTTTCAACATCATGAATCTGAAGCCGCGGAGTGTATAAAAAATGGCCGATATTAGTAAACACTACTATGTAGATATATAAGAGGTCCCGCCTCCGCGACAAAAATGGTGGTTGTACTTAGACAAGAAAAGCTCTACACAAAATGATATACAATCAGCACTTCCATAAAGTTGCCATCTCGAAGTAAAAGCATTCGTTGATCCTACCAAGTAGGGGTTCCCGTCGAACTTGTCCAGGTGGCACCGCCATTTGGGTATGGCCGCGTTCCAGGGAAGTTCCAATAAGGACTTTCAGGGGGTATGCGTAAGAGTCTTCCGAGGAAGGACTCTACCATTTTGCAGTCTGCGCGATGCTTCCGGTCAGGATCAAGCATCGAGTTCTGGATGAATCGGAGGAATTCCGGGAAGAAGGTGTTTGCCATATCCGGGCCCAAGTCTTTGATAAGCACTGTAAACCACTACGAGAAGTCATAGTTAGTCACCATGTTTTGCATATTGTCTGTTACAGTATGAGTCGCCTCGGGAAAGCATACGTACCTCATCTACTGAACTCTTTCGCTTGGCTACCTTGTTTTGCGAAAATCGAGTCGTCTTCAAGATGAAGAAGTTGTCCTCCGACCACTCTCCTTTGCTCTCATCTATGTTGCCCTTGTCCTCGTCGAGGCGATAGGTCTTGAATAGTTCAATCGCGTTGTGTCCGCCCAATGCCCATGTACCAAATTCGGCGAATAGGCAGCCAAACGCCCAGATATCGATTTTCCTCGACCTCACCTTGTTCAGGTCGTGCTCAGGCGCCCTGTACGTCTGGTAGGCGAAACCCATGGACTTTGAATGGGCGGTGCGGGAGATGAGTCTGTGAAACTTCATGAGACCTAAATCCGAGACCTTGAGTGTTCCCAACGGCGAGCCGTCTTTGGTGAAGTACAAGACGTTGTCTGGCTTAATATCGCCGTGTATTCCGTAGAGGTCCTCGTCGTTCTTGGCGGACATGACGAACGGTTCATGGATTGCGAAGAGGTCGTGGATGATGCCATAGCACTGTAGGCAAATCCATCGGCTGAAGTCAGCCCACTTGACTCCTGCAGATTTGACGATCTCGTGTGGTGCCCTGAGCCATAAATGATTGAGAGTGCCTCCGTCTGCCCAGGGGAAGAGAAAACCACGTTTTTCTCCCTTTTTGAAGGCAGCGCAAATTTCTATGATATGTCCACCGGGTCGAGCTTGTTGGAAAGCGTCAAGTTCCTGCTGGAAGAACTTGTCTCTCTCGTCGGGTGTCATGGGATGCATAGTCTTGAGGGCAAAGTACTCGTGTCTCTGCGTTTTTGGTCAGCTTGATCAGAGCTTTGGGGCCGGAAACGAGGTACTCACGAAACCGTTGTGATCCCTGTGTATCTTGACCTTTTCCACCAATCCAAACCCGCCTGGATATTGCTTCTTGGAGATCTCCTCGATGGGTAATATTGCATGTGTATGAAGGTCATGGACATCGCAACGCGTGTCTCCAGCGGTAGGAGGAGTGAAAGATGGTGATAGGACAGACCATTGATCATGAAAGAAACTCTTTATGATGTGGTATGGGTCATCCTCGTCGAGGAAGCTCAAGTAAGGCGCTTGTTGATGCCGTGATGAGTAAAGTGCTGTAAACCTTGGCGTACTGAATAACGGAAGGTCGTTGTCGCAGAATTGATGTTGTAGGAATGTCTCAATCAATCTGACTTGGCCGAGGAGAACAACAATAGTGAAGATTCTGAGGGACGGCTGAGGCGTGATGGATCTGTCTTGAGCTTGTCCATGACAGATCCACCTGGCGCGTTGTTGGCAAAAGGCAGCATCATGCTCAGGAAAGGCCCTGGCCAGCTCTTGGGTGACAGACTGCTCATCGCATAACTCTCTTAGTTTTCCACATGGTAGGAATTGTCTGTCGTTATCACCGGGGTTGATCACGAATGCCTGTCTGAGACGTGCTATCAACCTTGCAGGCCTCCTACTGCCTCCATTTGCCGTGACAGTGTGAGAAGGCATGATCGAAATTGTAAGAAGTGTGCAGAATGAGGGGAACAAATAGAGGAGGGTGAGCCTAATACAAGGAGAGCCTTGTGGTTCTTTTGATATAGGTAGTCGGTTCGAAGGTGCTGTAGAGGTAGAGTGTGAAGTTGTGAGTCGACGAGAAAAATCCCGCCAACAGCTCCCCTATTTCTATTACCAGAGTGCGTTTTTAAATACGTGACTGGGCTTTTAGATCTTGATGCCTTTTTACTATATTTCATGTGAAAAGTTGGGCGTGTCTGTCCATGCCAGCATGGCTCAGAGGATTTGGTTGCCTTTTTTCTGCTTCGAAGAGCCTCGCACACTCAAAAACAGCTAGACAAGGGTATACATATGATGCCACCCACAGACATGATCGGTGTCGCCAGCCTCATTTTCCTATGCACGTTGAGCCAAGGTGCTTCATCCTCCCCTGAACGCCTTGAAGTGTGCAGATTGAGCGCTGAACCCTTCTCCACAACATATCATGCTATGTACTTAGAAAAGGCAGGGCGATGGTCCATCGCGGCCCGTTGTCCAACCGATGAAGCCGACCAGCCAGCATCTTCATAGGAGAATGAGGGATGAGCGGGTTGAGGCCATTATGTAGGGTTCGCCCTCCCAACGGGAGTGACACCAGAAAACGCCTTGCTAGATGCCTCCTGTTCTCTCGATGGTTCCTGGAGCCATGATGGGACTTTTACCGCACTTCTTGTACCACCTGAGGAACATCTTGCCCCTAATGACTGATCTCTTGATCGTCGTATGTTGAGACATACATCTGCAGGTCAGAACGATTGGCCGCAGCCTCGTTGCCTATATGTGAATAGGGTGCGTACGGCAAGGGAGAGATGAATGGTTGTAGCAGCCCCTTCGGTGTTAATGATCACTTAGAGCCGTTGGCGGCTGACTACAGAATATGCAGTCTTACTGGCTGATGGATGCACTCATTTGGTGCCATGTGTATGCTTCTGAGAGGCGAATATTGCTCTGCCACGACGCTGCGCCCCAATAAATATCCAGACCTCTCATCCACAGGGGAGGCTCCGGTAACTGTAGGGCACGATGTCCGGCGTGCTGAGGGGTCGATGCATTCGTCTTTTGCCGGTTAGGCTTTCGGCATGCGCCGCAGGAAGACCTGAGTCTGCCTTTGTCCTCACCTGTGGCCCACGCCACAGTCTGTGCACCGCAATCTCGTTGTTTGCAGCAAACTGTCAGAAGACATAATAAGAACGCCTTCCACCTTTTGGCGGTTATTCTCCACCCATTCTGTTGATGCTCAGCCTTAATCTTCTGTCAAGCTGCCGAAGCAATGGACTCGAGATCATCTTCCGGTATCAACAAACTACTTTCCACTCTGCGACGGCCCCTAAATTCGCCCAGCAGTCGATCGAATTCCCCAACGGCCCAAGACTGGCGAAATAACGAGCCTCAATGCATATCTGGAGAATATATCATACCACAGCGGCTGGAAGCTGCCCTGAGGAGGAATTGGAACACACAATATGCGGTCGAGGTAAATCTAATTGGTCTCTACACACATTGCATCGCGAAGGAAAACAAGGGATCGCATGGCTGACTACCTGAATTTCGCGTGAAGATGCGGTCAAACGAGTATCGGATTCGGGCGCCAGGAAAGCTCAGTGAAGACGAAATCCGCACATTTTACTCCCCGGGCTACTACTAGACAGCCCTACCATACCTTCCACCTGTATATACCAAATCCGAATCTCCATCCATGTTACGGGAGGCTATAATATCAGGTTATTCCATTCATGTCCATGTTGCGAGCAATGGCGCAGACTGCCTCCATCCTTGTCAGGGCTGGCTCTGGGATGGGAATCTTGGAGCATTCAGATATCTACCAGCGAACATGGCAACCAGATTGACCATTAAGATTTTCTTGCGCTGTCAAACAAGCTACTTTAGAAGACAAAGCAATTCTTTTCGCACCACTTCTGGCTCTTCTGATTCTGATTCCTCGCAAAAGTGTAATGCCACAATTACGCCGTCGGAAGGTAATGCCTTCTCATATTTGTCTGAATGACACCGATCTCCTCCTTATGGCAAGTCAGGATCATAATGCATTGAACCAGGTAGGAAATCTGTTGGTATCTTACGACTGTCAGTCGCCTTATGAGCTTAATCTGCCATTGGTTCGAGATGCGCTGCTGAATGTTAGGAGTACTGCGTCTACGAGAGCAAGCTGAAGGACAGAGCAAAAGGTGACTACTACCTGCACGAGCTTGAAATTGTCCTCCCCAAGGATTTCTTCAAGGATCTCTTGGAGCCTCTCTTTTGAACCGTAGCTTAAGTCGATCACCTGCGTCAACATCTTTTCCTAGAGCGACTGGAAGTCGAGAAAATAAGGCACAGACTGAAGTTGGCTAGTCATCTCCTGACCATCATCAATCTTCCCTTCAACCTGGGTCATTCGAGCCGACTAAATCAGGCTCTGCCGCCCGAGGAGGATCGGTGTGACACTCCTGGTCAATGCCCTCATCCGGCCGCTTCTGCATGTGGCGGTAATGGATGTCGTAAGGGCTCTGTTGCATGTTATCGTGTGACACGTCAAAAACCTGTCTTCTGGCCTCATGCATGTATGCAACCCAAATCCCACCGCTTCTTCCGGTCCCGAGTCAGTCCAATCACGACGTCTGATGTGGCGAGAGCCTCAGAACGTGGCAAGCAGTGGATAGTAAACGACAATGTTCCAGTCTGCCGGTTGATCAAACACTGATAGGCACATAGTTGGTGTTGGGCAGAACTGCAGTCTGTACTCTTCGTTTCGAAAAGTGCCTCAGCCTAATGTCAGAAAATATGCCTTGCATGGTCTTGACCAGCTGAGTAGGGCATCCCTTGTCATGCGTCAACTCATCGCTTGATTGGCGGATTTACACCGAGGACGGGCGTCTGCAGCTTTTTCATGCAGAGGGACATTCCTGGCCTCTGCTGCCTGAGGCAGAGAATGCCGAGGCAATATGGAGGGCTCAGCCACACCTTGATGGCATTTGCATATATTGGTAGTTGTAATAGAACTCACGATGATGCACGCATATCTCCCGCAGCTTGACGAATTGATTTGCGCGATACGCTTCGTTGAATTAACGCTCTCTCTCCAGTAAACCCATCAATTACCATTCGAAATGTCTTGGATCAGTCGGAAATTCGAGCCCGACAGGAATGATAGAGACTTATTAAGATTTTCCAGGGGTGAAAGCGAAGCTTTCCGAATACACAAGTACGAAGAGAGATGTAATGATGGTTGTATTGTTGGAGAACCCTGCACGCAGCTGTCGAAACTTGAAAACGAAGATGAGTGGGAGTCATGGTTACGGACATTGAAACAGCTACCATATGGAGATTCAAGCCGAGGAGACAAAGACGATGGCTTAAATAGCCAGATCACAAGGATACCCAACATCATAAATCTGGTAATGGGTGGGAGGATGTCTTCTCTAGCCAAGATGCCCCTTTCGGAGCAGGTTTTCATGGAGCTGGTGAGCAGTCTAAACATTCACAGGTCGGTTATACGAGCAATCAATAGAAACACAAGCTGTACCTTTTCACGGGTCAGATACCCTGAATCTATAGGTATGCCATTCTTGAAACATCCCAACAGACAGCATTCGCTTACACAGCGGCCAGTATATACCTGTAGAACAGCTGAGAGCTGGCCAGACGACATGGCGCTATCCGTGACATTCTTTCCAAACACTATGAAAACGAATGCCATCTGGTTCGGTTGTGATCTGGAGCAACGGTTTATTCATGGCCACAAATTGACGGATTCCGCCATCATTACGAGCAAACTACGCGAATTTGATGGGCAAGTCTTTCACCCCATGATGCTGCCCACTATATTTGCAGAATTCGAGAGGGACAGGCACATTGGGCTTGTACGCAAAAGCAATACTCAGTTTGTGCAAAGGATGATCGACATCGAATCGAGGAATGACTGGTTCTATGGTATACAACAAATACGTGGAGACGTTCGTCAGTCACTCGAAAAGCAACCTGCGTCGTCGTCAAGGTCCAATTCATTTTTCAACGGTATGAAGGGAAGAGTTGAAAGCTTTCTCTCAGGCAAGACTGTCTCCACAACGTGTAAGGACACTCGTACTTCAGACAAACGAAGAACATCTTAGCTTACTTTGTGCAATTAGCAACGTTTAACACTACCGCCAGATCAGAGACATTGCATAATGAAGACGGTTCCATGGATGAAGAAGAGGAAGAGACTTGTGCAATGCTCTGGATCAAGATCAGCCATCTCAAGAACGGGCTAGAGAATTGGAAGACGCAGCTGCGCAAGATGGTTGAGCATACAAGAGAGCTTGAGGACACAGACTTTGGCATCAGATGTGACGTGCAGACTGATGCTTGGATTTGGAGGCGAGATGCTTTGAGGGAATGCGGTACGCGACTCAGAGAAAGACTGCAAGACTTGATGGATGAATACGACGACTTCATAAGAGAGTGCGATCACATCATGGCCGGAATGTCGCTTGCAACACAACTGGTAACGATTCTCATCCTATATGCAGCATGATAATGTCTGCCTGTTCAATGCTGACACCTACCATGGACAGGATCTCAATCATATTGGCCGCAAAGATGCAAAGCTCAACGAAAACATTTCCAAGAGTAGCCTGGCGGTGGCAGAAACCGCTCAGCGAGATGGAAGCCTCATGAAGTCCATTGCCGTCCTCGGAATGATCTATTTACCGGCAACATTCGTTTGTGTATGTTCACCTAGGAAAGCCTTCCAAATTCTGCTTTACTGACAGTGTTCACAACGTGTAGACCTTCTTTTCCATGGGGTTCTTTCAGTGGAGGGGGCAGAGTGAGAGTACAACAACGGTCTCACCGGATCTATGGATCTTTGGGCTTGCTGCGGTTGCTTTCACTCTAATTACTGTGGGCGTGTTTCTGGTTTGCACGATGAGAAGGAGAGATTCGGTGAGGTCTAAGTTGCATCTTGTCTAACAGTGTTTGCGGGGACGTCGGCCTCCTCGATTGTCAGATGAGAATTGTCAAAGACAGAAACTAGCTCAACGAGAATGATTCTGTGACGTCTCATGGTTTGATCACCTGTCGTTCGATATATAAGCTCATATTCGGCGGATTTACATCCAGCATATGGCTGAAGGGTTGAGCATAATGTGGCTCCTACCAACCCTTTGAATCAAATTAACGATCCAACGTGATTGAACTCAAAATCTCTAAAAGCAAAGAATCTGTCAGTCACTGGCACTTTCGTTATTATCGCTGCGTTTGCCCATCTTGATTCCATGCGATTATGCCTCACTCACGACTGTGAGCATCTCATTTGAACTAGTGTCTGCTCTCCCTTAAAATGCGTTGAGGGAACACTTGGGTATCCTGCTAAGATGTAAACAAGTATAATCTGTTGACTTGACCACTACTTTGCCAATCGTCCAGACGCAGTATTAGAGTGAACAAACCACTCAGTGAGAGAGCAGAACCTAGGGCTACTCAGAAGTCATACATCCTCGCAATCACTCGAGGGAGTAGGTCATTCTACTTCTATCACAATGAGGCTGATCTCAACAAATGCATTGGAGTAGTTGGCCGCATACCAGCTGTAAATGACCAAGTCCGGCTGTACCATATGAGGAGTGGATTGCTCCATTGTCAAGCTTCACGAGGCACCCGCAGATTACATAGATGTGATAAAGCACCTAGGAAGGATACTGCACCGTCAGCAGCTAGGTTAGAATCAAACCATACTGATGGTAAATCCACATGTCTCGAGAGATCCATAGATTTGATCTTGAGTTTGAATTACTTCCGTAGTGGAAATGAACAATGACTACGGGACAAGAATACGAGGGTCCCTGGGCTTGTCATTTCTGCAACAGAGCAAGCTGAACGTCTTCAAGACAGAAACGAGCAGAGTGATTCATTGAAAGGATTAGCTAGCGAAGGTCGATAAGAAACAGTGACATAATAGCGGTGGGCAAGGTAACCAAAAATGATGCAGTGACCTTGCTCACAACACCCCTTGCCTTAGAAGAGAATGAATACTAACACATGAGAACACTATGCGGAATGGTCGCGTCATAGTGACTTGTATCTGTGATCCAGGACTTGTCAATCCAAAAATAAGTAAGAAATACCAGTGCCAACGCGGCTAGAATGTCCTCCCCCGTGAAATTGCCATCGTCAAGGTGTGGTATGTGATAATGACCGGGTATTTGATTCTCCTCATCATCATTCTGTTTTTCTTCCATCTCATCATGAAGAGCATCACCAAGAAGCCCTACGAGATCAAGCTTGTTGTTCTTGCAGAATACCGGCGTTTCAAGAAATCGTGCCATAGGAGCTTTGGAGAGCGCCCTCAGGACAGCCCGAACAACTTGACGGGAATAGATCAGTGCCCACACAAGATCAAGCGTCTGGGTATTTTCTCTTGGCTGTAAGAATTCTGTGCGCAGCGATGATGCGGCTTTGGCGATTAATTGCATATCCGGTACCGAAAAGTGAGCTCGTGCAGTTTTTCGGGTTCTTTGCAGGTCGTTGCAAAGCTCCATTGCCTTCACCAGAATGACATGTCGATTCTTTTCTGGGGCTGGGGGAGATTCGGGAGCGTGTGACCGCGTGCGAGACATGACGGCAGTAAGAGATCTCATGAGACCCTCGATATCACCCCCGGACCCGTTGAGCGTCTCCAATCCTTGCGTGCAGCTACTCGGAAAGACTTCTTTGAGGGTGTTCGATTGTGCTTGAATATTTTCGAATATCTCCCGTAGGTCGGAGGCGACAAAGAACGATGGCGAGAAGTAGAATCCATCCGGCTGAAGCTGCAAGACGGCCTCTTTCACCAATTTCAACAATTTCCCATCCAAGTAGAGGTCTCCAAGGTTGAACGGATACTGGAGACGATCTATGTCCTCCAGAACTGCATACTTACGGTCGTACTCAATGTACGTGTAGTTTGGCTCCTCCAGTCCGCGGCTAAATGCCAACTGTCCCTCCACTACTGTGGACAGTAGACCTGGACATGGCCGCAACACCTCTTTCCTGTCGATTTTCTGCTTCTCTGTGTTCAGAATACTCTCCAGGAAGCTCTCAGTCGTGTCCCGCCCAAGGGAGCCCGTTGTTTTTTGTGCCATTGCTGATCTCGTGCGTTCAACTTCTTGGTTTAATGCCGTTGATCGTGCCTCCTTTTTACCGAACATTTGGCGCATGAGTTCTTGCTCTGGTAAGTCTTCCTTCATGATATTTCTGAGCAATTCCTCATTTCCCATTTCGGCATCATCATCAATGTCTTGTGGTCGCTTATGTTTATCAGCGCCTCCAAGATATAACACCCGATTCTCCTGGAGTACGTATCCATTGATTGCTGTCCAGAGGCGAGAGCACAAAACAGACGTTTTGGACGGCAAGACCAAGTCTTGCGGGTCATAGTAGCTGTGCAAAGAGGGCGATATCTGATCGCGTGGCTTCCTTCGAGGGCGAAATTGGGCTACGCAACCATTTGCGCTCGCTCTAAACTGTAGCCAACCGAGAGGGGATGACCATTGCATTGGCAGCGGCATGGATGATTTGTAACTTGGCTTGTCCTCTGGCGACTGGAAGCCCAAGATTGAGCTGATACTGACGAGATCACTGCCAGCCCATTGCATGGGGACGATGCCATTCAGGAGCTCAGGTGCATCTTGCATCTCGTAGAGATGATTTTGATGTGGTCCCAATCCAAGTGCTTGCATGAAATTGACCCAGCTAGCCTTGGCTTGGACGAAGGACTCGCCATCCTCGATAGTCCCATTCTTCACTTTGGGAAACCCGATAGGGAAGGATATGCTGGGCTCCCATTCTTGTTTGGCCAGAGACTTGAGGCTGACAGTTGGCGCGGCAATGCGGCTTTGCAGACCGAAAAGCCCTGATTTGTCCACAATTTTCTGCCAGTGACCAAGGGATCGCCACGAAAGGCCATGCCGATACATTCGATTCTGAGATAAAAACTGCGTGGCTCCGATGTAGACGGTAATCAATGTGATGATGCCGACGATGGCAGAAGCCAATCCAGACACGGCAGAGATCCAATCGAATGCACCCCCATTGTGTCCGGAATTGAAAGGTTGGCCTCCGGCACCCGTTGCAGCCCTCTTGACCGCCAGTGAAGTTGCGTTTATCAACATGTTGTTGACCTTCTGAGATGTCTATCGAGGCAAATTGTGTGATGAAGAGGCTCACTCTTTTAGAGTACAATGAGAAGTGTTGACTATTCAAATGACGGTATACTCCCGCACGAAGGGAGTTTGCAGGCTGAAACCTATCAATTAATACTGCAGGGGAGAAGTACTAGAACGACGCTGTTTGAAATGAAGGAAGCCAGAACGAAAGGGGGGGAGGGCGAGTTCCCAGTCTTCGATATGGAGACAGTGAGAGTCTCCATGTTGGCCGCGTAATGGGAGCGAATCAGGCCACAGAATTCTTCCGAAGTCGCTGTTGCCTATCGCTGCAGCATTATGCAGTTGGCAGGTAAACATGTCGTTGAGCCTGGCCATTCATTTGCCTGCCTTATCATGGAGATGTGCGGCTGATGGCTCAGCTCGCCATGGGTTACAGGTTATCGGGGCAAAACTTGGGAGAACAGACAACGTGGAACCATACAACTCCCCTTTCGGTGTGAAATTGAAATAGGAAGACAGCGTGGCTGCAGGCAGGATCATTCTGGACCTTGGAGTGGCATCTGGAGCAGTGGAGGTTGATTTCGAAATTGAGGCTCTGCCGCCCTCCTGTGGACCATGTTCGGTGAACGAGAAATGTGATGACGGAACGTGTGTGGATACGTTGATGCATGAAAGCACACGAATGGCTGGCCACTCCGTACACTACACTGTATGCATGTATGCATCGATACCTACCTTACCTTAACTGATTGCGAAATATGCCTTGCTTACTGGGGTATGTAGAGCAGCATTGCGGCTGTCGGGCAGGAGAGCATGAGCCTGCAGCTTCACAAATGCCTGAAGTCTATTTAATGCACTCAATAGAGGCAAGAGGCAACCAATGGATTATCATCGTCAAGGAAGAGGCTCACTGCCACTCTAAGGCCAGCTCCAATAGAGTGCTTGAAGACCTAGTAGCTGAATCTGCAGTTGTCTTTATGCAGAAATTCATCGGTATTCAGAACAGCTGAAACTTGGGCTTACATGCATTGATGGGGCTGAGAGACGTGGGTGGTCGTTGGTAAGTCCATCCTTATGTACAGGTAGGTAGGTATGTGTTTGTATCTTGTAGTCGGGCTCGGCGCCAGGAATGGGCAACACTCAGGAAGTCGATAGCGTCGAAGCAAGTGAGGCTATTGAGCTCTCTTGCCGAGCCACTGATGTATTTAAGGTGCGCTTGAGGAGGCGGTTGGGACTGCCTGAAGCAACCAACTTTCTCACTGTGGCAGATGCATCATCTGGATACGACAAGACGTCCAACTACCTGATTCCCGCTGTGCCAAATTCTATCATTACCTTAATTTAGGTAACCAGACCTAGTTGACAGCTGAGAGGTAAGGTTCCATTACCCATCAAGAACGTGCCCACAAATGCATATCGTGAGACGTGAACTGTAGATATGGATCAGCTAACAGCAGTGTCAAGGCCCCTCGTTCAAGAAGCTATGAACCCCGACCTGGAGATGAGGCAGCACGACCCCGATCGTCTGTCAGACTCATCCGCTAGTGAGACAACCCAAGATGGTGACGAGTCTGGGAATTGTTTCGCTGTCCAAACCCCTTCGCCCGAGCTTTCTCTGCGCAATACGCCAGCTAGTTCTGTACGGAAGAACTCGATGAGCGACGTCTCGACAGGTACACACAACATTGGAGGGACAGATGATGATAAGCCTCAAGATGATATCGAAGTCGACAGCGAGGATCATGATAAGGACCTCAACGAAGATCATGATGAGGATGGCAGAGAGGGAGATGCCGATAATGGCAATGAGCACGGCTTGAACGACAGCGGCAGTGGAATGAACAACGACAATGAGAGTCACAGTGGAGGTGACAAGCAGGAAGATAACAACAATTCTGATAGCAACAACGACAACAACGAAGGCGGGAAGAGTGATTGCGACGATGACAGCGACGATGACAGCGATGATGACAGCGATGATAACAACGGCGATGACAACGACGAAGACAGCGACAGCGACAGCGGCAGTGACAATGAGAGTGACGACGAGAACAGTGATATGGAATTGATCAAGAACCCATTTGGCGAGACGTCTTCCAATGCAATGAAGCAGTGGACGTTTCGGAAGACAATCGAGGGTGGAGGTGAGAAGTCCGCGATCTTGGACAAATTGATGGAGTACCAGGGACTTGAAGAGGTCAAGCAACAGCTCCTTGATATCAAATCAAAAGTTGAGATTTGCAAGATGCAACATCCGAAGGGTGGGCGGAAGCGCCTGCGCTTAGAGAGGTTCAACATCATTTTTCAGGGAAATCCTGGTACTGGTGAGCGCATAAGCCTCAACCCTCTATGTCATTTTCGCACTGGTAGCTAATTCTGGCTTTCAACAGGCAAGACGACCGTCGCTCGTTTATACAGCAAGTTTCTGAAAGAGCTCGGCATTTTGGAGTCAAGTGATTTTTGGGAAACGACCGGCATGAAATTGGCTGCGAGGGGAGCCGCGGGAATAGAACACTCGCTGGATAAGGGTGTCGTCTTCGTTGATGAAGCATATCAGCTCACGGCGGCGTACATTGACGGCGTTGGCCGACAAGCACTCGATCTCATTCTGACTGAAATGGAAAATAAGGTCGGCAAGCTGGTCTTCATCTTTGTCGGGTACCACGAAGAGATGGAATCTTTCTTCGAACACAACCCTGGCTTATCAAGCCGTATCCCCTATACACTCAACTTTGCTGACTTCAACGACGCTGACCTATGGAAAATATTGGTCGATAACATTCGCAAAAAGTTTGGCAAGAAAATGCGTGCTGAAGATGGCCTGGATGGGTTATACATTCGCATTGCGATCCGTCGCCTTGCTCAGGGAAGAGGAAGCCGCGGTTTCGGAAACGCAAGGGCTGTTGAGAACCTCCTTGCCCGCATATCCCAGAGACAGGCGCGGCGGCTAATGAAAGAGAAGCGAGAGATTCCCAATCATGTTCCCGATTACTTTCTGTTCACAAAGGAGGACATAATCGGACCGCACCCTTCTGATGTGGCACGATATTGTTCAGCTTGGGACAAGTTGCAAAAGCTGGTCGGGCTTGAGCACGTCAAGGACTGCGTCCAGAGACTGGTCGGCATGCTTGGGCTGAACTACGAGCGGGAGATACAGGAGAAGAAACCTTTGAGATTTTCTCTCAACCAGGTTTTTGTTGGAGAGCCTGGCACTGGCAAGACGACCGTGGCCAAGCTGTATGGACGCATATTGGCTGACTTGGGCTATCTCAGTCGCGGCGACGGCAAGTATTCCCAACCTGCCTATTTGTTGATTGGCTTAACGTTGCTAATGCACTTTGACAGTCGTACTGAAAAATCCGGCCGACTTCATCGGTGAATGCTTGGGAAAATCTGAAGCCAAGACCAGGAAAATCCTTGAGGCTACGGTAGGCAAAGTCCTTGTGATCGACGAGGCCTATATGCTTGACGCAGGCGATCCAAGCAAGGAGCAGGACAAATTCAAGACAGGAGTCATTGATACAATTGTCTCAATGATTCAGGGTGTCCCGGGCGAGGACCGTTGCATAGTACTCGTCGGCTATGAGGACAAGATTCGCAACATGTTCCATAACGTCAACCCCGGCCTCTCGCGCCGCTTTCCTATTGAGCGACCGTTCCGGTTCAAGAACTTTACCCTTCCACAGATGCGACAAATCCTGGAGAGCAAGCTGCAAGGTGATGACCTTTCCGCAACAGAGGAAGCACTTCGCACTGCGGAGAGCATGTTCGAAAGGGCTCTCATGCGGCCCAAGTTCAGCAACGCCGGCGAGGTGGACAAGCTTCTGGCTACAGCTAAGCTCAACTATGAAAAGCGTCTGTCGGAGCTCTCTCTTAAGAAGATGCGGTCCGATTCACATGAAGACGAGGTCTTCAAGTTGCAGGCACTGGACTTTGACCCGGATGTTCGGAGCAGGACGAATGAGCAGCTTGACTGCCGCAAGATCCTCAACGGCATGGTTCAGGATAGCATCATCGACAAGTTGATCGGTTACCAGCAGAGTTGTGATGGGGCAAGAAGGGGCGGTTTCAACCCAAGAGATCACGTTCCCACCAATTTCATCTTCAAAGGCCCTTCAGGTACGTATCCTTAACTCCCTCTGAACTCCCATCCTTCACTGTATTTGAATACACAGCACATACAAGCATTTTCAGCCGCAATTCACCCCCACCCAACCATCTCTGGCTTCAGTCTCTCACATCACGCGATGATACAGGTACAGGGAAAACAACGACGGCCCAGCATATGGGGATCATCTTTTACAACATGGGGTTTTTATCGGACAGAGAGGTTATTGAATGCTCAGCGACAGATCTCATCGGCCAATACGTGGGGCAGACAGCGCCAAAAACGAAGAGAAAACTCGAGGAGGGCATGGGCCGTGTCCTCTTCATTGACGAAGCCTACAGGCTCACATCCAGCACGTTTGCGCAGGAAGCGGTGGATGAAATCATCCAGTTCCTCACAAAGCCCGCTAATGCTGGGAAGATGATCATCATACTCGCCGGCTACACGTACGACATTCACAACCTCATGTTGACTTATCCAGCCCTTTCCGGCCTCTTCCCTGAGGAGCTCGTCTTTGAGACTATGAAACCCAGCGACTGCATCAGTCTGCTTGAAAGGGAACTGAGAGTTTCGTACAGGATGAAGGTCACTGGAGACTTCTTGGTCAAACCTGCCTCCGACGAATGCAAAAAGGTCCAGCGTCTGTTTCGAGCGTTAAGTGTCATGCCTGGGTGGGCAAATGCTCGAGATGTCAAAACCTTAGCCAATCAGTTGGTGAACCAATTCCTTCGCAACAGATTACTCGACACCTCGAACAGAGAGCTGTCTTTTGAGGACCTCTTGAAGAGCATGCATCAGATGCTGGTACAACGGCGCGACCGCCTCAAGAATCCGGACGCCAATGGCAAGTTGAGCGTTCCGCAGCAACCGGGATTCTCTGGGCAGAACATTACCCCTGGCTTGGAAAACCCGCAGCTCGCACCGGCTCCCCCTCGCGTCGATACCGACGTTCACACACCGAGCGCTGCATACACAAACGCCACCAGAGATGATGCGAGCGTCGGTGTAGACCACCAAGCTTTTTCCAAAGGAACTCAGGGTCTTGGGGATGGGTTCCCCTTGGGTAGCGGGACCGGCGATTCTGGCGAACAGTCATCCGAACAAACCACCTTCCCTGGCGGACGCGGCGGTAACTGTGATGGGCAAGATGGCGGCTTCATATGCGATGACGAGACCTCGGCGATTCAGAAGAGGATGAAAAACCGGGAGGCGATAGACGAGGCGCTGGAGAAGGCAGGAGTATGTGTGGCAGGATACCAGTGGAACAGGGTAGCAGGGGGTTACAGATGCGCTGGGGGGGCTCACTATATGTCGGATTCGGACTTGAAAAGCAAGATGTTGTAGAGATACGGAAAAGGAAGAAGAGCATGACGAAATAAAGGGATCGAATGCGGACAACTTCAACGCATAGGAGACCCCGTATCTCTACGTAGTAGAGGACGTGGCGCCGTAAGATTGGATGACATGTAGAAGTCCAGATTAATGCCAAATGAACACCATCCCTTACGCTTCAGCACGAGTTATAGGTGTGAATTGTTCATGCTTTCTTTCAGTTGCGATGTACAGCATCTATGTATTCACTTACATCAGTGTTGAGGGCACACATGCTTTTGATGCCGCCACTTGAGGGCGGAAAACTGTGCCCTTAACAAGAGCCGGCCCGGAGAATGTCGGTGCTCGAGCATATCGCCATTCCTAGTTACAGGCCTGTGTAGAGTAGCCCTATATTTGTTTCTCGCATGATACGACGTTGATTGTGTCCCTGTAGTCGGTACTCAGTGTGATAGCACGGGTTCCCACGCCTACCAATGGCGCTCAACCGCACAGCAAATCTGCGTGTTGGTTCTACGGTCGTATGCGTGTTGGTTGTGAGGTTGCCTCGGGAACCATTTTCGTATCGAGATCTTACGGTACCGATGATTACGACGCAAACTTCCCAAGTGCGGAGGTAAAAAGCTCTTGTCTGCCTCCCCTTCCACCTCCGAGAGACGCCGTATGCGATGGAATGGCTCCTTGGATACCTACTTGCGTTTGCGACAGCTTTTGCAATGCTGCAATATCTATTGTCTCGGTTCAGAGCGCAAGCGACGATTGAGGATACACGAGACTATGAAGACGACGCAGACCATAATGACTCGTGCAGATTGGGAGTGCCTTTCGATGACGATGAGTACGATGAAGCCGAGATATTGGCGGTGCCGCAACCAGGTATGGAACCGCAATGGTCAGAATACGTCAAAAGATACGATGGATGGCGTCCCGAGTTGAGGGCCGAGTTCGCCCTGGGCCCGGGAGGTTTTGTGAGAGGTTGGCCATCCAAAGGCGGCCTCTATGTCTTGGACCGTGTCTTTGGCGTCGAACTGGAGTACTTAGGACTGGATCGTTTCAACAACACCCCTCGCCCATCTATCTCTGATCCCGACGCCTCTGCTGAGGAAGAAGAGATGCATTGCAATAAAAGTGAGTACCCGTCGATGGATTTTGCTCGGAACACCCTGACTGCTTTCGATATGAGAAATAAGATGCTAATCTGGACATTTAGTGCGACAGCTGGGTGCCATATGGCACAAGAGCGAAGCACATTATAGGAATTATAAAATTGCACCTGAACTCTACGACATGGACATAAAATATGCTGGCTGGCCCGCGGGAGGTGGAGTATGGATGCTGTTGACATCAGAGACGTATGCGAGACTGAAAGGCACCGCCATCATCCATAATGCTCTCAACATGGAAGAACGGTGCAAGGCGATCGAGAAGTTGGGGGGCCGCTTTTATGAGAATCCGAGGGATTGTCCGTTCCTGGATCTGCCCTGAGCCCCATCGACGGTTAGGTAATTGCTTGAGCATGATTGGGCGCGGGTATGTAATGGCAATAGACCGCATGGATACTCTGCTTGCACTAGGATAAACGATTAGACGATGCCCGTCATTGCTTGATATTGGGTTTGTGCACGATTCTTCTCTTCAGTTAAGGCTGCGTTCTTGAATACGATTTGCGTCTGTCTGACAGAACTACCTAGTCAATAAGAAGGGGACCGCTTGAGTTTCTTCCTATAGCACAGGCCACAAACCTTGATACAAAAGGGGCGCAGGGGAGACACGCCGCCAGATAAGCCCCTCGACAAGGACGAGCTTTGATCCATCAGCAGATAAGACAACGCCTGCTTCCCTGCTCCCTCTTTTGCTTCTCCCCTTCACTGTCTCGGGATATTCTTCACTTCTCTTCTGAGACAGGGCAGACTCTCCCAATTCTTGATGGCCTGAATTCAGATATTACTATTCTTTTCAATTTTGCTTCATTTTTGTTTCTTATCAGGGGCACGGGCGTAATCACGTGAACCTCAAAGACGGCCTTCTTTCGAGCCAACGTCTTATCATACCTACCTACCTAGGTACTCCTGCCCATTGTTGTCCTCCACGGCACGGCCTCGTGCTGCCAGCATCAACTCAACACCAGTATCATTAGGCGGTTGTCAGGTAAGTGCGATATCTGTCAGGCAAAGCAGGCAGTTCCTTGGCTGCGAATTCTTCCCATCGCTTCTCCCGATGCCTATGATACGGCCTCTATCGGCAATCCCCGGCACAAAAGCGGCGATCACCAATGAAGTCTCAGATCCAGCCTGCCATCAAGGCGACCTGACACAGCCCTCTCTCATCCTCGTGCTTCGCAATCATTAGCTGGACCTGCGGCTAATCAGAGCTCCAGGATGCAACGCCGCGCTGCGATTCAGCAGCTGAGGGTGGCCCGGAGCGCTGCCGGGCGAGCCTCCCAGCCCTTGTCGAGGCTGAGCGCATCCCGGTGGCAACTCGGCACCGTTGCAGGCCGCCATCATAACAAGAGCCAGCTGCTGAACTGCACACCCCGTCTGGCGGCCTCTCGGAGCTTCAGTCTCACGTCTTTTCGGTCCAGTAGCTTTGAAGATGATGATTCGCGGACAGGCACATACAACGAAGCCGATCACGAGCATGCCGTTATCTCGACCTTTGATCTCTTCTCCATTGGCATTGGGCCCTCCTCATCTCACACCGTCGGACCTATGCGGGCAGGCAACATCTTCGTCTCGGATCTCCATGAGGCTGGACTGCTTGAAAAGGTCGACAGGATACGCATAGCGCTATATGGCAGCCTGGCTCTCACTGGTGAGGGTCATATGACGCCGTCTGCTCTCCTGCTTGGCCTCGAGAGCGCAGATGTCGAGACAGTTGATACGGCCTATGTGCCGAAGCGCTTTGAGCAGATCAAGAAGGAAAAGAAGCTCTTCTTGGGCCAGCAGCTCCCAGGTGGCAAAGGCAAGGAGATTACGTTCGACTATGAGCGTGACTTCAAGTGGGAGTGGTCCAAGAAGCTCGCTCTGCATAGCAACGGCATGACTCTCATGGTATTTGACAAAGAAGGCTACATGCTGGCGACCAATGACCTGTTTAGCGTTGGCGGCGGGTTTGTTGTCAACGGTGCCTTGTCTATCAACAGGCCGGATCCGTCCAATGCACCGTCAGATCAGGGCGCTGGTCAGGGAGCGTCCGACCTTGGCTTGCAAAAGACAGAAGGCACTGGCGGACACCCGCTTGATCTTGCGGAAAATATGTACTACAAAGAGATCAGGAGGACGGATGCAGCAGGAGATCGGCGGACTGGAAGCGAGATCAAACTGTTGGAGGACAATGAGGAGGAGTCAGCCTTACTCACGTCTGGCACTGACGGTGGCCGCACGCCGCCTCCTGTCACCTCTTCCAATGGAGATGCCCAGCCTTCTGAGGGCGTGCACGGGAATCAGCCGCGGTATCCTTTCAGAGACGCAAAGAGCTTGTTATCGCTGTGTGATAAGCACAATCTGACGATTGCGCAACTGGTGTATGAGAACGAAAAGAGCCATGGTTACTCAGACGAAGAGATTCGGGACAAGCTGTTTCGCATCTGGGAGGTCATGGACAACAGCATCTTGGAAGGTGTTCAAGCCTCACCAGACTCACTACTGCCAGGCAGTCTGAAGCTGCATAGGCGAGCACCGGCATTGTATAGGCGACTCACGAGAGGACTGTATCCCTCACATACCACCCAGGCCAGCATTGGGTCAGAGGCGGCTCAAGCTCAGCTACTCACTGAAAACAAGACAGTACCGCCGACTTCAGAAACCTCAGGCTCCTCAGGCTTGACCACGAACTCAGTACCGCCTTCGTCAGGTCGAAAAGGCGTCACTGTCAGGAGGAATTTGCCGCTCCGCACACATGGATCCTTTTCTCATCCCGTATTACCATCTCCGCGAAGACGCACTACGTTTCCTGCCAGTAAGACTATCCTGGCGAACCATTTCGTCGAATGAATGATACTAGCTAACTCCTGTTCCGTAGTGGACTATCTTACTGTGTATGCCATGGCAGTCAACGAGACCAATGCAGCAGGTGGACGCATCGTCACCGCTCCCACGAACGGCGCAGCGGGCATCATACCCGCCGTGCTCAAGTACACGATTGAGTTCGTCAGCGATGACCCGGAGCGTGACATTCTCTCCTTCCTCCTCACAGCTGCCGCTATCGGTATGCTGTACAAACGCGGCGCCACCATCTCAGCAGCAGAGGGCGGATGCATGGCCGAGGTCGGCGTGGCCTGTTCCATGGCAGCTGGAGCATTCGCAGCCTGCATGGGCGCAAGTCCGCAGACAATCGAGCAGGCGGCCGAAATTGGAATCGAGCACAACCTGGGCTTGACCTGCGACCCCATCGGAGGGCTGGTTCAGGCGCCGTGCATCGAGCGCAATGCTCTGGGTGCTATCAAGGCTATTTCGAGCGCCAACCTGGCTCTCAGCAGCGAGACTGGCACGCAAAAGGTGAGCCTGGATGATGCCATTCAGGCTATGCGCCTGACGGCCAAGGGCATGAGGAACGAGTTCAAGGAGACGAGCTTGAGCGGCCTGGCTACGAGCGTGCCGGTGGAGATTCCTGTCAGCGTGCCGGACTGTTGAGGCGCTTCGCCAAGTCAGTACATGCAACGGAATAGAGTAGCTTGCAGTCGTTTCTTATGTTCACCTATAGCGAGAGTTTTGCAACACAAGGGGTGGTGGGTTGGGACATCCATTACATAGAGAAGAAAAGCGATTCTGTTTATCAACCCTGCGCTGCTGTACTACTGAGGTTATGATTAGACTTCATACAGCCAATGCCAACTTATGTCGACGGCTAAGACAATTATGTTGAATTATGTTGTGAAAAAGAAGAGCAACAACAGGTGAAGTTCAACTCTGAACCTTGCGAACCTTGCCATCTGCTTAGCGAATCCGTTTTAGGAGGGCTGCTGCGTTTGCCGTGTTTCTCACGGCAACTCTGCATGTACCCAATTCTTTGGATCTTCATAGAAGACGCCTCCCAGTTGCTCAATCAGCCTGCAGCGTTCTTCCATGTCATGGGCATTGTGAATAATACCGGCGTCTCTGGTAATTGCATCATCTTCTTTGAGGTCCAGAACCCAGACTCCACCTGCGGCCGGCCAGCCAACTTTGATGAAGCGCTTGGCGCGACGAAGATCCGGTTCGTTAGGCTCCATGAGTTTCCTCACCAACCATTCTTCTCCGCTTTCCCACCAGATGGCCCCTAGTTGCAGCACTATGCAGCAAGGTGATATATTAGTCTTTGTACTAATTGCTTCCCAGCTCAGAGCAGCTTTATAACAAAACACCCAAACGACCACGGTGTCATCCAGGCCTCCTGCTCAAGAGCGAATGCTTACTTCTGTTGCAGTGTGCCTCTTCTTCGGCAGCGGCGTCAGGACCAGACGGGTCTGGTTGGGGCGTTTTACGGAATCGATCCAACTTCAGAAAGTCCAGTTCAATGCCCACGCAGTCTTCCAACATATAGACACCGCCCTTGGACGGCCATCCCTGAACCAAAGCGCCTGGCCCAGCACCGATACTGACTCTGGTCCTGTTCTCTTGCGTGTTTCCACACATAGCAGCTTGCAGTTGCACGTGTTCCTCCATGTATCCATCTTGTCGTTCCTCCATGTATCCATCTTGCCGTTCCTCATTGACCCATATTGATGTTTCTGACAGATGAAAAAGAAAACCGAGCGTGACGAGAGCTGCTACGAAAGCGACCATGTATGGAATGAGCCTCGCCATGATGGTTGTCTGTTATAAGGTAGAGTTTGTAAAGTTAATGAGACTGAGGGATATTTATTGGATATTTATTATGATTGAGCCTAGGTGAGCAGAGATCACTTCATGATGACTCATCCAGAACTGTTTAATTAGAATACTACTGTACATGTTCGTACGTAGTCTCTGGAGTATGATTGCAAGTCCTGAGGGCTGGCATGGTTGTGGGCAAATTGAAGCAATAAAAGCATGGATCTGTATGCACGTTGGTTTGGAGAGCCAACGAACCTTGGGCCATACAACTATGTGATTGGTGGGGTTGGTATGTCTCATTATATGCAGCACTTTGTGTGGCCCGTCAACACCAAGATTCACGATCGAGATACAAGATTTAGTTCGGCTGCACCTGATTAGCTCTAGGATTTTAAGAGACTCAATTGATGAGAGCTTTAAGTTTATTTATACATATTCGAGATTGCTCGTTGTATGTACTTGTATGCTGACCCACCAAGGGAACAACAAGGTCCCATATCGCTTAAACCCGAAGACGGCGATGAACGTTTAGGCTTCCGTTCTGGGGACTCGACACTCTACACCGCATCGAACTATACCTAAGCTTGCGTGGGCCGAAGGATTCCTTAGCAGGATTCGAAGTTAGGCATTTAAGCTCAACTGTGCCATCATCTTCATATCATGAGTCACTCTCCCCTTCTTTCTCTCTTACTCGTACAGCAATAGCAACTCCTTCATCCCAGTAGCCATCATGGCAGCCCCTCTCATATGGATCAACGCCTTTCCCGGGACTGGAAAGCTCACTATCGCCAAGGCGATCAAGGCGCTGGATGAATCTGTCACCGTCGTTGACAACCACCAACTGATTGACCCGGTGGCATCAAGGATCTCTCGGGATGACCCACGTTACCAGGCAGAGCGGAAGCGTGAGCGAGAGCGAGCATTTGAGAAATATGTTTACGATCCTGCAACGGCTTCAAAGACTGTCGTCTTTACGGGTAAATTTGATCTTGACTGAGGAACTTATACTGTGCCTTTCTTTTATGGAGTGACTGATGGATGAGCAGACTTTCAATCAGACAATGAACTGGGCCGAAGTGTTGCGAAGGAGTACCTGATGGCGGCTAAGAAAGCCAAGAGACTCTTTATGCCGGTGTACCTGGGATGCGACGTCGACGTCAACCTCAAGAGAGCCGCAAGTCAAGACCGAGTGTCGGGTACCTCGACAAAGTTGACGGACATTGCTCTTCTCCGGGACTTGCGTTCAAGGTGCAAGCTCTTTGAGTTTGACGATCAGGATTTTTCCACCTGGATTGACACCACGAATAAAGAGCCCGAGGGTGTAGCCAAGATGATCCTGGGGCGGTCTCGAGTGATATCTGAAGGAAGATAACTTGAGTTTGTTCCATTTATATTATTTGTTTGCTGTTTAGGATGGCGATGCTTGCGCTAATTTGTAAGTGATCGGTCATGCTTGGGAAAGCCTAGAGTACAATACATAGACGACTTAGACCGCGAAGAAGCAATTATACAGAATACATGCAGAAGCATTCGTCTTACACAGCAGAAGAGCGTGTGTCCAACGGCGACAGACCGCCAATGCTAGCAGCAACGATGCCGGGCATCCCAATGGCTGAAAACATGGGCGAAGCCGGCCAATCTTTCGAAGATGGCGACGAGCCTCGTCTGACTTTCGCTGGATGGTGATGCGGCGAGCTTGATTCATGGGACTTTGCCAACGTTTCGCTCAATGCGCGAATTCGGCCTCCCCTGATCATTCGAAGAAAGGCAAGATCATCCTTGATGTGGGAGAAGACGGCGTTGTATCGCTCAACAGAGGATGTGTCGCTGCCGTCTGCTGCTTTCTTGCCTGGCAGACGCAACCACCGCGGCCATTTCTCTCGCAACTTGTTGCTGCAGCTTCGCAGTACTTCATCAGGAATCAAGCGGATCAGGACACCGATGGGAATCGATCCGATACCCAGACCAATCGAAATGGCCCATTGCTCGCCTGTAAGTCGGACAACAACAAAGGCGTCGCCTCCGACGTAGATGATGATGAGCTGTCCTCCGACCATGATGGACATCATCAGCATGAACAGCCAGTTGCGATGCAAGCCTTCGAAGATGTTGAGCTTATTATCGATGCGCCGGCTGTTGATGAGTTTGAAAATCTGCATGAAGACGAAGACATTGAAGATGAGAGTCCGCAGCTGATCCTCTGGGTAGTCAAAGAAGCTGGGTCCGCCGAACCATAGAACGAAGCAAACAGTCAATTGATAGATGGACTGGCCAAGTATCATCTTCCACATAGTCAGGCTTATCAGAGAAGCCGTCCGAGGCTCTGGCTTGCGATGGAGGGCACTCAAGGTGGGCGGATCGGTGGCGAGGGCGAGTGCTGCAAACGTGTCCATGATGAGATTCACCCAAAGGAGCTGCACGGCGTTGAGAACGGCGGTCTCCTCATTATCGGAGACGGCTGTGACAAAAGTTATAATGACCGCGGTGATGTTCACCGTAAGCTGGAAGAGGAGAAACTTCTTGACGGAGTCGTTTACAGCTCGCCCCCAGCCAAGGGCCTTGACGATGGACGCGAAATTATCATCCATGAGGATGATGTCGGATGCTTCTTTGGCGACTTCCGTACCAGTTATGCCCATGGAAAAGCCAACGTCTGCAATCTTCAGTGCTGGGGCGTCATTCGTTCCGTCTCCCGTTACTGCGACAACCTCGCCCAGATTCTTGAGGACTTCGACAAGGATACGTTTATCCTCTGGACTCGACCTAGCCAATATACAGATGTCTTCTGCGACGGCGGCTTTCTGTTCCGAGGAGAGCTGGCGGAATTTTTTCCCTTCCATTACAAGGCCTTGCTCTCCTTCTGGGGAAGCGGTTAGGATACCGCAGGCGAGGCCGACGGCTTTGGCGGTTTCGAGGTTGTCGCCGGTCACCATTTTGACGGATACGGATGCTGTTCGGCAGTCTTGGACGGCGGCGGGGACTCCTGGTCTGACTGGATCTTGGATCCCTACGACGCCAATCCAGGTCATGTCTTGATGTATATCAGGGAGCGTGACATCGTCGGAGCCCGGGGTGGTCGTATCGTCTGCCTCGGGCTTTTGGGGTGGCCACTGCGAGAAATCACGGTAGGAAAGTGCCAGAGTTCTCAAGGCTTGGGTTCCAAATCGAAAAACGACGTTCCTGATGGCATCTCTCTGGGATTCTCCCAAGGGCTCTGCGTTTGCGTGATTCGTAATTCCCATCAGGGAAGTGGTGCATTGAGCCAGCACAATCTCGGGAGCACCCTTCACAAAGAGTCGGTACTTCTCTTTGCTGCCTTCACCGCTGCCATCAGGCTCAGACAGCCGAATGACTGCTCCCATGCACTTTCTCTGTGAGTTGAAGGGAAACATTTCCACCACTGGGTTGTTGGCACGTTCTACAGAGACTGGCCCGAGGCCAAAATGTCGACGGACCCATTCGAGGAGGGCTGTCTCTGTTTTTGTCCCGACGAATACCGATGTGCCGCTTTCCTCTCGTTCGAAAGCAGTGGTGTTTACCGCAATGGCCGTCTTCAGTAGTTGTTGGACGCCACTGTCAAGCTTAGAGGATAGCTGCTGGTGCGGAATCTGCGACTCCATGTCCGAACCCCCATCGCCAAAGAGCAGTACCTCGCCTCCCAGTGCGCCCGAAGTCACTGTCATGGCATTTTCAGTCAAAGTGCCTGTTTTGTCTGAGCAAATAATCGTAGCATTGCCCATCGTCTCGCATGATTGGAGATGCCGAACAAGGTTGTTCTCTCGGGTCATGCGCTTCGTGGCGAATGCAAGCGATAGCGTCACCGCCAATGGCAGACCTTCTGGGACGGCGACGACGATGATGGTGATGGCCATGACGAGGATGTGTAGAAAGTCTTGGCCTTTTTCTTCGGCGGAGCCGGTGTTGTTGGGTAGACGGATAAGGAACTCGATGAAGAGGACAGTAAATAGTAGGCATCCTGCTGCGCTGCCGAGTTTGGCAATGTATCCTACAAGAATGAGATTAATCATTAGCATTCAGTTTCCCAAGTAAGTAGAGTGGTGCTTACCAGCCAGGACATTCAACTTCGATTGCAACGGAGTGAGTCCACTGTCCTCTCGCAGCGACATCATCGTCCGACCATGACTCGAGTTTTGTCCAACCGAAGTCACGAGAAAAGACCCGACTCCGTCTAACACTCGAGCACCGGAGATGATAAAAGGGTCCAGTTTGTCCAAGTCAAGTGCTTCTTCGCGGTGAAGAGCCTCCAAGACTTCCTCTGCTGGTACCTTTCGCACCAGATCGGACTCTCCCGTAGCAGAGGACTCATCACAGTTCAGACCGTGGCCCTCAATGAAAATTCCATCAACAGGAACCACATCGCCCGGCTCCAGGAGCATGACATCGCCCACGACTACTTCGTAGATGGAGACAGCCTCAGGCTTACCCGACCGAATCACCTTGACGGAGCGGTCCTCCTTCTTCATGTTGAGCTTCTGGAACTGGCGCTCCTTTTGCCAATCGTTCAACGCGCCGACGATGACAACAACGGCGATTGCGACGATAATGGCAACACCTTCGACCCATTCGACTTTTGCACCTTCATGCTTTGTTTGTCCGAAAGTCTGGTATAAGCCAAGGGCGAGGGAGACGATGGCTGCCACGCTGAGCAGGATGAGGATGTGGTCGTGTAGAGCAATCCATGCTAGCTGGAAGAAGGACTTTGACTTTCTCTCCGGTAGCCTGTTTTCGCCAAATATGCGCCTTCTCTCGGCGAAGCCGTCGCTTGGTTTGCTGATAGACAGAGTAGCTGGAGGTTCCCCGGTTGGCTTGACAGGGGAGGCCGCTGCTGTTGCCTCTTCGAATGTGATCGGTTCGAGAACATGCTCTTCAGCACTCAGGCCACCGCGACGATCGCTACGAAGTCCCCTTTCCAAACCAGTAAGACCTCCCAGGGCAACAAATGCGGCGAGGCTTTTAGGATTGATGAGCTTGTTCAATTGTCCGGGCGAGAAAGCAAAAGGGTTATTATCGGTATCGAATAGAGGTTCTTCTCCTGGATCCGGATGTAGAGCAGAGGTGCTCTGCTGCTGGATATCCTCCCACCGACTACATCCGCCATGGGAGGCTCCATTGTGGTACTCGGTGTTTGTGGACGTGGGCTCGGAAGAGTAGGTAAGGGTAGCATTTGGAGAGGGAGAGATGCTTTGCATATCGTCGTCCTTCTTCGCCATAATGCCTGGTACAGGCTGGGGGTATCATCGACTTTGGCTGGAGAACTATGCCTGGTGAACAAATGTACGCGGGTTCCTTCAAATTTTCACGTTAACCGGGTCTTCAAAATATAATAGAAAGAATCCCTTTTCATGAGACAAAGACGGAATTTGAGGAGACGATTTATGACTTACATCTTTGTAGCCATCCATCTACTGAGCTACTAGAAAGCACCACCCGCTATGGCCCGCAGCGTATGGAATGGCTGTCATCATCTCGCTCTCATCGCCAATTGAGGTCTTATCATCTGGAGCAAGCTTTGGATCAGAAGACTTCAAGCTTTCTGCTACTGGCTTGGCAAACGACTTTAACTCGCTTTTGCGACGAGGCTGTGAGGCAGATGGCGGAGGCACAGCAAAGCCACAAGTTTTGGAGACGGGAACGTTGCCACTCAAAATGCACGAGGAGCAGAGATGGCGGAGGTGGTTCAGTCCGTTAGTTACATGAAACCGCGCCTATCTTCTTGGCAATCTAAGGTACCTTTAGCTTCCAGTACTCAACAATTGCTCAAAGGCCGTACGGTAAGGCATCATGAATGTAGGTGTGGGAAAAGATGTGGCAAAACCCAGTGGCCCCATGTGCGCTGATGTATAAGAAGAGGTAACAACGAGACATTCAGCAAAAGAGTTGGAGTAGATTTAAGCTTACCTGAGAGTGGCTTAGGCCCTCAGCCGAAGTTTGCATGATACCATATCTATGTAATTGATGGTCGAATAAAGCTGCTTGAAGGACCACATTCCGTGCGCCACTAAGTGATTGTGATCTATTGATGTGTCGGCTACTAAGACCAAGTCACCGTTGCTTCAAAACAATATAGCTACTCCATTCTTGAGAGATCCGGATGTTTGTCTACTGCAGTGCTTTTTGTAGGGCGAGTTCTTTGATTGGATTGAGATCTTGCATAGAAGGCTTCAAGTCAGGAAAACTGTGGCTTTTGGGTCAAAATGTGTTCTGCTTGTAGACCTATAACATTTGTCTCTGACTTCTTGTAACCGACCGTCTCACGAGCTCAGTCAAATACCATAGAAGACTGACCTCAGATAGTGGAATGGTCTTGGATCATCTCACATTCGTTGGCTCCCAGGACACGATCACGGGCCTTGACAGGACTTGCATGACATGGGTAAGGAAGGCAACGGTCAGTTTGCAAATCATCATTCTCCCCTTCTCTTCTCTTCCGCACAAGCTCCTACAGGGTTCTCTCTGCTTGTATAGCCCTTTAAGAAATTACTGCATCGAAATGAAGTCTAGATAAAGCGACACATTGTGATCCCTCTGGCAATTCTCCTGTTACGTCCTCAGTTGCTCTGTACTTACCCACCTTCCAAAAATATGCCGTCCGTAATCGTATTTGTACGTCCAACTACTTTGTGAACGGTTGGGCCTAAGGCAACCAAGAGGACTTGGTATATAGTTGCACGACTTCTATTCTCGATGAGGAGGAGGTACAGAATACGAGGTCGATCATTCACTGGTTGAAGTAACTCGCAGTTGGTGCTCGTAGGACTTCAGAGTCGGGGAAAGTCATTGGCTGTGATACACGACATGCAAAGCTGCCGGATCGTTGTTTTCGTGCATTGATTAAGTGAGGGCAGCGAGGTGAGTCCCTCAACCCCCTTGCGGAACCCACCAGTCAGTCTAGACTTACGGTTAATGCCCTGTGATAGACTGGAAAGATGACCAGTGCGCCATGGAGAGATGAAGCTGAAGAATAACCCCCCCAATTAGAGGTTTTTATAGAATCTCGTGAGAAAGGGCCGATGGTATTTCTCACCACTTCTTGGGAAGCCAGCTGTGTTACATACTATGCTAAGTCGTTGGTTCTTCCCGGCAACCTTCTGATGGTGCAACTATCTGTTAGGCCTTTATAAACGCTGGGGTAATACAACGTTGGTCGAATGAAATCAAGCGAAAACACTTAAGGTAGGTATCCCGTCGGAGAGGTCAACTTGTATGCTTCGCCTTTAGAACTGTGCACACTCTATTATGATGTCTAAACTTGATACAACTTAGAAAGCATCCTGGGTTGATCTGTGAGAAGTTTACGAATGATGGATCCAGAAACCTTGGTAGAGTTTTCCACGGCCGCGCTCACTCGCCTTGCGGATATAGTCGCAATATTGAGCATGGAATATCAGAAGCCACAATGGGGTAACATCGCCGCAATCTTGTTGATCATCATAGGAACTGGCAATCTCTGGGACAACAGTGACCGAGTCAGAAAATTACTACGAGACACCGAGAAGATGTGTACCGTAAGTATCGACATGAATCAGTTCTGGATCATTCTCAAGTCGGTCGACTACCGGTTGACGGTCGGACGCTGATTGTAACTAATAGATGCCCTCGGAATTCAAAGAGACCAAAACACCTCTCCTCGAAGCTATAGTCTTCCCTCAAGACTCGCCAGTATATCAAAAAGCAGAACAGAAGATACGCCAAGGGCTACTCAATGCAACATTGATGCACCGACCTACACTGGAAGCCACCGTTCGACATTTCTCGAGGTTTGCACCGGCTAGCGACTCAGACTGGCTCCCAAACGTCGACGGAGAAGAATTGCCCACCGCGGTTGGCGCATTATTTCGATATCCGAAGGAGGTTGATGCACTGGTGAGCAAGGCGCTTAGGGATTGGATGTTTTGCACCTGCAGCACCGAGGCGAAGCAGGCATTCCAGAACAAGCATCTTGCCCAGCTTAGGTATGCTATGGCCTCCTTTCGCACGAGCCCCAGAGCATGGCCTAGTACGTTTAGAGATGCTGTTTTCGTCTGCTCCGGTCTGCAGCAAACGTCATTTGAGTCGCTGGCAGAACGTTGAACTTCATTTCTCATGGTATTTACCAGTGCTTCTGCGATCGTGCTGTCTCCATGACATGTGCTGACTACATACCTAGGTCTAAACGAGCCAGATTCGTAGATCACAGCCGCGGAGTGCCGACGTCGCAGCCTTCGAAGCAGCCCATAAGGGGTTACCAGGACAAGTTTTGCACGTCCCTTGGCCTAGATCCCACTTCTTGTCTCTGTCTTCTCTTCCAAGATGGAAAGCTCCGCGAGTCAAAATTCACCACACCCGTCGAGACATGTGTTGATCACAAGCCAGGTATTCCGCTCGCCCAAATACTCAAAAGCTATTCTCTCACTTCTAGAATGAGGGTCGCACTGGCCTATATCCTTGCCTACTCGGTGTGGCAGTACTATGACTCAGACTGGGTGAGATGTGGATGGACGAGCGAGTCCATACAGTTCCTTAAAGAGATTGACCCATCGGACACCAGTCTAAGCGCGAAGCTCTACGCCTGGAAGCCATGCCTCTCATCTCACTTTGGTGAGGAGGAGTCCCGGCCGCCCGAGTATATAGCAACACTGGACAGGATGCATCGATATCCAAGAGTCCTCGCCCTTGGGATTCTGCTGGTTGAAATCGGGATTGGTTCGCCACGAAATCGGATTCAAGACTCCTCGTCAAGCAGACCTGATGACGATTGGTTATGGGCCTTGAACCGCTGCAGTAACAGGCAAGAATGGGGTACATTCGACATCCCCGAGTATCTGAAAGCAGCCAAAAGCTGCTTGGATCCACAGCATTTCTTCTCGGCCTCTGAATGCGATGGAGATGCCCCCGGGCTTATGGATGGTCTAAGACACCGCAAGAGTGTTTTGTATCAGAGAGTGGTTGCCCCGCTAGAGAAGGTCCTCGTGTCAACTGGATGGATGGAAGAGCTGACCGAGACGGAACCCGTCAACGCTTCAATCGAAAAGAATCGACCGACTATCAACGGCGTCCACTTTTCTCAAAGCCGAGCTACAAAGATCCAAGGACACTCACAGTTAACAGCTGAGTTTTGTTTCACAAAGGACCAGAGAGATGCTAAAAAGTGGTTCAAAGAGATGAAAGAATTAGGTACAAGCCTTAGCCAACCCCGAGGTTCACGAGCTGGGATTCGAATCGCCATATTGGATACTGGGTGTAACATAGACTCCGCATTTTTTGGTGTACCGCCGATCCAGTGTCGCCTCAAGGGGTGGAAGGACTTTGTCTCAGGGGCGACTCATTGGCAAGATCACCACGGCCATGGCACTTATCTGGCGTCTCTCATCCTGCAGATTGCTTCAATGGCAGATATCTATGTTGCACGCGTTGCCAGCTCATCCGATGATCTGGCTAAGGCGAGTGACAAGGTTGCGGAGGTATGAATTTTCCCATCCAGCTCCCTTTTTGGTTTGCTATATGCCGCTCTTAACAGCTGACTGAGTCCCAGGCAATCTCCTGGGCAAGCAAAGAGTGCAATGCGGATATTATTTCCATGTCCTTTGGGTTCGCAGATGATCATCCATGTATAACTAAAGCTATACATGAGGCGTTATCTCACCGGAATGGCTCCATCCTCTTCTTCGCTGCGGCCTCAAACTACGGAGCAAACGAGAAAGAACTGTTTCCCGCAAGGCACGAGTCTGTCATCTCAATTCGTGCGACAAACTCCAAGGGCCAGTTTCTGGACCTTAATAATCCACCCCGAAGTCAGCACGATGGAGTCGTCTTTGGTACCTTGGGCTTGGATGTCCCGTCAGAACCCCTTGTCAGTGGTGAGATTCAGTACAAAACTGGGACGTCGGTGGCTACCGCTATTGCGGCGAGCATAGCTGGCGCCCTACTGCAATTCGCTCTTGGAGACTCCCAAAGGGAAGAATTTGAACAAGTTCAGACGAGTTTGCGGACACGGAAGGGGATGCAAGCGCTCTTCGAGCATTTGGCAGTGGCAAGTCACTATGAACGATACTTGTACCTGGCGCCGTGGACTCTGTGTAAGCAGACGGATAGCGCTCGATGGTCGACGTTTGTTGCTGCGGTACTGAGATGAATGGTGGCAGCGAGGAATGGGACACCATGAGACCGATCAATAGGTATCTGGGTATGTAGTATGAAATGAGATTTGGACCAACATCGTCACCACGTACAGTGTTACATTTGAGTTCCTACCTGATATCTGGCTGTCGATTCACCGAAAATGCTATCCACGAAACTGATCTACCATAAGGTCAGGAGAGTCTCATTATCGGTCTACACTCCCTTACCTGCTTACCACTACTATTGTAAGATCTTGTGCGACGTTAAGATGATATAGATGACGTGGCCTCGTTCTTTCGGAGCCCCCATAGTATCTAGTAGCACAACGTAGGCTGTCCGACCTTAATCGGTGGCCCGCAACTACCTACCTATATATAGAGGTCACAAGTCAGCTTGAAGTCGCAAACTTATCCTTCGCTTTGTTTTCACTTCTCGTCTTACCTTTCCTCCTTTCCAAGCTGGCTCATTGGTTGGCTATACAGAGCCCAATAGCACGAGTCCAGCATGGTAAACTACGGACTACTCACGGGAGCAACCCAGCGATTGGTGGTATGTAGGTACAAGTCCACGTACTCTGTAGCAGTGTCTCAATGAGAGAAGCTGGTCCTCGGTCACTGAGCCGATCTGGATGTGACAAAGTCTAGCGGTTTAGACCCAGACGAAGACTACATATACCTTAGGTAAGAGGGAACCAGACAAGCTTCCGAGAGTGTAACATAGCCTTGAGGTACATACGCCTCAACATATCTCATCGTCCCGAGTCCATTTGGCAAAGCAGCCTACAAAGTGAACCTCGCGACACACGCTGTTTATCTAGGTACCAAAGCTATTACTTTGTGATGCGCATGTAATAGTATGTCGGCTCATCAAAACGACGGAGATGGTGGCTACGCCTCACACAGACCGCCATCTGCGGAGTACTCTCGCTTCAGCATGAGGCCTCTGCAGGTGGCCAATATTGTGCTACTCAAAAGGAAATGGTATCACAGGGCGCAGTACTCGGAATCCCGCGCATCCTGTTTGTCATTAGATTGGGGCAGAAGAAGAGCAATGAGACACAAGGCAGACTACAGCAGGCTTGCGTAACACATACACCCCGCTCGCCCGAGCAGGAAACAGACTGTTTGTCGTCTGAGTGTTTGTATTCTGGGTGTTTGTCTTGTGTCTGTCTGTCTTGTCAGTGTTTGCCTCGTGCGTGTTTGTCTTCTTGTCCTTTTCCACTCACTTACAAAGACAGCAGAGCCTCCTTGAAATCCGCCCATCACCATCAGGTATCGCACAATATGAGTATCCAAGAGGCTACTAAGCAGTGCCTGGAGACCTTGAGGGCTTGCCTTGCGGTTGAGCAGTTGATGATTGATGCGTGGGCTGAGAATCGCTTAGCAGACCTCAATCTCTGGATCGCGGGCCTCGGGGCATTGGCGTCGTCACGGGTGTCTCTCGATACGAGACTGGGCTCGAAGCCCGAGATTCGAGATATCATTGCCAATCTGCTAGGCTTACTTGCTCTCACTGTGGAAAAGTGCAGAAGGCTAGGTATGATTTGATACAAACCCTTCGAAGTGGTGGTTGACGATCGTCTCTAATACAAACAGCGACTTCTGAATCCGGAGCTGCCGGTGTCGCCGCGCAAATTGAAGAAGAGCAAGAAGAGCTGTCTGAAAGCTCCAGCGATGGCATTCCACCCCGACCGTACTCTCCTTGGTCAGACGAAGACGATTCAGACTCTGATGACTTTCTTCCCGTCGCTGCCGAGCAGCCATTGTCAACCAACAGTCTTCTGGAGAGCAATATGCAAGATGTCGGAATGTTGCTAAAACAACTTGCCAATATCGCTGTTGTGGTACGGAAGTCAGGCAAAGGCTCACGGCTTCAGAGAGCGGACCAGCAATTCAAACCGGAAGAGCACAAAGATCTACAGGCACATCTCACAACGATGATGCTACTGAACAATATCGAGCAGCGTTCCGACCTCCATTCAGTCAACGGAACATTTGACCCTTCGAATCTGGGTGAAATACAAGAGCGCATCATACAATGCAATCTGAAGCGACGCAATCGCTTCCTGTATGCCCAACGGCACTCTGACTCCCTGTCAGGGAGAATATCTCAGGAAGACGACGCACGGCGCCCACAAAAAGCGAATCCTGGAGTGATGGCAAAGCCTGCCCCCGACGGGTCCGAAAGCCAAAGTCAAGCAGCAGTTCCATCTACAGAGATTGAACAGGTGCAAGAACCAACGAATCCCACGATAGTGACAGGAACTAGGGCGACTGCCATCAGCGACTCTCTCGATATACCACGGGTCACTTCGCCATCTTCGGCTTCTGCTTCAACTCTTCTTTCATCAACCACTATTAGCCTCAAATATCCCCAGCCTCCCAAGATCGTAAGCGGCATGTGCAGTTTTACGTGTCCGTGTTGCTGTCAGACGCTTCCTATGGAATATTTGGAGGAGAGAAAGTGGAAGTAAGTACTGTTAACATGAAGATGGCTGAAGATGGCATCCGCATGACATACTAAAGGCCGAGAGAAAGCACATTAGCAATGATCTCAGCCCGTATACGTGTATCCTTCGTGGTTGCACTACTCCCAACGTTCTCTACGCTACGAAATCAGATTGGCATCGGCATCTTCTCGACAGGCATCAAGGCTATGAATATTGGATCTGCTTCGCTTGTGAGGGTGCTGAACAATTCCGCAACAAAGAGCAGTTTCGTCGGCATATAGAAGTGCATCACACTTCGTTCATGCGAACCGGTCAAATATCACTATTAGAAGCTGTGTGCAAACGATATACGCCTCTCGACATCACTTCTTGCCCTCTTTGCAACAGGCCTAAAGGTCATGGCCAGGAAACAGAGGTGGATAAGACGGGGCTATTTGATCATATTGCTAAAGAACTGCACGCCTTTTCACTCCGATCATTGCCATGGAACGATGATTGTGGCCAGGAAAGCGAGCAGAGGATATGCCAGAGCTCTGAAAAGGTTTCTGAATGGCTCGCCAAGAACAGTCTCTATGCGGAAACTACTTCTGAGAAGCCTCCCCTGGAGAGGAGGGTTCATTCGTCAAGCTATTTCCAACACAGTCCGTACTTTGCTGACAGTACAGGATCTGACTCCTCCAGTGGTTCCGAATCCTATGCCTCCATAGATAAGGGGCTTGAGGACCTGGAAGCAGCACAGGGACCGGATTTCTTGAAGGAAGACAACATCGGTGTGAATGAGTCAGAACAACAATCACGGCAAAGCCTCCAAAGCGAGTCTCGATTCTGCCAGACAAGCTTCGTCAACCGCAATTCACACCCAATGCAAGAGGAGGAGCCGTGTTGTGGATGTGGACGACCCGTTGAAGTCTGGAGACCTAGGGATAGTGGCCATTTGGTCTGCGAGAGGTGCAGGCAATATCAAGGCCCGGCGTTGAGTATGGACTCATGGTATGTCTGATTTGCGCCCTGTCCCGTTGAAGATATACTGCCTTGTTTTTGGAGGGGTGTAAGGGATTGACTTTCCATACCGATGGCGAATCCAACGCCTTCAAGGCAGATGAAGACTACAGGAAGAAGAAGCAATTAGGCTTTCGGCTCGGTCTGTTCAGTCGTCGGAAAATGGTTAAGCAGGCTCTATAGCGAAGGAAAGATAGGCAGAGACATGGTAAATTGCAGCAGAGAGATTTTATATCCTATTCTCATGAACTTCTGCAAGCAAGACTTCTGAGAACTTGCCATAGACTATGGCACATTCAATTTCGTGTGATCGACTGGCGCCTTCTTCGATCTCCCTCCGAACCCCCATCCAATTTGATGCGCAATATTAATAGACACGTCCAAGTCGTCTGCCCACGCCCAGACTAAGCCCGGATTCTTCTGGAACATGCGGCCTGCAGCGATCAGATCCAGTGGCGTATCATCAGCTTCATCACTGCCCTCTATGAGCTTCTGCGCAACCTGGCCGGTCTTGATGCTTCCGACAGAGCTGACTAGCATCGAGTCTCCCACCGCGGCCTTGATCTTCTTCGCAAACGGCGCCTGGTATCCTGGCCCGCCAACCACTTTCTGCTGGGGGTGGTTTCCGCCGCTCGATACATCCAGCACGTCAACGCCGCGCTGAGCAAGAAGCTGGGCAAGCTTGATGCTCTCGTCTACATTCCAGCTTGGCCCTCCGTTCCAGTCCGGGTTCGTGTCGAGCCAGTCTGTTGCACTGATACGCACAAACAGGGGCATCTGCTTGGGCATGATACGTCGTGTCTCATCAACCAATTCAAGGGCCAGACGAGCACGGTTTTCGAAGCTTCCGCCGTACTTGTCCGTTCTTTTGTTCACAGCCGGCGACAAAAAGCTGGAAACGAGATATCCGTGCGCAAAGTGCAGCTCAATGACATCGAATCCACAACGGAGAGCACGAAGAACAGCGGCGTGGAAATCGTGCTTAAACCGCTCAATGTCAACAATAGTCATGGCACGCGGCTTTGGATAGTGCTCGTTGAAAGGCTCATTGCCGGGTCCAATGACATCGTCTGGCCATCCGCCGACTTCTTCGATTGCGGTTGCGCCGGAACTAAGCCATGGGGCGACGGTGGAGGCTTTGCGGCCGGCATGGCCGAGTTGGATGCCGATGAGGCCGTTCTGGCTGTGGGCGAAATCAACGTGTTTCTTGAGAGTCTCGACGTGGGCGTCGAGCCATATGCCTGAGTCCTCTGGGGTGATGCGGCCATTGGCCTGTACGGCGGTTGCTTCAATCATCATAAGGCCGGGCTATTGATAACACGCACTTCAGCTTTCACTTTTCATCACAATCCATAACCAGATGGATGCAGTCGCTGGAATCGACAGTTGGCTTACACCTCTCTGGGCCATGCCGCCATAGTGCGTAATGTGCCATGGCGTGTGAAACCCTTCGTGCGCGCTGTATTGGCACATTGGGCTCACCCAGATGCGATTCGCCATCTGTATGCCGCGGATCTTCAAAGGAGTGAAGAGCTTCGGGACCGGCTTGCCGGATCTCTGAGGCTCAGTCGCGGTGCCCGGAATGGGGATCTGCTCCGGAGTGAAAAACGTCGCGTTTTCGGCTGCGACATTGTAGATTGGCTCAGAGCACTTGGCCCTCTTCTCCGGGAGAGGGGTTACGGCTCGAGAAACGGTGATGCCGTGATGAGGATGAGAGATACGCTGGGTGAGATAGGCGGCCATATTGCAGACGTATGTGATGAAAGACTTTGATCGTGATGTGTATTGCGACTTAAAATTCTGACAGAGGCCGACGGGATCGGTTGGGGTTTCAGGCCAAACGAAGAGTTGCGTCCTGCTACTTTATCTCAAAGTATAGCCTCCAAAGTATAAAATAGACAGTGTTGAAGATCTAGATACCTCTCTCTATATATATATTGAGGATGAAATTTTAGCCACGATCTCGTGGCGTCATTCGTGATGGGGGGGTGACGTAGAAAGAGCCGTTGTAACCAAGCATCATCAGACTGATTGGTCGTTGTCGAACCGGCTCATAGATCTCGGGCGACGAGTGGAGGAGAGTAGCCCCAGAAAAGTGATCGCTCACATATGGCATTGTCAATGTCAGCACCAGGCTAGGGTATCTGTATGTTTACTTTTGTCCGTTTGTTCCGTTGTTGTTACGGATGTAAGCTTGCTGTCAAGCAATACGATTGTCCGCTGAAGACGGACCTGAGTCTTCTCTCCATTTCAAAAACGATTTGAACGAAAGGGATTGAGATTGAAACTTCCATGTTCACGCTGTAGCTGTAGCTTGCTTACCTAGTCGGGAGTAGGAAGCCACTGCTAGAAAGCAGAAAGAAAATGAAGATTCCTGGCTGGATATAGTCTCTCTCCAAGGCCACCATTGTCCACCGGTAATTACATCGACGGACTCTCGGTGCCAACCGCTATGCATCACCAACACGAAGCTGCCTCCAGGAGATGAAGGTGCACAGAGAACTTCGTGTTGGTAGAACCCCTCATTGCTTATATAATCTGTGTCCCCTGAGATGAATGCCTCGAGACGCGTTGACAATGTTGTGCTGGTTGAGATTGATCCATCATGAACCGCCAGAATGTCGCTCTGTTCGAATGACGTTGAGCTCATTACCTCGGGCTCACACGATGCCACCAGTGACCGAGCCTCCGACGTTATAATGGACAGATATCCCCCAACTGGGGAGCAGCTCGAAGAGAGGATCGTCGAGTTCATTGACTCCATTGTCGACAGCGCTGTCTGTCGTCTGGCCTCCAAGTACAACGGCCAAAAGCCTTGCAGCATTGTTGGAAGCAGTCGCGGCAGCTTTAATGTCTGTTTCTTCGTCCAATTTGGCGAGGAAAATGCCAAATGGGTGGTGAGGGTTCCTCTGGAGCCAGTTGTTGTCGACCCCTGGGCCAAGGTGCAGAGCGAAGCTGCCACCATGAGGTATGTCTTCCCAATATGCTGCTTGCAAGTTCTGGAACTGAGAATATTACTTAAAGATACATCAAAAAGAAGACGACGATTCCCATACCAGCAGTTCATGCATATGGTAACGATGCCGACCTAATTCAGGGAGAATCCAAGCCAGTGGCGTTCCTCATATGCGACTACATCCCTGGTCAGTCGCTTGGTATGAGGACTTTCGCCGACGCTACGGCCGATCAACGGAAACACTTTTACAATGACCTTTTTGATATTTTAAGCCAGTTATATGGGTTAGAATTTCCTGTCGCTGGCTCGCTGATGCCTAACCCAGGCAACGACGCGGAACCCATTATCGGTCCCATTCAGTGTATGGCTGCCAATGAGCTCCATCGGGTTGTCCAACCCCAGAGAAACCCGTCAACCTTCTCCTCCTATAGTGACTACATGACCTATCAGCTTCATATACTATCGGAGACATTCCGCCTACCAACGGAGGAACTGGACAGCAATCAGGCAAAGATGGAGTTGTTTGCGATTGAAAGCCTGGCAAAGCAAGCTCCCACCTTGTTTGATACCTCGAAATCCGAGATGCCCTTTGTTCTGGCCCACCAGGATATGAGATGTAGCAACGTTATTGTTACAGAAGATTTCCATATCAGTGGCATAATTGATTGGGAGTTTTCAGGCACAATTCCGCGTCAGTTGTTCACTCCCCCACCATGGATCAGTGGTCACGACCTTGATGTCGTAATTGCATATCCGGCTCGCGCTCCTATAACTCTTACCGAGATACGCTCCGAATTCCTGCAAACCCTTGCGACAAAGAGTGCCACGTCTAGAAACTGTGCCCAACTGATGGAGACTTGGAAACATCAATCTGAGCAGCTATTCCCAGTGTCACAGATTCTACGTCAGCCTTCTTGTCTCATCAGCGTCTACAACCGTTTCCTTTTCCCTCGCACCTTGAGGGCCGTCAGGAAAGATGTCGTTGACCAGTTCTTCACAAGCGACGGAGAAGGAAGAAGTCTTGCGCCCGAGGTCAGTCGTCGGGTCGAGCAGTCGGAAAATTATACGCAATATCTGAAAGATCAAGGTTTATTTGTTCCTGACAATCAATCTCAACTGGATCAAGAGTGGTTGACTAAAGCTGAAGCATTGCTGAACTCCTTGAAATGACAATACAATGAACGCGAGTTACATCCTTATACTCTTCTACTCTTCAGTTCCCTCTCCCTAGATTGTAGCTCGTGTATCTTGGCCCATAATAGTCCGATCTCTTGCCGTTTCTGAGCGACCTGCCTCTCGAGTTCCTCCCGGTATCCATCACCGGGTAATATGTCGGCTTTATCTCTTTTTATTTTGGAACTTGATGCGCTGCGCATCATCAGATGCTGGCCAATGCTGGGAAGACTATCCATCATATTCAATATTCCCTGCACTTCCGCCTCCTTGTTCTGAATGATTTGCATGGACTCGCTGAGTCTTCTCTGTATCATCTGGAGATCTAGGACATTGTCTCTGGAGGAGGACATTGTTGAGAGAAAAGGAGACGTGCGATATTTCATAAGATATGAAGAAGAAGAACTAGACAACAGCGACCGAACTGCGGCGTCAGGTTCCCTATGAGCCTCTCTTTGCTTCAGGTTTGGACCGATCGATACAAGAAGAGAGATCTCGCAATTGGAAAACATGGCGGTATAGAGATGGAGCTTTATAAGCCATATAGTCTGTCTCTCATGTTCCTCGTCGGGGCAGCTAACCGTGCCTACGCTGCGTGAACAGATCTCGACGCCTATTTGAATTGAAGGGCTGTTCCGTCACAATGAGAATCACCATTCCCAGACTCCATCGGCTCGAATGCCTTCACAGAAAGTTCCACAACCTCAAAACTTAAAAACAACGGCAGGGAATGCGAGGCTGCGTGTAATTGTAGCAATTAAACATGCACGACATGGCGGTAGACAATCGTCTTGGCCTGATCGAGATTCAGTCATTGACCCAATTTGCCGACCAACATATCTATGATGAAGGAAGTACTGAGAAGAACCTTTGACTACATTTTCTGTAGAAGAGAACTATAGTCGTCGCCTCAGAGTTATGGAACATTGTAGGATGCATGGCCCCATGATCATCGATGGCGGGTCTGCCGTTCGACACATTCTGCACATATAGCATTCATCTTGCGCATTGAGAGTAAAGACAACAGTTTTTGGCAGATCTACTCACTGACCGGATTCATCATTTCATGGATATTCAATAGCCTAGTCAAAAGCGCCTCTAGAAGCGAATGAAGGATCCGTGAACGCCCTCATCCGCTCTTCTTCACAGGCGGGTGGGGTGACTGTTGTTCTCAAAGAAAGGTAAGGTATACTGACCAAAAGCAGTTCAAAAGCAGCAGTAACTGAGGACACGCGACCGTCTACAAGAGAATAACCGGTCCTCTAGCGAACCTTTCATGCAGCATAGCGGTGTGTCCAGCGGCAGGTTGCTTGCTTCCAGTAGCAGAGACCTTCGTCTATGGCTGATAGTTGATGCTCACAAACCAGAAGATATGCAAGCTTATGACATGTGACTTAATCACTCAACAGACCAACTCACCTCCTGGATTGAATTACTCTAGCCTTTGGAAAATACAAAGTAGTATAACGTCGTGCTCAGCGAAATATTCTTACTCTAGCAACTATTAAGGCATAGTGTACCTAGGTGATTGTGCGAGAGCTCCTTGTACTCCCATATCTGGCGTTGTCTTCGATCTCCTGCATAGCCTCCTCCCTTGGGCCTCAAAACAGGCCGACGTACAGCCACCGACGGCCTATCACTGCGGCCTGCATGATTCACTTGACACTCAATACCAATCAACATCTGCTGTTGGTCCAAAGTACCATTGATAGAGCAAATATGGTGTAGTACAAACACGTGCGCACATACACAGCCTACGTCAACTTTTGGGGACAAAGACGGTAGCTGCCCAACTTGAACCTCACCACTTCAAACTTCAATCCCCTCCAGCAATCTTCCCTCCGCCAAAACGCTTCATTTCTGCATCACCCACACGCATCTACAATCTCAAGACGATTAAGCCAAGATGGACTTCTTTTGCTGTCTCTGCGATGGCGATTTTGCGCCACCCCCCTCCATCCAGCGCACGAACGGCGTCATCATGGAAAAGCCACGACTTCAATCTACTTCAGTCCACCAATCCGAGGAAGAAACTGCCCAAAGGATCATTGACATCCTCCTTTGCGCCGAAAAGTCCGGCAGTGGTCTCTCTGCTCAAATCGACGATGCCGTTTCCGTCACGGGATGGTCCGAATGGCTTGCTCAAAAAGTTCTGAAGAAGCTGGAGGGTGTTCTCAGAAACGGACGCGACAAGATGGGCCCGGCCATGGCTGAGGCCTATGATCAAGCTTGCGAGGTGGCCGAAATCACGTTCTCCGACCTATTCGAATATGTCAAGGAGCATCCCCTTGAGATTGCAGCTACTGTGCTATTGTCTCTATTCGCGTTTGGTGTGCTAGTCAGGCTGATGCCCGTGGTGCTGGAGCTCTTGGGCTTTGCTGAACTGGGACCAACTGCCGGTGAGCCTCATGATCGATGTCTCAATTCGATACCCAAATCGCTAATAGTTCTTTCTACGTTAGGGTCCTTTGCTTCTTGGTGGGAATCCACCTACGCCGGATACATCCCGAAGGGTTCTCTTTTCTCATTCTTTCAGAGACTGGGGATGACTTGGTCGAAGGTATAAGATTCCACCAGCGTGGCCGTACAAACTGAGATTCGAGCCAGAATAACCGGCAGATATGGACACTGGAGTGGACAATGCAGAAAATCAAATTATTCAGCTTCATATCGCTACAGCAGAAAGAGGAATCATAGGAGGGGACATTACAAAGCTACTAGTATAGTAAGATGCAGAAAGCCGTTGGGTGTGAATGGAGAATTCATTTCTCTGTATGATTTCGCTATCTCCTCACATGCAACCGTAGTCAACCGTCTGTAGCCCTGTTCTTCTTCCTTGCTCCACACAATTGTCAGGCCAAATCCCGGTTTCCTCTCCCCGGTTTATAACTTTCGTAGAATAACCACAACTGCTTTGTCACCGTGACCCTTGACATAATCAATGACATCTTGTGCAACAATCTCAACCACCTTCTCCGCTACCAACTTCTTAACTTCCGCGTCAAATCTGGCCGTTTCCCAGAACTCCTGGAGAACCGTGGCAATAACATTTCCTCCCTTCTTAGCCAGACGAACAAACTCCCTGAGAGCGGGATCCGGGCCAACGTGGCCATTGGTAAAGGTCCCAACGCAGGTGACAAGGTCATAGACGCCCTCTGGCTGTTGCACACGCTGAGTCAAGTCTGCTTGAAATAGGTTTCGGTAAACTCCCGTCTCCCTTGCAATCTTGAGCATGGCAGGAGACAGGTCGAGCCCGTCAATGGCCTTTGCACCAGCCTGGGCAAGAGCCTGGCCTACCAGGCCGGTGCCACAGCCGGCGTCCAAGATGGAGTAATGGGCTAAATCCTGGGAGGACCGGAGAGCCACCTGGGCAACGATCTCAGGAGCGACATACTCTTGAGCTTTGTCGCCAACTTCATCGTTGTAGGTAGCAGCCCATTTGTCATAGAGGCTCATGCAATCCTGCACGCTGCCACAAGCGCGAGCTTGAGCAAGATACATTTGCGGTGTTTGGACTTCGGTCATCATCTTGAAGATGGTCCTTGGGGTTATGTTGAATGTAGGAGAAAGTTGAGAGATGGAAAGGCGGACTTTTGAGTCAAGATTGAAGTTTAGCAAGAGAGATGCTTGATGTATGTTGTAAGACTTGCTGATGTTCTCTATTCTTACTTTGTCCTGATCATGGAACACAGGAGGGTTCTTATAGAGCTCGTTCGTCCAAAGACCAAACAGGCCTCGATGCACTGGTGCAGCGGCATTGATCACGGCATCAACAGTTGAGTCCGTAGGCTACACCCGTATAAGCTACAGCATCAGCATCCTGGGCTTCTTGGTTTTGGACTGAACTGGGTGAAGATGGGCGTGGACTAATGTGAAAGGGCACGACTTGTGAAGAATATCCCAATTGCTAGTACGATCACATGCGTGGCTCTCCAATACCGGCATCAAAACCGTATTATCCCACGCATTGTTTATTTTAGTATTAGCTATTATTAATCTGGGGTATTTTCTTCTATCCAGGTCCTGTTTCCTTGTTTTCTTCCAATCCAAGATTTAGATCTAGGTCTTCTTTCCTTGTATGATAGCCTACTCCAGTGTGTATCAAGCTTCTTCCCATGAAGTTGCAGATGCTCTCCCTTTGGGAACACACCTCCTCCATGGCTTATCAAGTATGGAGCAGCTAGTAGCCATCGCTATCCTCTAAACAGTTAGTTTTCTCTGTCTCCCATTTGCCTAAATACCTTATTTCTACATCTTCCAAGTCCTATTCTCAGGGATCACGGACAGGCACCTCGAAACGGAAATACTCGGGTACTCAAGAAGGAGCAAGCATCTGGATGAACTACCCCCACGAGCTCCAAGGCCATCCTACCGGTTGATCATCTCGCAAGTATGTACCATCCTATCTCTTCGGAGTATCTACTTACGGTTACTGTACTTCTTTGATTACGATGAGACCGGCGTAATGTTCATGCCATTGTGCCCATCATTACTCGATCTCGATCTCCTCCTCCATATCCCCTGCTTATCCGTGCATCATATGCATATAAGCACGGATACTACCATTGAGAATTTACAAATGCGCTCCTCTTCCCGTCCCCGAACTGCGTCGGCTACTCGACATTTCGTCATAATACGACGTCCCAAAAGGCTCCTTTGCATCGATCTAGCTTTCATACCCGCTGTATAGCCACTCTCTCCCGTCCCGCGCCATTAAGCCGCGGCGCTAGTATCTTGATTGAGTTCCAATATGCGGCTTATGCGCATCCTCCTGATTTCTTGTGGAGCTGGCAGCCTTGTCGCTTTTTGTCTGCGGTTAGTCGCGACTTTCTACATGTCAAACTTGTTGTATTACACGGCTGCACGTCTTGGCTGTTGGCTGTCACCTGTTAACCGCTGCCAATGTTTCATTGCGTCATTCACGGCTCGTCAATATGCAGATTTCTCGCGCCTTTGCGCCGATCCTCCTTTCAACCTGCTATGCATCCGCATTCCTTCTTCCGCTGCCGCTCACAGCGGCATTACCTTGTCCTTATCCTCAACTTCTGGCCGTGTCTTAGGCAGTCCGACTGAAACAGGACCCTAGGAAATTCGACCATTGTCTCATCAAACAATGATCCGGCAGGACCCGTCGCGTGAGCCAGAGTTGCTGTTGGACAGGGCAATGAGTGAGAGCAAAGACGCGTCACAAACACCAGGTAAGTCAGGTGCCCTCGCGGCTCAGATAACTCATCGGCTAGGTATCTGGCTAACAACTCCCGAATGAAAGAGGCGGCTAGCAGCAGCAAGACTGAAGCCCAACCAGAGGTGGAAGATGCAGATGCAGATGCCACACACAGCCCTCATACATACCCCGAGGGCGGACGCGATGCCTGGCTCGTCGTCTTCGGCGCATGGTGCGGCTTGACTGCTTCATTGGGCATTTACAACACGTCTGGGGTCTTTGAGGTCGTCATCTCTCAGGTCATTCTTCCGCAATACTCTGCCTCCACCCTCGGCTGGCTGTTTTCCACCTACGCCTTTGTGAACTGGATCTTCGGAGTGCAAGTTGGGCCTACTTTCGATGCCATTGGCCCGCGAGCCCTCATCACAGCCGGCACAGTCTGCACGCTAGTTGGAATCTTCACACTCAGCCTATGCACGGGTAGGCTTCCGGAATCCGTCAATGATGTTTGCCGGTGGGCATTGGGCTGACGATCATTGCCATGTGGCATCGCAGAGTACTACCAGATTCTCCTATCCTTCTCTATCCTGACTGGCATTGGATCGTCCCTCCTGCTGACGCCGTCTATGGGATGTGTCGCCCACTGGTTCATGAAACGCCGCGGCCTCGCCAGCGGCATCGCATTCATCGGCGGTGGGTTCGGCGGCGTGCTGTTCCCCCTCATGATGCAAGCCCTGCTGCCTCAAGTCGGATGGGCCTGGACGATCCGAATCCTGGGGTTCGTGTTGCTGGTCCTCTGCGCCGTCAGCATTGCCTTTTGTCGGAGCCGCATTCCCCCGCGCAAGGGCAGCGCCACGACATGGCGGGATACGCTCCCCGATTATCGAATCTTCCTTGACGGGACGGGAGCCATGGGGGCCACCACTGCCGGGGTGCTGTTGACCGACCTCGCGTACTTCATCCCCATCACCTACACGCCAAGCTACTACATTGATCGCCAAGGATTCTCCTCGGAGGAATCCCTCACCGGCTCGGCCGCGTTTGCATATCAGTTGCTCGCTATTCTGAATGCGGCATCCTGTGTAGGCCGCTGCGTGGCCGGCGAACTGGCCGATCGATTCGGCAGATACAACACCATGATCGGCTCCCTTGTACTTTGTACAATATCCGTCTTATGTCTGTGGATGACGGATATACTGGTACCGGGACTGAACAGTGACGGGCTCTTAGTGGCCTTTGTCGTTCTTTTCGGTTTCCAGAGCGGTTCCAACGTCAGCTTGACGCCTATCTGCCTCGGCCAACTTTGTGACACGGAAGAGTACGGGCGATACTACGCAAGCTGCTTCACGGTGGTTGCATTCGGCGTCCTGGCAAGCCTGCCTATCGCCGGCGGCTTGCTGAGCGTGACGGGTACCAGCGGGAAAGAGAAGTACTGGGGGGCTGCCTTGTTTACCGGGCTCAGTTATGTTGCCGCCCTCCTTTGCTTCGTGTGGGTCAGAGTCAAGCTCATGGGCTGGTCATGGCGGATCAAGTGGTAATTCATTGACCTGCCAGATATTCAACAGCTATAGAAGTTGTAGATACGATATGGGAGAATGCATCCTGTTGGGTTGGTGGCTAGGCCATTCTCTTGCAGATCCGATATTTCGTGATACACCCGCAACGTCGGCGTATACTTGATATGGCATATCAAGGCCTGTCAAGAGCATTATAATCTGACATTCACATGCCATGTAACCCAAATGCCACATTGTCACATCATGACTGTCTGTATTTCTCAAGATCCTTCCATCTAGTTCACACATATCTTAGTAAGTTGACTGCAACTTTGCTCTATGGGCCGCGCGGAGCGTTACATGGAAACTGCCAAGGGCAGGGCGGAGCAGACATTATCTTACGCGATGTTCTGAGATTGGCAAAGATCTCTGGTGGTGAGAATCTAGGCGGACAGGTTGTAGATTATCCGGAGGGTAGCATTCATGTATTGGCATCCTTGCAATATAACCAGCTCCAGCCCCGGGTATCTGCAAGAGATCGAGCGATGCACTCCTCCGCTCACAAAGTATACGACTGCGTGCCAAGTATGTTCAATCACCAAGAGATCATCAGTCCCTAATCCTGAGTCTAGATCTTGGATACGAGGATCATACGACGTCTGTATGGCTATGTCACCTCGGCTCTGTCAATCTTGAGAGCCGTGTTGCATCAAGGCCGCTTGTGATATCTCATAGTAATCAGGCATAGGCCTCCAAGGATGCGTCCTTTCATGACGCAATGAGCACACATCACTGCTAAACTCACAATTGCCTTGAATGGATTCAATAATCGTTTGATGTATGTTGTTATGACGTCGCCAATGAGAAGTGGTGTCCCTTTATAAAGTGTGAAGGCGAGCAGCTTCACCTAATAGGTAGGCAATCATACAACTTTCATATAGTCAATCTACTTTAATTCAAGACATACTTGACAAGAGACTCTGCACCCCAAGTTGTTACCATGGCAGTTCCCACTCTTGACTTCAGCAAGTTCATCTCAGGAACCCCTGAGGAGCGCAAGCAGTTTGCGCTTGACCTGCTCGACAGCTTTGAGAGGACCGGGTTCGCAAAGTTGAAGAACCATACCTTCAGCAATGACCAGCTTCGAGAACTGTTTCACTGGGTAAGCAACTTCTTGCAGAGTTCTGATACTAGCAGCGTTAGAATTGTACTAACCAAGCTCTTCAAAACTCCCAGGGACACTCGTTCTTTAACCAGCCCCTGGAGGTCAAGAACGCGATTCCAAACGAGCCCGGGCCTAGGCCCATGCGTGGCTACACTCCTTGGCGAGTAGAGGAGGTCGGGAAGCTGCACCATGAAGAAAGAGTCCGCATTATGAAGGACTCAAAGGTATGACCTCACTTACGCTTTTCCCTTCAACCTTGGCTCAGTTGTACTTACCATCATGATGATCAGGAGCATTTTGACCAGGGCCCCTCTGACGACGTGGAGTTCCCCAACAAGTGGCCCACTGACTCCAGCCTGGCCGGCTTCCGGCCTTTTATGGAAGCCTTCTACCAGCAGTGCAACGATGTGTGCCTCACATTGATGCATGCCCTCGAGGTCGCCTGGGACATTGACGATGGATCCCTCGTCGCCCGGTGCGCCCCCAGTGCCACCGACATGCGACTTACACACTATCCCGAGATCGCCGTCGATGAGCTGCAGACGGGACGCACCACCCGTATTGCACCCCACACGGACTTTGGCCCCATCACCTTGCTGTTCCAGGACAGCACCGGTGGGCTGGAGATTGAAGACCGCCGCGCCAATGCGTTTGTCCCCCTGCCGCCAACTGATACGACCGAGATGATTCTCAACGTGGGCGACACGTTGACTCGCTGGACTAACGGCAGAATCACTGGAGGCGTGCACCAAGTTGCTGTCCCGGAGGCGATGAGAGGCAAGAGCGGACTGATTATCCCGTCTCGCATGTCTATGGCGTATCTATTCAAGGCTGGACGTGATACGTCTGTTGGTCCGCTGCCCAAGTTTGTCTCTGCCAAGGAGCCTGCCATTTATCCTGACATTACTGCCCTTGAGTTCCAGCGCTGGAGGAACAGCATTGTCTACAACTTGGATAAGGAGGAAGACAGTGTCAAGTATAATGGGCATGTGGACAAGCCCGCAGCGGCGGCAGGCCTCCAGCAAGTCCAGGCCATCCGCGCCTAACTTTGTGCTTCGTTCTGATGTAGTTACCTCTCAAGCTGTATCGATAATTCTTGAATCAAGGAAAATGAATGCCAAGTCACGAATGATGCTTCTGAGCTGGTGGATAGTCGCATCGAATCGCCTGTAAGTCGAGGGTAAGTGACCATGGCGACGCTACAAGGCGACAATGTCCCAAGCCAACAAACCATGTCACCGCCGCTCCATGTGCGACATGGTCAATCAAATGCCCTTGCCTGACTCCATGAAGCTCACAAATGAAGAGTGCAAACGCTCACCAAACAAGGCTCTATACGGCCTGCGTTGACCGATCTACTACCACCCGTACCCTATATATGTATGATAGAGATCAAGCCAGCAATGGGAATGAGAATTACGCAGACTATAGGCGTGATTGAGGCAGTCCTCATCCAGAGTGTTTAGCATCGATTGCTTCAAGCAAGCTACGCTATACTATGAGACTTACCGCGGGTGCAATTTTTTCTCTATCACGATGACTAGAACATCTCAAGATGAGGCATTTGGTAACCATTCAAAAGGAGGTACCAGTCAGGCGTGAGGGAATGGAGAACGCTGCGGTCCCTGCTTGTAAGAAGCGGCAAAGAGGCGGTGCAGCCGTCGCTCGTTACCATTGTCGTATCGTTTGCTCTACCCAATGGAAATACCAAGCATGTCGAGATCTCGGATTGATCCATGTGCATCATCTAAATCGAACCATTGGTGCTGCTACTGGACAACTTCAGCTTACACTTCTGCAGTATGCAGATCAGAGATTCAGTCACATTGAGCCCTCTCGGGGCAGAGGGAGAGAACTTGATAAGTATCCAGCTATAAACTAGCTACCCAGTTCCCATATTAATCCTCGCAATGGACGCACTCAAATAGGTAACCCTACACGCAGCTGATGGTGTACCGAAGCCTTGGGGCTCCAGCCGCTGCCTATGAGAGAAAAAAAGCTCACCTTAATGATGGGAGGTTGATGAAATCTTTAGCGTCGCGATAAGATAAGGGCGGCCAACGGAAGAAGCTTGCAGTGACTCAAATGGGCCGCTTTAGCACATGCCGCCATCTTGAATCTTTCAACCCTGCGACATCTCTCGAGCAGCAAAGAACCGCAAGAAGCCATGGCTACGATCATTGTGAGTCGCCGCCACACAGTCAATCATGATATACAGGAGCTGACCTTGATTCCTCTACAGCTTGGCGCCCAATGGGGTTCGTGCCGCTTCCCTTTGCAGCCGCATTTCGGCCGATATCGCGATGCGCTAACATGACGATTGCGACTCTGCAGGCGACGAAGGCGTACGACTTGCCCGCACAATGCTGCTGTTCCCTGGACCGCTCTTTGCTGACGACGGCGACTCGATAGAAAGGAAAACTGACCGACATCCTTGCCCCCGAAGCGCAGCTTTGCGCGCGAGCTGCTGTGAGCCCTGCCCGAGACCGACGCCTATAATATCCATCCATATAGGTAGCATTTGAGAATGGACGAGCTGAGACGACATCTAGGGAGGACACAACGCTGGCCACTCGATTGTGTGAGTCGATCAATCCCGTCGCCATCTGATTCCTGACCCTGGATTTGCTGACAATGGCCCTCCTTTAGTGCCAATGGTGTGTCGTACAGGTATGCGCTTCCGAGGACCGTCTCGTCCAGGAGCCACGACTTACAGTCGCCAGTTTCCACTTGCTTCCTTCAGGCCTGGTCAATCCCAACTGGTACGTCCACCACCATTGATGGAAAAGTCCGGGAGCGAAGAGCTAACCGTGCTATATAGCCTGAACCTCATCGGCTCTGCCGTGGTTGCCCATATTGTTCGTCGCCAAGCATCCTCGAGTACGGGATGTCGCCCTGCTAACAACATTGCGTAGCCTTCTTTCTTCAAGGAGCTGGAGGAACTGGAGCGCAAGGGGCTTTCCAAGTACGCTAGGCTCAGCGGACCCGACGAACTGCGAATGATGCCTGCTAACCGAACCACAGCGTCCACGACCGAATCTTCATCAGCGATCGAGTAGGGATGATGATACCTGGCATGGCGAAGTGTTAAACTGACCATTTGGTAACAGGTCCACATTGATCTGGATCTCCATGTTGCCGTCGACGGACTCGAGGAGTTGGAACTCGGAGGTAAGCGCATCACAAGAGATTGCCTGCAATGGTTTGCTCACATCCAGCAGACCGCAAGGTTGGAACGACGGGACGAGGAATTGGACCGTGCTACAGCACAAAAGCCGCGGTAAGAGGCCAACCCAATGACATAGTCGATGGACGTTCTTTTCTGAGACAGCTATAGCGAAGTGGAATCCGACTTGCCGAGGTCTTCAACGAGCAAGTCTTTGAGCAGAAACTCCGACGACTTGCATCGGGCTTCAAGAAGCGTTACGGCGATCTGCTCAAGTACGATGTCGAGGAGGAGCTCGCCCGCTTCAAGGGGTATCGCCCTAAGCTTGCCAAGTACACTGTCGACGCCATTGCTTTCATGAAGCAAGCACAGGAGAAGAACATGAAGATTCTTTGCGAAGGAGCAAATGGTGAGACCCCAGCTTCTTCGTCCCGACCTCTGGTCAGCGTCGCTAACGGATGTAGCTCTCATGTTGGATCTTGACTGGGGCTCAGTAAGTCAAACTCGGCGAGCTACTACTGCGTCTCTTTGAATGCAAGCTTATCGGCGTGAAACAGTACCCATACGTCACCAGCAGCTCTACTGGGTTCGTACCACTGACCCTTCATCTCTTACGCCACCTATACTAACTCAGAATAGCATCGGCGGCATGGTCACTGGACTTGCCCTCGATATCCGGAAGATCGGTGAGGTTATCGGCGTGGTCAAGGCCTACACCACCCGTGTTGGCTCTGGAGCTTTCAAGACCGAGGACCTCGGAGAGTATGGTCTCTTCCGCTCCTCTGAGCATGTGAAGATAGCTAACATCCTCTCCAGAATTGGCAATGAGCTGCAGCAACGTGGCCGCGAATGGGTAAAACTCAAAACCTTCATCATTTGGCCGGCATTGACACCACTGACTCGCCTTAGGGAACCTCCACTGGTCGAACTCGTCGATGCGGCTGGTGAGTATCCCCCCCCCCCCCCCCCCTTGAGACACGTGTGACGAGGATATGTGGCTGACTGAAGCAGGCTTGGTATGCGGACTTTTCCACCCTTTTCACTTCCTCTAGGGCTTGCTATTGACTAAGACTGCAGACCTCGTTGTTGTCAAATACACCACGGTATAAACTGCTCATTCACTGTCTTCACACATGGAGCAGCCCTCTGACAAATCACAGGACGTCAACCACTACACGGCGCTCAACCTCACAAAGGTAACATGCTTTATCACCCAATCGGATGATCAGAAAGAAGAATAGCAGCTGACTGGAGGACAACCGCGTAGCTCGATGTCCTGGACACCTTCCGCACGATCAAGATCGCCATTGCGTACAAGGACCCCGAGACCGGCGAGGTATGCCCTTTCAAGACATCTAGACCATGTTGGAGACTTCTATGCTTACAAACTGTAGGAACTCGAGTCGTACCCCGCATCTTTGGACATCCTCGACCGCGCCGAAGTCGTCTACCACGAGATGCCCGGCTGGAACACGCCCACGACTAACGCGAAGACTTTCGAGGATCTTCCCAAGGAGGCCCAAGACTACATCTTGGTTAGAAACATCGCATGTGCTTCTATTCTCAGCTTTTACTAACATGTGATTCCTAGTACATTGAGAAGTTTGTTGGTGTCAAGGTACGCTTCATTCCCAGCCCAAAGCTTCGAGATTGCATACTCACAAGTCGCAGATCAAGTGGATCGGCACCGGGCCCGACCGCGACGCCATGATCACCCGATTCTAGACGGCCACTGCGGATAGCATAGACTAGGACGAGGTAGAAGGAAGAGCATCTACTCGCCCACGTACCACGTGCCCTGAGGCACAACATGTAAGTACCATAAGAACTAAAAGTCCGGTGTAAGTCTAGAAGAGCATTCTGGAGGTGTCCAATCAGAAACTTCTAGTTTGCAGGAGAAATACAAAATCTAGCAATGAATTTGATGAGGAAGGTTCACAGTCAGACGCGTATCATCCGAAGCCCTGGAGGCCAATTAGGGATAGACAGCCGTGAGCTCGTAGCCATATTCTAGCTTATCTGCAAGTAAAATTCAAACTTTGATCGTGTTGTAGTTGTGAGAACGGGCGTAGGTTCATAGCCTGCGACTGACAGTCGTATTGAGAAACTCAGGTCAAGACCATGTGCGCTTACGTCTCTTCCTCTGTTTGCGCCTTACACTTGCGGAACTCCAATTCTATCTGTACATTGTTCGACAAAAGACACTGCTCTGCATAGACGGGTATTTGAGCTCTACATCAGACATGATGACAGGTACGACGCTACTGTTCTTCTGATGCACAAAATCTTCATTTAGAAAAAGGCAGCGACTCGTGCCAAATCTTGCTTCTCAATACATCTTCAACCTTCCTGATGAGCTACTATGCCATCTACTCTTCACTCTTGCGGCGCAATTCCTCCTTAAAGTCTCTCCGAAACTCTCGAGCCTCCTGTCGTGCCTTTGTGCCCGCCTCGCGCGCCTTTCCCTTCAAGCCAGAAATTGCCGAACCAAATGCGCGTTTGGGACCGTCACTCGTCTGGGTCTTTGGCTCTCGGGGTCTTAAAAAGTATCTCTTGGCGGAGTCTCCGGCAGACAAGAGACGCTTCATCTTCCTTGCCAGCTTTGTACCAGCGGACAGCTCCTTTTGAGGTTTGATGCTGTCTGAACATGGTGAAATCAAAGTCTCCTCAACTTGCTGCATCTCTTCACGCTCGTTGTCGCTGTCGTAGCTAGCCATCTCCGCAGGAATGTCACTGATCTGGGGCAGAGCTGTTGATATGGCTTCTGTCGTCGCCACGTCGGGCAGAGTAGACTCTTCTTCCTCGACGATTTCTTTAGGTCCTCGTATGAGCTCTCCGAGTTTCAGAACTGAAAAGTTGCACATCTGCTTGACCACTCGATCATACGCTTCCTGTGACAGCTTGTACTCTCCATCTTGGAGAGTATAAGCGGGCATCTGGACAAACTCTTCAACCGACATAACCGTCTCGCGCACCGTTTCCCTGCTTGCAGCAAACCACTCTCTGTGGCCCCCTTTGCATTGAGCGCATTCTATCACACAAATATTTGCGTGACGAAGAATGATCTGAGAAATCCTCTCCGCATGAGGTGCACCAGCGAACCTTTTCGTCTCGTAGATGACTTTTGTGTTGGTACCGTAACAGTTGTTGGGTTGGTGCAGTCTTTCTTTTGCACTCTTGCTCGACCACCCGATCTTGAAAAGGGACGGATTCTCGTTGTGCTCGAGGATATAGACCACGCCTTCTCTCATTTTCTCTGGCGTCGGATGGCTGCTGATGATTTGAAATACCGGCGAATGGTCTCTGACTGACCCGTTGCGATGGAGGCCAGTAATCCCAAGTGCTTTAATGACGGTATCCTCCGTCGTGTCACCGTCGCTTTGGGACACCGGATCGCTCATGCCAGGGGCCAGAACCAAGTCTTGCATTCTCTCGTCATTGTTTCGAGAAATATCCTGGCGGGGAGCTTCATCTCCTACAGGTATCCTTGTAGTGACACTTGATTGACCAGATCGACCAGATTCCACCTGAACAACAGGTGCTTCCTGGACAGCAACAGCCGTCTGGCGACTTCTGCCTTGACCAGCCACCCTCGTCACAGGAACGGCTTGTTCAACAGCAGTGACTTCTTCGACAATATCCAGAATCTCCAACACAGGAGTTGTTCCATTGCGCAAGGGGGTATGATGAGGAGAGCTCATAAACGTGGTGTTGCTGGCCAGCGAACGAGTTTCCGCAACACTCTCATTGAAAGAGCTGCCGTCGTCCGATGTCGCACTGGCTGATGAGGGAACAAGGATTCGAGGCGTTGAGGGCAGCATTTGCAGTGCTGCCGCCGTTATTGGCTGTATGACAGGAGCATTGGTCTGCTGCACAGCCGGCGTAGGTCTAGGTCTTGGCCTTGCAACTCGCGCTGGACGTTGCCGTGCGTTGGATCTCGAGGCAATCCTTTCTCTCTTCCATTCAGTGAAGGCATAACAGGCGTTAGGGCGATGCCACCTCTTGCAGTGCGTATAAGTGACAAAAGTCTCCATCTTGCTGTAGAAGCTGTCCGTATCGGGACACTCTGTCATGTCACGGAACTCAGACAGCAGACTTGGAATCTGCCATCGCTCGTATTGCGTGCATGGAGGGTTTCTGCACCGTCCTCCGTCGCGCCTCATTGCACGACAGGTGCTGAAGTCGGAGTCTTGCGGGTCTGGAGACACATCTGTGTACCGTTGGATCTCTGTGAGGGCCGCGAAGACGGGGTTTTGCGTTGCTGCTCGGGGGGTCATTTTGATTGGGTTGTTTCTTGAGAAAAGGTTGTTTTCGATGATACCGTCTTGTTGCACTGTTTAATTTCTTTCAATGAGGTGCTGTAACGAGAGTTACCGGCGTATTAATGCGCGGGATCGTGAGGCTGTGAGGCTGAAGAGGGCGCTTCACGAAACGGTCATTATGCATGTTGGTTGTGGCTTGCTGCATGGCATCGCGGACCCCGTCATAGATGGGCAGATTCTGCTGAAGACTGGCCATCTCAATCAGCCTCATGTCGACAGAGCTGAAGACTGCAATCTTTTTCGAAGCGAGTCGATTACTTTTCAGTTTACAGTACTAGACAGAATTTGGGCAGTGCAAGATGCCCTTGTCCATCGCCTGAGACGGGCCATAATCGCGGCCGCATTAGCTTGGGCTTTCTCGACGTCTATCACGGGCGACCACTTGGCCGGCGCTTAGATGATCCAATTGACCGTAGGTGATGTGGAAACTGTTCAAGGGAGGATTTTTCAGCTCCTGCTCGGGTGCTTGAGGCATCCAATTGCCGGTTTCTTTGTTCGGCAGACCTATTGCCCAACTACATGCGATAAGTGTCTCATTTCGATGGTGAGGCTGGTTTCCCAACGGCCCACCAGCTCTTGTCGTGCAACAATCACGATTTCTGTGTTGCAATAGCTGAATGCCATCACCGTCATCAACTGTGGATTGTCCATGGATCTATCAAGTCAAGAATAAACTGACGCGGTTTTGCGAGGCGACGAAACATATTCTCACGAAGGCAATCTCCCGCAGAGGCATGGAGTCTGTGGTCGTTACAACTTCATGAGTCCTCCTCTCCGCTGCTCTCCTTGTCAGCCGCTGGGGGCTTTCCTGTATCTCGTATAAAACTCATGAAGGCTTAACTTTTTCTATGGAAGTATCTTCTCCATTTCTTTGGCGGAGTTCCCGGATGAAGGACTACATGAAGTCAAGATCATCATCTTCACCGATTTTCTCTTCGCCCATTGCAAACATGCGCTGCAGGAATGTAGAGCAAGTGTCTCTCCCCGGAGTCAGAGGTACCGAAATGCGACGTCTACCCTTGGATGTCTGTACCTTCTTGAATCCCATAGGCCGCTGCCCGCAGTAAATCCATTCTAGAGAAGGCAACACGCGTGAGTATCTTTCTGCTTCTCGAAGCATGCGGTTACGATGAGCACATTCCCAAAGCCGAGCCCCTCCGAGCCTGACTTGATAGAAAAACTCGTCGTCTTCAGTCGGTCCATCATAAAGATGCTCCATTGATCTGCGGCGGTCGAGGTACGGCCGCTCCATGGCGATCTCCTCCAATTCTGGTGATGTGAATGGATAGTCGTAGTAGTTTTCCACAGTACCGACGGAAATGCCTGGTGTAGTGTAGGTATCTCGTGAGAATGCGAGTCTCTTGAGCTTGACCAGTCCTCGGAGGCTTGGCCGTACCACCGTGTGGTCGATCAGCCATTGGTGACGATCGCCATAGATTTCTCCGGCAGTGAGATATAGCTGCTCCAGCGACTTGATACTGCCAATGGCCGCTAAAGAATTCGTGGAGATGGAAGCAATGTTTGACAACATTTCCTCTGAGCGATCCGGTCCACGCCATGCCAGTGAGAGGGAGGTGAGGTTTGACCATCTACCATTGGCAAGGAGAGGAACGAGGTGAGAGTCCATCAGCTGTGGCTCACCGTTTTGGACAGAAAGTTTGCGAAGGTGATAATGGCGCGAAATGAAGTTAAGAATTGCAGGCGCTTGTCTCTCACCCTTGTAGCCAAAGAATGGCAACACCAGCGTCTGGAGTTGATCCAGAGGTTGGCAGGCATTGATGGACTGTATGAAGGATCTTGAATAACTGTTAGGCAAGGCAAGGTGCCTCAGCGGCGAAGAGAGGAGTGAACTCCAGGCTACAGTGTCGAGATCGTCAAGGCAGCCGGATAGGTTAAGATGCTGGAGTTGGCCAAAGTCTGCCGGCTTATGGCCGAACGAAAGCAACTCGTAACGCGCAGAATCCTTGCATCGTATGGTCAAGTGCTGGAGAGTCGCACTGCAACCCTGCAGAAGACAGCTCATAAAGGGTAATAAGTCTTTATTTTCCCAAGCCAGCTCGTCATCGTCGTAGAGTTCGTCGTCTTCGAGCTCTTCTTCTTTGTAGAGCTCGTCATCTTCGCCCATCTCGTCATCTTCGCCCATCTCGTCGTCTTCACAAATTTCATCGTCTTCACTGATCTCGTCATCTTCACACATTTCGTCGTCTTCGCAGACCTCGTCGTCATCGGAGATCTCGTCGTCTGCGTGGACCTTGTCATAGCACGCCAAAATGTCCAGATGCAGTGTTTTCAGTGACAGAACAGACCGTCCCAAGCTATTGAGGCAATATGGGTTGCCGATGTACGCATTGCAAATCTTGAGATGGTGTAAAGGAAGTCTTGTGACACACTTGAAGAAACTCTTGTCAAGGCACATCTTATCGTACCAGACAAGTGATTCGATATTGGGCATTACGCTCATGGCAGTAAGAAGAGAAGTGATATGTGTTTCGAAGTAATAGTCTGTGGCTGCCTTGCGTAGTTCAGCACGCTCCTGAGCAGTGACGGTCCTGGCTGTATCGCCCCGGGTAGAGTCGTAGAGCTCGCTGTGTACATCAGCGACGTAATCCCGATCGGAACGAACCGTCACTCTGCGGATACAGGATCCAATGAAAGGCGGGCGGATAGGCGTGTCTTTGTTTTGTTTGGCACATGCCTCCCTCGTCAGATGAGAAAGAAGCTGGTTTGATCTTGGACCATAGTCGAAGCACACATCGGCAAACCAACAGGAACGAGCCAACTGTCTGCAGTCGCTGTTGACCAAGGCCAGGGCAGAGATGGTAGCTTTTTCGTCCACCAGTAGGTTCATGATTTCTCCGAGAATCTCTGGTGGCAGGGTGAAGAGGGGACTCTTTGATGCAGGCGGGCGGCCTTCCATGGCGCTTGGAAGCGGGAGTGGCAGAAGCCTTCTTGTGTCCTGCACTCTCCCGAACTCATCTTGCTCATCGCGCGAGAACGGGGAGCCAATGAGCCGCGAAACATCATGGCCCCCTAGCATGATGGCAAGGATATCTTGCAGAAGGGTAAAACAAGGAAAAGAATTGGCCTAATGGTGATCGAGTTTGGTGCTATGCTAGGTGATGGCCAAAAAATCTAAGTACTCACAAGTGAGATGGCTAGGTCGTTATCTGAGCCGACTCCGCACGTGATGCCTAACGGTGCTTACCTAGATCGCTACCTTAAGGCAGAACCAGTTCCTCCCTGGCTTTCATGTTGTCTACACGTCTACCTACTTATCTATCTATTTATCGAATCAGCGTATCGTTGCTGATGTAGGTAGGGTATGTATGCATATTCTTGCCGACTCTCGTTTCTTGATTCCATATTTCTAATTCAGCCAATGCCTACTAACTACAACAGGTGCTGGCTCTCATCTCCCTATAGAACGACCAGTTTCTGCCTCCTTATAGACCAGTGACAGCAAACAGAAAGAACGACGAGTTTAGAAGAGTCGCAGACTGATTCTTTATGTTGGTCTTGTATTCCCAGCCGCCTTACAGGGCCAGAATGGGATATGGGATTTGAATTTTCTTTTTCTCGTAGATGGCCGCGATGAGGCGTATGTCATAGCTGAAATGTCCATACATGGCCCTTGTTCGTCTCTTTGGAACTCGGTGCCTAAGGGCCTTGTAAAATGATTAAGCTTTCTCACGAGGGATACCTCCTGGCGTATAAAGCCGTCCCACGCTCAAATCTCCCCAATGTCTGGATCTTATCTTCATCAGCAGCGGATATACACCTCTAGAGGCCCCACGACTGTACTCTACTACTATACAATGATACAACTTGACGCACGATGACTCCTCATCTCATCGTCACCACAACTTGACTACACTTCTGACCGGCTTCAACAGATGATACCTTGTCTCGTTGTGATGTTTAATTGGGCGAACTGGCAAACCTAGTTACGGGCTCATAGTATGTGTCTGTCTTCCCTTATTATTTCGTCTCTGTCCACCTAGTTGGCCACTCTTGGACGATCCCTATGTCCTACACGTTGACTACCTTGATGAGATACCGTGGTACCAATAGATATGCGCATGGCTACACTTGTCTTTACCTTGACAGCAGCCATGACTCCTAGATACCCACAGACATATACTCTCTTGGCAACTTAGGTACTTGTTTCCTCAATGTCGGAGATGACACCGCCATGAACTTGTATCTGAACATATGGATATCTTCCGGTTGGTGGCTACGAAAGCGTCAGCAAACTGAAGATGAAAGCTGGGACAAGGGCCCTTGTTTGAGCTTGCGGGACATCTCGACACATACCAGACTGTTGTTTCCCTGCAGTTCAAACCGGAGCGACAGATTAAAGACGGTGGCAAATCTGGAAGTTCCACCAGCACAATGGCCACACCATCCGCAGCGATCGTAGCACAGGGAATGGTCGTCGCCAACGCCGGGGTACCAGGTATAGGACGATGTTACGGCTACATCGGCTCTGTCCGCCTGATTTGGGGAGTCTGTACGTTGAAACGGTTGACTTCCTTGCTGAATGTTGGCCTAGACAGCTTCAGTAAATATCTAGACTCAAGCCATCTCAGTTGTTGGCATTATTTTGTACACTCACATTATCCTCATCTCTATGGCCCTCGTCCCGTGGTAGGTTTGAGATATCTGCTGTTGTACTACCGGCCTCTGTGGCCTTGAAGTCATTGATGTCTTTCATGTTCTCTCGGGCGCCAGAGGCTTTTGTATCCGCCCGTGCTATCGACCCCTTTCTTGGGTGACGAGGAGACATGCTTTTATGCTGCTGAAGTGCCTGTTCAGACTTGAAACCACGGCCACAGCTGCACCTCATCAATGTGTCGGGTTTGGGCGTGGAGTTAGGGTTCTTTGGTTTGTGAGGCTTTGTATCGCGCCAGTGTTGCTCAATCGCTGTTGAGTCCTTAAAGACCCTGTTACAGTGGCAGCGAATCTGGGTTTTGGCCTCAGGCGCCTTGTTGACGCTGGCCTCGGACATCTTGTTGATGCTGAAGCAGTTTCTCTGCGTTCGAAGGGTTGTTGCTTCTTTGAAGATGCAGTTTTCAGGGGCGGGTGACGGAGCTCAGATCATGAAAGCGCGCAGCCAGGTTCGTGTGGAGTGTGTTTGCACAAAGTTGCAGTGTTCCTGATTGTCAATTCACTCGAGGACTACTCTTGTACTATCATTTAGGTAGCTAGGCATAGAAGTGCGAGGAGGACTCATTCACTGCAGCATAGACGAAGAGCTGCGTTTGTGTCTCTTCATGTGGGAGTGCCTACTTGTTGAGGACTTGCTTTGATCTTTTTCTACCTGGATGTTGGTCAAAATTCACGCGGACTCAACGCTCTGGCCCAAACTGTAGTGACAATTTGGCGACGGCCTCATTAATCGAAGTCATATCCATCAGCACAATGTCCACACCAGCCACAGTCCTTATCACACAAGGCATGGTTGTCACCCACGTCGGAGTACCATCTATCAGACGATGACCATACTCCTTGACTTCTGGCTCTTGGTTGGGCCGAATAAGCAGATCGATATGTATACTTTGCTTGCTGGCTCTTTCTGGCCTATAAACTATTGGTAAGTAGCCTTCTCGACTTCTCGATACCTATTTGGAAGCTCACTCTGCTATCAACCTTTTGTTTATTGTCTCGGGATGTCCTCGACTGATCCGCTGTCGAATCACCAGGGGGCAGGAAGGACTTCTTCGGCTCGTTGGAACCACTCTCCTGAGCAGCAGACGACGTTTCTCCTGTTTGCGCCTTCGGCCCTCCTCCCCGATGCAAAGGAGAGTCGCGTCTATGCTGTTGAAGCGCTTGTCCTGAGTTGAACTTGCGGCCACAACTGCATATCGTTCGCTCGTTCAGAGTAGGCGGGGGAGCATTATCTTTGGGCGGATGATTTGGTGAGTCGCGCAGGTGTTGCCCCATCGCTGACGGAATCTTGAAGCGCTTGCCACAGTGACAGCGAACTTGGCCTTGCGTCTCGGGCATCATGTAAATGCTGTAGCACTATCTACAGCTTTTGGGAGCCTGTAGGTGGTTCTTCTGAGAGAGCAGCTTTCAAGGCGGGGAAGAGAAGTTGGCTACTGCATGCAGCACAGAACTTCAAGCGAGCAGCTCCGCCGACTATGTTACACGAACCTGCAGCTTTACGACCCCGTCAAGTCACTCGAGAATTCCGATTGGTATACATTAGCTAAGCATCGAAGATCCCTGAAGAGCCAGTTTGCAACAGCACATACGGAGAGCCATGGCGAATATTGTACTATACATGTAGTGTTTTTTCACATGTTGATGACTTGCTTATGATCCGTTCCAGTAGCACGTTCAAGTACTATATGTTTCACAGGGCCTATATCTGGTAATGCCCATGCCAGCCGATGCCTCTTCACATATACATTCATGGAGACCTGCGTTCATTGCCACCCAAATTCCTGACTTTGTTGCCGTAATACACCCGGTGGGCTCTTAGCAGCCTGGAGACAATATACTACAGGGATAAACAATGATCACCATGCGTTCGGATTTCGTATACAATTTGGTCATCAAAAATATATACACTCAGTCACGCCCATCAGTCCTCTCCGTTCATCATCAGATATCCTTGTCAACAGCTCCGACTTCACGAACGCCAACACCGTACCCCTGGATCTAGCCTTGCCACAGGGCTGGGCCAGGGATGGTGTAGCTCGTGATTGTTGTGTAAGGGTTGAACAAGATGCCAGGGTCAGTGGGCTTGTAGAGCTGAGTTGCAGGAGTTCCGGCAGGGAGCGCTTTCGTGCCCGAGCCTGTGACGGCGATGTTCACGCACTGAGGATAGTTCTGCATGCCGTTCGCACTAGAGGCACCATGGGCACTGAACATTAAGACGTTAGCTGAGAATTGCCAACCTTGGGGCGGTTCAACAAGCGAGAAGACACATACGCAAGAAGTTCATGGCGGAAGACATAGTTTCCGGGCCTGAGGCTCGACGGGATCTTCACAGTCCACTTGTTGCCCTGGTTGATCAGATCCTGCTGCGCCCAGACTTGGGTGTTATAGTTGATGCCGGCCTCCTGAATCTTGACCCAGCGCAGGTTGTTCTTGTTCACGGTCGTGCACGATCCGCTGCACTCAGCCACGTAGGTAACGATGGGACCGTAGGGGTGAGGCCAGACGCCAGGGCCCCATTGGAAGACGATGTTGCTGCCGGCCGCTGCAGTGGCAGAAATGGCACCTGGGGCCGCGTTCTTGTGACAGACAATGTCGGGCGTGGTGTATTGGTCAGGGGAGATGAAGCCCAGGTCTAGGTCCTCGGCGTACCTGCATCTGCCGTATCAGCAATGTGCTTAAGAAGAAGGGTCTTCGTGTTTGCATTCGTAACGTACCAGCCAGCAACGTTGGGGAAGTGACCAGTATTCTGCTTCTGATAGTAGTAATCGACTGTTTGAGACACATGTGTTAGCAGTGGTCTGTCTTGCTTGGGCAGGGAAGTAGACATACGAATGAAACCCTGATTGTATTGTCCATTGATCGTGAAGTTTTGGACTTGTCCATGGCCGAGAACGCTCCCGGCAAGACAGCCAAGGGCTGCAAGAATGGCGCAGGACTTCATATCGATGGGGCTTAGATCCTTAAATCAGAATTTGTCTGTCTCAACAACTCGTCTCTTATCATAACCAACATGACCGCGCTCATGTATATATATGTATAGAGAGAGATAGAGAGACGCATTGGGTCAGGGCTTCACGATCGACGATCTCCCCCAGTTTCGGCCACTTATTGAAACAAGATATTTACCCGGCGCCGGAGAATTAGAGTCTGCCAACTCATAGAACTTGGAAACAAATGTCACCTCATGTCACATTCGGTGAAAATAGACACCTCATGTGACAAGCACCAAGAATGCCACCTCATATACAGGTTGAACTCATGATACATCGATGGGCTTCACAGAAGGCAGCGCTTACTGGTGAATTGCGCACAAGCAACACTACCATGAGACAAGCGGACGTAATATCTCCGTATATAGCCAGAGGGATTCAACCACGGCTAAACGAATATGCTTAAATTCTTGGCTAATTTTCTTTTCATAGCCTCAGTCTGGCTGCTGAATTAGGAAGTATTGTTTCGTTCCGTTTTCTTTTTGGCATAGTATCTATGACTGGTATATCAAGTGATGAAACCTTCTTCACAGCATGTGGTGAGCTAATCTATGCTGGTATTTGCGTTATGATGCCTCTAACCAAAGGCAAGCAAGGTCATTGAATACGGCGAGACGCCATTTTATTGGCGGGATTAGCAAGCGGAAGTACGTCAAATACCAATATGCCGTGGAAATGCATGTCGAAAAGTTCGTAAATGTTTGCCGAGACTTTCCCATATTCCGAGCGCAGATGACCATCCTCGAAGAGCCAAGCCGCTCTATCAAGCTATACTAGTATGGATTCCTGGCCACACAGTTGGGAATCCAAGCGGTAAGGTAGTCAAAATCGGGGCTCTTTGACATCTTCTTACGTGGCTTTGACATGACTTAGGTGGCTGCCCAAGAGTCGCCGATTTCACGAGCATTAAGCTTGCAACATTTTCCAAAAGGGGTTACCAGCAGCTTGTGATTGGTTCCAGACGTCGACCCTCACTGTTTTCTAAAGACACCACAATTGCCTATTTTGCTTGCCAAGATCAAGATGAAGTACGTGATTGGGGCGTTAATAAGACATGCTCTGGTCGAGCGGAGGAGGTGAGATGAGGTGGCACACGCTTGCCCAAGTACAAATGCACAAGTCGTTTACATGAATACCTCACCGATTGGTGCGTCTTTGCCCTCAGGAGTCAATATTTATACGAGCTACCTCTCGAGTATCTAGGGCTTATTTTCGCTGGTACTTTGGCAGAGTTGATCCCGCCATAACGTATATCGGCGTTTCCGGTCAGTAGTGTTCATGACGGAGTGTATTTGCGCTGACATTGTCCATCAGAGACGGATCGCCATCGGTGCATCAAGTGACTATGTGAATCTGAGAGATGGAATAAGGAAGGATGCCGGAAAGATTCCCATATGTATAAGTTTAGTAGTCATTGACAACGCAGCTGGTGCAGTTACCTTATATGAAATTGACCGTATATAAACTGGTACACATTTACTCACCCCAGCTCTTCTCACCATGGAGAGGTCTAAGAGCTTGTCATGACTACACGTCCGCCTTTCAACAAAATGCAATGGATGGAAGATCAAGTCTCAGTTTTAGAACCAGTTAACCTCTTACCGTCAGTATTTTCATAGGACAGTGGTCACGACATTGATTGAAGCTAACGCCGACATCGAGGAACTATCGACAGACGATATTGCTTTAGCCTACGCTCAGACAGGTGAGAATGAGGCGTATATCATATCATATTCGTCTTGGAAAAGTTTAAATGGCAATAGTTAAGGCTATCTTAGCTATAGAAGGCATAATTTCAACAAGTTTATGAAGTGAAAGGGGCAGTGAGGGCCTATAAGAACTGTTCCGGAAGGAGTTCAAACTTCATGCGCACTGGAAATCGGGTGGCTTCTCAATATGTAATTGCGTTTTTACTTGGTCACACGGCTTGCTTTTGGTTTCACTTCAACAAAGGATTGCTAGACCCGGCATTGAACGTGTTCGTAAACGGTGGCATGTTCAACACCACTACCACCCTTAGAACGCAGCATACTCTTTGCTCAAAAGATCGTTCTACTTCTCCGCCATTTGTACCGCTGAATAAACGCACTTTCCTTCTCGTCCCTTGTCTAAACTCCTTTTCGCAGACTTGGGTAAAACCCTCATCTGTACAACGTCTCGTAGCTCTCCAGACTAAGAGGCCTTTGTATGTTCAACAGCATCTAGCAGGCTGGAATAATGTAGCTACACAATCCATATCAAGAACAGTTAATCCGGCATACATCGCCATTTCTAACATCGTCACAATTCCTGAAGCCAAGATAAGTATGAAGCGACTTGAGTTTGACCCTTGTCATTGCTTTTCTACATGTCTTTCCATAGTGATCTCACTCCGGCCCTGTTTCGGATCACTTCAAAGGCCAAGGTCGCATTAAACACACTCTTGTCTTATGAGAGTCGTTGACAACCATTGATCATCTTGAGTTCAAACCTCGTTATACAGAACACTGGAGTACATCATCGGCTGTCTACGCCAGGTAATGCCATCATGCAGGTAGAGAACAGGGATCATTGCATACAGGGTTTCAGGTTGAGCAGAGTATATGTTGTACGAAGTATCAGCACCAGGATTGTTTCTTGGAAGACCATACAACGAGTGTAACCAGGCACAACATATTTTATGATAAGGCATCACTCTAAGAGCTGCGTCATGAGGTTCAAAGCGTGCGGAGTTCGAGGTCTATAAATATGTGCCAAAGCTACCTTATTCGCACCAGCATTATTTCGCACTCTAACTTCATCATGTCTGGTATGCTTGTCACTGGTGTCGTTGCTTGGCTGGGCCTTCTCTTTTACTACCACTACAATCGAAAGAAGAATGCATCTCCGAGTCTCCCTCCGGGTCCTAAGCCTTTGCCCATCCTCGGCAACATCTTCGACCTTCCACCACCTGGAATTCCTGAATTCCAGCACTGGCTCAAGTTCAAGGATCTCTACGGCCCAATCAGTTCCATCACAGTCCTGGGACAAACCATAATCATCCTCAGCGACAAGCAGACAACGGACGACATTCTGAACAAAATGTCGCTCAAGACGTCGAGCCGCCCAAGATCGTTTTTCGCATACGAGATGTGTGGTTTTGAGAACTTCACGTCAGGCAGACCGTACGACGCAACCTTTCGACTGCATCGGAAGTTGATGCATCAGCAAGCAGGCACAAAAGCCATCGCCTCACAGTACAATCACATTCACGAGGTAGAGTCCCGGCGACTTCTGAAGCGGATGTTAGACGACCCAAATAACCTGCTTAAGCATTTCAAGACGTGAGTTCGCACCTGGATCTGCGTTTGTTGGTAATGAATACATCTAATGGGTGCAACACACAGCGAGGCGGCCGCCATGATACTCAAGATCGTGTATGGCTATTCCATCGACCCAGACGCCACCGATCCTCTGGTAGAGTTGATCGACAAGATGATGTCCAACTTTTCGGAAGCAATGGTACCCTCGCCAAGACTATGTTGAAATAGAGAGTGTGATGTTATGTGTATATTGATAACATGTAAAGGACTTAGTTCAACTAGATACAAACGTCGGGGGCAGGGCCCTTCTTATACACTGACTTCGATCCGCAGAGACGGACCGGACTGGGGTCGCCCCGTAGTTCAACAGACTAGTCGACATGATTCCAGCTCTCAGGCATCTGCCCGATTGGTTTCCCGGCACAGCGTTCAAGGAGACAGCCCGGCGATGGAACAAGATCAATCGCGATACGGTAAACATTCCATACTCGTTCGTTGAGCGCCAAATGGCAAACGGTACCCATCGCCCATCCATGGTGTCAGATCTCATCGAACGATACACCATGACTGAATCGCAGAACGGAAAATTGGATCGTGACAAGGAGGACGCTATCAAATGGGCGGCAGGAATCTTGTACGGCGGAGGATCAGATACTACTGTCGCCGCTCTGAGCTCCTTCATATTAGCCATTGTCCTGTTCCCGGAAGTCCAGCAGAGAGCACAAGAGGAACTCGACAGTTTGCTCGGCACATGTCCCGAACGGCTTCCGCGCTTCGAAGATCAGGAACGCCTTCCATACACCTCGGCTCTTGTTACAGAGGTGCTACGATGGTATGGAATTGTGCCAATTTCCACGCCTCACATGGCCGACCAGGAGATCATCTATGGCAGTTACCGCATTCCAAAGGGAGCCTGTCTGCTTCCCATAGCCTGGTGCCTTCACCACGATCCGCTCACATACCAAGACCCCTTTTCTTTCTCGCCAGAGAGGTTCCTGGAGCCACGCAATGAACCCGATCCAGGGGAAGCATTTGGCTAGGGCCGCAGAATTTGCCCCGGTCGATACTTGGCCGATGACAACCTCTTCATAACGATTGCGCGGATTCTAGCTGTCTTCAATATCACAAAGGCGGTGGACGAACATGGAAACCCGATAGAGCCTCGTGTAGGGTACACGCCAGGGGTGGTTTCTCATCTGACACAATTTCCGTCTACGGTAATTACTGCGAGGAGCAAGAGGCACGAGGAACTCGTTCGTTCAATCGAGGTAGACCATCCATGGGAGAAGAGCGACGTTGATTCTCTTAATTTTGATGCCGAATTAATGACCAGCACATGAGCATGTCAGATTGCTCCTTACTTGGCGATATTCATTGTTCTCAGCGGAAGGGGGGGGGGGGGGGGGGGGGGGGGAGGAAGAGGTAATTTGACCTGCTTACTCTCCTGATTCTTGAACGTTCTTCGTTATATGGGTTCGGATGATTCAGGGTCTGATTTAGATGCTTTGCAAGGGATTATTGAATGCTATGCAAGATAAGGATGGATATCGTTCACACAGTTTAGCCTTGTGGATGCAATATATTGATTCGCAAGATATGAAGCGGCTTCGACATTAATACGGGCATTATGTATCGTTTAGACCATCGATCGGGTTAGGGGATCATTAATAGAGTCGTTTTCCTGGCTGCATGGAGGATCCCCATCTCCAGCAACTTTCTGGAAATCATAACGCGACTTCGGGTCCTGGGCACATGTCCAATCATCATTCACTCAGATCACCTCCTCCTGCATCTTCTTCTCCATCATCTCCCACAGACCCTGGCCTCTATGTCCAGATAGCCAGTAGTTACCCTCGGCGTCTTTCCCCACAATGATGATTCCATCAGAGAAGCTGTACGGGCCCTGCACACTCTGTACATACGATGGTGTAAGCGGCGTGCTGCGCGGCGTCACAGCCGCCGCCGACAGATCGGTCCCGTACATGTTGGCCTTTTGCCAGTTGGAGAACATGAGCAGCTGCATCGAGCTGCTGCCGAAGAACGGAGGCGCCCTGTTTGCTGGATCGAGTCGGATCAGCGACGTGTAGGCCTCGACTTGTTCGCGAGAGCCCTGCTCCTTGATTGAGCGGCGGATCTGGGATGCCAGATAGCTGAGTGGCTTCTGGAGCACGTCTTTGGCCGGCATCAGAGTGACGAGGAAGCCGACGCAGTTGCTGAGGAACGGCCGGTTTTCGGGGATCAGATCCTTCAGAATTGGACGCCATTGATAGGCTTGTTGCACAGCAATCTAGCAAGCAAGTTAGCATATTGATGTTCGGTTGGTCAGTCAGATTGCAGTTGGGATAGTCACTTACGGGTCTCTCTGAGTTCGCAGGGAGATTAGAAATTGCCAGTCGAGATACCCAAGCCACGAGGACATCTCCCTCGCTCAGGAACGGAACTTCCCACTTCTCGTTGTCAGGGGGCGCCTGAGCAGCAAGTTCCGCGACAGCCTTGACTCTCAACTTTTCAAGATACTCAGCAGGCATGCAGAGCATACGATGCTCCTTCTTCCTGATGATCAAGTTGTAGGAATTTTGAAGCGCCCACCAGACAAGGCCGGGCTTGGACACATGGTGCTGGGCGAGAACATGGGGCTCTGTGGGATTCTTGCCGACATTCTCCAGGATATACTCGTCTGGACCAAGCGGCTCAGGGATCTCGTCTTCTCTGCCCTGGAGCGCCAGCATCCAGGCATCGAGGAGAGCTCGTTTTGCCGTCGCATCAAAGGCGAGGTGTATCCAATGAAGAACGACGACCGTCGAGTTCTTGAACGAGACAATACGTAGACCAAGCTGAGGACGGTCGGTGTAGATGTAGTCATCGAGCTTCGTTGGCACTTCAGGGCCATAGATCAGATCCGACAGCTTATCAGGATCTCCCACAAGTGCCGGTCGGCCATCGCGGGGAGGACGGGGTATGTGTGATGCCGCGGGATGATCCTTCACGGCCAAGTCGCTGTGGTTCACATGGTCAAACCCCACTGCAGGGCGGTCTGGGGAGAAGCTGGCTGGTATATGATGCTCAAGTTCTCCACGATCCTAATTCATGCGAGAGGGGCAGTTGTTAGATTTCAGCCAGATCGGGAGGGGGGAGGGGAGGGTTGAGCACGGCTTATATTGCGCACATTCTTTCTCAGCCGAGCACCCAGCTTCTTCCAGCCAGGGCGGCTCACGACCCGTTCCAAGGAGCTTCGTAATCTCTCGGGATCCAGTACATCGTCGAAAACAAACAGGGTATACAGAACAAACGTCCTGAAGATGATCGTATCGTCAAAGAAGCCGACGGGGACAACCACGTCGGTCGGTACACGCTGAGGCGCCTGAGGCTGCCCAGAGAAGAAACTGAACATCTTTGCCAAGCCGTTACACCGTCTAGTTGTCACAAAGGGATCCTCGGCAGGCGAAACATGGTCCCCTCGAATCCTATTAATATGCGAGAGAAATAAGCGGCGGCGAAGCAGCCGTTCTGCGACGGCACCGGCTTCCGTACTTATCAGTCCTCTTTACTCCCTCCTGCCCCTGTTGGCCCCTTCATTATCGGCCGTTACCCGAGATTGACTCGATTCTATCTCTACCTACTAACTGCATGAGCAAAAAAGAAAAAGTCAGGCCCTCTTCGGAACCAAGGACCAACAGACAGTTGTAGTCCTGCTTAAAGCCGGCACGGGTTTGCTGTCATGCAAGCGACAGGAGAACCCAGTCGGCGTTACTACTACTAGCCAGGCCAGGGTCTCCGTATTTGGACGTTGACGGTTCTCTAGCGTCTCCTCTCTGTCGAAGATATAGTAAGCTACAAAATGATAACTGACAGGCGCAGGGAACAGCAACCTGTGGCAATCTGCCAGCGTCTTCGGACGAAATCACCCGGCCTCAGGGGTTGCGCGGACCTGGGGCCGATTCCCCCGGATGAGGCTATCCTCGGCAAGAGGCCCGCAAAGGGACAGGGACCGCCCAATGAACACGTGCATACACTGGGGCAAGGAAAGTGTTGTAGCGTCTGAAAGACCTCGGTGAGTTTGATATGTGTGCGTATCATGGGTCTCTTGTGTGTGCTAACCATTTCTCGCTTCCAAGTTTTTTTTTTTTTTGCAAACCGCTTGTCTGGGTCCATCCTCAACTATTCCAGAAGCGACACCCGAAGTAACGTCAACCCGTGCCGCTTCACTGCGGCACACGAACTCGGGGTGGGGGAGGTAATTCTGCCGGAAATACGCAAGCCATGGGTTAGGGGGGGAGAACAGAGGGCTTGCCATCAGGCAAAGGAGCTTCCCAACCCGTACGAGTGCGTACGCTACCAAACTCCGAGAGGCTTCGTACAAGTGAGAGGGAGAGTTCTGCTGTATCAAACATGATCTTCCGAGGCATTGGTGCTACAGGTCGAGAACCGTCAGAAGCCAAAGATCAAAGAGAAACCATCATACCACGATGGGACAACCCATCTTCACGCAATGGCATGACTGAAGGATTCTCAGCCATCGAGTTCAGATTTGGCGGCCCAACAAGGTCTAGTTTAGGAAACCAGGTATTCGGCTCAATACGATATACGATACGGAATTTGAGAGGAGCTGCCGCATCCAAGCCCCCAGCCGCCAGGGGAATGCCTGCTTCACGCCGGTCAGACCGTTCCATGTTGGTTCCATGTCCATATTCCATGGGCTTACTTGTCGAACTTTTGCTATTGAGATCTGCAAAAACAAGAATCCTCAAACACACACCGCTGACAGTATTACGGAACGGACCGAAGCGGGTTGTGTTGTTCTCTTCATACTCATACCTACTTTATATCCCACGATGGCACCCAAAAGCCACAGCCGTTAGGAGTTTGTTGGTTCTCTTTTTGCGACTTCTCGCAGACTATTCCGTATCACCTCCGTTTGAAGCTCTCCTATTCGCTGCAGCCTCTCTAGGGCTGCCCTCCCCCAATTGGCCAATATGGCCTCCTTGATGAGTCGAAACGAAGAAGGCGAGCGCATACAACAGATCGCCAATAGCCTGCCTCCGATACCCGTCCATGGCTTCACAAAGACGATTCAAGCAATCACATATGTCATCTGTATCCTCGCGACGTTGACCGTCGGCCTGCGGGTCTACGTGCGCATGCGGCTATCGGGAGCAGAGCGAGCGTGGGGATGGGACGACATCTTCGCAGTAGCCGGCTGGGTAAACAACTTGTCCAAGGCCTTTTCCATGATACGCCGTATCGCCGACAACTAACAATTGGGAGGCAGGTCCCGCTACTACCCTCTGTCGTATTCCTGCTACTGGCAACCTACTATGGCCTGGGTGCCCGTGACGATCATGTGCCCGAGGGCATGCTCATCTACTACCAGGTCAGGGTGAAGGGCTACATGTTCATCTTCGAAATGGTGTACTTTGCCTCGTCGGTTCTGACGAAGCTCGCCATGGCCATCATGATCCTGAGGCTGACCTCAACCAGGCATTATGCCTACATCATCTGGGGGAACATGGCTCTGCTGGGCGTAAACGCAACAGTGTGCTTGATCATCATGTTCGTCAGCTGCTCGCCCCTTCCGGCGCTTTGGAATGAGAAACTGTATGTTGATAAATTGCTTCCCTACCTATGAAGATGCTCCTGACTGACAGAACCGCCAAAGTGGCCATTGCCGTATCGAGTACGGTTGGATCATCATCAGTTATGCCGGCTCTGTCGTTCTCGCCATCGTGGACTGGACCTGCGCAATCACCCCGTTCTTCATGTTGCGAAGTCTGCAGATGCCAAAGAGAAGGAAGATTTCGGTGCAGATCATTCTTGGCTTGGGTATCTTTGGTAGTGCCGCTGGTCTGGTTCGCTTGGGGTACTATCATGCCTACGACACTGTCAAGTACCCGAACCAATCACTTTGTAAGTGCTGCTTGCTATTTCACCCGACAATTCAAAGCTATCCTAGGATCACTGACCAAACCAAACCATCTGTGTAGACAACTGGGGTTCCACGATTCTGTGGTCAGTCCTGGAGGCTGGTTTGGGCATCATCAGCTGCTCGCTGCCTCCCCTCCGTCGCCTCTTCAGGAAGTTCTACCAAGGTTCATCAGGCCAATCCGGCATGAGGTCTGGACCGGCAACAGTCGACGTGAGATTCACCTACCGGCCAACTTTGTGATATTGCTAACTGTTCCTCGCGTCTAGGGTGGCACGCAGCTCAACAGCATCAGTGGGAAGCTGAATGCGGGACTGACCAGCATCAGCCGCAAAGAAGGCTCCAACTGGGACAGACTCGACGACGGTCAGTCGACCTCTAGCCAGCAACACATTGTCAAGTCCACAGAAGTATACGTCGAGACGAGCACCTTGGACGGCGACGAGCCTCAACATAAGCGCAAGGACGGCGAATATTCCTGGAACGATCACGTATAACCTCAAGCCGAAGTCGACTCAGTCGCAAAAAATCGGTGTGTCTGTTATCGTATCAAAAGATCACGACTGACGTGTGTGCTTGCCCGACCAATCTCAACAAACACTGGCTGTTTTACAACTTATATAATAATCTTTGTCTTTCCTTTTTTACCTATATACCCACAGGTACCGTAACATAGTTAGAATTATAGAATGGGCATGGCTTCCATGCATCTCCATACATCACACTCATACATATCCTGCCTTCTCCGTCTTGGGGTATCGATGTAAAAGAGCCTTCGCAGCCGCCGCCGCCGTTGCAGCCGCAAAATCCTGCCACCTCTTATTTTTGTGAGAATCTGCATAATCACAGACACCCTTGACAATGATGCATGGAATTTCTTCCCATATGCCCGCTCCCTCCATCTCAAAGGCTATCACACGTTCTTTCTTCGCAATCCTATCGCGATCTTCGCCTGACTTGAGGACCGTGTCTCCTGATGCCACGGCGCCAATGTGAATTGCTGGTTTTTGTGCCTCTTCTTGACTGTTATGTTCAAGCTCTTCTTTTTCTTGGAGGCGTTCCCTAGGTATGCAGGAGCTTTCTTCGCATCCCAACTCCTCACATGTGGCGTTCAGAGCATCTTCGCAAACAGCATCAGCGCTGCTACTGCAAATGGTGCAAAGAGGTGTGCCTGAGCCGCGATGCTTGTGGCGATAATCCGAACGAAAGAGTCTATCTTTGGCTGTCCCAGGGTAACGGTACTTTGCGAGCGGTCGACGATTCCTGCCCTTTCCCGCATTTTGCATCTGCAATAGGAACTGCGCCGTTTGAGTCCGAAGCAGCCACAGTCCTCGGTCCGTCTCGAAAGTGTTCAGGAGGCCTTGAATGTTCTTTGGTGCTTTGCTGAGATTCTCTTCAAACGAAGCCTTGCGTACAAATCCGCTCGGATATTTTCTGCCAAAGTCGTGCTGGACAACAGTCTTGCCAATGATCACATCGCCAAGCAGGATCTCGTCTTCTACAGAGCCGCCAGGGCGAGGCACGCCTCCACAGACGCCCACAAGCAGCGCCAACTCGATGTTATTGTAACTCGATCTAAAACCGGCGGCAGCAGCGGCGGCGTTCGATTTACCCATGCGTGGAAGTAGGGCGAGGACGACGTTATGCTTGCCGATGCGGCCTGTTGTGTAAGTGTTGAGATCCCCCGCCGCTCTGCCGAATTGGTCCCCATTCTCATCCCAGAATTCGTCAAATATGTGACAAACTGCATTGTACTCTGTTGCAATGGCGCAGATAATGGCGACACTAAAGTGCTCCCTGTCTGGCGGAATAACAGCAGTCGTCGTCATGGCAGGATGGAACCTGGAGTAAACGAGAACAGTTAGCGGCCCAGGCTCTCTTCTATTATGGGGACAAAACACAATATATAGATTGGTTGGCTACACACAAGGATTTGGAGAGCACCTCTGGGCTTCTGTAGCTGGAGAAACTGAAAGTGCTCCTTTGTGATGCCCGAGGAGGCTCATGACTGTTCGTGTTTCGGAAAGGCGATGAGACGCCCATAGTATTTTTGGTCTGCTGTGGCATCATCAGACTTTCCACATGGCAGTCATCCAGTTCCAGGGGTTCTGTGCTATACATCCTCTTTGGCTGAGGCGTATCAGAAACGGAATCTCGGCGTTTCCGTTTGAGTCCTTCAGGATGAAGCTCCTTCTCGAGGTTCCGGACGATCTGTTCGTAGATGACCTCTTTCATAGCAGTGCCAGGCAATGGAGTTTGCTCATGCAGTCCTTGTTGCAAGTGCATGTGTAGGTATAGGCATCCTTGCACAGCTTGAAGGTAGAAACTGTTTCGATCTTGTCGCGCCTCCTCCACGTAACCGCACATCTGTGCCCAATTCACAATGTTTCGGGTAATGTTCTGGGGATCAACGTCAAGCTGAATCTTCTCACCATTGACAATTTCCAACAGCAACTTGGCAAATGAAAGAAGCACAGGATTGCCAGGCCCAATCTTATCGTGTATGTTGTGGTGTGCTGAGCTTGGAGGGTGTGATCTTACCAGGATATGCCACCAAGGCGGCTCCCCCTGACGGCGAGCAGAGCGCATAACGAATATGCTTTCAGCATTCCAATTGCAAACAGCACGCTCAAGGCTCTTATCGAAGAATACCATCAGGCATCTGGCAAGGGCCAATGCCAGGGATGTCTTTTCCCGGTGGTCAAATCTTTCTATTGCCAGTCCTCGCAGGTAAGCGCCAGGGCTAATAGGACGAAACATGTTCTTGTCCAGCAATGAGTTGAGGGCTTCTTCTTCGTAGTCCTGGATGGATGAAGCGATTGGCGGCTCCTCATCCGTGATGTCGAATAGTCCTCGTTGGTCGAACAAGAGGCGGAGCTTTGTACGGTGCTTCCATGATTCGTGTATTGAGATGCAGATATTGTTCTTCTTCTTCTCGAGATTGGTCGGAGCTCTACACTTTGTCAGTGCTGTGTCTTCTATTAAACCGTGGCCCAAGTCATACTGTATAGAGTCACAGATTGCTTCCTGCCAATCGCATTCAGATCGGCAACCGGATATGAGCATCTCAATCTTGGGCCAGTTTGACCCGGCAGTGTGCAGTTCATCCAATACCCTCAGCTTGACCTCGTGCATCATGCCACAGTTCCCTTGCTCGAATTCCTTGAAAATGGCATCCATGACGACTCCCACCGGGTTTTGTGCAACAAGGGGGCGGCTTCGCTCTGGCTTCGTCGCCGCCTTACTCGTCTGGCGCTGAACGATGCCATGCCAGTCTTGAGACCGATCCTTTCTCGCCGCCAGCTTATGGAGGAAAGTCCTCCACGCTGCCACATGATTGAGAACTTGAGTCATGGTTTCGCCATAGGCAGGTATAAATATAGACGAGCTGGGATCGCTCGCCAGATTTAACTGCCTGGAGCCCGATTCATCAAGGAAGAGCATCAATGCCGCCAAGTTCGGATAGAGGCTACCAATCTTCTTGATGTCGTGGGAGTCGCCGCTGCGGTAACCTTCTCCGTCATCATTATCATCATCATCATCATCTGTATGTCCTCGAGTATAGTCCTCATTGACCATACGGTCGAGAGAAGACAACAGGTCATGTGCCCTCCGATCCAAGTCCTCATAGTCGGCGTCCGAAAGATTCACATCTAGACTCGTGGTTTTCAGGATATCGCGAAGGTCGCAGTCCAGCAAATCGGCGTCATTCTGGACCCTGGTCGGCCGATTCGCGGTCGTTTTGCGATGCGTAAACGCCGCAAGTCGACCAGCCAGGCGCACCTTCAGTGCTTGGAAGCCAATCCATGAAAGAGACTCGGTCGGGAGCATGGCATGTTCTGCCTTGAGACGCTGTTATATCAGCACACGAGATGTTGTTCGCTTCCAGCTTGTCCTTGTTCTCCGAGAGTGACATACAATAGAGGCTGAGGGCTGAAAGCGGGGGGGCTTGTGAGGCTGTCATATCGTAGGCAGTCAAACGACCCTGTCCAACTGAATGCTGGAGCCTTGCTGCGCCTTGAACATGCAGTATCACGGCGCTAATGTTTGTCTGCTACCATGCCGATACCTTTGATGCATGTGACCTGTCATGGCTGCATAGTAGATTGAGGGATTCCTTTCAGGTATTCTTAAAGTAGATCTCTATACATGTATGTAATTATGCCCAAGAAGTCATATGGGCAATATCGGGGCGGGGTTTCGCAGGAATAGTGAACAGAAAGGACGACTGGCTCTGTTTTACATTTCCATATCCTGCCCTTTGAAGACGTCCTCGATCTTCCTGCAACTTGCCTCGAGCATCGCCTCGTAAATATTCCGAACAGCAGTCAAGTCTTACAAGATTCTTCATCGCATCTCTCTCACCTGCTAGCAAGTCTCGTCGTGCGGTTGCAGTCACACATGTCGACCACATGAATCGATTCCACCTTCGATCCATCAACGTCCAGATGCTCCCCTACAGTTATGGACGACGGGTGCAAAGACTCCAACGAGCCTATCTTTGAGTTGGCGAGCGAGTGTGAACAGCTATTCTCCCAACATCTCTCGAGACTCAAGGATGCAGGCGACGCAAATGCAACAAAAGCCGTTGGAGAATTTCAACAGCGGTTCTCAGCATGGGCCGCCTTCTTGGGCGTCTTCGCAGTGCCAGAATCATGCCTTGACCGCAAGCTTCAACATCATGCTGAAGTTCAGGATCTGGTGCTTCGCTTGCTGGACGTCATGAAGAGGAACTTGACTTATCGTATGTCCCTGCGTGTCAGCCGTAGTATACTTGGTACTCATGAGCCTGTAGTTTTTGAAGCCCCCCATTCCTCGGACGGCGTTATTGTCGAGCTCCCCAATTTCGAGCAAGCATCAGCGTCTAAAGCCCACCTCCGCATCAGCATGGAAAGTCTACGAGGGGTCGAGGGGGCAATCGAGCGACTTCATCACCTTGGCGGGACTATACAGCTATCGTCAGAAGCGAACCAGGCAGTCCGTATTGGCAAATTTGCAACCAGACTTGACTCGTCCTCCTTCGAACAGTTTGCGCGTCTGGCTATTGCTTCGTTATATCCAGAGGCTAGCCCATCCTTACTCGAACATCTCGCTCGCGCAATGGCAGACATGTATCACAAGTTTCACTACCGGCGATCTCGTCGAGCAAGGCTCCAGCCTCGGCCCCTCGTAATCCTATCTCCTATCAATGAGGATTCCTCATCCTTCAATCAGCCAAAGCCATGGAAAGCAGATGCAGTGGGAGAGCCAGCTTCTCCTCCCACAATGACCTTCCATAGACAGAGGCCCCCGCCGATAGTTAGGTCTCATCTAGGGGCCCGATCCCATCAGTCAAGGGATTCCAAGCCCACATCTCTTGACAGTCAAGAGTTCAAGCAGCAATTCTTTCAGAAGAAGGACGGTTCGGTGAAGAGCAAAACAAAATCTATTGTCGCCACACAAATGGCCTATCCCCCACAATCAGCAGACAGCCTACTTTGTGACTGGTGTTTCTCACCTCTTTCCGAAGATGGTTCCAAAGGGGATAATTGGAGGTAAGAAGCCTGCTCTTTTGCTACGCTAAACATCAGCATACTAACAGCCGCGGTACTAAGGAAGCATCTGAACGAAGACTTCAAGCCCTTTGTCTGCATCTCTGAAAATTGCAGCGAGCCGTTGAACAGATTCGCAACCTCTAGAGCCTGGTTTAGCCACATGCTAGAAACTCATGGCCAACACTGGCATCGACAAGTTCATTTGCCGGTGTGGTATATTTGTCCGTTATGCAACACTCAAGACACAACCTTCTCCAGAGCACCAGGCCTTGCTGAGCACCTTATGAAACTCCATGGGGACGTTTTCACCGCGCAACAAGTTCAGGTCATTGTTCATCAGAGTCGACTTCGAGCCCCCCGGTCACAAGATATTTGTCCCCTGTGCTGCCTTTCTATGACTGATGGACCATCGCCCGGTGAGGACGAAGATAAGCAGTTCTCAAAGCAAGCATTTCCAACATCGCCTGCTCAAGACAACCGTGTCTACGAAACACACAAGCGCATCAAGACAGAAGCAGGTGCCAGGCACCCGGACCAGCAGATTAATCCCAACTCTAGTTCAGCAGAAGAAACGGCGCCGGAGCCTCAAGCTTCATCATTCCAAGATCGTCCTCCGTTACACGTTGAGGCTATCGCAAAACATGTTGCGTCACATCTCCAAGGCATCATGCTTCTCACCCTGCGGATGATGTCTCTGGAGCTCTCCCCAGAGATTCCAGCTGACAGTCAGAGTCTGTCGGGGGGCACGGACGACGGGTTGTCTCGTTTTGGCTCAACGCGACAATTGTCTCACCACGAAGCCCAAGGTCAAGGGATGAGGACAAGCGATGAGTCGTGGAACCAAGATGGCAGCAAGATGGATATCGACGATCCAGTTTCGGAGGATGCCATCCCAGATTGCGAGCATGACGTTGATTGGCAGGATGTGATGCTCAATGACGAACCCTCTCCAGAGGCCGACGTCTTCCTACAACGAGTCATTGACTCCGGTGCGTTTCAGGCCAAGGACGGAGACTTGCCATCTGATGATGCTGCCATCGATACCCACCAGCGACGGAGACTTCACCCACAACGCGGTGTCATCATCAACCTCCCATTCCGCCGCGATCCCCTCTTCACAGGCCATAAGTCTCTTCTGCACAATCTCGTTCAAAGGTGTTCATCACCACCCAGCCGGATTGTCCTTGTAGGCTTGGGTGGGATAGGAAAAAGTCATCTTGCTATCGAACTTGCTCACCGAATCGTGCTTTCGGCGGATACTTCGGTCTTTTGGATTCGTGGCGATACTCTGTCCAGCATCGAAGATGGTCTCGAAGACATAGCGTCCAATGCAATCTCGTGGAGGCACAGGACAGACAGCTTGTCGAAACTTGCCTATGAATGGCTGTCAGATGAGCGTAACGGCCGATGGCTCATCATCCTAGACGGTGTCACCGATGACAGCTTCAGCTTCCTTCAGGACAAGACAAGTCTACTCCAAAGCCAAAATGGCACAGTACTCATCACCACGCGGTACAAGACGGTGGGGCACAGACTTGCCGGAAATCGCAACGATGTTATCGAGATGGAACCCATGGCGGTCTTTGATGCTGTTGCCCTACTGGGACGAAAGTTGGGGCGTTCAGGGAACAACTCATGGAGAGGGCCGCGCTCAACCAGCGATCTCGTCAAGTCACTTGGCTTGAGCCCACTGGCTATCTGCCGAGCGTCGGCTTACATAGAGTCCATGCCAGCTCCTGAAGACGCGGAACGAAACGATGGAGAAGGCAGAATTGAGAGCAATAGCGACGAAAGCGAAGACGAAGCCTTCTACTTCGGTACTCATGCAGTGTATCCGGGGAGCTATTCAGAGCCCGAAATGACCAGACTGGGCCTGGCTACGTTTGACGTCGAGAATTGGGAAGAAAAGCAGGAGGGAGAGAAGGAGAAATTGAAGAGGGTAAGCTCACGATGCACTCCAGGCCACAGCACACCATTCTGCCATCCCAGACAGCTAACGGACCGATGAAAGGCTCGATATGTCATGGCCCGCAAGTTCAAGCAGCTACTGAGCAGTGAGCAAGAGAGAACCAAGCTCCTAGAATTTGAACCTTCCAGCTCCAATGGAAGCGGAAAGAGACAGGACAGCATTCTCACAATATGGCAGAGTTCGTTCAGGGCCGTCCGCGCGGAGAGATCGTCTGCGGCTGACCTATTAGCTCTGATGAGCTTCTTTGACCGCCGGGGAATCCCGAAATGGCTTCTAAACATCCCCAGACGCAATGATCCTAGCCTTCACAAAGGAACATCTGGAATCTTTGATATCGACTCCGACATAGAAACGCTGTTAAACCATTGTCTCATATCTTCAAATGGCACGAAAGACATATTATCAATGCACGGGCTCATGCAGCTCGCCGTGAAGAGAAGCACTAACCACACTACTCGCCATACATACGAGTATCTGTTCGTCAAGCGCCTACAAGAAGCATTTCCAAGAGATGTGTATTCCAACTGGACAACCTGCGAAGAGCTTCTGGCCCATGCCCAAGTCGCAGCAAGCCGCCAACCAACAAGCAACTACCTATTAGGATACTGGGCGTCTCTTCTGTATCACGCAGCCCGATTTGCTCGAGCGCAAGGCAACTATGAAGTTGCCATGAAATTGGCCGACCAGGTCGTAAAAGCCCGGAGCCATCTGCACTCGGAGAGCATCGAATCACCGGTGGCCTCTTCGTTGACTGCGCTTATACATATGGACCAAGGGTCATACGACATGGCTGAGAAGATATTCACACAAGTGGCGGATGTATACAGGGACGATGATTCCTACGCAAGGCTGACCAGCATGCACAATCTGGCGTGTATCTACAAGCTCAGGGGTCTATGGAAGGAGGCTGAGGAAATCCTTGGCCCGGTCACAATAGACCGAAGAGCGAACTGTGGTGAAGATCATCCATGGTCTCTTTCAAGCTTGGCTAACCTGGCATCGCTGAGGAGGGCTCAGGGCCGGTATCACGAGGCCCATATAGTCCTACTTCGAGTGTTCGAAGGCTACACAAGGAGGTTCGGGTTGGACCACCCACGAACACTCGCCAGCATGAACGATCTGGGCTCGATCTGCAGGCTTCTGGGAATGCCAGACGAGGCAGAGCGATACCAGAAACAGGCATATGAGTCCCGCAGGATGATTTTCGGCGCAGATCACCCGGACACTCTCGCAAGCATGAACAGCCTCGCCTCCACATACAGAGTCCAAGGCCGCCTCGACGAAGCCGAAGCCCTCCAAGAACAAACACTGGAGGCTCGCAAGAAGATACTTGGGCCAAACCACCCCAGCACCCTAGCCAGCATGAACAACCTCGCTCTCATACTTAACGACCAGGGGAAGCATGGAGTGGCAAGCAAACTGCAGTCCCAAGTGCTCGACGCTTGCAAGGAGAAGTTTGGGCCGGAGCATCCGCACACGCTGACGAGCATGAACAACCTCGCGCTCATATGGAGGAACCAGGCGCGGTATGCGTTGACCAAGTGGACGATGGAGAATTGTGCCGAGGCTCGGAGGCGAGTGCTCGGGCCTGATCATCCGTATACCCTCGCTTCGGCGAGAATAGCGGAGAGTTGGGCTTCTGAGAAGGAGAAGATGGCCAGGTAGTACTAAGAGAAACGGCAAATTGCATGTCGAAGATGACTCGTTCGGATAAGGAAATGTCATGATGCATGATGTGATGAGACCTTACCTACCTACTGGTTGATGAGACTAGGTGCATCGTAACATCCTCGTTCCAGTGAGAAGAGTGTCAGAAAGTGAGGTGAAATCAGGCTTGGTTTAAGAGAAACTATACTGAACAAGAAGACGCTACAAGTCAAGAAACACCGAGCCATCGACTCGCAAACTCGCATTCGTCAGTTTCCGCTTCAAGCTCGACTCCACAATCTCAACCGTGCAGTCCTTGACATCTTCTTCCAGCCGTTCAAGCCTCTCGCTCACCTCCTGCTCCAACCGCTCCATGGTCTCATCAAACCGGTCATCGATAGACTTGAACACATCTTCTGTTTCCGCCTTGATGCCTATTATGCAGTCATCTAGTTGTTCACTGACTTCTTCCTGTATTGATGCACTATGATCAACGTCTACTGCGTCTGAGACCGTGTCTTCAAGCTGCTGCAAACGACTCTCGATACCATCGAGGCGAGTCCCGAGATCATCGAGCTGTGTCTTGAATTGACCTGCCACATCGTCGATACGAGCGCAGATGCGAGTCTCCATGCTGTCGAAAGAACTGCGAATGAAATCGAAAAGATCATTGGAGACCGCGGAAGATTTGCCCTTGTCAATGGGTGAATCAATCCTTCGGCGTTTATCTGACATTGACAGTTAGTATCGAGCTTCATGCGTGTCGGGAAAAATCAAAGCATAAGATGAGAGACAACTTACTCTTTGAAGCTTCGCCTTGCGATGGCCCAGCATAAGATGGAGGAGGCACGTCAGCATCGTCAGGTAGCGCTCCAATGACATTATCAAAAGTCACAATCTCGCCTCCCCTGCCAGCATACAATGACCCGAGATTGGCACATCTATCGTTTGTACGGGGACGATGAGAATCAGATTCCAGCGAGAATCTGCGGGCAATCAAATCCAAGCGCGATCTTTTCAGCGGTGAAGAAAGGTTGGAATTGTTAAGGTGGATGGTGAATTCAGTCGCTCTAGCCAAAGCCAGCATTACACTTAATGCGCCTTTGCTCTGTTCTTTCGTCTCCAAAACAAGACCCTTGGGGACAACGAGGGAAGGATGTTGTGTCAAAGAGAATGATAACATCGGGCGGCTGGGCTTAGACGTGCTCGGCCCCGAGGACCGTCCATCATTCAACGTGATCTCTCGAACTGATTCAGGGTGTATGAACAGAAAGAGGGTATGCTTTTGGCCTTTGGCTTTACTGCCTTTATGGAGGACGGAGCAGTAGAGCTTGAAGAGACACGTGTTGGATAAAGTGTCGAAGAAGATGTCGAGGTGGACGCCATCAGCACGCTGCTTCTGACTGCTGTCATCATTCCAGGTGACTGCGTTGTTGTGATAGGACATGTTGCTGTCGACAGTTTTTCCATCGCTGGAGTCGGACATTGTCATCTCATCGTCATTGACGTGATCCCGCACATCACCGTCATCGCCGTTGCCGTTGCCCTCATCATCATCACGCTCAGCTTGCAATTCACTCATCCGTTGAAGAATGCGATCATGACTTGAACCTAAGATGTTAGTTGACTACCACCAGCAACGGGAAGGGTTCCAGATGTGGTCATCACATGGTCGAGGGCGACAGGCGGAATCGGATATAGTGGAAAGTCCCACCGCTCAGTACCGGCTAACGTCGACACCAGAGAGAGAACTGCTAACGGCGGCCGGTGGGAGCGAAGGTTGTCACCGGCTTTTGACAGCGAGTAACAGCTTCGTACGTTCAAGCAGGCTTGCGCCCATCAAGAACCAATCTCACCACAATCGGCGGACCATACAAGACCCCGCCCATTTCAGCAGGCCTGCACACAAGTGTGCGAGGGCGTGCTGAGTATGCGACGGAATTTTAGTGGTTCCATTCACGCGAAGAGAATGAAGAACCGCGGTCTTGCTTCGCAGGGGGCCGTCTCTGGTGCGCGCGAGCGAGTCGAGACGGAACGGTAATCCACGTAGGCAAGAGGCCGCCGAGTGGAATCACACTGGAACTGTTTTCACTGACCCAGGCGGAGAGAATGGCTGCGTCGGCTCGTCGGCATCGTCGGCGTGGCGGGACGTCGACATGATATGGATGCGGTTGGTGATGCGGTGAGGCGTGCGTGAGCGAGGAATGGCTGGGGAATGAGGAGACGAGCGAGGTTGCTTCTATGCGTTCGGAGCGGAAGAATATTAAACCGTAGAAGCAAGTCACGTGGTAGCGCGCTGCCTGATTCGGTGGCGTCGAGAATGTGCTTAGTCATCATGCTTCTCCCGCATGCTCAGTCCAGGATCGACTCGAGGTGAATGAAACAGCACCAAAGCGACCAACACGAGCCATGAGATATCAACATCGGATCGTAGAGACCACGATGATCATATAATGACACCCATATATCCAGGTATTATGATTCATCACAGTGGCGGACGAGACTGACTAGAGCTACAACCAATATCCTGAATTTGTGCACATCTTATCCCGGGCAACTACTGACTGGAATCAGACATCAGGCCGAAATCATGCTGCTCAGGAAACAGCCCCTCCGTCATGAGCGTATAGTTCGAAAAGTCCTTGTACGCATCATCCGGAAAGTGAAAAATGTCCCCCAAACCCTCATCCAAGGGAGTACACGCAGCATCCTGCATCGAGCCAGCAACCTCCGCCGGACTGACACCCTCTCCACCCACCACAGCCACTCCCTCCTGTGGCCCCATACACGAAGCATCACACGACTCCTCCTGCTTCAGCTGGTGAAGATGCGCCGGGGTCAGCCTAAACAGGTCGGACCAGAACACGCTGCTGTTGTCGAACGGCTGGCCCTCTGCTCCGCTTATACTGCGGAGGGCCACTCGGGACAGCTTCTTCAGTATGAGTTCGTACTGCTTCGCCTGCAGGTTGTTTTGCTTGAAGTGCTGCAGTATCTGGTTTGCTCGGTAGATGGCAAGCTCGCATTCTCGTGCGTCTCCCAGACACCCAAAGTATGCGGCGCACACAGTCAAGGCTGATACAAACGTCCAACCCCTGCGTTTTGTTCAAAGTCAGCAAACTATATATGCCAGAGATGAACGCTGTTCCTGTCGACAAGGATCTGCACTTACACGGCAAGCGGCATGTTGTTGTAGAGCACCCCGGCCACGTACAACTCATGAAGCAGCTGAATCGTCTTGAGCGCAGTATCAAAGGAAGTCATGGCCCCATACTTGACGCTCTTGTCCACTTCAGAAGACTCCTCGCCGTCGCGCATCTCCGATCCCACAGTCGTCGGCGTTTTGTTGTACTTTGCCCTGAGGCAAGCAATGAGAAATGGCCTCGTCAACAGCATCATGCTGAAATAGTAATTGCACGCCACCGTTGCGTTCCTAATGATGAGCTGCCTCGTCTTGGGACACTTGTTGTCCGAAAACGCCGCAGGGCTGATGCTCCGAATCTCAGACGGCAGCTCGGTCCCCATCTGACGGAGCTTGCTCGACAGCCGTTGAAGAAGCCCGAGTGGCGCCGAACGTTGCGTATAGATCTCGAGCAGAGTCTGCTTCAGGATGGAGATTGCTCGCGCCGACTCGTAGAGGCCGAGCTCCTGGCATTTCTCAGGGTGCTTCGGATCCGGCCGCTGCCGATGGTCCTCAAAGTCTTCTTCTGCCGAGTCCATGGCCGAGGTCATCGGGGCGCGACCGATCATGGCGCAGAGCAGGATGTCGAAAACACACAAGCTACGCCATACTCGCTTTCTACGGTAGGCCACGGCGTCAGCGAACAGGTACCGCATGTGTCTACTCAGGGGTTGAGAGCCTGTCCCTACCTTAACCGCCTATCCTCCAGGCACTGAGGGAATGTAGATTCAGCGCGATGATACCCAAGTGCTTTGGCGGCGCTTATGGCCGTGCCCAGGTTCAAGTACCCTCCGTCTCGTCGACAGCAGCCAAGCATATACAGACTGATGAGTGAAAATGCCTGGACTGTTTCTATCGTGGGATACTCCGTTAACTCTAGCAGCGCAATGCGGCGTCCGTGATAGAAGAACGACCGAGATCGATGTGCGTCCAGCGCAGATGCGCTGCGTACTTGCGCTGCAAAGGCAAGCACAAGGTATAAGACAGCGGAGCTGCTACTCGCAACAGAGATATTGCCGCTGATCCAGCGACTGAGCAGGTTTTCGACTGTAGCTCGGTTGATGATATCAAGCATTCCACACGTCTGTATATACACGCTGTCAGTTCATGTCCTGTTGCAGCTCACAAACTGAATCTCACATCACATTGAAGGCTTCGGTGACAAAAGGGAGAAAGGGGGGGGGGGGGGGGGGGCGTTACCGATGTGAAAAAGACTTGTATCAGATCTTCCAAATCTTTGAGATTCGCGTTGCTATAAGCCAAGACACTCTCACCATCCGTCGGCGGAGCTTCCGCCAGCACCGAGAAGGAAGAAATCTCCTTGGCCACATCAGCAAGTTCTTCTTCGCCTTGGATGAGCTCCTGTATGTTTCTGAGGAAAGACAGCGCCGCGCAGTCTCCATAGTACACTACAACAATCGCACAACACTTTAGCGACCATCTCTCAAGGTATGTATGAACCAACAGCGCATCGTTGGTTGGGCGTTGAAAGGGAGGCTACGTACTGGCTCGCCCCTTTGTATCACGCATCGTATTCGGTACTTTTGGAATCGCGATATGTATGCCATCCTGTTCTCTAAGCCAACGATCGGGATGATCCTCTTGTATGTCCTCAACCTTTATCGTCCTCGTCTTCGTCTCTTTAGACACGTCCATGTCCGCTTCCTTGGGCCATGGCCGTTGCCGTCCGTATAAGCGTCTATGAGACGAATAAGAGCAGGTGCTGGATCTCTCCCGCTTGATGCACTGTCCACAAGGGCAAAGTCCATCGCACTTCGTCTTGTGAGTCTGGCAAAGGATGCAAGCCTTTGCGATCCGGGTTCGTTTCTCGGACCCTGTATGACGAGGCATGATGACGACAAAGACCAATTCCGCAGGAAAAATGAGACAAGAAGAAGAAGAAAGAAGTTCAAGTTGTGGCAATATTCAAACGAAGCTCAGAGAACGTTAAATCCGTCTTATTCAATCATTCCAAACCTTAATGCTTATTTTGTGCGGGACCGCATGTAAGACGTGCCCAACTTCAAGCTGATAGCTTTTCGTACTGTCTCTTGGAGTAAGCTGTAGTAAACTCTCCGTCCATAATCAGCTCTTCGATTCATCTCTCCCTCAAGCCAGAGAGCAAAGATCCGCGGATTTCCCGGACCTACCAACCCTCTATAAAACTATAGGGCTGCCAGCTTGAAGTAGACAGAGGGATGATGCATGGCCTCCGCGGCCCCCCGAACGGTGATGATGCTCCAGACCTAGCTCTGTGTCGCAGTCAGAGCCTTGCCACGATGACATTCTACTCACTGAAACCACAAATCTAAGTTTTACTGACTTGACAGCAGAGGACACGGAAGTCAATGAGGTGCATCATCCTCGGATTAAGAGCTGGAATTGCTTGAATCAGTTATTGAGCCTTCTGCTGGTTGATAGAGTAATCCTATTTGAACCGTAGCATATTCCTATTTGAACCGTAGTGGTCCGTGCCTATACCAAAATCATTACGCTTACACCACCAGTCCCAGAGCTGCACACCCATATACAGTATGAGCTGATGGTACATCCTGTAGCCCGCACAACAACACCATAAACGACAGTATCGCGATCTCTAATACCGTAGACCCTCTGCCTTTATTATCATGACCGCCATCGCCCTAGGGCTGAAGCTATAACTGCAGCAGCAGCAGCAGCAGCAGCAGCAGCAGCAGAGGCAGCAGCAGCAGGGCCTCCTTACAGTCGTCTGTAGGTCTAAGTTGCAGCCAGCTATCCGTACCTACGCAGAGATCATGAGCAACCCGGCGACGGTTAGAAGCTAATGCCGCTGCTGTCCCTTGACGGTAATGACCACCAGTGTGCTACACTGTATTTTGCTGTGCGGGCGTGGACCTTGCCACTTGGGGGTGTCTCTCTAGCCGTGGCACAGACCACTACGGTTCAAATAGGAATATGCTACTGTTCAAATAGGATTACTCGGTTGATATAGCGTTCTGAATCTATTCATGAAGTAGTGTAGTACTTTGAAAAGCTGTTTACACCAGGAAGGCCAGCAACTCTTCACTGGGCACCAAGCACCGGCATTTGATTGTAGATCTGAGAGTCCTATAGCTTCAAGTTCCTATCGTTGGACATGTATTATAATCCCAGCTATTCCCGGTGCTAGTTATGTATCGGAAAGGAACGCGAAGCCAACAGAGATGAGTTTTGCTTACGACATGTCTCTACGCCCAAAGCTCCCGGCGCCCTCAGCTTAATCCTAGATGTCCGGGAAGGACTCGGACTTGCTCGGAAACTGAACGAGATAAAAAGTCCGAAATTATAACCTTACGCTGAGCTGTGAACGGTCGAGCGAAACCTCCCTAATCTATATGCATCACATTCAAGGCAGTCGCCGCATCACGCCGCTCACGTCCACCTCGCAATGTCCATGTGATATCTAGCAATTGATCTAGAAACTCAGCTAGAAGACCAGCACACACACACACATACACACCAGAAAGCACACAAAAACAGATATTGAAAGCAATCGCCTCCCCGCAACCTCCTTTCTCCATGTCCTCCCCCTCAGCGCCGGAATGAAATCAACCACCCCCCATTTCCCCTTTCGCGCCAGAGAAGATAGAAAGACAGCTACAATCCCGCTGTTTCAGAATAGATACAAAAGCGTGTGTGTATGTGTGTGTAAGTGCGTACAAACAAGGTGAGGGTGACAAACAGTAGAGGTGCAAACCACCTGTCAGCCGTAAACTCCAAGCATGCAAATCCCCTTTTGGTGCGTCGACCTCGGCGTCTCCAAGTGTTGAAGCCACTTGCTCATCAATCACTCCATCTCTCGTTGAAATTCGAGCACGTCCTCATTTATCACTGGCCCTCCAGGAGCATATCCTCTCATCGCCTGGTCTTCTGATCGTCGGACTCGCAGAGGCGCAGGAATCAGGTTCGGCGACGGCTCCGTGGGCTCGCTGATGCTCCTTTGCCTCTCCGTCCTGTCATCTCTGTCCTCTCCGGAACTCGCGCTGCCTTCCGCCTCCACCTGACTGCTTTCGTCCTCCTCGCTGCTGTCGCTTTCCTCTTCGTCGAAAACGATTTGACGCATGACAGTCTTCTCGAATAAGTCAATCACCATTCTACGGACGCCGAGACGGTAGTGGTTCCACTCCATCAGGCCCATGACCATCTTGAAGAATTCCGCGCTGCGGAAAGCCATCGGCTTGCGAGCTTTGATCTTCTGCAGCTCAGTGACAGCTTTGCGATACAGGACGGTGTTTCCTAGGTCGACTATGAGCTCGAGGATGCGCTCGCTGATGGCAACGTCGTTGACAAGGGGTGGCATCTCTGAAAGCTCCAGCGGTGGTCGAGCGGGCCGAGGCGGAGGCTGCTCCTTGATGGTGCATTGCGACTCTGGCAACCTAATGGAAGCAGCCGTCTCGTGACGCCACGGTGCAAGCGAGAACAGCTTCGACAGGTCGGAGGGAATGCAATATCCCAGAGAGTTGCCCATCAGCGTCGTGTTTGCATCCCATCCGTGCTCCGACAGAATCTCGAGTCCATGAGTCGATCGAGAGATGAGGCCCAAGACGAAAAAGGCCGTTCCTCTGAGACTCATTACTTCGTGGGTTGTTGCAATCTTGATAATCTGCTCAACCATATCGGTGGACTCCAAGAATGGCGCACCAAGCTCCATGGAGCCCACGTTACCCACCGCCCAGAGGCAGCCCTTGACCTTCGTGATCAGCTCTGGGTCCTCGGACTGCATGCCATGTTCACGAATTGTGTTGGCAAACTCTTCAAAGTGGCCCTTATCACTGAGCAACTTGCATCCCTCCTGGGTTCTCGTCAGCTCCCTGTAAAAGTGAGGGGGGATATGGCTGTCGTGGTAATCCGTTTCTGCCTCGTGCTCATCAAACACACTGAGGCGATGATGCTGCTCGTCTGTGTCTGTTAGGAATGCTTTGGCCAGGCTTGCTTCGATTAGGCCGACATAGGTGTCATTTCGACCCAAGAACCAGTCATCCATTTCGTTGCTAATGTAATCAAGACCATCGAGATAGTGGTAGCCAATGGATGTCGAAAGGAAACGCAGCAGAAGTGGCGCTCCAATTTCGCCGAGATGATCCAAGGCCGGCCGGCACTCGACAATATACGCCAGGTAGGCTTTTCTGTTGCAGGCCTTCTCCAGAATCTTGACAGCAGTAGAGCACACCTCAATCTCCGGATCGTATAGCTGGGTGACCAGAAGTTGGATGGCCCATCTGGAGTCACTCAATTCGCCACGGCCGTCAATGGACGGCACTCTTCGAAGAGTGCATTTCCGAAGCGTGTTTGTGGCGTGTATGCGAATCTCCTTGGTGCCCGCCGTCAGCGCCTTCGAAAGCAGGATGCGATGGTGGCCTTGACGACTGTAGTCAAAGCTGGAGAGGAGCAGCTTTATAAGGTCAGGGCGTGAGGTTAGCTCGTAGATGTGGTACATCATGTTGAACATGCGCCATCTTTCCAGCATGGCCAAGCCCTTGGGATCCCCGGTAAGCACTCCGAGCATGGGGAAGTAGCCAGCACAGAGGGTGTCTGTGAGCCTGTCCTTGGAAAACATGGGATACTGTGCAGTAAGCCCGCTGGTCTACGTCCACTTCATTAGCAAAAAGAAACAGGATAGACCCTCGAAGATTGTTGAAGCTAGAAATTAACTCACCGGATCACACTGGGCCAGACATTCCGCAATCTGCCTCAGCAACTTGCTATCCGCCAGAAACCGAACTCCCTCCGGCGACTGCAGCAGAGAGTGCACCAAGGCACACCCAGCCCTGACGTACTTTTGTGCGTTCCGAGTGTTTCGCACGTCCGCAAACTTGTATTTGAAGGGCCGGTAAAAGCTCATGATCCGCTTCATAAACTTGGATGCTTTGATGGCCTCTTCAAGCCTCTTGCCGACCTGGAGGGGGCCATCAATGACCTTGAGGATATTCTCCCAGTTCCATTTGGAGTAGTTGGAGCTGTTGAGCACACCGGTGTCGATGAGAAGCTGGCGGAAGGTGGCATCATCAAATGCCACTGTAGATCCCGCCTTGCGCTGGTCATCGAGGAGGGCCAGATCATTCATGCTGTCGCTCGAAGGCAGAATGCCAGCCAGTGTATCTGTGGGAGCGCTTCGGTATAACGTGCGGTTGATGCTGCTCATTTGGTATACGATGCTTGATGCGATGTAGGACTGGCTGTCGCCAAACTTGGCGGCCGCCGAGAAGAGTTCAGGTAAGAGTTGTATTTCCGCGCTCCATGAAGGAGGGAGCAGCTTAGCGGCCAGCTTCAGCGTCTCGCCAATCAACAGCGTCGTCTTGCGCTTCAGCATGGTGTCATTCTCGGAGCGGGCAACCTGCAGAAGAGTCTGAATGATTCCAGACTTGATCAGGACCGCCAGGATCAGCGCCGTGTAATGGTCCACGAAATTCTGTTCCCCAGTGTCTTCTTCCAGATACCCTCTGTCCCTAGTCTCAGCCTTGATGTTCAGGTTGTTCACTCTTCCATAAGTAGTGAGCCTACGTCCTGCCAGGAATGACACGGCCCAGGCAGGGGGCTTGATCCGGAGCAGGGAGAAGAGCAAGTCCAGGATGGTTTCTCGAATGGCAGGGTTCGGTAGAGAGATGCTCATGACGAGAGATCGGATGGACCGAAAGTCGTACATGCAGAGGGTCATGAGGCCAGACCACGACCTCAAAGCGACGGAGATGGCCTTGCAGTTTTGCTTGAGCACAACTTCGCTGCCAGCCAGTTGGCTTGTGAAGGAGTTGAAGACAACGTCCAAGCCATAGCCCGGCTGGATGTACTTTCTCCTGTGAGGGGTATCCAAGAGATAGAGGAAGGCCGATGTAAGACTCTCGGGGGCTTTGTAAGTTCCCTCAGCGAGAGCCTCAGAAAGGGGACCAAGGCCTCCGGACGCTAGGAGCAGACGAGGATCTCGCACCATGATCTCAGCCAGCGTCTCGATGCAAATGGGCCGCAGGCGATCGGTATTCTGTTCAGTTGGCTGAGCGGAACCAGATCGATCGTCTCCATATTCGGCAACAGCTACAATGGTCCGCACAACGGCGCGCGAGATTTCCTGGACTCCGTCCTTAACGTCTAGAAATGCTCGGACGAACTTGAGAGCCTGCTCTCGTTCAACATCTGCCTTGCGATAATTGTTCAGCGACCTAGGTGGGGAGACGTTAGTCTGGTCATTTGCTAGATGAAACAAATGGCAATGAAAAGCGTTCCTGTTGATGTTGTCGGAAACCTACCGGATGACTAGAAAGTCCGTATTCAAGCTCCTGATCTTCTTAAGGGAGCTTCGGTCGGAAATCGCATATCTCGTCGCACGATAGCCAGCCGCGACAACCTCTCGGCTTTCGCTGAGAAGCATCATCTGCATGCGGAGGCCAAAGACGGACCACACCAGGTCGTACTTGAGGGTAGGATATCGCTTGAACAGGTCCACCAGGAGGTTGGCTCGGGTCACGTAGTAGTCGGGTGTCATACCCCCAACCTCCAGCGCTTGGAGGAGCTCGGCCAGGGTGAATGTGGGATTCTCGGTAGCCTCTTCAACGTCGGATCCAGGACCTGATCGGAGGCTATGCGGTGAGCGATGCGGCGGGACATCTTGCTGGGATCTGTTTCTGGGAGGCGTGCTGGGCGGTGCCGCCTTGGTGGCCTGGGCATCCGTGATCTGCTGCTTGAGCACCTTGATGCGCGAATGGCTGGCGGTCAGCTCGGCCTCGACCCTCTGGCGCTGCTCCTTTGTCTGCTTCGCCTTCTTAAGGTTGAGCGCCTCGAGCATGTTCTCGCTGCCTTCCTTGATCTTCATCTCGCGCTTGAGCTTGTCCCTCAGCAGCACGAGGTTCTGTTCCACGACGTCGCCCTCCTCCAGCCGGTCGTTGAAGCTGCTCGGATACACGGGCCCCGCGTCGGTTCGGCTACCCTGGCGGATCGGTATCATCTGGCTGCGCAGCTCGGAGCTGAAGCTGCCGGGGCCCGCGCCAGGGGTGAGGCTGCTGGCCCGCGGAGCAAAGGAGACGGACGAGGCCGACAAGTTCCTGGAAGCCCCGCCATTGGGAATCTGCAGCCCGGTGCCCTCGCGGTCGATGCTGGTCCGTCCGGCAATGGGTCCACCATCCGTCTGCTTGAGGCTCTGCGAGGGCTGGCTGGACGCGGCGAACCCCTTCTGGCTGGACGAGGAGCTGGCCAGCATGGCGACGGCGACGGTGACGCCCACCAAGAGGGGACTATGCCCTCTGGTGGCTGCTGGGCATTCGTGGGTATGCGGCCAGGGCGAGCGTAGCGGCGATGCGATGCGGGCGTCTGGCTGGCGCGGGATTCAAATCGTGTCGGGGCGAGGCGCGGTGACGGTTCTCGATGCGTGCGGCTCGAAGCTCATGCGCCCGACAAGCAGCCGCTGTGCTTATTGGCGGGCACGATGGGAGATCGCAGATCTGGGCGGTGGAACTTGAGGCAAGCTATAAAGCCCAAGGCTGAGCGGAAATAGGTAGTACTAGTAGTAGGCCAAGGCGAGCTGCGCACATGCGAAGGCCGGCGAAGCGCTGCAAGCGGGGGCAGCTGGTCAAGGCATGCGAGAGGACGAGGCTCGGCCCGCGCAACAGGACGGAGGAAAAGACGAGGGCAAAAGACGCAGAGGCTGTATGGAAGGCAGAGCGCCAGCCGTAAGGATCTCGGAAGGCCTGCGGGAAGCAGTCAGGTTGGATGCATGAGGTGCCCAGATGGATGGAGGTTGGTGGCTTGTAGCCTCATGTGGCACAGCAGCAGGTAGGTAGGAGGTAGGGTCATGGTTTGTTAGGCGAGTTTAGCACAGCTGGGCTCGCTGGGGTTAGGTAGCTTTCCAGCGCTCTTCAGCGGCTCGTCTACCCTATGAGCTGTCGGGTCTCTTCAACTACCTACTTACCTACCTTACCTAGGTAGTACAGGTAAGTTCTCATCTGCGGAAGACAGTTTGAAAGCCCATCGAAAGAACATTTGAGTATGAAATTGACGAGTCAATGGTGATGAGAAGAGAGCAAGCATTTTGCCAGTTGTAAACACCTGTATTACTGAATTCAGGTTCGGGGTTCATTCGGCCGATCGCGTCCAAGGTAGTATCAAGATGTGGCTGGTGAGTCTCTAACGAGAGTCGTGGCAGATCTGGGTACGCTTTCATCAATACATACCAAGATACACAACTGCATCTCCGAGACGTGTATTGACGATGCATCCACAGGACAGAATGAAAAACATGATAGATAAGAGCAAAGGGAGACAAGACGAATAGCACGAGATGGCATAGCTACCTCGTCCTAGTGATACGCATTATCCCAGTGCCAGTGCCAGCTTATCTTCTTCACTCACCCAAGCATCTGCCGCTCCCAAGAGACCTTGCACCATCTTCGGCATCGGCAAATGCTGCCATCAGGCCATTTGATTCCGTTCAATGCAGCCCCGAATCTGATACTGACATCTGCATCCCTCCAAGTCAGCAACCTATAACCGCACAGCTCGTATCATATCAGCTTCAAACCCCCTCCAAACTGATAGAAAAGCCAAAAACATGGGCCCATCTCCTGAGGCACAAACCCCCCCGAATTCAAGGGACTCAACAATCTGGGGCTTCCGGGGCGCCGCGTGCTGGGATTCGGCGGGCTCCGGACTCTGTGGCAACCCCCCCACCAGCGATAGAGTTGCAGAGGCGCCATGGCCCGAGACTTCAGGTGCTCGTTGTGACCTTTTACTGCAGTGTTGCTACTCATCCTGCCGCTGATGCCGCTTGCGGGCAAGTCAAGCCGATGCTGGGCGTGGACGATCCGGGCTGCTGCTTACCTAGTCTGAACTCGTAATGATCATGGCTCTTCTGATAATACAGTTTCTGGCTCGGTGAGGCGACGTCCGATGGCAGCTGTTGCGGCCCGTGTAGAAAAGTGGAATCGAACGCATCTGACGTTGATGTAACCAACGACGGGCACACATGTGATGGCTGCTAGTAGATATAAATCTCCTAGACCGCGCTCCGGTAGACTCAATCTTGAATGACCCGTGTCCTTCTTCTAACTATCTTCAACTTCCGGTCTCTTGATCTTCGTCTTGTCCTGTCATCCCGTCTTCCATACCGAGCTTCGGCATTGACAATTAGCTCCAGCTTGCGCCTCCGTGACGTCTCCGCCTCCGGTCCATCCTCCTCCCTCACCAGCATCACCACTTTCTCCCCCCCCTTTGAAGTAGAGTTACACAACGAAGAGCATCACCAAATCTCACCTTCTCTCACCCAAACAACACAACTTCACAACACCATGGCCTCTTCCGCCTACGTCTCGGCAGCCCGCTACGGCAAGGACAACGTCCGCGTCCTCAAGACGGACCGCGACGCCGCCACGGGCGTCCACACCGTCACCGAAATGACCGTCAGCTGCCTCCTCGAGGGCGACATCGACGTCTCGTACACAAAGGGCGACAACAGCGTCGTCGTCGCCACCGACTCCATCAAGAACACAATCTTCATCACCGCCAAGCAGAACCCCGTCAACCCCCCGGAGCTCTTCGCCGCCATCCTCGGCGCCCACTTCATCGACACCTACAGCCACATCCACGCCGCCAACGTAAAGGTCATCACCCACCGCTGGACGCGCATGACCATCCGTGGCAAGCCGCACCCGCACAGCTTCCTGCGCGACGGCCAGGAGACGCGCAACGTCGAGGCGCGCGTCTCCCGCAAGGACGGCATCGCCATCACCAGCGGCATCGAGGGCCTGACCGTGCTCAAGAGCACCGGCTCCGCCTTCCACGGCTTCGTCCGCGACGAGTTCACCACCCTGCCCGAGACCTGGGACCGCATCCTGTCGACCGACGTCGATGCCAGCTGGAAGTGGAAGCCGTTTGCCAACGTCCAGGCCGTGCGGGAGGCCGTCTCCAAGTTCAACCCGGCGTGGGAGGAGGCCCGTGAGATTACGCTGACGAGGTTTGCCGAGGATGAGAGCGCCAGCGTGCAAAACACCATGTACAAGATGTGCGAGCAGATTCTGGCGGCTGTTCCGGACACGGAGCTGGTCATTTACTCGCTGCCCAACAAGCACTTTTTCGAGCTCGGTACGTTTTCCTGACTGGTTCTATAAGATGCACGAGGGACCATTTGCTAACCAATTGACAGACCTGAGCTGGCACAAGGGCATCAAGAACACTGGCAAAGACGCCGAGGTCTATGTTCCCCAGTCAAACCCCAATGGTCTCATCAAATGCGAGGTTGCGCGCGGCTCTCCCCCCACCCGTGGCTCGCATCTGTAAACGTGGAGAAATTTAGAATATGTGATTTACCAATTGTTTGGATAAGTGGTGTCGGCTCGGGTTGCGTCAACGTTGGATCCAAGGGCTAAAGGATGATCATCATGACTGGCATGATGCCTGCGGTGTACGCAGATTGTTTTTATAGCGTATTTGGATTGTATTCGCCATGTCCCGTTTTCAACATATCATATCAAATGTGCTATTGTGCATGTGCTTTTAGAGATACGTTATGTTATTTTCCCGCATCCATCGTCTCCAGGCTCTAGTCTCGTAGAACTCTCAAGTCATCCAGCATCTCTCATGCCAAAGATAGTCGTCAAATGCAAAAGATATAGTACAATCAGCACACCAATTCCTCCCAACAAGTCCTCCCATAGCCATTCTCATTTCCATCTCCCCCCCCTTCATAACCGATCCTGATCCGTCTTCCGAATCGCCTCAACAGCCTTCTCCCACCCCTCCGTCCCCACCACCTTTCCCCCAAACCGTATCAGGTTCTGCTTATACGGATGTGCCTCGCCCTCAAACGCCTTCAACCGCGCCAGCCTCTTATCCCGCAACCTGTTCTTGGGCAGCATCCCGCTGACCGCCTTGCGCAGCACCTCGCTCCCGCCGTGCTTCTCCATCAGCACGTCCATGGTCACCGTCCGCAGGCTGCCCGGCCGCGTGTTGTGCCGGTAGTACTTCTTACGCCACATCTTGTTGCCCGTGGTGTGCAGCGCGGCGCAGTTGGTCACGACGACGTAGTCGCCGCAGTCGGTCGACGGGTCAAACGTCGGCTTGTGCTTGCCCATCAGCAGGACGGCAATGCGCGACGCCAGGCGGCCGAGGGAAGGAGGGGTGACGTTGGGCTGGGTGGTGAGGGTCGGGTGAGGCGTCGAGGCGGAGATCTGGTGCCATACTCGGGAGTAGGCGAGCCTTGTCTGTAGAAGCGCTGCGTTAGGAGAGGGAGAACATTCTTCATGTGCCGAGCATGAAAGCTCCAGGAGAGACTGACCAGGCCAATTGTCTGCGACATTTTGGTGTGATATGTATATAGATTCGAGCGCAACCACTTCCGCACTCTTTGAAGCGATGCAGCGCCGGCGACAGTGGTACCCCGAGTTGACGCTTCACCAACTGCCGTTCGAGTGGGATTTGCTATCACGAAGCCGAATCTCGAAAGTTTGCACATCCAATTGCAGCCAGTCGCCGAATGCTGACTCATCTCTCAATATCACATGACACACCAAGGTCCTCTTCGCACTCTTTTGTGCTCCCACAATAAGCTCCCAGGCCTTCTCTGTCGCCGACTCCACATGCCGGAAACCGTGTAAATCCCGGCGTTATGGCATCACTCGCCAGTGGATTTCAAAGCAGGGCCAGACGCTGCGTGTGTCTCCGTCCAGCGCAGCACATTCTATTGAGGTAATACATAAAGTCAGGTACCCAGAAAACCACAGACGAGACGTAAATGGCGCTTCGCAACGCTACGTCCTCCAAGCTCCTGGCAGCCTCGTTCGGCCTCGTTGCTGGCTATTCTGCGTATCGATACAGAGCCTCTCACTCGGTTCCGTCACAGCAGCGAAACGACGCTGCTAGCGCTTTCTCGACAGCAGGTACGTACCGGTTTACCTCTACAAATGAACTTCATGGATTCCCAGCCTTCAGCAACTCAGTTTACACGCTCAAAAAACCCCCCGCATGTGCTGACAACTCACACACAAACGACAGGCACAATGGCTGTCAAACACAGCTTCCAGGTATCTTTCTTCTCGAAAACTAATTCTTCCATTTCCCTGTTTTTGTTCAAAACAAGAAACGTGCACTGTCCTTGGAAAGAGTTAGAGAAAATCTAATGAAACACTCGGCAAACAGACCCTCTTCGCCGTTCCGCTATCCTGCGACGGCTGCGTCAAGTCCGTTTCAGACTCTCTCTACAAACTCGACGGCATCACAAAGGTCGAGGCCAACCTCAAGGACCAGCTGATATCGGTCGAGGGATCTGGTGAGTTGTCTAGAATGGCACCATCGACACTCGTGCACGCCCACTCATCTGCCGTAACCATCTGCTAACGCCTCGGGCCATGCCGCAGTCGCACCATCTGCCATTGTCGAGGCCATCCAGGCCACGGGCAGAGATGCCATCCTCCGGGGCTCTGGCGCTTCCAACAGTACGTTTCAGGAGAGCTCTTTACTGCTCAGCTTTCAGGCTTCGAAGACGCCCTCCCTGCTGCCGTCTAGGACAATGGCCCCCTCCCCTATTCGGTCCCATGGGAGGGCGTCAACCCATGTCTCGCCAAGGAGCAATTCATTCGCTTGAGGAACACTGGCTGACCAGGAACATGCTCACTCAGGCGCCGCTGTAAGCATCCTGGAGACGTTCGCCGACCAGCAAGAGCGCTCGGATGTGGACAACAGCCGGGAAGTGAGAGGTCTCGCCAGGATGGTGCAAGTCAGCCCTGAGCGGACGCTGATCGATCTGACGTTGAGGGGCGTCGCTCCCGGCACGTATCGGGCAACCATTCGTGAGTACGGAGATCTCAAGGACGGCGCTGCATCTACTGGGCCCGTCTGGTCTGGGGGCGAAAAGGAAGCCCCCAAGGGTGACCTCGGCGTTGTCCAGGTGTCCGAGGACGGCCGGGGATCCGTCTTCGTGGATCATCCCTTTCAGATCTGGGAAGTCATCGGTCATGCCATGGTGCTCACCAGACAAGACGAGTCCACGCCGCTCAAGAACGACGACAATACCGTGGTAGGCGTCATTGCGCGAAGCGCCGGGGTGTGGGACAACGACAAGACTGTGTGTTCTTGCACGGGCAAGACGCTCTGGGAAGAGCGTCAAGATGAGGTGAAGAAGGGCATGCTGTGACAACACAGCAGGGCTCAAACATGACGTTTTGGATAAACAAGTAGAATGAATAAATGAGACAAGCGACTGTTTTCTCCCACCTTTCCACCCTCTCTCTCTTCTCGAAGCTCGTTTTAAGCTTATCTCACAATCTCCTATGAATCTCATTATCCACAACACTAATCTCCTGAGAGGTTGTCGTGAACCGGCAATTCATCTAAAAGCATTCGAACTGCCGACTTCACGATGGCGGAGTTTCTCGTAGGGACTCATTTAGGAGTTTCATGCCGTCCAGGGATTCAGGTACCGCAAACGCCACCCTTGCAACGCCGAATGTACAAGGGGGACCGACAACGTCAAGACAAGCCAAACCAAGCACGAAAAAAATGTAGTCATCCCATGCAGAAGCACGGCCCTCAACTCAAATCTCACTGAAACGCCTCAAGTTCATGCGTTTCGCCTCGTGTACGAGGAGGCATCGAGTTGGACCTCGTGCTGGTTGTTTGCGGAGGTATCGAGGAAAAGGATCGCACGCCCTGGGTGCCGAACCTCCGGAGGCTTACATACTTACGCAGGCGATGCGAATACGCTTGACGTTGATAAACAGAGACGTCAAGCAACCGTATCACCTATTCATGAAACGCCGTCAAGGATTGGTGAGGTCACAATCATGCTGCGCGGGGTTGACAACTAGCTACAGCGCTCCCAGCATAGAGACGGTGTGATAGGCACAAACGCCAAGATTGTGACAGTTGAGACTGGTGCCTTGTCCTCAGCAGATGATCGAACGATAACCCTGGGACGTGGCACCACTGGCTGGAGGAGCTAGAAACGTCTTTCGAATATTCGATGTCTCTTCACCTTGCCTACACGCCCCCCCAACACGGCGTTGTAAGTTGTCAGACGGGATTCGGGTCGGGTTGTGGGCTAAGACTTCGGGCCACTCGTATAATTCGCCGTCACATGAAGAGCTGGCGACCAAGGCGATATCTACTTATGTGTTTTATGTATGAGCTTGCCGTTGAGAGCAAATCCGATGGGCTCCGCAGCCTAGCTGCAGCATCATCGGCGCGTAGAGAGCTAATGAGACCGAGTCCATGGCACAGGTGTGTGCAATGATGCTGTGACGGACTGACGAGCCAACAGCAAACCTTCAGCTTCCTCGCCAGGGTAGCTCCGAGAGCTGTTCCTCCGAAGATGACGTGAAGCAACGAGAGGTGGCTGCAAACGTGCACATGTGGAGTTGATTCAGAAGGTCATCTCGGCGAGCCGTCATTCACCCGCCTATCGCTGCCGCCTTAGCATCACAGGATGACTGACAGGACGCTGCCAAGTGGCCGTGATGCGTGTCATTATTGGTGATGAATGCATGGGACGGCCAAGGGAACCCCAGCTTTTCTATCCAGAACGAGGTACCCAGTCCCGGCTCAAGGCTCATGTGCTCGCTGTGGTCCGGCGGTGAATGCTGATCGAACTCAATCTTCTGGCCGTCGGATACGTGGAATGTATGCCGCCAGTAGATATAAATAGTTTGGGAAATGAATAACAACCCGTCAGCCATGACACCATCATCTCTGTGTGATCCAGTTGAACGGAGAATATCGAGCGCGAAGTGATCGTCCCGTCCAATCTCATCGCAGGATTTGGTGATGAGTAGATTGGCTCGAGGGAGCTAATATGCTAGCCGCAGATGACCCCAAGCCAACAGCGTTCAGGGCGCTTAGTAGCTCATGATCCTTTCACCCACGCCGCTGGCTATGGCTGCCCAAACAGCCGGGCCTGGCAGCGCGACTCGACATGCTGTTCCTCCCACATCGGCCAACAATGATGCTGGCATGGAAACATGGGATGACCTTACGCTCCTCTGTTGGTGGCTGGGACCTTTGACCGTGGGATGGCACAGCAAAGCTCCCAGGGTCGGCAAAAAGGTACGCGCCGTCGTTGGCCGCAAGCCCTGACCCCTGGTGGCCAATTAGCGGAGCTGTCAGGCACATCGATTCGGGAATTGCAACGCCGCGTGTCCCAGAATAGCGCACCTTTGATAACATTGTGAACTCGAATGCTCGTCGGCGTGCCAAGCCTTGCAGCTGCAGACGCTCATATGCGGGCTATCGACCAGCTGCACGGAGGAGGAGCCATGGAAAGCAGGAGCGCCGAAATGCGAGGCATCAGCTCTATACCCAGACGGTACTTGGCAGTGCCTGCGTAGAATGCTGTATGTAGCTGGCATCAGATATCGTGGACATCTGATGCCCTACTACTACCTAGTAGGTAGTGAGACGAAGATGGATGTTGGACAGAAGTAATTTTCGTACATGCACTCGTGGAGATGAGTAAGGCCATCTCTTATCTTTGACAGGAGGTAGGTACTATGCAGCAATGCTGATTGATAAGATCTTCTGGCAAGTGGTCCTGGTTTGCTCCTCCCCTCTGATCGAGGAGAATCGCAATAGTATTGTTCCAACCCGATCCAGAAACACGTGGGTGAAAGGACTTGACCTGACCTCAGTGCCTCAAGCGATCTGCTTAAACCATCTAATACAACGCCAATCAAACAGAGAAACAAGATCAACGCGGCGCAGCCGAATTGCTAGACAAACGTGGTTCGACTCTGGCAAGGTATCGACCAATTCAGCAACACGCGCAGACCGGCGACCTACCCGATCCATCGCCGCCAAGAGCGTAGATGGCGTCTAGGCCCATTGATAGAACTGCCATCGCGACGCTACTGGTACCTCTGTCGTTGCCCCCGAAGTCCTCTCTAGGCATGCTCGAGCTGGTTCTGATGCCTGGATCGGTAGTAGTATCTCTCGCTTGGTCCGCTGGGAGCAAGCAATGACCTCACAGACGACTTGGTTAGGAAACGGTGCGCCCCAAACAGGAGCAAACAGACCCGGACAGACGCTCTGATAGGCGAAGATGGCAGCTCGTTTCCAGCAAGGCGCCCTCGGTACGGAGTTGAAAACAACAGACGAAGGCCTAGCACCAAGGCCAACACGACGGTACAAGCCACCGAGTCGACCTGCGACAACAGGGAGCGACCCGCCACCCCTGGTTCCACGACGGCAGCGATGGCCTCCCATGCCACCCTCTGCCCTCTGCCCTCTGGGCATCTTGAGAAGGTTGCGCGGTTCGACAGACTCAGAGAGCCAATACCGAGGCTGGGATCGAATCTCGCGCTCTACTTGGTACACTCCGTCCAGACATATACCCCCATCCCGGATTCCCCTGCCCGCCGTTTGGTCGCTCACTGACCCCCCTCTGGCGACTTGGAACAGAGGTGAAGCTTCACCAGCCCATGTCCAAAACCGCGGCACCCCCCCAGAGAACGGCAGGCCAGTTCCCAGTTCCACCATCCTTGCTAAGCTCCGAGTCCCCATTTTCCCATTTTTACTCCTGCACGCCACGCCCACTGCCCCCCGTCTTCCTCTCCACTGGTCACTCACTCTTTTCTGTTCGTCTCCCCAGCCCAATGCACGCTACCCAACCAGTCACCTTGGCTTGTCGATAGCGCCGCAAAACCCATCGTCCACCATCGGAACACTACAATCGTTTTTTTCTTCTGCTCTTCATCGCTCGCTTGTCTTAATTCACTCATTACATTCCGTGGTCACGAGAGCGAGAGATTAGGTTAAAGAATTGTTATTCGGCCGGCCGGATTCTTTACACTGCAGCACAGAGGCGTTACACGGACGGAGCGCCCCTGCGAAAAACATAATAAGTCGGGTGACATACAGATCAGCATCGCTTGTACGAAATACACATACCCCACGAATCTGCTCTCCTTCTGGGGATGCACGGCGCACATAACGACATCTTCTAACATTAGAACAGCTTTTTCTCAGAGCTTGCGGAAGCAGACATTGTCAGGTTGATCAAAGCCAGAATTCGGGAACAGCTTTTGTCGGGCAATTCCAGGAGTCGGTGGCTTTGAGCATCATCACAGGATCCTCTCTTGGCTGGCGCCACACGCTTCGCCAAGGTCTAGCCCGCAGCTTGCACACTTTTCCGACCCAAAGCAAACAAAGGCGGGGGGTACCGACGTCTTTTGGAATCCAAGAGGCTTCGTACTCTGCTCTGACAAGACACCTCGTTGCAATTTTGGCTGGAGCTCCTCTCCCGATAGGCCGTGGTATTCCTTTGTCTCTCTCAGCCCCAGCATTCTGAGGCGCCAGCCCTTCCGTGGGCTGTAAATAGATCGTCCTCCATATACAATTGCCCAGCCAGCTACTCGACCGTCTTCCTGTGCTTTCGCGCATAGTCGGGTACGATGTCTCTGAAACAGGTAAGAGAAGTCGGCCTCGTGGTCTTGTCGGAAGGCGTGGCGTATGCTGATACCCTTGGCTTGTGTAGGAAATTGAGACCTGGGTCGCGGCCCTTGGTCGCTACGACAATAATGAGTTCGACGAAGCTCTTGCCGAGTTCGACAAGATTGGCGATACAAGCAAGATTCTCTTCAACATGGGTGTCATCCACGCCACTCTGGGCGAGCACGAGAAAGCTGTGGGTTGTGCCATATTCCCAGCACCGCCTCGACCCTGCCATGCTAACACATGCTGTGCGCAATACCTAGGTCGAGTGTTACCAACGAGCCATCCGATTAGATCAGTACCTGGCCGTCGCCTACTTCCAACAAGGCGTGTCCAACTTTTTGCTGGGTGACTTCGAAGAGGCCCTCGCCAACTTCAACGACACGCTGCTGTATCTGCGAGGCAACAGCGTCATCGACTATGCCCAGCTCGGCCTTCTGTTCAAACTGTACTCGTGCGAGGTCCTGTTCAACCGAGGATTATGCTACATCTACCTGCAGCAGAAGGAGGCGGGCATGCAGGATCTGGCGTATGCTGTTAAGGAGAAGGTTGTCGAAGATCACAACGTCATTGACGAGGCCATTCGCGAGGAAGCAGAGGTGAGGACTCTCGAACGTTTCCGTGGTCAAAGACACTGGCTGACTTGCGTTACAACAGGGATACACAGTGTTTTCCATTCCCGTGGGCGTCGTATATCGACCAAACGAAGCCAAGGTTCGCAATCTCAAAACCAAGGACTATCTCGGCAAGGCCAAGCTGGTTGCAGCCTCGGATCGATCCAATGCATTCACTGGATTCGCCGGTTCCGAGATCAAAAATGTGAGCACCTGTGTGCCCAGTAATGTATTTCTCTTACTTATCCAAACCCCCTCTAGGCCTTGACAGAAGCCAAAGACGACCGACCAAGCGAGAATCTGTCCTTCGCGGCGACAAACCTGGTCAAGCCTGGCCTTCAGTCACGACGACAGCAGTCCGAGCCGCCGACCGATCGCAGCAACGCGTTCCCTCCCACTCCTCCTCCGGAGAACGACCGTCTCAACCGGGGTGCTTCCGAACGGAACTCTGGAGGGAGAGGGAAACTTAGCATCCAAACGCAAGAGCCCAGCCGGAGATATGAGAAGGCAATCTCGCCACAAGAACGCTCTAGGCACGGGCGATCGGCATCAGCTGCCCCTGCGAGAGGCCTTTCGACGAGGGATCCCCAGCGGAGACAGAGGCCTATCGAGGAGGACTATCCCTACGGCGACGAGCAATACGACCCGTACGCCGTTGGACAGCGAGGAAGCAAGGGGTCTCGATCGCGACAACAGCGATACGATGACCGGTACGACGACCGATATGAGGATGAAGAGGACTCGGAAAATGACTACGGCTCCTTTGACGAGGGCGAGTTCGAGATGGTGTCCACGATGCGACGCGGCCCCGGGTCGGTGGCGCGGCCCTCGCGTGCGGCGTCGCGACGACCGCCGGAGATTCGCAAGATCCGCGTCAAGGTGCACTCAGACGATGTGCGATACATCATGATTGGCACGACGATTGAGTTTTCCGACTTTGTGGATCGTATCCGAGACAAGTTTGGCCTGCGAAAGCGGTTCAAGATCAAGATGAAGGACGAAGACGTGCCAGATGATATGATTACGATGGGCGACCAGGACGACCTGGACGTGGCCATTCAGAGCGCGAAGAGCACTGCAAGGAGACAGAAGCTGGATACTGGCAAAATGGAGGTACGTTACTGCCCTTTGAAGCTCACCCCCCCTTTTCTAGCATGCGATGTAAGGTCTAACGCTCTTTTAGATCTGGGTCATTGAGGTTTAGAGCTGTTTCTGTTACACATATGCGCAACGCAATTATACCCCATCCGATGCTCTCGACAGGACTCAAGCAGGCTCATCTGCCAGTCCACGGCAACTATTGCGACACGATAGCCCGACGGAGCTTCACAGTTTTTCTTGTTCGATTCGATTTACTCCATGTTGTGGAATTCTGGTGCTTAGACTGCATTACTTCCCTACGGCACTATCCAGTGTCATTATTTTCTTGATGCATTTCCTTTCCTCTTTAGCTGGAACATGGCGATTGCTCTTGTTTTTCTCCCTTTTTTTTCGTTCTATTCTTGTTTCTCTTTATATTTCCTTTGTGTCTCGCCGCGTCTGTGTCATGTGGTGCAAGGGGCTTCTCAAGCAGAGGAGCCTTGCAATCGAATAATGTGGCCCCAATGGGGTTTGTTTCGTTTTTTTTCCCTCTTCATTATTCTGTTCCATTTGGGACGTGGTGTATATGAGCTTCAGTGAACGGGAAGGGTGGCTCTGGTATTGGAGAAGTAGGGTCGAAAAACAATTGGTGGAAAAGGGGGTTTGCCTGGCAGAAAGACGATGATAGTTGATCTATCGGGATACTTTGACAGCTAGAGCGCCGTTTCTTCAGGCGAATTACGTGTAATGACTACATTATTTCATTTTGCAAGCGTCCTGATAAGCTCGTGGCTCTCTGTTGCAAAACTTCGCTTTAATTTATATCAACGACTCCGACAAGGCCGCGCGGTTGTGCCCCTGAGGAGGCGCATGAGCTGAGATTAGTAAGACGATGCAGGCAGATAAGCAGAAGAGAGAACATGAGATGTGCCGGGGTTGCAGCCGGATCAAGCGGTGGATCGACGGCATGGCAGCGCCGCAGAGGGAAAATGGAGACCGAAAGAGTCGGTAAAAGTGAACAAGGGTGCAAAGCTTTGTTTGTTGAGAAGCTCTGCTCTTTGACAGGGGTGGGAGCTGCTGCTGTTGCTGCTGTTGCTGCTGCTGAAGAAGAAGAAGAGGAGGAGGAAGATGAAGAAGGGGGATAGCTGGCATGGCAAGGCACGCATAGAGATGGAAGGTTCTAGGCATTTGAAGGAATGATCAACTCTCTTATAACTGATTCTTGGTCTTTGCTGTTTTGATTCCCAAGTGGTCTTTTGGTTTACTCGACGGTTTTGCCGGTCGAGGATTGGCGAACCTCCCTTTTGTCCTGTTCTGTTCTTCGTTCACGGAATGGTCGCTGGTTCCCGTTCCTTGCATGGATTTTCAAAGACTACATCTGTCATATTTTGCCTTATATTTACGGAATATATATTGCATCTACATTGCGTAAATACATTGCTCTACTACTGCAGGACTAATAACACACGGATGTTCGGAGGATGTGCGAGATTTGGACAGAGGCGGATCTGCAATCGAAAAGACTTGTTTAGGGGCGGTGTGGCTGGGATGAAAATGGCGTTATTTCGACCTCGACGTCTTTCTTTTTAAAATCTCACCTCTCTAGTATTCTTGTGTGACTCTTCTGCTTTTCGAATGATATGATTGAATGACTCTGGAGATGCACTCTTCCGTGCTTCTCTAACAATGAGCGGGCGAGTCTTTTTTGAGACGCTTGAAGCGAATTGCCCGAGTCTTCAAGGATCCCAATACTGTATGGACAAGCATGGGTTGCGGTAGTCTCAAGGAATCGCGCCTTTGCCTACTACGTAGTAGGTACCTCCTCAAGCCGCCGTCAATAAACGCCGAACAGAACGTCTTATACAAGTCAATGCCAACGCAACAACGGACCTCTCTCAACATCCGTTCAAATAGAGTGAAAAAAAGCTTGAACAAACCTCATTTCGCCTAAGCCATGAAAACCATAAGAGAAACCCGCGATGAGCGCCAGGTTCATTAGTCAAGAGCCTCTCTTCAAGGTCCCACTTTGCTACAGCTCATCCTTGTCTTTTTCTTTGCTTTCTCTTGGATGGAACCGCAAAAGTGTGCTGGCGATGGGGCAACGTCTTTCTTTTTGCTTTGGTGAGTGTGATGAGCGAGCTTGACAAGGTAGTAGATAACGACAAGGCTTGGCTGGGTGTGGGAAAAGGGGGCCGATAAGGTTGTCGATTTTTTTTCCTTCTTCCTTTTTGTTTCTGTGGATAGGTAAGGTAAGGTAGACACACCGTTATTGTTTGGTGGCTCGAGTGCGATGATCAATGGCCTCGATTCGCTCTAATTGCGTATCAACGATATAAACTCATCATCGCCATCAGGTCTCACGACATCAATCGACTCTTTCATCCTCCTCAACTCTTCCACATCCTTCCAAGCGAGCTTCTCCATCGATCCCACTCAGAGGACAGGCATCACTTCACATGTCGTCGTGTACAAAGTAATACTTGCGCTACCCAACGGACCCCCCGTACCGCCAGTGGACCGACAAGATCCATCCAAACGGGCCTCAGCAAGCCTCTGCCCTGTTTTTCTCTTCTTGTCGTCGTCCATCTCTCCTCCCCCAGCCTGCTCCCTATCCCAACTGACTCTCACACCGACCTCGCTCTCTCTTTTTTCGAGCCCATGGACCTTGCATCGTCCTTCGGCTGAGGCTCCGTGCAAGGCTCCTCTTCTGGGGACCTTTCCCACCCCCCCTAGCTCACGATCAAGGGTACTGATAGGACTACTACTACTACTAACAGCAAATCGCATACTAGTAGCAAGAAAAAACGAGGCCCCGTAACTGAGTACGAGTACGGAAGCGATGAACAGAGTATTACGAACAAACACCTGGTTCATATGCATTCTTCGCTTCTCTCTCGTGGGGACGAGGCTGGATCCTGCTCCTCCTCCTCCTCCCCCGAGTATTTAGTAAAGGAGCGTTTCCCACATGCCCGTGGCCTGGCCCTCTTCTTTTCCCTTTTTTTTCTTTTTCCTCCTTTCTTTTCCTGCTGCGTTTTGTCTCCTTGTGTTTGAAGAAAGAAAAAGTCGTGATTGTCAAAAGTGTCCGTTCGTTCGTTATACTTCGTGACCCTCCACGCTCGTTATAGAAGGACACCCACCCAAGACTCTCCGTACAATCCCCCCAACACGTCAACAAGACCAAGAGAAACAACTCCGTCAGTCAGTCAGTCAGTCAAGATGAAGTCCTCGGCCGTGATCCTCGCCGCCTGCGCCTCCCTCGCCGGCGCCACGCCCACGTACCGCTCCGGCAACTGGAACTCCACCGTCGTCAACTGGAACTCGACGACGCCCACCAACTGGAACACTTCTTCTTCTTCTCCAACCGCCAGCTGGAGCAGCCCGACAGCAATCACCACCTCGACGACGACGGGACTGCCTCAGGCCGAGGCCGCCAGCCTCCCGCCCTCGTCTTCTCTTCCTCCTCCGTACTGGAGCAACGGAACAACGGGGGCCGTCAGCAACGAGACGTGGGTGAACCACAACCAGACGCGGTTCTCGCCGGGCCAGGCTCATCAGCCGGTGCCCCTTATTCGGCGCTTCCGCCCGCAGAGGAAGACGCTTTCTCGTGCTTTCTTGCCCAACTTCTGAGAGGGATGAAACCCCCCCGAACTGGTGAGTTTTGTTTGAGCCCCCCCCTTCCAACTTGCACTGGCATGCTCTCCTTTATGTATATTTATAAGAAGGCCTTTCAGGACTGACTTACTTGCTTCTAGAGACGAAAGTACGGTGAATGAGATGAGAGATTCTCCGGTTGCTTTTGTTCCCAAAAGCAAGGCAAAATTTTCAAAGTTTTTAATGTGCTGTTGTTTGTCCAGGACGATGATGCGGTGTTTGGCCTGGAAATCTTTTATGATGTTTAATTTGTAGACGCGTTTGACGATGTTACTCTTGACGTTGGCTCCGGATTCCCCGTTAGAAATAGTTTCAATAATCTTTAGAAATGGAAATGCTTCATGGCTATTTTTGGGCGCTCAGCGTCTGGCGTTTCTTCCTTTTGCCTGAGTGATGGGGGGGTCATCGTGAGTGAGGTTGGTTGTATCGTGAAGCGATATAGTTGCCATTGTGGTTCCTCCGTAGCTCGTCCTATCGTGATCCGTCGTCAACGCTTGAGTTGTGCAAGCGGTTTTTGGGGGCAAACCGACTTGAGAAGACCAAATCCAGCGCCAAGAAGAAGTCCTGGGATCACCTCTGTCGTCCTTCAACCACCCATTCACTCCTCCCCAAACCAGCAGTCAAAGGAAAACAGGATATCAACAACCATCCTCTCCATCCGGCTCAGCCCCCGAATGATGCCCATTGTCCTCTCCTCCTGCCCTTCCAGCCAAGCCATCCTATCGTCAATCCCCTGCATCACAGCAATCACCTCGTCCAGAATCTCCTCCAGCTGCTGCTCTTGCTCCCCCATCGAGCCCACCAAGAAATCATACAGCTCAGCCGCCGTAACCTCCTCCTCCTCCTCCTCCACCTCACCCTTGTCGTCTCCATCTCCGTCGCCATCATCATCATCAAAGAGCGCATTGACCTGCTCCTGGACTTTATCATACCACTTGCAGTACCGAATGCACTTCCGCCGGATATACGCGCACTCATCCCTCATCTTCTCGCAATCCACCCTGTCTTCGCGATCGAGATTGCGAATCTCCTCGTGCGCGCTCCGCGATCTGCCCAGCGTGTCGAGGACTTGCTCCCACTTATGCCGCTCGGCGCTGCTGGGCGGGCGGACGAGCCGGGCGACTCTGCGGTGCAGCTCGATCACGGGCAGCAGGTCTGCGATGCTGGCTGGCGAGGGCCTGTTTGCCAGCTCAGCGGCGTCGTGGCGGAGCTTTCGGACGAGGATGGCGGCTTGTCTTGCTAGAGCAGCGTCTTCTTCTTCGTCAGTGTGATGATGGGTGGTGGTGGTGGTTGTGGTTTGAGGCGTGGGTAAGAAGGTCGGGGGCTGTGCCTCGTTGGTATTTGTTCTGTTGTTGTTGTCGTTGTCCTGAGGGGAGTCTTGAGCAATGGGGGTGGAAGACGGACGGGGATCGGGAGAACTGGGTGACCCATCTTGGTTGATGGTTGCAGGTAGCATTGCAGAGCGAGCTGTTTGACGATGATGGACCTTGCTCCGATACGAGCTGGAAGCCTCTCCCCTGTATGGTGCTGAGATCAGCAGCAGGTGGCGAGGTGAAGCCAAAGGGCGCAAAGTCGTGGTGAGGAAAGTTGAAAACGCACAACGGTCATTGGAAGCGTGAAGAATGTGTCCCTGACGCATTGTCATATTCGTTTTTTCGATGTTTCGATAAAGCTGATTGGTGCGGCTGATCGAAACGTGGAATGAGGCTGCCAGCTGGCTTGTCAGTTGATAGGAGTGGCAATGGACCCTGAGCCGACTCAAAGATCTTTTCTATGTCAGGCAATCCAATCACATACTTCTCACGAACTCTTGAATGGCAAGTGGCGGGGAAAAAATCGCTGAAAGATCGTTTGTGTCATCTATTGTTGTACAGTCTATCGTGTGGTCAAATGTCAGTAACGAGTCGCAGGTAAGGTAATACCCGCAACATATCCATCGTCACAATGGAGCATCAAAGAGCTCGACTAGTCGTGCAAGTCTTTCAAAAGCCCTTTGACAACGTCCAGTCGATGTGCCCATTCATCTCGCCCCAAGAGAGCAAACATCCTGGAACTGCTCTGCGAAACGATATCTTGCCCGCCAGCAGCCACCAGCCTCAGTACGTTGTGGGTCGTGAGCTGATCGACTCCCTGTGGCTCGACCTTGGACTGTATTGCCTGCATCACTTGAGTGCAGTCGCCCTCCCAGAGAGACTCCTGGGAGATGGCATCTTCGAGAGCATCGAGCACCTTTTGCTCGGGTCTTTGTTTTGCAATGGACGCCTTGAAAACCGCCAGTGGCACCCGCCAAAAGAGATACGGGTGCTGCGAGACCAGATCGCTCGGCGCCTGAAAGCCCCCCTGTTTGGATACAATTGCCTTGTACACGTAGGGAGCCTTGAGCGTGGCATCCGTCAAGGTCGGAACGAGCTCCAGCGGTAGCTGCCAGCCCTTTGATGTCAGCTCCGCGCTTTCGACGCTTCCGTTCGTGATTGCTTCAATCTCCCTCAACACGGGCTGTGTCAGATGGTGGTCGATGAGCTTCGCCTCCTGGTCTGCCAATGCGGCAACAGGCTTCCAGAGCAGAGCATCACGGTATTTGCTGTTGAAGTGTTCCAGCTTCGACAGATTCAGCTTGATGCCTCCCCTCGTGAATTTGAATGTCAACTGTCATCGTTAGTAAGAGTTGCAGTCTCTTCAGGGAGTGTCGCCCTCGTACCGCTTTGGCCACATCCTCCACCGTCCGGGGTGGCTGGACATGTCGCTTGAACGAGGACCCGAGATTGGCGAGCCAAGATAGCAAAGCCATGGGGAACGTGCCCTCTTTCTGATACTTGGAGATGTTGACGCTATCATTGCGCTTGCTGAGTTTGCTTCCGTCTGTGTCGACAAGCAAGCCGAGATGGGAGAAGATTGGTGGCTGCCAGCCGAACGCTTCGTATAGCGCAATGTGTTTCGGTGTCGAAATGAGCCATTCCTATATGCTTTATCAATACCATGTATCCACGGGGAAGAAGCAAGCACGTTAAAACACTCACCTCGCCGCGAATGACATGGGTAATCTTCATCAAGTGGTCATCAACAACGTTAGCCAGATGGTATGTAGGGAAACCATCCGTCTTCATCAGGATAAAGTCTTCCTCCGCATCCTTCTTCTGGAACCGCCCGTAAATGGCATCATGGAGCTTCGGCCGACCAAACTTGTCGCTCTTGAAGCGAACCACATGAGGCTCTCCAGCTTTGGCCCGGCGATCAGACTCGTCGGCGTCTATGGAGCGGCATGTCCCTGGGTAAACAGTCGGCTTGCCCGCCTCGTGGAGTTCACGCTTCTGGGTTTCAAGCTGTTCGGTAGTACAGAAGCAACGGTAGGCATGGTCATGGTCCAAGAGGGTCTGGACGTGTTCATGATAGATGGGCAGTCTCTCAGACTACAGCTGGGTCAGATTGAGGAAATCACAGGGGTAAGTCTTTGACTTACTTGTCTGTAGGGGCCATATGGCCCACCACAGTCGGGCCCTTCATCCCATGACAGCCCAGCCCATTTGAGATCCTTCATCAATCGCTCCTCGGCATCCTTCACAAGCCGGTTCTACAATCTACTTAGCACGTTCTCCCTCTTTGTCAAGGAGCACTGATTGCTGGCTCGTCCATACCTGGTCTGTGTCCTCTATACGGAGGATAAACGATCCTCCATTGGATGCCAGCACAGCAAGCTTGTTGAACAGGGCTGTTCTGAGGGATCCAAGATGGAGGTATCCTGTTGGAGACGGTGCAAACCGAGCACGGATGGGGAGGTCTGCGCTCTGACCAAGAATCGTGAGGGAATCCGGTGTAAGAGAGGCGGTGTCGCCAAGTTTCTTGTTCTTGTTCCTCAAGGCCTTGAGTCCAGAGCTATAGGCCCGTTGCTGTGACTGACATGTCCTCCTTTCAACTGCCCGCTCCGGACAAGCATATGTGCTGCTGGAGACACGGAGGTTGTGTCTGTCACAGCGAAGAACGGCAGATGTGACAAAGCTCCGGCTTAGAAGGTGACTAGAGGTGCAATTCCGTGCTTCACATAGCGAGCGGCTGCTGAGTCTTGTAAGGCCCAGCCGGAGGGCGGGTGAGGACATGGTCATGAGCCACGAGGGAGTCTCGCCGTCTCATCCATCTCTTTGTGTCGAGTATAAAACGGTCGATAATTGCCCGGCAATAAGCATCTGATGTTTCGTGAGGCGCATTTTCTGCTTTCGGGAACGCCACATGTGGCTGGCACTGACCGGTTAGATAAGGCGCCGATAAGACTACCTTAAGGCGATAGCTTGATAAGCCCAAAAAAAATTCAAGTTGTTCCATCGCCAGCCGAAGCGGCGACTTTGACTTTGAAGTGTGTACTTGGAAGTGAAGAACAATATACCTAATTAAGCTGATGTACACACTGAGCAAAAGTGTGATGATGTATTCTTGAACAGTGTCTAGAACCATAAAAGCAGCATCAGTCTGTTTGCTGCCATGTCATCTACCTTATCATATCTGCCCATGATTGCATTTTGTGATACATGAGCTGACGTGCTCCTCCTGCAAGCTGCTGCTCCTGGTTCAACCCGTCAACTGAAGGAGGTACCTTTTCAGCGTCCCGCAAAGTCACTCGCCGGCGTTTGTCCCGTTTGTCGCTCCAGCATTTTCTCAGCGGTCCTCTTTGCTCGACTTTTTGCCCCAATCTCAGCCTCAGCATCTCTTCCATTTCATTCTCGTCTTGTCCATTCTCAGTCCGGTTTTTGCCTCCCCTTTATCTCTCTTCTGGCAGCCTCGCAGCGTCTCGTCGGTTTACCGTTACCCAGGCAGCAGCAGCACTTTGTCAAACGCGAGGCTCGACCCCGCGCCACGCCAAAAGATTTTCTGGATTCCGCCCTCCAGCCAGTCGCTCCGAGACCCTACACTCTCTTCTGCACACCAAACCCCAAGCCATCATCATGGCTTCCGAAGTGGAAATCGATCTCTATGGTACGTACGAATCTATCGAAAAGACTCGTGTCTTCTACTCGGTTGAATCTGAACCCGTTTCCCCCCCATCGTTTCTGTCTGCAGCAGTTTTTGTCTAACTATTGCGTCCAGAGATCCTTGAAATCGAGAGAACTGCAACGCCCGACCAGATCAAAAAGGCCTATCGCAAGGTACTTTACAGATGGACGCCGGACCCCCCATCTCTTCAAATGCAGGCTAACAAACTCAGGCCGCGCTGAAATACCACCCCGACAAGGTCCCCGAGGAGCAGCGCGAAGAGTCAGAGGCCAAGTTCAAAGAGGCCAGCAGAGCCTACGAAATCCTCAGCGATGAAGACAAGCGCCACCTCTACGACACCCACGGCATGGCTGCCTTTGACGGCAGGGGAGGCCCCGGCGGCCCCGAGGTCGATCTCAACGATATCCTCTCTCAGATGTTCGGGTTCAACATGGGCGGTCCCGGCGGCCCCGGCGGTCCTGGGCCCATGAGGCCGAGGAAGGGGCCAGACGAGGAGCAGGAGTACAAGGTCACGCTCGAGGAGCTGTACAAGGGCAAGACTGTCAAGTTCTCGGCCAACAAGCAGGTTGTCTGCGGCACCTGCAAGGGCTCCGGCGGCAAGGAAAAGGCCAAGCCTGCCTCGTGTGAGCGCTGCAGGGGCCAGGGCATGGTCGAGGCCATTCGCCAGATCGGCCCCGGCATGATGCGCCGCGAGACCGTCCTGTGCGACCACTGCACGGGGTCCGGCAAGGTCTACAAGGAGAAGGACAGGTGCAAGAAGTGCAAGGGCAAGCGAACGACGCAGGAGAAGAAGGTGCTGGAGATTTACATTCCCCGAGGATCGATGCAGGGCGAGCGCATTGTCTTGGAGGGAGAGGCGGACCAGTACCCGGACCAGATACCCGGCGACATCGTCTTCACTCTGGTGGAAGAACCCCACGACGTGTTTAACCGGCTTGGAAACGACTTGTCCGCCGAGCTGACGGTGTCGCTGAGCGAAGCGCTGACCGGCTTCAACCGGGTGGTGCTCAAGCACCTCGACGGGCGAGGCATCCAGATCAACCGGCCGCGGGGCAAGATCCTGCGGCCAGGTGACTGCATCAAGGTCCCCGGCGAGGGTATGCCCCTGAAGAGAGGAGATGCCAGGGGAGACTTGTATCTCATGGTCAAGGTCGAGTTCCCCGAGGACGGCTGGCTGAAGGACGACTCTGCCTACGAGGCGCTGGCCAAGATGCTGCCGCCCCCGCTGCCGGCTGTAGAGGCCTCTGAAGAGGTTGACGATGTGGAATACGAGGACGATGCCGACATTGAGGAGGTGAGCATGGCCTATCATTGGTCCAGCGTTGCTTAAACAACAAGAGATTGCTAACCTAGAATCGCAGATGGGTGCTGACCAGGGTGATCCTCGATTCGCCAACGAGTGGGAGGACGACGACGAGCACGAGGGCCAAACACAATGTGCCACGCAGTAAGGAGGCTGTTCACCTGGCATATCGAACGTGTCACAACATGTTTCTTTTTTATCTTCATTTGTTTGGTTTTGCTTGAGGATAGAGACTAGACTTCCGTTTGCCGAGGGAACGGGCAATTTGGGACGATTAGGGGACTTTTTAACGACTTGAAATTTTCTTCGACGGGTTTTGACGAACGCTGGGATAGAGGGTCAATTTGACGGTCACTACTTATGGGATGACGAGGCAAAGCATAGGGATGGAAACGGCTGGTCACTCTGCTCTTGAATGAATACCGAAGGGCTTTGGCCCAGATTGATGGGTTGCTTGTGACGAAGTTGTTCTAGCTCTGCCATATCAGCGTCTGGTTTGCTTGACCATGTGGGACGGCGTAGGGGCTACCCGGCATCTTGAACGATATGGCGGGTGAATGGAATCAAATATTTCTCATTGGGAAACTATGGAATGGACGTCTAGGTGATTTATCTTCTATATTCGTTTATCTATTTCTGACACTTTTTGCAGCTGGGGGTCATCATCGGGTAGCGTTCCTTTTATCTTTTTTCTTCTTTGCCATCTCACACGTATTCCATCCATGCTTGACGTGACACATCCCGAGCTAAGATGCCGGTATCGCGAAGCCTCTGTCAGCTACTCTCCATTCAACAACTAAAACTCAACATACCTATGCGAACTCACAAGGCAATGCCTTACGCGGGATCAAATCAGGCATCAGATAATCATGAACTATCCATCACCAAGCGTCATTGGCACATTAGGTACTACCTTATGCCCCCTTTAGCAGTTAAATGTAGAACATGTTTGTGAGGTACCTGTACCGGTACGTACGTTGAGCCTCTCGGCATCTTGCCGCCTTGGCAGCCCCGCTGACTGCCGCCCCTCCTCCTATTGGAACTGACGTGCGACTTCAACTCAGCGTCACCTTTTCTGTCATCGTCAATCTCTCAACCTCTTCAACCTCTCCTCATCATTTTCCCTCTCGCGATACCTACACAAGCAAGACAAGGAGACACTACATCATTACATCACTCCCTGATCTCATATACCGTCATCCTTCCACAAACAAGTACTCCATCGCCAACCTCATACTATATAACTCCATTACCAACCTCGTCCATCAACCTCATCACTATCATCACAACCACCACCACCATGTCTCGCAAAGGCGTCGGCATCGCCGCCTTCGACCGCTCGCGCCTCACCTCGCGCCAATTTGCCTCCCACGGCTCCTCCCTCCGCGCCACAAACGCCCAGGCCCTCGAGACCCAGCTCGCCGTCTTCCGCTCCCTCCTCCAGCAGTTCGCCGCCACCCACGCAAAGGACATACGCTCCGACCCGTCCTTCCGCGCCCAGTTCGCGCGCATGTGCTCCGCCATCGGCGTCGACCCCCTCGCCTCCTCGTCCTCCTCCTCCTCTGCCAAGGGAGGAGGAGGATCAGGAGGCGGCAATTCAGTCTGGGCGCAGCTGCTAGGCCGCACCGTCAACGACTTCTACTTTGAGCTCGCCGTCCGCATAGTCGAAGTCTGCGGCGCCACGAGGGCCGAAAACGGCGGCCTCATTGCCCTGGCCGACCTCCGCGAGCGCGTCTCCCGCGGCCGCATGGAGGGCGCCGACTCCATCAGCGACGACGACGTGCGCCGCGCCGTCGAGACGCTCAAGCCGCTGGGCAGCTACGCCGTCGTCGTCGTCGGCCGCAAGGAGTACGTCCGCAGCGTCCCGCGCGAGCTGAGCACAGACCAGGCCGCCGTCGTCGAGGCCGCGCAGGTCCTGGGCTGGGTGAGCGTCAGCATGCTGCGGGACAATCTCGGGTGGGAGGCGGCTAGGTGTAGGACCGCGCTCGACGATCTCGTCGCGGGAGGGATGCTCTGGGTGGATGGGCAGACGGGTGGCGAGGCCGAGTATTGGAATCCGGGCGTCATGGGGGATGCTGGACATGACGGTGGCGCTGGTGTTTGAGATTGGACGAAGCAGCCAAGATCCTTTTCTTACGGCAAGATGATGAGCGGCCCTCTAAGGAGTCGGTGCCCGTGAGACGCCGAGTCGAGCCAAGTCAAGTTACTAGGAAAGGGACTAGGAAAGGGACATGCGAAGGAGACCACTTTCCTACCTTATGATGGGAGGGAGTCGGACTTTGCCTTGGCGATACAAGACATGCTCCGCTCTATATTATCGTCCCAAAGGTGGCAAAGTTGTCATCGAGAACCGCCAAGTCTCATGAATGACACTCATGCCCTCTCCGAGCCACCGAGCCCATCTGGACTTATGAACTTGATAATCCAGAATCCGACAGTTGAACCACAACGGCAGAGTCCATCTGGTCTACAAAGAAATAGGAAGAAGCAACATGCAACGACGCCAGCACAGATGACGACAGTTCACCAACAACAAGAGGAACTCCACACGACGTCAAAGTATCCAAAACATTTATACAGGGCATCTAACCAAAGAAAACAGTCATTACTAAAACAAACATCGCATTTGCCCTCTCCCCCCTTGAATAGCCCCCGATCCTCCCACGACTCAGATGCCCCCCAGAAAACCATTTCCATCATATTCCTTCCTCCTTCGGGAGAGACAACAAAAGAACAAAGGAGCATTCGTTTGTCACATGGAGAGCCTTGGAGAATCACAAAAAAAGAAATGGAGTATCCGCCGACAAAACACATAGCCAAAGCTCCCATTGGCAACCTTTTCTTTCCTCGGTCAAAGAAAAGATTAGGTGCTCCCTTTTCTTCCTCCCTCTCTTGCATCTTTTGCCAGATATCGCCGCAAAGTAACAAATGACTTACCTCTTCCACTCAAGTCCGGACTATTGTTCTTTCCCTTCAAAACTGCCTGGCTGCCTTGAAAGGGGAGAGTACTCCAGCGCATGTCCGCCGCCAGGGTATCATTGTAGACTTCAAGGTCCCAGTTTCCAGTTCCCAGCCTGTCCCTTAGTAGTTGGGGTTGTGGCTCGCCATGCTGGGCTCGCGCGGGTCACGGAGGTCACGGGGATCGCGAGGGTCGCGGGGGTCACGGGGGTCGCGTAGTCCATCGCGTCCGCCCAGGTTGGGGTTGGGTCCCATGTGGGGAGGGGGAGGATAGTCCTCGGGGCCGGGACGGCCCATCTGCGGCGGCGGGCGGTTCTCGCGGCTTTCGCCGTAGTGCTTCTTGCGCAGGGCCGCGAGGCGCTTCTTCTTGGTCAGGGTGTTGATGTAGGTGCCAATGACGAAGGAGACCAGGTTGAAGAAGGGCACCCAGAGCTCGTCAGGGAGGAACTGCTGGGCAAAGGCCAGGCAGATGGGGGACGTGAGCCACGAGATGCGCATGACTCTCCAGAAGCCGACCTTGACGGTTGCGCGGACCTGGTGGAACGTTCGGGCGCCGGCAATGAGGGCCATGGCCACCAGGTAGATGCTGTTCTGGATGGGCGCAATCTGGAATGACGAGTCAGTATGGAAATGATGTCATGAAGGAGTTTGTGTCAAATCATTCGCTTATCGTAATTGGAGGAGGCGTCTCCAATTCGAGAAATTGAGAGTCCAATTTGCACATGGTTAAGCGAGTTGACTGGAAGAATAAGGAAGCACGTACCACAAGGTTGCTGACCACAATCTGGATGATCTTGGCCCGGAGACTGACGCGGCCCTTGAAGAGCTTCTGGAGCAGCCAGATGAGAAAGTGGCCTAGGGGAGCGCTGACCAAGGCGCCGTAGGCGGCCATCTTGGGGACGCGCGAGGTGAAGTAGTTGCCATGCTTGTTGCGGTCCTTGGCCAGCCACGAGGCGAGGAACTCCTGGGCGCCGGCGAGGGTTCCGGCCGTCAGCATCTTGGTGCGCAGAGGGTTCGACTCGAGCTCCTTGATATAGGCCTAAGGGGAAGTGGCGGCAAGCCCGCAGTTAGCCAAACTCAATTCCAACCTTTCATTCCTGCCATTCTCCTCGTTCTATATCTCTCCATCATCCCGGTAATTGCGCGCAGATGTGTCAAACATACCGCCAGGTAGCCCTTGGTGCCGGCCATGCCCTTTCCTCCGGTCAATGCCGTGCCAATGGTCTCGGCAATGGGGTGCTTTCCACTGGTGCCGGGAAGAGGAGGTGCGCCTTCAAAGGCCCTTTTGATCGGGCCGGGGCCTTCAGCGAGAGCGGCGGCGCGCTCAGCAGCGGCGCTGGCGACCCCGTCGACGGTCTTCTCGGTCACCGTCTTGATGGAGCGCTGGACGACGGCGCCATGGTCGTTGGCAGCCTGCTCAAGAGCCTTCGAGGCCGAATCCTGGATGGTCCGGACCGTGTCCCGCTCGAACTTGACCGACATGGTGCTCGTTGGTTTTCGCGGTGGGTGTCGCTATGGACGGGCGGTCGTTGTCGTGATGGCGTGGATCGTGGCGGCGGCGACGACGGCGACTGGGACGACGGCGACGGACGGCAGCGGCAACAGCAGCAGCAGCGACAGCGTCAGCGGCTCGAGAAGGTGTTGCAGAATCAATCGACGTGCAGCTCTTTGCTCTCGTGGGGCAGGTCAGGGATAAACCGTCGTCATGAGGCGGGCAGAGAGGGTCTGGCTGTCCAACGACGCGACGGCGGGATGATTAGCAGATGCAAACGCTTTGGGCGGCGGAGAGATTGGGGAGCAACTGAGGCTGTCGTGGTGACAGGGCCCGGCCAATGGATTTGTTTACACGGCGAGACACTGACTGAGCCTTGATGCGCCGAGTGGGCCCCCCCAACCCCCCTGGACACTGTCTGGAGGAGTCCGCTGCTGCTGATCCAGCTCTCCAGCATGCAAGCATACACTTTGGGGACCTGCTGCCTCGGCAAAGGGGAGTCGAGAGGGTTCCGCGCATCGGTTCGCGGGCCCTTGATCATTGGACGCTGCCCTTGCTCCTTGTCTCTCGTCTTGTTGGACAGTGTCGCGTCGCCTGGCAGGCAGCCCGCAAGGATGACGGCGTGGGAAGACGAAGTGGCCCTGAACCTGAGGGGAGGCTGCGGGAGTGACAGGACAGGGCAGACAGGGACGGCGAGCGAGCAGGACAAGCAACAAACACAAGAAAATGGCGGCTTCAGGGCCAGACTTACCGGGTCAAGCTACGGCGCTGCGAGAGCTCGATGTTTGATTCTGAATATTCTGGGGCAACAACGACAGTTCAGTTTCTGCCGTTGAATCTGTTGGTTCGTTTCTTCTCAGCGGCCCCGAAGGGAGTAGGAGGGAGGGAGGGAGAGGGACGAGGGAGTGAGACTGCAGAGAAGAGCGGCGAACAAAGGCAGAGGAGATTTGCGAGAGGCTGGGCGGGAAGGATGACGCCCGGGACGGAGTGCTAACCTCGTACCTGTCTGGGCCCTGAACGGCGAGGTAATAAGGTAGGTAGGTCAGGTAGGTCAGGTAGGAACTCCGTACAGACACACCAACAGGTACGCTGTTGCACGACGACGATACTTGCACGATGCTTGTCACGCAGAGGCACAGACGCTGGCTGCAACCAAGAGCCAAGTACAGACGGGCACGGGTCGAGTCCTGCTGCAGCCACGGTACCTCTTTGGGCTTGGCCCGGGCAGCAGCAGCCTCTGATGAGCTTCGAGCACAGCTTCGTACCTGAGCATCAGCAAACACCCCCCGTATTCCCTGTAATCCAGCCGATGGCACCCAATAAACTTGTATCCGTTTTGGGTCTCGGGCGGGTGTGTAAGGGTCGAATCAAGCAACGCGTCTGCGGGCATGGCTCCAGTTTTGCGCAGCCTGCAAGCAAGCTCCTGGGCCGGGCTGAGCTGGAGCTGGAGCTGCCATGAGAAAAAAACGGGAAGAAAATAAAAGCAAAGGGCTGGGGAAATGGATGGAGGGACGGATGGGGTCGCACGATCGGGCAGCGGCCAGCTCCAGCGTCGGTCAGCGACTCTCTTTCTGCTGCTGGTGTGGCCTCGAGCTGGCTGAAAGTGGGCGACTGTGGGCGAAATGTGGGCGGCTGCGGGCTGGCGATTGGAGTGTTGGGTCGAGGCTAGGAGGTCCGCGATGCACGGCGCGGCAGGGGTTGGAGATGATGAGTAGCAAGGTCAAGGGCTGTCAGTCGGTCGAGGTCGAGGTCAAGCAGAGCAGATTGCTTGCTGTCTGGTTGTTTTGGTTGCTGACAGGGGGGGTGCGTCGCCATTGGCCGGCGTGCGCGCGCTTTGGCTGTTTATCGATGGCGCCGGCCGGTTCTGTTCTGCCCTGCCCTGCTCTCTGCTCTCTGCTCGAGCTCGGGTTCATCAGTCGAGCCCATGATCCATCTTCTCCACAGCAACCAGCAAAGGCTGACCGTGTTTCGATTGCAAGCGTCCCCTGCTGAAGAGGCTGGGGTCCGAGATTGCATGCGCCACGATGCCCCGACGTTCCTCTTGTCCGCTCTGCCGTGGCCACGCGCGTGTCGTGCATGGTGCAGATGAGAGATGACCGACCTTGACTGCCCGAACCCTTCCGATCAGCTCTGCTTGCCTGCTTGCCTGCCTGTCATCGTAATCTGCAGCGTAGGCTACTTGGCTCGTAACATGCCTTTCTTTGCCTTGTCCTTCCTTACTCGTACGCACCTTGTCTGGCTCGGTCGCGGCATGGCTGACGCCGTAAGATTTCTGCAGTGATGAGCGGATCATGGCGGACGAAGCACGGCGTAGCGTAGCACCGACCGAGGTTTGCTTGTTTTGCTTGTTTCTCAAGCGAGACCCTTTCGCGGGCTCCCATTGGGCCGGCAGGTGAGGTAATGCGGACAGCCGATAGCAAACTGAACATCAAACATTCCGCAGCCTCATTGGGCAGTAGTCTGTCCAGGTGATGGAAGCACCGCAGTGGTGCTTCGTTGGGGTCCGAGGTTCTGCGAGGCATGTCTATTGTGTGAATGCTATCGCAATGGCTCTCGCATCACGGGATGAGAGAGGTTTGGAGTGCAACTTGAAGTTGACCTCAAGCAGTCGGTTTCCCTTGTGGAAGGTGCTCCTGTGTCAATTGGTCTGTGCTGCTGGAAGGAAGGAAGCGACTTGCCACAGACCAACCTTCCGTTCCTACCTTATATGAGGTATCTATTACGCAGGTCCAGCAATCCAATGACTCCTTCCTCCCGTCATTATCTAGTGTAGTGTGGACACGGCACCACTCAACAGACGATGCCCAAGATCCGTCATTCACCTTGAGACAACACTGAAATAAGGAGACAGACAGCATCGAGATCGATAGCGAGGATGACGGCTATGCTCTGGAGCAGACAACTAGGAGACTACTAAGGCAGCAGAAATTCATGAAGACAATGACAGTCTGTGACAGGGACTGACTCCAAAAAGGCGGTATTGTTTGGGCGTAGATACAAGAGAGGCCGGGGCACCGAATCGAGAGCGGCGAGATTCCCGAACGCCAAGATTGGCTCTGCTTTGAAGGGGCATGGGAAAGACAGACCTACGCAAAGAGATGTTCATGTAATTGACCTAGTTCCAATCCAAAGTCAGCCAAGCCATCAGATTATCGACCAACGCTGGTCAACTCCCGTGACAAAGTTCAAGCGTAGGCTTCTTGACGCAGGATCCTACTATTTGACGACTTTCCTGTTCTTTTCGAAGGTAACAATGAGCTAGATCACGAGAATTTGCGTCGATGATACACCGTTCTCCTGAAATGGTCGGATACGTAAGCCAAGTGGCGGCTGAAGCACGACTGTTTAGCTTCCAGTTCAAGTCAGGTGTGGACAAGCAACACTTGTCTCTCAGTCAACTTCTATTGGTATGATCTTTGATACATCGAAGGGCTTAGATTTGGGGGGGGGGGGGGGGGGGGGGGGGGGTATAGGGGTCTAACTACCCAAGTCTGTACCGAGGAGGACAACCCTCCCTCTTTGAGACCTCTTTATGCAAATCCACCTCGCGCAGCAGTTCGTCAGGATACAGAGCCAGTATGACCAGCGAGGAATGGTGGTCTGACTGTAGGTACCTAGGCGTGTCTGTTTATGAAGAGTGTTCTCTAGTATACGGCCGCTTGCTTGTAATGGTGACCGTCAGACGTGACGGTGTGACCTCTTCGTCCTGGAGAAAGCATGTTCTTCTTCTGGGACACTCTTAAAGTCTTGCAAGCAGTTACTGAGTCACAGTTATAGTGAATGACTTGGACAAGATGGATAAAGCCCTGTCTCGCATGACGGAAGAGGTAGTAGATGGGCGGTATAACTGGCCTTGGATATGGAAGTTGTTGGCTTGATGCATCTCGATTCCTTGGTGCTAAACAGCGTCAGAGACCAGGTGCATCAACAACATGGACATCAGCTTGCCAGATATCAGAACCAACATAATCTCCATCAAAACCCAACCTTTTCAGGTTTCTCATACACTCGGACAGGACAGCAGCCTTCAGCCTTCAGTTGACGCGCAGCGCTGCAATGGCAACTGGAGCCGTTCATGTTCGCCAAAGTTTGGCACTGGCAGGCAGTCACGCGCCTGCAGCAACTGCCGGCAGCTTTCCTCGTTCCTCTCGCCCTATTCACCAGCAAGCTTGCGTAAGCTGCCAAAGGCACTGGATAGAAAATCCAATTCCACATTCTTCATCATCTGCTACGCTCTTCAATACTTGAATATCGGCACCGCTTCTCTATTGTCCTAGTTTGTCCGCCATCATTCTTCACCAAACATTGTTAGGGCTTTCGCCGGCTGCGGATTCTCTCCCCCTGAGCATCCCCGCCCCTGCTTGGAGGTAGCAGCTCCTCGACTCGACGGCTGTATCCATTGGCGCAACGTGCTACCGTCTGGACGAAGCACGAAGCAGAGACCAAAGGGCGGGCAGCTATCCGTCATGTATCACCGCCCTCCCCCGGGCCTGCACAGGCGCCCAATCTTCGAGCCGCAGTGCACCCACGCCACCATGACGAGGGTCTACAGCCCGAACCTCCTGTGCGCCCACTGCCACTATCCCGGTCCTTCTGGCTGGCTGTACCAGTGCACGCAGGACAGGGAAGACTTGATCGAACACGCCGTGGCGAGAGGAGAGTTTGTATGGCAACTACGACGGCGGCGAATCCTTGCTTTCGAGCTGGTGCCGGACACGCAAGACGGGATGCTAACGGTGACTGAGCTAGATCAGCATGGACCAGGTCGGCTGCCAGCTGGCGCCGTTGATGGGCATTCGGAAAGGGAGCGCCGCTGCTCGTGAGGACCGGCTCAGCTTCCTCTCGGAGATCAACCAGGAGCAGCTGGCTCAGTACCGACCAGATCAGGTCGCTCACATACTCAGGCAGCGTGAGAATGTTCGTATCAACCGCTCAAGGGACGGGAGTCGGGGTTGCTGACAGATACCTACTGCAGGTCCAGCTCATCATCCAGCAAGACAAGGTCCGTAAGAACAGCGCCGCCATACTCAATCGCCTGGCCCATCCCTATGGGATAGATAGCGCTTCGTGCAGCATTGGGTTTCAGAAGCCGTGGTTGTGCACACCACAGGAAGAATGCCAGTATCGCGTGTGCCAGAACTGTCGACCCGGATGTGCAGACCGCGCCTTTCTCAGTCTCAACGCCGTTGCCAATGGCGAAGTGCTCCCAACCGCAGCAGCAGGTTATAGCTTCCATCTTCTTGGCCAGCGGCCGGTTGTAGATGCCAACGTCCTCAAGAACATAGGTTGCCGTCCGGTGCCCCTGGTAAGTAGCTCGGACGATGATTCAACATATATCAGGAGCAAAACTAAGCGCCGTACACTGTAATGACAGCCTCAGCCATCCCCCACCAGCTCGATTCACGACTCGCCCGCATCGGCGATGAGTGTTATGGATATGCTCGATACGCAGATCAATCGCGGACGGCTCTTGTGGACGCGGCAGGGAGACGAGGCTGAGGTGGAAGAGTACGATGCCGACTTTGATTGGACGTTGGCGCCGGCAACATCCAGCGTTGCTTCTGGATTCTTGAGGTACTCTCCTGGGTGCGAGAATCTGGGAGTCATTGCGGAGGCTGCTGCATCCAGCAACTTTGTTCCCAGGCAATGGACGCCTCCTCCTTCGCCAGCAAACGGCATGTCGGACTTAGGTGGCAAGGTAATGTGAGTGAAAAGGGCAACTTGACAAGTGAAGCACACAACACCACTGGATATCGAACTGGCTAACATGGCGGCAGTGATACGCCTTCGAAAAGGGGCCCAATCAGTCAAAATGGCACACCACTTTCTGAATTGACCGTTCTGCAGACGACGGAGAATGCCACTGGGGGCCACCGCCGCGAGCAGAGCGTCGATGAATCTCCTCGCGGAGCAACACCCAGGTCGAATACTCCTTTATCAGACCACAGCTTTCCTCCGTCCCCCCTCAAAGTGGCACACGGGGTCGCCATGCTCGAAGAGAGCGTCGAACTGGGTGTTCCGGATGTCATTACGCAGGCCTGAACTGATGGCATTTTCCTTTCCGTCTGTGCTCGATACGTGTTACTTTGATAGCGTTTCGTTGTTTTGAGTCATGTGGTGTTGATGGGTCAGCGACGGATGTTTGCGGGATCGGGACGACTCATGCTCAGTCACTGCTTGGACCTTGGGTTGGAGGGTATAGCCCACACATGCGCACTGAATAAAGCTCCGTTTCATGAGTGTGATTTTGCACATACAGCTGCCGCAAGTTGATCAAATAGAAAACAAAACTCCACCACTTCCCCATAGGATCTACCTTGTGAATCCCCTGATTAACGCCAGAAACGAATAGACAGAAGGCGGCAAGTGATGTACAGCCCCTAGGTATGCCCTCCCCTTATTCCACTCAAGCACTCAAGCACACACCATGCCACGTCACTCCTTTTCCAGCTTCAAGGCCTCGTCCATGCTGGCCTGCACCTTCTTCATCATCTCATCCCCGACCTTTTTCGCGTCCGCAAAGCGCGGCTGGAAAAACTCCTGGGTGCTGACGAAGCGCTTCTCCCACGTCTCAAAGTGGCCGAGGGTGACGCACTCGGCCCAGCCCCTGGCAGCAAAAGTAAACTCGAGGTCGTCGCTGCGGTAGCGCTTGTCGTCGACGGCAGTGCGGAGGGCCTCGTCGAGCATGTCGGTGTTGCGGAAGAGGTGCTCTGTGACGCCGAGGCGCAGGCGGAAGAGGGGCGTGCTGCAGAGCATGTGGTCGTAGGGGACGATGGCGAGGGCGGCCCAGCAGTCGACCATTGCGAGGAGGGAGAGGTGGTTGTTTGGGCGGGCGGGGGTCTCGGGGGTGGGCGTGCCGAGGGAGAAGGACGAGAGGATGGAGGGCTCGAGGAGGGGCCTCGAGGCCCATGCGTTGGAGGAAGGGCCAAAGACCTTTTCGCGGGCGGCGTAGATGCGGGCGGTGAGGCCGGCGAGGTCGCCCTCGAGCATGAGCTTGTAGAGCTCGGTGACGGAGCGGGCGTACTGGGCGACCTGCTGGCGGGCCTCGGGGTTGAGGATGGCGAGGCCGGCGTAGACGTGCCACTTTTGGGAGTAGATGCGCAGCATGATGTTCATCTTTACGTTTTCGATGCCGCCGACGTAGCGGCTGAGCTCCCACGGGTACTGCCTGTTTGCGTGCCAGGCCTTGCCCATGGAGAGAAAGGCGGCGTGCGTGACGGCCTGCGTGTCGGCGGTGATGCGGTCGTGCTCCTTGGCCGTGAGGTGGACGTATTTCGATTTCAGGCAGCTCAGCACCGTCTCGACCTTGTGGAGGGCTGAGTCGGGCGCGCGGTGCTGGATGAGGACCAGCGGCTGGTTCTGGGGGTCGACGCCGGGCCCGTGGAGGGAGTGGATGGAGACGATGAAGACGTCTGAGGGGAGGTGGGCTTCGAAGGCGGCGATTTCGGGGGACTTGCAGGATGTTTGGCCGCCGACGATGGCGCCCATTTTCGTTGCTTTTTGTGAGGACGAGGATACCGTCAGCTGTGATGGGGAAGACAGGGAGATGTCATGAAGAGAGAGAGAGAGAGAGAGGCATACACGGTCCGTATTGAGCAATCACGCGGTCTATAAAGGCGGCTTCCACCGAGTAGATGATGTAGTCGCTTGCGCGGGACACGAGATGGCCGTTGCGGAGAATCTCAATGTTCTTCTAGACGGAGAGAGCAGGCTTCAGCATCTTGAGTTCTTTGGGGGGTCACGATGGAAAAAAGAGAGAGAAATGAGATCATTGCAGGCGGAAGAAAGAATGGATTGAGGCAGCGTAAGTTGCGTACTTTGCCATTGTATTTCTCTTTAAGGCTATCGTATCTATCTTCTCTGTCGCACGCCAGGATTCTAAGCTTGCAGTGTCAATTCTACTCGACTTGGTCTTGATTCCTGGGAAGGCGACGTCTACGTGAAGTGGGAGCCACAATTGCGAGGTCGTTCTATATCTTCTTTGACAGTTAGCTTCTTGACTTGTGAATAAACTTGTCCAAGAGAAACAAAAGGTTTGAGGAAGGAGATTTTTCAGACAGATAGTAAGTAAGGTAGCTAGCATTTTCATCACTGAAAGCACAGGTCCGATTCTGATCACCGGAACGGTGGGACAGGCGTCCCTGCGCAATACTCGAGCCAAATGCGCTCTGGTCATCATGAAAAGAAGAGAGGGAAAATGAGACAACATAGGGAAAGGAAAGGAAAGGGGGGGAAAATGCTTACCTGCAAAAAGAGTCGCCAGAGGTGGGACAGCACTCCCCATGTTCAAATGAGATGCCGACAAACAACTCACCTCCAGCCAGCTTCCGACAGCTTCTCGGCGTACATCCGGCCCATGTCGCCCATGCCAATCAGCCCGACGGTGAAGTTTTCCATTCCCGCCGGGACGTGGCTGGTCTGCGTGGAAGCCATTGCGCGCTGCTGCTCGAGCGGATGATCCCAAGCAGAAAGCTCTGTAGCTTCCGTGGCACCGGACAGTCGCCTTGAGGTCTTCCTTCGTCCCGGTGTGAGGACGAGGAGAGCGAACCAAAGGTGTGGGATAAGAGGAAAAAAAGAAGAGAGAAATTTTATCTTGAGGGAGGAAGTGAAGTTATATGTGGGTGGATTGGGAAAAAAAAAAAAAACTGCTGAATCAGCGGCATCAAGTGGGGCTGATTGGTCGGATAATCCGCTCTCGCTCTGGTCCAGAACCTTGAAGATGGAGTCATGCAGCTATCCGAGCATTTGAGCTTCACTCAATACCAAGTTCAGCGAGTGCAACATTGGATCTTTATCTTCATCAAAACCAGCTTCACTTGTTCCTGGTTGTTTAATCACACACATACACACACACACACAGAGAGAGAGAGAATTCTCAAGCTATGAACGCCCTCTACGCCATCGGCTCCAACGGCTCCGGCCAGCTCGGCATCACCCACAAAGAAGACGTCTCCGTCCCCAAGCCCGCCGTCTTCCACCCAGACCAACACCCGCCCTCGCGCATCGTCAAGGTCGCCGCCGGCGGGAACCACACGCTCCTCCTCACAGAAGTAGGCAAGCTCTACTGGAGCGGAGATCCAGCCAGCGGTGCCTGTGGCCTGCGTCCGTATCCAAACATTCCCGTGTTTCTGGAGGCCAGGCTAGCAAAGGATGAGCAGGTGGGAGACATTGCTCTCGTGGCGGCTACGTGGGAAGCTTCCATTGTTGTGTCTAGGGATGAAGGGGGAAAGCGAACAAAGGTGTTTGCTTTTGGGATTGGACAAAAGGGGGAGCTGGGTCTGGGCGAGTTGATTGTGCGGACACCTTCGGCTACGAGAATCAAGGATTTCCCACCTCCTGGCACGGAGGTTGTCGACTTGTCTGCGTGCATGGGGCATGTCGTCGCTGTGCTTGACAATGGCGAGGTCTACGGCTGGGGAAACTGCCGCAAGTCGCAGATCGGCGAGCCCGCCGCGGTCGTCTTTGCGCCCCGTAAGGTCGAGGGCATCAACTTCAAGGCCGTCAGAGCCGTCTGTGCCAAAGAAGCTACGTGCATCTTTGGAGAGTCAGGGAGCGGAAGCATGCAAGTGTTGGGCTCGGATAAATGGGGTCTGGTATCACAGGCCCCTTCAGCTGCCCCTGCGTGGAAAGACGTTGGAGCGAGCTGGGGGAACTTTTACATCCTGGGTCAAGATGGAAGCTTGACGGCCTGGGGCCGAGATGACCATGGCCAGCTTCCTCCGCCAAACCTCCCTCATCTTAAACAAATAGCCATTGGCAGCGAGCACGTCGTAGCGCTTACAGTGGACGGGGACGTTCTGTCATGGGGCTGGGGAGAGCACGGCAACTGCGGACCAAAGGTGGACAACAACGACGTAAAGGGGAGATGGAACGTGATTGCATCGTCAAAGCTCATCCCCCCTGAGAGCAAGATAGACAACATAGGCGCCGGTTGTGCCACTAGCTGGATATGCATTACATCCCGCTGAGCTACCTTTACTTGCCGCATGTGTTGAGCCAACAACCATGATGCCTTTCCATCAATCTAGTCGGGGAACAAGGCCAAGTTCTGGACATCAGAGAGTCTCTGAGTCGGGTCCAAGTATGTCGACTCTGCCGCCGCCGACTGCGCCTCTTCTGCCGGCTCATATCCACTGCGTCCAGCATCGTCTGCGCGGCTCATATGTGCAACAGATGGGTTCGTCTATCCAAGTCAGTGTTAAAGCACATCACATTATCTGAAAAGGGGGACTTACAGGATCGACGCTATGGTCCCACTCCAATCTGGCATCCTCATCACCATCCTCATCGTCATCCCTCACTGGCTCCCACGCCTCGTCTTCGACAAAGAGGCTCTCAGACCTGAGCGTAGGCGGCGGCGGTCTCTGCGAGGGCCGAAAATCGAACGCGCCGATGCGCGAAGCACTGGCTCTAGCAGCGCTCAGTCGTGGAGTCGGATTCGGCGGCTGGCGTGACGATGGCGGCGGCGGCATTGAAGGCGTGGCTGCCTGCTGCCGTTGAGCCTCGGAGGTGGTTTGTGAGGGTGCTGCGCTTGTGCGGCGAGATGTCTCTTCCAAGCGCGGCACAGCAGCGTTGATAGTATTTGTGTTTTTGGCCGAAGCGCCCTTTCGACCCTTTTTGGTCCTCTGTGAGGGGTTGCCTCCTCGTTCTCCCACTGTCATGATGAGGAACTCGCAGGAAATGGCATCACTAGCGTAGGAAAACTGCAGAGGCCGCGCGGGAAGGGAGTAGCGGGCGACAATGGCGTTGCCGGTAATGGCCGCATGCTGTGTGATTGCGCGGACGTCCTTGATGGACACGACAATCTGAAGCTTGTCCTCGACGTCGATGTCGTCAAACTCGTCTGTCTCGACCGCGATCGAGGTATGCAGGGGTTTCTTAAGGACCGCTATCGTCCAAGTTAGCTCGCTTCTAAATGACTGGACACGGCCCTCGTACCATCATCGCTGATGGTTTTTTCGCTGAAGCATGTGAAGTTGACATGGTCGCCGTCGGTGTTGATGTCCAGGTACTCGGTACCTGGTCCAAAGTGGTCCACCAACTGCTTCAGCGTCCTCGAAGATATGCTCCAGTGATAGAGAGCCTCCTGTCTGTTGAACTTGGCGTGCACGGGCATGGTGACTTCAAAGGGTAGTCGATGCGTGGCTGTCAGTCCGTTTCGGAAGATGATCCGGGCAATGAAGCGGCTCTTAACGCCCTGCCCGTCTTCAATGGCGACATCGCATCGGTCAATGATGGCCTGCTTGTCCACGTCTCCCCGTGACTCCACGCCAGATCTGCTGCGGAAGAGAGAGGCCAGTCCCTAATGTTGAAGGCGGATTAGCCATCTGGACGGAAAGTAGTACTCGATCGACGGAAAGGCGTCTCACTCGAATGTACATGGAGCAGAAGAATTTCTCTTGAAACTGCCCTGAGCCCTGAAACTGGTAGCGCCCAAAGAAGCGGTTGGTTGCGAACCGGAAGCTCGCGTAGGCCGATTTGGACGTGTTCATGGTAGAGAGGAAGAACTGGGAGGAGGCATCAGCAGCTGGATGAAGCATCATTCAAAGAGTGCAGAGCAGCCTCACAGTATCTTTCCGCGCTTCAATGGACACATCTTCGCTGAATTTGCTGAGGCAGTTGAGGGCGTCTCGAAAGGCAGTGACACCCTCTTCACTGAGGGTGAATGTCAGGACGGCCATGGCGGCATGTGGCTGATTTGCGTCAGACGCTTGTGACGAATTAGTCGGGGCGTTGGAAGTGAGAGACGAGAAGGAATCTAGATTGTTCAGTTATTGATCAGATCACATTAGGAACAGGGTATCATTCGAGGATTCTGTTTGTAGGCAATGTGCATGAACGAAGTGTATGAAAGTGATGCATCGCCGTGGTTCACGAGCTATTACATACATACTGAAGGCGCGCTGGGCGTTGGCGGATATGAGAGTATCCACAATTACTGCATACTTATCTTTTTATCGCGCATTATGCATCTTTCGAACCATTGCCGACTTGCTGCAAAACCTGAGATCAAGACCAGGACCACGTTCAGCCCGTCCTCCATGTCACTGCTTTTCCAATGATAAACAGAAGGAATGGACAGTTTTGAATTCATAGAAAAGCACTACCCAGAAATGAAAGCCTCCTAGCCATCGGAAACTACAAGCCGTTTCCGTACATCTGCTCAACCGCTGCGCGGCACTTTGGATTCTTGTTAAGATGCCTCGTCCGGCGATCTTTCCTGCTGAATGTCGCATTGCAGTTCTCACAACGACATTTCTCGTCCGGGATCTTCTGCTCCTTGGCATATCTTTTGTGGTGCACCCAGTAGTGCCTCTTCCGATCCTTGTCATCCGCAAATACTTCGAAGCAAAGCCTTCTTGACGGGGGCTCTGCCTCGCACGGTAGCTGTTTATCGTGTCTTTGCAGATGCTTCCTATGAATGAGTGGAAAGGTCAGGCTTTGTAGGTAGGAAATCTACCATGTATTCAAGAGAAAGACTGCTCACTTGAAATTGCCGTCGTCCTTCCACCACCGGTCACAGCACCACTTATAGCCAGGCTTGCTGTGCCCTGAGAACCTGTCAGACATAGACAGAACACCTATAGAAAGGCAAAGTGCTCACCGTTAGGATCTAGGTCATACGAAGCGCCTTGGGGGCCGCAGACGGGAGAGTCTTTCATCTCCTCATCAGGACTGCCGTTGTTCGAGTCGAAGGACACGGGCTCGGATCCCGCAGCTGCGTCGCAGGGGCCATAAACCGGGTTCATGCCGTCCAAGTGGCCGATCATGATATCATCTGTTGTCATATCACTTAGTATCTCGGTGAAAGTGTTTGTTGCATCGTTGTTGATTGTCCAGATGTCTGGACCATCAGTTGTTGCGAATGGTGTAATGCCTCCATCAAACATGTAGTCTGTTGTAAAGTTTGTATCGTTGAATGTAGATTCTGTTGTAACGTTGTTGATTTCCATCATGTCGTCCACCGACAAGTTGTTCATTTTCATGTCATTTATCAAGTTTGTGAAAAGTTGGTCGACTTCCTCATCTGTCCTACTATAGTCTTTGACCTCAACTGACAATTCACTGCCCTCAAACAGCCTCGCATGAGGCTCAGCCAACCCAGCGTGCTGGGGATCGAGGCCGAACCCACATGACTGACGAGCCGACTAAAGCGGCGTGTTGAGACTGTTGGGAGACAGAGAAAAGTCTGTGAGGCCAAGACTATCCGCCCGAGACATCGGAGAGGCAGTCTCGAAGCAGTGGGTGTTGTTCAAGTCCGTTGGCAGGGCGAGGTTCCCAATGTTGTTGTCCCAGGTCAGCGGGAAATCGGGACTCAAGCCCGGGCAATCATCCTGACCAAAAGAATTGATAGCATCTCGGCCAGTGTTGCAGAGGAAAGTGTCCAATGCCTCATTGTCCGTGAGCAAGACCGAGTCGTCATCTTGTTGACCCCCGGTCATCGCATCAGCCACGTCCATCATGCAATGATCAGCATCAAGGAAAGAGTCAAACGCAGGCAAGTCTGCAGGTCCAGCACATGGATCCTGCTCCACTGCGCGGCTGCGCAATTCTCGATACTTTTGGCGTGGCATTTTTGAAGCTGTGAGACTCATCAATATCTTCGATATATACGTAACCACGGGTGGTGAGAAAGTGCTTACACTGAGTTGCTCTGGAGGCTTGAACTGAAACGCATCCGGACCTCAAAGGGCTCCTTGGACAGGAAGTTGCTTCCGGGCGGCGGCCCCTGAGGAAAGAAAGAAGAGAGAAGAAGAAAGAGACGGAATAAGAAGCAGCATGGCCGGTATTTATGGTCAACTTCAGCGACGCTCAACCTCTCCCCAGCCAGGCGCTCGCAACCATCGTGACTAGGTACGTCTACATAGAGCACTTGGGCCGCGGACCACGGAGTCTCCCCCGCTTCTGCGCGAAAACGAGGCTGAGGTCGGCAACCGCGTTTGGACGTGCCAACGCAGCGTTATGCAGGACGAGTTGCAGCTCGATGCAGCCTCTGATTGGAGCGATGTGCATGCGACAGTGCAGCGTGACGCCGGCCTCTGGCGGTAGTATCAGGCCTTGGAGTTGGCCTCTGGCAGCTGCATGATCTGAATGGTCCATTTGGACGTGGGATGTCTGCGAGGGGCCACAGCGTGTGGGAGAGGCATTGCCCAAGAGGTTGCATGTGGCTTGGGCTCGGGTGTCATGGTCATGGTGAGTGTCGACCGCGAGGCATCGATGCCATCAACACTATCACGACTCCACGAAGCTATCTTGTACAAATAAGAGACCAAATTCCCCAGAACAAGTCAAACCCTAGGCACAATTCATGATAGCCATTCATCACAGCGTTCAGAATAATTTGGTTAAAAGCACAATCTATAAGCCATGGCGCTGATCAACCCAGCAGAAGCATCGCAGCCCCTAGATCACACCGACGAAGAACCAATCCCTCTCAAAACTCGCAGAATTCACACCTTTTTTGAACCCCTCTTATTACTCGTAGCCCTTGTCGACGCCGTCCGAAACACGGCCGGGCCACGGCCCCCCGAGCCAGAGACTGACGTTCAGGATCCCACACAGCTCTTCTGCGCCTTCGTCAACAAGCTGGGCCACGTGTGCGACAGAGAAAAGGGCGGCAAGACTGTCACTTCATTTATCGTCCTTCGTGACGGAGCCGATCCTCAGCAGGCTCACTATGTCTTTGCCATGAATAAGCAGAGCGATGACCAGCTGCAGAGCACGAGGACGTATGTCAGGACGCTTCTCCGCAAGGTTGGCCAAGCGCCCGAAGGTCAGCAAAACCAGCATGATGCCAGACGTTGGCTGTTGTTCCACATCTTGCGGTTCAATCGGCCCCGGGTCATGATTTACCTGAAGAAGCTTCGGGCCCAGGCTGCATCTTGCCTTGAGAAATGCCAGGCTGATGCGACGGAAGAGAGTATGTAGAGGAAGCCTATGCAACAACGTGCAAGAATATCGACACTGGCTAACCATTAGGGAACAAAAATTGCAGACAATATGATTGCGGAACAGTTGATGGACATTCTTGATATCCCCGAAACTGGTTCAGACCGCAACGACGCAGAATCAGCGTGTATGTTTTTTTTTCTTCTTCTTTTGTCTCACTTCAGCGGAGAAGCAAGCTCTAAGTGAAAAGAGACTGACCTTGTTTGTACCCAAGATATCAACAAGTGCGAAGCAACGATGCAGCTTCTCTTTCGCATAGATCGCTCTCCAGCAGGCAAACTCATAGAGGACCGCGCCCTAGAAGATCGCATGGTCGGATACAACAGCATGGAATGCTGGTCCAAGCTCCTCCACATGATACGGCGCATCCTCGCCTATCAGCAGTCCGTCCAGTTCTTCCTGCGAGCCAAGGAGAAGTGGCCCAGCCTCTTCCAGAACCCAACCGTCGACTTCCTCGCGTCCAGCCGGCCGGTGCCGAAGCCGATCCGGAACAAGAGCCTCTTTGCCGAGAACATCGTCGGCCGCATGACGAGCGACCAAGAGGTGATGAGGGTCTTCAGGCAGTTTACGCAGGATCTTCAGGCCTTTGATTTGGACAAACGTCTCGAGCAAGAGTATAAGAGAGAGACATTCAAGCCGACTGTCCATGCCGAGGTGCTCCTGCTGGACTGGGTCTGGAAGCAGAGCAAGATTGCACCCGTGAGCTTCTTCAACGGCTGCAAGTACATTGGCAGCAGCAAGCCAACGTGTAAGCTGTGCGACTATTACTTCCAAGGTCACAGGTTGAACATTGGGCATCGCATGTCGCATGGGAACCTTTATTCCAGCTGGCGCGTCCCTGACGTGTTTCCATCCCAAGGCGAGGCGGCGTTGCACGACAGACAGGTCATGTTGAACGGACTCCTGGAGAGGGTCCGCAAGGAGGCGTTTGACCTTGTCAGCAAAAAGGCCGTGCCGAGCGTCAAGGTGGATGATTCCCTGACTGCCTCGGCTCGGATGACGCTGTGGGAGGTTCGGTCTCTGCACGGCTCCAATACCGAGGTTGACGTTGATGATATTGCATCGATGCTGGGAGAGGTCGATCTCAGCTAAGGAACTTGGGAAAACCCTTTCTCTTATTAAAAGTGTTTAGGCAATAATTTACGTAGGAAGGTAAACGAAGCAATCTCGGGAGTAGGTCTTTTTTCCCAACGAAACCACCATTGTAGAAACTGCAAAACAGTGCTCAGACTCTCTAGAATCTCTTGCAATCCCTCCTATTCTCCCGCAATAACCATTATGCATCCATGTGCTCGTTTAGCCGCTCCTGAAGCAGCTGTATCTGCCCAGCGAGAACCTCCACGGCCCGCGACGGACCCCATGGCGATCGGCGTGCACGCTCGTGCCAAAGTGGCGGCCTCCGAATTGTTTCGACCAAAACAGACCCATTGTTGTGATTGTGTTGTTGTTTGCGTGTTTTGTCTCGTAATGTGAAGAGTGCGTTTAAAGTAATGTATGCACTGTTGCCGGAGGTCAGATATTGATGTCGTTTGTTTAATCCTCGCTTGCAGGGCGACTTACAGAGACTTGTTGTAGTTGGATCAAAGTGATATGGATAGTCGAGAGTAGGCAGGATATCAGAGACGATAGAAAAGTGTTGTTCTTTGGGGTATCAAGAGATGAAGAACAATGACAGTCGAGTGTCTCGCCTTCCCTCCCAACTGTCTTATACTAGTAGCACCAAATGGAGAGGCAGCTCAAGTTGGTCTGCATGAATCAAGGCAAGCAATGACGTAGCCGCTCTTGGCGTGCAACGTTCTAGTAGCAGACTCTGTGCGCATGTATGTATGTATGTACATGTACTTTGACTTTGACTCCTACATCGCTTAAGGCAAACTCCTTGAATAAATGCTCTTTCTTAAGTACCTCAATCACTCATCCTACCCTGAAAGGCAAAGGTCCATGTTTGCTCAGCCATGGAACAGGGCGATTCACAAGCGAGCATCTGTAGTAGAGACACACAGTCGTGGTCGTGACGAACAATTTGCAAGTTTTACCCCCCCATCCATGACATCATCAGGCCTTCACGTGCGGATGAAGATGCGCTTCAATGTTTTCAAGCGATTCGACGACAAGAGGCAGACCAAGTCGTGATTTACGGTTAAATTTAGAGTAGGACGCGCCATCTCTCCGCCAAGATCCCCAAAAATGGACCATCTGGAAAGCTTAATGTGCCACCTCGGAGATTCTCCTTTGAAGAGGGCCCCAATCATGATGACATTGGTATACATGTAGGTACGAGGGGGTCTTTACCACAGCTCGTACTTGATATTGGCCAGACAAGTACAGCTTCGCCCCCCAATCATTACACCATCCTCACTCCAACCCGCCTCACCAAGACGCAGCAGTCTTGAGCTCTCATAAACCACATCATCACAGCCACAAAACACACCATGAATCCCAAATGCAATGCCACAACATCTCCTCAGCACAACTCGAGCCCCCTCCTCCCAGCAGCCACCAAACTCAGCCCCTCCCCCTTATCCCCCGTCCCCGTCCAGTAAAACAACCCCCCAAGCCCCCTCTGCATCGCAAACCTCGCCTTCATATGCACCGTCCTCGGCACGTCAAACGTCAGATAGCCCTTGTCCCCGTTCGCATCTACATACCACGCCGCCACGGCCGCCTCATCGACCACGGCCTGCCTCACCCACTCATCCGGTATATCGCAGTAGTCCATCTCGCCCGCCTTCTCCGTAGAACATCCCGGCCCTTCCGCGCGAGGAAAGTATCGTGCGTACGCCGGAATCCCAAGCACAATCTTCCGGCTGGGGAAGCCCCGGGAGAGGATGTAGTCGACGCCGTCGGTAGCGCACGCCTGGAGTTCGGGGTGCGTAGACTGAAGGCGAGTCCCCGGGGAGCACAGCTGTGCATGGTTGCCGCATACTTTTGTCCAGGAGCCGGTGAAGTCGTACGCCATGAGATTCAGGTAGTCGATGATTCGGGACACGGCATCTAGATCAATGTGTCTGAGGATGTACTGTCCGACGGGAAGAGCCGTAGTGATGAGATAGTTTGGCTCGGGAAGAGCTCTGCGGCACTCCTTGAGGAGCTTCACATAGTCACGGCCCTGCTCCGCGTTACTCGGGTGCTCCCAGTCGACTGACAATCGTTAGCGAATAGGACTCTTCCACACGAGAGCTTGAATCACATACTGTCAATGCCATCGAGCACATGGCGGTCACAGAATTCGCGGGCTTGCTTCGCAAACGTCTCTCGCGCATGGGAGTTGGCAGCCAGCGCGGGAAACTCTTTGCTAGCAGTTCCTCCTCCGATGGACACAATGGTCTTCAGTCTTGGATGGTTGCGTTTGAGCTTTGCTAGGGCGGCTAGAGCCCCCCTTTCTCCGTCGATGTCCTTTACTACATCGGCGTGCTCATCGATCCACTGCACCAGTGTCAGCTACCTATATCGTGATAGAGTATGCAGGCAGACGGCATCATACCCGAAGTGAGCCATCTTCTTTCACGCTGGTTTGAATAGTCAGTTCTTATACTTCTGAGTGGCAATTCATCTCCCTGGGTTAAACCAGACTCACCCAATAAAGGCGTAAAAGACATGTGTAATGTTGTCTATGTCAAGAGTCGCCGGCGTCTTGCCCTTGTACACCAGCCAACTGGGATAATACACGCCATTCATGTATCTTTGGCCGCCATTGTGAGGGCGAACCATCTCATGCCCACTGTCTTGACTGTGAGGCGGAGGTCTGTTAATGTTGGGTTGCTGCTGATGGTGTTCCTGCTCAGAGTCGGACGACCCTGTTATGCACGAGCATGGACAGAACCAGCTTTGCGAGCGAGGCACCATTTTCGAAAGACTATGGGTCAAGGTTCTATAAACAAGTGAATTCGGAATTTTTAGAATATCAACAAGTTGAAATGTAGAGTTATTGGCATAGCTGCTGATGACAATAAAAATTGTATGATTGTTGCATGATGATGATACTGCCGTTGCTGATGTTGACAAGCCCACACAACCCCGCAGGTGCTCCGCCTCTCTGCTGATAAGTCGTAAGAGTCGGTTACACGTCAGTGGCCTCCTTCTCGTCCCTCGACGTGGCTGAATTAAGCAAGAACAAAGTTGAGGGGTATATCGGATTTTAATTTAATTGTGAATAAAGTTGAGGGGTCGATGTCTTTCTTCTCTTAGACTGTGAATAAAGTGGAGGGGTCAATGTGGTGTTTTTCTATTCATTTGCGATCCAACTCGTACACGGCAGAATCGTGGCTTCAATTGCAGTGGCTCTGTACCTATCTACGTAATGTACGTTTTCGTCAACGGTGAGGGCAAGATCCATCGCGTCACCATGAAAGGGGGATTGCATTAAAAGGAGGCACAGGGAATACCGAAGCACTCATCGTGTCACCATGAATTAGCTAAGATGGAATCGTTGTAGGGACGGGCAAACCGTTCCGAAAGTACTTCAGTTCGCCTTGCTCTCTTTCCTACCTACCTACTCTCCCATAACAATCACGTCGAAAGCACTTTATATAGTCTATCATGTTCACCAAACGATTCACTCCCATGACCGCAGCTCACGACTCTTGACAGCAAAACCAGTTACTCGTCTCGCCACCACACAACACATCCCCATTCTCATCAAGCACTACTGTCCCCCATCGCCTACTGGTATAATTCTCCAAAGGCGACGAGTGCAGCCCGCGTCTTATTAGGTCCATCTCCCCCCTTAGCCAATACGCCATGATGTACCAGCTCCGTCCCGTCAGCGGCGAAAAGTCGTCCTGGTAAATCTCCAGCGCTTCAATCACGCGCCGCTGAATCTCTGCGTCATCCGAGGCCGCCCAAGCAGGGATGAGGCAAAGAGGGATGAAGCTGGCTCCCAGCGGTCTGTATTGCGAGGCGGCGTGAGCCAGCTTGATGGCTTCGTTGGCCATCATGTCCGACTCCACGACCATGTTTCCGTCGTCAGCACCAAAGGCTCGCAGATACCCATTAAACATTAATGCACAACCCAAAAGCAGGCCGTAGGAGACTTGATACTGGATACGGATCTTTGTCGTTGCGTCTGTTTGCGACTCGGATGCAAGAGCATCAGCTACTCCCAGACCACGTTTTAGAAGCGGTATCTCGAGGCGCATCCGTTCATATGCAATGGCTATCTCGTCTTTGTGCTCAAACGGCTCGCGGATCAAATCGGGGATGTGGACAAGGCTCTTCAACTCCAAGCTAATATAGTTCCTGGCCGTACTGGCAATTGGTGCTGCCGGACCATACGCACGTGCCTTGAGTTTCGAGAACCAGCGACTTAGTCGTATCCTGGGGTTGAATATGGCTTCTAGAATCTGTCGTCTCCGGGTAAGGGACTGAGCGAACGCCATGGAAGGCTCTCACACGTCAAACGGGAGCGGGACTCACTACAGGCACATAGAGTGTATCACGTATGTTCTCTTCGAAAGGGTCCCGGGATTTCCTAGACGCCGCTGCATCGAGGAGATGCGCAAGCCCTTCACCATGGCTCATACGCTGATCTGTATCTTTTCCCGTCCATCCCTTGGCAAGTGGAGAGAAGCCATGTCAGCCTACAGCTTCCATCAGGCGGGATACTGGACACATCTTACTTGACAAATCATCAGCACATATACGGCACACAGCGTCTCTGGCTTCTGTGCCAGTTGTGGATCGTTCAAGCTGGTTCTGAGAGCCTGTAGCGCGTTTACGTATTTGAACAGAGAATCCCGAGAAAGAGATGCCTGCTCGTGTCTGCGCATGTGCGGATAGAAGCCCACCATGGCCTCTACCGCGGCATCCAGAGCCTTATTGGTTCCCAGACGCCGTGGGAGATCCTTGAACCACCCACCGTAACATCTGAGGTCATAGCTCGGATCTGTAACATCGAGCAGCGAGACGAAGGCCACGGATCGGGCGGTTTGCTTGTTCGATACGAGGCTCGTTATGGACGATGGGCTCGCGCTGCGGGCTTCAGGGGGAGACGACCTGCCTCGGGACTTCTTGGACAGTCTCTCGGCCTGCAGCTCCGTCTGGTCCTTGAACTTGTATCGCAGCTGGCCACACCCCACACACGCGATGTTGAGGCGCGAGCAGCGGGAGCAGGTGGGCGAGGCCATGTCGCACTGAAGTGTGCTTTAGCGGCACGAATAGCAAAGGAGTAGACGATGATGCGAGTGTATATCCATTCTATTTCCATATGACAATGCGGCAGATCTAGATGGAAGCACTAGAAACGAACCTTTTTCTTCTGCTTTCTGCACGCATCGCATCCGCGATACGACGGCACGCCGGGCATGGCGGCGGCTGATTGGCAGCGCTGCGTATTTCCCAAACGGGCAGTTCGGGGGGGTTCAGACGAAGACGACACAACACTCGTCAACAAGGGAGTAGTAGTATCGCCAATGACTTGATGTATTAGTCTGCGTGAGCTGATAGCTTTGGCAGGCTAAAGCAGGTTTGGGTGGTTGGCTGATAGGTATTGTATGGTCACGAATGGTGGCTGCTTGTCAATGCCTGCTGTGCGTCGACTTCTATTTCTTGCAATGTGACATGGCATGCAGACAAGATTCTCTCCAACAGCCGACAGATTATAAAGCACGAAGCAACCCGCGAAGCAAATCGAGACACCACGCAAGGCTCATGACAAGGCTGAGTCCATCTCTAGGCGGCTTTCGTGATGATGTCAAAGAGGAGGCTTGTGCCAGCGGGGGATTTCCGCTCAGGGAGAACAAAGGCAAGCCGAGAGCCACCGCCCCGCTAGATTAGCTTGAGAAGAGCCGCTGATTGGCCCAGCAAAAAGTCGCCGATCTCAGCCAAATCGGGTGGGGCGCCGCGCTCAACTGATTGAGGCTAGGGTATGTGGCTCATGCACCTCAGGTACGTACTTTGTCACTCATCGCCAGTTGTTCCTCGAAAATGCTTCGAGTTGGGCGCTTCTCCTGGCTCATGGAGAATGACTGCTATATAAGATAGAAGCAGGGCCAATTCTCATGACCTACTCGGTCGTGGTTCTTTTATTGAACCGTCTATGCGGGTATGTGATACCCTGGAGTACTACCTACCTTGGGTACGCGTTGGCGGCCGGCTGGGCTCATCCAGTCTTGATGCAATTCGGAGTCCTCCCTCTATAGAAGCAGTCTGCACTCGACGCGTTTGCCATTCAGTTGACTACTACGAAAGGCAGCTATTATATTTCCTTGTCTTCACGGTCGACGCCAAGCCAGGCCTGGTGTTCGTACAACATCGTGGCAGTTGTGACGCAGCGAGTGGCAACCCAGCATGTGGGCATCCAAGCACAGTCAAGGACAAGCAGACATACATACATACATCATCGAGCAGCAGCTGAAGCGCTTCGCGCACATCACCGAACAGCCTAGAAGCACGCAAGACCGAGATTCATCGCCGCCAAGGAAACGGATGCAACCCTGACGCAGAGCAAGGCGGCAAAGCCTGTCGCCATAGTATTGCCCGTCGTCGGCCGACATTGGCGAGATGATCGAGGCATCAGTGGCGCCTGCACGGCACAGCCCCCCTCCCTCACATAACGTGTAACCATCTCGTCCTCTCGTCAATACATACGGGTGTCGACTTGATTTCTTCTTGATGGAGCCACGTGCATCAACATCGACCAACAGCAGCCGCAGCCTGCCATGGCCCGAGGGGACCCTCCCAAGTCTTTTGCTGCTTCTTCCTTGCTTCCCACGAGCTGAGCCACAATGGAACAAGAGACAACGAGAGACACGATGGAGACCTATCTCATTTCCATCTGAAACATGGTATCACGCGGATAGAGGCCAAACAGGTCGGATTGGGTCTCTGGTAGCGGCTGCAATGTCCCAACACGCTGGCTTACGTGAGTCGACCACCAACAACCAACATCTTAGTCGTCCCGATCGGCAGCAAGGGGCATTTGCGGCACGGCAAGTCACACACTGCCCTCCGGAACTGCGCAGAAAAGCAGGGCAGCTTCATTGGGCATTACATCATGGGGCGGCCTCGCAGGCTTTAGCCCCGAGGGCGGACAAACAAAGGCGGATTGCGCAGCTACAGTAATGCAGTCATTGGCGGCGTCTTGAGGCCTTGGGCGACAAAGGAAGAGTCAAGTCGTCAAGGGAGGCGGATAGAGCAGCCGAGCAACAAGGGGGGGAGGAGAGGACCAAGATGATGAATGGGAAGACAAGTTAATCTGCGTCTCTGACTTGGCACGATCCTCGTTGGACTGGTGACAGCAGCGCTTAAGAAGTGGCTCTGTCCCCCCCTCCCCCCCTTGCAGCAGAGCAATCTTCCGTCTGGCTGCCTCTTGCTTCTGCTAATTTCTCCCTTATATTGCTGTACTCCCTCTACCAGTATCACCAACAATCCTATGACTCCTATCCCCCCAAGACATTGACGAAAGCATATCATCTTGGTTGTCCAGTTTCAGACTGGCCACTACGCCTTCTGCATTTGCAACATTTCGATTATCGACTTTGCCTCCACGAACCAATCCTCGCTTTCCCATCAAATCAACACATCGCCATCATGGGCTGCGGTTCATCCTCCCCCGAAGAGCCTCTGGTTCCCCAGCGCGTCCTCTGGCTGCGGCACTCCGCCCTCAGCAAGTCGGAAATCCTCGTCCACCAAGACGGCCAGCCCCCGGATTCCATCCCCCTCTACTCTGCCCAGCTGCACACCTACACCAAGCCCTCCCTCCGGTTCTTCCAGGGCCCGATTGGGGGCGGCCCCCAAGTCGGCGAGGGCAACTTCCACCAGATGACGTCCAACACCGACCTCAGCCTGCGCGGGCAGTCGTTCAAGCTCAACATGAGCCAGCTCAGCTACGACTTTACGCTCAAGGGGACGCCCATGGGCGAGCTCAAGTGGAAGAAGAACAAGTTCACTGGCGGATCGCTGGAGCTGGTCGATGGCAACGACAGGACGCTGGCCAAGGTCAAGTCCAACGGCATGAACGTGCTGGAGAAGAGGCTGGAGATTTACATTCAGTGCGACGACTTTTTCTCGGACCTCATCATCTTGTCGGCCATTGCTGCGAAACAAGTGACGGATATTACCATCAACCACACGGCAGTTGCTTGATAGTTGTGTGATCAATACTGGGAGGGGGGGAGATGCTGTCGGCGTGTTCTGCCTCTGCCCTGGGGGGGTTTCTTTGTCCTTTGCTTGGTGGTCTGTGTACGATGGAAGCCATGTTCTACGTTTACCTTGCCTTTGGCGATAATATTCTTGTGTAGCCTTCACACACGGAGGGCGTTTTAAAGAGCAAAAACTTCTTTACCATAATCTGTTCCCCCACTCCCAACACTTGGGTACAAGGTAATCATCTATGGAGCCATCAATATAATTTACCTACGGAATGGTAATAGTCGATTCGTTGAAAGAAGCCAACTCTCAATCTTGCGAGCGCATTCCGAGCTTGGACCATTTCCACAGAAGCCACCGTGGCCTTGGAAGTAGTAGCATACCAAATACTTGATGTCTTTTAGGGATGAGAATCGGCGGCCTCTTGACTCATTCCCAGCTGTGCAGATATTAGTAAGACAATGCGATGTAGTCCACGATGTTACCTTGGTGTATTCAGGCTACAGTCTGGCGTTTGGATCTTATTACTGTATGCAGTGAACTCGAGAGAGTTTAGGTTTAAAACTGGTCAAGTTATGTCATAACCAAAGGCTACGAAAGATGTCGGGCGAGATCTGTCACTCGCTCTTATGATTGCGAATTCGCCAAAAGGTAGGTAGGGATGCTATTTAGGCACAAACTTCCTTTTACCTAACGAAACATGGATGTTGATGGTTCTTAAATTTGCCTTAAGTAAATTCTTCGAATGGGACACGAGAGTCTGATGGAGCTGAGGAAGGATTTGATCCTAGGAGAAGACGGAACGGCAACATTGCCGAGCTGAAGTGATACTTCTGTGTAAACCATACAGTATAGCGATCCTGATGATTCCCCTCACACAGAAATTCTGCTAGAACCAAGCATACAAGTTTTTGTGAAAGATACGGCTTGTCAGTTGGAAGGGTAACTTTTCTGATAGCCTGTTGAACGACCTCTTGAATGACCGACCTTGTTGAAGGCAGTCAGTTGCACGGGGGTGGACTTCTGAGAGATAACAACACCCAATCCGCCATCTTGTGTATGTAATAGACAAGATATCTCCACCTAAAGGTACTAAACTTTCGTAGAAGCTCGGGTTCAAAGGTAGGGTTGCGTTATTGGCCCAGTTGTATAGAGGCGCCAGTTTGCCGTAGCAAGACCACTATTCTATAAAACAGATCATGTCAATGAAGGTGGAGGAGCATGTAACACCACTCGAGAATTTTGAGGAGAGAGATAGGACCTCCAACCCAGATGGAGCACTACATTTTGTCGCACAAATGCAAGCAGTTCTCTAGACTCTGGTAGACAAGGTATTGTTAGTTGTGATCACCCACAGCGTGAAGCATGGGGTGAAATCCAGGCAGACAGCACGTCCCCCATGGCATCCCAGCCCTTTTCAACAACGGCCCAAGGTCGTAATCGGTAGCTACATCACTCAAGGCCCAAAGAATCATGATCCCACAGCCCTACTACCAGTCCCGCAAGCCTTATTCACAGTATTCTTGACTCCTCCCGTGATGTTTTAAACGTTCTGCCTTTTTGACATGGCATACACGTACGATTTCTTCAAATTCACAGCATTTTTAACCCCCCTCGAAGCCTTCTAACGGAAATAAGGGAAAAAAAAATCTTGGATTCTATCGGACAGGCGCCAGTTGACATCTCCCAGCACTCTTGACTTCGTGCAAAGCCCTCAGATCAGCCACTTGCTCAATCAGCTGCTGGCATATGATGGATTCGTCACACCGAAGGAATAGGAAGGAACGGGTTTTGCCAGGCAGCGATTCTAGCGATAGTTCTAGGTGTAGTTTCTTCCTCCCTCGTCTTGATTCTCCCCAAAAGATGTATCCAAATCGCTCTCACATCCACGCCTTGACCTTTGGCAGAGTTCGTATTACCGCCTGTGAGAGACAAACACAAGCATACATGCTACAGTACTTGAACAAGTTCAAGCGCCATCCAGCAGAGAGACATTCAAAGTCTCGAACCTCCACGGGATGCTTTTTCGTTGGGATCCATCTCTACAGTTAAGCATACAACCGAGAAACAAAGAGACGAAAGACACCGAATTAAAGTCTAATATTCCCAGAGCAAGCCCAGAGCACCGAATCACAGACTACATCACACGCCTCGCACTCAATTCGCATACATTTCGGCATCAATAAGATCGATATGTCACACTCGTAGCAAAGCAGATTCCAACAAAGGCGGACAAGTGCAGGCATTTGCTCGTTCGATGCTTCATAGGGAAAAATAAAATAAAGTGCGCATGGAGGGGACATGTGCAACAGTGACAACTCTTCACATACCTACCCAGGTGGCTGAAACTTTTCATCCCCAAATGCTTCCTACTATTTTGGCCCCCAGCCCTCGGAGGCGGAATATTGATTGATGTTTCGATGTTAGGTAGGGTAAGGTAGGCAGGGTATCCCGAGATATGCTGTGCTACGTATGATTACTCTGCACCCATCTCCCAAGCCGACGCCAAGAGAAGAGAAATGGAAAAAAGCATTCGGTATGCAGAATGCTGACGAAACCTCATCGTGTAACTCGAGGTGATCCATTATCAAGCACCATGCACAGATAAAGGCAACCACTACTCCTCCTACCAGTTTTGTACTTTTTGGACCCCAGACATTGAGTTCTCATTGAGAGAAAGCCAGCCAATCGGTGTGGGTTTCAAGACTAGCGGAAAGATGAGCGCGTTGTGTATTTGAGACAGCCACTCAGCCTCACGTACGAGATAGATGAAAGAGGGGGCGAAAAAAAGAACAAGAAGAGAGGACTTTCAGCCTCGGCATCTTCAGAACAAAGCTTCATGGCGTAGACCCGTCGTAACGAAGAGGAACAAGACTCTCGTCGCCGAGGGCTCAAAAGATGGTAAAAAGAAGAATTGCAAGGGTTCATATAGAGCAAGTTATCTCCCTAGGATCTGTTTTTTTGCGCGCAATGTCCCAGCCGTGCGCATTCCTCCGAAAAGAACACAGTCCTCCAGATAGGAACTCTCCCGCCGCCACCCTCCCTTCCCTAGCATTTCCCTTTGCGCGCCCTGACCGTGGCAACAATCTTAATGAAAACAACAAGAGAGAAGAAAACAGATCCGTCAAACGAAGAAGGGTGAAGAGTGAAAGAACCAGGCATCAGCATATCGAGGAGATATACAGCAGTGGGAGAAAACGAAGTAAAGAGAAAATAGTCAACCGGAACGCCATCGTTCACCACCTTTGGTGTGTACCACCCGTAAAACCCCCAAATTTCCATCAATAACCATCCTTGTGTGATTGTATCAGCCCGCATCCAGGGGCCTAGACTTTGTCCCCGATTGTCACCGCCGTCGTGGGCTAGGTCATCAGACAAAACCGAGCCCGGCCGTGAAGACGCGATGATAATACCCATAGTCGTGTGTGCGGCCATTTCCGCCATTTTAGTCCTTTTTTTGTGATCTTTCTTCTTTTTTTTTTTGTTCTTTTCTTGATGCGCAGGATGGAACCGAGTAACAGTAAACCCTTTGGAAAATGGAGAGACTAGGTCGTAGTGCGACGGCGGGGTTGCAGCTCCCACGCCTCACCCGTCTCTTCCTTCGAAGAGGAGAGGCCATGTAGTTTCGTGATGCTGCCGCGGTCGCCCCTCGTCTCTTGCCTACATGACCGAAGAGGCCAGCAGGCGCGATTCAACATCATCCATGCCCATGCCGTCCATGCGAGGACCTTCCATGCCCTGGAGCCGCTGTTCTATTGCTTGGAATCGAGGCTCGTACCCGCCGGCGCGCGCCTCGATGTTCTCCATGCGCTTCTCAATGTTGTCGAGGCGCTGCTCGATGCGCATCAGGCCTTGGGCCATGTCGTGGCTCAGGCGGTCCAGCTTGTTGGTGAAGGAACGGATCGATGTCGCCAAGGGAGCATTCTCCTGGCCGGGGGTGCCGGAGGGGACGCGCGGCTCGTGGTTGTGCCTGGGCTCTTGCAGGGCGAAGCGCCACTGGTTGCCCAGCTGCACCTCGCAGACGGCCTTTGCACGGAAAGGACAGTCAATCTTGCGCGTCGAGGGGTTGCGCTTCTTGGCGGTGCTGTTGTACTTGACGCCGCCGCGATCGCAGACGAGGTCGTAGCGGGTGGGCTTGCCGTCGCGGTAGTTGGAGGCGCGGAGCTTGACGATGCCGTAGCCCTGGTCCTTCGCGACGCGCTGGACCGACGCCATCAGGTCGTCAAACGTCCGGAAGATGCCCTCTGGCGGAGGCAGCAGCGCCGGCGGGGGGGTATTCGGCATCGCGATGAGTTGAGCCACGGTGGCGAACGCGAAAGGCGCGGACCTGTTGGACGAGTGGGAAAAAAGGGTGCTTTGGTGACGAGACGTCGGAGGGGCAGAGGGACGATTGAGCGTCTGGTCCTCTGGGCGGTGGCAATGGAAGCTGCGGAAGGGATCGCGGAGGACGAGGGACCGGTGATGATGGTCTCTGGCTAGATAGAGCAACGAGATGCCTGTAAGTGAAGTCGCGTTGGTGTGCGTGGGGCGCTTGTTCTGCTCTAAGGCAAGGCAGAGAATGTTCTGTGGATGGATAGTGTAAAGGTACAGGAATTGCGAAAGAGAGGCCGGCCTGTGAGGATTTTTCCAATCCGCACTGTTGCCAGGTTTCAAGGTTTGGTGTTGATCCGGTCCGAGCGATGCGGGCCAGTCAGAGGCCGCGGAGCAAAGCTTGCCTGCGCGAGGTACCCAGTACCTGCCCGGACGGCGGCACCTGCAGTGCAAGGGCGAGCCTGCAAGCACAGCAAGGGCACAGCAAGCACCGCAAGGGCGGGCACACAGCAGTCAGTAGTAGTACCTGCCTGAGACGACCGGGGGGGGGCTTCGCCGGGTAAAGGTAGCTTCTACCTGAAGCGAGTGAGGGATAGACTCGGCTGCTGGAGCCAAGCTCTAGCGCTGCTGCTAACTGAGATGCGGACGCCTTCACGTTGGTCGTGCTGAGGGAGAATGTCACTGGCATGTCGCTGTGTTCGGAGCAGCAGCGCCCTTTTTTCCCTCTTCTTTTTCTTCCTTTTTTTCCAGGCACTTCTTCCAGCCCCTTCCCTTTGCAGCATCCGGGCATTTTCCTGTTTTCTCTCGACAGGGTTTGGCTGCGGCCATTACGTACTGTATAGGGACCCGTCAGCCGGCTGTCTGATGTAGGTACCCATTACTGGCACCGCTGATGCTAAAGCTAGAGGACCTACCTACCTCTACCTTCGTAATACCTACACACGAAAGGGAGACACAAAATCGTTCCTTTTTTGTTTCCAGAAATAAGCCATTACAGGGGTCCTTTAATAATCATGTATATAATAATAATAATACGTCCGCATGAGTTCAGGAATGGAATCGTATCCTCGTCACGCCATATTGCAAGGTAGAGATACCTCCCTACTTCACTCGTCCCTTTGACATCACATCAACCTCTGGTTGCTTTTTCTGGAGCTGCGCGCATATCCAAAGTGGGTAACGAAGCAACCTGCATTTCTAGCACTGCGGCCAACTCTATTTCACACCTACAGGAGAGGAGATGAGCCCCTGGATTGCGCGTCTCGTTCAGGAGGAAACAACTGGAGATTAAGCCAATCGAAGGCCTCTCCCTGAAATTCCCGGGCAGATGCTGAGCAGCACATCCGACCTGTCTCTCACTGCGTTTCCCCCGTCTCGAGGTCTCGACTGCTTCTCTCACGGCCCGGCACCCACTGTCTTGTCTTAGCAACATTCTAGCACATCTGATGCTCCAAATCCGCTGCACTGGCCAGTTCCAACCCCGTTTCCGCTGCCAAAACAACCAGGGGTCCGGCCATATCTCCGAAAGCTTGGCACTTGAAGCTGGCCGGAAGCAGGTCCAGCGCACGTGATGGGCAACACATGCTTAGACGGGCCAGAGTTCCAAGATGCAGCCCGACGGCCCTCACATGTCTGGCCCGTCTCGCGGCATGCAAGGAGAATCGCCGCCATGGCCAATGATGTGTGCATCCTGCGATTCCAGTGAGGTAATGTGTGCTGGGAAGCGTCAGGCTGCCGCGGGTGCAGCTGCTGTGCTCGTACCCGAGTTCTCCGTGCGAAATACGAAAAGCCTTCTATAGCACTTGCACTGTCATCTGTCTCGGGACTTCGTATCGCTCTAGCGCTGAGAGCGCTCAGTACCAGTACAGCCGGCGGCAGTACGCTTTGGCGCCAACAGCAGCTTTCTGACGTACTGGGTACCTCGGCCCCGGCGCCCGATAAGCCGTACAGGACACGGAACATGCCTCTGCGTCTTTGATGTTTCTGAGCCTCAAACCCTGTCCTTCCGCGCCCCACGTCGCGCGCGATAGCCATCCATCCCCAACTTCTGGAATCGTTTCTTCTTACTCGCTCAGCTCTGCTGCAACCTGCGCGTGGGGTGCGATTTTGTCGACATTTTGGACGCTTTTTGCCAGCTTCGAGACACGGCCTGATCCTCGCTCGCTCTCTTCAATTTCGGTTACGCGCGCCCCTCTTGCAAGCGATGGACAACAGCAACGCCGCGACGACGCCCGACGAGGCGGAGAAGCAGCAGGTGCTCGACGAGCTCAAAGCCATTGATGTGGCGATGCAGCGGCTCAAGCTGCTGCATATCAAGGCACGCCGATACCAAGTCACACTGCGCATTGCGTCCGTCTAAGCGAGACTAACCGGGGACGCCCCTCAAATGCAGGAGCGCAAGCTAAAGGGCCTCATCCCTACGATGCTGGAACCTCTGGTGCAGAAACACCGATCGCGTAAGGAGACATCCCTCGTCGCCTTCACATGGTGTCGCCTCGCCGTGGCTAACACTTGCTCTAGCAGAGGCCATGTATGCCGCCTTCATGAAGTCGGTAGCCGACGCGCAGGCAAAGATATCCGATTTCAGAGACCTCATGACGGACGAGACGAGCACCGAAGCCTTTGCGCGCGCCGCCAAGAGCAGGGAGGAGAGGCCCGATGGCATCGCGCCGTGGAGGTACGACAACTACCCGGAATGGTTCAATGCCGATAAGCACTGGACCAAGTAAACGCCAACTGGGTGCGATTCTGTATACGATCTTGTTCTGTTGTTTTCTTCTTCCTTTATTCTCCATTTATGATGGATAAATTGGCGAAATGGTTCCAATGGAGTAATGGCGCTGGGCTAGGAGTACTGCGTTCCTCGATTGGCGCTGCATACCCGGATACTGTACCTTGGTGGGCAATTGGGAGTTCATGGTTGATTTGGGACTCGGGATTCTACGAATTGGTTATCTAATGACAGAGGTGCGCTTGGTTACGGCCAGTGTTGCCGTGAGCTTCAAGAAGTGCTGAGGTTGTGTGGTATTATGAGCTACGGCATGACTTCTACCTACCATCACTTGGAGAGGAAGCCGAAGACAGAACAGTCCATGTCCACGCACACTACTACGGGCCTTGTTACTGCGACTCCGGACTAGGCAACGCAACTTTTGAGAATTTGGTAGTGCTACGCCTGAAAGTGGTAGGTCGTGACGAAAACATCAAGAAAAGTAGGGACTCTGTATCTGTATTGACGGGAGCATTACGATATCAGATTCGTACAAGCAAACTCTTGATCGCATCGTCCAGCAGGATGGGGGAAATACATAGCAGATACTCGATTTGATCTTGACGAGCGTGACAGTTGACGTCGTGGCAGTTAAGAAATACAAAGAGTAAGTACTGCTTCATTCATCTTCCGATTCTCTACTATGTGCAACCCATGTGTTGCGCAGCTTCACGATAACTTGAAGCAGCTCAGTTTCCCAAGCTGTCACTTTCTGACTTAGCGCCAATCGCAACTTGCTTACGGCAGCAATCGCAAAGGCCATCACCAAAAGCGAAGCCCGTCATCACGTGCGCTTAATGTGGGCCAAGCACGGCACGCCACTCGCACTCTGATTCGCCGGCTTAGCGGGCACAATCTGTTGTTCCGCCCACACAAAATTTCCCCAAATCTCGAAATTCCTCTTCTTTTGGTGAGATACTCAGAACAACCACAGAGCATCACCAGCAACAATGGCGTCCCACCGAGTCACCTACCGCCGCCGCAACGGGTGAGTTATTCTTGCCGTCGACGTTGGAAGATACGAATCAAGATTCTCGTCGACTTCGCGATGTGCCCTTTCCCCGGCGGTGGGCTGTTCTTGCGACAATAGTACTGACGAGGCGCAATTTTCTACAGCTACAACACTCGCTCCAACAAGACCCGAGTCATCAAGACTCCCGGCGGCGACCTCCGAGTTCTTCACATCAAGAAGCGCGGCACTGCCCCCAAGTGCGGTGACTGCGGCGCCAAGCTCCCTGGTGTAAGTAGGGCCCTTCAACGAAATCTTTGTGCAATCCGGAGGACGGGCGATGGAGGGAGGCAAGAGAGACACGAACGACGAAGCGACGATGGAGTTGGGAATCGGCTGGGATCAGAATATAGTCGACTTGGGAGGACGCTGCCGTCTGAAATTATCTGCAAAAGCCATGCAAAAGCCACGAGACGCCGTCTACGCCTTCTCGACAACCTCTTCTCTCGCCCTTCCTATACGACGTGGCCAACATTTCAGACAGCTACAGGATATTAGGAACTGACAAACATCGACGTCTAGGTCCCCGCTCTCCGCCCCCGCGAGTACTCCCAGATCTCCAAGCCCAAGAAGACCGTCCAGCGCGCCTACGGTGGTTCCCGATGCGGTGGCTGCGTCCGTGACCGGATTGTCCGCGCCTTCCTGATCGAGGAGCAGAAGATTGTCAAGAAGGTTATGAAGGAGCAGGAGGCGAGCCAGAAGAAGAAATAAACAAACATTTTTTTCCCACCACTAGACAAAAAAATATTTCGACTGATGGACTTGGCTTTCTGTGCGGGATGGCAAGGAACTCTTGGGGGTTTGGTTCATTGCTTTGGTGTTCATTAGGGCAAAAACGGACTGCATGATACATTATGGCCGAGCCGACCCATGGCCGGTCTGCTGCTGTCTTTAGGACTGCTTCCTCTTGGTGATCTAATGGAACGAACATCAAGTTGGTACAGAATTGCCCCCTTGTTGCAGATGTGAAGTCGGTGCGAGTTGGCGGGCAGAGGTGGTCGATTGTGTACAGCCAAAATAGCAAGTCCTCCTTGAAGAGGACAAATTCATCAAAGACATGAATCTGAATCTTCTAGAGTGAACGACACAACGATAATCGTTCAATATTGGCGTAACCCGTAGATGTATCCTGCAGTTAGGACATCAATTCTCAAACGAATTTCTTGCTGTAAGCCACCATGACGTTTGCACATGCAAGATATCACAATCCGCCCCGCGACAAGCAAAAACTTCCAAACTTGACACCACATTTTCCACAAGCCAACCTCGCCATACGACAAGTGCCAACGACGCCTTGAGCATAATACAACTCCAAACCCTCACATCAGACTCACAATGCGCGGCTCAACACGACTATCAACCGGTCTCCGCGCCGCCCGCGCAAGCATGCGCAATCCCTCAACATGCCTCTGCCCACGCACACCAGCCTCAGCAGCACCAACCATCACGTTCCAGCGCAGTCTCGTCTCCAAGCCCTTCCATACGACGGCCAGCAGCCTGTCCGATCGCCGCCGCCAAGGCGACATGCCAACCGACAATTCGCACCGCACGAGCTTCAGCGAGCTGGACGTGCTGGGCAGCGTGCCGGTGCCGTCGACGTCGGTGGACGTGTGCATGCACGACGGCTTCAGGCTCAACAGCGGCATCACAATACAGGGGGGGGACGGGGCGCTGCTGGTGCACGGAGAGGCGTTTGCGTGGCGGCCGTGGGAGGCGAGCGGGAGCAAGAGGCTCGTCAACGACAAGGGGCAGTTTGAGCTGCCGGAGGAGGCGTTTGGGCTGTTTGACGTGTTGTGGCCACGACCTGGTACGTTTCCCTTTTCTATGAGTTCATGGCAGGATTTTCTCCTCGTCCTTTTCTCTTCTATCCCTGATAGGACGGTGTGGGGATGTACAGTCTATTCAGGGCATTGATGAGGCTGACGATTTGTGTTTTACGGTTACAGATTTGCTGATTATTGGCGTGGGCAAGCACAACCTGCCGCTGAGCCCGCGGACGAGAGAGCACGTTTCACGGCTGGGGATGAGGGTCGAGATGCTGGACACGAGGAACGCGGCTGCGCAGTTCAATCTGCTGGCGACGGAGCGAGGAGTGTCAGAGGTAGCGGCGGCGTTGATACCCATTGGCTGGGAGGAAGGGCTGGGCGTTGTTTCATGATGTTGTACGGGGATTTGGTGATGGTTGTACGATAGAGATAAGGGCCGGGTGAGGGTGGCACATCTACCTAGACGTTGGGCACCTTTGATCATACAGGTGTGTTGTAGTGTTGCTGTGAAAGGGGGCCCTGTGGTGGCTTGAGTGAGTTTGGGCTCAGTCACAGCCAGTGTACGATATTCATGGAGTAATAGATATTTGCACGCACTGAAAGTCATCAAAAGATGCTTCTACTGCTGCTGTCTGTCATTGCATCCAAGGTATGTTCTGGTTGCTCTGCTTGAAGCTGCTCGGGCGTGGCACAAGGCTAAGCAAGCAAACGGTGATACGCAATCGACACTCCTTGGAAGACTGCCATTGGGCCATTCAAACGCTGAGTACTTACATCCTCTATCTCCTAGATTGACACTGAATCCTACAATTTGGATTACCTTTGTAATAGCTGGTCCAATTGCAGACATTTTTCGTTGCCTATCCCATTAGAACCGTAGCTCTAGGGTAAGCCCACGATGCAACTCGGCATATTGTAGATTGCGCTTTAGCAGGGGCCTCTCTCGCGCAATGACGAGCTCTCTCCAGGGCTCGTGTCAATTGGTTGGTCACCAATGAATCGCTCATTCGTTGACCTTATTTATCCTTGATTTTCCACTTCCGTAACCAATTGAGACTGTGTCTCTTCCATCTACTCATGCAATGCAGTGAGTCTGTCCGGCTTTGTCGCCAATCAATTGCCAGGCGACGCATGTCAATCTTTTCCTTGACGCAGCCTTGTTTTCTTGTTTCTGACTCACCCGACGAACACCGGCCTTGAGAGGGACCAAACCCAACCGCTATTTTTTTGCTTTGCTTTTTTTTTTTCCTTTCCCTCCTAGGTGCTTAATCTTATCTACACGTCATTTTCCCTCTGGCTGTCGACTCTCTTCCTTGTTCTCTTCCTTTTGGAATCCGCCGTAATACCCCATTGAGGCTCTTGGGATTGGGTCTTGCAAGGTCCAGTTTGCTGTTCGAGCGGAAGCGTGTGTTTCGAGCGATCCATTCCAGGGAGCGATTTGCTTGCCGTTCCAGGCGGACCCTTGCTGCTGAAACGTCGTGGAAGACACTGGACGGGTTCTGTTGTTTGCTTCAGCGGCTGCGTATCGCGATATAGAGCGCCAAGCGCCGTTGCTGCATTGCGATTGTTTTTGAACCCATTGGCCTCGGGATCCTCATCACCAGACACGACAGCTTCTAGCTCCATCAAGGCGTCGGCTACCGTGATTTGCTCGAGGTTCGAAATAACACCAACTGACATCGCCACCGCAAGCCGAGAAGCCAAGTCAACTACTGGCCACGCCCAATGGCAAAGGCATCGCCAGACTCTCCGCCGCCGGAGCAGTCGCTCTCCACGGATCCTCACGAAACAGATCCCGCGCTCCTCCAGCAGCACTCGCACTTCAAGACGTATAGGACGAGCCGGTTCGAGTATCCCGAGATCCGCGTCTTCTTCCGCCAGCATGTCAAGGCCGACCAGCTGCCCAAGAAGCCGGCGCCGCTGCCCCTGCTGGTGTGCATCCCGGGCCTGGGCGGCTCTGTCGCGCAGTTCTACCCGCTGCTGAGGAGCTTGATTGATCTGGCGCCGTGTCTGGCAATTGACTGGCCCGGAGGCGGGAGGTCCAAGTTTGCGCCCAGGCAGTGGGAGGCGTATACTTCCGAGGCGCTGATGGAGCTGCTGGAGGTCATCATCGAGGACTATCGCGACAAGGAGCACGACCAGGGCGTCGTCTTGATTGGACATAGCATGGGAACCGCGCTGTCGGCTGGCTTGGCGGACAAGAAGCTTCCGCATAGGACGTCTCTCGCAGAGCACGTTGTCGGCTTAGTGGCGATTTGTCCGGTATCTGGACCGATGGAGGAAGCAAAAGCGAAGCTTGTCAGGAAGCTCTTTTGGATCCCCGGCTGGGTCTTTGCCCTGTGGCGAGCGTGGGACAGCCGAGGAGGACTCAACAGCACCAGCGTCTCGAGGTTTGTGGGAGAGGGCGCGCCCACTGAGCTGAGGCTCATGCAGTATCGATATAACAAGCAGAGTCGCACGCCGGTCTGGAGGCGAATGGCATACGGCGCCTTGCCGACTGGGTATCGGGATGGGAAGCCGGTTGGTGGCATTCCGGGGCTGGATTCGTGGGCGAGCTTGGATATTCCCGTCTATCTCATTGGAGGCGAAAAGGATAATGTGACGCCGCCGAAGGAGGTGGACAAGATCGTTGCGGCCTTTCACGCGGCAGACAAGGCTGCAGCAGCGTCGACTGGAACCGAACAAGCGCAGGACGAACCGGAATCCGTCAACGGCTCGACACAGCTCGAAGCCGATACGAACGGCAACGGCCTGAAGGCGGATCTTGCCGAAGACGGCGACAGCGATGCAAACGGCCCCTCAACGCCGGTCGAGGACTCCCCAGAGCTACCGCCCCAACCGCAGCACCCTGCGCGAGCCATTCGATCCATCATCCTCACCGGCTCGGCGAACCACACCCTCCTGTACTCCCCGCGCACCGTCCGAGCCCTCGCCGGCCTTGTATCAGACTTCCTCGCCGAGCACATCACGCAGCGCCTCTCCCTCGCGTGGCAGCTGCAGCACCTCTCGCGCGAGGGCAAGTGGGACGTCAAGAACCTCATCAAGTGGCAGTCGGTCAAGCCCGTCTCGGAGCCCATCGGCCCCGCCGGCAAGCCCGTGTTCCGCGTCATCAAGACGCTCCGCGAGGCCGACGACGTGCACTGCCCGGCCGCCTTCGCCGACGCCTGGGGCCACGTCATCAAGGACGTCGTCGACATCTCCAAGGACCAGCCCGTGTACGACCCGCGCGGGCTCGAGCGCCGCGGCATCCACTACCACAAGTTTCCGACCGTGTCCAAGGTCCCGCCCGACGGCGAGACGGTCGACCAGTTCATCCGCCTCATCGACTCCCTCCGCGAGACCCAGCGCGAGAGGGCCGTGGCCGAGGCCTGGCCGGACCCCGAGCAGTGCGTCGTCGGCGTGCATTGCCACTACGGGTATAACCGGTCGGGGTACTTTGTCGTGTGCTACCTCGTCGAGAGGTGCGGCTTTGCGCTGCCGGACGCGATCGAGGCGTTCAAGACGGCGAGGCCGAATGGGATTCGGCATTCGCACTTTTTGGATAAGTTGTATATGCGATATAATCTCGAGCAGGGGGCCTGTTGAGCGCAGCTGCTTCTCTCTCCGGCCTGGTTCTGCTTATTATGCTTGACATGTTTTTCTTTTTTTAGGGTTTGCTTCTTTTTGATATACGTTACCACGGAGGCTTCGGCATTGGGTTGGATGGAATAAATGGATTGGAATGACCTGGGCATGGCCAAAGAATGAGATTGGGTATTATGGCGTCTAGCGAATGGTGGGCTCGCAATGATATCCTTGTGTAATTGTCTAGTCATATAGCAGCTATTTCGAACCGAGTTTCTTTCTCATTGTCTTTCTGATTCTGAAAAAGATTACCATGAACAAACGTCAAATCTCATTGCTAGGTATACGCTCAAACATTCTAACATGTATCTGGGACTCATCTGCTCTATAGAAGAGACAGGGGGGGCATATTCCAAAAGAAATCTCAACAACCCAACTCGCGCCATGCACAAAACACGCCATGCACCGAACCAGAGCAGCTATTCTAACTCTTAACAAACAGCTCTCTCTCTCTCTCTCTCTCTCTCTCTCTAAAATCTTCTCTAAATCTCTTGCGCGTGATAACTACCAACAACGCTCCCCCCCTCGAGAGCCATGCTCATTGCGCCCTCACCAGGCTTCTCCGTCTTCTCCCTCAGCTCCTTCGTAATGTCCTCCACCACATCGTCCACATCGAGGTAGTGTCGCAAGAACTTGCCGACATCTGTGTTCTCGACGTTGCCGCGGATTGCCTGCGTGCCGGGCCCGCCAGACGAGTAGATGTTGACGTCGACGGCGGTGTGCCCGTGGGTGCTCCAGCCGACGTGCGCGCGCAGGGAAATCATGGCGGAGAAGATCTCGAGAGAAGCCTCGGCGTTGTCCGCTAGGGCCTCGAGCTCCTCGTCGGAGGCGTTGGAGATGCCCAGGCCGGGCACGACGAGCTCCTCGTTGATCCACTTCTTGAGGCTGGCCTTGGACTTCCGCCTCTCCTTGGGGTTGTTGAAGTGACCGATGGACGCAGCATACGAGCGGAGCTTCGAGGCGAGGTACTCGGTGGATGAAGCGGCATTGGCCAGGGCGCGAGGGTACCAGTTGTATACCGGCAGATGGCCGGGCTCCTGAATGGCAGTGGCAAGACCGCCGGTTTCATGGTCGCTGGTGGCCACGAGCACCGTCTCCGTCTTGCTGTTGGCGATGAAGTCGAGGACGGCCTTGAACGTCTTGTCGTATTCGAGTACCTCGCGGACCTGGGCAGCGGGGTCGTTGAAGTGGCCAGCATGGTCGATGCGGCTGCCCTCAATCATGAGGAAGAAGCCCTTGTCCGTGTCCTTGGTCGCCTTTTCGAGAGCCCGCAGGGCTGTGGTGGCCATCTCGCTCAGGCTGGGGTACACATCGTTCTGCTTCTGTCTATCAATCTCGAACGGCACGTCCCTCTCGGCAAAGAGGCCGAGGAAGGGAAGCTTGACCTTGTTGCCGCCGTCGAGAGCGTCGAAGCCGTGGCGGTCGTCGGTATAGCCCCAGCCGTGCTTCTCCCGAGCCAGTCGCGTAACGTCTACCTCATCCGCACGGCATCCGCCCTCGGTGGAGTTGGGCAGGAAGTGGCAGCGGCCTCCACCGAGCATGAGGTCGACGGAACGGCCCAAGACACCCTCGCCAATCTCCTGCAGAGCAATCGAGTCCTGCATCTCTCGCCGTAGGACGTGGCTGACAAAGGTCGCGGGCGTGGCATCTGTGATATCGGTGGTGACAACCAAGCCTGTCGTGTAGCCGACCCTCTTGGCAGCCTCCATGACGGATCCGCACGGCTCAAAGTCTGGCAGGATGGAGATGGCGCCGTTGTAGCTTTTGAGGCCGCAGGAGAAGGCAGTGGCGCCGGCAGCGCTGTCGGTGACTAGGGAGTTGCTGGAGCGGGTGCGGCTGGTACCCCAGAAGTGCTGGTCCAAAACGAGCGTGTCGTTTTCAGGAAGGTCGTTGATGTACTGGCGGTAGCTGCGCGTCAGGGAGAGCGAGGCTGGGCCCATGCCGTCGGACACCATGAAGACGAGGTTCCGCTTCGGGGCGACCTTGTCGTGGTTGCCGTGATCGGTCTGCGCATCGTGCTGGATCCAGACGGCGGCGACGATGAAGGCGGCTGTTGCTAGAAGGCCCCATGCAAAGAAGGCGATCTCGCGGATGCGTGAAGAGCGCAGGGCCGCCTTTTGCTGGGCGATTTCGGCGGACTCGCCGCGGTTGGATAGGAGAGGATGACGCTCGGACGGCTGGTTGGCTGGGAGTCAGTGGGTGTACAGAGAGCAGCAAGCGGCTTGGGATCGTCTGATATCGGTCGGTTCAGCAAACTCACCATTCTGACCAGTCTGATGGCCTAAGCACTGCTCGATCTGCTCAGGAAGAGTGCTGGTTGATGCAATCCCCAGGTTGTAAGCCTTGGGAGGTTGGCAGAGGACGCAGGAGAACCTTCCATGAGCCGTCTGGAGGGACTGATGGAGTCTGCTGCGTCACAGGCGACCGTTATAGCGGGTGGCTAGCGGCGAGAGCCCTGTAAGTTGCAGCTAAGCCCCTGCGCGGGTGCGGGTGGGGCGCTGTGGCGCTGGACCCAAAGGCGGCTGGAGGTCGCGTGCCGGAATCGAGGCCAACCAGCCAACCCCAGCATCTCTGCTCCAGCAAGGGAACAACCCGTGACGTTGACGACGAGCGATCACGCCGATCAGCGGAATTGACACGCCCGGGAGCGACGAGAGGCAAGACATATTACCAGAAAGACCAGACGAGACAAGAGGCGATGACCAGCAACCTGCACAGCCCAACTGGACCGGACGTGAGCATCTGTGCGATGGCCAGATGGCGGCATCTCGGCCAGTCAAGGCAGCAAGCAGCGGATCTCCCTCCAGTCCTGCCCTGTCATGTACTCGCATGTACGCACTTCCGGCAGTGATTCACTGACATTCGAACTGGGACGAGATCCATTGGCTGGCGCCCATTACCTAAGGTTCGTCGTGAACCCTTCCGATAGTCTGTGTCTCTGCCAGCTGCTCCTCATTGGCGCGGCATTTGCAATCCGGGGCTGGTGGATATCGATGCAACGTCAAGCCGACGGTGGCCGGAGACAAATGCCGGCAGCGACTCTGATTCACTGTCGGAGGATTATCGTCTCGACATGCAAGGCACTGCACCGTCCTGCACGAACCACTGGCTGCTACCTACATGTACCCTGGTGCAGTGCGACCTAGCAGCACAGCTCCTGGGCCCAGATCAAGGGGATTCCCACGATGTCTGTTTCGTGGCTGCTCGGATGCTTGCTTGGCTGCCCTGGGGTGACGACAGCGGCTGGCAGATTGCTCTCTCAGTTGATTCACCGCTGTCCAGATGATGGCAGACGCGCAAATGAGGATACAATGAGGCTCGCTTCCACCACTAAGGACCTGCGACTGCACTGGCCAGGCAGACATGCATCGCTGGTTACATGAGGCCCGGCCGTACAGCCCAAATTCCCCGCCGCCTCGCCTCAGCGCAACCAGGTGGTGCAAACATTTGATGCTAGTATCAAGGGCTTGTGCACGATGCCATGGCGCCCCTGTGCGGCGTCCTGCGGGAAGCAAAACGACAGAACCAAGCCGCGTGTGACAGCCCGTGGGAAGGGAGGCGTGCTGTCAATGGCCAGATCCGACCTGGGATAGGTTCCTTTACGAGCGAATGCCACGCCAGGGCTGTCAGTGAATCACTGCCAGCGGCGTCTGTAGCCACCACACGATTTCACAGGCCGCTGATAACAATCCGTTGATATGGACTTGTTGTGTCATCCTCCTTCTCTCTTCCCCTTTCATCTCACCAAAGTTTTGGCTCCAGCATGGCCGGACAAGACACACATGACCAGCAAACCCCAATGGCGAGTGGGTTGTCCTTTGTCCCTATATCAGCGGCAAGCCAGGACTGAAGACACCTTTCAGCAGCCTCGTGTTGCATCGGAGCCAATGAACAGCAACTGCTGCAATCGCTCACTCGATGGGCAGCACTGCATGAATTCAGACTATAAGAACGAGGGATGCATGCCATCCGAAAGAGGCAAAGAAAGGCGTCGCTTCGGACTCTTCACCCACACAATGTGCACTTACACTGACGTCTTATACTCTTGCGGATGCTGTGGGCCACCAGTCTGCGACACGTCCTGCTCCCAGATCATGTCCGAGCTGGATCGAATCAACCATCCAGAAGCTTGGGAGGGTGAAGGCCTCGCCCAGTTGCCGTTCAACATGGCGGACGACTGTGCCCCGTATTGGCACAACGCGCTTTTTGTCCGTGAAACGGCCGTTTGCGACCGTTTCTGGGGAGACGGCTGTCTGCCTCAGCGAAAAGTGCCCGCATGGATTGCATCGTATGCCGTCTGGCCGGAGCAAACTCTTGTCTCCTGGCCGGAGCAGAATCTTGGATGGTCGATTGACAATGTTGGATTGGCAGAGACACATGCTGGATGGCCAGAGGACCACGCTGGTAGGCCAGAGCATGCCGTTGGCTGGCAAGGAATCGACGGCGATTGGTCGGGAGACAACGCTGAGTGGCTGGGATACGATCTAGAATTGCTGCAAAACTTTCCAGCATGGCTAGAATTTGATCCTGCGATGCGGGAGTATGACCCTGCAGGGCCAACATACCAGTCAACATACGACTAGAAGAGCAATCAAGAAGGCAAAACGGACCAGCCAAGGGGACCAGAACAGGCGAATGAGACAAATGGGAAGGGTCGTCGGAGGAGCCATGCGGAAACCCAGCCGCGGGTCTACAGGCATCTCGCCTTATGCCGAGAGATACATCTTCAACTCCGACGATGTCTTGCGGAGCAACCTCGCTTTGTCCGGCAGCTCATTGAGTTTCCAAGCCTATCAGGCGGTTGATGCGAATCCCACTGTCAAAACACCCCTGAGATGGCAACCCCTTTTGGCCATCGAATGGCAGCTCACCCGTTTCAGCTTCACATCAATACGCTCGACGAACCGATTTGGCAATTTATCCGCGGCCAATTCATGCTCCAGGCCCAGCGCGATTCCCAATTTCGACGACGTCATGCTGGAATTGGATCTGGACGATCTGGAGAGAGTCGCTTTCCGACGACATGATATGCCAAGCACTGACGTTGAGGTGATTCGATGCTGGGGGTTACTGACCTGGCCAATTGCTGAGCAGCGTCGAGACGGAGTCGCCCGTCTGGCGCATATGCAAGCCATCGGAAGTTGGGAAACTCTCTTTCACGTCTCGAATACATGTACCTATGCCTGCCTTTGAAGAAGCATTAGCCCCTTTGTTCGACTCGAATTCACGCAGCGAGCTGAGCCGGCTAGGACCTGTCAAAGAACAACGCTGACCAAGCCTCAGCGGCTAATCGCGATGTGGCTGCATCCATTGATGGCTGGTGTTTCTGCACATGCAGCTGGGCGCTAAAGCTTCAGCGACCGTTCAGTGGCCGACCAGCCGCTACGCCCGGCTCGCTCCGGATTTACAGGCGATTCTCCTCCTCAGGACCCCTGGAGCCTCCAAACAAGCTAAAACGCCGAAACAAGCTTGAACCCCCCGTGTCGTCTCACGTCTGTCTAATGGCGGCGCTGAAACGACTCGCGTTGGACAAGGTCGCTGGCGGCCCAATTTCTCTCCGACAAGGCGTTTCGTTTGGACGGCGTGGATGGGGCTCTGCGACCAGAGGCTTCCTAATCGCGAGAGGCGCCGAACAGAGACCCCGGACTGGGAAATGAAGGGACTGGACCGCAGCGTGCTCTCTGGCCGGGTCGAGCCGACAGAGGGAGAAGAAGACGTCTGAATACTTCAGCCGCGATTCGCGACTCTGGCAGGATGCGGCCATCTCTGGGATGCTGGTCCTTGTCCTGACCCTGGATCAGGTAGTACTCGAGATCGAGTTGGATGGGAGGCATGGACGGGGTACACACATGCACCAGCGAGTCACCGACTGAACAAGCTGCCTACCTATATAAGACGATGGCGGGATGCCGCATCCTTGGAATGGATCCCTCGAGTTCTGTCAGTTGCTTCTGAATAGCTTCACTCTGCGTGCTGTGCTCGCTTCCTTCCTTTTCCCCTTCACTTTCTCTTCCTTCTTTGTTCCATTCTTGCCTTTGACAAGGCCATCTGCTGTGCAGATTTTATACCACTCTCTTTTGTAACAGCTTCTTCTTCTTCTTCTTCCCTTCTTACCAGTCTCTCGCTTTCTGGTTCACCGAGTATCTATTACTTCACTCCTTGCTAAGCCAACACCATGATTCCCAAGACGACACTTGCTTTGCTCTTTGCGGCCCTTGCTGCTGCTGGGCCCATCCAACGTCGAGAAGTTGCATCATTGAACCCGGATGCCACCGCTGAGGCGCAGAAAAGAGACGACACGGCCACCCGTGCCTTTTCCAATGTCCAGATCAAGACGTCCGATGGCAAGTGCTTGAGCGTCGACCCGCTCTCAGGAGACTTTCGGGCCAACTTGACGCCCATCCAGATCACCGACTGCGGCAGCGCGCAGGGCCAGGGCTGGGATGTCATCACTGCCGGTGTCCACAACGACCAGAAGGGTCAGGCTCTCATTGTGAGCACCCTGACGCAGGCTTGCTTCAACTTTGACCCTCGCCGGGCGGCCGGCAACCAGGTGCTCCTCTTTTCGTGCGGTGGACGCGCTGACGGTGGCGGACAAGTCACCAACTCTCAGCTCTTTGCCTTCACCGGCGGTGCAGGCCCGCTGAGCCTGACTCCTGGCAACGATCCCACAAAGTGCTTCGCTGCCAAGGGCAACGTGGTCGACATTGCCGACTGCAACGACAACGATGCTTCGCAGAAGTTTACCTTTGGCGACGCTGCTGCTGGAGGCTCTGATAACGGCAACAACAACGACAACAACGACAACAATGACACCAGCAGCAGCTCTGCCACCGCCGCCGCCAGCTCTGTGCCTGCTGCGACGCAAGCCCCCGCTACCTCTGCCGCTGCTGCTCCCAGCGCTACTCCCAGTGCCGCGGCCCCTGCGGATGACCAGAACTCGCTCTGCTCTGCTCCCAAGGTCATCACGGTGACTGATGTGACCACTGTCACTGCTGGGGCTGCCCCTCCGGCGGTAACCAACGAGGCCACTCAGACTGCGGAGAGCACAGAGTCTGCTGCTGCTGCTGCTACCTCGAGCGCGGGCAACGGGTCGCAGACGACTGCTGCTGCGTCTCAGCCTGCCGTGACCGCCAACCCGACGACACCCGTCCCCGTCTCCGGAGCTGGAGGTACCCTGAACCCCACTGCGGTTGCCGAAGCCCAGAAGTTCGATGCCTCTGCCGTCCGACCATTGGAGAGCGTCAACATCCGGGCCGCCGATGGCCGGTGCTTCTTCATCGACCCCACGGCAGGCGACTTCCGAGAGAACCTGATCCCCGTTGGGCTGGCGGAGTGCAGCGAAGACGCCAGCCAGAAGTTTGACATCGTCACCAAGGGCGTCCACAACGATGGCCAGGCTGGCGAGGCGCTGATTGTCAGCGTGTTGACCAACGGCTGCCTCAACTTTGACGGCCGGAGAGCGGCCAACGACCAGGTGATTCTGTTTTCTTGCGGTGGACGTGCCGATGGTGGTAAGTGTTTTACTCCGACTTATCCTCTTTCAAACGCAGCAAACACTAACATGGATTCAACAACAGACGGCCAAACTGCAACTTCGCAGCTGTTCCCCTTCGAGGCCGGCTCCGACACGATTCTCCTTACTCCCAACTCGGCCGACAAGCAGACGTGCCTCATCGCCGGTGCTGACAGGGTGGAGGCTGCGCAGTGCAGTGGTCAAAAGGACCAGACCTTTGAGCTGGTGGAGGTTCTGTAATAAGGCGCATGACCGCGTGAGGGCGAGCACCGCATGGAGGAGCAAGGGGGGGGGGGGGGGGGGGCTTTGATGATATGAGATTAAGCCCCTCTGCCAGACCAGGATGCAGAGGAGGAGCAAGAGACAGAAGAGCTTTTACAACTGTATTATTTATTACTCTCAACGGGGATTTCGCTTCTTTGTCTAGACGTTGATCATGACGAGACAAGTACATACTATCCATTCTTGACGATCAGATGCATGTCTGGTATCACGAGCACATACAGTACATACTGTAGAAAAGACGATATCAGTCCAGCGTGGAGCAACTCCAGCCAATTGACCCATCATGTTCTGATTTGCGGCGTGATTGGCCGGGTCGCGGTGATCATCGCCATGTATCACGTCATGCTGACGGGAATGTATTTCAGGGAACCTGTTCCCTAACAGCTGCGGCTAAGGCCCAGGCTAAGGGGGCGGCAGCTGCGATCCGTTCTGAAGCGAACATGCAATAAGACGCTCCTCCAATTCTAATTATACCATGGGCTTATCTATCAATCTTTTTTCTCTCCTCCCTCTCTCATGCTCTGTTTCAAGAAACATGGCGAAATGTTTTGGATGACGATGCCGTGAATGCGATCATATTATCTTTGATTCTTGGCGACGGAAACTCTCTTGGGACCTGACACGACTTGGATGGAAGACGACCGAAGCCGTTGAATCTGACGAGGTGACGTATCTGTTACCATTGTGAGATCGAAATCTGGCGACTGCTGGTTCGGAAGCTCAACCAACCGACGGCTCCAGCATTGGCTGTCATTGCTCACCAGCATCTTCGCCGCGGCTGTCGAGAGCGACGCGCAAAGCAGAGCGCAACTGTTAGCGTGATTGCGCTGGCTCGAAGCCATCTCCTCGCTCGATCTCGTCTCGACAGGCCTCACAGACACCATGGATCCCGTCCACGAAGAAGGGAACAGCGCCGTCTCTCCTACCGACGCACGGCCATCCCTGAACCGAGTCCGCTACGATCTCAGCGTCGACACTGAGAACGCCAACAACAATACGCCTCCCCAGGCCGACGTACGGCGCCTCTCGCGCTCCGACACGGCCGTCCATCGCGAGCCCTTTTCGCCGCTGCGCCGTCGCAAGAGCGCTCGCGTCCAGACTTTCCTCACCATTGATGACAACGACGACTTCGACTTCGATGCCACGCACACGGAGAGGCCAGGCTGGCAACCGGGGTCTGAGCCGGGCTTTGATCCCCATCTCCCTGATGGCGGCCACGCTTCGATGCCGACGCTGAGTGCGGATTGCCAAATCACGGTCGTAGATTTTTCAAAAGATAATATGGTGAAGAAGCACTTTGACAACGACTCGTTTGTGTCGTTTCTGACGGAGCCCAAGGAGGAGTGGGCAAAGTGTCGGTGGATCAACGTCAATGGGCTCAGTTGGGATGTGATTCAGGCGATCGGTGCGCACAAGGGGCTGCATAAGCTGGCGTTGGAGGACATCATGAACATTAGAAACAGGACCAAGGCTGACTGGTGGGTTAACACACGGCCAATTCTTTGGTTATGCCTTCCATACTGATTTGCCTCTGTCAAAGGTATCCGAGCCATGCCTTCATTGTCATGACGCTACAGAAGCTGGTCCATCTCGTGGACGACGACGATTCCTCATCGGACACGAGCAGCATCCTCTCGGGAAAGTCGTCCTCCAAGTTCAAGAGCTGGTTCCGCAGCTTTGGTAGCAAAGCCGCAGACAAGGCCACCAACAACACCCCGCTCGACCCCGAGAAGCGTGCGCCCACCAAGTGCATGACGGAGCTGTCCGAGACGCTGGGGCTTCAGGAGACGTCCATGATGCGCTCGCTGCAGCGATACCACGCCTCGGGCAACGAGATCCGCACCGAGTACATGGAGGCCAACTCGATTCTGACGCCGCTCAACCTGGCAGTGTCGGCCGAGCAGGTGTCCATTTTCCTAACGTCCGACAATACCGTCATCTCCTTCTTTGAGGTGTCTGCCGGCGACGTGGAGCGTCCGATTGTGACGCGCCTGAGCAACCCGGGCACGGTGCTGCGCGAGTCGTGCGACGCCTCACTGCTGGTGCAGGCCATCATCGACGCCATCGTCGACCTGGCCGTGCCCCTGACGGCCGCGTACAACGACGTGCTCGGCGACCTGGAGCTGGACGTGCTGACATCGCCCAACATCAAGCAGTGCAAGACCCTGTACATCTGCATCAGCGAAATCAACAAGATGCTGCGCTTCCTCAACCCCATCGACAACCTGGTCAACGTGCTGCGCGACCACCGCACGAACCTGACGCACGACCAGGCCATGAACGAGCTGGAGAACCCGGCCAGCGGCGTCATCGTCACGCCCATGACACACACGTACCTCGGCGACGTGCTGGACCACTGCATCATCATTACGGAGGCGCTGCAGCAGTCCAAGCAGTCGAGCGAGAACTTGATCAACCTGATTTTCAACACAATCTCGGCGTACCAGAATGAGAGCATGAAGCAACTGACAACGGTGACCATCATCTTCCTGCCCCTGACGTTTATCACGGGTTTCTTTGGGCAAAACTTTCCGCCGGAGGGCTTTCCCGAGATTAACAACGGGATATGGTACTTGTAAGTGTTTTCTGAACTATTTGCAGAGAAAGCAAAAGGACGAATGCTAACACGAATTCGTCATAGCTGGGCTTGTGCTGTTCCGACGGCTGTTGCTACGGTGCTCATCCTCATGCGCGAAATGATTTACGCCTGGTTTGTGAGGGTCATACAGAGGAAGCGGGTGCTGAATATCCGGAAAAAGAACAAGGCCAAGAGGAAGACGCGGTGACTGGGCTGACGATGGTCGGTGATGATGCGGTAACTCTGCATACTTTGAGGCGTGGGGTTGGTGAAGGCTTGTCGAGATACCCTTGCATATGCTCCTTGTTTAGAAATATAGATGCTCCTATCAAAATGACTATTTTGCATTACAAAGACCTCTCAATTGAAGTCGGAACTAGACCGACCGGATCCTGTCCAGTTCAGAATCCTCCTCATTCTCAGGCAAATCAGACAGCATACCGCTCCTCGTCCAAAAGCGTCCTCTCCCGCCAACTCTCTTCCACCCACCCCTCGCTCACCAACCTCGGCATCTTCCTCCTCGAACTCAGCTTCGACCGCAACTTGTCCCCCACGTCGCCAACCTCCATCACATCGTCTCCCAGCACAACAATATGCGTCACCGAGTCGTCGTCTGCATCTCGGCTGACGGAACCGCCCCCGTAGCGGACGTACCTCTCCCATTTATCCCGTGCGCTCTCCTTTGCGCCGTCGACGAGGTAAAGCAGCACCCTGCAGCGCGAAAACATAAAGTTTCGCAGGGAACCGACGTCCTTGCCATGCTGCTCCAGTTGTTCCAGAAACAGCATCTTGTCAAACGTCTGCCTGTCCTCGAGCTTCGGCATGTCCCTCATCAACTCGCGCAACTCCTCAACATCCACATCGCGCGCGTAGCTATCCCCGTACCGATCCGTGTTCTGCGCAGCGACTTCTGCCAGGGCGTCCGTCGCGTGGAATATATGCCGCCCCGGCTCGTACGGGAGCAAGAATCCGCCGTCGGGCTGCTCCAGACAGTCCCTGATCCAGCGGGGCCGGATAATGTCTGCGTTGCCGTCTTTGATGAGGCTGGCGACTTTGACGACTCTTTTGTCGGCTATGAGGATCATTCTCGTGCCTGCGGCGGCTCTTTGCGATATTGAGCCTCCGTTTTCTTTGATGATGGCTTCGAGCTGTGGTTTGGTCTTTTTGTAGGGCTTGAGCGATTCGGATAGGACGCAGAATTCGAGACCTTCGAAGAGCTTCGTCTTGTTGCCTTCGAATAGGGGAGGAGCTGTGTCGTCGCCCGCGATGACGAGCTCTTTCTTGATTCGCTTTGGGTTTCGCCTCCTGCGGTCTTCGACTGTCATCTCGGTCGCTTTGAGTTCCGATTCTACCCTCTGCTTGAGCTCTTGAAACTCCTCTAGAGACAGGGCCGTGTCCCAGCTGCGGTCGAGTCGTAGTCTTCGAAACCGAGGGAATCGCAGGGTGAAGCCCCGGGCGAACTGATCCGACGGACCGACGCTGGCCGCCTTGACAGAGACCACGACGGAGTCCTTTGGCCGAATCCACATGTCGGGCCGTTCGTACTGCTTGGCCTCGCCGCCGCCCAGCTCAATGTACTCGGACGGCGGGTTTTTGGGATCCCACTCCATCCACTTGCCGTCTGTTCGGTGCCTGATCTCGGCGTAGTCCTCTGTGCGGAAGCCGCCGCCGACTTTGAAGAAGCTGAAGCACTTTTCTGGGTTGGCGCCGGCCTGGATGTGGTTCGGGCTGACGCGGAGGCCGCACAGGAAGCTCGACAGCATCCCTCCTCGTCGTCCCGAGCCATAGTAGCCGCCGATGATGACGCAGTCGAGCGACTCGCCGAACTCGGACATGTACTCGGGCTTTACCTTAAGCCAGTCGTCGTTGCGGCTGTTGAGGCGATACATGGACCGTGGGTTCTTCAACACGAGGCCTTCTGACGCGTTGGCGACGACCTCGCGCAGAAGGGGCTCGATGGCATCGGCTGAGGTGGCGGGCGTGTATTCGTGGATTTCCAGTCGGCGATGGACCGGCCTGATTGCCTTTTGCAGTGCATTTCGGCGATCGCGCAGGGTGTACTGCGTCAGCTGCTTGTCGTTGAGATACAGTATGTCGAACACGCGAAACAGCGGGCGGTGGCCGGCCGCGTTGGATTCGGACTTGTTGCTTTGTTCTGCGATGGCAGCCGACTTGAGAGTACCAAAGGGGACAATCTTGTCCACGCCCATGTCCCAGGTGATCATCTCGCCATCGAGAATCAGGTTACGCACGCCGGGTGCAAAGGCGTTCTTGAGATGCCTCGTCAAGCTGGAGTTCTCATCCAGTAAGCCGTCGCCATAGAGATAGGTGTAGTCCTTGGCCTTTCTCGACCACCAGCGGAATCTCCGACCCCCGGGGTGGTTAGGGTCCTCCATCATGTGCATCTGCATGCGCTCGCCGTCGAGCTTCTCCTCGATCCAAAACTCGGCGTCATCTTCCGTCGGCCGTAGCAGCTCAATCATCTTTTGGAACGAGGCCGGCATCTGGAACTGGGCAAGCTGTGGCTGGAAGCACTGCATAACTGCAATGCCCGCCTCATCCTGTTCGAGTCGAAACTCGGGGTCGTAAAGCTCCCAGCATACGCGCCTGAGACTGGATGACACGCTGAAAAGAGCCTCGGCATCGGGGTGCCACAGGTATAGGAACGTCTTCTCGGTAGCGCCCACCTTCATCTGCTTCAGAATGATGCGGATGAGCCACATAAGCTCTTCCGCATTCATGCGATTGTAAAAGGTTTCAAAGATGCGGAGGTTTTCAGCTTCTCCGCTCGAGGCAGCCAGCTTATCCAGTTGATGATTGACCTCTGCAATGGTCATGTCTCCGACTTGGGTGCGCATGGGCCGTTTCGAGATGACCTCGAAGCACCGGCCCGCAAAGTCACCCGCCAGACGCGCGCCGGTTGTTTGGCCTGGCAGCTTCCAGTGCAAGAGATTGTAGCCATCTTCCGAGTTCTTGTCAATCTTCATCAATTTCACCAAAAGCTTCCCGATGGCATTCTCCTTCAGGCCGTAGACGCCGCGATCTCGATCCTTGTCCGGCAGGATGAGTCGCAAAGCAGGGTAAAAGTCATTGCCGACTTCCTTTCTCCATCTGGTGATGAACCTCTCGATGATGTGCCGCCTCTGCTCCTGAGGCGATAGCTTTGTCAGTCCATGAGGGCCCCTTTTGCTTGCGGGAATTGATGGGCCAGAAGGCTGCTTCTTGTTGTCGTTGAGGGGGTTGAACAGCTCCTTGAACAGCTCTGCGAACTTGAGCGTCTTGGAGTGGTTCCTCGGCTTATTGGGATACCTTGGCTGCTGGGTTAACGCCTGCTGCTGATGTTTTGAGATATAAGGTAGAGATAGATTTCTTACTTTTCAGCGATTTCAGCCTCCGTCATGCCACTTGTGCCATATTGCAGGTCATCCTCCCTCAGCGCGTCTTCGTCGGGGGCTTTTTCTTCCTTGGGCGTCCATCTGCTCATGTCGCGCTAGACTGAAGATTGGCTTGTTTGTTAGTGGTGATGATGGTCCAGTGAACGAAAGGACCTTGACAGAACGGAGTATCGCCGCTGAGGAGATTGGCACTGTCAATTCTTCCAGAAGGGCTCGAATTGTACGGGAAATGTGACAGGACCAGACAAAGCAATTGAATGAACGAGACGGTGAAGGAATCGCGTCGCTGCTGTGATGATGCAGCTTTAAGTACTGCTGATTCAAGGGTCAAGGCCAAAGTTGCCGTGAAGTCATTGCCTTACTAGTAGTAGGTAGGTACAGCTATCCAGAAATTGTGGGCCCGGAGCTGCTGCCTGCACGCCACCTTTTTGGGATTAGTCTACAAAGCAATCTGCCTAGCTTGCATCTGCTTATGTAACCGCGGCCAGCCTCGACTTGTTTGCTGTTACCTGCGGATCTCCAAAGCCAAGCAACTTGAGCTTCGTCTTTCGCATTCATTGCTCCATCGGGCATCTCTGGGGGCTCAAGAGCTCTGCTTGAGACAATCGCACGGGTAAAATCAATGCCACATACCGGATGCTACATGATACATGGCACAGCATGAATGCCCGATACACGCCGCGCTGTTGGTATCAGAGGGGAGATGCCGCTTCAGCTGCTCGTGCTTTTTTGGCCATCAGAAGCTGACCTAGAAGGTTGTCGACGTTGACCATTCAGCAGCTGAATTTCAATTCCATGATACGTGTCACTTCTTTGCCTGGCTCATCCGAGGACGTACAGTATGTTGCCATCTCAGCACACCCGCGGCTTGATATGGTGAGGATGGAGGCCGCGACAAAGTTGCTCGTGGCATCATGACGCTCGGGGTCAGTGCAACTCGCCCGTCAAGGCAACGCAAGGTAACCTGTCACTGGCTGTAACCAGACTCAGTCCTTGTCCCAGATTCCGAGACTGGCCTTCTCAAAGAAACAGGTCGCCAGTGTCAACATGCAGTCAAGAGGAAGGAGTTCATCTGCCAGGTGAACAGCAGGCAACGTGTTCCTTCCACACAACCATCAACAGTCATTCTTTTGTAAAGGGAGCACCCCGAGACGATTGATAGGCTCTAGAGACTTTTCTCTATATTCTACCGTTCTCCCTTCGACTCAGCACAGACATCGTTCCCCGCAGGCATATTTTACTACAGTCACCAGGAAAGGCGACGACTCTCCGACCGCAGACGTATACTCTACAATCGTTTAGCTCTCACAATCGTTAAAGACCTCGACTTGACAGCATCTCGTCCAAGTATTCCCGCGCGTAACAACACATCACCATGCGTCCAGAATATGACGACCGTCTCCCGCAAACTACCTACAGTTTCGAGGTTGAATTTCTCGTGGCACAGGAGCTGCCGGGATTCAATTACGACTCTACCTTCAACGAATACCATGGACGTCGTGAAGAGCTGCCGTGGGCATGTCCCGCCGATGCAAAGGATCCGTACGAGACCATACTGAATGAGGTCAGGGGGTTACTGCTGAAATACGGACAACCTGTGGCAATCTGTGAAGACTCCTCTGATCAGCAACCATATGCAGCAGCATATGACCCGCGGAAGGCTCGTCAGTACCTCACTGCGGATGACGAATGGTGGCATGTTGAGCCTTCAGTCACTACATATGCAAAGAGAGACAGCCCGCAGATGTATGAATGGTTTGGCGTACGGGTTCGCAGTCCAGCATCTCAAAGCAGGACCATTGTGGACAACGAAATAGAGTCACCGACAGACTGGATCCTCGGCGTTTTGACAAAGGGCCTCGTCATGCATCTCAACTCAACATGCAGATTCAACGTCCGGGTTCGGCCCTTGTCTGAAGACATTTCTCCAGTTCACGTCAAGAAGTTGGTCACACTGGTCTGGGTTCTCGAAAGGGAGCTGCTTGAGCGTCTCTGTTCCAGTTCCTACGGGCGGCCTCATCCTCACGTTCGAACGCTGTCGGCGCATTCCCGGGTCGCGAGTCACATCTGGCACGGCTCTGGAGAAAAATCACCGCCGAATGACCCCCTGGGCTCAGTCGTCACGACGCTTCATCTGCCCCAACTGCACAACAAGGAGGTTTTGGCCAGGCTTCAATTCTTGTGGCAGATGCAGTCGCTCGAAGACCTTGCCGCTGCCCTCCGTACAACCACCGGCGAGGCTACATCGTTTGCTATACAGCCTACGGGAGGGCCATTTGGTATGCCAATCTTTGAGTTCCGCTATTCCCTGTGGCACCCATTTGGCCAACTGGACGCATCCAAGCACTGGATCGAGCTTTCTGTGAAGCTTCTCCAGACGTCCATGTGGAATTCTCCAATCTTCAAAAAGAACGTCACACTACTGGATGGTATGATATACAATTTTTGGGGGAGCAACGAGCCTCCCACATATCGATGGAAGGCGCTCTTGGCAATACTGGACCTGGAGAAGTGGTCGGAGTCCTGGGAGGTCATCATCGGCCAGTACAAGGACGGTCAGCGGCTGGCCGCTCGATCGCTCGACAAGCAGAAGCTTTTACACAAGGAGCTGAAAGCGGATGGCCAAAGGAAAACGACGACATGAGCCCTATCCTCTCATTCTTTTGGATCATAGTGTGTCTTGCGGTTTTGATGACAGCGTCTGGAATTGTGGAATCGAAAAGGTAGGTCAGAATAATAAGCCTTTGCGATACGGATCTGGACATCACCAAGGGGGATAGCTAGATATTTCATCACAACTGTATCCAAGCCTTCACCAAAGCGTGGCCTTCTTTATTGTTCATTAAATATTATGGGTTTCAAATCTTTCAATATCGAGTGATGTGATATGCTGAGGTCTATCCACCATGGAGTTGATGGCAAGTGAGGTTATGATCTATGTATGTCTAGGTGAGTTCCATCGCTAGCTAGCTGCCTACCGATGCCCTCATTCATTACACGTCGTCGCATTCTGGTTCGTTTCAGGAGACGCAAACCAGAGGGCTGAATCCATCGCTCCATCGGAGCCCTCCCATGACGGCAATCATGACCGCCAGAGCGGCAGCCACGCTGCTGAAGCCGTATACGTAAGAGTGTCGCCTTTCAAGACTGCTCAGCTCGGCAACCCACGTCGAGATAGTGGTCAGACAGCCACAAAAGCCATCCTCAATGCCCTGCAGCACCTGACACCCCGCCAGCCCGCCCACGCGAGCATGAGCGATGTCCCATGCCATGCCGAGGACAGCCGTGCCGCCGACGTTGGCGGTAAAGGTACCCAGGGGAAACGACGCAATCTTGGCATTGAGGTGGATGGAGAGGTAGAAGCGCGCGAGGCAGCCCAGGGGCGCAAAGACGAGGGCGAAGAGGATCTCGCCGCGCCACCTGTTGTGCGGGGGGAAGATGGCCATGAGGACTGCGCCGAGCCAGCAGCCCCAGCCGAGGAGGACGCCGAGGGGGTCGAGGATCTTGCGGGTCACCGGGTAGGGGATGGACGGGGTGAAGCGTTCGAGGGCGATGGCGAGGTGGGCCCCTAGTATCAGGCCCGAGAGCGAGAGGGACACTGTCGTGATTGTTACGGCTAGGAGGGCCAGGAACGAGTATCCGCCGTTTCGGTCTGGTATGCCTAGACCTGGAGTGACCATTTGGTTGGACAGGGCGAGGAAGATGTCCCGGATGAAGCTTGAGAAGCTGGTGAAGCTGCCGCAAAAGCCAGTCGCCAGGCCAATGTACAGAGGAATCGTCTTTTTCGTGGCTAGATGGGCCTTTTTCGCTGCCGCCAGATCGATGTCCTGGTCGTCCTGTCCTGGGCTTCCGTCACTGTTTCCGTTTCCGTTCCCGTTTCCGTTCTCCTTTGCGCGCGCAAGCAGCTGGTCGTAGGTCGGCATCCCCCACTCATAGCGGAACAGCATCCGGTCTTCGGACAGGAAGCCCATGATGAGGCTGCCGCCGAAGTTGGCCCACAGCACGCTGAAGACGACAGGCACGCCGGGGTACGTTGTCAGCGCGGTCAAGCCCACGCGCGCGAGGGTGCCCCAGATGGCGAAGAAGACGAGGTACGAGATCGTGTAGATCTCCGTCGCCAGCCTCGACGCGTGGTGCTCCTTCTCTCCCCCTTTTGTCTCGACGGCTTCTTCGACGTCGAATTGCTCCGCCGGAGGCTGCCTCGTCTGCGAGACGCTGGATCTTCGTCGTTGACGCTCATCGCGGTCGTGACTGCGGATCTGCTCCAAGCTGCGGTGCCGGTAGATGGGCGCCTCTGTGACGTTTTCGACGGGGCTTGTGGTTGCGAGTTCGTCGAGGTTGGCCCAGTCTTCGGGGATGTCGTATGCCGGGCTCTCTACGTTGGATTGCTCCGCCGAGGAACGCGGCTGCCTCGTCCGCGAGACGCTGGATCTTCGTCGTTGGCGCTCATCGCGGTCGTGACTACGGATCTGTTCTAGGCTGTGATGCCGGTAAATTGGCGCCTCTGCGACGTTTTCCACGGGGCTTGTCGCTGCGAGTTCGTCGAGGTTGCCCCAGTCGTCGGGGATGTCGTATGCTGGGCTCTGTCCGGCGGATGAGCGTCGACGGCGGCGTGCGGGAGATGACGATGCCGATGATGATGATCTTGCTGCCGCTGCCGTGACTGGAGCCTGGCGGCCCTCAGGAATGTCGACTGGCAGCCCAGCGGTGCCGTCGTCGAGATTCTGATACGCGATGGGAGCGTTGTAACTCCTGCGGCTCGACTGCGATGCAGTTTCTGGTTCGCGCGACGGCGAAGCCATTCTTCTCGAGACTTGAACAGTCGCTGGAGGTGCTCAGCCGGGCGAGTAGACGGCGTTTGAGCCACGAAACATGGCGGAAAGGGAGGATTGGAAAGTCAATGCCTGGGGAGAAAAGATTTAACACAATGGTTTGGAGCCGAGTCGGCTACAAAGGCACGAAAGGACAGGGGAGAGGCGAGGAGCCGACATTCAGCCGCTGTCCATCGGCATCTGACATCCGAGCGGATGTCACTCGGTACCTCGGACGGTCGCCGCCTGTGTGCTCTTGAACTGGTTCGAGAGAATGATGACTTGACTGCTTGCGCCAGACAACTGAATATCCAAATATTCTAGAGTCGATGATGTTTGGCTATCCTTCTTATCATCACACTAGAAGCCACCTGAGATAAACTCGTCTTCCCTCGATCCCAGACTGTGGATTGTCTAGGTATGTATCTCTTCTGCTGCACCTTCAAATCCCGTCAGGTCAAGTGCCTTATCAGACGGACCCACCGGCGGGCCTCTCCGATACCCGATCCACGCCTGAAGAGCTGCCCATCTCCACACTCCGCAGAGCCCCGGCGTGCGCTGTGGCTCCAGCGCCGTTAGAGCGTCGCTAAGCACCGTTAGAGCACCTGCACTGCTGGAGCACCCCCCCGTTAGCACTGACCCCTCCCCCACCTTGTGCCTCTGATACGGCCTCTCCCTCTACCTAAGGTTGGTTAAGGTACATGTATCTTGCTACGTAATTTGTGCCCAGTCCGACACCTGCATCTCACCTCGACTCTATCACGTCCGCTTCTTTCTCCTCTTTCCTTAGGCCGTACCTATCAAGATTCTTTGCTTGCTCCTAGAAATCCTATATCCGTGCCGTTTCTCGCTCTCTGTTTCGTGGCTTCTCGTTCAGGCAATCTCACAGTTTCTACGTGTTACATCATTTGTCCGTCTTCAACCTCTTGACAGGTAGATACGACAGCACAACACACGCAACATCTTCCAGATACATCACCAGCCATGGCCTTGCCTTCCAACGTTCACGTCTCGCAGCATCCCAGCTTGCTGGCCAAGCTCAGCCAACTGCGATCCAAGTCTGCCAGCTCTCGCGACGTCAAGTCTCTGATCCACGAGATCTCATTAATCATTGCCTGCGAGGCCGTCAGCTCGGCTCTGAAACCAGTCAATGGCCCAAAGGTAGCCCCTCCTCCATGTCCCAGTCCGATCGAAACGTATCCATTACTCACGATGTGACAGGATCAAACTCCCCTGGGCTATGAATACACGACCGTCGTCTCTGAGCCGAACCACATCTGCATAGTCCCGATCCTCCGGTCCGGCTTGGGCATGGTTGAAGGTCAGTTTGCAAATGGCACCCAGCAGCTTCCTAAAGACAGTACATAACCTCATGACTTGCAGCCGTACAAACCATGCTTCCCGACTCCGTACCTATCCACCACCTCGGCATGTACCGCGAGCCCTCGACCCTCGACCCCGTCGAATACTACAACAACCTTCCCCGGCAAAGCCCGGGCTCTGCCGAGAGCAGCAAGCTGGCCATCATCGTCGATCCTGTCATCGCTACTGGCGGTACGTGTGCGGCAGCCATCCAGACGCTGCGCGAATGGGGTGCCAGAAGGGTGCTTGTACTGTCTGTCCTGGGGGCTGAAGAAGGTGTCCAGAGGGCTGCTGCCGAGTGGCCCGAAGGTACGGAGATTTGGATCGCGGGCGTCGACAAGGAGCTGACTGATGGGGGCATGTTGAAGCCCGGCTTGGGCGATGTTGGAGACCGTCTGTTTTTGACTATTGGCAAATAAGCAGCGCATTCTTGCTTGAACAGGTGGATATCAGAGGACCAAGTGTTTAGAAGACGGGACAACTGACTGATATATAGCGCTAGATATAGCCTTAAATGGGGACGAGTGTCGGCAGGCTTACTTGGAAGGCTCTACTGGCTTTGCTTGCCATAGGGAAATGTCTCCGGCAAGAGGAACATGTGAGAGGGCAGCAGAGGAGAGCTTTCCTAAAACATCTCCTGTGACCTTCTCGAACAATCTCCCTGACAACATGCTTTCCTTGCGCCCGCTTGATTGCTACCACGGGCTTTAGGCCCATTAATGCAAATCGTTGAAGCCCTCTGAACATTGCTGATACTCTGCTGATCCTCAGTACTTCTCTGCCATCTCCCATCATCTTTGAGGACGATACTACACAGCCGCCGAGCTTCACCATAAATACTCGACACATCATGGCTCGGAAGAAATCGCGAAAGAAGAACAAAGATAGCTCGCAAACCGAGCCGGACCCCGAGCGAGGTTCAGCCAGCAAGACGCAAGAACAGGAAAAGCCAAGCGTCTTGAAATGTGCGGCTGAATGGGTGGAGGGGGTTCAATGCCCGACTGCTGCCAAGATTGTTTGCCCAAAGTGTCACCTTGTCGCTGTAAGTAAGGAACCCGTGGTTGTACAATATCTCCTACACATCTCTTGGTATTCCCTGAAGGACCCTCGTCCTTCTCTCCCTGTCTTTCCCCCTTGATGAGAAACGTAGATATAAGTCAGTCTGACATACAATCATCAACACAGTATTGCAGCCAGGATTGCAAGAAAGAACACGCAAAAGCACACAAAGCATCATGCCCACCACCACATGTTCCTCCAACCGCAGGCATCGACGGCGCCGCGATTCCTAATCACCCCATCTTCGACACTGGAGTGTTCTGGGGCAATCATGCCGCGACTGACATCTTGAACCTGGCAGAGAATGAGGGAGCAGAGTATGATGGCTTCCTGAGGCTCCTCCTTCTCGGCCGTGAGTTCGCCCGCTCTCGTGTCTTGTCCTTCAAATATGACACTGCTGACGAGTCTAGCTTTTGGTCTGCGGCATCTCATCTATTCTGTCGCCGCCATGCCGGAGACGGCGAATCCCCTCATCAACGTTGTTATTTGCGAGACCGACTTCTCCCAACTTCTGCGGACGATCATTTCGCTGCACATTATGGTTTCGTGGAGGCAGGACCCTGAAGAGAATACTGCATTGATCGCAGAGATTGTTTCACACGTTTGGTATTCGCTCAAGTGGCCTCAAGAACTCCATTCTTACGTCAAGGATACTGTTGGAAACGGTGCGTTAGAAGCCCGCGAACATGTGCGATCTTCCCGCGACAGTGGCACTGTCCGAACTCCATCGGTCACTTTTGGCGAAGGCAGACTGCAACTGCACGCTCAGCTCGAGCCCGATGTATGGGATGCTATCGTGAATCAAATCTACCAAACCTCGTCCAAGAATGAACGTACGGCTAGAATGGCGAGGGAAACCGACGCTATGCTGTACGGTGAGCCTCTGGATAGGGTACACGCGAGGATGTCGCCCTCAAGAGCGGCAGCTTTGATGAAGTGGCGACAGGATGGTATCCTTATGCCTTATAGCAGCCCGACGGAGGCTTTTGTGAAGCCGAGCCCGTAAGTCTTGAAGATGGCTCGTGCCAAAGAAATCGGAGAGATGGGGGACTTATACTCACGCTCAACAGCATCTTCTTCAACCCTGACGGGAGCCAACCCACCGGGCTGACCAACGAACCTCTCTCCGAATGGCCCATGAAGGGAATTCTAGAGTACGCCCCGTATCCTGCGAAAGGCGACGTGTATGGCAAAATGAGTCGCTACATTCACGGCAAGATCGTTGCATTTCTAGAGCGGGTGCAGAGAAGAGAAGTCCACATACGGCTCATGGCTTGCGGCCTTACGGAGATGGTGGGAAACCTTCGCAATACTTATGAAGAAGATGCGCCCTATTTCGATCGCATAGAGGTATGTCATGTGCAGTAAACATGAAGGCAGAAGAAAGACTTGCTCACGCCTAGCGCCTCAGGTCGGACACCTCTTCGAGTTTGAGCCCGAGCTGTGTTTCTTGTCATGCGCGACTTTGCTGCGACATGCAGACGAGAACCCCCGGGCGACCATGTTGACCATGTGTCGGGAGAGCGTCGTCTCGGCAGAGTCGCCCAAGCTCGACAAGTATGTGGCTGCTGAGAAAGATCTCATTTTCCATCGAGGACTCGAGCCACTGGACGCCATTATACCACCGGCACAAGCTGCCGGCGAGAACTACAGCGCTGCCTCGTTGCCTCGACACATGGGCATCTTGCTCTTCCGCGACTGGGACATGTTCTCCTACCAGTAAGCGGTTGCTAAAGACCTGTGAAGTTTCGATATGCTACAGGATTACTGACTCTGCGGGACCGCAGCTATCTGAACGATGCAGATCGCTTTGGAGGCCGAGATCCCGGAGAGGGGTTGTCGCAGCAGCCCAAGGCCAGCTTTTTGAGAACGGGCTACATGGGTGTGCATCTGAAGCGCAACAATACGGTTGTGAGTCCGTGGCCTAATCGGTTAGTTCATGGAGCCGGCAGCAAACCATCCAAGGAAGAAGTGATGCGCTGGATGAGCTGGTCCACGACTAAACCAGAGCGGTGGCTGGAGTGGAAGAGAACAGGGGATGTCAACACCAAGGAGTGGTTGAGACACATTGAGAAAATCAGGGGGCCTTCTGTATTGGCGAACATGAAGAAGCTCTACGAAGTTCTGCTGGAGCTTGATCAAGCAAGAGATTTTGACGAAGAAGAAGAAGGAGAAGGTGGAGACGAGGTTATGGATGTCAGGGTGAAGAAGGTTGGAGTGCGTGAGGAGGAGACTGATCGAGGCTCTCATGATGCCAAGCTGGGGCCCGTCGGCCGGGGATCCTCGGACAATCAAGGCATGGCATCGGACGAAGCGGCCGAGGTCGAGGGAAAGTATTGTCCGCATATGCTCTCCACCGGACCTCGTTCACGGCGCTGGACTGCTGGTTTCTAGCCTTGTTCTGCCTTGTCGATCGATGGGCGATGAAAAACAAGGTTTGTTATGATCTCCATGACTGAGAGCCTTGGAACCAGTCGAGTCGAAATTGCTCGTGCCAATTTTGTTGATGGCCGAGGACATATTGGCCAGATGAGAGGAGGGGGCCGGCCAATGTGTCGCTGAGAATAGGTATTATTTGTGAATCTCGGCCTCGAGGTGGGATGCAGGTACCAGGCCGTTTCAAGCGACTACTTGGCAGGCAGCTTTGGAATCACAATTAGTAATGGAGAATGACTCACAAAAAGATGTGCTGCCCGATAATCCTCGTGGTTCTGAAGAAGGCCGATGGATGTTTTGAGCGGACGGACAGCCTCGTGAATTGCTGCTGCGTTACATGGTTTTCGACACGCGGTTCACGCGGAAACATCCAAGAGCACAAACATGAGAGCATCCCTAAGCGAGATTCTGATTTGGCAGCTAATGAAATGAGGGGGTTTACAGGAATGGAAGGATTCATGTGTTTGTGAGTGATATGAATGAAGGTGTGCGAGCAAGTTGAGTTGATAATAATACGGAGGGATGGTGATCCGTGGATGACATGGCGGTTGGATTGCATTGGCCTGACGTCAAGTCCGGTCTGATGCGGGTATAAATCATTCGATGGTACATGATCTGACTCAACTCGTGCCGTTATATATCGAACTTCCCCGCTCGATTCCTGATTCCTGATTTATGATATATATTCTTGAACTATTAATCTCTCGACCTGAGGGCTCAACAAGCAGCAAAGAACAATAGACAATCACTCCTCATATACGCAACAGCCATGGCTCCCGAGACGAGGCGCAGCTCCAAGACGGGCCCCGAGTACGAGCTCATCTACTGGCCCGGCATCCCCGGCCGCGGCGAAGTCGTCCGGCTGCTGTTCGAAGAGGCGGGCGTCGCCTACAAGGACACGGCCAAGGGCAGCCGCGCGGTGCCGACGGTGCTCGCCCACTCGGCGCCCGAGAGCGCGGGCGACGCCTCGAACCCGCCGACGTTTGCGCCGCCGGTGCTGAGGCACGGCGACCTGGTCATCAACCAGCTGCCCAACATCCTGCTGTACCTGGCGCCGAAGCTGGGGCTGGGACCCAGGCTGGGGCTGGTGGACGGCGGCAAGGGGGAGGTGGAGGTGTATCACCTGAACGAGCTTGCGCTGACGATCCTGGACGGGCTGCTGGCGGAGGTGCACGAGACGCATCATCCGATTGCGACGGATCAGTATTACGACGAGCAGAAGGCGGAGGCGAAGAAGAGGGCCAAGGGGTTCAGGGAGGCGAGGCTGCCCAAGTTTTTGGGGTATTTGCAGAAGGTGCTTGATGGGGAGAGGAGTGGTGGGAGCGGGTGGTTGTATGGGGAGTTTACGTATGTTGATTTGGTGCTTTTCCAGGTGAGTTTTCTTCTCTGAGCTTTCTTCTGTCGGGTGTTTTTTTTTTTCTGGTTGCTGTTGGCTTGAGTTCAATTGGAGTGGTCGATGCTGATGAGGGTTGGAATTGTGTGTGCAGTGCCTTGATGGAACAAAGTATGCGTTTCCAAAGACGGTGGAGAAGCTGAAGAAGACGGGCAAGTATGACGGCGTGTTTAAGCTGTATGAAGCTGTCAGGGAGAGGCCTAACATTAAGGCGTATCTGGAGAGTGATCGGAGGATTGCCTATGCGGATGGCATTTGGCGGTACTATCCCGAGTTGGAGGAGGATTAGTGAGGACTGAGAGGGATATGGATGGAATGCAGAGAGATGTTGGCAGGGATGATTTGATGCTGCTTGCCGGAGACACCTTGACGGTGGAGGGATGCTGTGAGCCGGCGAGAGGCGGTCTGAGGTCTCCTCGTTGGGTGCGCCATCAAGGCAAGAGATCTTGATTCCCAGGTTGCTCGCGTTACCTCAGAGTGGAAAGTTTTGGCACACATGGGCTTTTCTCTGGATGAAGTGACTGTTTGTCGTGATGTAATCTGGACCGGGTGTCTGCCGTTGAGCTGCACCCTTCCATCTGTCGATGACGTGTCCAAGAGTCTTCTACTGCTCAATGATTTCTTCACAGGTCTGAGGCGACAGAGATATAAGTGTGCTGCTTCCCCCGTCAGACGGAAGACTCTCTTTGTCTGCATCGACTGGTCACCGATCAGATTATAAACAGATACAGCCGTGTAAGTTCTCACCAACCCCTGGCTTGTTTGGCTGCAACTGATCCGTTGATTATCCATCGATCCAGTCATCGACACCAACTGCTGGGTCAGTGCAGTCGTCAGCATGAGGACAAACATATAGGGTCCTCGGAGACTCGATTGCCGACCTACCGATTACAGACAACATCACCGACTGCCTGGAGACTTTCGGAGCAGACGTACCGGGTCCCAGAGAGTAGGAACCATCCTGGCACTTGTAAGGTGTCTATAGAGCCGCCATCCTCGTCTCCCACAGCCCATATGAGATGTCGGTCGCCTGAAGAGCTGGACATGCCACAAGCGCTGGCTTCAGTGCCTCCCAGTAAGGGAGCGGGCATGGATCACAGGCGGTCTGGGCTATGATACAGCCAATTGACTGATATGTCGAGGAAATCAACCACCAAGACGAAACATACAATGTATGTTCCTTCTGAAGCCATCTTTTCACTCCGCTGTGCTGTTACATGACATGGACTGACTTGCCAATGCGGGATTCCGTAGAACGACGAGGCACCCGATCTTGTGGTGTCCTGCTACAGAGGAGTATATGCGGCCTATACCCGCGGTTCTGCTCGAGAGAGCTTCATCAACAAGGCCAGTGAGTTAATAACAAATAGCGTGTACTGCGGGCCTGTTCACAAAAGGGATACAGATGGACAGCATGACTGATGTGTGCCGAAGCAGTGACAGTCGCAGCACATATGTCTAGATGACCACCTTTTGAACCTGTCCCAGGTGAAGGAGATGCTAATTGCAGAGTCTACGTCCATGTGCAAGTATATCAACATCGCGGTCAACAACATCAACACCTTACCTCCGACATCAGCTCCTTGCTGGGCACAGGAACTTCGACCCCGGCGACCCCGACAGCAACATAGAGCCCTCAGGCAGACATCTTTTGAACTTGGCAGCTCTACGGATAACTGCAGCATGTCAGTCTTTTGGCCATACCACCCTACACAAATCAAACACTTCACCGAAATCCGGTCGTGGTATGTGTGTCACATATGCCCCGACACCTGAGGATGTTGGGCAAGGCCAACCGCCCACAACACAAGGATCGTGGGTCTAGAGCCCATTTGTTGTTGTTCTTCTTCTTCCAGAGCGAGTCTCGACCGAGACTACAAGCCTATCTAGCTCATCGTCCGACACATTCAACCCACACAACCCGAGCAATTCCCGTGGAGGGGGGGTCGTTATCCTCGAGCAAGCAACAGGGGCCGGCCTCCCAGCTGGTTCCTAGGCGTCCGCAAGCCTACAAGTGCGTCCATCTTCCAAGTTTATCGACAGAGGACAAGTTTCTGCAGCACCCATGGAAGCTCTCAGTGCTGCATTGCTCATACGCAGTAGCTCTTGGATCGAAGCAAGCATTGTGTCAAACCTTCGACCATCAACGAGCTTATTTGCCAATACAAGCTACACACAGGCCGATCTGCTGTTCAACCATCGTGACTTCTACCGAGCGTTTGCAGCCGGTCATCTTTATCCACGTTCTGCCACCCCGCCGCTGTCAAGGCAATATTGTACCCTGTCAAACGCTTTGAGACCACCGACATCTCGACAGAGTGCAAGAAGGAAGACGGCGGCGACGACAACAACGGATGATCTTCTGTGGTGGACGATCCTCTTCCGACTTCCTCGTTATCCAATTGGTTGATTGAGCAATCTCTGGATAAGGGACCAAATCCATACCAATGCAGCTGTTCTTGATATCGAGACCGCCAACGCATATGGAGCGGATCGTGGACGCAACCGCTCAAGGAAAGCTTCTTCAGGGAGGGACGGAAGAGAGGTGGACGCCGGAACGAAAGTCCCCCTCTTGAAAACGGAAGCCCTTCCCCTGGACCACCTCGAAAGAAGACGAAGATATTAATCAAGCTCATGCAGCAGTTCGTCCACGGCCCGAGCCATGGATAACCATACGCCTGCTCCACAACCCGCTTGGGTGGCAGCGGAGGAAACTGACAATGTGTCCAACAGCCCGCGGAATATCCCACCATGCGTCATCCGGGTCCCTGATCATGGGCTACGCCGCCGTGAATATTGATTGCCATTGTTTTGGCGGCACTTGGCATCGTGATCATCGCGGCATAAGCTTTAAAGACAGGAAAGAGACTGTGTTTCAGGTCGCTATCATGGAAGCAAAGAGAGCCTTTCGAGGCATAAAAGACAGACGGCCGCCGACTACGTCTGACGAGCCAGTCGACCGGACTATTACAGAAGGCTTGGTATTGAGGGTGTTGAATTGATATCTCTTTCAGGATACGTAAGTCATTCATTAACCCCATTTTCCAGCACTTGATTTCTGACAGTGTCGTAAATAGAGAGAGTCTACAACCAATAACGGAAGAACATCGACGACCTGGACACCAAATGTCGTTCCAGGCATTGACCGCATAATTCACTTCTTTGGTGCCGTTGAGATAGAAGTCGTCCCGGCCGTTTTCCGGATTACCAAACGTCCTGGCCCCCGAAGAGGCAGCATTACCACAAAATTTCGTCGACTACGCTGTGGCTGACGGCAACTGGACTGATGATATGTCGTCGACCTCTGAAGGATAGAGGTTATCTTTCCATTGCGTTTTACCTGGGGGGTAACGATATGATCTGATACAATGGTCGCTACTGAGACGCGAAGAGAACCAGCGCCCTCTGATGGGGAAGAGGGCCTTGGCCTCCTGATGATGGACGAGTCGACACATACACAACAATAGACCGGATGTCTGTCTGTTTAAAAAAGATACAAGAGGGCCTGTCGTGGGGATCGCGCTTGGCTTGAAGCATTCGCCACGAAGCCGAGCAGCATTTGCGGCTTTGTGAGATCGAGACACTCACAATTTGTCGTTTGCGTTTACAGAACAGAGCATGCAGGCAAGATGTTTTGGTCCAGGAGAGTGATATTCCACATCAGGGGAGGGCAGTTCTCAAGCTCCAGAAGAAGATTGTTCAACCTACTCGGAGACGGCAAACAATGCTACGTGCAAATAGACGGACCACGGGATACGTCTGCGATACAACAAAATTCACTTTCTCATCCAGGCGAAGCCCGCCTGCAACAGGGTCTTCAAGGACTATGTCCACAATCTATACACCGCCGTTTGGCTCTACCGCAGGAATCCTGGGAGTACTTCTGGGATAGAGCAACACACAAAGTTTCCAGAGTTTGTTGGCATCAACTGGCTGTCAAGTGGCTGCGCAAGTCTTTGGGAGATCGGACATCTGTATGCATGCGAGCAGGATGCAAGGTGCTTCGATGAAAGAGCCGCTAGGTCTTAGCCAGACCCCAAAGGCGCTGAAGGTAAGGGGCATCCATTGACTACGCAGAGGCAGGCCCTAAGTTGGAGACAGAACTATAAATGGCCAAGGAAACAGCTGGTTGAGCTCACCGAGCTTATCCTCATGGACAGAAGCGCCCTGTGCAAAGTGCTTGCCAGCCTACTAAAGTCACAACTCGATTTTGCCGTCATATTCGATCCTATCGTGACGTGCAACGCTTGCGGATATATGGGAGTCCCTCTGGGAGGACGAGTAAGAGGAAGTTGGTTATCTTCTATAAATTCCTCATAGACTCCACGTTTTCCAATCACCGGCTGTGGTTGATTGACGACGATGTGGCGGTCAGGGACACCCTATCGCAAAAGTAAACAGTCTGCAAGAGCTTCCTCTAAGGAGTACCATGACAAACAACGCTTTTGGTTTCCGAGAGTAGCAGCACATACAGTCTCACCAATCTCTCTTTGTTGGGATTGGTGCAAGAAGATGCAGCTTTTCCAGCTTGCATCATGAGATGCTACCAGACGAAGATCCGTTCGCTGGATATGGAGATTGCCAAGTCCATGACCAGCCAGTCACAGTCGACCCAAGTTCAGAGAGCGCCTCAGGTTGTCATAACAGACATGTGTTTCGGGGTGAGGAGACGCATTTATTGGTGGCTATTGGCTATCTGGAAGTAATAATTCGGCCTGCTATCGAGTCGATGGTATCTATGTAATTAACCTATTGTCGTAGGTGAATTTCGCAGGGCAACAGCATAAGAAGCAGCACATCCTGAAGTGTGCTATATCACACCTTTCTTAATTCGTGCGGGCAAGGATACAATGATGAGTTAACCCCCCGGAGAATTCTGACATGAATCAAGAAGCGAACAAACCTTAGATTCCAAGAAGACATCAACCAAATATCCATCGTAAACATCAACACAAGTGACGAAAGTAAACCATATTACACCTTTTCCAATAAAGGGCGTAATCTGGCAACATTCCATTTCAGCGAAGATCAGGCATCAGTCACACACATATTTGTGACTCGAGTTTTTCGACTATTGGTCAGGTTCGAGGAGCAACAGCGAAGCCCCCCCACGCCGCCAGAGTGTATATGCAGGGAGAAGAACAACACGCATAGGCTGGACGCATGCAATCACACATGTCTTGCGTGATTGACAGAAAAAGCAGGATAAAGACTGGAGCTTCGGGTCTGGATTCTGGCCAAGGCTTGCTGTGGCGTCCATACACGGCCTTACACGTTTGTCGACTTGCATTTCAAACGTCCCCCCTTGCTTCGACTGAGGCCGAGAAAGTTGCCGGTGATACCAGCATTTAGTTATGAGATTGTAATACATATATTACAGAATTAGTAATGTTAAACAATTTGTAGTCAGCTTCATTGTCTGCTGCTTGTAAGCCCCTGTGGCATACACCAAAGGCAACTTTTGAGACTGAACTTACCGGGGCAATTAGATACCTAGGCAGTAGTTCAAAAAGATTTCGCCGTTGAAACAACACCTAGGTAGTCTGCGTAAAAAACGGTCGCTGCTCCAATAATTACAATCGAACATCGCGAGGTGCAGCCAACAACAACAAAAAAAAAAATGTCTCTCCCCACACTCAACCACGTCTTCACAATGGCCATCACCCCCAAGCCGCCCGTCAACACCGGCGCAACCCCCCGCGGAAAAGCCAACTGGTTCGAAATCACCGGCGGCAAAATCACCGCCGACGGCGAACACATTGCCGACGTCCTCAGCGGCGGAGGAGACTACCTCACCCGCTACGTCGAGGACAATGTCGCCGAGGTCGACATGCGGCTCGTAGCCCGGGACTCTGCGGGGGACTTGCTTCGCTTCACCGTGTCTGGGTATGATTATCTTGATAGAGCTACGATGTTGGCGTTGGATGGGAGGGCTGGGGAGGAGGAGGAGGAGGAGGATGTGGGTGGTGGTGGCAGCAGCAGCAGCAGCAGCAGCAGGTCGGGTGTTGCGGAGCCTTTTGGGTTTGAGGTATTGAAGTGTACTACTGGGAGTGAGAGGTTCAGATGGTTGAATTTTGCGGTTCTGCTTGCGCGGGTCAAGTTTGTTGTGGGCGATGCGGGCATTGAGAGTGTGGTTTATACCGTCTATGAGGTGACCAACTGAGATAATCTCTACGGTGGTGCTCTTTTTGTATTGCGGAAAGCAACTCTGCGACTTCCCCAGTCAACACCGCAGCAACAACACACACAAATTGCCACCATTGATACCCCGTATTGTACATAATCACTTGAAGCGTGGAAGCTATCATGTAGCCCCCCAGGTTCTTTGCAATCCCCATTACGTACCTACAAAGTACCCAGCACCGGCTGGGCCAATGTTCACCGGCTCCGCGACCCACCTTTCCGGGTGCCGCCCGGAGGTTGCCGCCGGACATTCAACTGGTGGGCAACTTTCGAGACCCAAGGTGCTTCTATCTACTGTAACCTGCTCAACATGATGGTATACCATCGACGAAGCATGTTATAGATGTTTATTCTAGCTTATTTAGTTTTGATGTATGTAGGCTGAGTGAGCCTGTAAGTGGCTGAGTGAGCCCGGCTCGCACAAGATTGAGACAGAATCAAGGCTATATTAGCTGCGTGTATGCCTTATTGTCCGGCGCCTCTTGCTCTATAACCGACCTCCTTTACGAAAGAGAACACATGTTGCCCTCACGCAGTCTTGGCAGCATCGTACACCCTCTTCCCCTTATACCACGTCTCCCGCACTTGGGCCTTGAGCAACGACTCCGGTGTCCACTCCATATTCACGACAGCGAAATCCGCCTGCAATCCCTTCGCTAGACTTCCGGTCCATCCTTCAGCAAAGCAAGAGTATGCGCTTCCACGAGTAGCGCCCTGCATGGCTTGGCATAGGGAGAGGGCAAAATCGGGATTCACAACTGTTCGGTAGTCCTTATCACGCACAGATCGTCGAGTCGTCGCCGTGTAGAGGTTTCGCAAAACGTCCCAGGGCGCTGTAGGAGAATCCGAACCGATGGAGATGGTGGCGCCCGAGGCTGCAAAATCGCCGTATGCAAACGCTCGCCCGCAGCGGGCCGTACCCAAGAGTCCCGGCCAGGCCTTGAGAAGAGCCGGATCAGCGTGAGCGGGCTGGATGGATGCCGTGATGCCCGCAGCGGCCAACCGTGCACCGTCACCAGGGCTCGTCAGCTCAAGGTGCTCAATGCGATGGCGGCGACCTAGGGTGCCATGTTCTGACAGCGCGTCGATGGCAAGCTTAGCAGCGGCATCTCCAATGGCATGGAGGGCACACTGTAGGCCGGCTCGGTCTGCTCTGCGAACGACCGCCCCAAGGGCTTCGGGAGTCCAGATGGGATCAGTCGACACGCCTGTTGTGCAGTAAGGCTCTATCAAAGCGGCCGTGCACGAATCGACAACGCCGTCGCACATGATTTTAATGCCAACGATGCGGAAGTCTGGTGAGATTGAAGCATTGAAGCGTTGACTTAGAGCGATTGCTCGACTTAGCTCTTCTAACTCGCCATCTGTGGAATCCGTAGGTCGAATGAGCCAATGAGCCGCAATATGCAGAGGGAGCTGGCCACCCATTTCCGCGCGGACCGTCTGCAGTGCATCCCAGGCAATGTCGTCCATGGCCATTTCGACACATCCGGTGCAGCCAACAGCGTGGAGGGCCTTGATCGCATCTCGCATTGCCCCAGTCCGTTCATCGGGCGAGGCAATCTGTGCCAAATGCGGCCATACGATAAGGGTGCAGGCGGCCTCGCTGAGAAGGCCGAGCGCTCTGCCCTGGGCATCACGATGGATGGTCCCTCCGACGGGATTGGGTGCTGATTCCAGACCCATCTCCTCGATAGCTGCTGTGTTGCACCAACATGAGTGCAAATCTCTCGAGACAATGTATATGGGCCGCGGATCTAGATCATCTAGCATGAAAACATCTGCCTTTCCATTCGTCATAAACTCCATCCAGCCGCCACACAGGATGCGAGGCGCATCGGGGTGTGCTGTCGTGTAGGCCTTGATCATCTCTCGGATCTCCAGTAGACTTTGGCATCTTTCCAAGCTCAGCCGCTGTAGGGACTGGCCTAGCAGGAGAGCATGTACATGGCCGTCAATGAAGCCGGGGAGAACATGGCTGCCATCAAGATCCCGCACTGCGGCGCCTTTCGAAGCAGCTGCCGCTCGGATATCGGCGTCGTCACGGCCGACATATTCGATTGTGCCATTTTCAACAAGCATGCACTCGTGGAACATGGCATCGTCGTCGTTTCCATTGCCTTCCGAAGCCGTGAAGAACTTGCCGTTCGTGAACAGAGTGGCCGCCATGCTGTTCCTTCACCCCTCTCTTCTGCGAAGGCAACACTTGAGATATTGGCAGTAGACACTCCATTGTCCTTGCTGGCGATCTCAACAGGTCTATTTGAGGATGCCCGTAGATGCCAATGGACCCGGTTATCCAAGAGGGGACCGTTGCGGATGCCGTTGCTAGCGGAACTAATAGCCCAGGCACGTCTAACTTGGCCGGCTGTCGATAGCTCGGGAACGGTGGGGTCGAAGCGTGTCTGCGTTGTCTTGCCTTGGTTGGCACGATGTACTTCGTACAAAGCCGGCAATCGTAGGCAATCGCCGTGCATAACACGAGCATGCCCTGGCTGGGTCGTGTCTCAGACGGCGCGGGGGTGGGGGAGGGATCAACTCGAGATGGTCCCAATCGATCTGGACGTTGACTGGCCTCCAGTCAGCCAGCCCATGTTGGATGAGTCAGGCTGACAGCTGGCCCTCTGCCTCTTATCTACCCCAGCAGCCCAGCTCAGCCCAGCCCGTCTTACCCAGCCGAGCCCATCTTGCCCAGCCCAGCCCATCTTGCCCAGCCGAGCCCATCTTGCCCATGGGACCATTGGGCTAGTAACAACACATTTTCCCCAAGTTTGCCCACGTGCAACCATCTCGCCAACTTCCCACGGTCGCGTCTCCTGGTTGAGCCCCTCCATTGCACCTGTGCCTCGCACGATGTTGCCGACCAAGGGGCCGGTGAAGAGCAGGTCCAAAAGAGGCTGCTGGACGTGTCGCATCAGGCACCGCAAATGTGACGAGGGCCTTCCCATGTGCAAAGAATGCGAGAACCGCAACATCCAGTGCCACGGCTACGGTCCCAAGCCCTCGTGGCTGGACAATGAGGAGCAGGTCCGCGCCGAGTTGTCGATGGTCAAGAGGGCTGTCAAGCAGAATGCGAGGCTGCTGAACAAGGGCCCCGTCAGAGTCGCCGGGCCAGACCCTCAACTGCGGGCAATTTCATCCAAGGAGGAGCAGGAGCAGCAACAGCAGGACACTGCCGCCTCCAAGCCCAAGGAGACCCTGTGGGCCCCGTGCCCAACTCGGGAATTGCGGTATCGGGAGGCTGAGCTCATCATGCTGTACCTGGACTACATCTTCTATATCCAGTACCCGTACTACACCGATAATGCCGAGTGCGGCGGCCGTGGTTGGCTGTTCTGGCTGTTGTTGAGCAACCGTCCACTGCGACAGGCGTCGCTAACCCTGGCCGCCCTGTACCAGCGGACCAAATTCGCGCGAGGCACCGAGTTCATGGAGGCAGAATTGATTGAGTACCACACCACTGCGCTGAGTGCCATGCGACATGCCCTGTCAGAACAGGAAAGCGACCTAGCACTCGACGCGGGAGAGAAGCTCGTCAATTTCATCTCCAGCGGCTGCTGTCTCATCAGTTTCGAGGTTCGTAAAAGCCAGAGACGCTTGTGATGATTCGGTGCGACGTGGCAATTCATCATCCTAACTCTGGGCACATGACATCTAGGTGTTGCAAGGTGGCTCATTGAACTGGCAGACGCACCTTGATGCCCTCACAACCGTGGTCAGCAAGATCAAGCTGCCTCCGTTCGACGACGTGGATTATTTGCCGTCCACACAGCAGGACCCCGGCGACATCGCGGCTGTCAGGCGTGGGCTGAAGTATGCAAGACGATTCGAAATCACGAAACTGCTGTGGTTCGAAATTCTTTCAACAGCCTCCACCGGGGTGCCGCCGCGCATGCCTTACCGACCATGGCTCGACTCGCAGGAGATCCTCATGGCGGACTATGTCGGCTGCCATAACTGGGTGATGCGAGCCATTGGCGACTTGTCCATGATCCAGTTCGGCGGCGACTGTCCCGGCATAGACCAGAGACGAGAGACGCTGCTCGGCCTCGAGAAGATGCTGCGCGAGGGCATTGAAAGGTTGCGCGCAGGAAGCAAAAGGGTTTGTCCCCATTTCCTTGATTCACGCCGTTCGTTGAATCCGTTTCAGTTCTCATCCCTGATTGTGTGATGGATGGATCTGCCATCATCTGCAGCCATGCTGACAATTCCTCCACAGCCAGGCGCCCCGGTTTCGTATTACATATCGCGCGTCTTTGCAACGGGAGCCCTCGTCCTGCTGCACTTCATCTTGTCGAGCACTCACCCTGCCGAGGCCGACATCTACGGCGCTGTTGGATTCGTCATGGGCGAGCTTCGACAAGCTCCCGCACATGTTTCGCTCCGGGGCGTGGTTTGGACCATCTGCATCGCAGGGTCACTGGCGCAACCTGATCAGCAGCCATTTTTCGAGCACCTCATGACGCGGATATTGAACAAGGGGAACAAATCGCATCCCAACTTTGGCAACTGCGAGAGCGTTCAACGCATCTTGAGGCAGTGTTGGACGAAGAGACACGAGGATCCCTTGGGGGACTGGACGTGGAGAGACGCCATGGCACAGCTGGGAGACTTTCCGCTGCTTGTGTGAGTTGCTTGGCGATGGATGATTTGCTTCTGGCTTGGGACTTTTGGATGGTTAGCGATGGAGTTTCATTTGCAAGTGCGTACCTGGTAGTTTCGAGGTTTGCCCTGGTTACCTAGGTATTGTTTTTCCTTGAGGTTGTATCTGGGAGGATTTCGCTCTTGCTGTTTCTGTTGGCAGGCGTTACCTATACAGATGTGCCATGTGACTTGACGCATATCGATAGCACGGCCGGGGAAAGTGCCACCAACGCAGATTCCAGTCTCGTGGTGCCAGCACTCATGCATTTTCTTTTTTTCCTATACTTTTTTCTAGTACTTTTCAACACGATTCCCTTCTGCAACTCTAGAAACTTCTCCATCTCCTCACAAACAAGCATCGTGATCGTCCTCACCCGACACCCGCAGCCAACCTGCTAGGCCGGAAATAAGCAAGGCGCCCGTCAGAATTGCCCCAATAGGCATTCGGTTCTTCGGCACGCTAGACCACGATTGAGATCTCGCTGCTTCCAAGGAAATCTCACTCTACCAACTCCTCAGCTGCCGCTAGAGCCGTCTCACGACGTCATCTCTGCACATCAATCCTGCATCGCTCAAATCTCTGTTTCATGATCGTGGAGAATTGCTGCCAAGAGGACAAGACATATGAAAGCGCTGCTCCAGCCGCTCCTCCAAGCGAGCTCATGTTCCGCATCATCATCCGTCCGACAACACGGGAATCCAGCTCTAAGACACTTACCTAGTACCTCCTTGCCTCAAAACCATCCACGCCAAATCCACCAGTGTTACTACTTGCAATTCAATCGTCGCCTTCAAACAGTTGCGCTGAATGGCCACCCACTGTCGACCGACTCACTCAACGCAAACTGGCTCAAGCACCAACTAATAAGACATACCTGTTTTTCATGTCGAGGTAGCACGATCGTCCCGCCTCTCTTACAGAGAATGCCAGCGCGCATCTTCACCGCCGAGACATTGAACCAGAGCCGCATAAATGTCGCCACCACAGCGCGCCGGACGAGATGGCGATGCACACGGAAACACTGACCCAGAGTCTCAACTCAACGAGCCCTACAGCCATGGCAAGCCGAAAATCGACAACGACAAGGCTCATCTCCAGCCCACGTAAGCATCTCAGTGGAAAGTGGTGGCCAAGGTACAGTCGCACATCTGCTAACACTGGGCTATCCAGGCGATGGTGGTTCCTCTCCTCTGTCTTCCCCATGGTTGCTGGTACGCTAGGCCCCGTAGCCTCAGCGTTCAGTATCTGTGCTTTGGTTGCGCCATGGAGGCAGAAGCTTGTTTCAGAGGATCCCGACGAGGCCATCTACGTCGGTGATCCTGTATGGTACGCCCCCTATCCATCCACATAATTTGGGCAGTCTCACCAGCTGCTGCCCATGAAGTAGATGTTGACCTTGCGTGTTACAGGCTTACGGCGATCAACGCTGTCCAGCTGGCGATTGCCCTGATATCCAATCTGTTCCTACTCTTCAACATGGCAAGACGAATTCGTTTCGGCATTGCACAGCCCATTACCATAGTCGGATGGTAAAAGCACATCTTTCCTTCGACAGTCAAACACAACATTGCTAATGCTGCTTGTACCAGGTATTTCTCAGCCATTGTATTGGTTTGCCTGCTTTGCACTGGTGCCGGACCTCTCACTGAAGACCTCGATTTTCCGAAAGATGATCTCATATGGTCTCAATCGTTTTACTACGGCATATGGGCAGCCATTCTCTACTTCATCATTGCAACCATCATGAGCATCACCTTTTGGGGTGCCTTAAAAGGCCACTACCCCAAGGACTTCATCCTCACCATGAGCCAACGCACGCTCATGCTGCAGACAATCTCACTGCTCCTTTATCTCCACGTCGGTGCCCTCGTCTTCAGCAAAATCGAAGGATGGGGATATCTCGACACTGTGTACTGGGCAGACGTCACTCTTTTCACCGTTGGGTTCGGCGACTTTACCCCGACGACAAACCTCGGAAGGGCGTTGATGATTCCATACGCTATCGTCGGGATCATAAGCCTAGGTTTGGTCATTGGGTCTGTGAGAAACTTGACAATGGATGGCGGCAAGCGCAGGGTTCTAGCACGAATGGAGGAAAAGAGGAGGAGGAGAACTCTTCGAACCATTGCTCGAAGAGGGAACGACGACATCCTCGAGCCTATCGAAGACGGGGTCGACCTGCCACGTGAGCCCACGGATAAGAGTCTAAGCAACGAATACGAGCGGCGCAAAGCAGAATTTGCCCTCATGCGCAAAATACAAGCCATGACCTCCACGCGAAGAAAATGGATGGCCCTAGGCATATCTGCCTTTGTTTGGTTGGTATTCTGGATGGTGGGCGCCGTGGTCTTCATGCACGCAGAGAAGCGCTGGCAAGACTGGTCATACTTTGACTCTTTTTATTTCTGTTTTATTGCATATACAACCATCGGCTACGGCGACTTTACCCCAGTTTCCAACGCCGGGAAAGCCTTCTTCGTGTTCTGGTCTCTCATGGCGCTACCGACCATCACGGTGCTCATCTCGCATGCAGGGGACACTGTGGTAAAGATCATTCGCGACAGCACTATCCGGCTAGGCAATGTTACTATTCTTCCGGGCGAAGAGGATTACATGGCGAGTTTCAAGCATCTAATCAGCAGAATGACTCTCGGCAAGTTTTTCCATACCCATTACGACACCGAAACCCCCTTAGTTGTGGACTCGAAGAGACACCACCTTCAGAGGTTGGCTAGCGTGATGGAAGAGCTTAATGAAGATGATCTCTCAGAACAAGAGAGAGAAGATGCGGAAGAGTCTGAAAGGGATGAGCAGGAGGAGTTGAGAGGCCGTCCAAAGCAACCGCGCCGTGAATCGCACGCATCGAGCTTCACCACCAAAGTTCGACGTTCGCTCTCCAAGCTTCGCAATGCGGAGCACAAGCTTCCCACCGGGGCTGACTTTCATTTCTTGCTCATCTCCGAGATTCGAGCAGTTGCCAAGCACTTGAAGGAGTCGAAAACTCACAACTACAGCTTTGACGAATGGGCGTGGTATCTGAAGCTGATTGGCGAGGACGAGCACAACCCGCAAACGCACGGCAAGGCGAAGGTGAAGGGGACCAACCAGGGCAGCTCAGACACCACAGAGTCTGCCAGTGGGGAGGTTTCGAAATGGTCGTGGGTTGGCCATCGGAATCCTCTGATGGGCAGCCAGGGGGAGAGCGAATGGATACTGGAAAAGCTGGTGGAGAGGCTACAGGAGTGTTTGTCGGCGGAGAGTCGGCGGCAGAGGAAAAAGCACAAAGAACATTGAGTTGTAAGATTGGGGGATGAACTTGTCTGTATATTTTGTAACTTATCAGTGTACATGTATCATGGTTGATAGCTGATAGCACAACGATGTCAAGGAGCGATGATTTGTGATTCTGGACTGTCTTCTGAAACGGTGAGGCTCTCGACTTCACAGCTGCGTGCGACTTTCGTGGCAAGTTAATCAACGACCAAGCCGCGATGATCAACCTGTTATGCAAGGGGCTTGTTGCTCGATTGCCTGATATGGTAGCATTCTACGAACATCGCCCAAGAGGCAATTCTATTTTTACAAGCCGTGGCGGCTTAGAGCACTAGAGGACGATCAGAGGACATGATCCTCCGGGTGTCGTCATTGCTCCTAAACAGCGTCGATCCTGACTTAGGCTACTTGAAGAGTTATTTTGCTAGCTTATGCTACAATAGTCTCATTCAGTAAGAAAGAGAGTGTCAGGAACGTACGGTGCTGTCGTCGCTCTGTATAGAGGGTAAGTGTGCTCCGTTTAGGCATACAATAAGTAACTGTGCCGTGCCGTGTATGTGATACGGGACGAAGCGAACTCAGAGAGCTATCAAGATGATTAACATCCTAGTAGATATGATTTATCTCTAAAGTCTACTAAAATTCGACTCTTACGGTCCAGTCAGGCACTTAATCATCGTCTGGCTGGACATTGCTGTTGTTCCAATGCCGTGCTACAATTGTGTCGTACGGCAGCACCCAACATCCGAGGGGCTTAGCAGTTTACCAAACGTCGACTGTCCGGTTCCAGTCAATGCTTGTCCATGTATTGCCGAATGCGGTTAATAAGGCCTCAAAAGCTTATAGACAACCTTGTGTTCCCGTGCTGTGTTGGCAGGTTGCGTGGCTGAGTTGTCTGTTGTGGCTCTTTGTATATTGTATGAATGCCCTGTACCCGGCTTTGGGTATCTTGAGGGGGATAGTAGTATGGAATGGTATCGATGACACAAATTGCTTGTATTTGGTTCCCTGGCTATGGGTAAGGGGGGAACAGGGTGAACGAACCGAGGCAAGTGAAGAGTCAAGCAACATGTTGGAGTCGAGTCTAATGATGTTGAGACCATGTAAAATAGGGTATCATCCGCAGATACGGGATGGGAATAAGCAATGCAGTCGAAGTGGGCTAATAACTGGAGACTTCCGCACGTAACGAACCACAAGGTGCAAAGTTTTGACATGCGTATCGATTGATGAGGATTGGGCATGGGATTCGTTCGGTTCAGGCAGTGGGTGCATGGCATATGCTGGTATAATACTACCTTAGGTAAAAGCAAAGTTTCTCCCTCTAGAGGTCGCTTATAAGCCATAAAACAGATCATGCTACCATGAGAACTCGCAAAAAGCAATAAACTCTCCCTGGGAGGTTCATCTTGTCCCTTCTGGAAGAGCAAGCATGCGTAAGCTGTCGTTCTGAGTTGAGATCCTACACGTTACACATGATACCTTATTTATAGCAGTCAGCTCCCACTTTTTGTCAGCTGTACCATAAGCCGTCGCCCTACGCAGAACCCCCTGTCGAAGTGGCCAAAGTTCTCTTCTCCTGACAGCCTACATGTTTCTACCGCTGGCACCATTGTTTTCTACGGGCCGCTCCATGCCTCCAACCTGGTTACCTCCATTTCAGCCCAAGATGCGGAGCAGCCCGCGCAGTCATCTGTTTGCCCAGAAACGGACGAGCCGAGATTGAGCATTCTAAGCCGATCCTCACAAAGGATTCGTATCTTCAGCTTTGGTGTGGTTCCCCCGGGATCAGTCTGTGACATGTCAAGACGAGCGTTGTTGCACAAAGTCGCAGGATTGGGGTTCTGAGCCACAAGGCTACCAACAGTGTTCAACCATGTATCACGTAAAACTGCGAAACCGCTGCATCCATACACCAACCAGCCCGCAAATGCATGCGGATTTCCGTCCAACATGAAATGCTCCAGCTGTGAGTGGCCCAATTTGTACAGCGGGTGCCAACAGCTATGCGAGTTGGCGGGAGAACGCAGCTAAATAGGCAAGGCGGCGCTCCTTCGTGTCAACAGCCATCTGTATAAATAAACCAGCAGTCGGTGAAGAGCGTCATCATTATTAACACTACGAAAGTCGAATGCTACAAACGGCATCAAGCACCGACTCCGGGGATTGAGGATGGGTTGAGCAGGGCTTAGCGTTGTTGTCCGTTGCCCATGTCTTGTCACAATCAGCAGCAACTCTGTAAGTTGGGGGTCATAATAGTCAAGAGATCCCTCAACCCTGGACAACCTCATCATGCGGCACTGCCCTTTCAAGGCCCATCAGCCCTCCTACACAGACAAGGCAAATTGCGGAAATTTTGTAATACAACCCCTTCTGGGCGGATCCCGAGAGTCCACACCTAATCCTTCGGGACGTTGGGTTCAGCCGCTACTTGGCTTTCTTGGTTATGTTGTGTCAACTGTTTGTCTGCGCCTTACCGTTGCTTGTGAGCCTAGCAGGGCATGCTCCGTGTTGTTTGTTTGGCTCGGTTGGGGTCTCCCTCCGACTCAGATTCCACCCAGTCAGCACTAACATCATAGTCGACGTCTACGCCTGGGCTATCGAATCGAGGCACGGGAGAACTGTTGAAGTCGTGAATATAAGTCTACGATGCCTGGTTATGCTATTGGACTATGTTGGGCCTTGCTCTTTCTTCACCCACTGCCCAATAGCCAACCGTGGTGAACAGCAAAGACTGTTGTTCCAACAAGAAGTCAGAGATGGCGTACTTTCCCGCTCTCTGCATCGCCCTGGGCGTGCTGATGGTCGATGCCGTTCTTGAGCTGGCCTTCATCACCAGCATGGTGGCATGGCTTCACAACACCGCCAGCGGCACCTTTGCCGTCAACTTCAACGGCTCGACATTCGATCTCTACGGCGAACCGAAGCACTTCCTCGTCGACCAAGGCCATTCCAGCAACGGCGCGGCGGGAACGGCAATCGTCCTGATTGGCTTTGGGGGTATCGTCACTCTTTGGCTTCGAAGCCGGCCCAGCATACTCGGACCGAGATTCACGTCCTTGCTTTACGGCATCTGGCTCGTCATTCTCGTCTTGGGCCTGATGCTCACTGTCGGATCCCTTGGATATGTCTTTTCCGTCACGAATGCGCACAAGGGACAGACGATCGATGTGAAGATTGCCTCGACGACTGGCAACCACAAATATCCCCTCGATACGTGGACGCCGCAGAATTGGTTCGCGGCTGTGCTGAAGCTGGACCTTGCCGACGACAGCCAGAGGAGCGATATCGAAAATCACCTGCGAGTTATGCGTGGGTGGCAGTATAACCTGATTCCTCTCTTCTTGGTTCAGCTTACGACAACTGTTCTTGCTGGGTTGGAGTTTTTGGAGAGACGAAAGCATCGACCTTCTGCGGGAGAATATGGCAGCGTGGAGCGAAACAGCGGCGAGCAAAAGTTTGTTGCAACTCCTTAGAGGGTTTGCTATCCAGAGCCACGATTCTTATACACATCTTCCTTTTGTCAACGAGGGCATTTGCATCATGGGGTCTGATTGGGATACGTGCGTTGTATTGTTTGCTCTTACACGACTTGAGCGATGGCATCATTTGGCGTGGGATAAACTTCCTTGTATAACTCTAGAAAGCCTACACTATACTAATTCTTCAACTTGCTTCTTGCTCTTCATAACATCTCCTTGTATTCTGTAGAACGTAATGGCCATGTGATTGCAACATCATCATCTGTATCTATTTACCTCGATATGCTCGGCATCAATTGGGTGGAGGGCTGCATCGCGCCATGTCTTGAAAGAAGCAGAGCTTTCTGCCGCTGAAGCGCTTAATGTAGAAGCCGGCAAAGTCAGGTATACCGTTTGCCGTGACTAGTGAAATGAAGATCGAGCCTACGTTGCTTTACTATTGCCCATTCTATCTCAAGCTTCATTCGGGCTGTGTACGTATTCCCATCGCTTAGTGTGTGCTGGAACACGGAAATATTATCCAGATCAAAGTTATAGAGGAAGCAATGAAACGTTCATTGCCAGTCCTGTGATTAAATATGAAGCTAGTTGAAAATTGTAAGGAGTCTGACCATTGAGGTAACAGACAAGTATTTCTCCCAGAACGAGGCCTTGATGTTTCGACGACATTATATAAGATCTTGATAGTATATCAAAACACCCAAAGTAGTAACTCGAGACTATTATCAGACAAATACATACAAATACTACTCGTTATACTTGGTCCCAGCTCAGGTCACTTCTCCAACAGCCCCAGATAACTCTGTAAGTCATCTCGCCGTGCCGGCGTCAAGAAATGTGCGTCCAAATCACACTTCCTAGCTTCATCATATTCATGACAGAGCAGCTGCTGGACACGTTTGAGAATGATCCATGGCCATAAGAAAAAAACATATGAGGAGTCGAAGATTGACGTTCATACCTCAATATGAAGGAGTCTATGTCTACCAATATCTATCATGTCATAGTTCTCATACCGTAACGAATGAACGAATGGCTCCGTACCCAACATGCGTATACAGTCACAGAAGTCTATTGCCCTATGGCACCATTCTCCAGCCCTGCCTTTTCAATCGCTGCTCTGCTAAGACGGGTTAATTCCGCGATGAAAGCATCCATTTTCCGGAGATATTCGAGCTCATGGGTCGTGACTCGATGGATGGGCATGCTTCGAATGAGTGTTGTAGCCGACGCCAGAAGCTCCACGTCTTTCTCTGCGTATTCGTGTAGAGGATTCCGTAGGATGTTGAAGAAGATGCTCAAGAGAGCAGATACGGGATAAAAGATGAAGACCCTAGCACCTAACGTTAGGAGATATATGTCCATAGAAAGAGATCAATCATAGCATGCTTACCAGAACGCTTCGCCAGCCAGTCGGGGCGCAGTTTCCCTCAGATAGATGAGAGTCGATCGACTAGCCTCGACGGATAAGTCCAGGCTGGACTGTAAGCCAAAGATCATTTCCTTGCCGGACTCGCTCCAGTCAACCACACACCGGCCGCTGGCACAATGGATGATGTTCAAAAGATAGTGGTAGTCTAGATGAAGCTCAATATGAAGCATGCTGGTAGTCTTGTTCAGAGTATCAGCCAGCTTGACGTGTTTGCTGACGGATAGCGCAGGGGCGTATTCAGGCGGGATGGAAGCGCGCCAGTTCTCCAAGTCCTCGTCCAGCTCACGGATGGTACGGAGGAGTTCGGCATCCGACTTGCGTAGGGAACCGGCAGAGTAAAGAGCACTGACAGCCTTTGACTTGAGGAGACTCAGTCGGAGATCATTCGGCAGGAATGGCCTCTGGGAAGCGTTTGTGGCTGTCAGGGCTTCGCTGGAGAAGCGGTTTTCCAGATACTCTTGCGGAAGCGTAAGGTCACAAAACTCGTCGCTTATGATGGGGGGTTGGCCATTTCTCAGGGCCATGTCTTTGTCAAAAAGATAGCAAAGCCAGAACAGTATGCGGATCTGACGCTCCTCCAGCTCCTCAACAGTGAGTTTGCGATCTTTAGGGGGGTCGCCAACCATGGTATGGCCTCCCAAGACACAGACGGTACGGCATGCTATGGCGTGATACATGCACGCTGCTTGCAAATGACCGCAGAGTGTCTCATTAAGGAGCTAGAGAAAGTTAGACATGACCACGAAAAAGATTATCACATTCAGGACAACAATGACTCACTAGCATGACCATTACTTGTAAAGTCGTCAAGCTTGCATCCTCAACAAAGTCTGATATCATTAGCTGTGCCTGCCTTGCGCAAGCATCGGTGTCAATCAACTTGGCGGCTGCTTCGTCTCGGAAATGATGGCCGGTGACGGATAGGAAAGCAAGAACGCAAGCCTTGCTGCCAATAACATGTATTGTGGGATTCTCGTCCGGCGAGTCGTACGCTAGCCGTATGGTCTCCTGGAAAAGCTCATGATCCACAACAGGGAAGACGAGACGGAAATCATTGTATGTGAAAAGGTCAAGTAGTGCCAACGTTATGCGTTTGTCGGGAAGTGCCCCTGTCTGAGGCTGCGTCGTCTGGTTGTTGTATATATCAAAGGTTGGGGCATAGGAGGGCGTTTGATCAGTGATGTCGCTGGGTGGAGAGGTGGTGTCGTCGTTGTGGAATCGTGGCCATAGTCCAGTTCGAGAGTAGATCCATTGTTCTCCAAGTGAAGTGAAATGGGGAATACCATTCCGCGAGCAGACAGCGGCAAACTTCTGACCGGAGAACCAGACTTGGCCAAGAGGAGTGGCGCCGAGCTGTCGAGACGACGAGGACGATTGGGAATGGCCATTGGCTCTACAGATAGTGCACCGACCGTGGGTGATCTTCCGCTGATAGATGCTAGGAACGTCGGGAGAAGCTGCGGGAGAAGCTGCGGGAGGGACTGCGGGAGATGCTATAGGAGGTGCTGTAGGAGGTGCTGTAGGAGGTGCTGCAGGAGGTACATGTATCTGGGTGCCCTGCTTGATAGCCTTTGCTCTGGCGATGCCCTGCTCTATTCGCTCGAGGCGCTTGACAATGCTCTCGGTTGAGCTTCTGCCGCGGCAGTCTTTGTCAGCGGATGTACGAAAAGTCACCTCCCTAATGGGCCGTGTGACAATGTTACAAGGACTCACTTGGCCTTCTTCTTCCTGCCCCGGATTCGGTTAAGTGTGCAGTCCAGATTGTGGTGCCGGCACCAGTTGCATACTTGATCGGACTCGGATCGATCGCATTGGATCTAACACCACCCAACAGGTATCAGTGCATGGTCTTGAGCGCATACGGCACAAAACTGCTGGTAGGGCCTAAGGGTGTATAGGCTGGAGGGAGTCAAGTTTGTTGATCGGACAGGAGGAGAGGAGGTACAAGTAGAATTCCAAGTTGATGGAGATACCCTGACCATTTCCTCTCCCAGATCCAGCCTCTGGGGAGGTCCATGTGTGGCAACGCGAGAAACAAGGAAGACGGTGAATAAAATTAGGCGAAGGTATCCCCTACCTTTCGCTTATAGCAAGCGTCACAAGCACGGCGTTCTCCAACCATGTTCCGGTTACCTCCTCACCTGCTGCGTCTTGTCGTTTGTTATCGAATTGTCCAGGAGATTTCTAATCGTGCCTGATGAGCCAAGGTGGTGAACTTTGATTGCAACCGTCCTTCGTGTTCGTACATGCACAAATTATTGATTTCTTTCCCGCATCATTACACACATGTTGGAGGGTCTCGGAAGTAGTTGATGCCTGCTCTGTCATTCATCTGATAAGCCGGCATAGCCTATTCGTATCTCCCAAGTCCGAAGATGCCCGGCTTAAAGATGAGGCTCGGGGTTGTCAGTGCTGACTCAGCGGAGGTTTCGCTCAGGCGGGCCTGTCCGAGCCTGCGCTAAGCGGCGCCGAGGTGGATCAGCCACGGTTTAGCCGAGCTGATAATGCCGAGGTGACGCATGGCGTCAGACCACGATGGAAGAAACGAAGCAAAAACTGGGGCGGATCCTACAGAGCCTTTCTGATATTGCTGTCGAGATCCTGCAAGGCAGAGGTGAGCTGGACCGATCCCTTGAAGGGGGGGGGGGGGGGGGGGGGGGTTTTGCGCTGAATTCTGACACGAGCACAGGAGATTTGCCCGAGGCGGCGCGGATTGGTAATGCCACAGCTGGGAGGCCACAGAGACTTTGGGGCCGTGATGGAGATGGAGATGAAAATGGAGATGGAGATGGAGACGAGGGGAGCCGTTGATGCGCTTAGTCAAGAGCTGTAAAGCAGGGACTCACAAAGGTGACGATAGATGGCAATCAGTGGCAGCTGGTTCGTTGCCTGGAGTCTCTTATGCTAACGCTCCACGATGTTGTCCAAAGGTATACTTGACCCGAGACAACGACCGTTCGAACCAACAGCGTTGGAGCAAAGCATGGACCCCGAAGTGCCTACAAGAACCAAGTCCAGCCGCTGCCTCTGACAGACATTCATCGAAAACTGCCCCTTGTGGCATGAAGCATGTGCAAAGCAGGAGACTTGCCTGAATCATTGGACCAGTCTCAGCAAGCTGCCCAAAAGAGAAGAACCGGTACTCCGTCCCAACGGTACAATCATCATATGCCCGAAATCCGGATCCATGCGCTTTGTCCGAGTACTAGCTCGGACCTGTGGTCATGACAGATTCGGCATTACCAACCATGTGGAAAGCAGCAAACTGCCGGTTGGCACATGCGTCTTCGTGGGATACCATGACAATCCTCGCCCGTCAGAATGGGGTCCAATTCCCTATGACTAAGCGGAAGATTGACGTTGGGTCAAGGACGAGCGAAGGGCGGGAAGCCGGAACGGGCGCCAGGGGGAGAATTTAAGCTCGTGGAGACGTTCTCCGAATGCGAAGTAAACACGGGAGTTTGGCTGATAACGCTCGCTCCGCCTCCGGTGCCTCTTGGCCGCGTGGACAAGGGCCTCCCAACGCTTTGGACGTCGGATCACATTCCTCAGCCAGATCTTACGCCTCCATTGGTTGGCTCCCATCGCTCCATCCTTTCAGCTCCATCGTGGCCATGACTCTTGACTTACAGGAGAGCGCGGGCCCCGTCTCGGGCTCCTTGTCAGCGCCGAGATCCACCGGGTCAATATTTTGCTTGACACACGATACGCCTGAATCCAGAGCTCTGCGGAACACGCTTCAGCCCAGAGCTCTAAAAGGGATGCCCTCTGCCTTCGAAGCCACATTCTCCTTCTTTTCCGCATCTTGAATCTATTCCAAGACTCACTTCATCATCTTGCTTCAGTCCCTCCCTTGGTGGTATCTCGCCACTAACACGGACCTGGCATCATCATGAAGTCCACCTACGATGATACCCTCACGGACGTCAACGTGTCTGATGCAGGCAAAGACTCCGTCGACAACACATGGTCCATGAAGCAGGATGTTGTCGCCTTCCATGAGCGTGACAAGGCTTCCGGCTTTCCCCCAAGAGAGCTCGGCGTCACCTTTCAGAATCTTACGGTGCAGGGTGTCCGTGCCGATGCAGCCATTCACGAAAACGTCATTTCTCAGTTCAACATCCTAAAGTTGATCAAAGAGTCTCGCCAGAAGCCGCCTATGAGAAAGATCCTCGACAATGTCCATGGATGCGTCAAGCCGGGCGAGATGCTCCTCGTCCTCGGCCGTCCAGGAAGTGGATGCACAACGCTACTCAACATGCTGGCCAACAAACGGACTGGCTATGCCCAGGTCACGGGTGATGTTTTGTACGGATCAATGAAGGCAGAGGAGGCAAAGCGATACCGAGGCCAGATCGTCATAAATACAGAGGAAGAAATCTTCTTCCCATCGCTGACTGTGGGGCAAACCATGGACTTTGCGACGAGATTAAAGGTCCCTTACAAGTTGCCCAATGGCGTCACCAGCCAAGAACAGATCCGTCAAGAGTCACGCAACTTTCTGCTCAAGTCCATGGGCATTGAGCATACTGAAGACACCAAGGTCGGCAATGCATTCGTCAGGGGTGTCTCTGGTGGAGAACGAAAGCGAGTGTCCATCATTGAATGCCTCGCAACCAGAGGAAGCGTCTTCTGTTGGGATAACTCGACTCGCGGTCTGGATGCTAGCACGTAAGAAAGGCCATATCTGTGTAACACTTGGAGACTGTCTCACTAACATGATTCTATCAGTGCTCTCGAATGGGCCAAGGCTGTTCGAGCCATGACCGACGTCCTCGGCTTAGCCTCAATCGTCACTTTATACCAGGCCGGCAACGGCATCTACAACCTCTTCGACAAGGTGCTTGTTCTCGACGAGGGCAAAGAAATTTACTACGGCCCCATGCGCGAGGCTCGTCCGTTCATGGAGAGCTTGGGTTTCATCTGCGGCGACGGTGCCAATGTGGCTGACTACCTGACCGGTGTTACCGTACCAACCGAGAGAAAAGTCCGAGATGAGATGAAGCTGAAATTCCCTCGGACGGCTGCGGCCATTCGCGACGAGTACGAGAAGACACCGATTTTTGAACAAGCAAAAGCCGAATACGATTATCCGACCACTACAGAAGCCCAGACCAAGACCAAATTGTTCCAAGAGGGAGTGGCGCTGGAGAAATACAAAGGACTGCCGGCATCGAGCCCGTTCACTGTCAGCTTTGCCGTCCAGGTGCAGACTTGCATCAAGCGACAGTACCAGATTATCTGGGGTGACAAGGCCACCTTCTTCATCAAGCAATTCTCGACCATTGTGCAAGCTCTCATCGCTGGCTCCCTCTTTTACAATGCCCCCGACACGACTGCTGGGCTGTTTGTAAAGTCTGGTGCCTGTTTCTTCGCTTTGCTCTTCAACGCCCTGCTCTCCATGTCGGAGGTTACCGAGTCCTTCATGGGGCGGCCTGTTCTGATCAAGCACAAGTCGTTTGCCTTTTTCCATCCTGCCGCCTTCTGCATTGCTCAAATTGCGGCTGATATTCCCGTCATCTTGGTTCAGGTCTCAGGCTTCTCTGTGATTTTGTACTTTATGGTTGGTTTGACAGCCACTGCAGGCCACTTCTTTACCTTTTGGGTTATCGTTGTGGCCACTACTTTCGTAAGTCTTGTCATTGCCTGTGTTTTTCTTGGGCTTCCGTTGAGCTAACTTTATCATCAGTGTATGACGGCCATGTTCAGAGCCATCGGCGCCGCGTTCCGCACATTCGATGGCGCTTCCAAGCTCTCCGGTCTCATCATCGCTGCTACAATCATGTACAATGGCTACATGATTCAGAAGCCTCGCATGCACCCATGGTTCGTTTGGCTTTTCTGGATCGACCCAATGGCGTATGGATTCGATGCCATTCTGTCCAACGAGTTCCACGGCAAGATCATCCCCTGCGTTGGTACCAACATTGTCCCCAACGGCCCAGGCTTTACCGATCCCGGTTCGCAGGCTTGCGCTGGCGTGGGCGGCGCAGTGCCGGGGCAGACCTACGTCGATGGTGACCTGTATCTGGAATCGCTCTCCTACAGCCACTCCCACGTCTGGCGAAACTTTGGCATCATCTGGGCATGGTGGGTTCTGTTTGTGGCCATCACTGTCTTCTTCACGACCAAGTGGAAGAGCTCTTCGGAAAGCGGACCCAGTTTGGTTATTCCTCGAGAGCGATCCAAGCTCGTTCCTGCTCTACGCCAGGCTGACGTAGAAGGCCAAGTTTCGGAAAAGGAGGGCAACAATGTCAACAACCAGTCTGACAGCAACTCTTCCGACGACACCGCCGTGGCAGTTCAGGGCAATCTTATCCGTAACTCCTCAGTCTTTACCTGGAAGAATCTGTCCTATACGGTCAAGACTCCACATGGTGATCGTCTTCTCTTGGACAATGTTCAAGGTTGGGTTAAGCCTGGAAACCTGACGGCTTTGATGGGTTCTTCTGGCGCTGGAAAGACTACTCTGCTTGATGTGCTCGCCCAGCGAAAGACTGAAGGCACCATCCGAGGCTCCATCCTGGTTGACGGTCGACCGCTGCCAGTCTCCTTCCAGAGGTCTGCGGGGTACTGCGAGCAGCTTGACGTGCACGAAGCTTTCGCTACCGTGCGCGAGGCTCTCGAGTTCTCGGCACTCCTCCGACAAAGCCGCGACACGCCGCGCGAAGAGAAGCTGGCTTATGTCAACACGATTATCGACCTCTTGGAACTGCATGACATTGCTGACACGTTGATTGGTGAAGTCGGTGCCGGCTTGAGCGTTGAGCAGCGCAAACGTGTCACGATTGGTGTCGAGCTCGTCTCCAAGCCTAGCATCCTGATCTTCCTTGACGAGCCCACTTCTGGTTTGGACGGTCAGTCCGCCTTCCACACCGTTCGTTTCTTGCGGAAGCTGGCTGCCGTTGGCCAAGCTGTGCTGGTTACGATTCACCAGCCTTCTGCCCAGTTGTTCGCCCAATTCGATACCCTTTTGTTGCTCGCCAAGGGCGGCAAGACTGTCTACTTTGGAGAGATCGGTGATCAAGCAAAAGTTGTCAGGGAATACTTTGCTCGCTACGATGCCCCATGCCCCGTCGATGTCAACCCTGCTGAGCACATGATCGATGTCGTGTCTGGACAGCTCTCTCAAGGCAAGGACTGGAACGAGGTCTGGCTGTCATCGCCCGAGTATGCCAACATGACCAAGGAACTTGACCAGATCATCAGCGAGGCTGCGGCGAAGCCTCCCGGCACGGTGGACGATGGCCACGAATTCGCCACGTCTCTGTGGGAGCAGACCAAGCTTGTTACTCAGCGCATGAACGTCAGCCTGTTTCGCAACGCCGACTACGTCAACAACAAGTTTGCGCTGCACATCTTCTCTGCTCTCTTTAACGGTTTCAGTTTCTGGATGATCAAGGACTCCGTCGGCGACCTTCAGCTGAAGCTCTTCACCATCTTCAACTTCATCTTCGTTGCCCCCGGTGTTCTTGCCCAGCTGCAGCCCGTCTTCATTCACCGCCGAGACATTTTCGAGACGCGAGAGAAGAAGTCCAAGATGTACTCATGGATCGCCTTTGTGACAGCGCTTATCGTCTCGGAGATCCCGTACCTCATCATCTGTGCCGTTCTCTACTTTGTGTGCTGGTACTACACCGTGGGCTTCCCGACCGACTCCCATCGGGCTGGCGCGACCTTCTTCGTCATGCTCATGTACGAGTTCCTCTACACCGGAATGGGTCAGTTTATTGCCGCATACGCCCCGAACGAGGTTTTCGCCGTGTTGGCCAACCCTCTCGTGCTTGGAACACTCGTGTCTTTCTGCGGTGTGTTGGTCCCTTATGCGCAGATCCAAGCATTCTGGCGATACTGGATCTACTGGCTGAACCCTTTCAACTACCTCATGGGTAGCATGTTGGTCTTTGACCTTTGGGGTCAGGAGATCAAGTGCGCTCCTCATGAGTTTGCTACCTTCAACCCTCCCAATGGCACGACCTGCGGTGATTATCTTGAGAGTTACCTTGCGGCAGGACCCGGCGCAGTGGCCAATCTGATCAACCCCGATGCCACGGCCAATTGCCAAGTCTGCTCTTTCAGCAAAGGCGAGGACTATCTTCGGACTCTGAACCTGAAGGAGTACTACTACGGCTGGCGGGACGCTGCTATTGTTGTGCTCATGGTGTTCAGCTCATACTCTCTGGTGTACTTGCTCATGAAGCTCCGCACCAAGATGTCAAAGAAGGCCGAGTAAGGGGGCTTCAACTAGGAGCAATCCCACTATTCCACCCACATTGTATGCCTAAAGGTATGCATGTCTCTCATCTAGAGACAATTCTCAATTTTCATTTCCTCGCAACTCAGATATCAGATAGAAGGGGATATACAGGGTTTCATGAGCATTTTTTTTACATGTTAGATCTCTTTAGAACAATTGCTGGGTGTAGCGAAGACATGAATGGCTTTTTCATGGATCATGGTTTATCGAATACAAGTAGAAGCAAGCAGGTATCTTAGTATATGACCTGGTGGTCACTAATAACAGACATCTTTAAATTACAGAAACTATGCTTCTACCTATATTCACGTTGTAACCCAGCGCTTTTCTCGAGATCACTAGCAATCATTCATCCCATGACCAACCCCAATGCTTCTCATGCTCTTGTTCCATTCACGCTCTTAGCCTTGAGTATCATCGAATGATGCATCACCCCAAACATATCCAAAGGCCGCACAACCTCGAAACCAGCATCTTCATAAAGCGGTCGTCCTTGGGGCGTAGCCATGAGATAGCAGTCTCTGCCTGCTTTTGTAGCTTGTTCAATGCCCCATGATAAAAGGGCCCTGCCAATTCCTCTCCGTTGGTGGTTTGGATCGACGCCGATGAAGTCGAGATCTATCGCAAATCAGTCAAGCTTTTCATAAATCATCCTTCTTGTACATTCGCATAAAGAGGATGTGTAAAGACGAATCGCGTAAGAGAATTGGAACGGAAAAACACACGCCAGACGTCTTTGAGCTCTCTATCCCCAAAAGTAGCCTGATGGTCCTCCTTCAAGATACTCTGAAGTTGCGCATAAGCCTTCAAATCGGTTACGTCCGCCGGCAATTCTGCCTCCGCAGGTGTAACCATCTCCGCCTCCGTTTCCTCCTCTCCAACCGGCAGATCCCACAGCGCAAAGCCGACAATCTGGTCATTCAGAGCTGTATCAATCGCGACTATCGAAGCGGTATTCGGGCCGCGCAAACTCGCTGTTTTTCTTGACAGGCGCCATGGCAGAGCGGCTTCTCCGTCGGGAACTGTTGGAGGTTGGAGGTGCAGGGGGAAGATTTGGCGGGTGATCCAGTCGGATGCGGGATGGAATGCTTTGCTGGCGAGGGCGGCGATGAGGGGGATGTCCTGCTCTGTTGCTTTTCTTAATATGATTGTCATTTTAGGGCTCTGTGAGATTGGATTTGGAGATTGAAATGGGTCTGTTCATCAGTTAATTTCATGTAAGGAAAGAGTGAGACTGAAGGTGCGTTGTCTCTGTCTTATAACTGCACTCTTCAGCCTCGTGGGATTCGTAATGATGGGCAGGTGGATTACGAGTCTGCCGGGCAATGCCTTGCGAGCCTCTGATGCCACATTGCCGAACTCCGTATTGCATCCTGCCAAACATCTCAAGCTAAAAGTTGGCCGAGGTGACGGATGCTTGCTCGTGTAAAGCAAAGTGGGCCGACTGAGAGGAGGGGGAGAATCTGTGTAAGTCGGCCAATTTATTTTGGGGGGGGGGGGAGTAGGTGGAAATCGGAGCTGTCATAAGCAGGGAATCTCCTCATCTTACCTTCTGTCCAACGCTGGCGTCTGGATGTCTGCAACAGTCCATCTAATTCAATCGTAAAGGACAATGGAAGGTATCAGCTGAAGGCACATTGTGCGTCTTTTTCGAGCGATAACTGCCGGGGTACATTGGCGACCTATGTAGGAAACTGTCAATTTCTGTTCTACAACCTCTCGTCAACCAACTCAAGCGGTTGCCCCGAAAAAGACCACAACCTCAGCGCCTCCTAAATGTACAGCAAGGAACAGAAAATGCTTCCCAGAAACTCTCATTACAAGGGAACCGCATACGTCCACGGAAAGGCCTCGGGTCCCCTCATCGCAAGCAATCTCGAGTTGAGCTTCTGGGGCGGCGTCGATCCGCAGACGAGCCAAGTCATAGACCACCATCACCCGTTGAGCGGTGAATTCCTACAAGACGCAATTCTAGCGATTCCCAGTGGTCGCGGCTCTTGCTCCGGCAGTGGGGTTCTGCTAGAGCTGTTGCTAAGTGGCAAAGGGCCCAAGGCTCTGATATTCTCGAGAAGAGAGGACATCTTGACTCTGGGGGTTGTTGTTGCCGAGGAGATATTTGGCAGGTCTATCCCGGTGGTTGTCTTGGCGGTGACAGATTTTGAAGAGTTGCTGGCTGCTCGCTATGTGGCTGTGAATGGGGGCACGGTGTCGACTGTGCAACTTGGTGATGCGATGCACAGCCCTGAAGATGATTCAACGGAGCCCCTAGACACAACTCTTGGCCTCAGTATCGAGTTGTCAAACAAAGACTACGCATTCCTCAGCGGAGCACATGGCCAAGCCGCTCAAGCTGCCATGCGCATCATCCTGCGCATGGCGGCCATGGAGGGAGCCCGCAAGTTGATAGACATCACCCAAGTCCACATCGATGGCTGTGTCTACACAGGACCGGCATCACTCAAGTTCGCAGAAACGTTGCGTGACTGGGGCGGAAAGGTCGTCACTCCCACCACATTGAATTCCATTTTCGTCGATCAACGACGCTGGCGAGCTCAAGGCGTTCCATCGGTCTTTGGCGAAGCAGCAGAGAAGCTGGCCACGGCTTATACGGACATGGGAGCGCTGCCGACATACACTTGCGCTCCTTATCTGCTTCCCAGCGCACCGAAAAGGGGGGAGCAAGTGGCGTGGGCTGAATCAAACGCTGTGGTGTATGCGAATAGCGTGCTTGGAGCGAAGACGATGAAGTATCCGGACTTTCTTGACATATGCATTGCTCTGACGGGGCGTGCGCCCTATGGAGGATTGCATATTGAGAGTAACAGGTCGGCTTCGCTTTGTGTGGAGTTGCCTGTTCTTCAAAAGGCTGATATTGATGATTCGTTCTACCCATTGCTGGGTTATCATGTTGGCAGAATCGCAGGCAGTCGCATACCTGTCGTTGTAGGAGTTGATGTTCTGCGCCCTTCGAGAGATGATCTCAAGGCTTTCGGAGCTGCATTTGCAACCATGGCGAGTGCGCCCATGTTTCACATTGTGGGTGTGACACCGGAAGCTGCCACGCTGCAAGACGCAATAGGGAGAAGAGAAGGCGTGGAATGCATTCGTCTTGATGTGACGGAACTTCAGACAGTGTGGAGGACGCTCAACTCTGCAGAAGACAACTCACCTGTTGATCTTATATCTCTCGGAAATCCCCATTTCTCAATCGCCGAACTGAGAAGACTTGCGAGTCTTTGTCGAGGCCGGGCAAAGCATGACAAAGTTGCCGTCATGGTGACATGTGCAAGGGCCACATATGGTCTGGCAGATCAAGCAGGGCTCATCGAGGAGCTGCATCGATTTGGGGTCGAGGTTATTACCGACACTTGTTGGTGCATGATTGGGGAGCCGGTGATTCCGACGACTTCGAGGACGATTATGACCAACTCTGCAAAGTATGCGCATTATGGACCGGGCCTTACGGGAAGGAGGTTTTACTTTGGGAGCCTTGCGAGGTGTGTTGATGCCGCTTGTGATGGATACTTTGACACAAAGATGCCCGGCTTCATATCGTCATGTATACCGAAAGGAGCAGGTGTGAGGTGATGATATGACATAGATGATAGATGTAACACTTTATTGCGATAGCTCCCTTGAGAACAATCTCTGAAAGCAATATGCGATTTGCTCGATAGCTCTGACAGCCAACCCTTCTTATTCGACCTTCATGCCCCTTGAATACCACTCAACAGCAAGAGTCTTGATGCTCGTGTTCCTATCCAAAGCATCAACAGTCGCCTCAAACCTGTCCGAGCTATTGAAGAGAAGTAATGTCCTCAATGAAGCATCCTCCTCACAGTTGCTGATCACAGCCGTCTCACTCCCTTCAGCCGCCACACACTTGTCCAATATCTTTGCCAACTTCTCCTTGTCCTCATTATCGGAAGCTTTGAGCAACCGAGAAAACCGGCTCTGGACGGCACGTGTCTGTAATCCACCGATTCTATAGTGCTCAACTGCAGGCGGTCCGCTCATCAATGGCTTTGAGGCCTCGAAAAAAGGAAATGCTGCCGGGCCGGAGATGAAGGCAACGTGCGCATCTACGCTCTCCCAGACGACCAAAGAGATGGCCGTGGCACTCTCTGTGCCTGTGGTGATGATACCGCCCATGGCTGAGATCAGGCCAGGTTGAGCGAGGAGAATGGGCTCCAAGGTGGTGCGGTATACATCTTTGTATCGTTCGGGGGGGACGCTGAGGCTTGTGTACACGAGTTCCGCAACAAGGTTGTTTGAGGCCATCATTACTTGTCCAAACTCAAGTTAAGGATACGTCATGGCTTTTGAGAGAATGTGATGTAGACGAGACATTTCATGCAATCCAACTCTCGAAAATTCGTTCCACACCGTCTATATAACCATACTCAGATAAATCACAGTCGGAAAAGCGGTGCTTTTGGGTTCCTGTAAAGCCGTAGTTCTTACAGTTTCCCAGCGTTCCAAAATCTCACTCTCAGTTTCTTTGCAAGGTTAAAGTCAGTTCTCGTAGACACAAAAGAGGAAGACTGCTCATGAGGAGATCGGCAGTTAATGTAAGATAAGCGAGAAAGCCCGTAAAGGCTCAGTATAAGTACGTTACAAGTCAGCAATGATTGGTGGTGATCATCGGCGGGGTTTGTCGGTGTAAGACGAGGTGACCTGGAAACGAAGTTGCCTGGTCTGAGGTGTGTAACTCTTCTTAGGTAATTACAATACATTCATGGAAAGATTGCATCAACAGACATGCGGCTTTGTGTAATCCATAGTTGTTTGGAGAAGATGGAGTCGTCTCGTGATACCTGAGAGGTTCGCTGACCACGACAGTCTTTGGCAGATTGATATTGGCGGGTTGTCTCACATATGCTGAGGGCATCAGGCTCACGTAGGTACCTAAGCTTCTACAAGTACCGAATACATGTATAATGAAGCCGTTGATGCATACCTATGCGTGAATGCCAGAAGACATGGATCTATTGTGAGCTCAGCGCTGCGAGATGGATAATACGCACTAGATCTGTATCCGGGAATCTACGTGTACATGTATATGCCAGATGAGATCTGATATTGCCTTAGTGAAGGGACCATGACTGGCGATTGGCGCCGCATATGTAAAGCGCAGGAAATTGGTCATCTTGCCAGATATGAGTGAATAGATTCATCGGGACCGGCAGGTTTCCAGGAATTGCAGAGGAACGAATTAAATCTACCATCACTCACTGGATACTTCAGCTGATGGGGCTCTTGCGGTTTGATAGAGTCTTGCAGTCTTGCAACACGTCAAACACTGTTTGGCAGCTCCTGGGTGCTACGAGCAATTGTTTTCAAGGCCTTATTAGAGTCGTCCAAGTTTGAGATCCAGCAAACGAGTACATGTAGCATACACACATGGGCAGTCCATCTCATGCATATCAGAACATGCGCTCACCTTGTCTTGAGGACCAGCTCATGATCCGTTCACGAAGAGAGCCATTTTACGCACTTAGTCTTGTGCTGCAGGAAGAAACTAGTTCCGGGTGTTACACGACGATGCTCGTTGAATCGTGATGCTTTGCGCTGTTATACCTGTACCACTGGTCTGTCTCATGCACGTGCAACAGATCCATGGATGCGTGTGTGTGCCATGATGGACGCAAATGATGGCATCGCCAACAGGCCCACCGGCGCGGTGACACAAGGGCGATACAGGGGCGATACAGGGCCCTAGCGCTGCGCTTTAGCGGCTGCTACCCCGCAACGCCCCTGCAGGCGGGAACTTTTGGCGCTCTAGTGGTGCTGCGGTGGCGCTGCTGATAGGCTCTGGCCGCTGCAAAAGTGCGGCAGCGCCCGGGGTACCGCAGCCAGAGCAACCCGCTTGGGGCTGCCCTACATGTACCTATCTCGGAGCTCGAGCTCGTCCGTATCTACTATTGGATCGATCTCTCGACCTCGCACAACCGCAGTTGACTGCCTATCACTGAGATGCTCCATCCGTCCATGTAGGGGGCAGACAGTCGTCGTGGTGTTATCAACTCCTCCCTCCTCCCTTCGTCTTCTTTTCTCCCTCTCCTCTTCCTCTTTCTCTTCCTCTTCCCTTCGCCTTCCTTCATCCGTTCAACGACCGTCTCCTCCTCCTCCAGCACGATGCGGGGACTGGGAAACACCATGGACGAGAAAGCCGATCTCCCTCCGTACAGCGCGTCAGAGCTGCCGCCGCCAGCCTCTGGATCTGCGCGTATTCGCGGTCGGCGCGCTGCATTTCGCCGGTCCCGCGTCTTGAAGCTCTTCGGAGCCACTTGTCTGACGCTCCTGGTGGCCGGCCAATGGACGCAGATCTGGCGAGACGATGCCAAGACCCCGTTGCTATCGCTGGACAAGCTCAACGACGACCTGCAGACCTGCCAGAAGCTCAGGCACAAGCCGCAGGATCCCATCGGGCTGGGACGAGACAAGAACGCCAGATGGATTCCCGGCAGCCAGCCAACGCTCATCAAGAACGCGACCATCTGGATCGGCGAGCCTGTCGAGGGCACGAGCGAGGCGGACGCCAGAGCCGGCAAAGGCTGGGAATGGATTCAGGGCGACGTGTTGCTCGAGCATGGCCTGATCACACGGGTCGAAAACCACATCTCGTCTCAGTCGCTTCCCAAAGACACTCAGATCTTCGATGCCGCGGGACGCCAGCTGACGACAGGCATCATTGACATGCACAGCCATGCCGGTGTCGACTCTCTGCCGTATCTCAGGGGCTATGCCGATACCAACGAAGTCTCAGACGACATCACGCCCTGGGCACGATCCATTGATGCTATCAACCCTTTCGATCCTCAGATTCAAGTCATCAAGTCTGGCGGCGTCACCACCTCCCTCATTCTTCCCGGCTCCGGCAACAGCATGGGTGGTGAGGCGTTCACCATCAAGCACGCCGTTGGTCCTAACAACGGCCGCAAGGAGATCAGCGCACAGGACTTGCTGGCCGACCCTGACCGCAATTGGCGGTTCATGAAGATGGCATGTGGCGAGAACCCCAAAAGGGTGCACGGAGGCGTTGACAAGCGGCCATTTAGCCGCATGGGCGAGAGCTTCAACTTTAGACATGCCTTTGAGCAGGCTCGGGCCTTGATCCAGCGCCAGGACGACTGGTGCGACAAGGCCGATGCTATTGGCGTAGAGAATATGGAAGAGTACTTGCCACAGGAGATTTTCTGGGAATCCCTTGCTGCGGCTCTGCGTGGCCAGGTCCACATCAACACTCACTGCTATACCATTACGGATCTCGAGGCCATGGTGGATCACACAAACGAGTTCAAGTTTCCCATTCGAGCTTTTCACCATGCTCACCAAACTTATCTTGCTACTGAGGTATGTCCTTGCCAGCAGTGACGAGTTTGACAAGGCCGGAACTGACGTGTTCTTCTTTACAGATCTTGAAACGAACCTACGGAGGTCGCCCACCCGCGTCTGCCCTGTTTGCGGACAACATGTACTACAAGACCGAGGCCTATATCGCGTCTGAACATGCTGGCAAGTACCTCTATGATGCCAACCTCACCACGGTGTATGTCAGTGACAATCCCGTCCTCAATGCGCAGCACGTCCTCTTTGAGGCTGCCAAGGGATACCATTACGGACTGCCCTATCACGCCGCTCTCTCCGCCGTCACCAGCCTTCCTGCCGAGCTGCTCGGATTTGGAAACCGACTGGGCAAAGTGAAGCCTGGCTTCGACGCCGACGTCGTAGTTTGGGACAGCGACCCCTTGAGCGTCGGCGCTGCGCCCGTTCAGGTGTGGATTGACGGCACTGCCCAGTTTGAGAATCCCGTGGAGCTCCAGAAGCCTGCCAAGGGCCCCATTGTGCCTGATGAGGCGCTGGCCAATATCATCGAAGAGCCTACTGACGTCCAAGACGTTGTCTTCCATGGCATTACCAAGGTTCTTTTGAAGGACAGCCAAGCTTTCGAATCCGACGGCGAGCCTGTAGATGTCTTTGTCTCCCAAGGCAAGATTGTCTGCATCGGCCCGTGCAGCCCTGAATACGAGGCCGCCGTTAAAGCTGCCAAGGTACATGTCGAGCTGAAGAACGGCTATCTTACCAACTCCTTCACCGGCGTGGCTGGCACCATTGGCTTGAACGACATTGACGGAGAAGACGTTACGGACAACGGACCCAATCCAGTCGCTTTCTCGCGTGCTGTCGACGGCCTGCGGTTGGACAGCAAGAAGCTCAATGTTGCGGCCAAATACGGCGTGACCAAGGCCATCTCGGCACCAAAGTACTTGAGCGGCAAGTCTCACCACGGCGTCAGCGTTGGCTTCCTTACCGCCGCCAAGACGGTCGCCGAAAAGGGTGCCGTGTTTGATTCAGACGTGGCCGTGCACTACACCCTCGACCTCAGCGCTCGCAACGTCGGCAGCTATTCTGAACTGTTTGGCCTGCTGCGGCGCAAGCTCCTGGCGGCTGCTTCTCAGGACAAACCAGAGGATCCCTTCTCGGAGGTGGCCTACTTGCAAAAGGTGATTGCTGGAGAGAGCGTCTTGGCTCTGACCATTGACAACGCCGACGCTATCGCCACGGCGTTGAGGATCAAGTCCGAGGTCGAAGAGGCTACAGACTCCAAGATCAGGCTGGCCATCCTCGGCGGGTCAGAGTCTCATCTTGTCGCGGCAGAGCTGGCAGCCGCGAAGGTGGGAGTCATCCTGCTTCCTCTGCAAGCACATCCGAACAACTGGGATCAGCGCCGCTCACTTCCCGGTGCACCACTGTCGAACGGCACGACGATTGACTACCTGCTCGATGCCGGCGTCACAGTGGCAATTGGCTTGCCCGAAGACTGGTATGTGCGCGACCTGGGCTTTGAAGCCGGTACGGCCTACCACAACGGCAACGGACGGCTGAGCGAGAAGACGGCGCTGGATCTCGTCAGCGTCAACGTGCACAAGATTCTAGGAGGCAAGTTGCCAGAGGCGCAGGCAAAGGGGCATTTCATTGTCAGCGAGGGGAGCCCTCTGGAGATTGGATCGCGCATCAAGGCCGTCGGTGCGGGACGGGACAGGGTGGCTGTTTTCCAGTAGACGAGTATCAATGTATACCTAGTTGATGCTTGCCACATAACGTTGGATACTACTGTTCAGTTTTCATAGCCCCTTCAACATGCTGACATGTACTCTCTGACCAACCTCTGCATCTGCTGAGCAAATGATTAACGCCATCCACGACGTCTGTAGTAGTTTGCTGACTCTTCGCAACCGAGAAACTTGATTGAATAATAAGCTCGTTACTGCAATTATCGTCTTCTTGGGTGACGCCATCTCAGCACTACAGAAAATTACATGTACACGCAGATATGCCGTTCCGCCCTTCTTGAAACCCAGCTTAACGGCATCCAAGTGGGATTCGGAGCTCCGACGCGCGGCTATTTCCCCAGCCCGCGCGGTATTAAGACGGGAATCCAGTTGATGATTGGTCGGACGGCACATCCCACCTGTTAAGCGCGGATTTCGATCCATTTCGTGTTCCTTCAGAAGAGCAGGCGGGCATCTAGAAGCAACTCTGCAACAGACGATCACTCTGGTCCTGCATGTCCGAAGTGCCCGTCTGTTGAATTGCCGAAGTTACCACAAGGACGCGGTTCTTCTACACGGCATTCTAGTCTTTTCGTAACAATCTTAGTCAACCGGAACCTCAGAAGAAATAATATTTAAAAACAGCCACTGCCCCGGACGCAACTCTTGGAAGCTTGTATGAGCTTACACTAAAGAGCTTCACTTGATGGGATTGATCCTCAAGAGACTCGTTGCCTTGGTTGGCAGAATCGTGCTCGTCTTCATACTGTTCCGCTACGCTTCAACGTACTTTGTCGGCCGGAAAGCCGCAGGCAAGATGACGTTGGCTCCGGTGATTGCGCTTTCGCACGGCGGAGGTGAGATTGACACACACTCTCTTTGACGACTGACCACCTCCAGCTACCGTCATGATATCAGCAGCATCAAGTATAAGCCAAACTGACATGAAAGGTTTCAATAGGCCCCCTTCCTATCCTTGGTGACCCCCTTCACAAAGACATTGTCAACTCCCTCAAGAACCGCGTCCCCAAAATTCTCAAGCTCGGCACCCCCCAACAGCCCCGTGCCATTGTTCTCGTCACCGCGCACTGGTCGACAGACAAGCCGACCATTTCGTCCGCGGCGTCTCACAAGCTGCTCTACGACTACTACAACTTCCCGCCCGAGGCCTACACGCTGCAGTATCCCGCCCCAGGCCACCCTGAGGTCGCGCAGGAGGTGAAAGCCGCGCTGGAAGAGCAGGGCCTCAAGCCCGTGCTTGACGCGGAAAGAGGATGGGATCACGGCGTCTTCATCCCGATGCTGCTCGTGAACCCCGCGGCCAACGTGCCCATCGTGCAGGTCTCGGTGCTGGAATCAGAGGACCCGGAGGAGCATCTCCGGATGGGCGCCGCGTTGTCAAAGCTCCGGCAGGACAACATTGCCATTGTGGGCTCAGGGTTTGCTTCGCTGCATAATTTCCAAGCATATCATGAGCTGCGCTCCGGATCGCCCGCAAAGATAAAGTCGTGGACGGACAGGGTTGATCAGTGGAATAGGGCCCTGACGGAGGCTGTCGGCGCGGAGAGCAGGGAGGAGCGGTGGCGGAGATTGAAGGGGTGGCGCGAGCTGCCGCATGCTGATGATATGCATCCGCCGAGGAGGGGGGAGCATTTCCTGCCGCTGGTTGTGTGTGCTGGGGCGGCGCTGGAGGGGGAGAGGGCGGGTGTGTATGAGGATGAGTTTATGGGGGCTGGGATTAAGACTTATTACTGGGGGGCTGAGACGGTTGCTTAGGTTGGGGTTGATGAGTTGGTGTTGAGAGTGAAGCGTTTGCTGTTATTGGGAAAACTGCATTCTGTGTAAGAGAGTCTTGATGATGTCTTTGGTCATGGCATCTGGTTTGGTGATGATGTCTGATTCATTGTAATGGGTGATGCTACACTTTGAGCAGAAGCATCATATCTCTTACAGTGAACATATGGTGTCTCCAATCCATTGTATCAAGCAAGCAATTCATGTTGCAGACGATTGATATCAGGTAGTTGTAGATCATCACAGTTCCAGTTCGTCCTCTCCCAGTTATAGGGTAAGTCACACACGAGGTTCCCCGGTAGAAGGGCAAGTACGAACAGAGTCCCGGACTGATGTTAGTCAGCAGAATAAGGCATCATCCCTCGGTCTCGTCTGATGTCTTCCTCCTCCCAACTTCTAAGATCTCACCTATTCTAGCTCCCGTCCGATCAACCAGTTCTTATTGTTCTCACACTCTCCCTTCAAGCCATGCAATGACTAAGCGCAAAGTCCAGTGTTGAAACCGCCCAAGACTCGACGACAATAACAAGCATTGAATGGATCCAAGGCCAGCCCAGCAGCGCCTCCAAAACGGCTTGGCCAACCCTCGACCCATGCCCAAGCCTCGTTCTGGGGAAGCGAGCACCAGGGAAAGACTCGGCTAAACCAGCTCTCGCCAATGAGAAACGAGAGCAGCTGCTTGCATGCAGGGGGGCTCGAATTGATGATGGCGTCTTGGCTGGCGGTGGATGGGCCGCGGACCCCGAATGGCGCGGGACCCGAGGGGGGCGACGCATCACGCATGGACCGCATTTTCGGGCGCCGAGCCGGAGGCAGGAATTCTGCAGACGGGGTGTTGGATCAAGCTCGGACGAGGGTGAAGAACTGTGTCTTGCTGCTGCTGCTGAAATGGCATCGCCTCGTCCGTGATCAAAAGGGTGTACTGCATGTTTGTCGGGTGACGGATGGTGACCACGGCTTCATGGTGAGAGACTCGGCCGTGACGTTGTGTCAATCCGCCTAAGCTGGCAAACGACAGCATCAATCTTCAACTGGCCCTATTAATACGGCCCAATCCTGCTTCGTCTTGTCAAAAAAGCCTCAGTTGACTGCGGAACTCGCCTCGAGAGTTGACGATGACAGCCGCAGAGAACGAAAAGGCCGTGCCTGGCAGCCCGGGCTTGCATACTGTCGAGCCGGGGGCCAGCATACAGATGCAAGTCACCAAACAAGACCAAGCATCGGCGGCTCAGAAAAAGTCTGGAAGCCCATATCTCGTAAGTCATCCGAATGATATCACAAGACACGGCGTATTTCTATGCTGTTCATCCTATCATTTGCAGGGCATCAAGCTGATCTTTCACGAACGACGAATATAGAGAATCTTTGCCTACGCAGGCCCCTATGAACGCTTCCTCCTCGCCGTCTCCATCGTAGCCGCCATCGCTTCTGGTGCTGGCATTGCCATCCAGAACCTGGTCTTTGGCAGCTTCGTCACGACAATCACCGACTTCGTTACTGACCCTGCGTCAGGCGGTGCGAAGCTTCGCCATGATGCCGGCAAGTTGGCGTAAGCTCCCTTCCCGTGACAGTCAATATGTTGTTGTTCTTGTTGTATTGACACCTTGTCAAGTCTCTACTTTGTCTACATTGGCATCGCGAGATTCGTCCTCTCTTACACGTACAACGTCCTCTTGACCTACAATGCCTATCGAATCGTTCGAAACATCCGACATGCCTATCTCAGGGCAGCCCTGAGCCAGGAAGTTGCCTACTATGACCTCGGCACTAGCGGATCGATTGCCACCCAAGCAACCACCAACGGAAAGCTGATTCAGGGCGGCATTGCTGAAAAGCTCGGCCTCACTTTCCAGGGCATCTCTGCTTTCATAACCGCCTTCATTGTTGCATTCGTCACGCAATGGAAGCTGACCCTGATCTGCCTCTGTATCGCACCGACGACAATCGCCGTCATGGCCTTTGTCGGCATATCTGAAGCGGGCATCGAGACCAAGATCTTCGACATACAGGCCAAGGGCAATGCTTTTGCCGAGGGCATTCTCGGCAGCGCCCGCACTGTCCACGCCTTCGAGATGCGGTCGAGGCTCGTCAAGAAGTTTGACGAATACCTCACCGAAGCCCATAAGTACGGACGCCAGCTCTCCCCCTGGTTCGCAGGCCTCCTTTCGGTCGAATACACAATCATGTATCTGGGCTTTGGGCTTGCTTTCTGGCAGGGCGTCCACTTATTCGCCAACGGAGACATTTCCTCGTCAGGCCAGATCTTCACAGTAATATTCTCTGTTACGATTGCGACTATTAGCATTACGGCGCTGGCGCCGTATTCGATTGAGTTTGCCAGGGCTGCTTCGGGGGCTGCACAGCTATTCGAGTTGATTGACCGAAAGTCCGATATTGATCCCTTTGACGAGTCTGGAGAGAAGCCCTCGCATGTCACTGGCCATCTTGATCTTGAGCACGTCACCTTTGCATACCCTTCTCGGCCCGGGGTCACGGTCCTGGACGATTTTTCGCTGAGTGTCCCCGCTGGAAAGGTCACAGCCTTGGTGGTGAGCCCCCCCCTCTCCTCGCTTTTCACATATAGACATTCATGATACTGACATCCACTGTGCAGGGCCAAAGTGGTTCTGGAAAAAGCACAATTGTTGGCCTCATCGAGCGTTGGTACAACTGCCGGTCCGGGGTCATCAAGCTGGACGGCAAACCGATCGACCAACTCAACCTCAACTGGCTTCGGAAGAATGTCCGTCTCGTCCAACAAGAGCCCGTGTTGTTCCAAGGCTCGGCATTCGACAACATCGCCCACGGTTTGGTCGGCACAAAGTGGGAGCACGCCCCGAGAGAGGAAAAGATGATGCGAGTTCAGGAAGCGGCCAAACTTGCGTTTGCTCACGATTTCATCACGGAACTGCCGAATGGATATGATACGCAGATTGGACAGAGGGGCGGCTTACTGTCTGGAGGGCAGAAGCAGCGTGTTGCCATTGCCAGGAGCATCGTCTCTCGACCCAAGGTCCTCTTACTCGACGAAGCGACGAGCGCGCTTGATCCGCATGCTGAGGGGATTGTGCAACAGGCACTGGACAGAGCCGCTGAAGGCCGGACAACAATTGTCATCGCCCACAAGCTGGCGACGATCCGCAAGGCCGACAACATCGTCGTGATGAAGAAGGGAAAGATTGTAGAGCAGGGCACACATGCGGGCTTGATGAAGCAAAATGGAATCTATGCCCAGCTAGTGCGCATTCAGGATCTATCTGTGTCCAAGAATGAGTCCGATACTGAATTGGATGACCAAGAGGACGCGGCATCAACAGAGCACCCAGCCGATCTCGCTGAAACTCTGAGCCGATACGCCACCGGGGATCAATTGCGTCTTGAACAGCAGAAAGAGCGAGACAACTACGAAACTTACCAGAAGAAGGGACTCTTATCTGTGATTTGGAGACTTGTGGTTGAACATCCGGAGTTGAAGTGGCCATACTTCTTCACTGTCCTTGGCTGTCTCGGAGCAGGTGAGCAGACACTCTAACCCAGAGCAATGAGAGTGCAACCATTCTGACTTCAATTAGCTGGTGGTTTCCCGGGTCAGGCGATCCTGCTGTCCAGTGTTGTCGACGTCTTCACGTTGACTGGCTCGGAAATGACAAAGAAGGGAGACTTTTACGCTGCCATGTTCATCGTCCTGGCGGTTGGTTGCTTCCTCATCTACGGGTGGCTAGGATATACTACGAATGCCATCGCTCAGGTTTGCCCTCCTCTTTCGTTCCCGTTTCTTGCTCTCCGATTCAAGTCTGACTGACGTGATAGACACTATCCCACAAACTTCGACGGCAAAGCTTGAATGACATGCTCCGCCAGGACCTCCAATTCTTCGACCGCCCCGAGAACAACATCGGAGCGCTCGCCAGCCGTGTCGACGCAAACCCGCAGGCCATCCTCGAGCTCATGGGCTTCAACATTGGCCTTATCCTCGTCTCCGTCTTCAACATGCTCGCGTGCAGCATCCTAGCTGTAGCGTACAGCTGGAAAGTCGGCCTCGTGGTTGTCTTTGCCGGGTTGCCCCCGATGGTCGGATCCGGATGGTTCAAGATCCGGCTGGACATGAAGCTGGACCACGCCATCTCGGCACGGCAGTCGAAGAGCGCGGCGATTGCTTCGGAGGCTGTGAATGCGATACGGACCGTTTCGTCCCTGGCCATCGAGGAGTCCGTGCTCAAGAGTTATATGCATGAGCTGGATGAGGCGGTTGCGGGGTCGGTGAAGCCAATGTCCATCATGATGATTTGCTTTGCTTTCACGCAGTGTGTCGAGTACTTTTTCCTCGCCCTGGGGTTTTGGTATGTTGTTTTGTCGTCAGTATCTCTTCGAGTTTTGTAATACTAATGTTTGGGCCTGTGTAGGTACGGATGCCGGCTTGTCTCGTTCCAAGAGACAAGCATGCACAACTTTTACGTTGCCTTCCTGGGCGTCTTCTTCTCGGGACAAGCTGCCTCTCAGCTATTCCAGTTCTCAACAAGTGAGCAGCGATGAGCCACATACAATGTATGCGGCACAGGTCGACTAACCTTGACACTAGGTATAACCAAAGGCAAGAATGCGGCCAACTACATCTTCTGGCTCAACGGACTGCAGCCCACCGTTCAAGAAACGCCCGAGAATGCAGACCGAGGGCCGAAATCAGGCGGCCCGGTTGCACTTGACAATGTCCGCTTTTCCTATCCTCTCCGGCCAGAAGCCCCTGTCTTACGAGGCATCAACCTAGAGGTACGTAATCACACTCAAACAAAACACAAAGGGGAACAAATCATCAATCTAACATTGTCCAGATCAAAAAGGGCCAGTTCTTTGCCCTCGTCGGCGCCTCCGGCTGCGGCAAATCCACCATGATTGCCATGCTCGAACGCTTCTACGACCCCTCGACCGGCACTATCAGCATCGCTGGCGACAACCTCACCCAGCTCAACCCTCGCCTTTACCGCCGCGTCGTCTCCCTCGTCCAGCAGGAACCCGTCCTCTTCCAAGGCTCTATCCGCGAGAACATTGCCCTCGGCATCGACGAAGACGCAGCTACTTCTTCGACCTCTTCCTCATCTCCCGAAGAGACCACAGCAGTCTCTGACGCACAGATAGAAGAGGCTCTCCGCGCCGCCAACGCATGGGACTTTGTCTCCTCCTTACCTGAAGGCCTCTCCACGCCCGCTGGCCCCAACGGGACGCAGCTCTCCGGCGGCCAGCGCCAACGCATCGCCATAGCGCGCTCCCTCATCCGCAACCCAAAAGTCCTCTTGCTCGACGAAGCGACCAGTGCGCTGGACACTGAGAGCGAAAAGATTGTTCAGAGCGCCCTTGCGGAGGCGGCCAAAGAGGGAGATAGGATCACTGTTGCTGTGGCGCATAGGCTGTCGACGATTCGGGATGCGGATGCCATCTGTGTCTTTTACGGGGGAAGAATTGTCGAGATGGGGAAGCATGAGGAGTTGGTCGCGTTGGGGGGCATGTATAGGAAGATGTGTGAGGCGCAGAATATAGATGGATGAGATATTTGGCGTTTTGCTTTGGGCTCTTGATTTTGGATCTATGGATTGATTGTTTTGGCATGTATACTTAGATAGGCTTTTGCATACACTCTGCTCTTACAGCTACACATTTCGAAAAGAGACTTTGTACAGATTTAGAGAATGCGACGACTATATGCAAAAAGTGTACAAGCACCACAACTCTCGTGGCTATTTCAACACATGAAAGTCTGTGCCATTGAAACGACAGACAAGATCAAACAGTAATGGAATACTTGGTTCCCGCGGTGGTCGAGATTGGTCCATTGTATTTCGCCCCATTGACATTGAAGCTCTGCCCGTTGGCCACCCTCAGCTTCAACTGCCCTCCCCTCGTCGACGTCACAGTAGCGCTCTTGAAGCTGCCGCCCTGCCAGTCGATATCGACCTGGAAGCCACCCCTGGCCAGCAAGCCCCTGACGTTTCCAGTCGGGAGGTTGGACCCGGGGAGAGCAGGCAGCAGGTGGACGGTGCCGGTCTGGCTCTGCAGCAGCATCTCGGTCACGCCGCTGGTGAAGCCAAAGTTGCCGTCGATCTGAAAGGTCGAGCCGCCGTTGGTGTTCCACAGGTTGGGCGTGGGATAGGTGGCGAACCACGCGACAATGTGCTTCCACACGTCGGCGCCCGAGAAGAGGCGGGCGTACTGGTTCATCAGCCAGGTGCGGCTCCAGCCGGTGCTTCCCGAGCCGCTTGCGACGCGATGGTCGAGGAGGGCCTTTGCGGCGGCGCTGAGCGTGCTGTTGACGAGGGGCGAGAACTGGCTCGACGGGTGCAGGCCGTAGAGGGGCGAAAGATGGCGGTGGCCCGGGTCGGTCTCGGGATACTCGGCTCGCCACTCGAGGATCTGGCCATAGGATCCGATGCGAGGGGTGCGGATCAGAGGCAAGAAGTCAGAGGCGGCCTTGACATTGGCATCGCTGCTGGAGATGCCGAGCGCAGCAGCCGCCTCGACGATGGCGGACATGACGTCTCGCATCAGCTGGTTGTCCATCTCAGGGGCCATGTCCATGGGCTCCTGCTGGCCGGCCACGTTCGCCCCCTGGGGCACGGCGTACGTGTTCTCGGGAGACAGAGACGGACCAGTCACGCGGTTGCCCTGCCAGGTGAAGGTGTAGCACTGCAAAAACTTGGAGATGTCGAGCAGGTACGGATACGCCGTGTTGCGGAGGAAGTCGAGGTCGCCGGTGAAGCGGTACTGCTCCATCATGTGCTGGACCAGCCACGTTGCCCCCATGGGCCACATGCTGCTGGACGGGTAGTTGTCGGTGGGCGCAGGGTCGCCCCAGACGTCCAGGTTGTGGTGGAAGACGGTGCCGTTGCAGCCGTACAGCTTCTGGGCCATCTCCTGGCCGCGGGGCTGGGCGACCTTGAGCAGGTCAAAGAGCGGTAGTTGCGTCTCGATCAGGTTCGTCTGGCCGGCGGGCCACAGGTTCATCTCGGTGTTGATGTTGATGGTGAACTTTCCGCCCCAGGGAGCCGAGGTCGCGTTGTTCCAGACACCCTGCAGGTTCGGAGGCATGTCGATGGCTGCTGAAGTATCGCGAGACGAGGCAACCAGCAGATGGCGGCCGTAGTTCCACGCAAGGACGATCAGCTGAGGGTCGTTGAATGCGCTGCGGGCAGACTTGACGCGCTGGTCCGTCGGCTGGTTGGCAATGCCGTTGGGAGATGTTCCGAGATTGATGTTGGCACGGCCGAGAAGGGCGCTGCTGTCCGCAATGGCGTCGTCGTGGACCTTCTGGAAGCCCTGGGACACGGCCGTGTTGATCTTGTTGTCGACTTCAGCGGCAAGGGCGCTGGCGGTGGGATAGCGGTAGTTTGTCTCGACATCGATGAAGACATCGATGGTAGTTGCACCAGTAATGGTGAGCGTGCCACCAGAGGCGCTGACAGAGCCTAGTTGAGGGTCGTAAGTCATGAGACGCATTGAACTTCTCCAGACGAGAAATGAGAAGAGCTTTTACCTCCTTGGGGCACGAAACGAGCCTTGCCAGTGAAGAGAATGGGATTCTGGGCCTGGCCGCTGGTTCCCTGCAGAGTCACGCTGTTGACACCACCAGATGTCGAGGCGACATTGCTTAGAATGTTTGAGATGCGTGAAAACGTGGCAGACACGCTGAGAGCACCGGCCTTGCTTGCTGTGAACCGGGCCGCGATGACGCCAACAGGGGCACTGGCAACATATTCACGGCTGGACGAAGAGTCGGTGTGTCAGCACGAAGCGGTCGAATCAATCAAACATCATGAGGACTCACGTGTAAGTGACGCCGTTGAACGTGTACGAGACGCTCGAGTTGCCCTGGCGCGTGTCCAGGGAGCGGATATAGTTTGATATGCCGCTGCCATGGCCAAAGTTGAGGTTCAGGTTGCCAAAGTAGCTGAACTGCCTCTCGCCGCCAACTGCGGGCATCATCTGGCTCAGGACAAGGTTCCCGGCGTCCGTCAGATTGTTGGCGAGCAGCATCTGGCGAACCTTGGGCAGGGCTGCCAGCCCATTGGCAGGGATGCGGTTCTGCAGCGGTCCGTCCCAGAGCGTGTCCTCGTTGATGGTGATGACCTCGTTGCCGCCGCCGAAGATGGCCCCTCCGAGGCGACTGTTTCCGATGGGCAGCACGCCGGTTTCCCAGTCTGTGGCCGGGGAGGTGTACCAGAGATATCGGCTTCCGTCCAGGGCGCCGGAAGCACTCGAGGCCAGAAGCCCGACGAGGAGGGCCTGGAAGCTGAGCTTGGCCATGCTTTGGTGGTTTGATGTCAGAAGCGTTGGTCACTCCTCTGTGCATCTCCAGAGGGCATCGTGATGAGCTGGGAGACGAGAGGCCCTATATATGCTAGTTGGTGGTCGATTCCCGGAAGCTTCGTCTGCGTCGTCGTCCATTAAAGGTCATGATCGTCAACCCCCTTTGTCTCTTCCGCCGGGAGATTTGGCGGCGGCAGCGTCGCATTTCCGTCTCGTCGACGTTGTTCCGGACGGTGCGGCGCTTCTGGGTGTCAGAGCTGGGGATCACCAGTGCCGAACCCCTAGAGCTTCTGTCAACCGGTTCGCGATGCTTCCAATCCAATCAGAGAGGCATTCAATCCGACCCCAGACGATTACATTAGGGTCAAAACGGGCCGTTTATGCGGGGAGCTGGATGCGACATTGCAGATAATCTGCCCCTTGGCAATTATTGATTGTCGACCAGGGCATGGCGGAGCAGGAAAAAGGAAGAGGAGGTTGAGGCGACGGTTGAATTGAGGTTGATTGGTAGAACTGCTTGGATGGCTTCACAAGCACTAGTTATAACACGTTGTCGCAACGTGACTGAGGAGATGCCGACGGATAAATCGACGGGAGTCGCTCTCCTCCTCTTGTATGTATGTATGTGCTGGGCATAATAAAGACAGGTACTGTATGTATAAGCTGGTATTAGCTCTTGATCGCATCGTGGGCATATATGATTGGAGACTGAGTGAGCAGTGAGCACAACTAATTGCCGACTCACCCCTGTCTCTTCCCCAGATTTTCCCCCGCAAATAATACGACAAACAGGGTCACTATCTCTGTCCTGCAAACTGCTGATGGTCTATTAGAAGCCGAAAAGAACCACCGAGAATGTCGCATCGACCCCAGCGTGTTTGTGCTAAACCACTCACTCACCCATCACTAGGCCACAGGTTTTACCCGCAACATTAGGCACATTCCGAGCTGCTGCACTGATTGGTTACAGCTGCCTCTGGTGCCTTGCTTTTCTTCTTTTGCCGTGGTGAGATGTCTTCATGGATCGGCAGGGTTGATACTTCCGTCGGTAGAGAGGCGGGACAAGAGGGGCTTGAGGAGCGACGCGAACTGCTTCTCTGGTACACGTTATAGAAATGAAAAAGTTTCTCATGTGTCTTTGAGCTACAGCTTACTGTGATATTGCAGTAGGTACTAGATGGCATGTCACAACAGACAGAAGGGTATAATCAAAGAAGTTCATGTGCATGGGCGAATGAAGAACATGCAAAGCTGAATATACCCGGCGGATCACCAGTGTTACAGACCTGACCTTGGAAAATCAACCTGTAGCATGATGTTGAGCGTATGTTACGATGATGAATCCTTGTTGCAAGGAATGCTTGTGAGATTGTCGAAACCTACATGGTAAGGAGGTTGCTTTAAGCTCATATCGTCTCGGTGTAGTGGCTCGCTCATCAGAAGAGAAGAGAAGAGTGCCATGGCCACTTCACATTTTCCGATAAAGCTGGGCATCATCGGCGGTCTGTAAGAGTGCAGTAAGACAACCAAGACAAGAAGTCAGGAAGATGGTTAACCCTCTCTTCGCTGCTACTATTCTTGTCAAACAGCTTAGTACTAGCCATCCGTCGTCTGTCGATATAGCTCGATCGATGATTTGGAACTTCAGATTGCCAACGATACACTGATAAAAGATCCATAAGCCTGCGCATCTCGGTCTCAGAATCTAAACGGCACCTTAAGGCTTCAACGGCTCTGCATGTCTCGTTCATGATGCCCACATGCCCACCGTTACCCCCATCAGCAAGGGAGACGAGCTGCAGATTTCGGAGCATCCGCAAACTATCCGAGACAAAGACCCATACCTCAGCTCGACGGTAAGCTGTCTTGAAAAAGCTTATCGGAACCACTCTCTGAATCAGCTGTCTCACAATTCTGTTTGACGCAGATCATGGGCAAAAATTCTCCGTAAAACGTCCATAAGGTTCCCTTCTCAGCTTACTCGAGGAGCAACAGACCGAACAACCGCATCGTCCGAAAACCCGCATCGTCCGAGAAGATGAAGACGGCCAGCTTGTACGACACTACCCTCGCCGTCAAACTAATCCATAAGGGAGATTTTGGGGATTCACAAGCAATGCGGCTGATGGACATGGCTGTCGTTCGGCCAGTTTCTTGATCCGGACATATCAAACTACGGAGGAATATGATTCTTTTTGTGGCACCATGATGCCTCTAATTCTTGGCAAGGCGGTGTCCGATTGTCTTTCAAGCCATCTTCTCTTTCTCGTGAGCAGACGAGCAAGATTCTTAGACCCTTATTTCCCTTTAGTTTCTCTGCGCCTCTCTCTCAGACTTGGACCCCGAAAAAGAAAGCTCCCGAAGTCCGGTCAACTTGGCAACAACTAGTCGCCTTCAGCTCTCCTGTCAAGCTTTGTAGTAAACCGGTCCGCGTCCCCTTTGGAATTGTGGCAATGGACGCTTCGTCGATCTCGTGTGTGCACTAAGACCAAGCCCAAGCAAGCCTCCTTCAAGGTAATCCGGCCCTTTTGTCTTCTCCTTGTATGAGAAGCCTCAACTGGCATTCCTCAGATCTCACGATGAGAGGTTGCCACAACTTGACCAGAAATGATAAAACTCAATCCCGTTAGCTGTACCAATACTGAGCAGTGTGTGTAGGACTCGTCCAAGCCAGTCCGGACCCCCAAGAAGAAGAGCGACTCCGCCTCCACCAAAAGGCGTATAGAAAATGGCGTCCACTAAAGCATACGCCAATGCATCCGTACAGCCGTCTGACAGACACGAGAAAGACATGAACAGAAACAGCAGCAAGCAGAATAAGGCATCAAGAAAGAAAAGAAAAATAAAAAAATCCTGCAGGATCCGAAAGATCCAGTTCGAGACCCTCTTGCGGCCGACAGACCGGGCGAAGCACAAAGCCAAACCTGTGAGGTAACCTCCGATGATCCGCGCATCGATTGCATATACTCGCTCTTACAGTTACGCCGTATTACTTTTGTTCACCAGCAAAAGAAGAAAATTGTAATAACAGAAAAAAAGAAAATAGAAGATAGATAAAATCACACGACCTTGATTGCAGTAGTGTTTCTCGTATAATAGGGCTGGCGGGAAGGCCTCAATGCCTTTTCAGGCTGCGATTGACACCAAGAAACGATCCTTTCCGTCACCCATTGGACCACCTGCTGCACGTATGGGCAGACAATTTTCATGACTTTTCTGTTGCTTTTTTTAGGCGTCCATCCATTTAGAGCCAATCCTGAGCCGTCCCAGTGGCTGGACCCCTTCAGCCGCACGTCGCCCTGCGTTAGCTGAACGAATCCCGAGCCGCGGGACAGTTGGCATTTGATTTTCTATTATGTATTATCATCGTTCATTAATATCGATTATTCCTTTTTCTCTGCTTATGGGGTAAATGCGGGACTAAGACGGAAATGGATCTCATACGTAGTTGACTTGCTCTCTGCAGTATTAATGGAGTAAAGGATGAATCTCAGCCGAGCCGAGGATCCGTCACCAAGAAAGACAAACCACCACCACCTCAGCAAGAAAATCAGCCTTCACGATCCCGAAGCAGATGTCGCTCACGGTGACGCTCATCAATCCTCTCACTGTCCATGCCGATCAATTCGTATTCCCAGGCTCTAGAGGCTCTCTCTCTCTCTCTCTTTCTAAACGGAATGCTTCTCCTCCTCCCATCTCTACCCAGCTGTGTGTGCATGTAAGTTGCTGATGCTCAATACACATACATACAGTGCGTAAGCTTAAAACCCAACAAACACCAAGCTCCAATCTGAAATACTACATGTCAAAATCGAGCAAACCCGGCCGACATCCCGGACCTCCCAGCTCTACTAGCTTCAATCTTAATGGAACAACTGGGCACTGCCCACACCCCATGCCGGGCCAAGACCACACGATTCTTAGTTTTCTGAAGCTATTTCATGTACGTCGCGGGTTAGCAAAGGCTGTAACTGGTCCAGAGAGTAAGCGGCACTTCGTATTCGAGCAGGAGGCTTTTTCGTATAGCGTCCACGATACGAAAGGATCAGGCAAGCCACCTACGTCCCCCCTTGTCCCGAGACAACACATGATATTGTCATGGTCTCGGCTGAGATGTATGTTTTTCTCTTACGCATCGAATCCTGAGGGCTTCACCAATAGGTCCTTTGGTACTTTCCAAGAAACGCCAGAGGCATGCGTGTGTCAACTTGGAGGGTAGAGGCAGATCTTGTGTAAAGATTCGGGGTATATAAAGACGACAAGATCTGCCCCGGATTCTCCAAGTCTCACTCCCATCATCAGCACACAAAGCATCCAGATCTCTCTACACATCTCGAACCAAGACAGAACAACAACATCAGTCTTTTCAGACAGACAAAAACCTTTCACAATGAAGTTCACAGCCGTTGCCTTCGCCGCTCTCGCCACCTTGGCCACTGCCAGCCCTCACCCTCCTCCTCCTCCTCCTCCCCACGGCTGCAAGCCCGCTACCTACTCTTGCCTTCCTCACGACAATGGCTGGCAAGTCTGCAGCACTGCCGGACAATGGGTCGTAAGTATACCTACACTCCTCGTCGTCTACAATACAACCAGAAGACATTTTCACGGTGGTCTTAACACACAAATGTCTTGATAGTTTGCCGGCAACTGCCCTCCCAAGACCATCTGCAAGTTCGACAAGGAGAACGGCAGCCCCTACTGCGTTCCCCCGGGATTCACCATCCCCTAAATTCAATCAACTCAACATACGAGCGACACGCCAAAAGGCTTGAGAGTTTGTGGAGACGAAAAAAGCCTGCTGGATGATCATGAGATTCTAGAGAGAGATCTTGATTGATGCGAAGATGCTTTGTGGCTTGTCTAACTGCCCTGCAAATCATTTTCTGGACATACATTTTCTTTTTACATACAAACAAACATATGGGTCACTCCTTTGATGGAAGGAACATGGACGTAGCTCACTAGCTATTATATGAAAAGCAATAAATTGTGTAACCAAACTAAATGTCTCATGATGTGATGGGAGGAGCCAGGTTCTTTATACCTTGCTTGTCTGGAGCTTTTGTCATACCGGGGAGGCTAAGATAACTAAATACGAGGTTGTAAGCAGAGGAGGTTGTTAGCAGAGGAGCTGGCAGTGCGGGAAGACAGTCAGCTACAATAGCTTCGGGAACGAATTATAAGCTCATGCCTATGCCTGGGATCTTGAGACGTAACATTTCATTCACTCTCATCGTTGTGAGTGTCTCGGTATACATGTTAGTAGACAATATGTGCTGTTACTGGAATTCTTATACTCAACACATAGGTCAGTTGATTTTACGTTCAGTAAAGCTACCGGGTCATGCCATGATGATGGAAGAACGACAGATATATAGCATCTTACAGAAAATGGTTACATGATACATCTGACATAAAGAACATTGCCATCATCACAAAGGTACGCATCCCAGATACCTAGGGTCGGAATGGGACAATGTGCATAAAGAGGTTACAATCATACTATAGAGCTCAACATTGTATAGGAAGAGGGAGGTAATCAGACCTTCAGTCTTGTTGAGCGACACCCGGGATATCATATAACAGAAACACCATCAACGCTTACAACATGAATAAAGCCAGAATGGCACAAGATATTACGATACTACGCTAAGTGCCAATTCCCTTACATAAAGCATCAAACGCGTGATTATCCCACTCGCTTCATCAACACCCAAGCTTCTTTCGGAGCTCTTCCAAGTCCCGTAGGTCTTCCAAAGCCCGTACCTGATTCCGGATTCCATCATTTTCTTCCATCCACTGCCTCAGCACATGAATACCAGTATCGGCTCTGGATACCCAATTCTTATTCAGGATATTTTGAGCGTGGTGCGAAAGGGAAACCGCCACCAAGATGACCACACTCCGAGCACAGGACTGCAATAGCACCCAGGTTCTCTCATTGCGGTGCTTTTGGCCTACCACTGCCAAGCGGATGCGATTCAAGCATGTTAGGGCCCCCAAACCCGCAAAAGTATAGACGTATTGCGGTAGCCTATCCTTGCCGCTGTTGATTGCAGCCTCAAGAAAAGCCCAGAACAAAAGCTCCCTGAAGTCCAACAAACGGCAGCTGAGAGTAAAACTGTGAATATCAAGGTCGGAGGCCTTTTTCATAACGGAAATTTCTTGAGGCAATGAGGCAAGCCACTCGTTTGCCTGTTTAACGTAGGAGACAACCGCCTCGAGCAAACGAACCTCTCGAAATCCATCGTCGCCCTCTGAAGACGACAAGATCTGCCCGATATCGTTGCGTGCTCTGGTAGTCAGCTTCAGGATAGCAATTTCGGCCGAACAGAAAAGCCGGACTTTCATATCCACGTACAGGTTCACTGATACGTCAGGAAGGGATTGGGTATTGACACGATCCTGCGTCTGAAAGTCCAAAGGCCCAAGACACAAGCGCAGATCCATCTCGGCTTTCCAACAGGCCCAGTATAGATTCACCTCCTCAGGCGATGGCTTGTGGCCCGTTGCTGTCTCTTGCGCCTTCACTGATCCTTGTACGGCGACGTCGAACTCCTGGCAGTAGGCCAGGGCCTGTAAGAAGTGCCTCCACGCCTTGACCGGCTGCATCATATACATGAGATAAACACCGGCGTAGAATAAGCATTGTGCAGGAATAATGCCACCTTCGGCAAAGACAATTCTAAGCCTTTTCGAGGCCAAATCAAAGAGTGCCGACCCCATCTCCGAATACGCTTTGTCGTCGTTACACTCAAACTTGGGAAAGGATTTCGAAATAGCACCTAGGGCCCAGACAAGCAGCATCAGACAAGATTCCGAGTCCTACTCGATGCCTGCTGAGTAGACCTGATAGGCCCTGCTTCTGAGGCTCAGAACATCTAGGAGAGGGCTTTTGATATGGACTTTGTAGAGGAAGCCAAGGACGAGCCTATCAGCGAGATGGGGATCGCTCAAAAAACGATCCAGACCAGACACAGACGGCTGGCGTCGCTCCGGATGCTTTTGCGGAAGCACAGACATGTCTTTGGCTTGCTGGTCGAATTGACCGGCGAAGACTGGCCAGCTGAGGACATTGACCGAGTCGATCTGTAGAGAGCGGTAGCGGGGTCGTTCGCCGGCCGGGCCTTGATTTTGAAGGGCAGACTCTTGCGCACTCGTAGCATTGCTGCCAGCGATGTTATTGTAGCTGCTGTTTGGCCCCGTCAGACTTTGAGCCTGTAAACCAGGGTTGGGCCCATCCTCAGTCTCCATGGTGATATCGACATCTGTCCTCGAGGTCCTCAGATCCTCGAATGGCCTCACACAATGAAGGCCCATTTGCAGGCAACGCAAACAAGTCGTCCCATGGGACACGCATTCAGCTTTTGCGACGTAGCATCCTTCACAACTTGTGCCTTGCTGGCCCGCCTCTCTTCGAAAGGTGGGCAATTCTCTGTCGTCCGGCTGAGATAACTCCATCGTGGAATGCTGAAAGGGATTGTTTAAGAACTCGGCGTTTTCATGGTGAGTGGTCTTTAGAGTAGGAGCTGTCAAGGTAGTATCTGTGTCAGCGCAGAGCATCGTTGAGGACAGTAAACCGCAGGAGAATCTGATGCAAGTCATACTTGTGAAGCTCATTGAATCCTTCGTCTGAGTTGGTAATATGGAGAAAAGAGAGCCTCAAAGTAGCAAAGGGAATAGTGATACGGATATTGGTAGTGGATCTACTATGTGTGGCTTCACAAAGTCATGTTGTTTCTTCCAAGTTCTCGCCAGGTCAGCGCAGCACCTACCTGCTTGCCCACGGCCTGCAGTGAACACGTGCCAACGCCTCCTTCCACGCGACTTCCCACCTTCATGCTGTTTGAGGTATCTTCGTCTCGCTGCAAACTGACTTCTTCTCCACCTGAAGGGTTATGTGAGAGAAAGAGCAGAGAATAACACGACTCGCTTCACAAGTCCATGGAGACTGTCACAGCCTTGCCGCCGTAGGACATGCACGCTCAGTCACTGCCTGGCAAGGCAAAATGGTGAACAGCCCCTACTCTAGAGGCTGAGAACCAACACATATTCGAATTCTTGATCGGTTCCAGGGCCTTATGATAATCTTACCTTGAGACTGTGTTGGAGGATTGGAGCTCAGCGGATTGCAGATGGCAGATGGCCTCATGTATTTAAGATCGCCAGAAAAGGCGAAAGGGGACAAAGGAATTCTATCCTCAAGTAATGCAGTACTAGTACTCTCATGTCTTCATGTGAATTACCAAGAGTCCCCATGTTCTCTGTATCTAATTTACCTAAAACCCCGAGCAACAAAGATAAATGCCTGGATGCTTATCATCGCAACATGAAGGAGGTCAAGCTTCAGCCTTAAGCCGCAGCCCAGCCAAGGCGGATCTCCGACACCCGCACTAGGCTTAGCGCCTCAGCACCATCCATCGGCATTGAGACAAGCTCTGGATGTACTTTGCACTTCGTACTGCTTGTGATTCTTTTTCCTCTTCATTCTTCCATTCTCTACCATCCCTCACCAGCAGAACACCGACTTCACCCTGGCACCGGCATCACCAAACCCTTGATCGCTGCTGCAACCCAAACAAGTCTGCAATCCATTGAGCTCTTCAGTTAGAATCTCGCTTCTCTCTCTCCCTCCCTTATCCTCCCACGAGTTCAGATCTCATCGCATCGCATCGCATCGCATCGCAGTCGCAAATCGCCAAATCTCACCACCAAATCTCACCACCACCACTCACCAAAACAAAACACCAACCATGTCCGCCGAAGGCCCCGAATCAATGCCCACCTCCGCAGACCCCCGCTCCAAGCGTCCCACAAAGAAACGCGCCCTCACCCCAACATCCGCCCAAGCCGCCTCCCTCGACGCCCTCTTCGCAAAGCCCGACCAAGAGATCCGCATCCCTCCTCCCCCCAGCGCCCTCGCCCCGGGAAGCAAACGGCCCCCGCCCCCGGAAATCGTCACAAACGTCCAGGGCTCCAGCGCCGGCGCCGGCTCCGGCGAGTTCCACGTCTACAAGGCCGCTCGTAGGCGCGAGTACGAGCGTCTGAGGGAGATGGACGAGGAGGTCAAGCGGGAGCGCGAGCAGGCTGAGTTTGAAAAGAGCAGGGCGGAGAAGCTGCGCAGGGACGAGGAGAAGACGAGGAAGAATCGCGAGAAGAGGGAAAAGGCCAAGGCGCGGAAGATGAACAAGGGCAAAGGGGGTGATGGTAGCGGCAACGGCAACGGCAACGGCAACACAACAGGGACCAATGGGAATGCAGATGCAAATGGCAATGGGACGACGGCATCAGCGGCGTCCGGAGCCGACGACTCTTCGCGAGAAAAGGGGAAGCCGGACACGGAGGACAACGGAAGGAATGGCAGTGCGAACGCGACAGCCGCTTCTGCAGAGCCTGCGGTTGGTCTCGTCATCCACGACGATGACTGAACGGAAGAAGTAATCAGACTACGGATGGGAGAGCGACAGCCTGTTGGATGGAATCTTGTTCGACAGATTGTGGGATATTGTAACAACAAATTACCAAAGTAGAAGCAGTGATACCCGTATAGAATGCCAATTCATAGATCCTTTTGTCGCCTCAGTCAGCGGCTCTTGGTTTAATACATTTGTCTATTTCAGATATTTTTTGGCGTTCAAGGTGCGTCTACAGATGCTCCCACATCCGGCCCGACAGCATTGAAACGAGCCTTGGCCCGTCCAAGCGCATCTGAGACGTCGTGCGCCTCGTAGATCGTGGCTTCTCAGGGCATCATTACCTCTTCAATTTCCAACCCTCGCGCTGACTTCCGCTCGTTTAATCATCACCGCCTCCCACTCCGGGGGCGGCACCCTGCTGCATCTTCTTGGCACTGCAGATATCGTCTACTCTCAATAACAAACAGGCAGCCTAGCAGTACACCATGTTAGATCGAGCTTTAATGCATGATGGAAAGCGTTAAAGGGTTAGACGGAACATACCTCGATAGCAGTCTTGAGACTCTGCAGCTTGATAGCCTCGGGCTCCCACACACCATACTCGGTCATATCAGCAATGGCACCAGTATCGCCGTTGACACCGTATGAGCTCTTGCCCTCGGCCTGCTTGGCGCGGAGCTCCGTCAGAACGCGGACCGGGCTCTTGCCGGCGTTCTGCACCAGCGTCCTGGGAATCACCTCCAGAGCATCGGCAACCGCCTTGTACGGCCACTGCTGGACACCCTCGACACCCTTGGCCTTCTGGGCCAGCCGGACGGAGACGGCCATCTCGGTGGCACCACCGCCAGGTGACAGGCGGGGCTGAAACATGACATTGCGGGCAACACCCATGGCATCCTGGAGGTTTCGCTCAATCTCGTTGAGGACGTCCTTGGAAGGGCCGCGCAGCAGGATCGTGCAGGCCTTGGGGTCCTTGCACTTTGTGAGGAAGGTGAAGTACTCGTCGCCAATCTTCTCAATCTCGAACAGGCCGCATCGAGTGCCGACGTCCGACTCCTGGAGATCCTCCACTCGGTTGACAATGGTGGCTCCCGTAGCGCGGGCTATTCTGTTGTTGTCCGTCTTGCGTACCCGGCGAAGGGCTGTGACGTTGGCCTTCATCAGGTAGTGCTGGGCCAGATCTGATCAAAGTTAGCTTGTGCTCCCTGTGCTTGACACTGCATCTCACTAACCAGATACACCCTTTTCGGTGATGACCAGGTCGGGCTGAACAGCCAGGATGGTATCGCACATGATCTTGATCTGCTCCTCCTCGATCTGCAGAATTCGGTTCCAGTCCTCCTCCTTTGTGATCTCAATGTTGGTCTGTGATTCACCCTTCTTGTACTCCAGGGGGCAGTCGAGGAGGACGATTCGGGGGTTCTCGATGCGTCGGCGCATCTTGGGGTGCGTGATATCCTTGTTCAGCATGAGGCCATCGAGCACCCTGCTGTCCTCGATCTCACCGCCAGGAACCTTTTCGATACGGGCATATCGCTTAATGTCCACTTCGGTCTTGCCATTGCCGGCTTCCCATGTGACGGTTCGCACCGCCTTGAGGGCGAGGTCGCACATCTGGTCCATCCATCGAGAGACGAACTTGGTGCCGATGGAGGAGGAGATGAGCTGGGCCATGGCCTTGTCGTCGTGGACATCGATGGGCAGGGAGATTTCGTCGATGATGTCGATGGCATCCTTGAGAGCACGCTTGAAAGCAGAAATGATGACGACGGGGTGGATATTGCGCTCGAGTTGAGGGAGGGCCTGAGCCAGGATCTCACCGGCTGAATGAAAGTCTGTCAGTACCAAGGTCTTTCTCGTCTCTCGAATGTGACCCCTCCCCCTTTTTTTGGGTTGCCCCTCTATGGGTTGGGCTATGCATCGTGGGCAGCGCGTAAATGTCAAAGGCCGGACATACCCAGGATAATGACTGTGGTGGTACCATCACCGACTTCCTCATCTTGTGTCCGGCTGAGCTCGATCATGCTCTTGGCGGCGGGGTGGGAGACTTCGATTTCTCGGAGAATGGCGTGGCCGTCGTTGGTCAGGACGATGCCGCCCATGGGGTCGAGCAGCATCTTGAGCATGGCCTTGGGACCGAGACATGATCGGATGATGTCGGCAACGCTGCATCAGGCAGGAGAGGTAGGTTAGCTTGTTCGGATCGATTGAGTTGGTGGCAGCAAACGCACGTTTTGGCGGCGGCAATGTTGGACAGCTGAGCTCTCCGTCCGGTCTGTCTCTCACCACTGTTGGTGTCTGTCGAGCAATGCGTCAGTCAGCTTGGCATTGGTTGCAAACTCTTGGGTACCGGTGCAACGAGGAGAGATCCATCTCTTATCCGCGTGGCTCGAAATGAGATCACGGCCTTGTTCCCTATCCTCTCCTTTTCTACTCCGTCGAACGGCAAGGTGGGCTTTGGGTATACGCACTCATAACCAACACAGGGGCCTGCATGGTGGGCGATTTGTTCGCACTCGGCGGCTCGTGGGAAATCGAAAAAGAGAAGCTTGCGAAAAGGTCGAGCAAGAAGCAGCACGAAGAAGCAGCTGATGGTCAGACTGGACGCGCCTCGTCGAGCAGCTTGTCAGAGGTCGAGAGAGTGCAAAGCGGTGGTCTGGAGGTTTGGAGGGGCGCACACTAGAAAAGTTCCCACGATGCCTGGCGGGCTTTTGGTGGGGAGCAGTTGAGAGAGCTTCCAGAATGGCCTGGTGCAATGTTAACCCGGCCCGCAAAGGGGAGCTGCGGTACCTGTACCTGTACTTATGCCTACCTTACTTTACCTTAGGTGCCAGGTGCCGGTCAACGATGCTGCCCCACGCAGGCTTGCTATGCTGATGCCTGAAGCTAAAGGAGTTGAAGTAGAATCGTTGTAAACACATGTTGAACAAGCTTATCGTTTGATTCAAAGACTTCAGTCTGCTATATGACCCTGATAGTGATAGTGCATCAAGTCTGACAATATCGTTATTCGATTCGATATACGTCTTAAAGGTTCTCTTGATGGCTCGCTGTTCGCAACCCCTCCATGATACATCCAAGTACCGATACTTCGAGCCCCTAACCTCCCATTTGTCATCGGCTCTTCAAGCATCACCAACCAATCAGAAGCAACATCAGCTCAATCCATATGCCCAACCAGGCACTCCCAGAAGCTCAAGCCTATCAATGACGACCTCTTTCAACCATCAAAGCCATATCAAGCATCACGAGAAGGTGGCCTCTAAGGCTACATTTTTTCATAAACACGATTGCATGACGTTAGAGCATCGCCTATGTATTGTTTGAGTCGATATCGCCTTACAGGTATGGACATGGAGATGACTGAATTATCGAACCCTGACACGAGCAGAGCACTTTGTCACATCCATGACTTCAACCTCATACTCCCTGCAGCGCGAAGAAAGGCACTCAGGGTCTCATGGAGTGTATGCACATATATATGTTCATGTATGTATGTATATGTATATATATACTCATCTTTCAATTGTATAGTCACTCATCAACTTCAGCATGCGTCACATGTATCATCCTTGGTCTGCCATCCTCTTCCTGGAACGATGACTACCTCATCAGCGACACTGCAATGTCCAGAGCACAAAATCAACTGCATTCATCGAGCGACAAAGACAAAATAACCACCGAATAATCCCACACAAAACACAAAACTAGATGTCCTCTTCATGCACCTCGTTCCTCAGTCCCGATGGCTTCCGCTCGCCACCCGCCCTCTTCGCCCCCCGAGGCCTCTGCGTCCCCTCTGCCCGCCTCTTCCTAGGCTCTCCCAGCTGCTGCTGCTCCTCCCCCTCCTCCTGCTGCTGCTCTTCTTGCTGCCGCTGCTGCGGCTTCTCCTCTTCCGACACCTGGGGCGGCACATGCACCCAGTCAGCATCGACCGCCGAAAGCCCATGCACGAGACAAGAATTCATCGCCATCTGTCTCTCCGTAAACATCCACGCTATGCTGTCAACCTCCGTGTCCCGGAACCCCGACCACACGTCGTTGATATCGCCCGTCTTCTTCGACGTGGCCAGCGCCGGGAAGCCATCCCGGCTGTACCGGTACGCCACCCTCTTCCTCCTCTGGGTGATGGCCTTGTCCTCGCTGCGCATCTTCCAGGGGATCGCGCACGACAGCAGGTAGTCGCCGGTGGTCCGGGAGCCGGGGTCGGCGTCCTTCATCCAGGACTCTTCCAGAACCTCGATCTGAGTCTTTGGGATCGCCATGATGATCCAAGCTTCCCCCTCTGCCGTTGCTTCTTCCTCTTCGGCGACGTCGGGCGCGAGATGGTGGCGGTCATCCGGCTCAAAGCTCCCCAAAGGCTTGCAGAATTTCCACCACTGCCAGGTGGTGGTTCGGTCGGATCGGTCACGCCTGCATGGGGAACAGATTGTCAGCCAAGTTAACTCACTTCACACTCATGTCCAAACGTCTCCAACAGTCAGGGGACAGTTAGATGCCACTCACGCGTCCGCCTCAAACAGCGTCAGGCTTCCGCCCTCTGACCTCAGACACGGATTGCCTGCCCCATCCACGTCGGGCTCAGGGGGGACCGAGCCGAGGGGCTCGCCGCGTATGTCGTGGTCGACAGAGATGGTGAAAAAGCCACAAAGGTCCAGCTCGAGCTTTCGGTAGCCGTTCTCGCGGCATGCAGAGCGCAGAAACAGGCGCAACCTTTCACTTGAACCTTGCCCGTCAGGGTTCTCGACGTCAGGTGCAAAGATGGTGTCGTTGTACATTCCCGTGATGGCCTGCAGCCGCCGACTCGTGTTCTCTCTGATATCCAAACATGTTAATCTTTCTCTAGGTTCTGTTGTTGCATCAAGTACGCTGGAATTGTCCGTTTTACCTCTGGTCCAGTCTCTGGCTGAAATGCTCTGACAAGATCTTCTTCCGCTGAGCCAGGGTCATCTCCAGGAGGTCGGCCTCAACGTCCTCTGTCAGGGTGATTGTGGTCTCTTCGCCTGGAGCAAGTTCCGACTGCTTGAGGAAGTCCGGATGCACGCGGAACGCCTCGTTGAGGGACTGCTGCAAGCTGGCCACCGGGCCATACATCTGGTACTGGTTGTGAGGCGCCTCTTCCATGCGCGGGTACTGCTGCTGCTGCATCATCTGTCGACCTCCAGCAAGGTTGAAGGCGATGCCCGCCAGAAGCTTGTCCCGGACCGGAATCCCGTTCGACATGATGATGGGATGGACAGTAAACTTGAGAATGGAAAAGATGAAATAATATCCTTGCACAAGACTGGACCAGGCTGGACTCGATGTCGATACGATGGAGAAGGAGAGATTTCGTTCCGAGCTTCGACAGGTGGAAGGGGGTTCATATAGACTGCGACTCCGTGAAAAGGTGAGATGTGGGCAGCTGGCAACTTCACTGTCAATTCACTTTGGCATCAGATTGCGGTGCCGCCATTGGGTCGCCAGCTCCACTGTCCATCGAGCAGTATCCATTGTCTCTCACCTTACGCTGACACTTGAGCAGAGCGAGTCACTGGCAAGTCCCCTTCAAATGCCTTGGGCAAAGCAAGCAATGCGTGATCCGCATATTCGGCGACTATACAGAGAAGTATTACCGAACAGGCGGAAGGGGTGGACAGTCTTGTAACATGGGTTGCTCGCTTTCTTGGCCTACAAAACACGATGAACATCACTTACGGCTCAAGTAAATCATCCAGCAAATTGGAGTAAGAATGCGCCATTCGTAGATGTCTAGCCTAGAGCAGAGACACGCTCTCTCAAGTGTCAAGGATGGGTATGCTACGTTCAACTCGACAGCCCACGATGCATGAAGTGAGCAAATGGCGCCTGTTCAACCTCGATCTCAAGCCAAAAGAAATAGCAGTAACGAAAGAAAGATGCCAATCCTTGCTTCTGGTAGCGACTCGATCCATGACCATCACCATTACCGCGAGTGATGCTTCAGGCTTCAGTCAGTCGACCTCAACCTCCACTCAATCTGAGCAACTTTCATCTTGCAGAAGACACCTTCGAAAGAAGCCACATGTCACTACGTAGTCCTATGTTAGTTATATATATTCTATAGAATGAAAGCTCAAGCAATTTCGATTCTATCAGCTCCTCTACCACTGGAGGGGGCGATACATGTAGTCACAATCTACGAATCAGACACCCCCCAGTCAGTGATGATGCATGTCCCAAAGCCACAACTGCAATGCACGCATAATCAAGGGCTTCGAACAGACGATCCTGCATCTGTGCCGTGTATATGCAGCCGTCCGTTTGCTCCGCATGAGCTGAAAGACCAGCCGCAGCATCTCCAAAATGACGGTGAGCCACACATGCATTGTACTCATACAACATGAAAGCAATAAGAATCCTCCAAGGTCGACATGCCTGTGTGCTTTCCGAGTACCCGGTTCCCGCGAGAGTCCTGCTAGACGATAGCCCCTTACGAGTCCCATATGTCAGCTCACCGATGCAAATGCCCTTCTAGCACAGTAAAACTTTACGAGTTGCAAGGCTCTTATGGGCGTCGTAGCATTCGTACTCGTACCGGCGACATGCAGGACATCCATATGACGAACAATGGCCTGCCACTGTTGCCACGCCACAATCCATCTGCATATGCAGGAAGCAGATGGTAGCAGTAGCAAACAATTGTGTGGCTTTCGTCGGCCTACTGCAATCTCATTTGAGAGGGGGGGTCAATCTTAGAGTATTCCCATGCGTTCAAGTAACACACCTTAGGAGGTGATGAAGTGAATGGGCCAAGATGATTCCAGACAGAGAGTCCGCCAGTGAAAGAGAAGAGCTGGGAAGCATACAGAAAGTTACAGCACCACTTCAACCACCGAGCAAGACGATGGATCTCCTCACTTGACCCCTACTGGGCAGGTAAACCCACAATCGAAAAGAAGATTAAAGCAAGAATAGATTAGAAGAGAAATCCATTTCAGACAGGACCTCTGCAAAAGCTTATGCCTCGCCTTTTCCCTCAGACTTCACACGCTGCCTGTACCTCAAGTTGCGCCCTCACCGCTCTCGATGATCCGACCAGCTCTCCGGAGCACCAGGAACTTCATTGCTATGATCAGGCAAGACAAATCCCGATCCTACCTGCGGTGGGTAAACCGCTGGGCTTCCACCAAAGAGATATGGGGAGTAAGGATTACCGTAAAAGCCCATGCCTGCGCCGTTATAGTATTCCGCCTGATAGTACGGAAAGGCAGACACCGGATACTGCATCGGCAAGGCGCTCTGCAGCCTCGTGTTGTACACGAGAGAAGAAGCAAAGGCAACATAATCTTCGTACGCCCTCCTTTTCGCGGCCTCGGCGTCATGGACATGATCAAATTGACTCGACCACGCGTGGTCATAAGGAGGAGTCTGGACGGCGTGACGGTTCTGAGGCACGAGAGTCTCGCATGGCTCTCCTTGAACCCGATTTCCACGAGGAGAGCGTTTTCTCCTAACATGCTTCGGCTTCGGGCTGGTCTCTTTGAACTTGATCTTAATGGCTTGGGTTTCGTTCCGGCTGTCAAAGAGCAGAAGTCGGTCCTTGAAATGCTCGCGTTGCAGGTGTGCTAGAATAATCCATCGTCAGCGTCAGAATGATCGAGTCAAACGATGAGCAACTCGATTCTTGCTTTAGACTTACCCAGTGCTTTCTCAAAGTTGTCTTTGCCCTTGATGCGCATCCATCCCGAACAGCTCGACGAGAATACCTCAATGTAATCGACGGGACATGATGCTGAGACCCAGTCTTTCATCTCTTGCCAAGTCGTGTTGAACGTCAACTACCCACATATATTAGAAAAGTTCCATCTTGAATGCACAGAAGGGTGTATTGGAAGCATTCTCGCTCCATGACTCACGTTGCAAAAGGTGATATAATATTCGCCCGTTTCGTCGCCCGGTGGGACATCTCTGAGCGAGGTTGGAAAGATTTGTCTGGTCGACATGATAACTCATATATAAATCCTTTGTGGAAGGAAGCAGTAAAACAGTGTTGAGGTTAGGTCTCCCTCTTGGAGCAGAAGCACCGAGTCTATATAGTAGCCCAAAGTCCAGCCATGCATAAGGGTCAAGGCCGCGGTCAAGTCGTTCAAATTAGATTCGATCCAAGTCCTGGGCCGAATCAAACCGCCCAGCATATGTTTGCTCAAGCACCAGGGTAGCTGCCTTTCTTTCGCACTCGCCGTTCAGGCACCAGCTTGACACTTCGCCGGGAACCCGTAGGGAATGCGATTGCCATTGGAGCTTGCAAAGCGGCTGCAGATCACTTTAGCAGTCAGACGCCGTAAGTTGGTCCGTACATATCAAGCTTCACAGCCTTTGTCTCAAATGACGGCGCGCCGGTGCGTGAGAGATGTCATGGTCTGAGACACCCACAGGCCTGAGCAAGACATGGATCTGGAACAATTATGGTGTGCCATAAGCTCGCAACGCGAAGCATTTGCATCAACAATGACTGGTGACCTAGATGAGACACCGCGGATCGTCCCACTTTGGCAGCAATTTCGTACAAGAACAAGAGCTTGGGGAGTGGGATTCGAAAGAGAAGGTAGGACAAGATTTTGAAGGTGCTCCAATCTCACAATCTGTCCGCCACGGATGCCGGCGTATCCCTTGCGTCAATGATCCTTGCACGGCCTCATTTGGCCTCCATGGTGGCCAAGGGGCAATGACTTGGTCAACCAGGGCCTGGCAGCATGAAGTGCACTCGCAATGTGTTGTTTTCGTACATCCAAGCTTGCTTGCCAGTGACAGCTGCGCCGATTGCTCGTTTGCCGTACAATAGCATCCCTAGCAACGGCGCGTACTTGCATTTCGAGAGTCATTGTTGCTCATTGTCTAAGCATGTCTAAAGGAAAAGGTATCGTCCACGACTGATGCTCCATCGCCGTCATCCATTGCGTAGCAAGCTGATGTCGGGCTGTCAAGTGCCATCTCGCTACCACTGTAATCCACAGCAGCAGCCTGCCAGGGATTAGAATCCCGCCCACCATCATTGGACGGAGACAGCAAAAGGTAGTGCTCCGCATCAGACACAAACAGGACCGGCGCTTCAGTCTCGCGGTTGATCCACGCAACCTGTGCTTTTCCCGCCGCTCTTCCAGCGGGCAAATGATCCTCTGGCACAAGCGGCGTCGGTCCATCGGACAGAGGATCCCATATGAAAGACACACCGTGCTGCGCGGGATCCTGCGAGGTGATGAGGAGGAGCTCACGAATTTTTGCGTGCCACTGGAAGGAGATCAAGGAGTGGAAAATGAGGACGGCTCGAAGCTCGGCGGCTACGATATCCCAGATCCACAGAGTGCATGGCGAGTCGTCTAACCGTGTCGCCAGAAGGGTCGAGGATGCATCAAAGGCGGCCATTGAGCAGCCGGCCCTGACTTCCGCCGCAGACTGAGAATCGGCGGCAGGCCCAGGGGGTGATAACACCTGCGTGGCCTTGAGAAAAGTATGGCGCGCTCGCGCCTGTGAAGAGTCCATTGCAATTTTCTGTTGCCACACCTGAGATGGGTCAGCACCTCAGAAGGAGCCATAGACACGCTGTATTCATGGCTCACCTGAAGAGTATCTTTCGGAACTATAGTCGCGGGATGAGTGAGCCTCATCTGTGCCCTCCATGAATGTGTTTGAAGAATAGATACATCCCTGCTATAATCCCCGATGGCACAAGTCTCTGCATTGGGGCTCAATTGACAGACCCGAATACCCAGTTCGAGCTCTGCATCGGGGCCTTTCAACAGGTTGTATGCCGTAATGGTACGGAAATGCTGCCCATCAGAAGTGTGGATGAGTAGTCGGTGACCATGAACAGCCGACTCCCAGAGCAGAAGCCACTTGCCATCAGGGGTCCAGGAGACGCCTTGAGCATCGAGCGTTTCTGGGAACCAAGATCTAAGCACTTGTCGATCAACCGGATGATGGAGGCTCACGATATCCCTGCCCCCAGAGCGAGCCAGTAATGCCAGATGTCCCGTCTCCGGACGAACAGAAAGGCCTCGTGACGCAGATGTGGCTTGATGGAACTTGGGGCTTGCAATTTCGACAGCGCCAGAGCCACACACATCGACGACTACAAGCTTCAAGCCAGACGCGGACCATATGAGAAGCTCCGTGTCCCGGGCTCCAAACTGAATAAGAGAAGGCTTTCCACCGACAAGAGAAATGTAGTTGCGAACTGTTGCGTGAAACTCGGTGTGATGAAGCGCGCCAAACACATCCAGCTGATCCGCAGAGCGGATCAGTATCTTGGAGGACGACGGAGCCCATAGCAGCGGCGACAGACTCGTCGAGCTGCCTGTGGCTGAAGAGGCGGGCGGGGAGCCAGAGCCAGAGCCAGAGCCAGAAGAGAGCCTCACGGCATTTGTGACTTGCAGAGTCTCGGTTGAGCGAACAACGAGCTCAGAATGTCTAAGGGTGGCGACGAAGCGGCCATCTGGACTCGGCCTGCAGTGAGGCGACGCTGTGATATTCGACAGTTAGAAGCTTATTCGAGTACCTAGCCACAGGCATCGGTAGGATTGCGGAGATGCTTACATACAGTCCAGTGCTGCAGATGGAGGCATCAAGGCGGTTGAGACTATCTCAAGCGTTCTCAGGAGGAGTCGTTGGACAATGCCGCAGAACAAGCTGCGTCCCTCCTAGCCTCGACGCTCGACCAACGTTATCGTGAGTCCTCGGTATAGACTCGGATCTCGGTAAATCCTGAATCTCCTCCCCAGCCCTTTCTGCCTGCAACTTTCAGAGCTACTGCCAAGTTGATAGGCCGAGTCTTGCGGGTTGAATTTTTCCTTCTCCTCGGAGCGAGAGACCCCAACAGGCGACACGGGGTCCACGTCGAGCCGTTGTTCTTCCAAGCTGGGTCGCAGATCAACTGCACTGTGAGGATGTATAGCGTCGTGGTTGTACGGAGGATTGCAAGTTGAGTCTATCCAGGGGATAAATAAAGAGCGCGTGGACGCGGGATGAAGGTTCAATGGATGATTTGGAGGTGTGGATTGATGCTTCGTGATCAAATGGTGTCGGTACCTGCCGCAACGCCCTGCTTTGCCCAAGCTCCCAGGTACACGCAGCTCCGGGGCGCTTGAGCAGCCGCTGGAGCTCTGTAACAGGCCCGCTGAAGGCTGCCGCCTAGCGCCCGCCATGTGCGCTAAAACGTGGCCTCCAAGCCCGTTCCCCCTCATCTGGGCGTCTTTTAGCGATTGGATTTTGATGCAACCTGAACGCACATGGCCTGGATATGTCAGCACTTGACCCTCAGCTCTATCGTCACAGCTGCATTATCACAAGAGGCGAATCTCTTTCTTCTTCTTCTTTTCTTCACAGCTCCGTCACCAGTTTTTGGAAAGCAACCTTTGCCCATTTACTCCGTTTTGAAATGATGCTGTAGCTCCGACTCTGTCAACAACTTCCGACATCCCAGCTGCGAGCACTGTATGAAAGGACTCGCGTTACTCATCTTGGATACGCCTCAACCAGCAACTTGCTCTTGAGCTCAGCTTCACTCCGTCCGTCTCTCTCTGTCTAGGACCTCACAAGCAACTGTGTCACTTCTTAAGCCTGGCCTACGACAGCATGGCAAGATAGAAGCTCTACCCCCAATATCTTATACACCAGGTTGTAATATACACCCACTATCATCCCCTGTGGCTGGTTCGCCACCAGCTCCGGCCTTCCGCCTCACAGCTATCCTCACATGTCTCGCTGCGCTTTGGTAGCAGCTCTGAGCGAGATGCGGTCCCTCCGACCTCTTGCGGCTCGACTTCCCTCAGGTGTCTCAGTTCTGCGACCTCCTACTGGCACGCTCACCTTCACAAGACATGTTGCGTCGAGCTCGGCGGCTGCAGAACCCCAGCCAGCTCACCCAGTTCTTCCGCCTACAGGCGTCATATCACGCCGGGAACGCATCCGCGATGCGAAGCCGTTCTCGGACTTTCTGACAGATACCTTTCACCGCCAGCATGACTATCTGCGCATCTCCGTCACCGAAAGATGCAACCTGCGCTGTCTGTACTGCATGCCGGAAGAGGGGGTTCCGCTGTCCCCCGACAAGAACCTCCTCACCAGCCCCGAGATCATTCTCCTGTCGTCCATTTTCGTATCGCAGGGTGTGACCAAAATCCGGCTCACTGGAGGGGAGCCCACGGTGAGGCGAGATATCGTGCCTCTCATGCAACAGCTCGGCGCACTGCGCCCATACGGGCTCCGGGAGCTGTGTATAACCACCAACGGGATCTCATTGCATCGGAAACTGGACAGCATGATCGAGTCCGGGCTTACCGGTGTTAATCTGAGCCTCGACACGCTGGACCCTTTTCAATTTCAAATCATGACGAGGAGGAAGGGCTTCGATGCTGTCCAGAAGAGCATCGACCGCATCCTGGAACTCAACTCACTGGGCGCCGGAGTCAAGTTGAAAATCAATTGCGTCGTTATGCGAGGTCTCAACGACCGAGAGATCCTCCCGTTTGTCGAATTGACCCGCGAGAAGGATCTCGAGGTGCGCTTCATCGAGTACATGCCCTTTGACGGCAACAAGTGGAACAAGGGCAAGATGTTTTCGTACGACGAGATGCTGGACGTGATCCGGGCCGAGCATCCCGACTTGCACAAAGTGAAGGATGAGAAGAACGACACGAGCAAGACTTGGAAGGTACCTGGCTTTGTAGGCCGCCTCGGTTTCATCACAAGCATGACGCACAACTTCTGCGGCACCTGCAACCGACTTCGCATCACGAGCGATGGGAATCTCAAGGTGTGCCTCTTCGGAAACGCCGAGGTCTCCCTGCGGGACATTCTGAGGAAATCCAACAGCGGAGAGCCCATTGACGAAGAAGCGTTCGAGGCCATGAAGCAGATTGAGATGAACCGCCGGCAAGGCCTCGCCGGCTCTGACCTACCGTTGGGAGTGGCACCAAACGAAGCCGAGCTCCTCGACGTTATCGGGATGGCAGTGAAGAGGAAGAAAGCAAAGCACGCCGGCATTGGGCAGCTGGAGCACATGAAGAACCGGCCGATGATTCTCATAGGTGGGTAACAGTTACGAGACATTCTTTTGAAACCAAGGCACGAGCGGCGAAAGATTGCCCTTGTTCACGTTCTACGTCGTTTCGTCATGCGGCTGGGCGGCCTTGCCAAAGCGAATTCGAAAGTACGATAACAACATACGCCATTGCATCACGAACCTTTGAAATGCCTTTGCCGGATCATACGCTAAGTAGGACATGATAGATCCTGCTCCGCCGTCACTCACCACCATGCCGCCCAGGGCGCAGCAGCTCATCCGCCGCGCCGTACCGCCTTTCGGCCTGCCATCAGCAGCCTCCTTTGGCCATTCTGGACAAATACAGACCCAGCAACTACGACAGCTATCTACCTCTCGCGCGTTGAAAACCACCAAGAAGGATGATGATGAAGATGAGATCATGATACGCCTAGGAAACGACAAGGGGGACAAACCCGCAAACAAGGCACGCCTCACGCACGTATCCGAGTCAGGCTCAGCACACATGGTCGACATTGCCGAGAAGCAAGTGACGTCGCGCGTCGCCACGGCCGCCTGCTCCGTGCACTTCTCCGGCGACACGGCCATCCAGCTCATCCAGGACAACCAGATGAAGAAGGGCGACGTGCTGGGCGTGGCCCGCATCGCGGGCATCATGGCGGCCAAGCGGACGGCGGACCTGATCCCGCTGTGCCACCCGATCGCCATCTCGCGCGTCAGCGTGGACCTGGACGTGGTCGCGGGGAGCCGGCGGATCGAGATCCGGGCGACGGTGACGTGCGACGGCAAGACGGGGGTCGAGATGGAGGCGCTGACGGCGGCGTCGTCGGCGGCCTTGACGGTGTACGACATGTGCAAGGCCGTGGACAAGGGGATGAGGGTCGAGGGGCTGCGGGTTGTGCTCAAGGATGGGGGGAAGAGTGGGAGATGGGAGATGGACTGATGCAAAGGGGCATTTTTTTGACCGTTTGCAACTGATGTAAGGGGGCATTGATGGTGCTTGTTGACCGTTTGCACTTGATGTTCGGGGGGGAGGCATTTGATAGTGCTTGAACCGTCGTAGAACTACGTAAATGCACCGTCAACAAGCTGTAAATGATCATCGCCATGTGGAATGCAGCACATCAAGATAAACAATCAATCTCCAGTGTTTTACCTTTGCAAATGACATCCAACGGCTAGATCCAAGCACCGTCAAGATTTTGAACTGATTGGCATCAAGTATAAACGATTGACCTCTCCAATCTTGACCCCATTCGGTGCAGAGACAACTCGGTTTCTCCGCACATCCCCCAAAGTCACCGATCGATCTGGTTGACTGACTCGAACCCATCCAAGGATCCCCAGAACTATGACTTCAGGTACTAAACGCCCCGGAGCCGTTAATCAAGAAGCATCAAGGAACCCCCCCAGAACCTATGACTTCAGGCGCGAGGCCCGGGCTTGCGTTGATCAAAGAAAAACATCAGGGACCCATGCGTTATCTTTGCCAATCGCATGAAATCATAGACCACGCAGCTGGGGGGGGGCCCAAACGGAGCCCATCAGACTCTCTCAATCTACAATGCAGCAGTGTTCCGAATGACCTCTCGCAGTTTCAAAGACGCCCGTAAATGCAATGCAAGTGCAAGTGCAGTAAAGCAAGAGAAATGTTACGAAATGCAAAGCTGAAGCGGTGAAGACGAACCAACATGCCCCAAAACACGACACACACAGAGGGCAAAATCAAGAAAAAAAATGCTCGTCAAGAAGCACACCTTGTAAGATGTAGTAGTTGTAAATGGGGAGGGGGTGTCGTTGAAACCCAACCTCGTGTGAATCGATGCTCATTCGTCCATCTTGCAGCAACGCATGCAGGCAATATGCAGTTCGATTCTCAAGCAGCTCTCTCCTCCTCCAGTAAGTTTCCATACATACTACTACTCCAGATAGCCCCCCCCCCCCCCCCCCCCTCCTCCTCCGCGCTGCAGTTGCTGCCGCACATGTGGAATGCGGGATAATCACGAATCAGCGCGAGAGACCAGCCGCCCCTCGGTCCGCTCATTCGCTCAACTCAGCCAATTCCCTGCTTTAAGCCCAGCAGAAGCACCACCACAAATCAAACTCATTCAAGCCCCATCACTTCACAGTCATCTCAGCCCTCTCGACATCATCTCCCGGTGTGGCCAGAGAGTTAGTCGACACGCTCTCCCTGCTCAACCAATCAAAGCCCTCCTGCATCTCCCTCCGGCATGTGAATCCCAAAAAGCCAATCATGACCACGAAGCGTTACAATCATCCAATCACGTCCAAGCGATAAGACGAAGCACATCGAAATGTCGTTGCAGGCGATTACCCCAAGCGGAAAAGATCAAGCCTGGCTCACACACACACAAGCGAGTGGCTTGCTTCTTACATGGCACGCAGAGAGGCCCGTCCATGTTCAAGATGTCTGTACATACTGTGTGCTGCAAGTATCTCCGGCTGGCGCAGATTGCGGGCCAAAGTACCTTGAAGTAGCGGGATGGATATTAGATCCTGAGGCTTTGAAGTTGACAGCGAACGGGAGTCGCAACCCAAGCATTGCCATCTCTCCTAGATTACCTCCATATAGGATGTCAGATTCGATACCGTACAGTATGATTGTGTATCCTTTCCCGTAGCCATGGCCCTGGACCTGGACTGTGATTTAGATGAGATGCCGGAGGTCGTTCCGTACGACGGCAAACAGTGAATGTACAACCACAGCCCATCTCACGCTAAAGGAGCATTTCCTCAGCTGTTGCCTACATGTTCACACCTTATTGCCAATTATCACTTACCGACGTTCGAAACCGAGCACTCCTATCTTTTACATTGGTACACGCACACACACACCGGCTTGTTCGCTGATCAATGTTCATTACTCGGGCGAACTTGAGTCGTATGTAATACATAGTAGCAGCGATTCTAAACGGCGAGAAATAAATAGATCCCACAGAAAAGCTTCCAAAGCCCACAAGCTTCCACACACACACACACAGCCTCTCTGTCTCCAGGCGGGGTCAAACAGCACAGCGAGAGTCCCGCGCCGCTTCTCCCGTCCAAAGCCCACCGGCGATTCGCCGCAGCTTGCAGATTGCAGTCTTGGTACTATTACTAGTATTGTTGTTCTGTTCTCTGCAGCTTGCAGCTTGCAGTTGCAGCTTGCAGAGTGCCCAAAACTCCACACAGCCTATCCCAGTTGTTTCTTTCCTGTCGATACTATCCTTTCAATTGGAGAAAAGGTGGCCGGCGAGCAAGCCACTGTGGCGTGAGGCACGCGAACAAGCTATTTCGCCAGATGTAATATTACTACTACTACTAGTACTGTAAATACATACATACATGCTCTGCAGTAGGTAGAATATCGGTTTGAAAATCAAGGATATGCACTGGAATGGCTGCATGTATGTAACATGCATATGCAGGCGATAGAAACTTGCAGCACATGGGAAGAAACACATCGCGGAGACAACGAGCAGCGTCCACCTCACTGGCCGCACGCATCAACAACCACACAACAATACCTACCACCTTCAACTCTTCAACGCAAAAGCACACTTGTCCATATTATTATTTACCGGGTCAACTCACTTGCTCGGGATACCCTTACAAGTACTAGTTTCCTCAGAGCTTGCCCACATCAACTACTACTACTGCCAACTAACACCAGCACAGGAAGCTCTCCCGAACTACTAGAACAATGCCAATACCAAATACTCCACTGCAACGGGATGTCCGTGTGGCAAGTGCGCGCTCTAGTGAGCTTCTTTTTCGAAGGCAGAAAAGAAAGAAGCAGATGCGCGAGTAAGTGTCTTGCTTTTTTCCGTTACGTTACACCTTTTGTGCGCTTCTTCCCAACCCGCCTCTTTGGTCACTTCTTTTGTTGTGGATTCCATCTTTTTGGTGTTAGTAGTAATTATTAGTAGGCTCCCTCTCTTTCGGTCCATTCCACTAGCGCCGTGCCTTGGCCGGACCGAGGGTCGGGCTTGAGGGACGTGGAAAGTCGTTTGCCATTGACATTCACGTTGCCCAGACATTGACAAAACCGACGGTCCGGATTGGCTGGTACTGCTGATGATGATGATGATGCTAGCATATCTGTTATCCGTTCACAGAGGCCTGTGATGGGGGTAAAAGTGAAAAGAGGCAAGACACCTGGCATTACTTGGTTTCTAGGAACTGGTGCTCATTATTGCTCCGGTACCATTATATCGGCGGCAAATACGGTAAAACCGCCTCGTACCACGTACCTGACAAGGTGGGTGGCGAACCCGCTACTAGTACTAATAAACAAGTTGAAGCCAGACAAAGTTGAACTGCCGCTTCGGAACCTGTCAAACAGGCAAACCCTGTTGACGCCAGATCTTTGGCAGAAGCCGCACTGGAATCTCGAGCTTCCATATGTTCTTTCGCCACCCGCCCGCAGTGGCTTCAACCTACCTAGGTACTCCTACTATGAGCATGGATTACCCCGTAATCCAAGGGCGGTGAGCCCGTGTGTACTGCACGTATTTATGTAATGTAGTAGTCTACGTGTTCTGTCCAGTAGATGTCTCGACCTACATACAGATGCCCTTTGGTGGTGCACAAGACACGAGTAATACATAAGGTACTCCAACAAACAGCTCAGATGAAGATGGGAAGCTGGAAGAACAAAAGATGCCGAGCCGAAGCTGTTTTCACCGAGGGCGTCCTTGTAGCAACAAGATCGGAACCATTCCGTAATGTCTATTCAGTGGTGTAGTAATAGGTAGGTAATTAATTATACTACCTGGTAATACATACCTCCATCTTCTCAGGCGAGATGGAAACAACCATGCTACTTTTGGGGCACCCTTGTCTTTGCTGTAGCATTCTGAAACGGCTTGTCGGCAGTTTGGAAATATCGCCGTGGCGCGGTAGACGCTGGCCGAGGTAAAGATTCGGAGTACTATCGTACAGGCTACATACCTTACAACCACCATGCTTCGGGTGCTTGTGTCTACAATGTAAGTTGCAAGGGCAGTAATACTAGTATACGCAGTTCTTGTTGAATTACTTTCGCACCTTACAGTCATATTTACTTGCTCAAACAAGTATCCATCTTCCACGTGAAATAGAGAGTCGAACCCCCCTACAGCAACATTGATCTCAGCAACAAGCGAACCGTCGTTTGTTGATGAGGCCGGCCCCATCTCACAGGCTGCTCTCGGATCTGCACTCTCCGGACTCGCACGCATGGGCTCCAATGCAATTTCTCGCATAACAACCATGTCAATTCATTGACAATCAAAACGACAACGACGAAGAAGAAGACGAAAAAAAAAAAGGCTCAACCTCGATATTTTTGCCCAGGAACAGCAGGGCCCAGCAGAGCTACAGCCAAGATGATCAACACGCCCAGACCTTTCCAGTGGGCCTACTACACTAGGTACCTTAGGTACATGTAGTGCTAGAGGGTCCTTGTCCCTGTCTCTTCTTTTGGGGGTGGGGGAGAGGAGAAAGCACCCAAGAGAATGGCATCTCCGAGACGGTTCATGCGGCGGCTATGGAGAAAAAAAGAGCAGTGCAAGGGTAGAAAGAGAGAGTGAAAAAAAAAAGGATGGAGAAGATGGGGAGATGGAGAGAGAGAGAGTTGAGATTGAGCACGCGGGCGGCATTGATGCCCAACAGGGAGAGGATGAGCAGGGTCTTGCTTGGCGTGATTGAGAAGCCGAGAGAGACTGTAATATATCGTATGAAGCAGGTGAGCATGTGAGAGTCAACCTAATACTAAAGGTGAGGAGGGTGCAAGCTACCTTACTGGACGCAAGTGACAGACAGCACTGCACTGCCGACAAGCGAAGGCCCTAATGTAATGTCCGTGATCACAGGCACAGGCACAGGCACAGGCACAGGCGGTGACGAGATTGCAGGTTTGCCAGCAACCCGATCTACCTTAGATGCCTGACGATGCTTGAGAACCGACCAACACGCCATTGGTTGCAGTGCGGCAGAGCGCAACACAATGCTAGGGAGTAGTAGTATGTACTGTAGTACGTAGGTAGTCAGGCAGCACGCACGTACCCTCAACAGCAGCTCAATTACATGGGAAGCTGTCTCAGGACAAGACCCCTATTATGTACATACCTCCCGTAGTCGGAGGCAATCGCATCTGGCCAAAGCACATGGCAAAGCCGGGGCGGACAATCTTGTATGTACGTACTACTTCGTACACGCAACCCGGACCCTCAGCATCTCGTGGTGGCTTGACCGGACCGTGTGTGCTAATATTGATAGACAAAAAGCAAGCCACGAACAAGCGGCCAGACTTGACCAAACCAAGAGAACAAGCTCAATGGCTTCTGTGCACCGTCTCCATACACATCTCCAGTTCTTTTTCAGTCCAGATCTTCCGGGTTCTGGGTAGGTTGGCAAGTTGGATTGCCTGCCTGCCTGCTCCAGGTGTGGCGCTCCGCTTTTGCAGCGAGATTCGGCGACATGCGTGCTGGAAGATGCCCGCGCTGGCCGTAGACGCTGGCACGGGGGTGTTGTGAGGCACTGGACGGGCTTGCTGTCGGTTCATGAGGTTGCTTCCACTGAAGTTGGACTGAACTTGCAGTGACGGAACCCTCCCGTCCATCCATCCACTCTCACTCACTCGCTGGAGATGGAGCCCTCCTCCTCCTCATCCTCCTGCCCCTCCAGCCCCCCCAGAAGAAGAAGAAGATGAGAACAAGGGCAAACGGGGCGCGCGTTTTGCGCTGCGGGCCAAGCAATCAATCAAATCCGCGCTAATTATTCAACGTTTTGGCTTCGTCGATGGAGTCGCGATGCCTTCTCTCGATCCCGCAGCGCGCGAAAAGGGCAACAAGGCACTGGACACCTTTGCCTGCCTGTCCACTACTAGTAGGTACGTAGGTAGGTAACCCACCCCCCTGGTCCCTGAACCTGGACCATGACGAATGAGATGCATCCCAAAAAATCTTCATCGGCGTTGATTTGACTTGTCATGGATTGGACACGGATGGATTCGGCATGTTTGCAGTAAAGGCAGCGCCTCAGCCGTTGTTGTACGACATTTGGTGACTTTGGATAGTGTGTGTGAGAAGTGTACATGTACTGTAGAACAGCTTCAACTCTTGACAGTTTTTTCTTCTTCTTTCTAGATGAGGATCGTCTTATCGTTGGCACTGAGCATCGCCAAACGGGTCAATGAAGAGCCTTGCCCGCCCAGTTGAAAAAGTTGCGTGCCACAGCCAAAAAGTCCAACGCCAAGAGGGCGTAACAAATTGCGGCCATTTTGCTGTAATATCGTACTGAGGCTCTTCTTCCCGTCTGCCGTCTCTTTTTTTTTTTTTGGCTTGTTTGTCTTCTTCAGGTGCAACAGTCTGAACGGACCAAAAGGCCCCCCATGCAGCCTGACGCAGCTGCGTGGCTCGTACATGTACGTTACTACTAGTAGCAGTAGCTCCAGTCTCTGTGCTGCATGGAACACACAGGCCGTAGCAAGGAGCATCAGAGCGTAGCATGACTGGGAGATGTAGTGTTATTCACTCACATGCCGTTCTCTGTCTCTTCTGGCTTGTCTGCATGTGTTTCTTGATGATTTGCCGCTTCTGCTCAGCCCGCCGCAACACTGCCCGTGACCTCACTCACTCCAGCATCACCACAGCATCAACCTTGCCTCTCAACCTCTCAACCTCTCAACCTCTCTCTCTTCCATCTCCCATTCCACCCATTCCACCGTCCTCTAGTGCTACTCCACGCTTCCTCCACGCCTCCATATTACTACCAGGTACTACAGCACTTAGCTAGCCATTTCTTAGCATCTCCGTCCGGCTCGCGACTCGCATCGCCACCAATCCGCGTCGGTCCAATTGCCGCCCTGCGATAGTCCGCCCCCTGTTCGTGGAACCAATCCGGCCACTCCCCGACACACCCCGACCATCCCCAAGCAGCAGCAGCAGCAACAAGAGCCAGCCAGGACCAGGACCCAGTGCGCCGTTGCGACGCTTCGAATCCAGACCCGAGTCACTCGGCCGTCCCAGTAAGCGGCGTCCAGGCCAGCAAAGTACCGCCGGGTACCTCGCTCTGGTACCTTCTCTTTCTGGCTGCTGGCATTTATATCCTCGTCTGCCCTCGATCCTCATGCCTACCTATCTAGACTCCGTACATACATATTAATACACGCTTCGTATTTACAACAACCTCGACCTTCATCACCTGCCTACATCTCCTCACTCGCCACACCCGACTCTTGGTTCATCATCTTCTTCTTCTCTTCTCTCTCGTCCTTCCCCAAGCATAAGCGGTGCGACGCAACCCTGGGGATTCTTACGCCTCTGACACAACATTCCTCCTCACCCCGTCACCGAATCACAAACAACACCACAAGCCACTCACTCACCAGTCAGCGTGGCACGACTCCTCCGCCCTCTTTGGTGATTATACGTCAACCATCACAGATCCGGCGGACTTGTTGTTGTTTGTATAGAAGCAACGACGAGACGACAAAACCGTCATCAGAGAAGCCGCGAACACAATACAACACCAAAACAACACACATACACAGACATACACAATGGCCGCTCAGCTCATCATGCCTACCGCACCGGGTACGCAGCAGCAGTCGCGGCACTTCCTCCCAAACACCAGCAGACGGCCTCACACCCACAGCCGCTCCCAGTCCTTCCAGCTGCCTCCGGGCCCCCAGCTGTCGCCCAACAGCGCCAACGGCTTCTACGACCACGCCGTCTCGACTCCCTCGTCGCCCAAGGCTCACCACCACTCGGGCCACTCTGGCCATGCGCGAGCCTACATGCCCGCCGTCCTGCGCCCCAACGACGAGTTCCCGTCGCTGCCCCTGACCAAGTCGAGGTCGCCCGACTCGAGCTCCGACTCGGGCTCCGACACGACGCTGCGCCGCTCCAACACGGGCTTCATGAGCCTCGGCGGCATCGTTGGCCGAGGCTCTCGCCGTGCCAGCGAGAGCGGCAAGAGCAGCATCGACGGCGAGTGGAATCTCGATCTCTTCCCCGACGTCACCGAGCCGCCCACCCGCAAGCACTGGAAGGTAAGCTTATATATCATAATACACTTTACACTCTCCTTCTTCCCCTATCTCTGCCTCCCTCGCTCCTCATGACCAAAAACAAGACGAGAAGTCCTCTCTTGCTAACATGCTTCAACCCAGCCCGACACCGAGTCCACCATCTGCGACGACCCGACGTGCAAACGCAACTTCAGCTACTTTGTCCGCCGCCACCACTGCCGCAAGTGTGGCAACATCTTCTGCGACTGGCACTCGAGCTACGCCCTGCCGCTCGACCAGAACGCAAACTTCAACCCGCGCGCCGTCCCCTCGCGCACCTGCAACCACTGCTTCGAGCAGTTCAAGACGTGGCACAGCCGCGAGGGCAGCCAGGCCTCGAGCTCCGCCTCCTCGGACGCCCACCGCACCGTCCCCTCCACGCCCATCTCCGCCGCCCAGCCAGCCACCCCGTTTGGCCTGCCCCAGGGCCCCGAGATCCCAGCCAGCGTGCCGCGGGACTGGAACTGGAGCACCTTTTGAAAAGAAAAAGGAGGCGGCAGCCCCGGCGGTGAAGCTGCATAACACATTTACACACAGCGGCCGATGGAGGCCCTGTTGGTTGGGCGAAATCCCAATTCAAAGGGGGCGGGCGGGCGCAGGCAACATATTTCCCTTAATCACCCGGCTACTACCGGCGGCATATCTTCGATACCCCAGAGCGAGCACATGAAGTTACGAGCAACTCCAACATGACGATAGACCATTAGACCAGATTGATGATTTTCCTTTGCTTTAATTTTTCTTTTCTTTTCTTCAACTGTTCATCTCCTCGAGAGAGATCTTTCTTGTCCATCTCAACCCCCTTATTCCAAGCCATCTCTTCACTTATTCCTCGTTTTTCTGGAAATACTACTTGCATGGCGCTTCCCACACCAAACCGACAACAGACGGGATATCACTACCACTAGACTTGCAGGAAAGCAGGCGTTTTTTCTTTATATAAAGCGGGTTATCCTCCTCTTTCATCCTACTTTTCTCTTCTCTTGTCCCATTTTCCCTTACACTCTGCCAGAGTCCCAATGTTAACGGGATGGCATTCTCTTTATGTTGAGGAGGTTCTAATACCCCATGGCGGAGCACATATCCAGCCACTTTATTCCCCCTTTTTTTTCTTTTGCTTTAATGAGCGACGGGAGTCTATAGACGGAGAAAGTCAAGATAATTGAACTTTTACTACTACCAACATACATTAACTGATTGCTTTCTTCTCGTGATACTTGCCAGTCATCTTAAGATCTACCGCATTCGCTTGATATAAGTTGATCGCTTGATATTCCACGTTGAATTTCCTTGCAAGTATATACATCATCTTGAGAGATGCTAATAGTAGACGCGAAACGCGATTCAAAAGGGACAAGTCACATTTCTTCTCAAAACGCAGGGGCAAACGCAGGGGAAAAGGAGGCTTATTATTATAGACTATCAAGCCACGGGCTTTCAGAATCCCTTTTCTTCTTCTTCTTTTTTTCATTACTGACGAATAGATAAAATCTGTTTTGGTCTTCTCCTGAATGATCCGAAAGAATCAGGTTGGAGTTGTGCCTTCTCTCTCGGTGCAAAAGTAACTCCTCCTCCTCCTCCTCCTCCTCCTCCTCCTCCTCCTCCTCCTCCTCCTTACATTTATACCTTGATACTTGCAAAAACACGCAAGACAAAGCAGTGGAAACATCAACCTTACTGTTAGAGAAAGTGGCAGCATCTTCATTCAAACTCTTATATGCATGGTTCAAGGTCCTCATCACAATTGTAATACAATCAGCATGTCGCTTCTGATCCGAAACCTCGGTCAGACAAGTTCTATACGCTATTCGACTTTCCAACAAGACGATCAAGACAAACAACACCCCCTATCCACGTAGATACCAATGTCAACCCTTGAACCCCCCGACCTGTGCGGTCAACATGTCAAACAACGCCGTGCCTTGGGCAATATCAAAAACTTTTTGTTCCTTCAACTTCGTATTGCCGTGCCCATGAATCAATAAATCATCCCAAATCTTTGCCCTCAAATCGAATCACGTTACGTTGCGCAGACCTCTCCGACCTTCTGCGAACAATCTTCTCCTTGGCAGCTTGCCTTCGTTGGCGCTTCTAGGCCCTCCGCTTGCTCTTGGGACCGGAGTTGCCGTTGCTGGCACCATCCTCGTTCTGCTCGCCGCCGTAGACTTCCCTCTCGACGTTGCGGGCAGCTTCCCAGCCGGCCTTTTCAGCGAGCGTAACCTCGTCGCTCATGCCGCGAGCAGCCTGGCCCTTGAGCTTCTGGGCAGCGTTACTACGCTTCACGTAGCTCGCAATGAAGAAGCTGACAAAGAGATACGTCAGAGGGGCAAGGTAGACGACGTTGATCCAGATGGCGAACGTCTCGCTGGTGGTGAGGATGCAGGGCTGCACGAGATCATAGGTCCTCGTGACAGTGGTGGTCTTGCTATGGCTTGGGGCAGCCGCCGCAGCTTCGCCGGCAACCTCGCCAGTTCCAAAGATGAGCTGCTTGAGCGAATCCAGGGCGCTGACGGCCGTCGGGATGATGTAGTCGATCGGCGCGCTCTGGGTGGCGGGCGACTCTTCGGTAACGACATGGGTGACGGTGATGGGATAGACGTAAGTGATGAAGGAGTGGACCATGGCGCACGAGGCTCCAATGATGAACTGGGTGATTTGCATGCTTGTCAACATGCGCTTCATAAAGGTAGGGATTCGGATGGAGAAGGCCGTGAGAGTGTAGTAAGTGTACTAGCAGTCGGGATTAGCAAATGTCATCGGATCTGGTCCACCTTCAGATGTTGGGCCTCAGGCCACAGCCCCGAGACGAGGGAGACTTACCATCAATGAGTGGATAAACGAGTTAAAGAGGCAGAAGATCCAGATGGGGACGGCCATGTAGCGCATGCCCGCCCACATGCACATCATGGCGCCGGCGTGGTGGTACGTCTGCAGGGTCGAGCTGTACTTGCCCTTGGCCAGGATGATGAAGGTGTCGAGGACCTCGTAGAACTTGCTCAGGTAGAAGATCCAGCCGTAGTAGTTGAGGCCCTCGTTCCACATGCGGCCGGGCTCGGTGGTGCTGGGCATGCCATTGTTGGAGAGCAGAAGCGCGGCAGTGCTCTGCGAGGCGGTGTCCCAGCTGCCAGTGGTCTCGTTGAAGTAGACGGAGTTGCCCAGCCCTCGAGGGCCCTGAGGACGGCAGAAGGCATCTGCAGTCGCTGCAACGCCGCCGGGCCCAAAGGGACTGACAAAGCTCCGTCTCATGACGCCCACCATGCCCCAAAAGGTCCAGGCAGAGTAGACGGCCAGGAAGATGTTGTGCAGGACGACAAAGCAGAAGAACGGGCGTGTCTTGCTGATGCCCCAAGGCTTGTTCTTGCGCGCCTTGTTGTACTTGTTGAGCAGCTTCGCCGTGATGGCGTAGGCCACCGCAATGGTCAGGGGGACTCGGGCATCTAGTGCGGATACATAGAGGTTATCCGGGATGTTGAAGGGCCTCAGAATCGAGGTCGGGACATGTGCAGGCGGGATTGGCGCTGGAGGGTTGGCGGGAGGAAAGTTGAAGAGACCGGCATCGGGCAAGGAGCCCCAGACTTGGAAATTAGACATGCTGAATGACTGATGGATGATATGATGTTGCTGATTATGATGCTTTCTTCGACTGAAACGAAAACGAAGCCGCTCGAGACGTGTGGAAGAAAAAAAAAAAGCGAGGTTGTGGTGGTGAAAAGAGAAGCTCAGTCTCTCGAGTCTCTTGGCCGCTTGTGTGTAAGTCGTCGTCTAAGCAGGGAAGCTCCCACGGTTCTTGTTCTTAGTCCTTGCTGATCCGCTAACAAACACGGCAGTCTTGATGCTGTGTTTGCCCCCGAAACAGATACAATCAGGGTCTTTCGGCTAATGCAGGGAGAGCCAAAACAGCAATTCTCCAGAAACAACGAGGGAAGCAAAGACCGAAACAAATACTAGTTGCTGTCGCAGAGATATGGAGAGAAAAAAGACGAAATAAAACCGAAGAGAAAAAAATGCGATGCGATGTATTAGATACCCGCTGGCGCCGAGGCTCGTTCCAAGGGAGGGGTGAGAAAAAGAGCCAACCGACACGCCTGGCGAATTTGTTGGGGCACAGGCGGGTCAACGGAGGTCGACCAAGATGTCAGTGATGCAAGCGCTGGGCACAAAATATGGGAATGGAACAGAGCAGATGCAGATGGTGGTAGAGCTTCTGGCCGTCTGTTGGTTGATTGGTGCTTGGCTGAGCAGAGGAGGTGCAGTAACTTTCTCGGCTGCTCGTGCTCGAGTCGTCAAAGTAACTTTGGAAGCAGCGGCAGTTGTGCGTGTTTGTCTTGTATCACTCGATGGACTTGTTGCCTTCCATTTGTTTCGTAAACATGAAGCAAGTGGTTGTTCTATCTTCCAGGGCGGACAGTAAGCCGGGCTGGCGAATAGGTTCGAGGGGAGAGTCGAATGCTAGTAGTATTGAGAGAGATAAGAGATGTCTGGCTCGCCGGACAGGGTGAAGCTGGTCAAGCTCGAGGGAGGCGGGCTGTTTATACTCGGACGCCTTCATTTCGCGGGCATCGTCGAGACAGAGTTAGCAGCAGCAGCAGCAGCAGCAGTAACAAAACCCAGCGTGCTACAGCTTGGTATCCTAGACTGAAGCCATCGCATCTTTCTGGCCCCTGGCTGGCATCATATCACCCAAGCTTGAATTGCCGTCCCGTCGCCCTTGTGCTTGTCCTTGTTCTTGTTGTTGCGGCCGCTCGGCAAGCCAGGGGCCAAAGTCAAAAGCTGCTCGCATCCCTGTCACTTCGGAGCCCGCGGACCTGCACGTCGATCGATGTCGTCTCGATGGCTTCAGTGACCTGGAAACGGAGAGAGCGGAAGAGCCTCATTGTTGAAGCTTCCAATTGGAGATGTTTTGAGGTTATCAATCAGGGGTTAAGTACTAGGTAGGTAAGTACCTGCATGCATCGAGGAAGGAGCGATCTTCTCATGTTGCAGAGTGGTTATCGATACGGCAGATGCCAAAACTTCTACCTCATGTCCTTCAAGCCTCTTACTTCTTCGCTTCACCCAACTCTCTTCTCGTCATCTTCAAATCCATCTTCATCTTCATCTCAGCCCCATCATCGGACTACTAGTAGCATCGACCTTTGTCGCGGCTCTCCACGATCGAAACTCTTCGCCTAGCGATCCCAACTGCGCCCTGTCCCGCATCAAGGGCCGAAGCAGCCGTGCTTGCAGGCCGCAGCGGATCGAGCGGTATGAACGACCCAGAAAATCATACGAGTCCGCCTTGCTCTCCAGCTTGAACGAACTGCATTGATACATACACGGACCGAGGATCGTTGTGAGCAGTTCGCGGCAATGGCGCAGCCTCTTGGCCGTCTGCACGTCTACAGCTTGCTTCGTCCGTCCGCCCGTGTATGTAAATGCACCTCGATCCATGCCCGACCTACAACCCTCTTTCGACAATCGTCAGGCATCCTCATTGGCTGGCTCTTGATGCTGGTCCATGCTTGTCCCACCCCTGCACCTCCACTCCAAAAGCTCAACATATCGGCTCTAGGCCAGAAATGACGAGAATGCCATGAATACCATCCTCTGCTTCCACCATTCCATCACCCTGCAACAGATTCCCAAAGACAACTGCGTACTGTATAGTACTAATAGTACTAAGTGCTTGCAGTATCTTATGTGAACATGAGGTGCTGTCGATGCCATCTAATAACAGAAAGCACCCGACGTGCACTACCGCCTCACCTGCCTGTACGAGTAATGACCCTCCGTTGCCTCTTCTTCGCCGCTTGGGGGTGGCAATGGCAAGGCAAGGATACAAGCATACTGTATGTATTGCCGCTCGCGCCTCAATAACATGACACGCAAACGGCAACCGCCCTCGTTATCGACTGAGTGCCATTCTGATTGCGGGATACTGGCCTAGAGGATATCCAGTCGACGAAGCTCGTCCACCGTCTGCCACACAGTTTCTGCTGTCTCACGTCCTCATTCCAGGAACCACGCGACACCGAAACCTAAAAAGAGGCATCAAGGCCCTCTGGAAGCTCTCGAGCCAATGCTAGCCGCCCATCAGCGCCCTCCGGCCAGCCGCACCTCCTACGGAGTGGTTGCATCTACCCCGTCTCCCCGTGGCCGCGATGCGGAGCCGGATGCGGCAAACGGGCCATCTTCAGCTCTCACAGGCGCTCCAGTAGGAGGAAAACTTTTTTTGTTGGGGGGAGAGGCGATTGTTAGCGCCGCATCACTGGGATACAACCACGGTCCTTGGCAGTGGTATAATATTCGGTCGACTATAACGCAGTCGCCCGGTGATAAACGGGGCTCCCCGCATCATATTTGGGATACGACTTCGATGGCTAATCCAAGCCCTGCTGCAAGAGGCGGAGCAGTTGCATTAGCCGTGGGACTTCCTCGGCTGATATGAAGCTCTGCCAGGCCCTGGTACACTGACACTCTATGATATCTCTGGTGTTTATACGATTCTACTCCTTGTCTACTCTGATGGCTTCGAGATCTTACGAAGAGGACGGGGACATTTGCTCCCGCTAGGTAATCGACGATGCAGGCAAACTAACACTTAGCGGCCGCAACGGTCTCGTCTACAGACTCGTGAGCTTGCACGCTCCAACACATGGGCACGTGCGCCGTCTCTGCCCTCGATTGAACGGGGACATTCATTCAGATATACATAGCTCTAGGTACGCCCAATTTACAGGTCGTGCCTGAGGTCCATGCATCAACTATACCATACGATCATATCGAGGAAAACTCGGAGACATCGAGCAACAGCATACAAATCAGTCCACTTCGCCCGTATTCACACCTCAACGAGACACCGAATACTCAGAAGAGACAAAGCTCTCATCGTCATTACTGCCTACAACATCAGACTCGCGTAGAGCCGATAGCGAAGAATGTTTCCGAGCGGTTATTCAAGAAAGTGACATGCCATACCTGACCGTCTTGTTAAACAGGACGTTGAATCCATGTAGCCCATCTGTTCTTGCCCGTTGATCAAGCAGGAGATTCAAGTCATCGGAATAGACAAGGCGCATATCATCGGGATGACAAAGCAATCTGCTGGTATCACAATACATATACTACAATATTCCCCTAGTAGAGTGGGAGTACGGCGTCAACGCAGGGTAACATGGTACTGCATGCTACCTAGTATCTAGAGGTAAGGTAGATACTCGTCCCAAGGCTAGCTGTAGAAAGCCAACATAGGCACTTCGTAGATACTCTTACAACTCCAAGCTGCAATGTCTGGGTCAATCCCGCGGATAACGGAGCTTTATGTCCTCCTGACCTCGGTTGATACTACATCTCCGTATCGGAACATATGCCTCGCATTGCGAATCACTGTCGTCAGGGGGGGCGGTCAAGGCATCCTACGGGGATGCAACCTCACCGTCAGATATATTACAACCCCTGACCATCATGCGAGCCTCGTACTTTTGTACATTACAGTGTTAACGAGTCTTTTCTACAAGCCTACATTGGGAACATGTGGGATCATAGCTCCGCAAAGATCAAAAGGATAGTCATCCATCAACGAATCTCTTCATATTCGCAGTCATTGATTCTGTTCTAAAATCCATTCCATAACACAAAACACAAGCATTCAGGTCGCGCTCATATATCATTTCCTGTGCGACTAGCCAAAAAACAAACATACAGTCTTTGGATATCTTTAACATCATGACAGCCATTTATTTGGCAACCCACTCGCCGGCGATCCAGCGGTTGATAAAGTTGATGCTGCCCTCGGGCTCGTCCGTGGGCGTCATGTGGCCGGCGCCGTACACCTGGATCCAGGTGAGGTTGTGCGAGGACAGGACGTTGCCGTACGTCTTGTCGCCAACGGTAAGATCCTTGGCCTCGGCGGAGCGGAAGCTGTCACCGTGCTCCCACTCGAGCTGAGTGACCCAGGCCTTGTTGCCGAGCCAGTTGCAGATAAAGTCGGCGTCACCGGCGTAGATGAGGACAGGAATCTGCTTCAAGAGGTCGGGGACGAGGCGGTAGATGGGCTTCATCCAGTCACCACGCATCAAAAAGTCACGGTTGATCTGGAAGTTGCAGCTCTCGTAGCTGGAGACCTCGGCACCCAGAGCCTCCATGACCTCGGGCTTGTTCAGGTACTCGGAGATGTAGCCGAGACCCTCATAGCACAGGTTGCCGGAGTCCTCGCACTTGGAGCGGATGTCGTAGGGGTTGTAGCCGGTCTGCTGGTACGGTCCAATGAAGGCGTTGTTGCAGTAGATGGCAGCGGGGACGCAGAGCCACGCGCTCTCAGAGTCGTAGCAGTTCTTGATGAGGCTCTGGCAGCGGGGCAGGGCGTTGTCCATGGCGTTGCACTGGCTCTCGCTCAGCACGGCAGGGTAGCCACCCTCGCCGCAGGCCATGGGGCGGTAGTAGGCATACTGGGTGAACTCATCGGTCAAGCCATTGCCGACGGCAATGCTCTTGAGGTTGATGTTGCGGTCCTTGTGGGAGAGGATCTCGGAGGCAAAAGTGGGGACGTAGTGTCCGCCATACGACTCTCCGGCAATGTGGAAGTCCTGGTGGGAGTACTCAGGGAACTGGTGGAAGAAGAGGGTCATGAGAGCGTAAACGTCCTTGCCGGCAGCAACAGTGTCGCTGACCGAGCCGCTACCATACGAGTAGCCGACGTTGACCGGCTGGTCGAGGAAGATGACGGAAGCGTTGTTGTTCCATGCGTGAGGGTTGTGAACAACCTCAATCTTCTTGTTGATGGAGGCCGGTCCCAGCTCGAAGAAGAGACCGGTGAGGGAGGAGCAGCCTGGGCCACCGTTGAGCCACAGGATGACGGGGTCGTTCTTGGGGTCGTTACGGGACTCGAAGAACCCTACAAAAGGAGATATAGTTAGCTATTGGCCTGACAATGGACGAAATATGACAGTCAATGGGGGGATTAACTCACAGTAGAACAAGTGCTTGTCCTTCTCGTCGTCATCAAGGTATCCGCTAAACTGCTTCACCTTGTCGACGCCGAGCTTCTCGGGATTGACCTTCTTGGCCCGCAGGCTGTAGTTGGACAGCTTGCCGCCGACCAGCCGGCGCGGCTCGCCCGACTCGTCCTCCACCCACAGCTTCTGGACGTCGGCGCCCTTGACGACGTGGTCCCAGTCGCCGTCGGGCTTGCGGTCGTGCTTCTTGGGCTTGATGCCCTTGACCTGCTCCTTGAAGGCCGCCATGGCGTCGGGGGCCAGCATGGCGACCTCGTCCCAGACGGCCTTTGCGTCGGCCGTCAGCTCGCCAAACGACTCCTTGAGGGACGAGGCCAGCGACTCGAAGTCGGAGCCGAACTTGACCGCCGGCTTGGACGAGGGGTCGCTGAGGACCTTTTGGTCCTGGAAGGCCATGGCCGAGGAGGCGGCGCCCAGCACGAGGGCGGAGGTGGACAACCGCATGGTGACGGTTTGGCTGTGACGATGCTGATGATGATGAGGATGATGATGGGATGAGATGCGGATGAAGGAGTTGGAAGATGGGATGAGGAGGGGATGGAGGATGGAGGAATGGAAGAGGAGGAAGGGGGAACCAAAACAGGCCGGGCTAATAAAGGGCGTGGCTGGCCGCGAGACTGGCGGTCATTACGTACGTATGCGAGCAAGGCAGAAGCCCAACCTCCCGTCGTCCAAAACGCAGGCCAAAGACCGACCGCTTGGACGCGCTGAACCGAAACCTTGTGCTTTGCCTAACCGCATCCACCGCGCATCGACGGTCGCCGGTCACGCAGCCGCTGTTAGTGCTCCGATAACTGCGAGGTACCTGGCGTCTCACCTGTGCTTGTGTTTGTCACTGCTGGATCGGCAGTACGTATCTTACAGTACTGTAGCTCCCCCAATCCCCTCTCGCCCCTCCTCTCGCTGCAGGGTCTCCGGATAACAGATAACCGCAGCGGCGAGGGTGGCCGGCTGTTAGTGGCGATTGGCTGGTCCGGTTAGCGGATCCCGTACCCGGCACTGTTTGGGTCCCTTGATGGCCGCCGTGGCTGCGAGCATCAGCGGCGACAATCAGGGGATACGCAAATACATGGATATGCTGCAAATGGACAATGATTGCCGCCCAAGACATTGACGCAACGACTCTCTCTCTCCCAGTCTCCTAGGTACTAAGTATTCATGCACCTCGTGTGACTGTTCTTGGTACCTGAGCAATATGTACAGCTTGCCTGCTAAGGTACCCAAGCAACCCCGTGCTACATACCTATGCTGGCGACAGCAAAGGTTCCCCCAGGATACAGATAGCCCCCACATATTGCCGCTTCAGGCCTGGACAACCTCAGGGCCCCGGCTCGTACCGTTCACGTGGCCCCAATCAGCACTCAATCTCCAGGAGCGACAGGACGGCAGCGATTATGCTGCAGGAATCAAGCATTCATGTATCTTCAAAAGGGGGAATAGTTCAAAGTCGGGTATTGATGAGCATGTGTGGCTGCCTTGTTATTTCAGTTATACATACTGTGGACTCACTGAGAGGCTTGACTTGTCACATAAGGTATGCAGCAATGACTCCATATCGTTGCGACGCTTCAGGTCTACCCTAGACGCATGCATGTGTACGGAGTAATATTCAACAAATCGACTTATAGAGGGTGAGACCATACTGGAGCCCGCCAATGAGGCCCTCACATCGTGTCCAAAGAACTGAGAACTTCTCTCAGATATTCATTTCTCTTCATAATATATAGGCGTAACATCTATTTGCTCTCAGCAGCCTTGGCCGCTTCCTCCTCCTTCTGCTTCGCCTTCTCAGCCTTCTTGGCTGCAATCTGCTGCTCCTTGAGCAGCTTCTTCAGCTGGTTCTTGGTCATCTTCTCAGGTCCACCCTCCGTCGGGGCCGCGGTCTCGTCCGTCTTAATCTCCGGCACGACGAGATCCGCCCGGGGAACCTTGGGGTTGCCTTGCCACTCCAGCGGGCGGACGGCCATGAACTGCTTCACAACCTCGTCCGTCACCTTGGCTCTCCTCTCCTGGAATGCGCCAACATACTCCTGCAGCTTCGCAATGCAGATTGCCTTGAGCTGTTTGTTTTCCGTCAGCATCATCATCATCATCGTCATCAGGTAATCATAGCGATTGGAGCACTTACGTCGCCGGTGAGAAGGCTGCCACTCGTGTAGTCTGCCTTGATCTTGGCCAATTCCTGTACCATGCTGTTAGTTTAACTCCTTCGTCATGACAATGTATGTCCATACCTCATCATCTTCCAGGAAGAACTGCAGATACTGGAAGGATACATCAACATCCGGGTTGCCTCCCTTCTCACGGTGCTCCTCCACCGTCTCGCGGCCTCCTGAGAAGGCGTATCTGTTGACCTTGTTCTTGATCTCCTTGGCCGTATCCTTCATGAAGATGGCAGAAGTGTCGTCACTGGCTGACATCTTGGAACCCGGACCCTGTAGGGCATCTAGGAACCTCATGTGGACTAGCGAGGGCTTGGCGTAGCGAAGGCTCGTCGCGCAGTCTCGAGTCAAACGGAAGTAGGGGTCTTGATCAATGGCGCAAGGGATCAGACAGGGGATCTTGGCCGACTTGGTCTCGTCATCGCCAAAGATGTGAGGGAACGATGAGGCAAAAGCTGTGGCGCCCTGGATACTAGGAAAGTGAATCTTGCCAATGTTTGAGCTAGTGTCGAAAAGCAAAGGTTAGCTAGTGGTGACAACGCTGGTCATTGTAGAGTCGACTACCACTTACCTCCCGTCGAAGCCAAACACGGCCTTGGCCACATTGAACGTGACTCTCTTTGAGAACCTGGAAATGTTCCTGTAAAAGGCACCGCCGATGAATTCGTAGTCTGAGAAGATAAAAGTCTTCTTCATGTCGAACCCGGCCGCGATGATATCCTTAGCGTTGGTCTGAGTGTAGCTCATGACCTCCTCAATGGTTCGCTTCTCCGAGAAGAGGAACTTTTCATCTATACAGATGATGATTTAGCTTTCATCGTAGAGACACCTTGTGCCGAAGCAGAAGTCACCCACCGTCTGTCAACATGATAATCAGGGGGGCGTCAAGCACATCCTGGAGCCACCTGCGGCAACACATTAGAACACTTGCCCAAGTCAACGTCTTCAAGAAGTCTCGTACTTGACAAAGTCAAACACCTGGGTGTGTCCAATGTGCATGCTGTCGCTGCTGGGCCCTCGTCCAGTGTAAAGATAGAACGGCTCATTCTGTCAAACCGCGTCAGAAACAATACCACTTCATCCTCACCAGTAGTGGCTTTTCCCCTCACCTTCTCATAACGATCCAGAATGGCCGTCAAGTCTCTGTGACTGAACACAATCCCTCGGCGCATGAATCGATGCGGCTTGCTGCCAGTGACCTTCTCCCAGCGCTCCAGCAGCGCATCGTCAATCAGGCTGGTGCCGAACTCGTCAATGAGCTTCCGGTAGTCAATGGCCTTGACCTTTCCGTCCTCGCCAACTTCTCCAGACACGGACCACGGGTTGATGTCCTGCTTGCCGGCCGCATGAGGAACATCGGCCGTCTTGTCCTCGACGGCCGGTGCAATCGGAGCGTCGGCCATTTCGTGCTATATCCTTTGGGGGCAGTGAGGCTGGGCTGCTGGTTCAGACCTTGACGAAGCGGTACCAACACGGCAAAGATTTGTGTGTAACCGTATAGTTTGGAACACTTCCTGTGACTCCTCGTGACTCAACAACACTTCGCAAAGGCGGGGCAATACCAGCAGGATATCAGCAGAGGAAGAAATCAAAGGCCAGGGTGTTGTGCAAGGCTGGCTCGCATTCTTGGTGGGGTAGAAAAAAGTTCAAGTGTGTGCATAAGCACCAGAATGACAGGCAGAGGAGAATTACACCCCCAGCTAAACTGTTTTGAGCATCTCCTGCGGTACAGCTTCATTGCTTCTCTTGTCCTCACGCAGGTGGACTACAGCTCTAGTCACATATCAGATGTCTCATAGTGCACTTCAAGATGGCGAGTCGAAGGACCATAGGGATGACATCTGCAGCAGCATAATTTCATCGTGGATTGCGCCTCTTCTGACTCCCATTACTGACAAACCAAGGCAAAGCCATCACCATCCACTTACAGTCTAGTCCACGTCCATATTTGTAAGCCCAGCGTCCATCCATCCCGCCAAGCCGCACGTCAGTCATAGCCTTACGATTTATTTACATTCTGCACTTTTCGACGTCAGTCTGTTTGTTCCTTGCATACATACGTCTGGATCTTGTCCACAGAAAAGCACTGAAATAGCGCCTGCGATTCGTTATAAAGCATCAACTTCCTTCTCCATCTCTTCGACCTCACCTTCCTCCCCTCCCTTCTTCTTCTTCTTCTTAAAAAAGAAAAAAAAAAAAAAAAGAAAAGAAAAAGGTTTCGCGATCCAGCGCAACCCAAAAACGAAAAACCCGCCACAATGTCCCGCCAGATCAACCTCCCCTCCAACCAGATCAAGCTCACAAACGTCTCCCTCGTGCGCTTGAAAAAGGGCAAGAAGCGCTTCGAAATCGCCTGCTACAAGAACAAGGTCCTCGAGTGGCGCTCCGGCATCGAGACGGACCTCGACAACGTCCTCCAGATCCCAAACGTCTTCCTCAACGTCTCCAAGGGCCAGACGGCGCCCAAGGAGGACCTCGAAAAGGCCTTTGGCAAGGGAAAGTCCACCGACGACATTGTCCTCGAGATCTTGAAAAAGGGGGAGCTGCAAGTCGGCGACAAGGAGCGCGCGGCGCAGCTGGAGAGGGTGCATAATGAGGTCATTAGCATTGTCGTCAGTAAACTGGTCGATCCGCGGACGAAGAGGGTATATACGCCTGGAATGATTGAGAAGGCGCTCGACATGTTGAGCTCGCAGGCCCACCAGAACAACAACAACACGGAGAAGGAGAAATCAACAGATTCGGGTGCTGCGACGCCCACGACGGGAGAGGCTGGCGAGGCCAAGCCCAAGACAAAGGAGCACACCTGGACGGGCGTCACCACCACCAAGAGCGCAAAGAGCCAGGCCCTGGACGCGATGAAGGCCCTCATCGCGCATCAGCCCATCCCCGTCGCGCGGGCCAGGATGAAGCTCCGGGTTACGTGCCCTACCAACGTCCTCAAGCAGGCCGTCAAGGCGCCCAAGGCCGCGGCGAAGGAGGACGAGGACGGCAGCGGCGAGGCCAAGGCGCCCGGGACCGTCAAGGATCGGATTTTGGGGTACGTTGAGCAGGTTGAGAGCCAGGATGTCATGGGCTCAGAATGGGAGGTTGTGGGCTTTGTTGAGCCGGGTGCTTTCAAGGCCTTGTCTGATTTCATTGGCAATGACACCAAGGGGCAAGGAAGAGTCGAGGTTTTGGATATGGCGGTTACGCATGAGGATTGAGGTAGACATATTGAAATGGGAGCCAAAGGGAAAAAGCAATGAAATGATACCCCAATAATTGATTTCCTGACGCTTGAAGGATTCTTGCAAGCGTACTTTGTATTTGACCAAGCTTCATAGCGTAAAGATTTTTGTTATACACGAGATAGCAGTCCAGCAAAATACGGATACATTGAATCTCGGACCATTTAATCTCTGATTCCTGCACATTCAACCAAATGGTGGGCCATCTTGTGGCATGGCACAATTCAGATAACGCTTTGAAAATGCTTTTAATTCATTCGACTCTGATCTAGAGTACAGCACCAGCTGCGTATGCCAGAAAGCAATCCCAAGGAAATGCTCATCACAAAGATGAAAAACCCAGCCGTCACGCCTGTCCACCCCAGACCGAAAACAGTAAAACCATTAGCCACCCTTCTTCTTGGAGACACCGACGGTCCGGCCGCGACGACCGGTGGTCTTGGTGTGCTGACCGCGGACGCGGAGGCCCCAGTAGTGTCGGAGACCACGGTGGGCGCGGATCTTCTTGAGGCGCTCCAGATCCTCACGGAGCTTGGAGTCGACGCCGTTGGCCAGGATGTGGGAGTCCTTGCCGTCGACAATGTCGCGTTGTCTGTTGAGGAACCAGGCGGGGATCTTGTACTGGGTGGGGTTTTGGATGATGGTGACGATACGCTCGAGCTCTTCGGAGGTAAGCTCACCGGCGCTGCAGTTCAAAAAAAGTTTTTGTTAGTCTTCCAGATTCCCAGGTTCTTCGCGTGTTTGATGGCTTCGGTTGTAGCTTCTACAACCAGCAGAATCAAAAGCCAAAGCCACAGACATAGATCGGAGTATTCGCGTACCGCTTGTTCAGGTCGACATCGGCCTTCTTGCAGACCAAGTTGGAGTATCGGCGACCGACACCCTTGATCTTGGTCAAGGCGTACATAACCTTCTGCTTTCCATCGACGTTGGTGTTCAGAAGACGCAGAATCTGGACGAGGAAATAACTGTTAGCCCAACTGATTGCTCCTGATGAGAAGCCCCCCTTCCATAATGCTCTCGAGCGCGTCTCGAGACGCATCCCCAGCGCTCCGAGATTTTCCTCCTGGATCATCGCGACGATGACATCCCACGACCGCATAAGAAACTCTCGGCAGCAACTGGAATAGATGCTCTCTCCTTCCTCCAGGGTGAATTGGTATCACTTACGAACTGGAAGTTCGTCTTCTCTCCCGTGACGAGCGACATGCTGGGCAACTGTATCGGTCGTTGCCGTGCTGCTCGTTAGAATCGATTGTTCGGGGTTGAAGAGAAGAGGGCGGAGGATTTCACAGGACTCGCTAAACATGGTGGAATTTTCGGCCCTTGTGGGGGCACAAAGTAGGGCACACACAAAGCCTGCCAACGTAAGCAATCACGTGCATGAGCTGCACGTGATCTGCTGACTTGGCGTGTCTCTGGACAGTGTGTGCAAGCCGTGCGTGTTTTGCATCCGCACACCCCGCCAACCTCCCATCTTGAAATTGACCAAAAATTTCTCTCGGCCGAATTGCTTTGGTCGAGATCTTGCTCCCATTATCAACAGCATGCCTGGAGCTCTTGCATCACATACAAGAGCTTTTAACTTCTTAGCAACAAATTACATGCCCTTTTGAGACGGTAGGTGCTCGTAGACTCTTCAAGTAGCTAGAAGCATCGTCTGTTTCCATCGCTCGGCCAGCGTGTCCTCGCCCGCTGGTCTTGAGCCGGATGCCCGTACTCTTTTGTATGGGTATAAGACAAGAGCAATCACAACGTTTTTTGAGTACGAGACCTTTATTTGTGTGGAGGCTTTCGTAATTTATCTGTTGTTACATATCCCGCAATTCCTCATTCCAGGTTTCCTACCTTATCCATTAGACCGCATTTGATTTCTGATGTAACTTTGTTCAACCAGCTTCAGCCACCTCGCCCTTACACACCCAAAGCTCGATACATCCCAGAATATCAACTGACCCGTCGAGGGAGCAAACTACCCAGCAACTCGCTCGCCATAGCGTTACTACTCTCCCTTGAGACTTAACATCACTGCTTCGCCTTGGTTTCACTCTTCGTCCTCCATATCTTCATCTTCCTGGTTGCCGTTAAAACCTAATTCAAGGGATGAAGCCGAAGGGCTGCGGACTCACCTCCTTGGGCCCCGTCAGTCTGCTAGTCAAAAGCTCCAAGAGATTGGCCCGGTCCATCTCGTGCGACTGAGAACCGCCTCTGGAGGGTGGCGCAAGCATAACTCCGACTCGAGAAAGTCCGCGTATCTCTAAGAGTTCGTCCAGGCCGAGGACATCCGCTATTCTCGTGACCTTGAATGACAAAGGGAAGTAAGACTTCATAACCGTGGCCCGCTCGTTGAGATGAATGTATGTCAGCTTGGAGAGAATGATCCCAAGACTGTCAAGCTTAGGAAGCTTGTTTAACAGCTTGAATGTCTTTGCCGCCTCAGGGCCGCTCCACGAAACCAAGATGCTCCTCACATTCTGGCGGAACATGTTGTTGCGACTCAGATGCGACTGTAGTTCGCAGGGGCATCTGAATCGAAACGACTTTTCGCGGTAAAAGACTCGGAAAAACTCGCCCGTCATCGAATTCGAGCCGAAGAGACACGGCAAGTCTCTCATTTGGATTGTCTGAAACGTATTGTCCCGTTCGAATCGAGGGCACTTGCAGCCTGGAGTCTTGTTGCCCGCCGGCAGGATAGCCTGGGTCCGGAAAATGTTGTCTATGATGAGGCTGAAGACTTTCCGCCGTATCTCCGCCGGGAGCCTCATGAAGGGGAACCCATCTGTAGAAGGCTTTCTGTCTGCGGGAAGATTGTCAGCACAACCCTCGCAGAACCGCGTCAAGTCGTGCGAGGGCACGCCGCAAGGGCATTCGCATCTGACACTTGACTTACCTGCGATCTCGAGGAGCTCGGTGCACATCTCGATGACATCAACGCACGTGGTGAGTTCCTCGGGCTGCTTCTTAATGATGCCCGCGCATTTGGTAATGGTGTTGGCAATGGCCGACCTGCGATTTGGGCTCAGGCGCACGAGTCTGCCCAGCTCCACGGCGTCGATGGAGCCGCTGTGGTAGTGATCCAAGGCCGTGAACAGGTCCTGGATGTTCTTGGACAGGCCATACCGGGTCGGCACCGCCTTGAGCTTGAGGACGAAGAAGGACTTGGCCATCTCTGGAGGCGGGCCGCTGGATGCTGGATCGGGGAGGCTGCCTGCTTGTCAGTTCGGAGAGTCTTGTCGTGGGTGATGCAAGGTCAGCGTCTGACGCATAAGGCTGCTGCCGTTAAGAGTCTGCTTGAGATGGCAGAGTTTGGCCGCCAGTTGGCCAGGCTCGAGGTAGTGACGAGTACTGGAGGAGCCCAGCGGGAAGGCGCGAGAGGGCACCTGCCAGGCCTGGTAGTGGTGGCCATTCTGCCATATGCCAGCTGCCTGGCGAGCAAATCCGAGGTACCTTATCAGGTGCACTTCTCAAGACAGTCGAGGAGGCAGAGCTCGGGAGTAGTCACAGAAAGCATCAAGCCGCACCAAATTTCAAGGCTGAGCGGCAATAGCGCTGCAGTTGACGCGAGTATAAAAGGGTTGCATAGTGCTAGGTCATTGTTTGAGGGGGGGCGAGGATGCGCAAAGACGAAGCTGTCAATGTTGTTGGCGTGATATCACGCTGGCTTCTGTTTGGGCCAAACCACAGAGTTCCTACGCAGTCGGACAAGACAGGTCTCACTCTCAATTTCTCCTCACCCTCGTCTTGAACCTAGGTAGCCCCGGATTAATTCACAGTATAGCACTTGTTGCAGATGGGATCAACGAATTAGATGAGTATCGATAGATTTATTCAAGAGACATCTACTCTTTGTGAGAGACACGAGCAATTATTGCAAGTGCCGTATATGTATGGAACCCGATCGCTCAGGTCATGCCCAGTTTGTTCCCAGCCATCCAACGCCGTGATCCGTCTACAGCGAGATCTTTTCTAAAACCTCTGTAGAATATTTCCAAACTCCCGTGTATCCAGATTCAAAGCACAGGTAATAGATAGGATAGACAAAGGAAACAGTAATTGGCAGGGTCCCAGAAACCCACGTCGTCTAGGTGTAGCCGCCCTCCATCGTCATAGCCATTTGCGTCGTGGTGAACATAGCACAAGGTGAAGTGTGCAAATCTCGCATCGCAACTGAGATGCGGACTGCGCGGAATAAACTGAAGAGAGAGAAAAAAAAAAGCTGTCAAATCGAAGAAAAGGAGAGAATCGCTGCGGTCGCATGAAGGCCGCCGACGGTTTGGGGAGATCTCAGATCTGTCCCCTCATGCTATGCAGGTACAATCGCTGCCGGTGGGGGTGGCGGTCTCCGCAGCGTTGTAGTGTCGGTGAGGAGGCATTAGATAAGGTAGGTAGCAAGAAAGTTGAAGATTGGTGTCCGAAATTGGTGTTGAAGATGAAGGTAAAGATAGTGGAAGAAATCCGCCGGAAAAACTGCCACGGCTAGATGATTTCTCTTGAAGCTGCTGCAATAGAAAACAGCACGCGCCTTGTCATGTGGCCGTCGTCATGTGGTCGCATGCTGAAAAGGATAAGGCATTAGACTGCGTTGCATACAATCGCCGGTCAGATCTACCTAGCCGTGGTGGTGGTTTGGATCTGGCAAATGAGGGGAATCCCCGGTCGCAAGTCGCATGCTAAGCAGGCATCGCGTCGCTCCGGCTCTCGGTTCCCGGCAATGCTTGCAATCGTGCATGTGCAATCCATGATTTAGCAACGCACGCAGCGCTCAAATCAGGCACGCAAACTCAGACATCCTCGGGCCCCAGGTCGCAGCTGTTGACGCGCGTGCAGCACGGGCTGATGCCGTCGCAGTCGAGGTCCTGGAGGATCTGGCTGGGGTCGGAGGCGCCAAACTCCATCTTGAAATGGCTGAGCATCTCCTGGTGCTTCAGGTTCTGCTCCGTCATGGGCTTTTCGCTCGGGTGCTTCCACTTGCGGCCCTTGTTCTTCCTGCGCTCCCTCTCCTCGCGCTTCGCCGCCTCCTTCTCCTTGTCCTTTTCCTTGCTGCGGAGGCTGAATGAGGCGAGTGTCCTTGATAATGTTGAGCTGGTCTTTTTCAGCGATAGCTGGGGAGCGGTTTCGGAGCTGGAGCTCTGTCGGGCCGACGACGATGCTGTCGTGGTATTTGAGTCTGTCTGAGAAATGATGGTGTCTGAGTCGTCGGATCTGCGCAGGGCGCGGCGGAATCGCTCTCGGATAGCCATTGTGAAGCTGGGCTGTGGTTTGTCGTGGTAGGTAGTCGGTGGAAGGCCAGTTCTACTAGGTAGGCCTCGAGAGCAGGCGTTGATGTTTTATGTACTCGTGCGAGCTGTTATGCCGGAGTGCAGAGTACAGCCGAGGGTTCGAATGTTTGTATCACAGACTAGACGCCGGGGTCGGGGGCTGTCGGGGGCTGTTCCGAGAGTAGGTAGGTGTGTTCGGACAAGGCCCTTTGCTTGGGGGAGCGAAAGCAAAACGCTTTATAAAAAGGGCCAGCAAACAGCCTCAAAGGCGAAGGGTACCAGGTTGGCAGAGCGTATCCTGTTTTGACGATTCCCAAAGCAGCCCGTAAGGCTTAGAGTTTGCACAATGGGTGTAGATGGCTGAATGTGGCTGAAAGGCGGTTGAAGATGGCTGGAATAGCTTCGAGGCCAGGCTTTTTTTGACGGAAGACAGAAAAGAGAAAGAACCAAACGTAGAAGCGAAACGCAGGCGCGCCCGGGAGCAGATCGACGGCTACTTATTTCAAAAGGAGAACGTCGAAAAGCGCTCACGGATCGAGTCAATCAGTGCCGGGATCAGGGAAGGACGATTGTCTGCGAACTGCTGCTAGTCAGGGCCACATTATTGATGTACATAGGTAGGTAGACCTGCATTTGTGCCACCAGGTTGTATACCATCATTTCCTCTACAAAAAGAGCGAATCGACGAGGTATCTGTCAGTATCTGTCAGTACTGGACGGTACAGGCAATGTCCGTGTTCCCCAGGTGGCGACCCCCCCAGCAAAACTCGGCCTTTCTCTCTCATCTGGCGCAAGCGGAGCAGAAACACGCCCCCATCGCATCCAAGGCACCAGCGAAACGGACGACCAGGGGACCGGCGCCCCGAGCTGCTTGCGGCTGCCATTGGCCCAGCACCGCGTCCAGCGAGCCCACCGAGTCCAGCCGGCTCCAGAATCTCCAGGAATTCGTCGCAACGCTGCGAAATTCCCCAGCCGGGGTTCCCGCAGCCCCCACCAGCAATGAAGTCAGTATGGAGCTGCTGGGGCTTGTTTGCGGCCACGGCATTGGGAGCAAATCTTAGCGGCCTGCTCTAGAAGGGGGGGGCGCTGTTCTGGCTACCACTCTAGTACCTAGGTACTGGTTCGGGGGTTTTTTTTTTCTTAGCGACCTCCTGATTCTCCCTCCCTTTGGTCCTTTTTCAGGTCGCTGGTTGGCCTTGTCCGTCCACCCACCACATCCTCGGCGGAATAAATCGCAGCCTCGGGGCCAACCAACGAGTCCCAGTTATCCCCGAAAGGAGCCCTCCATCGCCTCGCAAAGTACTGTATGTAATGTACTCGTATGGTGCGCAGGCGCCGGTCTCAGATTGCGGAGGCGCCGCTAGCAGTGAAGCCTCACTTGTGATCCTCATAGATTTCATTTCCAGGTTGGGTGTGCAACCATGATTCAAGGGGTGCTTGTCGAAAGGGAAAAAGTGCATCTGCCGCAAAGTCCATGAGCTTGGGACGCCGCGCCGAGAGACAGCTGCAGCAGCCATACCTACTAACAGGAGCATCGCATGCACGAATATGCATGTTTAATTAGATCTTCTCGACGTCGCTCTCCTTTCCGTCCGCCACTGCATCCGACTTCTTTTTCTGTCAGACGCTGAGGGTGTCGCTCGTACCTCGTACAGTAAAAGGTAAGGTACTGTCGCAGGTGAAAATAGAAAGCGGAGACGGCGAGACAGTCTGGCGTCTGGTAAGCCGGACGCGTCCAAGGACTCGGAACAAGGCCGCGGACGGTGGGACACTGTCTCTCGCGCCCCCGTCTAAGTTCTCACGAGCTCGTGACTTGAATGAATCTTGGTCCATTGTTCTGCGTTTGCACTGTGATTTCCTCGCCTCTTCCGAGAAATCCTCATCTGGGGACGAAACCACCATGTCCCTCGCACGCCGTTTGATGTGGCGTTTGATGTGACGGCTTGTTACTCTATCCCAGCCTTGCACAGACACAGCGACACAGCGACAAAGCGACACAGCGACACAGCCCAGACGACGGCGCTGGCTGATACACGCATCCCGTGTGGCCGAGGGAAACCGCGCAGATTCAGTCTTGGCTCCGCGCCGGCACTCGAACCAAAAAGAAGCTGACTCGCTGTCCCGTCGCAACACCAGGTTAGCGCACTGCGACTCTGCAAAGGCCCGTGGGAGTCGCAAAAACGGGAGCCGACATGGATGTCAGTCCGTCGTCGTGGTTGATCGGCCACGGATCTGGGCAGCGGACACGATTTCGCCTACATAAGGTACGGAACAGGGCTTCTGGAGGGGGGGGGGGGGACCAAGTGCGGTTCAGCTGGATTTGCCTGGCCAAATTGGCCTATGCACTTGCTCAACGTCCAATATTATGCACATATGACATGGTTCTGAGAGCGTCCTCGGCGGTTCCGCCAAGATGACACCCCCCCCCCCCCCAATTGCGCCATCAGACCGCTAGCGAGCTCTCCTCACTGTTCCAGTCGCGAACCGTCTTTTTCTCGAACGTTGGCGATCAGTTGCAAAGGCGCCAAACTCATCTCTGGAGGGTGGTCGACTTCGGGTCTACAGCGGCTGTGGCGGATATCCGTCAGTGCCACCATCTGCTGGATGGGGGACGCCCAAAGACTTGCAGGACACCCTCTCGGTTGAGCCGTCCCGTAAAGAGCCGGCGATAATGGGCGGGCGATCTCGTTCGTGCCCTCCGGCGCAGGCGCCTCACGTTGTTTGGATGTCCCGAGACGGGTTTTTGAAGGTGTCAGCCCACGGCATCTTGCACTGGTGGCGGTACTACTAGTGATGGCTGCAACCTTCGCCTCCTTTCTTGGTGTTGGTGAGGGGGCAAGGCGGAGTGGTATACCGCATGTATGCGTTGTTCGGGAGAGTGCCACAGCATGGGCCAATTCACGAAGAAAAATCATCAACGTGCATTTATCTGCTGAGTGGGCAGAGGACCAACAACGAGGGAAAATCCAGACGAGGAGGAAAGATCCAACACACATTGATTGGGTGGAGCTGAGACATTGTGTGTCGTTGCTACGCCTGGACTGCCATGTGCCCCAAGGCACGACGATCGTGACGCTCGCGGGTCATCCGAAATGTACATCCATACCTACTCCTACACAGAGGCCTCGCCCTTGTACCGCACGTTGGGCAGTGATGCTGTACCTACGGATCTGCTGGCATCTCTGCACTTGTTGGTGCGACGTGCCTGTCACATTTGGCTCAAGGCTTGTTCTGCATCCAGTACTGGTCACCCCCATGGATCAAGGAAGTGAGGCCGCTCCAAAGCCTGACTTGCATGCAAATTTGACAATTTGACAGTCATGCAGAAGAAGCGACTCATGTGCCTTTGAAGTCGTGCGGTAGGTACATTCAAGTGAATTTTGCAGATAAGACAAAGACACTCACAGAGCAGCTCACATTAACAGTCTAGGCGGAGAGTATATTCTCATAGGGTCTTCACATAGGGTCAACGTACCTACCTAGGTAGTTTGAAGCAGCATCATACCCTCCCCCTAGCAGTCATGATATCCTCCCGCTTTCCCCCACAGAATCTCAACTTTACTCGGAAGGTCTCCAAAGCGACCATCATACACCTACCAGGGCTGGTGGTCAAGTCGCTTCCAAGGCTCTACCTCAGTACCTAGCGCATCTCCTGCCACAGCACCTGATATCTTGCACCCAAGTGATGAAGAAGAGGACTTTCCCGAGTTGTGCTCTTCTATGAGTTTATGCCAGCAGCAGACGTACTCATGTACTGCTGAATGATACTGTACCATGAGACCCGGTTTGACGCACCCACTCATATGTCGAATGTCGTCAGGAGAGTGTGTGGTTTATACTAACCCGCTGCGTGGGGCATTGTCGACTTGACAACGTCCTTTGTTGCTGGGGAATCGTCCAGGATGCTGTCCCAGAACAAGGCCGACCCATATTACTTGACGTAACCTGTCTATGGGCTCCTACTGGGCATGGCAGTATCGTGTCTCCTCAGTATCGAGCTTACGCAAGGCGACTGGGGACTGGAGTCTTTCAGCCTGGTCTATCGATACAAAGGCTGGAATGTCCCACGAGTTTCGCCGAGCCAGTGTTCTAGCTCCACAGCATGACATCTCCAGCGCCCATGTGGTCTTCGACGCTGTTATTCAGCACCAGATCGGATGCCCCAGGACGACAGTACGATAGCAAAAGGCTGATCTGGGGTGAAACGATGCTAAAGAGAAATGCCATTCTTTTATCCACGATATGATTGCAAAACCGGCGCCAGCCTCTCCGAAGCAGATGGCCAACTTGCCTAAACTGTACTCTTGCAGCGACTGGGCAAACGCCTTGGTGATGTCACTGCCCCTTCAGCTCTTCTCCGCGATTCTTCGTGCCTGAACATCAGCGCGCTTCGTCAGCAACCGGCGCATTCTGATTGGCTCGTGCCCACATGACGCATCACGATGCCCTCCAGCCGAACTCCCTGAAGCTCGTGATTGATGCACTTCGACTCTTGCCCGTCACCCTCGGCGTACCAGAGGCTCTCTAACTCCATCCGTCTTCTCCTCAGCAGGTTAACACCCCCAGGCTGTGTGTCCCACGAGTCGGCACCTGCATCTGTGCGACGGTTCCACTGCCTTGATCGATCCCCCATTTCGACAGTACATGCAGTGCCAGCTGTTTTGATCGCGTGGTCTCGTTTCATCCAAGCATCCTCCTCCTCAGCCTCGCCGCGTGATTCGTCTGGTCTGAGCGAGGCACCTGATTCGTCTTTGTGGCAGGCTTGCTGCCCAGCTGAAGAACACAGCCTTCGGTGCCGGCTTCAAACGCTCGCGTTCAACCGGTCATGGCCTTCTCGTGAAGCTACCTACTGTTCTGTAGCTCGTCCATCGCTCTATATCATCGCCCATCATCATTCTGCTTCGATCCAAAGGTATCGCATGCTTCTTCGCTGATTGACTTTGCCGGCGCTGCCGCATTCCCACTCGCATTCCAGTCTACTTGACTGATTCACATCCGGCCCGTTAATCGACCATGACGGCATCGTCCCCCCGCGAGTCCGAGCAGGGCGAGACGCCTGCTCCTCGGCAGCAGCAGTTTACACCGACCGCCAGCACATCGTCGACTCCGGGCGCCGCTTCTCCCCGGAACCGCTCCATCGACGAGCGGCATGAGCAGGGCCAACAACCCACAAACGATGAACACTCGCCGCTGCTGCCTCCAGCCGACTACGATGCGTTTGGTTCCCGGTCGGACGGACGACGCGATAGCCATACTGACGACAGCGACACAACCAAGAGCTTATGGTATCTGACCATCTTGACCATCGGCATTGGAGGTCTGCAAATTGCATGGTCTGTGGAGCTCTCGAATGGCTCGCCATATCTGCTATCCCTAGGCTTGAGCAAGTCTCTGATGGCTCTGGTCTGGATCGCGGGTCCCCTGACCGGCACCTTGGTGCAGCCATACGTCGGCATGCTCAGTGACAACTGCCGCCTCCCATGGGGTAAGAGGAAGCCGTTTATGCTTGGCGGTGCTGCCGCCACCATTGTAGGGCTGCTCTTCTTGGCTTGGACCAAGGAGATTGTCAGTGGTATCCTGAGCATTTTTGGTGCCGCTCCCGAATCGCACGGAGTCAAGATCACCGTCATTGTCACGGCTGTGATTGGAGTTTATCTGCTGGACTTTGCTATCAACACAGTCCAGGCCGCTCTCCGTGCCTTCATCGTTGACTGCGGGCCTGCCCATCAGCAGGAAGCTGCAAACTCCATGGCCAGCCGCATGACGGGCATTGGAAACATTATCGGATTCATTGCGGGATACGTCAACCTGACCAAGCCTTTGTGGTTCCTCGGCGATACCCAGTTCAAGATTCTGTGCGCCATCGCAAGCTTTGCGCTTGGGTCGACGGTCCTTTTGAGCGCTGCAGTGATCAAGGAGAGAGATCCGCGGTTGGAAGGCCCTCCGCGCAAGAAGCACAGCATCTTCCTCTTCTTCTTCACCCTCATCAAATCAATCAAGCGACTGCCGCCGCAGATCAAGCGGGTGTGCCAGGTGCAGTTCTTTGGCTGGGTCGGCTTCTTTCCCCTGCTGTTCTATACGTCTTCGTACATTGGCGAGATTTACGTCCAACCGTTTCTGGAGAAGAACCCTCACATGACTCCTTCAGAGATTGACAAGCTTTACGAGCAAGCAACTCGCATGGGCTCTTTCGCTCTTCTTATCAACTCCATCGTGAGCCTGCTGGTCAATGTGTTTCTGCCTTTTCTTGTTGTACCGACGTACGATAGCCATCCTGGCGTGGACAGCTCGGAGTCTGACCCCAAGAAATCCTTCCTGCACCACCTGAGGATACCCGGCTTCACCCTTAGACGGGCCTGGTTCGGATCTCTCATTCTCTTCGCCATTGTCATGGTCTGCACCTTGTTTGTGAGGTCTGTCGGCGGCGCAACGGCCTTGATCGGAATCGCTGGAATCACCTGGGCCATTACCCTGTGGGCTCCGTTCGCCATCATCAGCGCCGAGATCAGCCGTCGCGATGCCCTCGCCCGCCGCGCCAAGCGCGCCCGACGTGACAATCGTGGCGCTTCCCCGGGCCCCCCTCCTTTGACTCCATCTGGTGGTCATACGTCCCCGATGGAGATGATTGAAGCACCAAAGGAGGAGGAGGTTGACCAAGCTGGTGTCATCATGGGCATCCACAACATGTCCGTCTCCTGTCCTCAGATCATTGCCAACATAGGATCGAGCTTAATCTTCAAGATATGGCAGAAGCCGAGGGGAACACCAGGCGACCATAGCATTGCCATTGTTTTGGCGCTCGGAGGCCTCTTTGCGCTGGTGGCCGCCTTTTTCGTGCTGAAGATCAAGGACGACGTCTCAGTTCCGCCCGAGACGCTGGCTGACGAGGAGCATGGTGCGGACCAGGATGATGACGAGATGTCGTCTGCCGGGGATTTCTCTGGAAACACGAAGCCGGGCTACTCTGCGGTGCCGACGGCGGAGACGGAGGCTCCGAGACTGGTGAGGAGCGGAAGCTTTGGGGGGATGGAAGTGGCGTCTGGTTCTGATAGATGAGCCGATCCGGTGTTGATTTCCAACGTGGCACACTGCCAAGCCTCTCGACTCGTTTGGAGGTAGAGTAGAGATTTTCTAGTGTATATGATTTGTAGACTGATCAAGCCTGTAATAATTTGCCATCAACATGGGGTGGGCACATATGGTTGAAGATTTGTATTATAGTGTAACCTTGTCATCTTAACTTGAACATTGCCAGTCCTGACGGATAAAAAAAGACGTTTTGTCCAGCTTTCCCTTGGTCCCCTTCGCTCATGGCACCATAGAATTGAAGCCCCCCCTCCCCTTTATTCAATGTTTCCCATCGTGATGCTCGTTCTTCCTCAGCAAAAGAATTGACAAGATCCAACCTCCACCTCATCATAGGTACCCTACCTTATCCCCTCGAAACTCCCAAGAAGTCTGCATGTTCCAAGTCAAGTCCCACCTCAAAAAGACAGCAAAGCAGCAGCAACAACAACCTACATCATGACCCATCATCTGCAGAAGGCGGAGAGTAAGTATATTCATCTTCTCCCCTTTTTTTTTCTCTTTTTTTCACACAGCCGTCTTGGTCCTCGGCCTCCCAAGCTTACACACGCCCAGCGTAGTGACGAGCTCCCCCGGCGACGGGCCCGTCTTGTGCCACGTGGTGACGCCGGCCCAGAAGTGGCAGTACGAGGTGCCGTTGACGCAGTAGGTGATGTCGCAGTGCAGGGGGCCGGGCGTGATGGTGGGCGCGGGAGCGGCGTTGCTGCTGTTGGTGTTGTTGGAGAATGGGAACGACGAGGTGGTTCGGATTGGGGGGGTTGTTGTTGTTGTTTTTGCGTGAGTTGAGAGGAGGAGGAGGAGGAGGGAGAGGGTTGGGAGGAGGGACTTGAGGATCATTGCGGGTTTGCGGCTGGTTTGTTTTGTTTATGTAGGTAATGTTGTAGGTAACGTTGTCTAGGAATGTTTTTTGCCGTGGTGTTTGAGGTGTTGTTTGATGCTTGAATAGGTGTTTGAATAGATGTTTGAGTAGGTGTTTGTAGGGAGACGGTTTCTTCGTCTTATATACTAGAGGAAAGTTGTTAGATCTGTCTGTGATGTGATTGCTGTTGTGGAAAGAGCTCGATAGACCCTTCTCTGGAATATAAATGATCTGTATAAGTCTGGAAGACGGAAAGTAAGGCGTGGAAGCAAACACTTCTCGGACTTTTTGATACTGAAGGCGGTGTTTGTGTTCTACGAAGATCGAGGCGTGGCGTGTCACGAGGAGGAGCATGAGGGAGGTCAAAGGACAGCGTCAGTCAGGCTTTTCTTCATGTTGATTCGAAGGCAGACGTGTGTTCATCTCGCGTGAAGGAAAGGGAGGACAGATAGCCCTGTCCGGTAGGAGAGGACGATGAATCAGTGACATTTCCTCATTTTTTGATTTCCACTCAGCTGTGATTCAGAGTCTCGATGAGGCTTTTGAAGGCTGATGTCGTTGTTGAGTTGTCGGGAGGGATTTACGGCTCGGCCGAAGAGTAAAGTTGCATCGGAGGATTCCATGCAAGCTTTGTGCGCCCCTTTTTTTCTCGCTTGCCTGCATGACGAGCAACTGTTTGCTCAGACCTCAAACGTCGCACAGGGGGACCGCAGGAACAAGCATCCGAGCATGCTTCGTGGGCGACGACCCAAGAAGGACAAGGCAAAAGAAGAGGCATCCAGAACAAAGCATCATTTGTGTCCCCGTCGTTTTTTTCCTATCCCAAGGCCAACATGCTCTTTTATCCCCTCGCCCCCCCCGCCCACCCCCTTTTGCTGCGGGAACCTGCTAGTTTGTGGTTCAATGTATCTGTTGAGTCTGGTCGCGGTCATGGTGCGTGTGGCTTACTGCGAGGAGGGAGTAAGAGTTTCTCGTGGGATCTAAGCCTGAGATGAAGCTCATCCTGACGACGGGTTGTCCACTTTTGATGTGGATTTCGCAGGTTTGTAGTGTTATGTAGAGAGACGTTTTAATATGACCAAAGTCCTTGAGAGATGTCAAAAGAAAAAAAAAAAAAGTCCACAAAAGACGGATATAAATACAGACAACCTGTGATTCTAACAATGCTAATCAAGAAGTCCAAGCAAAAACACCATCAACCCCAGCAATGACACCCAGACGCATAAGGTAGTCGGCACCCTGCCATCCTTGATGAAATCCGGATAGACTATCCACTCATAGACATCAGCAAGGCAATCCTAATCCTACAACTACTAATCATGGGCAACTTTCTTGAAAAGGCCACGATGTTTGGTTCTGGTAGGGAGACGGCGTTGGTTTTTTTTTTTTTTTTTTTTTTTTTTTTTTTTTTTTTTTTTTTACTGCAACTCGGGAGAATGGCCTTTGCCGACGGCCCAATGTCCGAGGGATCTGTGCTGTTTACTTGTCAAGTGTATCATAAGCTGTCACTTGGGTCGGTTTTGTTCGCACTCTCGCTGCTATCTTGGACTTACAAATCATCAATTGAAGAGATTCAAGGCTTCTTCATGTAAATTCTCCGTTGAGAACAAGTACAGAGTACTTGTGTGGCGACAAGATACGCGCAAAGGGGGGAGGCCAAGGTTCGGCCCGCCTCAGCCACATTTGCTAACGAGACGGGAGTCTTGACATCCGTCCACTTGCAGTAGGATAAGGTAGTGTTCACGTGGATTGCTCGAGCTTATAGAACAGCTATCTAGGTAGGTAGTTTATAAGAATGTACATACAGAGGCAAATAAAAACAGCAGAACAAAAATGAAGCCTCGGCGAGGCAATTAGAACAACCAAGTTTGAAACGATCCGTCAACCATCGTCCACCATTGCCCAGCTGATACTTTCAGCATAAACCCATGGGTATCTCCTCCTCTGTTCCACCGAGCGTCCTGCCTCGTTTCCTCTCGTCTCTTCACTCTAGGATTCCATCCCCAGCTTCCCTTCCTAAAGGTCCTCTGGAGCCTGACTAAGAAGCCTGGTTGTACACGCTGACAGAGTTTACAATCCAGAAAGCCTCCACAAAGGCCGACGGATTATTGGCAACATACTCTTCGCACGTAGGAGCCAAGGCGGAGCACTCAGGGTCAGACGGCCAAACACCGCCAGCCAAGTCGCCGCACAACGCAGTGTTGAAGACAATCTGGTTGTTCTTGAAGAAACCACCAATGTTGCTCCCGGCGAACTTGGCCAGGGGAGTGCCCCAGCTGCTGGGGTTTGGGTTGCCAGAGTTGATGTCGGCGGGGATGTTGGTCCGGGGGAAGAACCAGACGGCAATGTGGCTGGACGTCCACTCGGTGGCATAGACGCCTCCGCCAATGGCGTTGAATCCATCGCCGTAATTCTGGTTGTCCGTGGTCTTCTGGCCACAACCGGTGTTTGAGCTATTAGGGCCGCAGTCGCTCCCCAGCAGGCTGGTAGACGGGTTAGACCCCTTGTTGTTGATGTTGAGGCCGGGTGCTGTGTGGAGCGTGATGGCGTTGGTCGTCTGAGTACTGTAGCCCTCGATAATGTCGATTTCGCCCGAATTTGGCCAATCTGGGCCAACCATCCAAAAGGCAGGCCAGACTCCACAGATGCTGCCCGGCATATGGGCAATGTCGGCGATGAAGAGGCCGTGAGTGAACTGCTGTTGCGAAGTTACGCGAACCGACTTGCGGCCGCCGGACGGATTTTGGGTCGTTGAGTCGGTGCCTATGAAGATGCCTCCCGAAGAGATTCCCGCGAGTCCCAAGGAATTGGCGGTCTGGGCGTCAACATACTGGACGAAGCCATGTGTAGGATCGGCTTCGCTGAAGAAGTCGAAGCTGGAAAAGAAGTTGCTCTCGTCGTAGACAACGTTAAGAGTGTACTGGCCACCCTGAGCATGGGCAACCTGGCAGGCAAACAGAGCGCCGAGAGACAGGGTGAGACTTCGAGAGGCGTACATTGTAGCGCTGCTGGATATGAGCCTTTAGAGGTATCTTAAAGATGTGTTTCGAGATTGTCAAAGTTGCAATATGAGCCAGCCACCAGAGCAACAGAGACCGGGACTGCGTCTAGCAGGCGTGATAGTCGAGCGCAAGAGTATAGACTGTCCGATAACCACCGGGGTCGAGATGTATATAATTGTAAGAGAGTTAAGATATCAGAAGAAATTTGGCGTAGATACACAAATGAAGGCCGGTGACTATATGCTTGGAAGAAGGTGAGTATGCGTGAGAGAGAGAGAAGCCAGGCTGAAGGCAACCGTGAATACCTTCTTTTGTAAGTGAAAGCCAACTCGAAGCTATTGACAGACTGCGTGAATTGGTTTTGAACTTGTATCAATTGAGCGATCAACACACTGTTTCCTCTCCAATAAGAGAACACCAGCCACCGAAAGGATTGAACGGCCCAGGCTGAGTCCACCAGGAAGCGAAACAAAAGTGAGAGAAGAGCGAGGCGAGAGCGTCAGTCCTTTGCACATTGGCAACTTGAGGCCACCGGGTCGTCTAAATACAGACAGTTCTCGTATACAAATCCCCTTCCTCAGCCCGTTTCACGGCCGGAACCGAAGAAGCCATTCAGGAGGCTCAAACTCTCAGAGGCCTGCAACAGACGCGCCGCGGCGCAGATAAGCCAAGGAGCGCCCAGCGGGAGAGCGACGCCGTTTGCAAAAAGAACGTTGCATGTTGCCATGCTGATACTCGTTGTCTCCCCCGTTGAGTGATCCAGCCGGATCCGGGGACTCGGGACGCGGGCGCCAAAGGGGCAGAGATACGTGCACACGAGCACGCAAGTGAGACGAGATGGAGGCGCATCGGGGCCAATTGATCGCTTGAGCGACAGGGGTGAGGGATCTCGGATCGCATTGTCTGGCTGGCGATCCTTGATCGGCGCGTAAATTGGGGGTGGTTGCGCGGCTAATCTGTCATATGATGGGCGTTTGCGTGTCTGGTTTTGCTGCACCAGTTGATCATTTATAGGCGCGCAGCTTCTCGGGAACAGCCAGGTCGGTTATTGGAATCGAGGCTGTACTTGCATAAACGAGTGCAAGAGTTTACACTTCTGAGGTTTCATTCTATACTGTACCTAGTATTTTAATCTTTGGATCAGTGCCTGAGGCAGTTGTTTCCTGCAGCCGAAAGTAAGGGAAGGGAAGGCGCATCTGGAGGCACTCACCAGCTTGAAACTGGGCGCATGCTTCATTCTAGACATGGCAGCTGCAACCGGTACAGTTCGTACCTGCGATCTGCTGCCTTGGAAGCTACCTTAGATTCTGAAAAGCCCTTGCGAAGTTTAAATTCGACTGCGTTGAGTGGTTCTGATTGAACTCTTGAAGCACGCCAACTCGTTCACCCAGGTACCTACCTACCAGGCGGGCCGGGTTTTTCATCAGAGATTTGGCAAGAGGTAGGCGCTGGCAAGAGCTTCAGTAGTAATTTCCTCGACAGATAACACTTACCAGAAGCCCAAAACTATTACAGGACCTCTGACGAGCGTCGCTCTCTTCTCAAATCTCTTACCAAAAACACCCCCGGCCTCCTAGGTACCTAACAAGATACACGCGCAAAACTGCCCCTTTGTTCGGTATTCCGGATTCCGCTAGGGTCTTCCCGAAGAGAATCCAGGTACCTTTTGGTTCTATTACTGGTCCACGGGTACCTTGCCTTTAATCCTTAATCTTCTTCTATCTCTAGGTACCTACTAGGTAGGTAAGCAAAGATCATTGCCATCTTGACTGCCGCGTCAACCTGCAGCATTCAGCATTTACCAAATTACCTAGTATAAGGCATCTGCAAAAGTCTTTCACATCCATAGTAAAGACAAAAATTGGCATACCCTTCACCATAGAAATCCTCGACCAAGGTGAGAAGATTCACGCACCCCCGAACCAGACACCTTTCGGCACTCAACCAAACATAACTATTCAGTAACAGGACACATGCACATACGGCATATCACTGCAGCCCGCCATCGTGACTAGATTCCTACTGCTGTACCTACCACCATCACACACCGAAACAATCCTCTTCGGCCCTATTGATCCTCCTCCTCCTCCATCTGCTTTGACGCACACACTTTCTATGAAACATCAAGAAACCTTCCCATTCTGGCTGTTTTCGCTGTCGATCCTTCTGCGGCAGAGACCTACTAGCACCAGACCTTCATACTTCCAAACAGCATAGAGTAGGACTTATGGGGGTCAGTCAACCCCATTGCATCCCGTCCCCCATTCATCGCTTATCTGCTGCTCCACGATTCCGCCTACAAGCACGCAATCGGTGACAGTTCCCCCCCTATCAACAAGGGTGCGTTAACCTTAATTACGAAACCATCGCATGCATCCCCTCAGTAAAATCATCCCACCCACTGGTTACTTCGCCATAGGCGGCATACCCAACACTTCCGCCCTCTCAATCGATATTGAACGACGGTTAAATAGGAAACTACAGATATATATACACTAAAGAAAACAAGTCTATGATGATTTTTTTTCCAGAATATATACCCAATCATGACCACAAAGGCTCCATCTGATAAACAAATGTCTGCCCCAGAAGTTCTTCTCGCTTCCTCCTCTTCATCCTCATCTTTCCTCATCCAACAGCAAAGCAAAGAAAGAAAGAATCACCAGATATTGCAAGCGTTGCCAACGCAAGCAATGACACCCCATGCATTGTGCGCCCTTCCTTTCCCTAACAGCCTCCTTTCCTTTTTAGATAGCCTCTCCAATTTGTTTGTCCCCAAAATACCGTGTGTATCTGACATGGAAAGCGAACATCTCCCTTCCTTTCTCCTCTCCTTTTGTGGCAATCTGTCTTCCCGACTGATGCACTGCCATCGACCGCTGTAATGCTCGCGGCGTAGGTTGCTCCAGTCAGTCGACAGATGCCTGTGGTTCGTCGTCTCGTCAAATGGTGACCCTCCCAGTCATTTGTCAATTATATTCGTCCAGCCGTGCAGAAGAAAGGGGACATGTTAATGCCTTGGTACAATCAAGAAACAAAACAATTAAACCAACATCTATGCAACAAGCAAAATCAGGATTAAAGAAAACAAAATTGATGCCTCAGAATGCTCTGTGCTAGAAATGGAGCTGACCAACGGAAAATGCGCTGTGTCTAGCCCATGGGGCAAACGACGGGTTGCGCTGGGGCACAAGGGGGTGAAAATGCAAGCCCGTTTTCCTATGCAAGATGAAGCCCAGATTATAGCTTGACTCGCTGGCCCGTGAGTTTGTACCAGATGACAGCCACAATCTCCTCCTTGAAAAGCTCCCAAGGGTTTCGATTGAGCCAGTAGCTGAACTCGCGGTAGTGATACATCTCGCCCCAGCAATCGCGACCCCACTCGCAGCCAGCCATATTGACTACGAAGTCGCGATCCTTTTCGTTGTAGTGTATCCTGGTGTTGTTAAGACCCGATTCGTCCGCGCACGCAGCCGGGGGGAAGCTGTTGATCAAGCGCTGCGGCAGGAAGCCCGTGTGCTGTCGAATCCAGGGCTGGGTCCGGTACAGTTGCTCCAGAGCGTCCTGCTCCTTGTGCTCCCATTCCATGTGCTTCTGCTCATACAGCACCGGGTCCCACCAGATATCCAAAAGTTGCTCGGTCCAGGCGCTGCGTCGAATAAAGAAAGAACCCAAGTTGAACCCAGAGCAGTCTTGGGTGAGCATGAGGTTCACCGAGTTGATATTGCCATCGCCAACGGGGCTTCGCGCCTCAGCATCCAGGTATTCTTCCGTGGGGGGGTGGGTGATGTTGAGAGGGTTGAAGACGTTAATGTCTCGGTAAACGTGTCGATCGAGGTGGTTAAACAGATGACGCTGCAGCGAGTACGATGGCTCCATTACGTAGGTGTTGAGGTCCAGCCACCAGAACCTAGGTTGAGTTAGCCGACTGCCAAAAGGATAATCCTGTTGCATCCTGCTCACCATTCAGCCTTGGGATATTTCCGCATCGCAGCGCGGATGAAGTCGACCTTTTCCCAGCTCTCTCGCCATTCGTGGGCGTATCGCTTCTTGGTCTTCATGTCAACGATTTCCAAGTCGTAACCCCATCTCGTGGCATATTTCCGCTTGTTGCGAACGCTGTCTCGCTCAATGGCCCACTCTCGAGCTCCCTTCCACTCCATGACACCTCCACCAACGTTGGCCCCCAGGATAATGACAAACTTTTCGCCGCCTCCACCCATTGAGATCCGTCGCCACCAGTGAACGAAGCCGGGAGCCTCGTCTGTGTTCCCGTCAGTAAATGAGCCCATTGACCTGCGAATGTAGCATTGGGTGATCTACTCACGAGTGCCATAGTACGCCACAATGGTGCAGATGATGATGAGCGGGAGCAGAATCCTCCACTTTAGCCTCCTGCCAATGCGGGCAAGAAAGGCTCGTAACCTCCCGCCGCCGGCGTGCGGGCTGTGTCCTCCTCGCTCATACTTTTCCCTCTCCGCGTAGGTATTGCCCGGGCCGGCGGCGAATCGTGGCAGGCTGCTCGATATGCGGCGCATGTGGCGGGTGAAGAAGCCCTGATTCTGGGTCGAGAAGGACGGGTAGCCATTGGCGCCTTGCTTCCTCATCTTGGCGGATTCCCAAGAGACGGAGCTGCCGGCGGCATTGGAAGGACTCGAGCGACCGCTGTTGATATTCAAGCCAGGACTCGACCAGCCCCCACCCGGGACAGGCGACGGGCTTCGAGACAGAGACATTGGGTCGGCGGGCGTGCCTGTGACAGCGAACGAGCCAGGGGAGCACAGAGATTAGCCAGCGAGCGACGTCAAGTTTGCGCGACACAAGATGACGCAGGGTAGGCGACGCGGGAAGGCCTGCAAGGGGAGCCGGTCGGCGAGGGGAGAACGCCGACGCAGAGGCGGACAGACGGAGAGACGGGGAGACGAGAGGACGTACCGACGATGGGGGACAGCTGGGCCTGGTTGGCTGCGCGAGGATGGATGGACAGCAGGCTGCCAGCGCGCGCCTCGCTTAGGGTCTGGTTGCCAACCGAGGAGCGCCGCCGGTGATGGGACGGCTGAGCCCGGTCGTTGAAGGAGCTCGAGGAGCCGGCCGGGAGCCTTTGGGAAGCCAGGATGAAGAGCTTGTCTGATGCTGACCCGGCAAAGGGAGGAAAAGGCTCGAAGCAGCTCGATTCGACAGGTGGTCGAAATACGGAGTCGGGCGTTGGCAGCAGAATGCGGGCGGGCGTGGGCTTTCCCAATACGGAGGCGCCACCAGAGCTAGAAGAGAAGGGGTAAGAAAAAAAAATGAGTGTGACGATAAAATAAGATGATAATGTATCTATGCAAGCAGCTTAATGCAGAGCAGAGCGAGGGACAGAGACGATGCCTCGTACAGAGGGCGAGCACACGGGCTCCAGAAGTGTGGGAGGGGGGTGGTTTTGGTTTGGGGGGGGTCTCGAACGCTGGACCAGATCCTGACAGCCCTGGAGGACAGAATGATCGCGAGAAGCAGAGACGGAACCCGCAGCCACGACCAGAGAGAGAGAGAGACAGCAGGCCAGAGCAGGCGCTAGAGGAGCAGGATCGCGTTGTGGCCAGAAGTCGGAATGAGATTGATAGTATTACTGCAGGAAGTGCTAGAGCAATAATCGCAATCGGATGGGGGTCCAAAGGGAAAAAGAGAGAGGCGGTTTATTATTGGCACGTCTGGCATCCCAAATCCTGCCAAGGGTCCCCGTAGGGCCAGGTTGCTTCTGGCTTGGGCTGGTACCGGGACTGCTGCGGTACTTGGCGGCGGCTGAGCGCAAAGTATTGCAATATGCTCACAGCGGTGCTGATGCCGCCAAGGGCAGGCTGTGCGCTGCGTGGCTGAGAACAGAGGGTACAACAGCGAGCGGGCCTGGGCAGTAGCAGCAGGATGGGGCTACTTGCTGCGACCAAGGCGGCGCGATGCTGACGATGCTTGATAAGGCCAAGCGCGTACCATGTACTTAACCAGTACCGTTTGACAGAGATTGAAGGCACGCAACAAGTTGGCAAAGAAGATTACTTTGAAGTACTTGGCAGGTACAGGTACGATGTTGGCGTCTCGAGCTAAGGAAAGATTTTTTAAACAACCAAGTTGAAGGTGTCAGGGGAATGTTGAAGCCATTATCTGGCCTTGTCAGCTACCTACCTCAGCTTGCTCAGGTATGGATGGCATCGACGGCCATAGAGGTAGGTAGGTTATACGTATAGGCACGAGGATACCTTATTGTGTAAGTTCAACGGCAAAGATGAACAATGAGGATCCCATGTCAGCGGTTTCTTTCTGCTATTGCTCGCTTCACCTTACAGTATGTACATCTTTCCCCTGTGGCCTGTCTAAATACTGTATGTTTTGCAGCAATCAAGGCCCGTTTCTACGGTCCTTTTCTCTTCCCACGCACGGCCTTTCAGGGTGTTCTAGAACTAGGTGGTGGCCTATTTTACAGATGACACGGTGCCAAAGCGGGCGGATCGAGATGCATCTTCCACGCGGGAAAAGGGGGCCGCACGCCTTTGGTTTTCAACCGGCTCGTATCTTGCGTCGGTTGGCAGTCAAGAGTTGCGAGCACTGGAAGCGCCTGTCCTTGTAATCAATAACGACCTGATTTAACCAGACTGGGCAACATCATGCAAGGCTTATCACAGCGTATTCTCATCTCCTGCGTCTTACAGCTGTGAGAATGATGAGCAATGCCCACATCGCCAATTTTACATCTCGTATGGGCTGGAGCAACGACACAATCCCGTCCTCGCGTGATGGGACGCACAGCTGCAAGCGGCCACCGCGAACCGTCTCAAGTATGACGGTTACGGGATGGAGTCACGAAAGAAAAGAAGAAAAAAAAGCAAGGACAGCGGCATATCGCGAGCCCGCACAATCGGCGTGCGACGGGCACACAAGACTCGAAGCTCGTGCCTCGTGCGTGGTAATACGAAGCTTCTAGTACGAGTAGTCCTACCTTAGCTCTACCTGCAGCTGTACCCGTAGCTGCGATTGTACCTGGTGCCTGGCAAATGGCGCGATAAGGAGAATTTTACTTGGTCGCTACCGGGGATGAGGAGGTTTTCAGTTGGATGACTTGGACCCGTGATCCTTGCGATGGCAACTGTTTGGCAGCGGTGACTGGCTGGCTGCATCTGATGCTACCTCACGAAGAACCATCACCGGCTTTTCTCGACCTCTCCTCTGCTCTCAGGGGCGAACCAACCAGCGAGTCCAATCCGTGAGTTCCATAGCAGCCGGCCTGCGAGATTTTTCTCCTGCGTCCAATATCGGTGCGGAGCACTTCGTACTATTTTGGTTCGTACAGGGCCAGTAAGTAGCATCGTATCCAAAGGCTCGTATGCGGTCGGCCTTGCTCCGTGCTGGTGGGCAGTCGCTTGCGCAGCACTAGACGCCTCAGATCCACTACGACGCATCTTGCTTCCTGATCTCTGTAGCGCGTCTGTTCGCATGCTGTTGGTGTCTGTATCAGCTCGAGTTGAAGGCCATGGAGAGCCTCGACTGATGCTGTCTGTGAAGAAACGTTCGGCCAAACCCGAGTCGTGATGGCTAGGCTTCTCCCATTGGGGCTAGTCGCATGGCGTATTTCCAACGTTGAGTACTATCAAATCGTTGGTGCGGTCTCGACACGCTTCCAAAACTCGCCGTTTGCGCTGGCGGGCAGCGTGGCCTCGAAGAAGAAGAAAGAAGCGTCATCCCATGCTCTTGGCATGTGCTTCGTTAGTCACGATGACGAAGGGAAGGGCAGCCGATGCTGTGCTGTCTCGTACGTCCTCTACGACAATGACCCGATACACGGAACTCCAGGGAACCAGCTGGAGCATACCCAAGCATCAGCTTACAGGTCATATCGTCGGCTTCAAGCTGCGCCATCAGCGGCATCCAAATACCGACGCTCGATGCCAGAGCTTGGGCGATACGAAGCACTACCGAACCAGATGCAGATGGTCAAGGTTCGAGATAGCCTACCAGGCACGCTAAGCCATGCATCTCGAACAAAGTTCAGCCTCGTCATGGCTGTCCATGGCGTCAAGCCTTTTCCCCGCCTTTGGCTAAACTGCATGTGCTGATTGCGGCCAGAGCCAAGCCACCGCTTTTCGTATAATATCTAGAAGTCCGTATAGGCCCTGAACTGCCGGGCAACGATGTTTGTACGTCATTGATGATCAGACGAGAAGATGGTCGCTAGCTGCACTCCCCAGAGCCTCGCAGGTGATGCATCACAGGGAACACAAGACAGAGCAAGGTAGTAGCTCCGAGTGCTGGGATTCGCGCAGAATGGCTGAGACTGTGTCGAAGCTCGCCTTGGCTTGCCAGTTTTGCTCTGTCTTGGTCTCGGGACATGCTGTGTGGTAGTACCGAAGACTACGTTCCGTATGATCTTTGCTGTTTCTATCAATAGCATCTGCACGTCATTCCAGTCGATCCGTTAGCTTCTCTGGCGCGTCGCATCGACACCTACCTACCTAGGTATGCTCTTCTGCACATACCGTATACATAGTCCCGTGTTTCGGTGGCTAATATTTGTTTGAAGTTCTCGCCATCATATTATAGTCTCTCAACCAGCCACTGACCACATGTTTCAGGCAACCGTTCATTCGCTGTATGAGGTATACAAACTACTGTATCAATTTGTCTACAGACTCTCTCAATCATACATTATTAAGAATGCATCCTCAGATGCTGCATCATCCACACCGTTCAATGGCCTTTGCACATGTACATGCATCATTCTAGGGTATCGAGGTCGCGAACCGTTCAGTGGATGCCAACACCAAACAGCGGCCGGCAACCCCTGAAAACCCGAGGCCCACAGCGGGTGTGTTGCGCAGCTGGCCAAGCCTTAGCCGCCCGACTGGCGATAAGCGGCCAATCAGCGGCCCCTGTGCCGTAGCGCAGATTGCCCGCGGCCAATCAGCCTGCGCATAGCCGCTCACACGGCGTCTATTCCAGACCTGCAACCTGCACCTCGTCCAGCCAATCTCGAGCTCGAGACGACCACAGACACGGCGGAAACGCGCCACCGGCCAGGGAAGAGAGCTCCTTTGCTGGGTCAACAAGAGACGACAAGATGAAGCAGGCGATGAGCTGGACGGGTCTGGAGCTGCGAGGGCGGCTTCAGGCCGGGGGACGGAGCGTGGGCGGGAGTCGCAGTGCTGCCCTCGTGCTCGTTCGCTGCTCTTATTGTCTGCTGCAGAGCTCTTATTGTTCACGGCCTGTTCTTCCTCCATCACTCAGCTGAACGTCACTATCCTTCCTTCACTTTCATTCTTTTTCTCTTTCCTTCCAGACGAACCTGATTGTCGTTCATTGTTGGTCGTTCATTGTTGGAGTCGGCGTTGCGCTGCGTTTCTATTTGCTCTGCGAACATTGTGTGTGTGTTCAGTCTATTCATACCCGTCGGCTTCTTTGTCACTGACTTCTTGAAGAATTTCCACATCACATGGCCTGGAGCTCGTGATGTTTCTTTTCTGATTCTTCATCACTTCGCTGCTGCTGCTATTTTCGCACATGACGAGTAATAACGAGATACACGACAACGTCACGGTCACGCGCTTGCAAACAACGAGCCAGCATGTCTTTCAACTACGGCAAGCGAGCCGAGCCTGTGAATGGCAGCAGGCTGTCATCACGGACTAGCCGGGCTGTGATGCCTCGACATGCCTCTTACACATCATCAAAGAGCTATCGAGCGGACGATTGGGAAGACTGGGAAGACGACGATGTGGTTACGCTAATAGACGTCGGCGAGACACCCTCAGCCGAGCACTCTGACAAAAAGAACCTTCTCAGTGGCGCGTATCTGAATACGAGCGCAAGTAGTTCTGCTACCAACACCCGCAGCCCATCCCCCCTGGACAGCGACAGTGTCTCCATCAGCTCCAACGAGGATATCACGCCCATCGACAGCGCAGTCGAGCCTGGCCTCCTTGCTCCACCACCCACTCCAGCTTATATCCTCACAAGTGCGACCAAGCCTGTTAACGCCAGGATATCAGCAAGACGCTCAGCAGCCAATCGTCCAGTATCAAAGAAGCCGCTCAAGGCGCGAAACGCAAAGTTTGGTATCAGGCTGATCACGGACATGCCTATGATGAGGCGGCAATTCCAAGCAAAGTCACCCGCGAGGCGCGCCCCCAAGTTTGCGGATGCCGCTGCCCTGAGAGCTCTGGAGGGATCTCCGAACCCGCAATCTGTTGAAAACTGGAATTGGCTCAACACCAATGACAGTGCCGAGCGCGGGGCTGCTTCTCCCCACCAGGCCGCTCGCTCACCTGCTGAGCAACTTTCGCCGGAAGACAGACCGATTGTCATTGGAATTACTCTCCCCTCTGATGAGGTGTCCAGCAGAGGAATTGACCCCCTTACGGCAACTGTCAACAACATCGATACCCCCAGCGGCACGAAAAACCCGTTTCCCTTTACGTTTCAGACAAGCAATGATCGGGCCAATGAGCGGGCTATTGCACCTCAGGCGGAGCCTCGGCAGCTCCAGTCTGTCTGGTCTCCGGACACGCCCGAAACTGCGAGTTCGTTTAGCACGATAAGATACCCTTCCAGCGTTTACTCGCAAGCGTCCATGGCACCAGTAATGGGCCTTGGGCTGAGGGACAATGATGTTCCTCCTGTGCCAGCTGTCCCGGCCAATTATCAGGGGATGACACCAGCGCCCCAACGCATTGAACGCCTCAAGAGCGCCCAAGAGGAAGACGAATCCGGGACGCCTTGTACACTCTTTGAGGAGGACGGTGTTACGCCTCTGAAATCCCCCGCCAGCAAGCTGTCTGCTCTAACTCCTCAGAGCGTCCGTGGCTGGTGGGATCACCACTTGGTCACGCCGTTTCTAGATAGGACAATGTCCTTTGCGAGCCGGCGGACCCAGTTGGAGTCACCCATGGAGGAGAGAGGGCACCACCTGGCTCGGGCTACAGAAAAAGGAGACCAGAGCTCATTGCTGACCCCCGAGCACGCAGCGAATCGGCAGTCATGGAAAACTGCCATGTCAGGTACAGAGGCAGGGCAGACCCCCTCGCCTATGGAAAGCCAAAGAAGCCAAATAGACTCTCCAGCTGCTCATGTCGACGGTGGTCGTGCGATCCTGGGACTGTCGATGCTGGAAAAGCAGAGAGATTCGTGTTCCTCTTTCGAAGTCCCTGTGCCAAGTCGTGTTCAGGAGAAGGGCGCGGATGGCTCATCACACGTTGCTGGATTGGAAAACTCCGACATCCACATCACCTTTGCGACTGATGATGAGATCAAATCGCCGGGCAAGTACAGTGCTGCGGACGTGAGCGCGAACTATGTATCTCGTACCGGGAACTATCAGCAGACGTCCTCGCAGAGCCATGAAGCAACTTCCCTGAAAGCCTCATTATCCAATGAAGTTCATGTAACGAACTTGACTTCTACCTCTGTTGAGGTAAGGGAGCACCGAACAAATTCCGCTGAGTCTCAGCCAAAATACGGACCTCAGCGTGAAGCGAAGCGTGATCTCACTCCACCACCCAGACCCCAATGGAAAGAAGCCCAAGCGCCCATCATCAGGGTACCGACACCGCGACAGACTCCGCCTCCCAGGGAAGTGCTACGGGAAGGCTCAGAAAGGCCGATTGTGGTCCATATCCATGTCAATACCGGGGAGCAGCAGCAGCAGCAAAGACTCCTTGTTGACCGCGTCGCGGTGGGTTCGACGCCCACTATCAAGATCCCTACTCCCCGGCGGACGCCATCGCCCCTGGGGCAGGTGTCTCGGGCTGAAGTTGTGCCTGAAGTCACGCGAGGTGCTTTGGAACGGGATAGATCAGCTTCTCGCGAGAGAGTGCAAGGCTTGGGCATAACCAACTTTGCTACCACCTCTCCGCCTCCGGCTACGTCGTCGAAGAAGCAGGCGGGGGATGGAGATGCCATCAAGTACCAAGCAGTCTTTCCACCCGACCATCACTTGAATAGCCAGTTTTCTCCGCGGGAGGCTCCCTTGGCTACCTCGACGACGTCACCAAAGGCCAGAGGAGGTGCGGCGTCGAACTCATCACCAACCGTTTCGCCGATCTCACCTGTTGCGCCGGCTTTTACAGCAACGACGACAACGGCAGCGGCCACGAAAGCAGCTGCGTCACATGGAACCACGTCTACGACAACAACGAGAGCCGCAGCATCAAACTCACGAGAAGCTGTTCACGAGACGAGTATAGCTGCCGCCACAACCCTGTCTGGCGCCAGCGTACTATCCTCGCACGACTCGCACCGCGGGCAGGCTCAACAGTCCATGAGAGAAGCACACAACAATGCACACGAAACGTCTACATCTTTCCGCACAGGAAACACCACTTTTTCCTCACGCAACGTTGAGGCCGTCTCGAGCAATACGTCTCGAACTGCAGGACTCCAGCGACAGGCTTCCACTGCGGCTCATGCGCACCATGTCTCAGAGCAACAAAGCCGTTTCTCCGTATCACCGACTTCATCAAAGTCGCCTGACGCGGAGAGAGGCTCGCGAGCGCCGCGCCATGTCCGTGCGGCGAGCAACTTTGTGTCTTCGGTCTTGTCTCGGCAGCGCTCTCCGGTTGACCAAAGCCGTGGTGGCGACAATCGCGGTGTACAGCCGATCGAGATTGTACTGGAAGAGCAGAGAGCCCCCGAGAACATGCCGGCGAGCCCGCAGAGAGCATATCTGACTTTTGGAGCTGACCCCCACAGAGGCAGCTGGACAAGAGTCGGGTCCCTTGATATGGAGCGTGGTTACACGGATTCGTTGCCTCCTCGGCCTGTGGGAGCATCTCTTTCGCATGCACACGCCGACAAACTGTCAGGCAAGGAGCACAAGATTGAGGAAAAACGACAGCGGCACGAAAATGCAGACAGGGCAGCAAGACGAGCCGGTGGCCTCTGGCGGGGCCGAGGTTGCATACCCAAGAAGGGCTGCTTTGGCGACGCTGGGCCGGAGGGCCGCAAGAAGAGAAGAATCTGGCTGTTGATCATTGCGCTTCTCCTACTTCTCATCATTGCTCTGGGCATTGTGTTGGGCATCGTTCTCAGCAGGCACCATGGCTCTCACGGCAGCGATACCCAAGCTCCTGGACAGGACCCGCCGTCCTCGATAACTCCCTCGACGCCATCCTCCCCGGAAGCGTCTTCGATATGGGTCAACCTCACAGACTATCCTGCCATGCCAACCGGTGTCTTGACGTTTGTGGGGCCCAACAACACCGTTGCCAAGAGTGACTGCACTGCGCCGACCACCCTCTGGAGCTGTTCTTTACCGAAAGATGCCCAGGCGTCTGTGTCTCCATTCAAGGCAAACCAGCCTACCATGATTTTCCAGATCCAGTGGGACAACAGCACGGAGAGGGATTGGAACGTTCCCAACGGCGCACCTCCGACGGCCATCTCGAAAAGAGACGGAGGCAAAAACAGCTCTTCGATTGATGGATTCAAGCCAGATCCGAGTCCGCCGACTTTTGAGGAGATGTGGTTCTTGGGCGAGACTACGGACAACATCCAGTCGAGCCAAAAGGCAGGCGAGCCCACCCCCTTCTTCATCAGCGTCCTCCCGTCTTTGAACGACACAATCGACACGCCATCTCTGAGTCGGCGTGCCACCGCTTCAGCCATCAACATTTCGGACATCATCTTCCCGCCAGATCTGCAGGCGGACGGCACTCCTGCGCCTGCCGTGATGCTGCCCACTCCAGTCCAGCAGCCGGTTCGACTCTTTGACCGCGGCTTGCCGACCGAACATTACGGATTCTACACATATTTCCAACGAACCATCTTCCTCAAGTCCGTCACTGTTGTCAACGACTCGAGCCAGGGAAACGTGCCCGCGGACGAGGATGGCGGCTGTAGCGAGACCGAGGCCAATCACCTGGTGACGTGGGCCGAGACACGCATGCTTGTGCAGATCTGGACGCGGAAGCTGAACAGCACGGCGTCGTTGCTGGAGGGCGACGACGACGAGCGTGTTGGCGACTCGACGGAGCTGATCAAGCCGGGGACGATGCCGTATCCGGTGACTGTGACTCTGGACACGCACGGTGGCGATCCCGACCACAAGGTGGTGTGGGAGTGGCCCATGGATGACCGCCAGAAGCTGAATACGAGCGCGCCTGAGCTGTTGGTGAACAAGATGGACGTTGGGGGGACGTGGATCAATCATCGGGGCAGCGGGAATGCCAAGTTTGGAGGGTTTGATGGAGGGACTGGGGGGTGCAAGTGTCAGTGGGTGAATTGGACGTGAGGGCGTGGCGTCTATGTGTGGTGCTATGAAAGTGTGCTCACGACGAATCATTCTCTCTTTTTCTCTCTCTACTTTTTTTGCCAACTTCTTTCCTTTTGTTCTACCATAATGAGGGTTGGTGTATATAAAACTGGCTGGATCATGGACGAGGGATAACTGCACAAAAGGTACAAGTGCATTAGGACTGCTGCATCGCCGGTTGAGATACCTGGTTTATCTAGAGCTATACAGAATAAGAACATATCAATGATTATTACATACTTGACTATGAAACGTCAGTTGTTGAGCCGTGATTGTGTGGCATCTCGTAGCTTGACCGACTTAGACGGAGGAGGCACAGCGGGATTGGGCAGCCCGAGCAGAGCCCCCCCCACACTCCTCCGGACTCCGACGAAAAATCGGTCCGGAAGTTCCAACGGCTGAGGACCACCAAAACTCGTCAACTTACACCCATCACTTGCCCCTTCAAGAGAAGCGCTTCACCATATTCCACCCGAAAATTGTGAAATTCAGCAAAGAATATAAAGAAAGCAAGACAAGACAGAAAGACAAGACAGAAAGACAAACAGCTCCCCATGCTCCCCCCACAATGCCTCTCAAAATCCCACCGTCTCGCCCTTCCACAGCGCATCTCAAGCATCCTCACGCACACCGTCCGCCCAACCACCACAACGATCAAACAGCAGCAGCAGCATCGTCACCATGACCTCGTGTATCAGACAAGCCGGAGGCGCCTGGTGACGCTCGCCATCGAAACCTCCTGCGACGACACAGCCGTGGCAGTCCTCTCCAAGTCGTCCACAACCGGCAAGACACGCCTCCTCTTCAACGAGCGCATCTCATCTGACAACCGCGCCTTTCAGGGCATCAACCCCATGGTTACGGTGCAGGGGCATAATGCTTCGCTGGCGCCTTTGGTGGAGAAGGCGTTGGGGGCTTTGCAGCGGTATGAAGGAGATGATGATGAGGATGATGATGTGGTTGGGAATGGCAGGGAGATGGAGAAGAAGAAGAAGAAGATGAGAACTGGAATGAAGAAGGTGGTGCCGGATTTCGTCTGCGCGACGAGAGGACCGGGCATCATGGCGAATCTATCGGTGGGATTAAACGTCGCAAAGGGGCTGGCGCTTGCTTGGGGGGTTCCCTTTGTGGGCGTTCATCATATGCAGGCTCATGCGTTGACGCCTCGTCTCGTCGACGCCTTGAAGTCATCATCATCATCATCATCATCCTCCTCCTCCTCCTCCTCATCACCATCCCCATCCTTCCCCTTCCTCTCCCTCCTCGTCTCCGGCGGCCACACCCAACTCATCCTCTCCACATCCCTCACCTCCCACAAACTCCTCGCCTCCACCGCCGACGTCGCCATCGGCAACCTCCTCGACCAAACCGCCCGCGTCATCCTCCCTCCTTCCGTCCTCGCCTCCAGCCCAGACGTCAGCTACGGCCGCCTCCTCGAAGCATTCGCCTTCCCTCCCGGCCGCCCCGCAGAGAGAAGCACAAACAACGACGACGACGACAGCAACAATGTTGCTGAGTATGAAGCCTTCTTTCAGCCGGCAAAGTCTAGAGGCGACGAGATCAAAGACGTGGAAACTGGGTTTGGGTGGACGGTGCCGGTGCCGTTGAAGGGTTCGCGGAAGTTGGTGTATTCGTTTTCGAGCATATACACGCATGTGCATAACATTGCTGCTGCTGCTGCTGCTGCTGCTTCATCAAACACTCAAACAAACAATGACAGCCATGCCGGTGAGAACGCCGCCGCCGCCGCCGCCGACGATGATAACAGGATTCCCCTCGAAGAACGCAGGGCGCTCGCCCGTCACACCCTCCGAGCAGCCTTTCAGCACCTCGCAAGCCGCCTCATCCTCGCCCTGCAAGACTCGCCTTTTCTCCAGCCATCATCATCATCATCATCATCATCATCATCAGGAGGAGGAGGAGCATCAGCATCATCGTCGTCCTGTCCCATCAAGACCCTCGTCGTAGCAGGCGGCGTAGCAAGCAACCGCTTCCTCATGCACGTCCTCCGCACGACCCTCGCCGCGCGCGGCTTCCCCGACATACGCATCGTCGCGCCGCCGCTGGAGCTGTGCACCGACAACGCTGCCATGATTGCCTGGGCGGGCATGGAGATGTTTGAGGACGGCTGGCGGAGCGAGCTCTCCGTGAGGCCGATTGGGAGGTGGCCGATGGATCCGGATGTGGGAGGCGGCATCTTGGGGGCTGGCGGGTGGGTGAGACGTGTGAAGGGGTGAGTGAATTTGGGGGAGGAGGGAGTAGGGTTTGGGAGAGGGGGAGATGGAGGTGATGATACCCTTTTGTTTGGTGTTGGGGGTTGTCGATTGGATATTGAGCTTGTATTGTATTGATATAGTGAAGAAGGTCATTGCTCAAGAGTGTCAAGGATGGCCGTGTAGTATACTGAAATCACCCAGGACTTGAATCTCAGCACACAACATCAAATGTGTAGTATCAATCTCAATCAAGACGGAAATCATTGCTTCGTATTTGATCTACTTGTCTTCCCATACGCATCTCATCCTAACCTCCTACTCCAACGCACTCGTGACGTTTGAAAACTCGCCCTTATCCAGCTTCGTCTTCCAAAAGATGGGATTCGTGTCGAGGAAGCCGTGCTTGACCCAGCCCGCCTCCTTGACGTGGTACAGGTTGATGTAGCCACCAGAGTAGGCGTCGCGGTGCGTCGCCGCCAGGATGCTCCTCTTGCCCAGCTCCAGCGCCTCCTCGTCGCTCATCTCGTACTTGTACTCCGAGTCGAGCACGCCGTACGCAAACGTCTGCCCGCTGCCGACGCAAAACAGGTTGCCCGCCAGCCGCGTGCCGTCGCTGTCGACGTAGTACAGCGCGGGCCCTTCCTCCTTGGTGACGCCCGCGCACATGGTGCCCATGCTCAGCCCCATGCCCTTGTAGCTGTAGATGAGGTTGGCCAGGATCTTGCTGGCGGCGGCGACGCTGATGCGGCGCTTGTGGCGGAGCTCGTGCAGCCGGCACTGCATGCCCAGCCACGCCAGCCAGTACTGGCAGTCCGCCGCGCCGCCCGCCATGGTGCCCAGCAGCACGCTGTTGATCTCAATCACCTTCTTCACCGTCTGCGAGGCGATCCAGTTGCCGGCCGTGGCCCGCGAGTCCGTCGCCACAATGATGCCGCCCTGGAACCGGAAGGCCAGCGTCGTCGTGCCGTGGGCGATCTTGATGGGGCAGTCGGGGTTGGAGCGGTCGTCTGTGGCGGCGCGGAGCCAGGCAGAGGGCTATTTTGTTGTTGAGTGAGAGTCAGCATTTGGTTAACTTCCTTCTGTAACGCTTTCATGCTCGCTCCCCTCGTCATGAATGTACAAAGCTACTTATAGCTCAAACAGACAAGACAAAAAGACGTACCTGGGCAATGGGCGGCATGGCAAAGTTGAGCGACAGGTGCGCCGCCGGGTCCATCAGCTCATGGCTGAGCTCCTCGTCCTCCAGAGGCTCGTTTTGCGCATACGCCGGCCGGCTGTACTTGGCCACGAGGGAATCCATGGCGATGATGATGAAGATGATGCTTCGAGGTTGTGGTGCTGTAGATATCGACCCCTCCAGGTCAGGGCTCGGTTATCGATTTCAGAGTATGTGAGCAAAATGCCCTCGATTCTTTCTGAGCCAATCTCAAACTTGCTTTGAATGAGCGTCGGCCGCAAGATGTCGAGCTGGACGAGTGTTGCTGTGTATCGGCGGTTGGTGGTGGCAGCTTGTAAAGGTCCAAGAGAGAGAGGCCCCTCGTTGGCTTGGTGCTTGCTGTACGTATTCACGGAGTATCTCAGGCAGCTTCCGTCTCGCGCGTCACTGCCGTGCTTTTCGAAGCATCCCGAGCTTCTGATTGGCCACGCCTGCACAACGCTGACTAAGCCAAGCTGTGGCCATCTTGCTGCCTTGTTGCCTGACCCAATGACTTACACCAACAGCCATCACCAAGTTGATCGATTTTTTCCATTCACGATGAAGAAGGAACATGCAAAGAGACATATGAGATGCTGATGAACCAGTCTGTTTCAAATCACGAAGAGTGAATCTCATTTAGCTGTCCCAGTGACCGACGTGAACCTCGCCGGCCACACACTACCTATATACGTTTGATCCCTGAACCTGTTCCTATCCCATCAACACCCCTCAGACTCCAGACAGATACGTTGTATTAACAAAATACAGAGCTGCAATCTTGAACAAAAAGATGTAAAGCAATTCCAATAGACAAATCACAACTTAGTCGCCGATTGGGGTGACCCGAACGCAAATGGAAAACCATGCTTGCCAGCCGCTCAGGGATGGGCGCTTGGGTCTCTGCTCCTCGACTCTCGCTTACTCAGGAAGCCGCGTCTCGAAAACGACTTGGGGCTGTCGGGATACTTGTCCTCCGCCGGCTGGAAGTGGCTCTTAATGGTCACCGTGCCGGACCCAACAGTGATTTCCTTGACAGCTCCGCTACCCGTCTCGTCGACAAAGTAAAAGTGCTCTCCCAGGTGGTCGTCGCTGCCAAACATGTGCTCGCCTCTGGCTTCAACCTTGAACTGGGCGTCCGGCGTGCAGCTGAACCGGAACGTCTCGTCAAAAGTCCACTGACCACTAGACGACTTGTGATGCTTCGTCTTGCCGACAGTCTTCTCTCTCGGCGAGATTTGGGTAATGAGAATGTACAGGTCCGTCGAGCTAGGATATCCGGAAGCCCCAATGACGTTGAACGTTGCTGTTCCGGTCGGAGCTCCAACGCCGACGGCGCTGTGCACGGAAGAGCTGCCGAAGCTCCTGGTCCTGTTATGGCCAGAGCCCTCGGGCATCAGATGCGGAGGGTAGTCCCGGGAACTGTCGACGGCGCTGGTAGTGGGCCGGGTGCCGCTGTTGGAATGGCTGCCGCCGACGGCGAAATCGTGGCCGTTGGTGATGATGCTTGGCACCGCCGGAACCTCGGCCAGCTCCGTGAGCGAACCGTTCGGGTCGTTACTATCCTTCTTGCCGAGGATGCCGCGCTTCAAGAACGAGGCGCCTCTGCCCACGCCGTGGCCAACGGCCCCGGCCACCGCAGCGCCTCCCTTGAACGGCACGCCAGCAACTCCGGTGACGATACGAGTGGTGCCGCCAAAGGTGCCCTGGAAGGTCGAGGTCCCCTGCCTCGACCGAGTGATGTAGTCGGGTCGGAACACCATTCGGAGCCTGATGCTTCCCGATTTGCCGTCCAGCGGGTAGCTCTGCTCCATCGCCTTGAAAGGCTGGAGAGTGTCCAGCGGGATAATGGCTGCACCCAGGAAGTCGGGCTTGTCGGCAAAATCGTAGTCATAGACATTGCAGACGAAATGGGCCGCCGTCCTCGAGGGCACGGCAACCTCAAAGAATTCGTTCCAGACGGGAGACAGTGTCTTCTTTTGCACCTTGGTCTTGTATACCTCGACATCGTTCAACTCAAACTTGCAGTAAGGGTCACTCTTGCCGTTCCTGTCTGCCGATGGCAAGTCTGTGCCGCTCAGGACATCGACGCGAAGGGTGCCCATGTTGTTGATGCTCTCGCTCGGATCCAGCTCCATCTTGAGCGGGATATACTTGAGGCTGACCTTGACCCAGCTGGACTTGCCATCCTCGCTCTTGAGCTTCAACGTGGTGGGGTTGTTCTGGAAGATCGTTAGTCACACCTTGATACGGCTGGCCAAGAAGGTTGCCGCAAAATTCAAGGACTTACCAGGCATTGTTTCAGCGTCTCCAGCGTATTGCCAGACAGGTACGCCAGAGTATCGTCGGCATCATCGCCCTTCTTCCGCGCCTTGATTGTCAGACGGGAAAAGTCCAGTTCTCGGATGACGCAGTCGCCAATCTCGTCAAACTTGTGCGACTTGGTCTGCACCGTTGTGGATGTGTAAGAGGGATAAGCCATGTCATCCACGAAGATTTCCAGGTGGCTGTCCTTTTCGGGCATCTCCGACTCCAAGAGTCTGAAGATGAGCACGCCGCTCTCGTACCTGAGAAGCTCTTCGGGGCTGAGTCGAATCTTGGGCGGTCCTCTCTTCTCTACCGACATGGATGACCGCATCGACGCGGGTGAGATGGGTCGGCCGTCTTCACCTGTGCTGGCGCTCAATTTGGCTGTATCGACCGATTTCCTGGACACATCAACCGACTTCCTGGACACGTCGAGAGAGGCTTTGGCCACGGTCGGGGAGGCGGAGCTTCGTGGTCGGTCGAGAGATGCTTTGGGTTCGTCGCCGTCCATTTCGGCATTCGCGGCGTCCTCTGCGGCCTCTTCTTCCTCTTCTTCGGGGTCGGCAATGTTCAGACAGGGATAGAAAGCAACAGTATATGTCAGTGTACCCTTGGGCAAGCCCTTGCCGTGAAGTCGAAGGTCGCTCTCGAGGACACGCTTTTCATCGTTCACCAGATATTCGCCGGTTTCATCCTGCTGAATGTAGTCCGCTGCGGAAACTTCGCACAGGCCAAGGGAGCGATCCTTGCCGAGCTTTTCCTCATCCATCACCTCGAGTGTTAGTCTGTCACGAGCGGAGTGGACAGGGACATAGAGGACCTCGTCCCATTCGGGATTCAGATCGTTCTTGAAGGTAACCGTGCGCGCCTTGTCGATGCCAGAAAGAATGACCCTGACGTATGGGTCGGATTTACCAAAGGCCTCAAAGTTGCGGAGATCAGTCGCCTTCTTGAAATGAAGTCGCATGACGCCAATGGGGGTGATGTAACCGCCGGTGCCGGCAACGCCCGAGATAGCCACCGGCTTCCACTGAGCTGTCATCTTAACGCGTCCAGTCTGAGCCCCGTGGAGCTGGAACCAATCTTTGCCTTGCTCCATGCATTCCAGCAAATCGTCAAGCTTGATCTGGTACTTTCCGAGAGTCAGGTCAGAAGAAAGGTCCCGATCATCCTTGAGAGTGACACCAAGCTTCGCCCTCTTGCGGTCGGTGATGAAGATTTCCTTTGAGCCATTGTCCCAGATGGGCTTGTTGGTTCGCTTAAGCTTCTTTGTCTGGTGAATAACTTTGCCATTGAGGAACATGACAGCGTAGGGGTTAAGTTGTCCGACAAGGCTCTTAGTGCCATCCAAGTCTTTGGCCTGCTCAACGGTGAAGCGCAAGATACCTTGGTTGGAGACAGGCGGGGGCTCCACCTTGCCGTCTTCACCTTTCTGGCCTTCGAGGACAGGGAAGAAGCGGATGTCGCAGGAGACCACACCACGGTTTTTGCCGGCTGCGAGGACCTCGAGACGCTCGTTCTCGTACACATGCAGCTCCTCGATTCTCTCCAAGGGGAAGGAGGCCACACCCAATTCTTTGGACTTGCGGAAACCGTTCTTGTCAAACACCTGAATGTCCAAGGTGTCGTTGAAAGAGGTAACAATGATGTAATGGGTCTCGTTCCACCTGGGATTGGCATTGTCTTCGACAGTCTTGGTGCGCGCAAGCTCCTGGCGGCGGTTCAGCGTAAGGACGGCGTAAGGATCGACGGTTCCCGCAAAATTGTCAGTGTTCTTGAGGTTATGCGCCCCGTGAAGGGTGACGACGAGCACGCCGATGGCCTGGTCGACGGGCGATCCCGCAAGCATCTTGGCGACCTCGATAGGGAAGACGTGGGGAGCATACATCATGGGAGCCAGGTTGCCGTGGATTTGTTCCAGGATGAACTTTTCCAGACCCGGGATGAAGTTGATGTCAAAGCCAAGGTGTTCACCACCAAGAGGCTTGCAGACGTAGTCAATGGTCGGCTTCTCCAGGAAGCACATTTCAACTTTCTCAATGTGGGGAAAGGGAACCTGCAGCTTGATGTTGAGTCGCATGATTCCAGAAAAGGCCATATTCTCAACAATGACATCGAGGCCCTTGCTGATCATGGCTTTACCAACTCGAATCTCCAGGACAACCTTGGGGTTGACCTTGTTCTTGATCTGCCTTGCCGTCATGTCGGCAGTGTCGCTTGGCGTGAAGCTGAACTTCCAATCCATTCGGACAATGTCGTCTCCCACGTTGGGATACGTCTTGACATGCTCCATACGTGGGGGCTTGTCGCCCAGAGTAAAGGTCTTGAGCTTGAGGCTGTCGAGAAAGGAGGGCGTTGCGGAGCTCAGCACTTGGTCGACTGCATTGACGACGGTCTCGGCGAGGACGGGCTGGTAGATGGGCCAAAACTTGACGAGGAACGAATTGATCCACTCGAGAGACTCATGGTCAGAGTCGAGCCTCTTGAGGGCCATCTCTCGGGTGATGTCATCACGAAAGTTGCGGCGCACTCGTCTTAGGGACGTCCGGTAGTACGTGCCGCAGATTGCCATGACTATGATGACCCAGCCGAGACCGCCGCCGAGGACGGCTATAAGCCAGGAGGAGATGCAAGCGAAAATGATGACGCCGGCGTTGTGGTACCAATCTGTTTTACCCGTGTAAGACGCCAATTTCGTTTCTGTTGGGCCGGTGCAACCTTACCTCCAAAGAGATGATCCGGCAGCTGGCTCTCGACCCATGTAGTGTGATCGAGCAGGCTCTCGCCCTCGAGCGTGCTTTCGACGGGCCACCCAATCTGGGGAGCCCAGCCCGTCCGCGAGTACGGAGCCTCGGCGTCCTCTGCGTCTCCATTCGCAAGAGACTTCTCTTTACCGGCGGCGTCGTCGAGAGCGCCTTCTTTCGTCGGTTCCGGGAGCTCTTCGTCAGGGCCAGTACCGTCGTCGACGTCGGTTGCGATGGCCGTAGCCTTGTTCCGTCGAATCTGCTGGAGTTCGGGAGGGATGGCCTAAACCGAGATGCATCGTCAGCCTTTCTGCGCCCCTTGGCATACAAGAGGCACCGTGGCCTTAGAAGAAGGGGGACAGGCATCTTATCATACAGCAGCAACTTGAGAGCGCTTTTCCTCTACTGAGGCATTCGGGTCGAACATGAAGGCGGGAGCGCCAGCATTCCGGGCTTCGTTAACCAGGAGCCTCTCGGCGTCTTCAGGCGATACCGACGTCTGGGGGTCTTGAGCAGCCTCAATGGCCCCCTGCACCTTGAGCTCGTGCACCTCCTGGGCCGACATGATGGCCAGCTGTGTGCGCTGTTGCAGCTATTGTTCGTGTGCGCCAACCGGGCCGTTCAATTGATCTGGTAGCTTTGCGATGTCGTCATTCGAAGTGCCGGCAGCTGATGGAGGGGCAGTGGCCAGATATGCGTCGCAGCAGCGGATTCGGGCTGCGAGCGTATGATAGGAGAGTGAGAGGAGTTGAAAACGAAACGGCTTCCGTCTATCGAGTCTCCGTCTTTATACGATCAGCAAAAATCACAAAGGCTCCCCTTCGAGTTGACAGAGAATCAAAGGCAAACAAAAGAAACAAGGCTTGCAAAGAAGAGAGGAGGAGACTGAAGCAAGGCCAACGGGAGGAAGAGGACAGCTTAGTAGTATTGCGTAGTGGTCGAGAGGCTTCCCACCTTTTGATTGATTGTCTTGGACAAAGCCACAAGCTAATGCACGTGTGGCTCGGCACAGAGACGACGCGCAAAGCTGAAAACAAGGACAAGGACGGACGAGAAGCAGTGAAGAGTGCAAGTCTTGGAAGTTGGTGCAGTGGAGCTGACGACTTGGCCAGGTGCAGTGGTTCAAGTTGTCCGTGGCGCAGAGCAGCCAGACGGTTATCAGGGAAGAAGAGCAGGAGGTTCCTGCGTGCGTGGCACTTGTACGCGTGTATCAGGCCCGGGAGCAGCCAGAGATGCTGGTTCGCTCTCACACACAACACAAACTCGTCCAAAGATGCTCTGCTGCTGCTCTGCTGATTACATGTAGGTACCTACCTAGTACCTTAGGTGCTGCTTCCGTCTATCGTCTACAGTACCTACAGCTGGAGGTCAATATGTCTGAGCTCAGCGCAACGGGGATCGAGCCTGTAGTAGTCGCACCGCATGGAGTTGGAGGGCTGCCGGACAGGAGCTACAGTGGAGCGAGGTGCTGCGCTTGGCGGCTGCGTCCCCACTGTAGCTTCGCTGGCCCTCCCCTGCACTGCTGAAAGCGTGGCGACGACGTAATTGCAGGCAAGGGCCCGGCCAGTCAGGACTCAGCTCCAGCTCCCAGCAGGCTTGAGCCGGGCCAAGGGGCCGCTGCAGGTGGTAGCGCCTAGAACTCTCAGCAATTGGAGGGGGGAGTGTCGTGCTCTAGAGCCTTCTGGGGCCCCGTTCAGTGGATGGTAGCTGGTGGTGAGTTTAGCGCTATCTCTCCTCCCACTGGACAGCTGGAGAGGGGGGAGGGGGAAGCTCGGCAACAGGAGGCCTCGAGGTCAATCCCTGGAATTGCTTGACTGCAAGCACGTTGAATACCTGTAGGTATAGATGCACACGATTACTTTCTGGATAAGTACCACGCACACACAAGCACTTCGATAGAGATGTAACTACGGGCCCTCATGCCCCGTGAAATTGGCCCTCATCTCTCACAAGCCGGCAAACAGGATTGGATGCTTTAAACATGGTGACACAGCCACACCCTGTCGTGTCTGGTGGCTGCTTGCAGACCTGTGGTACCCTTTGGAAGCAAAGTCCGAAATAAATTTTGATTTCCTCTTTCCTTTGTGGACCGAGAAATCGGGAATGGAGATGGGGTAAGAAAAAAAGGGTGAGTGAGTGAAATATCAAGCTCATTTCGGATCGAAACATCCGCGGGTCTGGCAGACGCACTAGAACCACCTGAGAAAGAATTTTGTTTGTGGAGAAGGGAAGCGGCATAGGTAGCAATCTTTGTTTCAGTGTACGGGAAACGACTTGACGATGTTTGGGAGATGGGAGGATTTAGGAGGAGAGGAGGATGCCGAGGCACAAGCTGATGCTGTGGTGGCAGTGAATAACAGCCATCATCACGTATCATTCTTTCGCAACCACCATCACAACATTCACACAAACCTGAAGATTCCGGCCAGTCCATCAGATAACACTGGACTTGACTTGACAGCAAACAGGGATCTCCCTCATTTTTTTCACTAAATCAGCCCCGGCTTAGCGTCTCCTGTCCGATCGCTCGGGCTCAGAACGACATTGAAGATCCTCGTCATCTCGCTCAGCGATCTGCATAAAATGAAGTCATGGAAAGGAAAAGAACGGCAACCCCTCGACAGCTTCTTTGCTTCTACACTACGAGGTATATGAAGATTTTTTTTTTTTTTTTTTTTTTTCAGCTGCCCCAGACTCAGCTGCCCCAAAGACTTTGAAACCAATATGAAATTAGAAGCTAGAGGGAGGCAGGCGGTCACGAGCATGCAAGTTGACGATCTAGACTGAAGAGTTTAGACCTTAGGAGAAAGAGCAGGCAGGCCTTCCTTTGCTTCATGACATAGAGCAGCGGTTGGTAGAAGATGGGTTACACAAAACCCGGAGTGATGTGTGTGTGTGTGTGGTGCGGATCGCGTAACCGCAGACAAACTCACTTGTTTCAGATGTGTCAAGAGAAAGATGATAGTAACGGCCCAGACATCAAGGCGAGGTTTGTCCCAAAGAGTAGATTCTTGGCCATTGGTCATGACTGCGGGGTAGAAGCATCCAAACTGGGTGCTGCTGTAAGACGTGAAGAATCCTGGTTTCAACCCATCGTCAATATGGCGCTGTAGAGAGAATTGTGGTATCACGACATGATCAAGTCCAACGGGCTAGCATTTCACAACTCACGGCCCAAGGAAACGCCATGCTGGAAGAAGAGAGTCTGTCTGTATATTCATGTCAACGCTACAACATATTGCTTTAGCTCGTTAGATTCGTTCCAGCTAGACCAAGGCCATCGATTGGTCGACCGCCTCATAAGGCCTCAAGAGTCGACACGCTGTACGAAATAAATGATATCGTCAAAGGAGGGAGATCCGGTATATGCCCTGGGCAGCTAGGCTGTAAACATCTTTCAAATTTGACTCCAGGTTCGCCAAACACTCCAATATGCAAAGGACCGAATCTGTAATAAGCATTTCAAACAAGAGGCCGTCGCCCAGCCATTCCTCCCAATTCTCCATCTAATACCCGAAACCGTCGTGTTGATGCACGGGGCATCTTCCGGGATGATTGACAAACCAGGCTGAGATACAAGACCGGTGGAACCGGCAAAGGCATTCAAGTCGTGCCATGGGGATTCCCACGGTGAACTCCTCCAAGCAAATCGTGCACTCTGCATCGTCAATGCAGTCCTTCTCCGTGGCGGCATATGTGTACATGCCGGTGCGCCTGGGAGGGGGTGGTGGTGTATTGCCATCTGCTGCTACACGAGGGCTGCCGTACGTGCTGTGCGATTGGATGCAGGCGGTGATGTGCGACTCCCGCAGAGCCTCGAAGTTGGGCAGCTCCCGTGAGGGAAGCTCCAGATGGCAGATGGGGCATTCGTCCTCCTCCGGAATTTGAGGGGGAGGGGGCAACGCGCGCTGTCGTGACGATGAACCGCCAGACTCACCTGCAAAACGACGCCGATGAATGTGGTGCTGGTTCGGCATGGAAAAGGGGGATGGTCCGGCCGCCATCAGCCGGCCGATGGACGCCGCTTCATAGTTGGCACTGCTGCGCCTTCGCGAAGAAGAGGCAGATGACGAAGCACCACCTGGTCTTTGTCCAGAGGGGTCCTAAAGCAGCATGTCAGCTACAGTTCATTCCCGCGATGAACCTACTTGCTCTTGTCCTTACCATTGTGATACTCCTTGTCCTAGAGGTATAAGCTTGATAGGGGTCATTGCTCTGACCGGCTGAGAAGACTCCTCCGTATCGATTCGGACCAGGCGAAGTAGGATAGCCGCCACCCATGCTGGCCCGGGACCTGCGTCGTGAAGCACGCGGCGATAGAGCTGGAGAATCTGGACTTTGGGGCGGCGCAGTGTTGGGATCCGGGACGCAAGGGTTGCAGAGGCGCACCCGCTCGCCCCCCGAGAGCCCATTGATATCAATGTAGCCTCCGCCTGTGCTGTCGTAGAGCAGCGCCGGAGGCAGCGGCACCTCGGTGCCTGGCGCTCGGACAATGAACTGGTGCGGAATGATGATTCTGTGGGGGGAGCAAGAGTTGCAAACGACTCTGCCACACTTTCTGTTTGCCTGTGAGCAAGCCTGCCATCTTTTCCCCCGGGACCTTACGCCCGTTCCAATGGGGAGAGCAACCTTACCTGCAATGATGTTTGCGCACAAAGATACTAAACTGAGTGCGGCAGATGGGGCAGTATGTGACCTCGGCATCTGGCTGCCACCTAGGAAGGACGACGGCCGACTCTGTGCGCTCCAAGTCTCGATCTCGCTCAGGCTCGCGTTCGCGCTCTCGCTCTGCCGGTCCAAACAAGGTCTCAAGCAGGCCGCTTTGGTTCGTATCATTGCCATAGACGGCGGAGAGCTGATCTCGCGCAGACATTCTGGGTGAGCTGCTCTCTGACAGGTCACCGGCCGATGCGCTAGCAGTATACGCCCGACTGCCCTGATCGGAGGACTCGCCCCAGCCGTTGCTGCCGAAATCGCTCGATCGCAAGTCGATGCTCCTCGAGGGAACGCGGGTGCGGATGGGCAAAGACGAGAATCTGGAAGGGGAAGACACTGCGTTCGCCGGCACAGAGCTTGTCGAGCTCTCTCCCTCTCTCTCGGCCGCGAGCCCAGACGATATGCCCGATAGCGGCACGGCAGGGTCCGAGACGGGAGCTCCCTCGCTCTGTTGTGGCTCGGTCGTCGTGTCGTCGTGGTGTGATGCTGGAGAGTCGTCTAACGAAGCTCGTGGGGAGCCGCTATCCTGTCGAGGTTCTGTCGCCTCGGCGGTGGTCTCACTCGCGCCTTGGTCGCTGGGTCCAGCGATGTCATCGACAGAAAGCCGCCTCTCAACGGTGTGAGAGGGGCAGTCAAAGTACCGCTCGCACTCCTGGTCGTGGAACTCGGCCGTCCTCCAGCGACAGGAGGAAACGCCGTGGGCATTTGACCCTTCATCGCCTGAGTATGGCGAGTCCAGCATCGCATCTGCACTGACGCTCGCCTCCCTTGCATCCCGGGGCGCCAGGGTGCTCGGTGCACCGTGCGGGCTGGCCATGGCGAGGATGGTTCCTTGCGAAGACAAACGGCGGTCGTCAAGAAGGAGGACAACAAGTGATGATGACGACCGGCGACGCCGAATTAAGCTCTATGGCACAAAAAACGAGGGATAAAGCGACGATGCGGGCGGGAGGCTGATGGCTGATGGCTGATATAAAGCTCAAGCCCCTCAAGTCTCTCAAGCCTGGCCTGACTCAAGGCGTCGAGGCAGACAGGAACAGAACACTTTGAGCGATGATGCACACGGTACCACGCCGGCTCAGGGCGCTCAAGTCATGTTCAAGCGCCCGACCTGCTGTGAAGAAGGCGGCCGCGGCGAGGCAGCAGAAAATCAGACGCAGAGACGGGGCATGGAATCACGACGCTGGTTCGAAAGGAAACCCCCCTTGGTCGAGGTTGAGACACGCGATCACTTATCGCTGCAGCTGGCTGAAGCTTATCGAGAGGGTGGCGCCAGCGACGCTTAGTCAACTACAGGATGCGCCCACCTGACGCTGTTGTGCGATGCTGGTTGGAGAGAGGCTCGACGATCACGTTTGGAGTAATAACTGGATCCATGCAACGCTGCGAGTTTTTGGGGGGGAGGTTGAAGAGAGGGTGTTGTGAGCCTGACAATCTCTTTCGTTTAATAAGTCTTCATTTCCTTTTGTTGTCCTTCATTCGATAGTGCTCATATATTACGGTGATGGAGATGCCAGCATCAGTCGAGCATGTGGTATTATAGTACATGTCCTTTTAGCTTCCGCGATACTACCTAGGTAGGTAGATAGCATGGAAGCTAACCCGAAGCCGCTTCGTACAAGTACCGGGCCTAGTAATTACTTGTAGTAGCGATGAATGTTCCAACGCCTGACCACCATTCAACTCCTCCAAATGGGTATCTCGCTTACGCCAACTCCTTAATCAAAGCAAAGCACCATGGCCCTCGCCCACGATCAAAGCAAAGATTCTCTCTCATTCTCCCACCTCGCGATCATTGTCCCAGTGGACAAAGGAAATGACGCTCCATTTCCACGAATTATGCCTGATTTGCTTTCCCCAGAAATACAGCGGGATCCACAGGATGAGGACGGCCCCCGCAATTCCCGCCATGGCTCCAAACCCGTCCTGATAGCCAGCGGCATTGATCCAAGGGTTCGTTTCGAAGGAGAGGAAAAAGGCAAAGAGGGCTGAGTCTCTGTCTGTCAGACGAGCCCAACCAGGGACAGGGCGACGGAGACGGAAGACGCACCTTTGAAGCCGGTGACGGCCAGCGTTATCTCGCCCGCAACAGGCCGGTATGAATCAATGACGTACACGACGCAGATTGTGTTGGCCTGCGTGATGGAGAAGTTGACTGTGTCTCATGGGTTAGCTGGTGATGACAAGATGAGTCGCAGGAAGCCGAGCGGGACACGGGAAAACTTGGGTTCTTACGGAGGCCCAGTCCGATGGTAGGACATATCCAGTGCAGTTGGTACTTGATGCCAACGCCATAGAGTATCAGAGCCAGAGGAGTCGTGATCACAGAGACCATGACTGCTGGAAGCCGCATCTCCGGTTCTCGGATACCGTTGTTTCGCTTTGTCAGAATGTCTGCAACTTTGTCTCCCAGATAGCCCCCTGCAGGAAGCCCCAACAGGGAGCCAATAACGCCGGCGATGTAGCAGAGCCCAACCTGCCAGGATGCAAACCCATACGTCAGATTAAAAGCCGAGGCTGAGTTGGACGAGACGGCCACCAGAAACCCAATCGTGACCGACAGGGCAAGGGCAGACCAGAGCACCGGTGGGAGGATGATGAGGCCAAAGGGGCGAATCATCATCTTAAAGAGGTTCTCGCTCGTACCCGCAGCCTTGAAGACCAACAGCGACTCGACGTAGCTCATCTTCTTCACGGAAGCCTGCGCCTCCTGAGTCGCGCCCGTTGTCGCCGCGTCACCGGCTACGTCCAAGGCGAGCGAGGCATCGTCATTTGTCCGGGAGTAGCTGGTCTCGGGCACGGTAAGGAGCAGGGCAACAAGGACGAAGCCGACTAGAGCAGCGCCGACCTGGTAGATGGTCCGCCAGGTGTGGTTGATTGTGATGAGGCCAGAGATCACCAACCCTCCCGACGCGCCGATGGACAGAAAGCAGGTATACGCAGACATTACTCTGCCTCTTTCGTGCAGAAAGAAGACGTCGGCAATCGTGATGGGCGCGAGCGTCTCTGCCGCACCAGACCCAAAGCCCATGAGGATCCTGCCCGCGAGAAACCTAGCATACGACTTCTCATAGATGAGCCATACTGCCGTGGCGAAGTAGATGGTGTAGCTCAAGATGTACACCGGCCGCCGGCCCCATTTGTTGGCCGCTGGCACCCAGACGATGTTGCCCAGGCCTATGAGCAGAGACGTGGTGGTGAAGAAGTAGGCCGTCTTTGGGATGGCCGAGGTGATGAATGTGCCGTCCGTCAGGGACTCCGGGAAGAAGTCCGCCGCCGTGGCCGGCACCGCAATGGCTGGCCCGGCGGCGAGGAAGTTGCACACGGCCATTGCCAGGCAGAGAACCCCGGCGACGTAGTATTTGCGCCATGATGACCTGACAGATGGTGACACGAGTCGTGAGCCGACGAACGGGTTACTACAACATGGATGCCGTATAGATGAAACAGAGACGGAGACTAGGACCTACCAGTTCAATGGGTCGTTGGGGTCAGAGGATGGCGTGGGCACGAGAATCACGGCATTCGTCTCGGGATGGACGAGGCGCAGATTGCCGAGCGTCCTCTTGCGCGTCTTCTCCTTGAAAGACTCCTCGGCCTGCGGATCCAGCGCGGGGGCAATAATATCATCCTGGATGGTCATGGCTGAGGGTAAGGAAAATCCGTGAGAGGCGACGGCTCCTCAAACGACTGCCGAGGGCAAGCAGATGGGCAGAGGGATTGGACTCGGTGTCATGGGCTTGGCATCTTTTAGAACTATCCGGAGGCCTGGATCAGGGATCTTCGTGGGAAGCTGCTGTCAGGGGAGCAGCCCCCGGAGAGACTGGTCCTGTATGCGCGAAGCCAAGCTGTCACTAGCTAGGTAGAGGGAGGCGGCAGCTGTATTATGGTAATATTGCTTCAGAGCATGCAAAATGTATCAGTGTGAAGCAACCTTGACATCTCGTACATGCAAGGTCTGGTCTGGTAGTAGGTAATAGACATGCACAAGGGCACGACGGGGGGGCCATCTCAGGGGTTCCGGGCCGTGGAGGGGGGCCCACAGCAAGATGGCCAGTAAGGTACATGTAGGCTGAAATTTGCCCAGATGTACCCGAAGTTGTGGTTGCAGTCGAACGGACTGAGGCCTGCGAATTATATCTGCGCCCTCTGATCATGGTTGATCCAGATTTGATGTCCGGCGAGAACTCCACTACAAGTGCCACCGACGGCGCATTCAATAAAGAGCCCGTGAAAGATGGCAAGATGAGTATGTAACCTCAAGAAGAAATTAGGTAAGGTAGTTCTAAGCAAGGCTCGCCCGTGGCGCCTTTCTTAGCTTTGATCTATTATAGTTGAGCGTTGTCATTTGCTGGGTAGGAAAATGCCCGGACAAAGACAATTCCAGCGCTGTGGGCGATTCATCTTAGTGCTCCATAGGTAGTGACTGGAAACTGCCGTTTCTAAGTGGGATAAAAAGGAGTTCCCTTCGTGCGTTGGGAATAAGCCGGGCAAGAGAGAGGAGCAGTGCTTGTGGGTGTTTTACGTCTCTGGTGGAGGAGAGACGGGCTGGCAGGGAAGTTTTAACAACCCTGCGCTCACTCTCTCTCTTTGCAGATTTGCTTTTTCTCGGGAGATGCGACGGCAGTGATTTGATGTTCCATCCTGCTGGGTCTCCAGTTCTGGACTCCTAGTGTTGAACAAGTGGTATCATTGTCTGGCTTGACGTGTTCAACACTACCAATCGTACAGGACTTACGCAGACTTAAAGTGAAATTATTGATTGATTTCTAACTTATTGAATACCGAAGAAATTCTAGGCGGCGGATATCCTGCATGTGCCGGGCATCTCCGGCTACCAGGTAAGCTGAATATAGTCTGCATGTCACTGCGCCGGGGCTGCGCTGTCAGCGAGCGGTCCGCTGGTGGCAACTCGAGAAAAGCCTCCTTAAGCCTTCCAAAGTCTGTGTGGCCTCATGTACTTTGACTTGACTTCTGGGAACTGACATTCAGTCAGTACCGAGGTTCTGGATGTCTGTACAAGTGCTTCAGAGTAGTCTTTGTGAGGTTGTCTCTTTGCGTTGTTCGCGGACGCTTAAACGGTTCCAGAGGAAGGCTGGAACCCTTGAATGTCCCCAAGCAGAGCCGCCAATCTGCCGGCAATACCCTGTTCGAAGCTCAACAACACCAGCAAACCAGAGGACCCCCCAGATCGGCCCCCACGGCACCCTCGTCGTCGCTCGCAGAGGCCAAAGTGATAATGCCAGCTGTGACTTCAGCCCCGGCTGCCACGCTCGTCTCAAGATCCCTCCTCTTCGATTGACCAGCAAACATTCCGATCTGGCACTGGTGAGTAAAGTCGTCTTCGTCACCTCACATACATAGCATACATGTATGCAGAAGCACGCATTGGCGGGGGTTGTGAGGTCTGACAACTGTTTGAAGTCTGAACGATTAAAGCTCAGGGTCAAGCACTTTTCAATCCCAGCCTCATCAAATGTTGTAGCAGTACCGGCTGTTAACTGGTCAAAGTGGTGCTTGGCCGCGTGGCAGTACCGCCTCCGTGCCACTAGCAGCAGCGGTTGAGCGGCTACCAGCACGGCCACCCACCCGCTGAAACCCGGTACGCGTACCTCCCCATTACATGTACTTGTACATACTCGTACAGCAGGTTCCTTCCCAGGGCAAGGCCTCTCGTCCAACCACCACCGCCAAACCGTGATCCGTCCCTGTCCGTCTTACATTACCTATGCAAGCCTCGCCCATACAAGATTGGACTTGCTCACACTCACTCGCACAGTCCCCCGACAGCACAAGATCATGCCAAGTCTCCTCGCGCACACCAGCGGAGCGCCCCCATCGTCCACGCAACGCCTCGGCCACGGCGTCTAACACCAGCGGAGCGCCAGAGTAGCGCCATCTTGCCTCTCGGTAGCTCTGATCGGCTTGTGTGCTGGAACAGCATTGATCTCAAATTCTCTTACTACGACTGCAGGTATTACCTGTCCCAGCTCGCTCAGCCTTACCGGCAGCGGCCCAGCCAGTTGCTCCGGCCCATATCCAGAGCCCGCCGGGACCCTTCATCTCAGCCCTGACGTACATCCCATCAGGCCACGGCGGCGCCCTCTGCCACCATCGCTCTAGTCCTCGTTCCGCGAGGCTGTCCTCCCAATCCACGCCTTTCGTCTTGTCACGGCTTTGATGTGGGAGTAAAACCTTGCCGGCCAGACATACTGGAACCTTTCGGGGCTGCCGCCGGTCCGTAGCCAGCACGCAATGGCCGGGCCATCTCTATCACATATCCTCGATCCCATGGGTCCGGGCAGCGATCCTCGCCCGCGGCCTGTGCCTTCGCCTGCGCCTGAATCTGCACCTGCGCCAGTGCCAGCAGCTGTCCCCGTCCTCACGCCTGCGAGCGTGTCTGTGCCTCCGTCTGTACCTGTTTCTGCGCCAGTCTCTACGCCTCTGCCACCCTTTCCCCTGGCACAGCAGCCCGTCGTGAGCTCAGGTGCTGCCACTACAAGTACGGTTGGTTCCGCGCCGCCATCGACTCGTGCTGGGAGCAGGGCCCGGAGTCACATTGCTATGGAGGCTATACCGTCGCCCACCTCGCCTTCCAGTGCTGCCGACTCGACTGCCACGGCTGGAACCACTGGTCGTGCCACTCCCGAGCCAGGTTCTGCGTCGCGGAAGAGCCACCAGACAAGCAATCCGTATGCTTGTCGCGACTGTGGGCGAACCTACTCAAGGCCAGAGCACCTTGTCAGACACGTCCAGACTCACACCCTGGGCCGCCGCTTTGCCTGCGAAATCTGTAAGAAGTCGTTTGCGCGGAAGGACTTGCTGAGGCGCCATGTCGCCAACCACGAGAACGACTCCCCCAAGAAGCGTCAACGGCTGCTTTCGTCGCCAAACTCCAGCCGTGTGACTCAGGCCTGCCGTGCCTGCGCCGCTGCTCGCGTGAAATGCGACGAGTCGAAGCCGTGTAGGCGCTGCGTCAGCCGGAACCTGCCATGTTCTTCGTACGAAGCGAGCACCTCCGGGTCCCTTGTTCATCTTCCAGCCAGCGGACCGGACGCCGCCGACGCCCGTCCAAGCGGCGAGTGGTTCACAGCATCCACAGACTCCAAGCCTGCGTCTCATAGTTCAGTTCCCAGTGCGTCTGCAAACTTTGTTCGCGATAACACGGCCAGCAAGAGCAGCCCGCTGTCACAGGGTACCTCATCAAGGCAAGATGAGAGCCAGTTGGCCACTCCGGACACGGGCATAGAACAAGGTACGTCATATCGTTGAATTTTTCTTGAGAGAGACTGGCCGCTGAACTTCTGTGGAGTGTTATATGCTGGTTTTCCCACAGTCGAGTTAGGGGCGCCAAGAACTGACAGCGAACCCCCTATTTAGGTAGTACTACAGCAAGCACTCATGGCCCTGCTCAACCGAATGATGCTTCTTCTAAAGCTGCCTCCGGCCTTATGGAGTTGAGCAACACTCCATTCTTTGACTTTTTGCGTGATGTCCTCTACCAGCAGCCGGTGGATCTGTCACGTACTCACGAGTCTCAGGGTCCCGCCGTGCTGGATTTCTGCGATGACATGGACATGGATTTGACGGACATGGACTTTGGCCTCTTAGATCACTGGAACCTGGATCTGAACGACGGCAGTGCCATGGTGACCCCGGCCATGGCGAGCCAGACGACCCAAAACTCGACGGAAATGTCTCAGATGCGGCAGAATCTTGCCAACGTCTGGGGGGAACTGCCCTGGAAGTGGGAGCCCACCAACAAGGACAACGCCTACACTGAGCAAGGCAACCTTCCCATTTCCTCCAAGGACATCTCCAACGCTCAGTTTCAGGAGACGAAGAGACAGCTGGAGCGCGTGGTGGACCAGAAGCTCAACCTTTCCAGCCGCGACCAGATCTTGGCCATTGTGCTCAAGACGTGCCGCGATGCCTCCACGGCCAGCCGAGTGGCCGCCTCCTTTCCGACGGTAGACGTGATGGACACCATGGCCCAGGCCTTTCTAGCGGCTCATGTCCGCCAGGTGTCGACATGGATACACTACCCTACCCTCAAGCTGAACGCGGTGTGGCCCGAATGGATCGGGAATGCCGTGGCTGCCGGTGCCGTCTTGATGCCGGCTCCGACTTTGCGCAAGTTTGGATTTGCCGTCCAAGAGGCAGTTCGTAAGTGACTTTCTTTCACTTTGCACCAGACATGTGCTAACGCCTGACCAGGAATCACAATACCTTCGCGGGTACGTACAGTACAATCAGCGTATGCGTATGCAGCAAGAATGGCCTGACGCTGACACATGCCACAGTTTGAAGATAACAATACCGCCATTCAAAACCTCAGTCTTGTCCAGTCCCTCATTCTAGGTCAAGATATTGGCCTGTGGAGTGGCAATCGCAGGAAGATGGAAATTGCCGAGTGTCATTTGGTCATTCCGGTCACGGTAAGAGATTCCGGCTCCCCATGTTCGGTACATTGACTGAGCGGTTGTCAAGATGATGAGATATCGTCGAATGTTTCAGCGATGCATGTACCCTGCCATCACAGTGAGTGCGTCCGACGAGGGAGACGTTTTGGAGCAGAAGTGGTTGAAGTGGGCGGCCGCAGAGCAATGGAAGAGGTCAGTTCCCGATGGACATAGTGTGTCTGGCCATCAACGGAAGCATAATACTTACAGCAGGTGAACAGACTCGTCTTCCACTGTTACATCCGCGAGGCGCAATTGTCCATGACGGCATTGACGAATCCTTGCATGTCGTACTCGGAGCTGACGCTCCCTCTGCCGGAACGAAAGGCCCTGTGGTGTGCAAAGTCGGCTTCCGAGTGGAAAGCTGTGTATCTGGCCGGAGCTGCGGGACAGAACACGAAGATACCCTCACTCGCTGAAATGTACAGGGACGCACGCCGATTCGTTGAGAACAGTACACGCATCGACATGCAACTGTCCGTCTCCGTATACCTCCATGGCTTCTGGTCAATGATTTGGGAGTACTCTCAACTGAGCGTGGTGCACCAGTTCCGCAGCTACTCCAAGGAAGGGTCCAACGCGTTGCTCAGCTCACGGCGCGAGGAGCTCACGAGAGAGCTGCAGGCCTTTCAATTTGTCGCATCAGAGCTGGAAGGCATCTCCCCTCAAGAGCAAGTCATCTTGTATCTGCTCATGATGCACCTCCACGTGTCCCTGGATGACCTGCAAATCTTCTCGGGCAAGCAGGGAGAGGAAGAGGCCCGCCGCATGTATCCCATTTTGCAGCAGTGGACGGCCAGCCCCGACTCGTGGTACGCCGTTTGGTGCGCGGGACAGGTTCTGCGATATGCCAAGCTCTTTTCCCCGGGCACCCTGAAGGATTTCTACGCGATTGCGGTCCATCATGCCGCGCTCGCGCTGTGGACCTACGGCGTTGTGTCACGGGCCAGCCAACAGCAGGACATGCCATCGCAGTACGATTACGACGCCATGTATCTAGACGACGGCGGCGATGCCACTTCTCTCCGGCAGTTTCTGAGTTTCGGTCAGGGAAGGCCGTTTATACAGGGGCTGGCAGGGTCAAGCTCTGGGGCTGCGCCGGGCGACGCGTCCGTTTACGATCCTCGTGCTTGCATGGACATTGCGCAGGAGATTTTGCAGGCTAACTTTAGGAGGCCGCAGGATGCGTTGCCGCCTCTTGTCGAGAATCTTTGCCAGCTGATTAAACAGCTTGGAAACGCAGCCTGGGCGGTTGGTCTGGGGTAGCCGGGTTTTTTTTTCTTTGTCTGTGTATTTTCTCTCTGTTTCTGTGTTTCCCCTCTCTCTTTGTTCAGACGGGAGAGGGCATTTTGCGTTTGAATGCATTCTCGTCTGCGCAGATTGAGGACGAATTTGTATTGCATGTATATACATATATATATAAGATACCCGGGCGTGGGCCGCTGGCGTACATGGATCAATGTGCAATGTAAGGCGCATATATCGTATATTGAGATGGCATTTAGATGAATAGATACGCAAGGGCATTTGTTCACACATGAATCTGTTCACCCTTTGGACTGATCTTTTGGGCGGGCGAGTGTGAGATTGATTGGATACTAGCTGATCCATCGAGAAGAGCCACGTGCAAGCCTCGAGTTCGGAATAGGCACTCCAACAAGGATCCTGGACTAATATCCCCGTGAATCGGATGGATCTTACCGGCAAATTGCGAAGCTTGGTACAAGAGCACTACAGCCAGAATGGAACAGCGTCTGAATTTAGATGGAATTGGTAGTAGGTACTCAGTAATAGCAGGGTATTGGTCATCTACTGTATACCATGTAGATTATGAGCGGGCGCCCGTTTTGCGTGTGCTTCTGCCGCTTTTTTCGTCACTTGCCGATTTCCGTCTCGCTCTCTTGGAGCAGGTGCTGTCCCTGCCGTGTCATTTTCTTGATAATCTTATTTTTTGTTTACTTTTTCTAAGTTGTCTTTTTTATTTTTTTATCGAGTTCCTGGATTTCTTTTTGTGGTAAGCGCGGGATAGAGAGGCATGAGTTGGGCGATTTGACCGCTTTCGCTGCTGGTTTACCGTAACCCCACGCTCGGCCTCGGGTTTACCTACCTTAGGTACCTACATAGGTAATCTTTCCTACATCTTGCAACGTCCAAGTCTCTGGAGTCCCTCACAACAAGCATAAGAGCAAGCCATCCTTTTCTTTGCTTTTTGTTCTCTTCTGTCTCTATTCAAACCGCAGAACCTCCCCCTTTCAAATTTAAGACACACGCACACACATGTGAGGCGCCGCCTTCAGAGCCAGAAGCCCATGGATCCGGTAGCAGCATCATCAGCCGGCAGCGGCTTCTTCTTCTTCCGCTGGCCGGCGTCGTCGTCGTCGTCGTCGTCGTCGCTGCTCCCGCAGACGACGGCCATGGCGGTGACGGTCACCACGACGGCCGTGGCCACGGCGACGCTGCTCCTGCTTGTCCGGTCGGCGCTGTGGCCGCGCTGGGGCAAGGTGCTGCCGAACCCGCTCAAGACGGCGGACAAGGTCAAGGTCGAAGGGCTGGTCTATCGGCCGGATGCGTTTCCGGGGGCGAGGGATGTTGAGACGCCGGTGAGTGTTGCTTTATATATATATATATAGAGAGAGAGATATATATACTTTGGGGAGACCAGTTTGATTGATTTGTGGGGGATGGGGAGAGAGAGAAGAGAAGAGAAGAGAAGATGTGGAGATGAGATGGGATGAGATGAGATGAGATGAGGCTATCACGAGAAAGAAGAGCTAAATCATGTTGGATGACATGCCAGTACGGCTCGATCCGCGTCTACGAATTCGGTCCCGAAGATGGCGAAAAGGTCCTGCTCGTCCATGGCATCAGCACGCCCTGCATCACCCTCTCCCACATCGCCCACGGCCTCGTCGCCCGAGGATGCCGTGTAATGCTCTTTGTAAGCTCACCCGCCCCCCCCCCCCCCCCCCCCCCAACCACCTCATGCCTCCCAAATGTGGCCAGTCAACATTACAAGCAAGTGATCATCACATCGGCCTAACTGCCGTCTCACAGGACCTCTTTGGCCGAGGCTTCTCAGACGGCGTCGGCGACCTCGCCCACGACGAGCGCCTCTACACCACCCAGATCCTCCTCGTCCTGGCCTCGAGCCCCCTCCCCTGGACCGGCACCAACGCCATCCGCCTCGTCGGCTACTCTCTCGGCGGCGGCATCGCGGTGCACTTCGCCACTGCCTTCCCCCACCTCGTCTCGTCCCTCGTCCTGCTCGCTCCCGCGGGCCTCATCAACCCTGAGGATTTTGGCGCCGTCTCCCTCTTCGTCTTCAAGTCGGGCTTCGTGCCGGAGCGCATCCTCGCATACCTGACCCGCCTGCGTCTCCAGAAACCCATTGCAGCAGCACGCAAGCCCAAGGAACCACCGTCCTCCTCTTCGCCAACCTCTGCCGTCGCCGACATTGCCATCCCAGAAGCCACCAGCACTGCAGAACAGAACACCAGCAGCAGCAGCAGCAGCAGCACAGACGGCACCGCCACGAGAATCCCCCTCGAGCAGCACGTGCTCATGTACGTCCGCTGGATGGTCCTCAACCACCCTGGCTTCGTCCCCTCCTTCATGTCGTGCATCCGCCACGCGCCGTTGACGCACCAGCATGAGAGCTGGCAGCTCCTTGCGCGCAGAAAGGCCGGCACGACGATTGTCTTGTTGGCGCGGGATGATGAGCTTATTGACGTGGGCGATTACGAGCGCGAGGCTCTTCCGCTCGTGGGCGGGAAAGAGAATGTCGTGTGGAAGGTTCTTCCTGGGGCGCATGATTTTGTCATGACGCATACGGAGCACATTTTGAGGGAGCTTGATGAGTTGTGGAAGATGTGAGGAGGCGTATGATGATCGATTTACACGTTTTATTTTTTTTTCCTTTTGAATCATTGGAGAAGACACGGTATCACCAGCGATGAAATTCACTCAGGGATTGGGATAGATCAAGAGAGAAGAGTGCCCTTCACTCGCCTTGAGGGGCAAGGGGAAACATTTGCTTTGGAGAAGAGATGTGTTGTATCTATGGCTTGACATGAGGTGCGTTTGTAGACTGTTTGTATACACAGCATATACTCCAAGAAATATAAACTGAAAGAAGAGAAGAAAAAGAATAAGAGTAAGAATAAGAAAGCAAAAGACTTCGCCATGTATCCAGATCGTCATGTATACTGAGAAGCATATCCGTAATCATACACACAAGTTACCTATCCAATGCCTGGCTTTGACACTGTTTTCGCAACGCACGTTAGCAGTCATCCCAAGAGGAAAAAGGAAGCACAAGAGCCATGGACTCCTCCAAGCAAGAAGAACTCAAGTGCACGACAAAGAGGCCAACTTACCATCTGCCAATAAACCCCCTTCTTCTTCAACAACTCAACATGACTCCCCCTCTCCAGCAACTTGCCCTCGCCCAACACGAAAATGACATCCGCATTCTGCACCGTCGCCAGCCGATGCGCGACAACCACCATCGTCCTGCCCTTGCCGGCCCTCTCAAAGGCGGCCTGGACGAGCTTCTCGCTCTCCGAGTCGAGCGAGCTGGTCGCCTCGTCGAGCAGCAAAATGTCCGGGTTGCGGATGAGCGCGCGGGCAATGGCGACGCGCTGCTTCTGGCCGCCCGAGAGGGAGACGCCGCGGGAGCCAATGTTGGTGTTGTAGCCTTCGGGGAGGGAGACGATGAAGTCGTGGATGGAGGCGTCGCGGCAGGCTTGGTATATTTGCTCGTCGGTGACGGTGGATTCGTCGACGCCGAGGATGATGTTGTCTCGGAGGGTGCCTGTGGGAAAAGGAGAGCTGAGTAAGGGCTGAAGGGGGAGTTAGGGTGGGTGGATAGGGGCTGACCTTGAAAGAGGGTTGGTTCTTGGGCGACGAGGGAGAGGTGTTTGCGGTAGTTGAAGATGTTGACCTCGCTGATATCCTGGCCGTTGCACAAGATGCGGCCTTTGTCGAGATCGTAGAACCTAATGGTGTAATCAAGTACATTAATTTAGTTGTCACAACAGATCCAAGGCCTCCTTGACTCTGGCTTACCGTTCGAGAAGAGAAATGATGCTCGTTTTGCCACATCCAGACGCTCCCACCAGGGCCGCAAACTGCCCCTTTTCAATCGTCAAGTTGAGTCCCTTGAAGACGGGAATGTCTCGCGTTGGGTATTTGAAATGCACATCCTGCAGCTCAATCTTCATTCCCCCTTCCTCTCGGGGAAGGTTCATCGCCCCAGAGCTCCTATCCCGGATCATGGTGTCTCTGGTGTTCAGGATGCGGTTCGACGCGGCCGTCACCTGCGCTGCGTTTGGTCCAAATCCGAAACTCTGGCCAGCCGACTCGGAAGCGTTCATGATGGCCATGAAGCACACAAAGTAGTTCTCGAGCTTGTACTCTCCGCTGGCCAAGAGCCGGCTTCCGTAGTAGAAGATGAGAGACTGGCAGGCCAAAGTGCAGCTGTCGGCGAATCCAAACAGAAGACTCACCCAACGAGCCTTCTTGAAGGCCGTCTTGACGTGGCCTCTACACAGAGTTTCGAAGCGGCTCGATATAGGGCCCTCCAACGTCAAGGATGTGACGGTCCTGAAGGCGCCAATGGACTCGGACGCGAACTTTGAGCTTTCGGCAAAGACCTCGTTGTTCATCTTCTCAAACTGCATCTCGTACTTGAAGCGCCAGAATGAGGAGACGAGGAGAATCGGCATGACGACGGCGGTACCAACAAGAGCCAGTTTCCAACCAAAGGTAAAAGCAATTGCAATAGATCCGCTGAGGTTAAAGATGGCGATGTATACGCTGGCCATGTTGGCCCCCATTAGCTCCTCCAGCCGTTGAGGATCCCCGCTCGCGCGGGCTGTCATGGTGCCGTGCGAATGGTCCTCGTCGTCGAAGAAGGACGTCTTCTGGTAAAGGATGGCCTCAAAGTACTGCTTCTGGTACTTGGCTCGAATGATGGACGCCATTCGAGTGGAAAAGAAGAGTGTTCCAAAGTAAGCGCAGCCCACCCCTATCGCCAGAATGAACCACATCAGGCTCCAGAAGCGAGACTCAGAGAGTAGTTTGGCGCCGGTAAACTGGAACACCACGATGAGCTTCGCAAACAGCCATGCTTGCAGTGGGGTCGCTGCTCCGGCACAGGCGGCGAAGAAGACTGTCAGAAACATCAAGTACCATTGACTCTGTGTCTCGTAAAAGAGGCGACCGAAGCTGTTGAAGATGTTCCGCTGCTGCTCGGTATCGGTCTTTGCTTGTGCTTCGGCTTCGGAGACAGCCAAGCTCTTCTCGCGAGCCAGAGCCTCGGACGCATCTTCCTTTTCATCGCTCTCGTCAGACTGTGCAGAGCCCCCCAAGGAAAGTGCTTGAGCCTGGACGAGGCCGGAGTAGACACCGCCCTCCAACGCAATGAGGCTTTCGTGTGTGCCCTCCTCAACAACCTTTCCCTTCTTGATGACAATGATTCGGTCCGCTTTTTTGATCGTGGACAGGCGGTGAGCGATCGTGATTGTTGTCCGGTTTTGAGCCACGCGGTCGAGGGCAGCCTGTACGATACGCTCCCCACGGACGTCAATTGCGCTTGTCGCTTCGTCGAGGATGAGGATCTTGGGCTTTCGAACAATAGACCGAGCAATGGCAATGCGCTGACGCTGACCACCAGAGAGCTTGGCACCGCTGTCACCAACAAGGGTATCATAGCCCTACAACATTTGGCGGGTTAGAAAGGGGAAAGAAAAAAAGAAAGAAAAGAAATGAAAAGGGGGGATAGATAACAAGAGGACGGAGCCAACTCACCTGTGGAAGCTTGTCGACGAACTCGTCGGCAAATGCCTCGACACACGCTTCCTTGACCAGCTCGCGCTTCTGTTCTTCCGGTTCATTCTCCCACTGCGTGCCAATCAGACCATTTGCCACGTTGTGGAAGATTGTGTCGTTGAAGAGAAAAGGCTCCTGCTGGACCAGCCCAATCTGTGACCTCCACCATTTCAAATCAATCTCGTCCAGAGCATGGCCACACGTGGTGAGCGTGCCACTGAGTTTGACTGGCGGCCCTGTGTCTTCTGGATCTTGGGTTCTGACCTCCTCCTCTTCCTCGCTGGGCTTCTTCTTCTTCTTGTTCTTCTGCTGTTCCACGGCTTCCGCAATGACATATTGTTCCTTTAGTGTATACCATCTTTCAATCAATCCCACAACGGTGCTCTTTCCCGAGCCAGAAGGACCAACAATGGCGTTGATCTTGCCCGCCTCGATGCGGAGATCCAGCTCGTCTAGGATCTTGACGTGGGGGCGGCTCGGATAGGCAAATGTGACCTTTTCAAACACAATATCGTCCGTGGCAGAAACTTCGGGGTCCTTGAGGTGGCCCTTGTCGGGCTGAGGGGCATCGATGACGGTGAAGAACTGGGCGGCGGCAACGGTAGCCTTGCTGACGGCCAAAAGAGGAGTGGTGGTTCGCTCGAGGGAGAAGACGACCATCATGACAGACATCAAGACACTTTCTCAACTTAGCTACGTGTCCCCATGCATACGGAAGGAGTGTATATACTCACATGACGATCGTGCCAACGTTATCAATCTTATTCTCAGCTATCGACCGGGTTCCGTACCAGAATGCGAGCGCGAAGGCTGAGAACACGCTGAAGAACTGTGAGGCTGTTAGGATAAAGAGGCTTCAATGTACATTGTAGTCTTACTATAAGCCCAAACTGCAGGGATATGAATGGCGATGTGCGTTGAGCATGCTTCTTGGCTTCCTCGACGGATATCCCGTATTTCCTGACCATGCGGGCCTCGGCGCCGCACGCTGCAATCATGCGAATGCTGGCGAATGTCTCGCTTGCCACGGCCGAGGATTTCGCTTCAGCCTATGAAATGGTGAGATTTTGTTCTCGATAGCACTATTGCCATAATACAACAGCATCAACACTCACTTCAGTTATCCGGCCGTGACCCTTGACTATCAGGGGTAATAGCAAGGAGACGGTCAGGCCAATGAAGAGAATTGCCGAAGAAGTGACGAGCGTAAGGGCCCAGTTGCGAGTAAAGGCGATGATGATGGCTGCGACAATAGTGGCGTTGTACTCGAAAAAGACACCAAGCTTCTCTGAGATTCCAAGCTGAAGGGTGTTGGAGGTAGAAGTGATTGTCGTCGTGGCATAGCCGGGAGGCATCGAATCCAGGACGTGGATGCTCTGGCCCAACAGTGCCCTTAGGTAATGAAGTCGAATCCCTGAAGAGATCCGAATTCCGATCATTCGAAAGGCAAACTGTCGTACACAAATTAGTGGTCTCATCGTCATGGCCGTAGAGTATGGGAGGTAATTCGCACCTTGTTGATATAGTTGAGTCCCAGTCGGCCGAGAAACAGAGCAAACATGTACAAGCTTGCTATCGTGTTAGTTGTAGAATAAGAGTCAGGCATGGGGCGTCAGTCTCACGATAGTTGGTCTGCCCTTTTGCGAAAGCCTTCCTGGCTCTGGCTGGCAGCGTTGGTAAAGTCGCTTATATCGCCGACAAAATTACCTAGAACAACAGTGTAAACATCGGGTTCACCAGAGCTTGCCCGCTATGCCGCACAGAGAGCATCGACTATATTGCACAGAAGACAAGGATGGGACATACCAAAGACGACATTCATAAGTGGCAACGTGATGCCGGCGCCAATCGAGGCCAAGATGCCTGCAGCGTAGGCGAGGAAGTCCCATTTCGTTGCATATTGAAAGACTCGCTGCGTAGATGGAAGAAATCAATAGTCATCAGCACCTCGACCAACACGTCGTCATCAATGGCGTTCTTCAAGCTCACCGTGTAGTCCTTGAAGGAGGCTATCCGCTGAGGACGAGCCTTTGACTGCTGTTGCTGCTCCTGCTCCTGCTCCTGCGCCTGTTCGTCGGGGGCGACATTGTCAATCTCAGCGTGCTTCTCGGCGTCTCCCGAGACCGCGCCACTCGACTGCTCGAGCTCAGCCTTTTCCATCTCGAAGCGGCGATGACACTCGAGGCCGAAAGAGATGAAAGAAGCAAGCCGAGCGAAGGGCCTCGCTTGGATTTTGAAGCTACAAGTACAGGCAGGAGCTCGAGGTTGCAGCTGAGGAAGATGGGCTAAGTGGAGGTGCAGGTACGAAGCGCAGGGAGGCGTCCAAGTCGGTGCAGGTACCGGGTACTTTCAGCCTACATCACAGACCATACAAATGCGAGCCTGGACTCTTTTACACGCATGAACTGAGCCTGACGGCGCTTCGAGACCTCGAGACCCCTTTGGGAGCTTTCGTTCTGGGCCTTGGAAGATTAGACGGGGTCTTGAGAACGGGCTACGACTCGACGAATTGCAAACGAAACCGATCAATACGGCTCGGTTCGCAGTGGGTATCGGCTCCGAGGCCACCCATGTGGTTGATATTTTGGGATTTTAAGTTACGTGTACTCGCCGTCATCCCTGTCTGATTGAGTAGCAGAACTCGAATGTAGCTCAGTGTAGGGAATTGGGGGGGGAAGGTCTTTTCACGAAACCCAATTCCGACGTTTGTACCTGTGGTGTTGCTCGTTGTTTCCTGACAAAGTACTTCGTAGGTAGACATGGAATAGCGACACCTTAGACAGATACCTGATCAGCGACATGTTAGGTAGGTATCTTCGAATGAGAGCTCTGTCTGCATTGCTTCCAGGGCATGTTTGCTTACCAAAACACACTGATACTCATCAATCTCAGAATACCTGCAAGAAGTCCGTCCAGGAGGCAAAGTACATGTACCTTCGCGGCTCAACGTTGGCAACTCAGCCCAGCAACGCTATATCGTCCTTAATTTCCCGGTACGCGGGGCCTAGCTCTGGCTTCAACCGCACATACTACTAGGTAGGTAGTAAGGTATCTTATAATAGTAACTGTATCTATCACCGATCAAACTACTATAAAGATGAAACCGTTGCATTAGCAAACCCATTGGATACGAGCAAAAATCTGCCTACAGAAATACCTGTACGCCTCATCATTTACTACGCATAACCGATACCATACAGATGTTGCAGTAGCTCAGACACGTCAGCAAGGCAACAGCTACACCATCGCAGGCAGCAGAAGCCACTCCCGGCTCCCAGAGTACCTAGTAAGGCAGTTGTTTCAACGCAACAAACAACAAAGGGGCTGCATCACAAGGTAAGGTGTTAGTCACTTGGGTGGCACCATATTCTCCGAATACTAGGTTTCTGTAGGAGTAAGAGGTGTGGAGGAAAGGTATCCCTTACGAAGAGCTCGGCTACAGAGTTCGAGATCCATGTCGTCGACACTCGCTGCCGAGTACCCAGTACTTGCGACTGCTCGATGCGGCAAAGGTGAGAGTAGCGGTAATGGGAGAAGCCTGACTGGCTGGTGGAGAAGCCGTACGACCGGGTTGCGGGTTGTTCCTCGACCCCGAGAAGCCGTTGCCGCCACCACAGGGCGAGCCAACGGGCCTCAGCTGTGCTGCACTTTCTATCGATCTCTTGATGCCTTGGTAATGTGCATGTCATTGTATCTGATCAGCATTCTGAAGCACTTACTCATGAGGTGATGCTCCAGGTGATTGAGGGCGTAGCAATTGTTATATTTTATCTCTATCAAACCACCTCTTCAACTGTCTGTGCTTTTCTGCGTAGCCGAGTCTTCGTCGCCATTGCAGCGCCATAGAGGGGCTGTGGGCATATCAAGTAGACCTGTACTCTACAGTCATCAAGCGATAGGTAGGTTGCCTTCGCCAAGTTCTCTTGTTTTAGCCACATGTCTCCGTACAAGGCAGTTGTTGCTTGAATTTAAGATGTACTTCAACTATAGGTCAGGAGTTAACATATCGACAAGGCGCTGCTATGGTGTGAGAGTACCATAGAACGCTCCTCCTTGTTCAGTTCTGTAGGCACGTTAGAGAGACTGTCCATCCCCAAGGCAAGCGGCAACGTACATACCTGTGGCATATTTTGGAAACGGCTTTCCCTTTTTTATTAATCACGCCCTCGCTTTCCGTCCCTTGCTCCAAGAGAATTCTTCAACCATCTTTGGACTTTGTTTTGCCCAACTATGTCTAATCCCTCAAGCTGGCGATGCATCGCGTTCGATGATGTCTTCTCGACCCAACGGTCGTGTTCCGTCATTCAGGACCATGGCCTCGCGATGTTGGCGTCGAAGCCTCTGCTCTTCTGCGGAATGCTCCCTGGTCCGCCGACTCTGTTGCTCCCCGGACTGCTCTCCCGCCGCAATCTCCTCCTCAACCTCCATCAGGAGATCAGGCAGTTCTCTTATCCGTCGTCGGGAGCTTTCCTTGTCAATAAGCCCTGCTTTCTCTAGCGCACGCAGCCCACGCCGGGAATGCTTGATTCGATTGACAATGTCGGTGATGCGGTTGTTTCGGTAGTCCATGTAGTCCTTGAAGTTACGGCGTCTTTCCTCGGGCGTGTTTCCCCATGCTTGCTTTGCAAGCCACTTCTCAACAAACTTGGCTTTGACAAGCATGGTGGCCCCATACTTGTTGATTAACTCTGTGAGAAACATGAGACAGAACCGTTCGCCCATGTCGCGGAGATAGTACTCGTCCCAGTGAATGTCCGTGACGACGGGAAGTTCGGTACTCTGCATGCACAGTTCCATACACCGTACCAAGGCTGAGTAGGCTTTCTCGTCATGAAGTCTTGCCAGGCCCTCATTGCCTGATGAACATGAGCATGGAATCTTGACAGAATGTCTTTTTGCCAGCGCTTACCTGTCTGGCTTGTCAACACAGCCAGTGTCCTGAGAGAGTCCATGCGCTCTTCGTAATCCGGCCGAGTAATGCCAAACCAGATATACGTGATTACTTCGGGGTCGTTGGCGGCCCTATCGCATAGGATCTTGACGGCGATTTCCTTGATGGAGAAGTTGGGATGGTCCAGGAGCTTCTCCAGGGTGTCCAGCTGCAGCGAGTCTTCCGTGTCCTGCGTGATGTACTGAGTCTTGGGCTCCGCTGGCGGGATCTCGTTGTCATCTCTAATCATCGTGAGAGCCGTGATCATGGTGCTGACCAGGCCAAACGTTGCAAGCCCGATGCTGACCAGGATCACACGCTCATCGCGTGCGAACGACAGGAAGCGGCCCGTCCAGCTCATGACGTCGGCCCTCGAGTGTCCCTTTCCCGACGATGCCGCATGGGGGCTGTGTCTCGGTGAGTATACAAGAGTATACAGTGCTGGGAGCTGATGAGAAAGTATCCGTTCAAAGAGGGAGCCGTCGAGCTAGAAGGAAATGCGAGTACCAATGGAGTGGCCAAGTTGAAGCTTCTTTGACGGCAACATGAATGAGTTCCTGGATCAGCGCAAGGTCTCCACTCACTTCTTCTTTAGGGAAACGAACCCACAGGCTTGTGTCTCCACCAGCCCAGTCCACGCTAACATCGCTATCGATAAGCCATGTTCAAAAAATTTAGCAACCAATTCATCTGGTGGTGGCAGCCTCTTGGTAACTCGTGTCTGGTGCTGCTTCTGCGCAGGACAAGTTCGTGGTCAAGGGCTCGATTGTGGAATCAAAGACACACATTCCGCAATGGCCGGCTCCCAGCTCAAGCGCCTCAAGGCGTCCCTGAGGGAACAAGGCATCACGGGTCCTCAGAAGTCCAAGAAGCAGCGACGGAAGCAGGCTCAAGAGGATCCTTCTCGCAACGACAAGCGTCTGCAGAGAGGCGTCGTTCTGGAGGGAATTCGAGAGCAATTCAACCCTTTTGACCTCAAGCATGCCGCGCGCGGTCCCAAATTTGAGGTGACTACCAACAGACCGAAGCCTGGAAATGCCTCCATCAAGGGACGTCCGGGTTTGGCCAAGGCAGCCGCCGAAGAAAAGGTGAGAGAGCGCCTCTCCTTGTCGCATATCAACTTCTTTCGGACTATTTCTAACTCTCAACTCAACAGCGCAAACAAACCCTCCTCGTGGACATGCAGCGCCGAAACAAAGTTGGAGGCATCCTCGATCGACGATTCGGCGAGAACGACCCGACCATGACGCCCGAAGAAAAGATGCTGGAACGATTCGCCCGTGAGAAGCAGAAGGCGCACAAAAAGAGCTCTCTCTTTGATCTCGAGGACGATGAACCGATGGATGGCTTGACACATGCAGGACGATCTTTGACCTTTGACGACCAGGAGGAGCTGGTGGACGACTTCAACGAGGATGACCTAGAGGAGGGCGATGAGGACAGCGACGGTTCATCACGCGAGAAGCGACTCAAGCGTCTGCGTGCAATCATCGCAGCTGGCGAAGAAGAGGCTGAGGATGGCGAGCCGGAGCGCAAAAAGACGAAGAAGGAAGTCATGGAAGAAGTCATCGCAAAGTCCAAGCTTCACAGATACGAGCGACAGGCAGCTAAAGACGATGACGCCGACCTTCGGATGCAACTCGACAAGGAGCTTCCTAATATCCAACAACTGCTTTCTACTGGCCTCAACGGTACAAAGCGACAGGAAACTGCCGCGCCGTTACCCACCATTGCAGGTGTTGAGCGAGACGCCTTTGAAAAGAACTTTGATATCGAAGTCAAGCGACTGGCTCAGGATAAGAGGGCGCAACCCTCCAATCGCACCAAGACAGAGGAGGAGAAGGCTGAAGAAGAGTCCGCCCGGCTGAAGAAGCTTGAAGAGAAACGCCAGAAGCGGATGATGGGCGAGGAGGTTTCAGACAGCGACGAGGACGAGGAGGACAAGAAGCAGGATAAGTCCTCCCGTGGTGCAGAGGCTGACGAAGATGATGAGGACGACGATGGGTTTGGACTGGGACATGGTATCAAGGCTCGACCGACTGCAACAGAACTGGGCTTCGATGATGAGGACGACTTTGTCATTGACGATGACTTGGTGGCCAGCGGATCTGATCTGGAACTCGTCGAGAGCGACGACGACCTCGACGATGAAGAGGAAGATGATGAGGGCTCCGCAGGCCAAGCTGGGGATGAGGAAGAGGAAGATGACGAATTCACAAAGGGCCTGTTGAACGAAGCGGAAACCAAAAACTTTATATTCCAGGCAAACTTCGCTTCCAATGACAAGAGCGACGAGAACGGACTCCCATTTACATTCCCCTGCCCGCAATCATGCGACGAGTTCGTGGCCATCACCAAAGAGTATGATGCAGCGAATCTGCCAAAGATTGTCCAGCGAATCCGAGCGTTGCATCACCCCAAGCTTGACAGCAAGAACAAGGAGAAGCTGGCGAACTTTTCGGTAGCCCTGGTGGACTTTGTGGCTCTCCCGTGGGATCCAAAGACATCGCCGCCCTTCTCCGTCCTGGAGAGTCTCATTCGTCACATTCACTCTCTTGCCAAGATGTTTCCAATCGAGATTGCAAAGCAATTCCTCCAGCATCTTGAAGAGATCAGTGAGGACCGGCCCATCGCATTGCAGCCGTCAGACTTGACGCTCCTTACTGCCATTGGGACGATATTTCCGACGTCGGATCACTTCCACCAGGTCGTCACACCGGCCATGCTGACGATTGGCCGGTACATTGGCCAAAAGGTGCCTCGCGAGCTGTCGGATTACACCATTGGAACGTTCCTCTCCATTCTATCCCTGCAGTATCAGCAACTCGCCAAGCGATATGTCCCCGAGGTGATCAACTTTGCCCTCAACACAATCTGCTCGCTTTCGCCCACAGCCCCATCACGTCCCTTGGGTAATTTCCCGGTACATGAACCCCCAGCCGGAAGCCGAATACAGAAGTCCAAAACTGTTGAGCCAAGGCGTCTTAATTTCGCCGATTGCTTGCTCGAGACTTTGCAGCAAGACACCAAAGCCTTCAAAATCTCCCTACTCACCACAACCATCCAGGTGCTCGACGCCGCTGCAGACCTGTGGGCCGGAAAGCCTGCATTCCTGGAGACCTTTGGCCAGGTCATTGAGGTCCTGAACCATATAAACAGCAAGTCACAACGCGAGCACCTACCGGCGGCCGTCAGCGAGAGGTCAGAACGGCTGGAGGAGAAGCTGAAGCGAATGTCCAGAGTGTCGCAGATTTCGCGTCGCCCGCTGGAGCTCCACCATCACAAGCCCCTAGCGATCAAGACTTATATACCCAAGTTTGAGGAGACATTCGATCCCGACAAGCACTACGACCCGGACCGCGAGAGGGCGGAGCTGGCCAAGCTCAAGAAGGAGCACAAGAAGGAGCGCAAGGGCGCGATGCGGGAGCTGCGCAAGGACGCCAACTTCATGGCGAGGGAGAACCTCCGGATCAAGAAGGCCAAGGACGAGGCGTACGAGAAGAAGTACAAGAGGCTCATTGCCGAGATCCAGAACGAGGAGGGACGGGAGGCGAATGCCTACGAGCGAGAGGCAAAGGCACGGAAGCGAGCCAACGCTCGCAAGTAGTAGATATCTGCTGGAGGTTCTTTATTGGGTATTTAATAGAGTGTATTCATACCATTCTGCAGGACTATTGACCATAAAATACATGCGTGAGACTACAGGTATTTGGATAACCTTGGGCACTTTCGCTGTCTTGAAATCAAGCAAGAGCCTACAGTGTATGAGCCAAAATACAGATCAAAGAAGTGAAGGTGCACGGCGTATTTCAGAGTAAAAGTTGCGAGATGGAAAACGCATCGAACCGAAGTAGCGATCAGGGGATCCTACGAGTTGCTCAGTCTACCTGATTGAGTAGGCGCTCATTTGGCCAGAGCTATATATACATCTTTAGCGCACCACTGTTCAGCAAGCTCAGAAAGCAATTTGGCGCAGTGGAAGCGCGCCGGGCTCATAACCCGGAGGTCGCACGATCGAAACGTGCAATTGCTAATCGCTTGTTTCTTTTTTTGAGCTTTTTGCAATGTTTTTTACATGCGTATCTCTTTAGGGTCGTCTCGTTTGATAACTCTTTGTTTTCTTTTCTTTTGTCTTTTTTCTTCCTTACTTCTCCTTGGAACTTGTTAGAGCAGGGTATCCCTGCTGTAAGAGCACCCGCGTCTCTCTTTCTTGCGTCGTGGCATGTGGGTGCAATGACTGCGGGTAACAAACGGGATGTCGTCTTTACACGGCTTTAGATTCTGCCATCTGGTAACAACCCTTCGAAGATTTCCCTCAATGTCCTCTGCAAATAAAAGCTTCCGTTCAGTGTTCCTCGTATGAATCTCATTACACCTGCCGAAAGCATTTTTCAGACACAATCACTGGGTCGAATTCGTGGTTGTGAATTCGATCCTCTTTTCAGGGTAGCGGTAAGGTTTCCCGTTGGGTCGCACAAAGTCCAGGTACAAGCCTCGCCGCCTATCGCTGCAGTGAATGCCAAGTGCCCTGTACCTCAGCAACCCCCTGCCATCCTGAACCTTGCACCTGCAGGGACAATCTGGCCTTGCTCACCGTCCCACATAAAAAGCACGTCCGACTCGCCCCTCGACGACTTGCGACTGACACGAGTAAACAAGCGACGATTGGGATCTTGGGGCTTCACAATTGCAAGGGCAAGCGAGAGTAGCCGAGCCTTGCAGTCATGAAGATTGAGTATCTGGTTGTCGGGGTTCTATCCCTGCTGACTCCGCTGGCAGCAGCATGGAGCAAGGAAGGTGAGAAACGGCCTTGGCTTCAACAAGACTGATCGATGATCACCTACCTACCTATCTACCTATCGAGGAAAACACGAGAGCTCACAAATTGGCCGTCCAGACCGCGAAATCTTCCGCATCCGCGACGAAATCGCCGCCCACGAGAGCGATCCCGCGGCCAGCTTCTACGACATCCTCGGCGTGACGCCATCCGCCTCCCAGGACGACATCAACAAGGCGTACCGCAAGAAGTCGCGGTCGCTGCACCCCGACAAGGTCAAGCAGCAGCTGCGCGCCGAAAAGGCCCAGGCCGACAAGAAGAAGGGCGCCGGCGGCGGCTCTGCTGCGTCCTCCTCCAAGGGCCCCACGCAGGCGGAGATCCGAAAGGCCGTTAAGGAGGCGTCGGAGCGCCAGGCGCGGCTCTCGCTCATCGCCAACATCCTGCGCGGCCCTGCTCGCGATCGCTATGACCACTTCCTCGCCAACGGGTTCCCGCTGTGGAAGGGGACGGACTACTACTACAATCGATACCGGCCTGGCTTGGGCACGGTTCTGGTCGGCGTCTTCATGATGGGCGGCGGTGCGATCCACTACCTTGCGCTGTACATGAGCTGGAAGCGACAGAGGGAGTTCGTGGAGCGCTACGTGACGTTTGCGAGGAACGCGGCTTGGGGTAACGACGCTGGCATTCCCGGCGTCGATGCCATGCCTGCGCCGGCGCCGGCTCCCGCTCCCGAGGAGGACGAAGCTGCTGCTCCTGCCCAGCCTAGGAACCGGAGGGAGAGGCGCATGCAGGAAAAGGAGACTCGGAAGGACGATGGAAAGTCGTCCAAGAAGGCCCGCAAGGCTGTGACCTCCAAGAGCTCATCGTCTGCGCCTACCCCGACTGGTGCCCGCAAGAGGGTCGTTGCTGAGAATGGCAAGATTCTCGTGGTTGACTCTCAGGGCGATGTCTTCCTGGAGGAGGAGGATGAGGAGGGCAACGTCAATGAGTTTCTCCTGGACGTAAGTATACGGAAAGCCATCTTAATTCAAGGCGAAACGCCATTGCTAACACATACGTTTCCCCATAGCCGAACGAGCTTCTTCAGCCTACTTTCAAGGACACCGCCGTGGTCCGAGTGCCCGTCTGGGTCTTCCGATCGACCGTTGGCCGTTTCCTGCCCAAGGGCGCTGCGCAGGCCGAGGCCGAGGAGACCCATGAGGAGGACTCGGATGCCGCGCAAAACACGCCCCCGAGCTCCGAATCTGCCGGCGATGACTTTGAGATTCTGGACAAGAGCACAGATTCGCTGAGCAAGGTGAAGACGTCTGGCGCTCAGCAGGGCAAGGCCACCAAGCGGAAGACTACCAAGAAGAGGTAAAAGATCAATTTTTTTTTTTTGGGGGGGGGGGGGGGGGGGGGGGGGGGGGTGGAGCTTACTGGTTGTTTATCTGATGAATGTGAACATGAGACGATGAGAATTCTGTATGCATATGTAGCTATCACTCCGTCAGGGGCTAGTGAATATGGGAACACGGTCGGTACACAGTTCCTTTGTTTGAGGGACAAGATACTTAACGGGAGTAGGTCGAGGAAGCACAAATTTAGAGAAGGGTTCAAGGCCTGGAATGCATTTGAGACAAGTCCTGTCCGTAAATTCACGATTTGAATACTATATGTGCCTGTTTTCCCCCCATACGGTCTCCTTCTATCGATTCTTCGTCATATCCATTCTTCTGCTCCTCACGGCCACGAGTCGTTCAATCTATTACATCATCTCGCAGAGCAAATAAACTCTGCAAGACTTCCTCGGCCTTTGCCCGCAGGGCGTTGTGGTACATGACATTCGTCTCATACGTCTTGATCCCCCTGATCAACTTGGCCGTGTCCATCGAAAGCCCATAGTCGACATACATGTCATGTATAAACGCCGCCGCATAAACAGGCACCTCATTCTTGCGCAACTGCTCGACATCATACAGCGCGGGCCAATCCGACGCAGTAGCCAGCCGCTCAGCAACGGCCCGCAGGGGGATCAGCTCGGGATACGTCTCAAAGTGCAAGGGGAAGACCATCTCGCCGGCGAAAAGCAGAGGCTGGTCGACTGGCACGGAGGAGGAAGCGCCCGTGTTGCCGCTAGCGAGCCAGGAGAACTGGGACAGGGCCTTGCCGACGCGGTAGGCGGCCCAGTTGGAGACGCTGCCGGGTCCGTCGCAGTAGAGCGCCTCTTGGAGGACGGCGTAGATGGGGTTTGTGTCAAAGGGGGTGAATGATTCGAGGAGGGCTAGGGAGGCCCGTGTGAGGAAGCCGAGCTGGTCGAGGGAGGCCTTGAGTTGGAGCAGTACAGCATGGATCTGATCGATGCCTCCGTGGAATCCAAGGGCAATGCCTATAGTCAACAGACGAGGCACCGTCAGGAAGCCTCCTCCAGGCAAAGGAAGGCCCTGCTCCCCGCCCTCCTTTTCGATGTAAGCAGCAATCTGGCGCAGAACCTCGACATCCTCCGGGTATTTCTGGTAGTACGCAGCATTGCGCTCCAGAGTCCTCTGGAAGGTTGCCTGGTAGACCTGATCCGCGGACTTCCCCACGGGGGCCAGGCCGCCGGTGAGGAAGACCTCGCGGAGCCCTTCTGGATGCAGCGACAGGTACGAGATGGAGACGAAGCCGCCGTAGGACTGGCCAAAGATGGACCAGCGCGCCTTGTGCTCGGGCAGTCCCTCGGTGAGCAGCTTGCGGACGGCCTCGCAGTCGCGCACCGTGTTGTCCTGGCGCATGAGCTTGAGATAGCCGGCCTGCACGTCGACGGCATCGGGCCCCTGTCCGCCGCCAGCGCCGGGCAGCCGGGCCAGCATCTCGGTGGACACGGGCGTGCTCAGGCCGACGCCGCGGTGGTCCAGGTACAGCACCTGGTAGCCGTGGGACAGGGCGACGCGCGTCAGCGGGTGGTCCTGGGGCTCGCGGTTGCCGAAGCCGGGCCCGCCCTCGAGGAAGACGAGCCACGGCCGGGGCGAGGGCGGCTCGTCGGGCGGCACAACGGGGCTCTCGTGCTTGGTGGCGCTGCGGCCGAAGAGGGTGATTGTGCTGGCGGACGGGTTGGCGTAGTCGAGGGGCACCTGGAAGAAGTGCTCTGTGACGAGCAGCTGGCCGGGCACGATGTGGCTGCTGCGGCGGAGGAGCTTGGCCGCGGGGATGGCGAGGCGTTGGAGCATGGCGGCGGTGGTGGTGGTGAGGATGGCTACAGCTGAGGTGATGCCGGAGATGGTACTGATATGGAGAGTGACGGCAGAAGCACTTGGAAGATCAAAGAGGGTGATGAGACTGCCTGCAGTAGATGCTCAACACGCCCAACAGTTTCCGCCAGATTGAGGTCTAATCATGTAATAGATGGCGGGTGAAGGCATCCAAGGCCGAGTTCACCCCGCCACAGCTCGACCAATGGGGTGGACTGGACCTATGAATCCCAGTAAGCAGTCCATTGTCCCTTGTTGGCGGTGTCTTGCGATTCTGTATGTCGGAGAAACTCAGGCCAAGGTGAGAATGCCATCTCATCTCAGCTTTCTTGAGGGATGCTAAGTAAGACGACCTAGGTAGGTAGGCAGTAGTATGAACTGGTGAGCTGGCTGTAAGCTGTCTACGTGTAGTTGTAGCATTAACATTATATCAGCTTAAGCCGTCCATGGCTGGACTCACAGTCGCATATTTCAAGGCCATCTTTTGCAAAGCTTGCAAGTGACACATCCAGAACGTCTGGGGGTTAGCCTATCTGGCCGTTGAAGCTTGGAGAGATGCTTGATGTCTGATGATAATACTCCTGTGTATTCGTGTTGACCTCGGCAGACATCATATCTCTCACTCGTATAGAGGCATGCTACATACTCTTGCTTACTGCCGCGTTCTAGGAACCACTACTGTAAGCTATATCCGTATGTACATCGTTGTAGCACTGCTCCATGCTTCTGCGATTCGCATCCCGATCCTCATTCAGCCTCTGGACTAGCTTCGATCAACTCGATATCCGAGCTTCGTTCGGAGGACTCTCCAAGTATTACCAGTACACGTACAGGTTCATGCCTGCTGACAAATCGCTCCACGAGTTCGTCACGCGTTTTTTTTGCGGCACCGCAACCCGGAACCGGCCAAAGCGCGCCCCGCCTCAGCCAGTAAAAACTCCGGCTCGCTTCTCAAACCTCGTTTTTTCCCTTTTCCCTTGTTTTCTCTTCCTTCTCTTCTCCTTCTTCCACCTCTCTCTTCTCTTGATTCTCCTCTTGATTCTTCGTATTCCGTGGCCAAGCTCTCACATGACTTGAGCCATCCCGGAATGGCATGTTTCCACCTCACGCAGACCGTAGCAGACGCCTTCAACGCGCTTGCCGATGAGGTGCAGGTCTTGTCAGACCGAAAGACGATTTTGGAGCACAAGCTGCGATTTGCGCACGAGCAGGTAAGCTTTGCAAGAGCTTGACAGAGCTCGAAAGAGTTGGACAGAGTCTCTTTGTCTTGCCTCTCCTTCTTCATCTTCTTGACTGCATCTCCCCTGGTCACTCCCGCATTACATGCACACACACACACACAAACCCATCCCCTGGGACAACCAACATGATGAGATATCATTAGCTCTAGATCAATAGCAGCACTGCTGCCGGGATTGACAACCTTTTTATCACTGATCCAAATTGTCCTCCATTCACACGTTTCACATCAACTTGATATCAAAGACACCCTCCCGAGACAACGATGCCTATCTGTTCCGAGACTAACATTGTTGCCTCTCTTTGATAGTTCCAATATCTGGCCGACAAATATGCCCCGGCTGCGCCGGAGATAGCCGAGACGTTGGCCAAGCTCCAGCTGCCAGCTCACACCTCTGTCGATGAAACCTTGCCTGTGCCTCTTCCTAAGCAAAGCTCTCTGCCCCCGCACCAGATTGCTCTTCTTATTCGTGACGGACGCCGCGCTGCCAACAAGCTGGTTGCCTCGTTGGGTGAAGCCAGCAAGACCACAGCATCATCCAGAGACACGCTATCTCAAACCTCCCACGTAGAAACATCTCTCTCGACTGCTATGGAACAAGATTTCACCCTTGAGGGGAAGAAAGGCAATCTGCAGTGTCCCTATGCTAAGGATGCCGCTGCTCATGCCGATCGAGAACAGAAGCCTGAAACCGGCCCGGACTCGACCCCAAAACACCATGAAGACCCCATCTGTGCTGCCCTGTACGAGGAAGAGACGTCTCACCATGGCGCCGTAAACGGAACGCAGGCAAGCAAATGCCCCATCCGATTCTTAGACAAGCACTCCCCAGAGGAGATTGCTCATTACGTGGAGACGCACAAGCACGAGCTGCCTCGCAGCCACGAGGTCTGCGTGCGCAGATACCAACGCAACGAGGAGCAGATCAGGAAATTGGATGCAAAGTATGGAAACATTGTGAGCATGATTGAGGACCTGAGCCAACTCCACAAGCCAATGCTGCCGGACGAAGACCACGCACGCCGCCCCAGCGATGCCACGAGGGCTTCGGCCGATCGAGTAGAGAGTTGGGCACACGCCGTCAGCTCCAGCACGGACCCGGAGGCCCCTGCGGAGCCGCCGGCCGACATGGACGAGGAGCGGCAGAGTCACTTTGACCGGCCGCTGAAGGAGGTCCGCGTGGGAGAATCACCAAGCCGTCCCTGGGGCATCTCCGTGCCGGTCTACGAGCAGTCGGGCCACGGAGCCGACCATCCAATGTCGCCGCCCCCTGCGCCTGTTCGAATGCCGAGCCCCGTCCAGAGCACCCAGACGCCGGCGAAGCCCGCGGGCAAATGCCCCTTTGGCCACACGGCCAACCCGCCGTCTGCCTTTGCTGGGCTGAACATCTCGGCCTCGCCCAACCCCCAAACGCAGAATGCCCCTGCTGCCAACGGCCATGGCTCTGCGCCTTTTACGCCAACGAAACCTCCCCACGAGCGTCGTCCAACCCACGAGCGTCATACAGCCCACGACCGCCATGCTCCCGTACCGCAGCCTACCTTTATCAATCCCGATGTATCGAAAGCACCGGGCGTTCCTCAGATGATTTTCACCGGCCCCGTCTTTATCGGATATCCAATGGATCAGGCCATTCAGTTTATGAACCAGTATCAACGATCCTAACGGTTGGCTGTGTTTTCTGCCAGCCTTGCTGCTTATGGCTCTATCTCGGCCGTCTCATTTACGACTTTACGACTTCTCTTTGCCTGCCTCGTTCTATAACACACACACATGGGCTCATTCTCTTATCTATAGCGGCGGCGTTTTGGATTATTTGCTCTTTTTTACGTCGGATTCGTCAAAGGCCATTGTTAGGGGTCGTCTCTTCTGTTGAATGACTTGACGCTTTTCTTATTTTTCTACTTGAGGGATATGCTAGCGAGCCAGTTTATCGAGTTTGGGTTTCCAGTACAGCTAGTGCATCATCAATGATAAGAGGCAGAGGAAGGGAGCACTGCCTATCTGTCTTTATCATAAGTCGAGATGGCCCCCTCTTGTTGCTCGTGTGACTACTATTTCAGACCGCAAATAAGGCGTCTATCAGGCAAAGCTTTACACACCGACGGCCCTAATATCACAACACTTGCCATTGGGAGGACTCGGGTTTGAAAATGCACAACGCCAATGCTCTTTTATTCTATCACGTAACATCGTTATGCCAGAACCATATCAAAACCACCATCCCCATCATCCCACCTCATCCTCACCCAATCCTCAATCTAGTCCGTATTCAACTTCTTCTTCTTCGCATCATCGCCTTCCTCATCCTCATCGTTATACTCCCCCCACCCATCATCCCCCTGGGTATCCCAAAGCGAAACGTCATCATCGCCCATGACGTTGGCCGCATCCTCAGGATCCATCAGCGTATCGTCCGTGTCCTCATACGCCACGGCCCCCTCCTCGGCCGCAACGAGAACAGCTTCCTCGCGGGCGAGCTCCTCCGCGCGGGCCATGGTCCGGCGGTAGATGATGATGCCGGCTGCGGCGCCGATCGCGCCGCCGACGAACATGCCCGTGTAGTTGACGACCTTGTCGCGCAGGGACATGGCGTCGCCCTGCTCGGCAATGATGGCGAGGCGGCTGCCGATGAAGATGTGGATGAGAAGTTTGGGCCTAGAAATGAAGAACAACAACAATAAGAAGTAAGCAAATCAGTATCCACAGAAATAACAGCCTCTGACAGTAGTATGGTTTGTGTGAACAGATAGATATATGTTTGCCCAACTTACGTTGACAGCGCCGTCGAAATGACAAAAGTCAAAGGCGATATACTCGGGATCGTAGCCAGAAAGCCATTGCTCAAGCTAAACGGCAGCGGGCAGAAGCGAATCCCCGTCAGATACAAGAGGCCGTCCTTGCGCAGGACCTGCCCCAGCGCAACGAAGCGGTGGTCCGTCCCAATCAGCCTGTGGACGTGGCCGCTCAGGACGGTCCGGCAGGCCATGAAGGCCGCCAGACTGCCCACCACGCACGCCGCCGCCGCAATCGGCCAGCCCATGGGGAAGCCGTACACGAAGCCGGCAATGGTGTTGGCCGTCGAATAGCCCACGATGGGAGGCACAGAGGTAACAAAGATGAGCATGAAGGCAATCAGCCAGCCCCCCGGGATCTCGCGCCACGTCTTGGACACCGTCGCCAGCCAGGTGAAGAAGGCCTCCGAGTACAGCACCGACAGGATGATGAAGACCCAGCCCAGCAGGATCGCAAAGGCCACCAGCGACCGGTGCAGCGGCGACAGCGCCCAGAAGGCCGCCACCGTCTTCTCGCTCCAGCGGAGGTACGTCGTCCACTGCTCGCGCACCCAGTCCTGCGCGTTCGAGGACATGCGCGCCGACCGCGAGACGCCGCCCGAGAGGCGCCGGCGGCCCAGGTCGCGCCGGGACCAGCGCTGCGGGTGCGGGAAGCGGGTTTCTGAGGAGGAGAGGGGCGGAGTGGTGGACGAGGCTGAGGAGGGCGTTGGCGAGAGGCTGTCTGCCCGCGCGGGCTGGTATGGGGTTGTCATTGTGGTCTTTGCCTTGTTTTCGTCGGGTTATCGAGGCGTTGCTGGGAGCAAAGATGTTGGTCGGATGGGAGGCTGTCGCCGAGAGAGAAGAGCAGCTAGTCGCAACAACAACAAGAGCCAAGGTGTATACGGTATTCGCAAGAGATGCTCGAGTGGACCGTAGCCAACGAACCAGCCGAACAACGCAGCCGGGTTCGAATATATTTGATATCGAAACTCTCAAAGAGCAGGTAACAGAGGAACCTCCGGAAGACCTAGCTCTCCATCCCGGATCTAGCAAGGCTGTATTATTATCGTAAACAAGCTCAGAACGTCGAACCGGTCAACTTTTTGGTGGCGGATCGCTCGGTCGAGAGGTAGTCAAGGTCCGGAATCGCTCCGACTCGTCAGTATCCGCTGCAGGCAAGTCGCCGCCGTACATCAATCAACAATAATCGAGGTCAGAAGATAACGGGATGACAAAAGAGGCACAAAAGCAAACTCAGTCCGATTCCCAACCACAAGAGAAAAGAAGAAAAGTATCATGCAGAAGTCCCAAGAAATACCATTGTGTTGTTTCAAGTGCGAATAAGCACCTACTACCTAGGTAGTAGGTAAGCCAAACGCCGCCCTTGTTGACCTCGTCATCAAAATCGTGGCGGTGTCCGCCCGATAGCAGTGTACCTGACCTGTACCTCCCGCCTTCCGCATCAGCGCCAATGTCTCCAGCTTCCACAGCACTAGGTACTTGGTTGAGGCCCAGTACCGAGACGTGTGCACCTATAACTTCAAGGTTGTACCTGGAGATGCAGTACTTTTAACCCTCAATTGGCATCACGTCGGGACTTCGAGTCCGGGTACAGTCAGATCCAGGCACCTTTACGTCAGACCCATTGGGTCCCTAAGTAGGTACATGTACCTTATTAACCAACCTTAAACATCGTCTTCGCTCCCCCTTTCCCACATGCTGCAAACCCACCAATTACAGCCGCACTTGCGGAAACGTTGCGGCTCAAGTCTGGCCACGATATTCTAGGAAGAAGTCCCTTGCTATATTGGATCTGCAAGCAATCGAACATCAAATACTACCAGCTTTGAGTGCTACGCTCGGGCTATCACTGAGCAACTGGCCAGTGAGTTACGGTATGGGTGTTATATGGATTACGCCTGGGCAGCACCACACTATCACGAACAAGAAGACGATGATGAAATCCAACAGCTTTATACAGCTACGCTAGAGCCAATGCTCTTTCATCTCTGTATCCTCACATAACGCTTGAATCGAGCTATACTCGTCAACGACAGGCATTTCAGCTGTTGTTGATATGCTTTATCAAGCAATGTGCCTCCCAACGAACCATCTCCTCCATCTCCCTCCCAATCTTTTTTTGCAGTACTTTTATCATCTTTTACTTGTTTGGTTCTCGCCTTGTCACCGGCGGCCTGGGCCCTTGGGAGGCTCCCTGACGAGCAGCCTGACCTTGCCATCGCCAATCTCGACGCCTTGGCTGAGAATGTCGCCCGTAGACTTGTCTTCGTCGGCTCCCTCCCTAGCAAGCGACTTGTCCCAGCTGCTGGCGTCTATGCCCAAGATGCCGCCCATGTTGTTGCGGTCTCCCGGCACGGAGAACTCTCGGTACGCATATTTCCACTCGTTCAGAAATGCGCGGATCGCCTTTCCCACCTTGTCCTTGCCGTTCTTGCTGTGGTGGCCGGTGCCGGTGATGGCGTAGATGGGTCTGCCGCCCTTTTCATTCTCCAGAAGCACCTTTTCTAGGTACTCGACAGCCTCCTCCGCGTGGAGGCCGTGAAGGTCAACGTACACTTCCGACGTAGCGTCCATGTTCTTGTTTCGCTCCTCGTAGAGCTCACGGGCGGCCTCTCTGTGGGCCTTTCTCATCAGGTCATTCTCGCTCTGGCCACGGAGACTGAGAGCCTTGGCAGCCCGGGCATCGTTGCGGTTCCATGCTTGAGCAGCGCTGGACATGTTTGTTAGATCTTTCCATGTACTCCTTGGCGGCACAAGTCTCAAAAATTGACATACCTTTGCAGAAACTTGTTCCTGAGACCGCCGTGCTTGATGGCATCTTGGCGGGCCTTGAGATAAGCCTTGTTGGCCAGCTCACCGGTTTCAAGCCATGGAATATGCTTGGGGCTGGGGATTGCTAGCGCTGCGGCGCTATTCTCGCCATCTCTGGCTGTGCTGTTGCCGTTGGAGACGGGCTTGCGCATCTCCAACCTTGGAGAGGCAGGTGGGTTCATCTTGACAATGTCCGCCAAGGAGCTTGGAGCGCCATTTTCCTTGTGCCCATGCCCGCCGCGCTTGCCGTGATGCTTCTTGCCTTGCTTTGCAATGGCCGCACCAAGGGTCGGAAAGGCCTCGTTGTCATCGAGAGCTGGGGCGACGGCATGGTTCTCTTTCGCCTGGTGGCGGCTCCCGGGTCGTGATCTCGGCCGCGGGCTCTCCGCTCGCAAGGACCGCAAGCTCGGCGATGCACCTATTCCAAAGGCGAAATTGTTGGGGCTACCAGAAAAGCCGCCGTGCTGGTCAGAGTCGCCGGACTGGAGAGAGGGAAACGAATTCATGTCCTGAAGCATCAGGCTGCTATTGCTCCGGCTGGGGGTGTTTGCGCCGCTCTCCAGCGACATCTTGCTGACGAGCTTGGATGGATCGTGCGAGAAGATGCACGTCTCGCCGGCCAGGCAATTGCCCATGATCCAATATCTAGAGTGACCATGTTAGCAGGCTTGACATGTCGCGGATAGCCCTCATAGACTTACTTGCACAGATGGTTGCTGAGGTCATGGCTGAACCGGCAGTCGGCGCGCAGACACTGCCCAGTAGACATGTAAAACTTGCAGATGACGCCCGCCTTGCTGTTGACCGGCGTGGACGGGCGGCCCTCTGCAGAAATCGACTTGCCGATGAGGACATTCTTGGGCTCGTCAAGTCGCACACCGCCGTCTTGCGGAATCTCCATGATGGACGTAATGGTTGCGCTCAAATCATAGTTGTGAGCCGCAAGGGCAGACTCTATCTCGTCATCCGTCCTCGTGGGCCCCAGGATAGACCTGAGTATGTCGTAGGGCGACATGTCGATTTGCTGCGAGGTCATGGACGAAAATTCCGGAGCGGCGGCATTGAGGCTCCTGGTGGTGCCCACAGATGACGAAAGGCTAATAGTGTCGTCGTTGACCAGCCAGTCGACATTCTCGATCTGGTACTCGCCCAAGATCTCAGGGGCGGGGGTGGGGTCGCTGGCAAATTCATATGCGTTGAGGTTTGGGCTGTGGGGGATCACGGGAGTTGCAAGGGCCAGGCGAGGAGACGCCCGTGGCGATCCGAAGGGAGAGGCTGTGACCGACTTCGTCCTGACAAAGGTAGCGGGGATGTACCCGGGCGGCGCGAGAGGACTGACTGCCAGACGGGGAGAGCCTGACAGCGGAGTGCCGCCCCTCCAGGATGCCGGGGAGGGCCGTCGCAGGATGGTCTGGCGGATGGGAGGCGGTGATGTCGAGGTTCCTCCGCACTCACGCCATCGCCACATGACATCGAGGATGGCGTTCTCCAGAGAGTTGCCAACCAGGTTGGTCTCCTTCCTGAACAGCTCCTCGATTCTGTCGGTCTTATCCTCATCCTCGAGCCTGGGATCCTGCAGGATGGGCAGGCACATCTCGTAGTGCTCGTCCAACACCATGGCTGCGGGCGGTTGGTCCCGACAACGCAGACCAATCCAAACGCAAGACTATGTTGTACTCTGTACGTCGGCGAAGTATTTACTCGGTGAAGGATCGATATCAAAGGAGGGATAAGAGATGACCGCTTGCGATCGAGACAGTCGTAATTTATATGGCCAGCTGGCGAGCTGATGTAGAGAGTGGAAGAGGAGAGGGGGTGGCACCAGGGGCTTTTGGAAGCGGTGGTGAATCGAAGGAGAAGAACAAGAATGAAGAGAAGAAGAAGAAGAAGAAAAGCGAACCGGGGCGCAGGCAGGTGATGGACAGGAGACAGGAAACAGGGACCTAGAGAACCAGATTAACCTCTGATGCTGTGCGCAATAAGCTTTCGGGAAGGCCCGTTTGTAGCAAGGCTAGGTAGGGGAGGCTGATGAGCCATCGTCGAGGGGAACTTACGTGTTGAGGCTGGAATTATGGGACAATGACGATAACGGCGAATCACAACGGTATTAGAGGCGAGTCGAGGCCCCAAACAAAGGCACGAAATCGAAGGAGAACGAGCAGCGAGACACCGGGAAAACGAGGCGCGCGGACGGTGAAGAAAAGGGCGGAGAGGGCCGGCGGACGAAGCTTACATTGCGTCGCAAACTCCGGGTCTAGCAGTAGAGAGACAGAGATGAAGGACTTCTGCGCCGCTCCTCGCCGTGCCGCTGGTGTCGCTCGACGTTACCGCTCTTGAGCTGGATGGAGACGAGAGGAAAAGACAAGGTAAAGTGCCCTGTTTCGGTGTCAAGGCGGGAGAAGAGCGGTATGGTGATGGAGGAGAGATGATGGGAAGAAAGGCTGACTGATGCAAGCTTGGACGAGACTCGCGACAACTTTCACGGAGAGCAGCCCAGTAGTAGCACCAAACTGGACCTTTAGCCTGCACTGAACCCGCTATAGCTGCCCGGCGCTTTTGGGGGCCGCTTGAGGGGGGCTTTGGGTACATGTAGTTGGCTGATACCTGGGGGGTACGCTGAGCGCCGACGGCGGGAGCTGGAGCTAGTAGGCGCTGAGAGCAGCTGTGAGGTTCCGAGAAGGTACCTGTTAGGTGCTGTGACCCCCCCCCTCTGCATCAATTTCCATGTTCTAGACGGGAGCTGCATCTGCAGTTCTCCTCTGTGGCGCTCTTCCCCCCTTTCAGAGGGACGGATCAATGGATACCTGTGCAACTCGCGCCATCGTTTGAAGCACCTCGTACCAGACAGGAACAAAGACATCCGTACGGTACGGACGCTAGCGAGGCCCTTTCACAGAGCCGCCGAGATTCACGGCTGTACGACCTTGTGAATTGAATGCTTTGCTTTGCTCTGCTTGGCTTTGCTTTGCGTGTTCTGAGGCGAGGTTTCTAGCGGTGGAACAAAGTAAGCCCAACTGCAAGAGACGGAAACTACAAGTGCTTGGATCCGAGTGACGTGGTCGACCAACTCCGAACCTCGTAGTAGCCCGTAACAGGTGCTCCATCGATATACTGGGTATCTGCAGCTGGGATGAGCCGCATCTTGTATCCATAGGCAGGTATCGTCGTCAACACTCCAATCATCGTGACCAGTCACTCCTCATTCTTTTCCATCCCAATTAGACAATTCTCATAAGGTAGTCTTCTGTATCAGGTACTCTACCGAGACAGACATCAACCCCTCAATAGTACCAGGTACTTCAATGGTCTCTGCATGCATGCACACTCTCCTGAGCTCAACTCCTCCCCTGGACACTCTTCCTGAAACCCTCAGTGACATTGGATCTGGATAAATCGGCTACCTTAGCGCTGTCCAAGGTAAGGGCCCAAGCGCTAGGTACCTTGGTAGGTACCTCTAGTAGTTCTTTGACAACATACCCCAGAATCAGCTCCATGCTTTGTGCAGCCTCTGTAGATATCACATTCCAGTCAACTCTGGTGCCAAAGTCTACGGGTATCTGCTAGGTATCACTGATCAACTTGTTTTCACCAATGCTTAGCGGCCATACGAGACAGCATCAAAAGGTAAGGAAGGGGGTTTTTGATGGTGGCACTTGATCTCACCAACTCTTAGGTATAGTCCTATTCAGGATTGCGCGATTGTTATCAATATAGCACCTTCATGATCATTTAGTCAATATATACATGCTGTTTCGTCACTGAAAGCATCCATATCAGCGAGTGCCCATATATCGTCGATGCGTGTGGACTTCCGGCGACGTCTTCTTGTACAGAGTCAGCCATTAGGGTATCTCGTCATCATCGTCGCCCCCAAAGCCGAAACTGAAACTGAACCCTTCAGCCTGCTCTTCGTCTCGGCCCACCGCTGTATCCCACTTCCTCTTCTTGCCGTTCTTCTTATCCGCCAACTCCAGCGCCTTCTCCAGCACCTCCGGGTACTCGTGCTTGAGCCGCGCCGTGAAAAGCCCAAATGGATCTTCCACATCTCGCGAGAAGCCCGACACCTGATCAGGTTTGTCTCTCAGGAACGACAGGACCTCGGAGACGAGATTCAGACTCGGAGACTGCGGAACAAAGTTCTGCGTAAGCGCAATGCCCTGTTCGAGATTCACCACAAGATGCCACCACCCGCTCGGTACATGGAGAATCTCCCCAGCATTGCAGATGCCCTCCACGCACTCGGGCATCTGTCTCGCCTCAGCGTGGAACGTGAGCAACCACTCAGCAATGCTCAACGGGCTTGTCACCTCGCTGCTGTCCGAGGATACGTAGACTCCAGGTACCTGGGCCGTGGGTGGAAACATGATCCAGTATTTGGACCCCTGAATCACGGCATTCCAGGCACTCGTGCCGTTGGGATCCTTGTGGAAAGTAGAGCCGCTCCGTTCGGGGCCGATAATCAACCACCGGTGAGCTGGCCGCTCGTCTCCCAAGACTTCAAACAGGTCCGGTCCGAAGCAGTCTGGCCGCCAATATGCGGCACCTTCCATGTGTCCGACCTTGAGGCCCATCTTCTCCGCGAATTTTCGGTCAAAGAGGTAAAGGGGGCTCTCGTCTCTGTTCCTCTTCATATATTCACAGTACTGTGAAAACTTCCAATCGACGGCTTCGGCACGAAACTCGACATCGGCATATTTGGCGAGCAGGGAGTCCATGGTCCATTCGGAGTTGACTGGCCAATCTTGTATGCATTTCGTCAAGACGAAAGGCTGTTCTGTCCACTTCTCAGCATACTCTTCGTATGTCAGGTTCTCGAACCGGCGAATCTGGTTCATCTTCGGTATTCCTCTGGCAAATTTCGCCAGCTCAATGTTGCTGCAAGCAAATGGTCGATGCAGGACATCGGAAAAGACGTTGCCGCAGTCAACCTTTGCCTCTTTGTCGCTATCAAGTTGAAGGACAGTCGACCTCCAAGAGCCACGCCAGTCCATAGGCGAGCTGCCCGTTGATTTAGAACTAATTGACTCAGCTTCTGTCATTTTACACCACAAGTTCATGAAAAGAATGCGTCTTGTCTTTTGAACACTGGAAGAGACTGGAAAAACTTACCGTAGGTACAAGGCTTTCCATAATTCTTCAGAATGGCAAGAAGCATACATGTATTTGCAAGTAGACCCAAGACTCAGCAGGGAGCTCTTGTCGAAACCCTCAAGGACAAGGGCAAGCATCTCCTCGGGCAGAGCTGCCCATGTGCCAATGTTTCTTCGGGCATTTGGCCCCTCGTAGAAATACTGATTGCCCAGAGGCTTCAGCCCGAGCGGGTGAGTTGGAATGAAGTCACTGGCCTCGTCACCATGTTCTGGAACTGCAGATGGCATGATGCTATTCACGTCGGCTCATCACCTGCAGGAATATGAACTTTGCTCGGTCGCCTGGTTGACTCCGATGCCAATTTTGGTGGAGAAAGATGTTGCGTAAAAGACAGCCGCAATTTTTCGGGGCTATAGTATGATCAGAGGTATGATGCGATAGGGGATGGAAGATTTTTGCTGGCAATCACAGCGGCTCGTGTGGTGTTGACAGAAGTTGGCGGTGTTATTGGCAGAATCTTTTCTTTGCCCAATGGTTCGCTGTCATGCCGATAAAATGGGGCCATTGCACGAGTGTAGGTACATTATCCCATGTTGGGTTTCATCCAATCTTGATGCGAATTTGTATCAATCAACGAGTTGTTCAACTTATTGTCATGTTCCAATCTCCATACGAGAGTCTAATGAAATTTGAGCCAGCAATAAAGGTCCTCAATGAACTCAAGCATATTCAGCAAAGTCCCGAGTTGAAGACTGCATGTGCTGATCATAGATGAGGTACGTACCCCGCGTCAAATCCAGCCCGAGCCCGTCCTGCTGCTTTCCGTCCTCTGACTAATCCCGACTTCACGACTAATAGGCGCCCTATGATTGGTCCAGATAGCCGAGGACCGACACATGCTTTTCCGAAGGCTCCATCGACGAAAACGTGACATACGCCGCCAAACCTCCAAGCATTGCCGAGCTGCCAGTTCCGTGATACAGCCATTTGCTGCTTCAATTTTCTGTGCGGACGCAGCCTGGAGACCCCGGATATCTCGCTCTGCTCACAATGGCGTCCTCTATGGCATTGAGGAAGTTGGCCTCTGGCCCTTCGGTACGTCGCACGGAACGGGAAAAACCTGCGAGCTGACTGCCCCTCCGTTGCTCTGCGCGCAAATCTGTTGCCCGGAGGAGCAACGACTTGGAGGGAGCATGATCTGCACGGGCTTCTTGTCCGCTTGAAATGTCTGCTGAAGCTGACTTGTTACTTGCAGTTCTCGCGATTCGCGCGGAATCAACTCCGAACCTTTTCATCTACTCGACCGGCAGGTAGGTCCATCTTATTCCGGAGAACTATATATGATTTGCGATCTGCGACTGCAATACGATTTGCGATTCCCAACTCGGGGGATAACTGAGAGCGAGATCAAAGCGACGAACAGTCTGCTGATAAATCATCTCAAACACAGCTCGTGTTATTGCAAACGGACCTTTGAGAGCAAAGGAAGCTTCTCCTTTTGTTAGCTCCAAGTATCCCGTCATTGTACGTCGATCCCCTTCCCCGCCCCCAGATTCGACATGCTCCCGGATCGGCGAATGGAGATGGAAAAGATGGAAAAGTCAATTGACCATGCCTTATCACTGTTAGGACCATGAGTACGACGCGCTCGTTGTCGGAGCTGGTGGTGCGGGTCTGAGAGCAACAATGGGTCTGGCTGAAGCTGGCTTCAAGACTGCCTGCATTTCCAAGCTCTTCCCCACAAGAAGTCACACGGTAGCTGCTCAGGGCGGTATCAACGCTGCCCTGGGAAACATGCACGAGGACGACTGGAGATGGCACATGTACGACACCGTCAAGGGTTCCGACTGGCTGGGCGACCAGGATGCTATCCACTACATGACCCGCGAGGCTCCTGCTTCCATCATCGAGCTGGAGCACTACGGCTGCCCGTTCTCCCGTACTGAAGACGGCAAGATGTGAGTTTCCTCAGCGACGAGCGCTGCTCTCATGGCGGCACTAGAACCCTTCAATTCGATGCCCCTCCCCCGCATTATGCTAACCACGAACGCCTTCTGCCTTTAGCTACCAGCGAGCCTTTGGTGGTCAATCCCAGAAGTATGGCAAGGGTGGCCAGGCCTACCGATGCTGTGCTGCTGCCGACCGAACCGGCCACGCCCTGCTGCACACTCTCTACGGCCAGTCCCTCCGTTACAACGCCAACTACTTCATCGAGTACTTCGCCATCGACCTGATTATGCAGGATGGCGAGTGCCGTGGTGTCCTCGCCTACAACCAGGAGGATGGCACCCTGCACCGATTCCTTGCCAACAACACCGTCTTGGCTACTGGTGGCTACGGACGTGCTTACTTCAGCTGCACGTCTGCCCACACCTGTACCGGTGATGGTATGGCCATGGTTGCCCGAGCCGGTCTCCCCAACCAGGATCTCGAGTTCGTTCAGTTCCACCCTACTGGTATCTACGGTGCTGGCTGCCTGATCACCGAGGGTGCTCGTGGCGAGGGTGGTTACCTGCTCAACTCCGAGGGTGAGCGCTTCATGGAGCGATATGCCCCCACTGCCAAGGATCTGGCCTCCCGAGACGTCGTCTCTCGATCAATGACAATGGAGATTCGCGAAGGCCGTGGTGTTGGTCCCGAGAAGGACCACATCTACCTCCAGCTCAGCCATCTGCCTGCGGAGATTCTCGCCGAGCGTCTTCCCGGCATCTCCGAGACTGCCGGCATTTTCGCCGGTGTCGATGTCACCAAGCAGCCCATCCCCGTCCTGCCCACCGTCCACTACAACATGGGTGGTATCCCTACTCGCTACACTGGTGAGGTTCTTACTGTTGACGAGAAGGGTCAGGACAAGGTTGTCCCCGGCCTGTTCGCCTGTGGTGAGGCTGCTTCAGTGTCTGTCCACGGTGCCAACCGACTGGGTGCCAACTCCCTGCTGGACCTGGTCGTCTTCGGCCGTGCCGTTGCCCACACCATCCGTGACAACTTCCAGCCCGGTACCAAGCTGAAGCCCCTTCCTGCTGATGCCGGCGCTGAGCACATTGAGGTCCTCGACAAGATCCGAACGTCTGACGGCCCCAAGAGCACTGCCGAGATCCGCCTGGCCATGCAGAAGACCATGCAGACCGAGGTCAGCGTTTTCCGAACCCAGGAGAGCTTGGACGAGGGTGTCCGCCGGATGAAGGAGGTTGACCAGACCTTTGCGGACGTTGGCATCAAGGACCGCAGCATGATCTGGAACTCTGATCTCGTTGAGACTCTTGAGCTGCGAAACCTGCTCACTTGCGCGTAAGTGTTGACATGAAACCCAATGTCCAAATCAGACGTGATCAGAGCCGAGACTAACGTACGATGTACAATAGCGTTCAAACCGCCACCGCCGCCGCCGCCCGAAAGGAGTCTCGTGGCGCTCACGCCCGCGAAGATTACCCCGAGCGTGACGATGAGAACTGGATGAAGCACACCCTCAGCTTCCAGAAGCAGCCCCACGGCAAGGTCGACTTGACATACCGCAGGGTTATCGCCACCACTCTGGACGAGGCGGAGTGCAAGCCTGTGCCCCCCTTCAAGCGTGTGTATTAAACAGCTGACCGCTTGGCCGTTTGATAATAGCGTACAACGAAGTGTCTTTTACTTTATGAATAGGAACCGGGAGGGCCATGTTGGCGAAAATGCAGTTGCCTTACATACTGTCCTCTCAGGCTGCGCGAACCTTCCGCAAGCGAGGGTGAAAAGAGGCCGCGTTGAAGGGGATACTGCTATGCACGCTTGATACCTTTGATCGACGCTAGCTATATTGTATTATATTAAAGTTTGAATCCTAGCCATAAAAAAAAATGTTAAGAGTCACCAAATGAGTCACTGTAGGAATTGGGTTTAAGGGGCAGGGGGCCTTTGTCGAGTAAGGTATCATGATATGATGGCAAGGTAGGACTTGACCGAAGCACATGTGGCAGAACATCAATACAGAGCTGAGTTGCCATCAGGTAGGTAGGCTGACACTGACACACGAGTCCTCTAGCAGTATGTATGTATGTAGGTATGGACAGTATTATGACACAAGTCGCCTGAGAAACCGGCGCTAAGAACAATGCAAGTCCCACTGATAGCAACTCCAACAATGGGGAAACAAGAGCCTTGCCTGGAAGAAGAAGAAAGAAAAAAAAAAAATTCTTTGCCTGCCAGCAAAACTGCGCCTCTAGCGCCTTTGCCTCTCTCGAGATACCCTAAGCCGCAGCCCCACCACGACGCCCCCCGAGCGCTCCGCCTGATTGGCCACAGGCCTGGTGGGTAGTAAAAAAAAACAGGCGTCGCCCCTCAGTCGTCTTTTTTTCTTTCTCTCCTCTCCTCTCCCACTTCCAACTGAACAATCGATACTTCATCATCACGAACTTTTTTTCCTAGATTCTTCAGCTCTCGTTTGTATCGAGAGCGTTTGGGTCTAGACGACAACTTCCTTCAGTTTCATTCACCGCCTGCAGCCTTCTCCCCCGAGAAGCCTGTCTTTTTTCTCCGCGCTTCCACCCCGCCGAATTTTTCTTCTATTTCTAGGTCGAGCTGTGCTTGATCTAGATTTCTTCTTCGACAACCGCAATCATGGCTGACAAAGGACTTGAGGATGTCCCCGAGGGTGAGTTTGCAAACGCTCTTTGCCCGTCGCATGCGTCTTGGGGATCGCGGAGTCGAAGGCTTCAGGGGCGCCTCGCTTGTGCGCGCAAACCCCCGCGGTGTTTTGACCCCACGATACCCAAACTCGACGCTGCGATGCCCATGGGCCCGCCCCGCTCTGGTTGATGCATCATGCTGACGATGGTTGCGATACAGGACAGATCGAGTCTAACTACGACGAGACTGTCGACTCCTTTGATGACATGAACCTCAAGTCTGAACTCCTCCGTGGTGGTGAGTGCTGCTCCTCTTCGACGCCCGCACGAAGCGGCTTTGCACACAAAGGGGCCAAGGTCTAACGAGCGACTAGTTTACGCCTACGGTTTCGAGCGTCCCTCTGCTATCCAGCAGCGCGCCATCATGCCCGTTATCAAGGGCCACGATGTCATTGCCCAGGCCCAGTCCGGTACTGGCAAGACTGCCACCTTCTCCATCTCCGTCCTGCAGAAGATCGACCCCTCTGTCAAGCAGTGCCAGGCCCTCATCCTCGCCCCCACCCGTGAGCTGGCCCAGCAGATCCAGAAGGTCGTTGTCGCTATTGGCGACTTCATGAACGTTGAGTGCCACGCCTGCATTGGTGGCACCAGCGTCCGTGAGGACATGAAGGCTCTTCAGGACGGCCCCCAGGTCGTTGTCGGCACCCCCGGCCGTGTCCACGACATGATCCAGCGTCGCTTCCTCAAGACCGATGCTATGAAGATGTTCGTCCTCGACGAGGCCGACGAGATGCTTTCTGTAAGAAAACCCTGGAGCCAAACACGAATTTGGCGACCTTGAACCGTGTATGTGACCAGTTTGCTAACGCGCATTGTCTCCTGCAGCGTGGTTTCACCGACCAAATCTACGACATCTTCCAGCTCCTTCCCCAGTCCACCCAGGTCGTCCTTCTCTCGGCTACCATGCCCCAGGACGTCCTCGAGGTCACCACCCGATTCATGCGTGACCCCGTCCGTATCCTCGTCAAGAAGGACGAGCTTACCCTGGAGGGTATCAAGCAGTTCTACATTGCCGTCGAGAAGGAGGAGTGGAAGCTCGACACCCTGTCCGATCTCTACGAGACCGTCACCATCACCCAGGCTGTCATCTTCTGCAACACCCGCAGAAAGGTCGACTGGCTGACCGACAAGCTGACTGCCCGTGACTTCACCGTCTCCGCCATGCACGGTGACATGGACCAGGCTCAGCGTGACCTGATCATGAAAGAGTTCCGATCCGGCTCCTCCCGTGTCCTGATCGCCACTGACCTGCTGGCCCGTGGTATCGATGTCCAGCAGGTTTCCCTGGTCATCAACTACGATCTCCCCGCCAACCGGGAGAACTACATCCACCGTATCGGTCGTGGTGGTCGTTTCGGCCGAAAGGGTGTTGCCATCAACTTCGTCACCGCCGACGACGTCCGCATGATGCGTGAGATCGAGCAGTTCTACAGCACCCAGATCGAGGAAATGCCCATGAACGTTGCCGACCTCATCTAAACAAACAGACATCGCCACCGGATTACTAAGTTTTCACTCGCTTCGGGCTATACCATCTGTTTTCGATATCACGGGTAGCTCTGTTTCACGATAGGAGGACACATACGTGGGGAAGGGAGAGTGGGGCCATCGTTGCAAGAAAAAAGAAGAACGGCGACATCTTTCCGACGGTAGCTCTTGATAGATTGTGAACGTTGATAGAGGAGTGAAGGGGGGACACCCAGGGACCGCGATTCGAGAAATCTCCGATATTTTCGAAGGGGGTTAACCGACCTTTACCAAGGGGAGGGAAAGAAAAAAGGGGGGGCAGATTCCGTGACTGCGTGACGAAAGGCTCAGGAAGTCCTTTGCACCTTAATGACATGAAGGTGCGGCGGGCAACCAAAAGTAATGCAATGATCACTTTTTTTTTCAAACGACCCTGTTCCTGTTGCCTCTGCATGTGTGTGTGTGTGTGTGTGTGTGTGTGTGTGTATGTGTGTATCTAGGTTTCCATCATGATGGCATGTGTCTTGTTTCAATCACCAATGTCATAATACCTACGTGCCTTGATACTGGTGCTAATAATACATAGGTACGTTGAGTTAGGTCCACATGGCCTTTTCATCACTCATGACAATCAATGACAAGACCATTGCTGGAATTGCTTATTGCCAGACTTCTCTACTCGAGATGTTTGGGGATGCGTAGGTAGGTTGTAATACGTCTTGGGCATGACCCACGTCATCCTGCGCTATTTACCAAGCAAGGAACAAGAGTTTGACCGTCATGTCTCGCAACATGATCGTTATTGCCCATGGATCTATTACCTAGCTAACAAAGAACTAAACACAATATCAAATTCAATCAAATTTGCAACTAGTGATGCTTCGTGATGATTGTACTGTATTATTATAAAAGGAAAATAATGGTAAATCCTACATTGTAGGGGAGAATAAAAGAAGATATGGTATATACACTCAGTTCTCTCGTCGAATCCAGTTCCGATAAAACTCTTTCCAAAATAACAAGACACTCAAATGTCCATGATACAAATCAATGTGCCCGCCTGCCCTTCCACCTCCCGAAAATATCACACACGTTGTAACGCCGCAAAAAGGTGGTATATGGTTTTCAACGGAACACGCACTCCTTCCTCGCTTCTCCTTTTCTTCCAATTCAATCTTGACAAGGGAATATATTTCCGTCTCTGTCGTCTCCGTGGGTGGAATATCGCTTTCGTTGCAACTTGTAGAACAAAAGAAAGTAGAGAATAATAAAAAAGTAGGGTGTGTGTCATCTTCATCTTCATCAATCTTTCAGGGGTAACCCTGCTTTCTTTTCTTTTTCTTTTTTCATCGATTTTTTTTTTTTTCCTTTCCCTCTTGTTCACAGGCTTACATGGCCTGTCCAAACGTCGCAGGAGCACCGCTATACGCGCCAGGAATAGGCACAGCATCGTACGTAGGCTCGTCCGCAGCAACAGGAGCATGCTCGTGCAACGTCTCCTTTTGCGCCGCCGCCATCGAATGGTCTACCGGCGTCAACGGGCTCTGTGACTTGGGCGTGGCAGAGGGCGCCTTGGTGGGAGGAGCCTGCAGCTTGAAGGGCACCGAAGGCCGGGAGAACTGCGAGGGCGGCTCGACAAGGACCGCCGCGCCGGGGGTGAAGGCGGCCTTCTCGTCGACGGCGCCCAGGCTGCCGAAGCCGGCGGGCGCGTGGCGAGGCGAGAGCGCGTACTGGCTAAGGGCGGGCGACTTGGGCGGGAACATGGCGGGCGTCATGGGGGCGCCGCTGAAGCCGCCGGGCGAGCGCGGGAAGCCGGGGGTGTTGGGCGCGGACTGGGAGCGCAGCTGGGCGAGGTAGAGGTCGGAGCGGGCACGGTCACGGACGTCCATGGACTTGTGCAGGCGGCGCTTGGAGTAGTAGCGGTAGAAGATGACGCTGTAGAGCAGGATGCTGATGACCTCGAGGACGACCTCGATGATGATGCAGATGAGGGTCCAGTTCTGCAGGCGGCAGACGAGCGAGTACTTGACCTTGTCGGCAAAGACCTCGGCGCGGGTGTTTTGCACGCACGACCACCCCCACATGTCCTTGTTGCCGCCGTTGTTCTTGGAGTTGGAGAAGACGGCAGCGGCGAGAACCCATAGGATGAGACTGACGATGAACTGTTGCTGCGTGTTAGTCATGAGTTTGAAAAAAGAGGTGACAAAGGAGGGGGATAACGAACCCATCCAATAGCAAAGATTGTGTAATATGTGCCAACCTTTTCAGCGCGGCGATGTCCTCCACGGCAGTATGCAACAAAGACTAGGATCGAGATAGCAAGAGACAGGCAGGCCATGGCGAGGACGAGCTTCTGGGCCCAGGGGTTGGTTCCGGCGGCCCAGGAGGGCATCTTGCTCTGCTGGGGGAGGGACTTTGTGGCGTTGAAGATGGCGAATGACGAGGAGAGCATGGCGAGGATGATGAGGGAGCAGCTGAAGTGGACGCTTCGGAGGGCGAACTTGGCCATTCGGACGCGGACCTTGATTTTCTGTGGCCTTGTGTTAGTGAGTCCTCCAAGATGAGGATGTTTCCCAGCAGACGTACCAGATCCTTGGCCTGCTCCTTTTCCGTCTCCATCTCCCGCTTCTCCAGAATCTCCTCCTCGCGAAACGTCGGGCTCATGAGGTTCATCGTCCTCGCCGGGGTCCCAGGCACCCTCATGGCGCTCTTGAGGGGCGACTTTGGCATGCGGAGCGACTCGCGGTCGCTGCCCGAGTTGCTGATGTATCCGAAGCCGACATCGCCGGGCCGAGCGTCTGAGGAGGCCTGAGGGTTGACGGGGTCGGCGAACGGCGAGGCGTTGCTCTCAATGGGCGAGTGGACGGACGTTGCCTCGGCAAAGCGCGGCGTCCGGGGCACCTTGAGTGAGCTTTCTGACGAGGAGCTTGAGGATGTAGCTGTGCGGGCGTGTGTGAGGTTGAGGGCGGCGGGCCGCTTCTTTTCGCCGAAGTTGAAGCCTGCGGGCGCGGGCGTGTCAATGGGGGCTGGCTCAATAGCACCAGTTGGCTGCTCTGGAGAAGGCGGCATCGTCTCCTGCGTCAGTGTAGACGGACCTGAGTTGTCCATGGTGGACTTTTGTGTTCTTTGATTTTATGTGTAGTGTTTCGTGTTGGGGGAATTGTGTGGTGGTGGTGGTAGTGGTGTAAGTCGAAACAGGACAATCGAGGAAACCCAGACTCTTCGACCCAGTCGACAGAAGGCCCTCGTAAAACAAAATCAAGATAGGAGTAATGAACAATGGAAGAGACAGTACAACAGCAACAGTACAATAATCACGATGGGGAGGAAAGTGTGGTGAGTCCAGCTATCGAGGGAAAGAAAGAGAAGAGGGAGGACTCCAAAGGCGTGGATGGGCAGCGGGAGCGCAAGAGTTTTGAGCGCCGTCCAAGACAAGCAGATGCGACAAGCTCATTCGTTGGACCGGAGGCGAGGCGAGGCGGCTACTAAGAAAAGAAATCGCGGGAGAGTAGAGAGAAGAAGATGCAGATGCAGCTGCAGCTCTTTCGCTTCCGCTGCACGAGCCGGGACCCGGTGATTTCTCTGCGTGTCGCTCCAGGTAGAATAGGTATTCTTCCCTGTTCGGCTCTCGATTGGGTGTGTGTGTGTGTGTGTGTCGATATTGGCAGGGGAGAGGGGGTCCCGAATACGGCTCATGCAGAAAGGTAACTGGACGGGGGAACGGGATGGCAAAGCATTGGGGATGCCCTCGTTGCTGCGATGCCTGGCTGCTCGTGGATGGTTATTGGCGGATGACGCTGGTAGGGCGGCTGCAGGGTGTGATGCTCCGAGAGGCGTGCGCGGTTAGCCGCCGAACTGGCCAGAGCTGAGATGCAGATTGGCTCTTTGGGGGCCTCTCTGTGCAGATTGGCGCTTCTGCGGGCGGGTCTGTGGTGTATGGGAGGTGTGATTCTGCTGTGAGGGGTGTATAGCAATATCAATCCTGTGTTCTGTATTGAAGAAGAGGAGGAGGAGGAGAAGCCTTGTGAGATGGTGAGATGGTTGAGTCGAGAACAGAGGCGAGAAGCTGGAGCAGTATGACGGAACAGCCCCCGATTACGGAACGAAGAATGGTAGAGAAGGTAGGTTGGAAAGAGAGATGGAGATGCAGAGGCAACAGACAAAACAAGACGAACCGAGCAGCAGTCACGCAAGGCTACGGCTGCACTATTATCTCACTCAGGCCTTTAAATTCTGGGGGAGGCCCAACAGCTCGCATCGTCAAGAATGACAGCCGAGAGTACATGTAGGTATTTGCCTGTCCCGGGCACATGTAATATTGCAGCAAAGATACTTGCGGAGCAAGCAAGCACCGATGAACCAGATGCAAATTGTTCCCTTGCTGCCCCGGAAGTGGCTGGACGACCTCGTGGTTGGCTCTATCAGAGTACGAACTTCTGACTTGAAGCTAACATCGAGCTTGGAAAGCCACGCCCCTTTGCTAGTGTTTTCCCTCTTTTACATACTTTCCTTTTTCTTGCCCTCTTCTCTCGTCTCTCGTCTCTCGTCTTCCCTTGAAAACGAGCAGCAGCCAGCTCGTCCTTCGACGCAATCCATCCCATGTCTCTTCTCGTTGCCGCCCGGGTCCCGACTCTTCACTCGACTCACCTTGACTCGGCCGTCCAGCTTCCAGTAAGACAAACAACCCCTGTCCCGCGCCCTGATTGGCCCCATGCCGCCCAACCCCAGAAGGCCGTCCAGCGGGCCTTTTAGGCCTGTCTAGGGCCTGTTTGCCTCTCAAGCTCCGTTTACAGGGGGGGCTTGCAGGTGCTAATGTCTCTGTGCCCGCAGCGGCCGTGGCCAATCAGCGGCCAGATCGCCTGTGATGGGTGCGAGCCACTGCAGGCCGTCGGCGGCAATCAGCTCGCTGGGATTCGTCTGCCAATTTTTCTCGCGCCCAGAGGACCCAATTCCAACTCGACTCGACTCGACTTGATCTTCAGGCTCTTCTGCCGTTGATCGGGCCCGTCAGTTGATGTGTGTGTCTCTCTCGTCGAGTGTTTCTATTTCGAGCGCCGGCCACCATCCATGTGTGTGTGCTTCAGCAGCCGCCCGCCAACCTGATTCTCGACTTGTCTTGCTGTCCCTTTGATTTGTCTCATGCACCACATGTAATAACTGCCTGGTTCCTACATGTACGGAGTAGCTGTGCCGTGCCGTGTCCCCCCCTTAAAAAACGACTTCTTCAAGTAATCTCAAGACCTCGCGCTTCTCCTGGAGAATAATCAAGCCTTCTATTGTGCGCGCCCAACGGCAGCCCGTGGCGTGAGTCCGGCCCAAGCCCGTCAGCAGGCGGCTGACCATGGCTGCCTTCTACGCCATTTCCATGCCAAACAAGCATTACGGCTCCGGCTCTATTGCCATCCGGGGGGGTTGCGGTCAACGGGTTAGCCCGTGTGCCGTGTTGGCATTTCGCTTCTCTGCGTTTTCGTCGGTCGCTGGGAAGCCAAAGCCATCCACTGCGAGATAGTACAGTATTGCGAAGTAGGATCCGAACTGCGTAGCCTTCGAATCGGGATGGAGAGGTGCTTCTAAAGCTGTACTCGCATGTCACCGAGTAGACGAGTACGACCTCAGTCGGCCGCTTGGTTGGTGATTGGAGACGCTTGCCTACATTGTGCTTGGTCGTGATAGTAGCCTCGTGCGTACGCATCTGGACGAATGTCTTCCACGGTGATGCGTGCCACTACATAGAGTACTACACGCTACAGCTGTCTCTCAACCGCCATCAACCGCGTTGTCTTTCTTGCCATTTGATGCGTATCCGGCTTTCATCTCTTCCAGGCGGACATGAAGCCATTGTTGGTTACTATCGTCAAAAACCAGGTTGAGAGAGGTACAAGTGGTTCACGCCAAGAGCTAAGCGTCTGCATGGTGCATGTGCCACCATGTGCATCTCCATCACCAACAAACACACAACTCGCAAGCCACCACTTACACCCAACTCGTACCTGAAGCCAGTCAATTTCAGAGCCCACCAAGGCCAGCAACAACGCGTCTCCCCCCCCTCTTCTTTCTTCTTTTTCTTCTGCATCGCCCCCAACTCTTATCTTTTGCCTCTTCTTCATCTTCTTCAACCCATGGGACCTGTCATCACCTTACTCGCATAACAGTCCCATTAACCGGGAAATCACAAAACGCCCGCAGCTCCCCGGCTCGGGCACGTCATGGGCAAGGTCGCGCGTCAGCATTTAGAGAGTTTTTCTCTGTGCACATACTAGTAGCCGATTCCAGGGTATTTAGTCGTATCCCATACAACAGCAAGACACCTAAGTCGTATAGGTAGCTTCCGGAAATGGGTTTGGAGCTTTTGAAGCTTGACTACCTATGCGAGATTCGCATCCGGGAACCCATGCCCCCAAACCTAACCCTGTGATGGCTGATGATTCTTGAAGTTATCCCGGCCGATCGGCGGGCTATTAGTACTTGCCCATGCTGAAGTTCTGTCGACGACCACACGAGGAGTGAGCAAGGTGCTTTTCAGCCTGTTTCACCGTTGTAATGAACTTGTAATTGCTTCGGATGACATCTTGTGCAACGATTCTCCTCTAAATGCGGCGTTGAGAGCTTGGTCCTACATACAATCTTTGTCGGATCAAGCCCAACAGCCATCTAGCATTGCCATGTACATTTATTATTGATCGGGCAGCTCGTTCTGCAATTGAGACTATACACGTCTTTGGATTCTGCGTTCTCTGTCATGAACCGGAATGCATCAGCAGCCGTGTGCTTTCGAGAGTGATGAGAGAGACTTTTGCCAACTTGATCAGTGGCAGGATGCATGAACAGTTGTAGCAGTCCGCTTTGACCTGGGTAAATGCTAACCTAAGGTATTGTAGCGAGTTGGCCATTTGATACCTTACCGATGTCGAACAGCAGTGATGGCCTACCTATAAAGTCGTTAGAATGTACCGACTCATGGTTGAATGTCGTCTTTCCATGGTTGCTGCCATTCTTGACCGCATTCCAGATACTGTACATACCTTTTATTCTTCACCACACATGTAATAGCTTAGTGACCACTTAGTAACCAAATGAGGCACCCCAGACTCGCTATTATAGCCTTCACCACCGAGGATGCAAACCAATTTATCATGGCCACGTTGCCTGAGGGAACATTTGTTGCTCTTCAATATTACATCGTATCGCCATCACGACTTCTCACCTTGACCAATCCGCTTGCCCACGCAAAAAGAGGGGCTGCCCGACTCTGGCCGTGGAGGGGCAAGAATCCTTATCAGCTTATCGCGCCCAACGCGGCTTAGCGTAAGAGTCATCATGCTGCACACGATGAATTTTGACCACTCGACGGCGAAATGGCTGCTCCTGCAAACCTCCGCAACTTTATAGCGACGAAATCCTTGTAGGCGTTTGCCTCTGATCCATCTCTCTCGGTCATCCATTGCCTCGTCTTCTCTCCCGCAGACGAGCACTTAGACTATCGGCCCTTCGATCCAGCATATCCTCATTGTCTCGGCAGAAACCACCCCCGACTTCCTCATCTCGCGCTCTCCCCCCCCCACCCGTCACAATGTCTGAGGATCCCAAATACGACGACATCCAGTCCGACTCCGACTCTGGAGAGTCCATCGACGCCCATGACAACGTCGAGAACACCGAAGAGAAGACGCTCAAGCCGGCCCTCAAGAAGTCCAACCCCGCCATCCCCAACCAGGCGGCCGTAAAACCTCCGCTGCCCCCGCAGACCGACCCCAAAGACCTCGATGTGTCCGTCTTGACACCCCTCACGCCTGAGATTATTGCTCGCCAGGCCACCATCAACATCGGCACCATCGGCCACGTCGCTCACGGAAAGTCCACCGTTGTCAAGGCCATCTCCGGCGTCCAGACTGTTCGATTCAAGAACGAGCTGATCCGAAACATCACCATCAAGCTGGGATACGCCAATGCCAAGATCTACCAGTGCGACAACGCCGCGTGCCCTCGTCCGGGCTGCTACCGAAGCTACGGAAGTGAGAAGGAGGTTGACCCTCCTTGCGAGAGAGATGGCTGCGGTGGTACCTACAGATTGCTCCGACACGTCTCGTACGTTCCTCTCCCCCCCTTAAGCCCCCCTCATCCCACCTTCTTCTCAAATGGAAGTTGTTGGGAAGAGTATCACATGAGTTTTGGTGTATGTGTTTGTTAATGCTTACTTGTTTCTAGATTTGTCGACTGCCCTGGTCACGATATTCTCATGAGCACCATGTTGTCAGGAGCTGCCGTCATGGACGCTGCTCTTCTCCTCATTGCAGGCAACGAATCCTGCCCTCAGCCCCAGACATCCGAGCATTTGGCCGCCATTGAGATTATGAAGCTGGAGAACATCATCATTCTGCAGAACAAGGTCGACCTGATGAGAGAAGAGGTCACTCAGCAGCACTATGAGTCGATCCTCAAGTTCATCCGTGGAACCGTTGCCGAGAAGTCCCCGGTCATCCCCATCTCCGCTCAGCTCAAGGTCAACGTGGATGCTGTCCTTGACGCCATTGTCAACACCATCCCCGTGCCCGTCCGAGACCTCTCCATGGAGCCCCGCATGATCATCATCCGTTCTTTCGACGTCAACAAGCCCGGTGCCGAAATTGATGACCTCAAGGGTGGTGTTGCTGGTGGCAGTATCCTGCACGGTGTTCTTAAGCTGGGAGACGAGATCGAAATTCGCCCCGGTATCGTCTCACGCGACAACAGCGGTGCCCTCAAGTGCGCCCCTCTCTTCAGCAGAGTCATTTCCCTCAACTCCGAGGGCAACGACCTCAAGTACGCCGTGCCCGGTGGCCTGATTGGTGTCGGTACCCAGATCGACCCTACCCTCTGCCGTGCCGATCGTCTCGTCGGTTTCGTCCTGGGTCTCAAGGGCAAGCTGCCCGATATCTACAGCGAGATTGAGATCAACTTCTACCTGCTCCGACGTCTGCTTGGTGTCAAGACGGCCGATGGCAAGCAGGCCAAGGTCGCCAAGCTGGCCAAGAACGAGGTCATCATGGTCAACATTGGCTCCACGTCCACTGGTGCCAAGGTCGCTGCCATCAAGAACGACGCTGCTAAGCTGGTCTTGACCAGCCCCGTCTGCACAGATATTGGCGAGAAGGTGGCTCTCAGCCGACGTATCGACAAGCACTGGCGTCTTATTGGATGGGCTACGATTGCTGCGTAAGTTTTTCTCAAACCCCCCTTGGGCATGTTGGGCCTTTGATGCTAATATGTTCAATCTAGTGGTGTGACTCTGGAGCCCAGCTCGGCATAAACGTGCATGCTCTATCGAAAAAGCTTGTCTACGAAGTGATGTTTCTTTATGTAAGTCAAGTTCGGACGCTTGCTCCTTACTAGGGGCGTAGATCACAACAAGATGATGTGTCCTTATTGGCATATCTTGCAGCGTGTGGAGACGGGAGATTAAGCTGGAGGAAGCACTCAGTCTCAAAGACAGCAAACAAGCTGTAGTCTGGGATTTCACCGCGGGTCCTCCCAAGGTTTAGGTAGCGGCGTCAGTGGACATGGAGCTATAAGGCTAGAGAGGGTTTCACACCATTCGGGGGCGATATGTTTGGTGACGGCAGCGTGTGAAAGAGGGCATGAGCGTCTGGAGAAGAAGGCGATGAACAAAAAAGTACAAACCACACTGCGGAGGTAGAATATAGGCTTTGGACAAGAGTTGAGGACAAAAATCCAATAATATATCATCAAGCGAAAAAAAACCAAGTAACATATCATCTACTTGCGTACCTTACGGGCATGTGCTACCAAGTTTTCTATAACACCCTCAAAGGCCTCGCGATCCCCAATCTTTTCGTCTGTCCGTTTTGTCCAGTACTCCAGCAGCTCCTTGGCCGCCCCCTGCATGGCCTCCAACTTGGCCACGTGCTGCTTCAGTTCCTGATCCGTCATGCCGTCGAGCGCTTCGTCCGTCGTCTGGCAGAGATGCTTGGCCGCTACCAGGTCCAGCTCTGGTTGCGGCGGCGGTCCTTTCCTCCTCTTGGATGTTGACGTCTTGCCTTGAGAGTCTACCGATGTAGATGAAGCGTTTCCATCGCTTTGCTTCAGCCTTGCCGTCGACCGCAAGTCGCTCGATCCCCTAGGCGATGTCGCGGGGATGTTGAGCGACGGCAGCACGAGCTTCTTCTGTTTTGACGCCGGGAGGATCTCGTCCAAGTCTACAGGCACACCGAGCGAGACGAGGAACAAGCGGCGGGTGCGCGACCGGATCCAATCGGGAGGCGCGAGGGGCGGAGGAGCGACGAGCTGAGACCACAGCGAGGCGGAGCGTGGGGTCAGGAAGATTGATGAATCTTTGGGTAGTTGTGGGAAGGTTGGGAAATCGAGCTCTTCAGGGGGGAAGAGGCTTGGTAAACATGGTTCTATCGCGGAAATGACTTCATCTGGACTCAGCCCATCAAAGTCGGGTATCGACTGCGAACAAAAAAAAAAAAAAGAAAAGGTCAACACTCATGATCAATGCGTCTTTGGCTTTTCGAGTACATACAAATGGTAGTGAATGTTGTGGTTGGGTTGGTGGAGGCACTGATGCCGCGGATTCGGTGGGCTGGGGATGCTGAAAGCCATCCTCAAAGTCGTCAAAGTCGTCGTCGTGGCCGCCCTCTTCGAAGTCGTCAAAGTCATCGCCAAAGTCGTCGTCCCCGAAGCTGTTGTCTTCGCCCTGCTCTTCCTCTGCTTTTTCGTTGCTTTCTTCTTGGGGTGGAGCAGCCAGTATTGTTGGCTGAGAGGAGGCGAGGGAGTCTCTCCTAGAGCGGGCTGAAGATGATGTGGGTGAAAGGGGAGCATCTTTGAGATCGGTCAATTGGTGTCTATCCGATAGTTTTCGGATCCGTTGTAGTGTAAATACCTGAGATGGCGTCTTCATTGCCACTCCTTATCTCGCCATTGGGGCTCAGTATTATATCGGGGTTGGCGTCTGCTTTGTGCTTCTCCTGCTCCTCTGCGCTGTGCTGGCCGGGGTACTCTCCAGTAGATTCTTCGACGACTGTGACAGGGACAGTGCCCGGCTCGGGAGGAGCAGATGGCGAAGGCTCAGGAGTATCGTCGTCGGGCACCATGGCAATCTCGTCGGGCTCGGCATCCTGCTCCCTCGTCTTGTATGCTTCTGTGCCAGGCACCTCCCCATATGAGGGCTCAGTGTCGACCTTTTCCACCCTCGTCTTGGGAACTGGTGAGCTGACGCCGGGGCTCGTCGGTGCGGACTGCGCATCTGTGAATTGGTCTTCCGAATCTGAAGCCTCAGCTATAGTATAAATGTCAGCAGTGCTTGATCGCACCAAGGTGATCTATATAATCCAGAGCCAAGACATACCCAGCTGATGGGCCCCCGGGTCCTCGACGTGGGTCTGCGGCGGGGGTTCAAGTTCCCGGGAGTCCGCCATTGCGTCGTGAAGGCACTCTATCAAGCTGGGCAGCTGTTGGCAAAGCGATCCAGGGTGGTATTGCGTCCGAGGTTCGATTCGTAGAGGCTATTCAGTGTGTGTAGTCGATCAAGGTAACGAGTGTCGGGTGGTCAGACGGCGTCGAGGCCAAATACAGTGTGTCGTCTTTAGGACATTCCGGTGCTTCGCAGTGGCTGGGCGGTGTGTGTACAGTTATGCACTCGCAATGGACAGGAGGAGGGGAAATAGGGACACAACTGTCTACGCCGTGGAAATGAAGGTGTTTCGCATCATCGAGTGTCATAGCATGGAGCTCACCTCGACGGTAGGCGTGCTATCGTCACGTGGGGAAGGACACTATGCACGATAAGTGTGGCTGGTGACTTGCTGCAAGGACTCGTGGATACCAGCCACAGCACGGCTGCGCGCCCTGGGTCTGATTGAGCTCCCAGGAAAACAGAACCGCGAAAAAAGCACCTGCACCTGGCCAACCGTCACTTCAGCCTTGAGCCGCCCCAGGATTTTGTTTTCCTCCAGCTCACCTTGGAGGCATCACGGGTCTGAGCTTTTGGCAATCTCGTACGACCCCCAATCTGCCTCCTGCATCTCGGCCCAGCTTTGCCATGCCATGAACGCCTGCAGGGTCTTGTTGCTTACACGTATCTAGCTGCCTGTCGCCGCCTCACGCCTCTCAACCTCGCGACCGTCGACGATTCGAACCAGCAGCGCATCACCGACACCAATCGCCATGTCGTTCAGCTTCGGCACCCCGAGCTCCTCGGGCGCCGCGTCCAACAACACGACGAGCACGGCGCCGGCCACAGGAGGCCTCTTCGGCACTGCTGCTGCATCTGGCACGCCCAAGTTTTCCTTTGGCAACACCACCACTCCCGCTACCAACCCGCCTGGGGGTCTGTTCGGAGGTCAGAGCAACGCTGCCCAGAAGCCAGCCTCTGGCGGACTCTTTGGATCAGCCGCTGCTTCATCCTCTTCCACTCCTACCACTTCGGCAGGTGGCCTGTTTGGAGGAGCCTCGACCACCCCAGCAACGGGTGGCCTCTTTGGCGGAACAAGCACTGCAACCTCTTCCTCGGGAGGCGGCTTGTTTGGGGGAGCGACAACCAGCACAGCACCATCCACTGGCGGTCTCTTTGGCAATAAGGACGCATCGACCCCATCGGCTACCGGAGGCTTGTTCGGAGGAGATGCCAACAAAACCCCAACTGCCACTCCGACACCTGCTGCTGGGGGCTTGTTTGCAAACACTGGCTCTGGTCTCTTCGGTAACAAGACGTCGACTCCCACGACTCCGGCGACTGAGACTACCACCCCTGCCAAGCCCTTGTTCTCCATGGCATCGACGACGCCCGCGGGTGCGCCGCCACCCAACACAGCCAAGACCGCAGGCTCAAACCTGTTTGGAACTAATACCAGCACCACCCCCGCCGGCGGCTTGTTTGGCAACACTGCTACAAAGCCTGCCACCACTTCGGCATCGACTTCACAACCTGCGACCACTACCACGTCAGGATCAGGACTCTTCGGCAGCGGAACTCAATCGTCCACGAGTGGCTTGTTCGGCGCTGCCAAACCCGCAGCTACCAGCTCTACTGCACCGGCATCTGGAGGGCTCTTTGGCAATAAGACCGCCACCACGTCCGCGCAGTCCGGGTCCTCTACGCCCGCTGCGACACCGGCTGCTGGTACAACCTCTACGCTCTTCGGAACTAAGCCGGCTGCGACCACCACATCTACGACCCCAGCGGCGACATCTGCTGGAGGTCTCTTTGGTACCACACCTGCTGCAACAACCGCTCCAGCTTCTGGATCTACTCCTGCTACCGCAGCCGCTGGGGGTCTCTTTGGACTGAAGCCTGCTGGCACCACTGCCACTACGACTTCGTCTTCAACGACCCCGGCAACCACTGCCACGTCCGGCAACCTCTTTGGCACAGCTCCTAAAGCCTCTACTGCCACCACGGACAAACCTGCTACCTCGCTCTTCGGTACCACCGCCACCACCAAGCCTGCCACGACTGCGTCCACCACCGCGACCACGACAACAGCAGCACCAGCGTCGACTACGACCACGGCTGGTGGCTTGTTTGGAGCCAAGCCTGCTGGCGACAAGGATGCGGCGAAACCTGCTGCACAGACCAGCACCATTAACCCATTGGGAGCTTCCACTACCGGTCCTCCCTCTCAGATGGCCCGGTTGAAGAACAAGACGATGGAGGACATTGTCACTCGGTGGGCTTCTGACCTCTCAAAGTACCAGAAGCAATTCAAGGAACAGGCCACAATCGTGTCCAACTGGGACAGAAACCTCGTGGACAATGGCGAAAAGATTCAGAAGCTGTACCTGGAGACCTTTGAAGCGGAGCGGGCCAGCCACGAGATTGAGCGCCAGCTGGCTGCCGTGGAGAGCCAGCAGGAAGAGCTTGAGGCCTGGCTGAACCGTTACGAGTCAGAGGTCCAGGATATGTTTGCTAAGCAGATGGGCCCTGGCGAGCAGCTTGGGGGACCCGACCAGGAGCGCGAGCGTACCTATAAGCTGGCCGAGAAGCTCACCCAGCAGCTTGACGAGAAGTCTCGAGACCTGTCAAAGATGGTCAAGGAGATTAATGACATCTCTGGAACTCTGAGCAAGGGAGCCAAGGCTGAGGACCCGGTAAGTTCTCGCAGCAATAGCGATTCCACTGGGGCGTATATCAATGCTAATGTCATGCTGCAGCTGAGCCAAATCGTTCGCGTGCTCAACAGCCACCTTACCCAGCTGCAATGGATCGACGCCAATTCGTCAGCCCTGCAAGCCAAGGTCGCGGCGGCCCAGAAATCCAGCAGCAACCTGGGTAGCCACTACGGCAGCGGAGAGAGCGACGTGGCGGAGAGCTTCTATAGATCTTACATGGGACGGAGGTGAAGCAATTGTCGGACATTGATGGTTGAAATTGGAGTTCCGGGATGGCATCAGGGATGATTGAATCTAATAAAGGCATTTTCTGTTTTTCGTCACGCGCATGGCTCATGAGCAACGTAGGTTCGGCAAAACATGACACAGCAGCAGCTCTCCTTGTGCTTTCTGATGTGACTTGTGTTATTTTTCTTTTTTTCTTTTTTCTTTTCCTCCGAGAAGTGGAGAGGAGCTCATATAGCTCTACAGAACGGTATCGTGGCTAGCGATGAGGCAGATAACGCAATCATGATGTATGCGCGATTCGGACCCCCCGAGGGCTGTTGTTGCCCTCTACCTTAATAATACAATTTGAACTGCCCAGTCAAGCCGCCCTCATGCCATGATGAGGCGACTCGTCTGCCTCTCTTTCTCGTGCAGGTCCGGTTTACAGCAATTCCTTTAGTTTTGCTCGCCGCCCTGCTCCTTGGTAATCTCGTCACTGCAGAGGAAGAAAGAAAAACAAGATGAGTTAGTTTCTGGAAGCACAGCCGCTTTGAGAAGAAGGAGGGGGGTTCCCTTATTGAGTCAAGGTAGGGTAGGAATTGAAAGGGGGAGGGTCTGCGCGTACATGTGCTTGGCGAGGCGATCGAGGTGCTCCTGCTGCTCGGTCAGCTTCTTCCTGAGCTCGAGCAGCTTTTCCTTTTCGCGCTGGCGGATGGCGTAGTCCTCGGCGGCCTTTTCGCGGCGCTGGAAGGCGTCGCTGTATGGATGGAAAAGAATTAGCCCTCTTATTCTTTCTTGTCTATTCGGCTGCAATTGCAGTCTGCGGTTTTGGGAGAATTGGGAGCTGCGGAGAGCTAGGAGGAAGAGAGCATTTAAGGACTTACCCTTGGCCGCCGGTCTTGGGGGGAGCGCCAGTGTCGCCTTCGCCCATGGCGCGGGCAGTGGTGGTGAATGCGGCGCGGAGGGGACGGAGAGCGGCCGTCTTGGTGAGGGTTGTGCGGAGCATTTTGGTGTAGATTTGTCTGGTTGGAGCGGATTGGGAGGTTGGTGTTGTTGTTGGAAGGAAGTGAAGTGAAGTGATCTTGTTGGAGGGGAAGAAAATAATTGAGGTAGCAAAGGCTCGTAATAACCGGATTGCCGTAGTAGAAGGTACCTACGTAGGAACAAGTACTACTAGAACTGGACCGTGCTGTAATACTAGCACTTGGAGCTCCTGGCCTGATAGGAACTGGAGCTGAAAGTGGTGCTGCTAGTAAGAGGTACGGAAGAGGGCTTGGATGGCCTGAGGGGTTGAATGAGCGTCATACTGCAATCGAGTGGTTCGATGCGATGATGGGCGTGAGCGGATTGGGGTTAGTGGCGGTGCTGCCTTTTCAGGGTGGGGGAATAATAATATTGGTGATGCATCTCTGGACAGTATTACTGGAGGGGGATCAGAATGGGAATTCACGATAGAACACACAGTGATGGATGGTAATCTTCGTCAAAAAGATGAAGATGGAGCTTTTGCTGTAGGATCAGAGCCCAGACTGTGTTCAAATCAAGTACAGATGATGTAGGAGCACATAGCAATATGGTAGCTAAGTGAGAGCATCGGAGATACTAGCACAGCTTGTGTGAGACGCCAAGAGATCGAATTGTTCTTGACAAGCCATCACTTTCCGCGATACAGACAAGGTTCGTTTCGATCAAAAAGCTTACATCACGGAGACGATCAGAAAATGTAGTGGACTGACTGGACGCGTTGAGGCATCTGATGTCCTGATGTATGTACGTATGTGGATGCCGGAATATCTCGGTACGCGCAAGGTTGTACTTTGCTAGTGCGTGCCTCTCCGGCTGTAGAAGCGAATAGAAGCCAATTCGAAAGTCGCGAACTGCACAAGCAGCAACCACCAAAGCTGTCCAGCGTTTTTGCATTTCTTGTCATCATTGCAAAAATGGTGCCTGAATATCTACGTGCCTTTGAGATGGTAGATGCCAGAGAAGGTAGCCAGATAATAATCGGGGCAGCTGAAGCAGGATCGCCGTGGTTCAATACTCCGTAATAGTACACGCAACTACCTACTATTGATGTGGAGTTGATCCTAATAGTATAACTGCTTCGTCTGCGCGTCGTTACAACATGTTGAAGGCATGTAAGATTACGACTACAACACTGAACCATCCCATCGCCTGTTGGTATTAGCAAGAGAAGAGTGCTGCAAGTCCTCACACGTGCCGGTGGCTCGCATAGAAATTGGCCTCTTCCCAAAGCATCCTAGAGCGGAGCAGCGCATGGAGCTGGATTGCCGTCCGGGATCCAGGGAAATGAAACCTGTCGTTGCTCGACAAGGCCGCAATCTCGTGCCCCCCAGCAATGAGCCTTGACAATCTGGCCCGGGCCGCGTGACCGCATCTTCAGAGCCTCATCTTCAGAATGTTCATGGACTGGTGTGCTCGTGAGTGGAAGAGGGGACTGCGGATTGGCTGCCCCGATATGCCTCTAGAGGTAGGCAGCATCGCGATGTGCCTCATGCGACAAGAGGGGGAAGAACAAAGCAGAGAATCAAGGCACGGCACAGCATGGCGACTGGAGGGACGATGACGAACCCGCGGCCACGGATCAGCTTGAGTTAGCGTCTTCTCTTCAGCACCGAGGACGAGGTTGAGAGGAGGTAAAAGACGCTGCTGGCCATTGAAGCAGTAGGTACGTAGGTAGTAGCCGGCAATGATGCGCCAGCGCCACCAACACTTGGATCGTGGTTCAAGGTTCAACGAGTTGATGCCATTTGCTCTGTAAGGTTGATAACAGTCATTACCTTAGGCAGACAGGCCCGTGGACGCTGCCGCAGCTGGAGAGGAAGAGGCATGCAGCTCGTAGTACGATATGTACAACTACATGTTGCCTTGTCTGGTGCATTCATTCGTGCCCCCAACCTCCGAAAGGTGCCTCTGGTGACGTGATGCTACAGGGTCGGTCTGAGGAGGTGGACGCGGGAACCTGGCAGTACGAGATTGCGAGCCGGGCCACACTGTCCCGCCGCGTCGCTGACCGCCCACGCAAGTACCGCCGCGTACCGATGCCTGCCCACCTTGGCACCCGCCGGCACCCACAAGCCCTGGAAAGGACAGGCCTGCGCGGCACGTGAGGCCTGCCATGGCGCTGAACGAACCGCTACTGGGCCGCTGGGCCTCTGAATCAATGCGCTGGCTAATAACTGGGACCCCTTCCATCATCAACAGCTTTGGATTCTTTCCCTTTTCCTTTCTCTCTCTCAACGAAGCAACAAACGCCCCCTTTTTGTCCGAAACCCGCGCCTCATCGTACGTACGTATCCTCCCTCCCGTCCTCTGCAGCTCTGCCGGATTGGTTTTTTCTGCCGCTCCCGTTTATTCCTCTGCCCTCGAGCCAGTGCATCCTCCTCTTGCAGCCCAGCTCCCGCCGCTGCTTCTGGGTGAGCGCCTTATTATGGCACGGCGCGCGCCCCTCCTCGCTGTCGTCATGGGCTGGCCCCCCTGGGCTCGCAGCAAGCAGCGCAGCCAGAGCCGTCAATCGCGCTGAGACGCCCGACCGGCTGCTCAGCGACTGTGTCGGCGCATCGGGGGACCTGGGAATGGCCTCGTCTCTGTCGATTGGGGCGCTGCCTGTCTGTCGCGGGAGCTGGCGCATTCGCTACACTACACCTCTTTGTCTTGTCTCGAAACCCCACCAAAGGGGTTTAGGAGCGGGGGAGCAGCGCAAGCCTCACTCGGGGCCTCGTCCGCAGAGTCAGCCCTGCGGCACATTGTTCCTGCCACGGCGCCTGTTCCGTTGCGCAGAATTTCACCCTTTGGCTGGGATGAGGCTGTGGCTGCTGCCTTGCTCTGTTTCCCCCCCTCTGTTCCCCCCCCCTTCTTCTTCCCCCTGCTTTCATGCGGAATTCCCTCTCAAAACCGCTCGCCATTCCCCTTGAATCGTCTGCCGACTTGCGTTACGCCATTCTCCGACGCGTACAACCTGCTGACAGATTAGGAAACCAGCTTTCATCAAAACTCCAGAAAAAAAAATCCACAAACTCCTACCGTCAAAATGGGTCACGAAGATGCTGTTTACCTGGCCAAGCTCGCCGAGCAGGCTGAGCGATATGAGGGTGAGTAGCTCAGCTTGCTGTTATCTCCGGCCCCCCCGCCGTCCGATGGATCGATCGCGCTGACCGAGGATGCCCAACAGAGATGGTTGAGAACATGAAGATTGTCGCCTCCGAGGACCGCGACCTCACCGTCGAGGAGCGCAACCTGCTCTCCGTCGCCTACAAGAACGTCATTGGCGCCCGCCGTGCCTCTTGGAGAATAGTCACCTCTATCGAGCAGAAGGAGGAGTCTAAGGGCAACTCTTCCCAGGTCGCCCTTATCAAGGAGTACCGCCAGAAGATCGAGGCCGAGCTCGCCAAGATCTGCGACGACATCCTCGAGGTCCTCGACCAGCACCTGATTCCCTCTGCCAAGTCCGGAGAGTCCAAGGTCTTCTACCACAAGATGTGCGCATCCCTGGTTACTCCCATGCTGCAGTGTGCATAGTTGAGCTAATTTTGATTCCCCGTTACAGGAAGGGTGACTACCACCGTTACCTTGCCGAGTTCGCCATTGGCGACCGCCGCAAGGACTCTGCCGACAAGTCCCTCGAGGCCTACAAGGCGGCCACCGAGGTTGCCCAGACCGAGCTGCCTCCCACCCACCCCATCCGCCTGGGTCTCGCCCTCAACTTCTCCGTCTTCTACTACGAGATCCTCAACGCCCCCGACCAGGCTTGCCACCTTGCCAAGCAGGCCTTTGACGATGCCATTGCCGGTAAGTCTTGTTTCTCCAGAGAAAGAGTCGACGGGAATGCAGGCAGAGGATTGCGCCCTTGAAGAAGACTCACCTTGCGGACTTTGACTGATGCCAACTAACGCGCCCGTCACAGAGCTCGACACCCTCAGCGAGGAGAGCTACAAGGACTCGACTCTCATCATGCAGCTCCTCCGCGACAACCTTGTACGTTGATAACCCCCTTTCGTTGACTGCGTATCCTGCTAACGGGCTATTCAAGACTCTCTGGACCTCTTCTGAGGCTGAGACCTCTGCCGGCCAAGCTGAGGCTCCCCCTAAGGAGGACACCCCTGCCGAGGCCGCTGCTCCTGCTGAGGAGCCCAAGGCTGAGTAAAGTCAGTCAGGGGAACGGGGGTAGATCTATAGGCTTTGGTCGCTTTGGTATGGGATGGGATGGTGTCTACGGAGTGGATGGAAGACTTCGTTTTTTGATCAAGAGCTTCGGCATCGTTTAGGTAAACACGCAAATCACTTTCGGGGAGAGAACCAGTTTGGTTCCCCCCTTATCAACGGATCGGCAGGGAGGATTGAAGAAGAGCATATTGAAGGTTCTGCTTTTAGACTCTTGATGCGCACCGTCTGGACAAAATAAAAACTACGAAAATTGCTTTATAATATAACTTTATCTTACCAACCATCTGTTGCCATGAAACGACCGGATGATTTGTTTCTCGCCCTCATTCCTCATGAACACCACATGTTTTCGCTGTGACATGTGTTGGTGCTTCCTTTGATGTGGCCTCCCAATGGTCAACTTGTATCTTTTCCATTTGATATCGAAAAACCCGCGTGACCTGTCTCTCCTTCGTCTTCTGCTACAGCAAAGTGAACTTTCAGCCAAAGGCTGCAGTCATGACACCCAACCATGAGCACACCCTCCTGCTCAACCCCCTCTAGATCCTCCTCATCGAATGAATACCCACGCTCATTCCCACAGCGACACGACCTATACCAGCGCTCCTCCGCCTCATCGAATTGCAGATCATCCAAGTCGACGTTTTCGATGCCCGTCTGGAAGCGTGCCTGCGTAGCTTCGCCGTTTGCTCTGGCCAGGCGGAGGGTTGCCTCGTAGGTGCTGCGTTGGGAGGGAGATGAGAGGACTGTGAAGGCTTGTGTGATTTGGTCGATTGTGTAGAGTTGAGGGGCTAAAGGCCTTGTTTGCGATGTTGATGATATTTGTGATGATGATGAGATTGAGGGAGTAGTAGTAGAAGTAGCAGAAGCCTTGTCGGGGTGGTGCCGGAGGAGGGCTCTGCGGTAGGCTTGTTTTATGAGCGTGGAGGGGTCATGCTGGGAGTTGAGGATGGATGGGGAGAGGTTGAGGACGTCGTAGTGGGATGGCGAGGGGGCGGCCATTGATTTGTGATGAGGCAAGGAAAATTTAGTGATTATGAGAATAAATGAGTGTCATGACCTGTCTTCTGAAGTTTCGCCTATGAGTTAATGGCTCTAAGAATGCTATATTGAAGATTATCAAGGCGGCAAAATTAGACACGGCGAGGTCACGTGATGTGAATGAGCCTTTGCTTCAACGACATGATGGACGACAAGATTGAATCAGAGGGAGAAGAGTTAAGAGCTTGGAAAGAGTCTGGAGTGAATCTGCATATTCGTTTCTCATTGTTGTACATAAAAATACATGGCGTATGTACATATTCGCCGGGGTAAAGGGATTTTTTTGCTGTGTCGTGACGTTTATTTCGGGAACTTTGTCCAGTTCCTCTTCCCGATCTGTGCGTTTCAAAGTCAGCTTTGCCCTCTATATATGAACGGCTGTCGAGGATGAAGAAAGATTGGGGGGAAACCTTACACTCTTCCAGGCCCGAATAAGCTTGGGCATATCCAGCATGGCTTTTCTCCTCTGTTCCATCCTAAGCGGTCGTGTTAGTCGTCATGGTGCCCTTGGCAATACAAAATCTCCAAAACAATAGCCAGCAAGGACGACAATGTACATACTTTGCAATCATGTGTCGCTCGTGAATGTGACCCTTGACCTTCTGTCCCACACCCGTACCCTTGACCCTCAGACCGTGCTCGACGCGGTGCGCCAGCTTGTACTCGGTGCCCTTTGTCGTCTCGGGCAGCAGCTCCTCGACGCCGTGCTCCCGCGCCAGCTTCACCAGCTGCGCCTGTCGCCGCTGCGAGTAGACGGGATCCTGCCACCGCCCCGTCACGGGGTGCTTGTAGAACCGGAACGGGTTCGGCCGCTGCTCCTGGAAGGCCGTCGGGGGGGTGCCGGGGGCGACGAGCGAGGCCGGGGGCCAGCGCGCGAAGAAGCGCTGCAGCGGCTCGGGGAGGCTCTTTGCGAGCTGGACGAAGCTGGAGGTCGAAGCCATTTGGAATGTCGGCTATGAGGGCATTCGGCCTGGTGGTGATTTCTCTCTCCGGGGGGGCGGCTATCGCTGGGCTGATCTGTTTCCCCGGGGGAATGGGCCGATGATTCGCGGGGAGGCTCTTTTTTTGGAGGTTGCCAATTTGAACCGATTTCGAGATTCCCAAGGCTGAGCATGCACTAACAGGGACCCGCTAAGCTAGTGAGCGATGCGATTGGATTGCCATCAGCAGGTGGGTCTCCAGCATCGGCCGTAAGCTGCAGCCTCGTCTGCTTGTCTACTCGCTCCAAGCTCAATTCTGGAATCGTCTTCAAGTTCAACATCTCAAATTCCGTACCCTTCATTTTCCGCTATAGAGCCTGCAGTCTTCCGCGTACTTCTCTCTTTCTTACTTCTGAAACGAAATACATACTCGACTCGAAATGCCCCTCGACATCGAGGAGATACTGAGGAAAAAGAAGGCGGCCGATGCTGCTGCAGCCAAACCCAGATTCATCCCCAAGGCGGAACGCGAACGACTAGCGGCCGAGAAGGCAAAGCAGGAAGAAGAAGAGAAGAAGCGCAAAGCGGCAGAAGAAGAGCAGAAGCGTCGACAGGAAGAAAGAAAATGGGAATCTCTCGCGAATGGCTCGTCAACCCCCAACGGCATCGCGCCTCCTACAGGCCCCAGGGCCATGAACCCGCCCAACGCAGGCAGAGGCCGTGACGGGGGCCGTGACGGGCCCCGTGACGGCGGGCGAGAGGGAAAGAAAAACTCCAAGACGGACGGCGTCAAGCGCTCGGCGGCGGACATTGAGGACTCGCTGCTGCGGTCGCGGTACCTGGGTCCCGAGGTCAACCAGCAGTCGACCTTTTCAGCCAAGAAGAAGCGCATGCGGACGACGGAGAAGAAGTTCAACTTTGAGTGGGACGCGGACGAGGATACATCAAGAGACAACGACCCGTTGTATGCGAGCCAGAGCGTCAACAGAGGCGGCTCCCTCGCCGGCCTCGGTGGCGAGTTCGACAAGGAGGCCGAGCAGCGGGCGCGCAAGCGAGCAAAGATGATTGAGGAGCGCGATCCGGAACACGGCAGGGAGCGGGCGATTGGCATCATGGAGGACTTTTACAGGGCGCGCGACAGGGCGAGGGAGAGGGCCGAGAGGACGGGCCTGGGGCGGCACTGGTCGGAGAAGGCGCTCAGCGAAATGCGCGAGCGAGACTGGCGCATCTTCAAGGAGGACTTTGGCATCTCCACCAAGGGAGGCGCCATCCCGAACCCCATGCGCAACTGGGAAGAATCCGGGCTGCCGCGGCGTCTCCTGGACATTGTGGACCGCGTTGGCTACAAGGAACCCTCTGCTATTCAGCGAGCAGCCATCCCGATTGCCTTGCAAGCCCGCGATCTTATTGGCGTTGCCGTCACTGGTTCCGGTAAAACTGCCGCTTTCCTACTGCCGCTGCTGGTGTACATATCCGACTTGCCGCCTCTGACGGAGGCCAACAAGAACGACGGCCCGTACGCGCTCATCATCGCGCCGACCCGCGAGCTGGTGCAGCAGATCGAGACGGAGGCGAAGAAGTTTGCCGAGCCGCTGGGCTTCAGGTGCGTCAGCATCGTCGGCGGACACTCGCTGGAGGAGCAGGCCTTTGCGCTGCGCAACGGCGCCGAGATCATCGTGGCGACGCCGGGTCGTCTGGTGGACTGCATCGAGCGGAGGCTGCTCGTCCTGGTCCAGTGCTGCTACATCATCATGGACGAAGCCGATCGCATGATCGACCTGGGCTTCGAGGACTCGGTCAACAAGATCCTCGACGCGCTGCCCGTGTCCAACGAGAAGCCGGACACGGACGACGCCGAGAACGCGCAGCTCATGAAGCGCTACGTGGGAGGCAAGGACCGCTACCGCCAGACCATGATGTACACGGCCACGATGCCGCCTCAAGTCGAGAAGATTGCAAAGAAGTACCTGCGCCGCCCGGCCATTGTGACCATTGGCAACGCCGGCGAGGCCGTCGACACGGTCGAGCAGCGCGTCGAGTTCGTCGCCGGCGAGGACCGCCGCAAGAAGCGCCTGCAGGAGATTTTGTCGTCGGGCCAGTTCGCGCCGCCCATCATCGTCTTCGTCAACATCAAGCGCAACTGCGACGCCGTCGCCCGCGACATCAAGGCCATGGGCTGGTCCGTCGTCACCCTGCACGGCTCCAAGACGCAGGAGCAGCGAGAGGCCGCCCTCGCGTCGGTGCGCTCCGGCCAGACGCAGGTTCTTGTCGCCACTGACCTCGCCGGTCGAGGTATCGACGTGCCCGACGTCTCCCTCGTCATCAACTTCAACATGGCGACCAACATTGAGAGCTACACGCATCGTATTGGTCGTACGGGTCGTGCTGGGAAGAGCGGTGTCGCAATTACCTTTTTGGGCAACGAGGATGCGGATGTGTTGTATGATCTCAAGCAGATGCTGAGCAAGAGCTCCATCTCAAAGGTGCCGGACGAGCTGAAGAGGCACGAGGCGGCGCAGTCGAGGCCCGTTCGTGGAGGGGCGAGTAGGAGGGATGAGGCGGCTGCTGCCGAGGGCGGTAAAGGGGGAGGAGGCAAAGGAAACTGGTAACGGTTCCAAGGGAAATTTTTCCACGACGCTGGAAACCTGTTCATTGTTCAAATCACTGGCGATTTAGATGTTTGTCTCGCGCAAAAAGGGAATTGGACTGGGAGTTTAGGTTCATACATTTTAGGTCGATAAGATGACATGACATTCTGTGCTTCATTGACAACAGCTCTTTTTATTGTGTACTCTAGAGACCTTCTACCGTCTACATGAAGATTGTAGCCCTGTTCGATGAAAATTCAAGGCAAAACAATCCACGCTGTCTTACTCCAACTTGAGCTGCTCAAACTGCTTAATCGTCTCCTCCAGGTGGTGCTTCTCCTGCTTGGCATCAGCCAGCCTCTTGAGGTCGCCCTCCTGAACGGCCGCCGAGACCTTCTCCTTGTAACCGGGGTCCGCAAGCAGCTTCTCCTGCTTCTGAATGTTGGCACCAGTCTTCTCGAGCTTCTTCTGCGCCTTTGCAATCTCGGCGTCCATGTCCACTCGGCCCTTTACGTGCAAGAAGACGGAGGCGGCGGTGGAGACGGGGTACGCGACGCTGCCGAGAGGGCGGGAGGCTTCAGGGCCGACGACCTCCATGGACTTGACGCTCTTGCCGCTGAGGGACTTGATAGAGGTCAGTTCGTTCTGGCAGGTCTTGAGAGACTCGGCATTGTACGCCTGGATGACGACTATTTTGTTTTTCAATGTCAGTTAAACAGGAGATAGATATTCTGATAGTGGGATAATGCTTACGTTCAGCGTCTTCCTTGATGGCATACTCGGCCATGAGCGATCGCGAAGCCTTGCTGCAGTCGAGCACAAGTTCATAGGCCTTCTCGGACGCGGGATCGTCGAGAGCAGGATTGTACGTGGGATACTTGGCCACCATGATGGACTTGGTCTCGTCGCTAGGTCTCCGAGGCATTCTCTGCCACATCTCCTCGGTGATGAACGGCATGAAGGGGTGGATCATGGTGAGCGCAGCCTCCAGAGCAGTGTACAGGGTCTGGATAGCCGAGTTGCGCTCCTCCTCGGTGCCATCGCGAATGATAGCCTTGGAGTTCTCAATGTACACATCGCAGAGCTCGTTGTACCAGTAGCGGTAGACGATGATGCTGGATTTTGAAAACTCCCGCTCAGCAAGGGCGATGTTGATCTCCTTGGCGGCCTGGTTCATCTTGTGAAGAATCCATCTCTCCGCCAGAGTCTTGCCGGGCACGGCTCCGGTTTTTGAGGGAACAAAGTCCTTGGGCAGACTTCCCAAGACGTACTTGGTTGCTTGGAACTAAACTGGTGTTAGCACTCGAAGGCCAAGAGGGTGGAACGATTCGATGATGCGTTTGATCAACATACAATCTTGTTACAGAACTTTCGGTAACCGTGAATACTGGACATCGAGTTAGCTGAGTTCAAACGTATGGAGCTCGAAACGTGCTCACATCTTGATCTCCAAGTTAATGTCGCCACCGCCGGTCGTGGCATTGATCATGGTGAAGCGGAGAGCGTCAGCTCCGCACTCGGGAATGCCATCGGGGAAGGCAGACTTCTGGTACTTGGTCGCCTTTTGAACCTCGCTGGGGTGCAGGTTACCCTGAAGGAGCTTGGCGTGCAGGTCCTCCAGTTTGATGCCGGCAATGACATCCAGGGGGTCAATGACGTTGCCCAGACTCTTGCTCATTTTCCGGCCCTCGGAATCTCGGACAAGACTGTGGCAGTACACTTCTCTGAAGGGAACCTGTCCGGTGAGTTTCAAGCTGAGCATGATCATTCTGGCGATCCAGAAGAAGAGAATGTCCCAGCCAGTCTCGAGAATGCTCGTGGGGAAGAGCTTCTCAAAGTCGGGCGTCTTCTCGGGCCAGCCCAATGTGCTGAACGGCCACAGACCAGAAGAGAACCAGGCTGCCAACTGTGTTAGTCTTTGAGTTGACTATGCCCTGAACACAAAATTGACTCACTATCAAGAACGTCCTCATCCTGCTCGAGGGTAAAGGTCTTGCCAGGCAGTGCCGCCTGGGCCTTCTTCTCCGCCTCTTCCCTGTTTCGTCCAGAGAACCAGAGCTTCTCCTCGGGGATACCGTCGGAGCCGCCCTCGATCTTGGCAAAGTACGCAGGACATCTGTGACCCCACCACAGCTGTCGGCTGATGCACCAGTCGTTGATGTCCTCAAGCCAGCGGTAGTAGCTCTTCTCTGCACTCTCGGGACGGATCTTGATCTCGCCCTCCTTGACAGCCCGAAGAGCCTCCTGGGCAAGCTCCTTCGTCCTCACCCACCATTGGGGCTTGATGATGGGCTCAATGATGTCCTTGGACCTCTCACAGAGGGGAACGGTCATCGGGTTGTCCTTCTTGTCCACATACAGGCCCTTCTCCTTGAGAGCATCCTGGATAGCGTATCTGACGTCGAAACGCTTCTGACCCTGGTACGGTCCGGCGTTCTCATTCATCAGTCCATTGTCGGTGAGGATGTTGATGAACTCCAGGTTGTGCTTCTGACCGAGGTTGAAATCGTTGGGATCATGGGCGGGCGTCAGCTTGACAGCACCAGTTCCGAATTCCATGTCGACATACTCGTCGGCAATGATGGGCAGCTTGCGACCCTCGATGAACGGATGGACAGCATACTTGCCGACCAGATGGGTGTACCTGGCGTCCTTGGGGTGAACGGCGATACCGGTGTCGCCCAGCATGGTCTCGATACGAGTCGTGGCAACCTCGACGGTCTCGTCACTGCCCTCAATGGGGTACTTGAAGTGAACAATGACACCAAACTCGACCTTCTTGTCGTATCCGGGGACCTCGAGCAGCGTCCTTCCAGTGAGCTCCTTGTTCTTGACCTCAAGATTTGAAAGCGCAGTGTTGAGCTGTGTGCACCAGTTAACGAGTCTGTTGGCGCGGTAGATGATGCCCTCCTCATGGAGCTGGACAAAGGTCTCGTTGACGGCTTTTGTCAGATTGGGGTCCATGGTGAAAGCTGCCTCTTTGTTAGTTGCAATATTGCTCACTCAAGTGCATCACAACGCACCTTCTCGGCTCCAGTCGAACGAGCTACCCAAGCTGGTCAAGGCCTTGTTGATGCGCTTGTGGTAGTCCTCCTTCCACTCCCAGACGGTCTCGACAAACTTCTCGCGGCCGAGGTCGTGTCTGGTCTGCTGCTTCCGTCTCCACAGCATGTTCTCGACGACGCTCTGAGTCGAGATACCGGCGTGATCACAGCCAGGAACCCAGAGGGTAGTCTTGCCCTGCATCCTGTTCCAGCGGATCATCAGATCCTGAAGCGAATCGCCGAGGGCGTGTCCCATGTGCAGGCTGCCGGTGACGTTGGGAGGCGGGTGGACGATGACGAAGCTGCCCTCCTCCTTGACATTGCCGTCTGGGGTGAACTCGGGCTTGAAGAAGCCTTCCTTCTCCCACCAGCTATACCAAGCGGACTCGACGGCGACGGGGTTGTAGGCCTTGAAGTGGGGGTCGTCGAACGATCGGATGCGCTTCTTCTCTCCGGCGGGGGTATCTTCGACATAGGCGGGCAGCGGCTCCTCCTCGACCTTCTCCTTCTTGGCCTTCTTCTCCTTGGCGGGAGCTGCAGCGGCGGCGGCAGCCTTTGCCTTTTTGGCCTCGAGCTTGGCGGCCTTTTCAGCCTTCTTGCGCTCCTTTTCCACTGCATCAAGATGTCAGATCCGTGGTCCTTGATGATCTATATTGAGTTTGTGAAGAGGCAGCTCGGGGCTCCTTACACTCCTTCTCAGACTTTACTTTCTGAGGGCCCTCGGGAGCTGGCACAACGCCCGCATCCTGGCCGGAGGCGTGCTCTCCGGGAGCAGCAGCCTGAGTCGAGCCGGCAACCTCTTGCTTGACCTCGCTGGAGACGTTGGGAGGCGCGGTGGTGCTCTCCTGGATGCCCTCGGTCCCCGGGACTGTACATCGGAAGCTCGTTAGTGACTTGTTCCTCTCCAAAATTTCAACGCAATAAAGAAGCCACAACAACATACTGGGGATGCCTCGCGCAGAGTTGGTCGCCATGATCGCACGTGTGCTGGTGAAAGATCTTGCAGTTGCGGTTGCAGGACAGACAAGTGGCCGCACTCGAAGTGCCCGAGCCGCGAATCTGAACGTCGTGCTGGATAAAGTTCGGGGAAGCCGCAGGGTGAATTGGCCTCCTCGTCAATCCTAAGCGTCAAGAAACTCGCCCTTTTTTAAGAGGAAGCAGCAGTGACTTGGCTCTGGTTTGCGTTATCGGATTCAGAGTCAGAGATTCCCGGTCGGAAATTTGAGTCATGGAATCTTATCAGGTGGGATGTGCTGAGGGGTGTGGCGGTGCCGCGGGGTTGCAAGCTGGAATGCTGCTGGAATTGGCAGTTGAGCCACCAGTCGAGCCACAGCTGCTCTTACATGGAATTTCATGTATCACTACACTCAGAAGGTCAGCCAATGTCTTGCCATCACCTCTCATGTCATACCTCTGCAATCGGATCTCTCTCTCGTGAGTGATTGATCTTAATACACAGAGAAGTTCTCATTGGCTTCATTCTCCTGGCTCAATACTACCTGGAATAAACTTCCTCAGGGAGATGATCACCTGGGTCTCCCCCCGGGCTGTGAGAAGCCTGCTTCCGAGGCGAGGCGCATCAGCTCTCATCAGATCCTATTCGAGCAATTCCCGTAACAGTCAGACAAGGTTCACATACGCGATACCGGAGAATAGACAGGTGAGTCAACCATTCCAAATCATGCAGACGAATTGCTCACAATCCCTTCTCGCTTAGATCAACTATGACGAGCTGTTTGAGAAGCTGAAAGGAAGGAAAACCCTGGACAACGCCGACGGCCACAACGCCGCAGTGCTCCTCACAACGCCCAGTTTTGCCAAGGACCTCGAAAATGCCCAATTGATGACGGAATTTGCCAGGTTAATGGCCGGCTCAGCGGACGTGGGCAAGTTCCACGTGCTGAGCGCAGTAGTCGACCATTTGGCAGCCCCGATAGGATCACTCAGGCCCCTACAGGGCGTGTCAGTCTTACGAGGCCACCTAGACGACATGCTGCCGTATCTGTGGCACGAGCAGCCGCCAAAGTCAAGAGATGATGCGGATTCGGTTTCTGCCCTGACGTTTAGCTTGGGGGATCCCGCGTTGACGCTGCCCCTGGCGAGAACCACGTTCCATAACAACCGAGCGTCTACACTTGTGTTGTCCGAGTTTGACTTGACCCCTGATACGACACAGCTTACTCGGCAGGTGGAAAAGCATTCACAGTTTGTCAAGGTCTCATTAGACGAGGACATCAAGTCACTGGCCCACCTCGACATGTGGGCACCCCTGATGCCTCTGACACATCCCCGAACGGTGACTGAGAGCTTCGGTAACATCATCCGAGGTATCGAGGTCGACGGCAAGACCATCCCCGCTTCTACAGAGCTGGAGGAAATTGTGAATGCGCTTCACAAGCAGAATGCCCATTCGGGCATCTTGTCTGGCCCTGTGGGAGTCTGGGCAATGGTTACCCCTAACCCGGAGACGTCGAGCACGTTGGCAGAATGGTTCGAGGAGGCCCCCCAGCCTATTGTAGCGCTGCCAGATGTCGATGATATCAGGGATACTGTAGGCGCAACTGCCCAGCATCTCAAACAGCTCTACAGCCATGGCGGCCGGTTATACAAGATATGTAAGAAAACATCGCCCCCCGCCCCAACCCCTCAAGGGAAACAAATGTAACGAAAATATGAGATGCTGATTCTCAGTTATAGTGAGCGGCGGTGGCGGTTGGGGTGCCAAAAAGGGATTGCTCTCGCTCGACCCTCAGCGAACGCACTTTTCCCTCTCGGAAGAGGAAGAAATGAACAACTTCATGCAGTCGATGAACGGCGAAGGCTTCACGCCCCAGGGCTCGCAGATCCAGTTCTTCATGTCCGCACCCGTCCTGCCCAACGTTACGGAACCCTTTACCCCTGGCGTAGCATTCGGCGTTGCTGGAGAGACTGCGGTGCCCAGAGAGCCGGAGCCTGTCGAGGGCTTCATCGGACAGCACTTTGGCGCCCTGTCAAATGCGGCCGTCTATCTTTCTGGCGAGGGCCTTCCAGGTGGTAGGGAGACGAAGTTGAGTGTTCCTCACTCGAGGATCTATGGCAGAGAACCCGGTGCAAAGATGGGTATCTTGGAAAACTTGGCATATGAGTTGGCTGAGGCCGGGACCATCGCGTTGGCCGGACTCAAGCATTAAAGAAGCATTGTATTCTATTGACAACGTCTCCCTTCAACATATCTAATGCCAAGCTGTATATAACCGCCTCCCAACAATATCAAGCACCATAGTGCCGTCTTCACTCCCTTTTCTTTCTCTTAGTCTCTAGACCCTCCGCCATAAGCGCCGCAACATCATCCAAGCTCGTCCCCCTCTTCCTCTTCCCAATCTTCTCCCTCCCCAGCACCCCATCCTCCGCAACGGCCCGGTACACCCCCGCGATGCCCTCAAACACCGTCCCCTCCCAGCCGCCCTCCTCCGAGAACGTCTTTGCAATCTCCTCCATCTCGCGCACCCAGCGGTACGCCTTGGGCGGCATCCCCGGCACGCCCTTCTCCGCCCGCGTCAGCATCGCGGGCACCATGTCGCGCAGCTCCCGCTTCAGCTCGTCCGCCACGCCCAGCCGGTGCGCCGTCGTGAAGGACTGCGTGACCAGCGCCGTGAAGCCCTTGGTGAGGGAGGCAAAGCACATCTTGAGGCCGCTCGCGGCGCCAATCTCGGGTGAGATTGTCCGCAGCTTTAACACGGAGGTGAGTCTCTCTCCGTCCGGCAACGATGTCAACAAGTCGGGTCCCGAGACGGGGATGCTGGGCTGATCCCACTCATCATCAGCTTCCCCTTCCTTGTCAGACTTCTTCGTCTTCAGGCTGGGAGGTCCGCCCAGGATACAAGCGTCCATGAACTTGACGGGCACCCTCGCCTTGTCAAACAGCGCCGCAATGCTCTTACACGTCGACGGCGCAACGGCATTCAGATCGACATAGTACAGCGCATCTGTACGAGAACCTCCAGATAAAGCATCGACGATTCGCTGAGCTGTGGCTTCTGCATCTCGTGGTGGCACGACTGAGAAGATGACTGAGGACTGCTGGACGAGCTCCAAGTCGGACGAGAGCAGCTCGACGCCGGCGCTGCGCGCTCTCTCAACCGTATCCTCACTAAGACGGGCGATGATCTCTTAGTAATTTTCCTCCTCTCTCACGCTTGGTGTTATGTGCAATGAGAAACGAAGCTCACCTTCGCCCTTGGCAGTTTGTGGAAACGGGGAATCCATGCGCAATTAACAGCCTCGCAATTCCAGCGCCCATGTCACCCAGAGACAGGATCCCGACCTTTGTCGGTGTTGCGCTCGAGTTTGAAGCCATTGCTTCCCAAGACTACCTTGACGGGAATAACGGAGAGGGATGGATGGGAAAGGGAAGGGAAGAGTGCTGCGCCGCCGATTTCGCATTTGACGAGTTGCAGCTATGGCGTATTAAGAGTCTGGGCTGACGAAATCTCCAGCATATCCAGATATGTATTGGGTTGTAGTGCACTCCGTACGTCGATATATCCGGGCCGCGATATCATGGCGCTTGCGACTACCCAATGGTGGATCTGCTCAGTCAATGGAACTGAACGACAATGACCTTGAAGGCCAATGGGGGCAATATTGGTTATAGATGTTACGGTCCAAAGTATGCCAAAAGACTTCGTCAAACACCAAGATTCCTGACCAAACGACACTTTATCCATTCCGGAATGACAACCTTGCTTTGATTATATATATGTATGCTTCATCTCCCATGCTTCGGATTGGCATTTTCTGTAAAACAACAAGCCCGATACTCCAGATGTCCCCGTGAATCGCATTCCCCGTTCCCCTGTACCAAGAGCGTAGCGTAATGAGCCAGGTTACTCGATCATATCAATGTCATCAGCGTTAGCGGGCGCAGCGGCCTCTCCGTTGGGCGCAGCAGCAGGTTGGGCAGCGGCTTCGGCAGCAGGCTCTGCCGCCCCGCCGTTGGCGTTGAAGTAGTCCTCCATCTCGGCATCCAGTTCTTCTTGCGTCTTCTTGGGTCGCGGCGCGTTGGTTCGTGCAGCACGGCCATCTCCTCCACCACTCCGACCACCACGAGCACCGTCCTGGTCCCTTCCACCACCCTCCCGTCGAGCACCAGGGCGACGGCCGCCACGACGGGGCGGCATGGGGCTTCGAGAGCGGCTGCCTCCCGGAACGTATCGATCGATGCCTCTGCGAGCCGCATCTTCTTCGTCGTATCTGCGATGAGGAGAGAGCGATCGAGATCTGCCGCCAGGAGCAGAGATGCGCTCCGACAGAGGCTTGCCGGGCATAACGGCAGTGTCGAATGGGTTTCGAGAAGGACCACCTGACAGTATGGTCAAACGAATGGGCTGGCCTACAAAGTCTGTTAGTTGCGAGACACAGACGCAAAACTGTTCCGAGGGTAGTGTACCGTTTGCGTTTGCGCCATCGAACTGCCTCACGGCTTCAGCGGCGTCGCTGCTGCTTTCATAAGTCACGAAAGCCACACCCTCGGACCGCCCAGACCGGTCGTAGCGAAGTTGCAGCTTGGTAATGGGACCAATTCTTCTGAAGAGTTCCTGTTGATCATGTTAGACTTGGTATTGGCCGGCTTCTCTCGTGTTCGAGGTGGCATACATCGAGATCTTCCTCGGTGAGATCGTAGTGGATGTTCTCTACTCGGAGACGGGTGCCCCGGACATCTCCGCTGAACATGACTGTTAGCTCCCTGGGATTCTTTCTTTCTGCCCTTAGCCATCGAGAGACTTACCCGCTAGGAGACTCGCGCCTGCGACGCGGTGCAGGGCCTCTTTGGCGATATGCTGAAAATCATGAGTCGGGTTCCAAGGGGGTTAGAGGAAAGTGAATAGAGGCGGGTGGTGACTGTACTGTTCTCTTCGTATCGATCATGAACCCATTCGCTGTAGCATCTCCGTCAGTACGTGTCGCAGAGCCGCTGTTGATAGTATTCCTAGAGACCAACCTATCCAGGTTTCGAGGTTCGTTCCGGAGAGACTGCAGGATCGACCCAAGAGCTCGTTAGCGAGGAATTCCACAGCGTACGACGCGCGTCAGGGTCGACAAAGACGCCGAATTTCGTGTTGACCGAAAGAGAGCGCAGAGAATTTGACGAGAGCGTGTGCCAGTCGATTCAGGAGGGAGAGGAAGGGTTCAAGTATCAACCTAGACAAAAGTGGCGGGTCAGCCTCGCGTGGCAGCTGGAAGAGACAAAAAGAGACGGCGACACGCACCTTTTTCACCCCGTCACGGGGATAGTCTTGACGGTCGCGACGACGGTCGCCGCCGCGTCGGTTTCGAGATCCATTGCTGCGCTGAGGGAGGAATTAGCGATTGTCTTGCGGCTGCGGACGAGGCTGGCGGTATCGAGGCGGATGGATCTCTGAGAGTACGGACCTTGTCTGCAATGATTTCGTCGAGGCCGCGGTCCATCTTGTCTGAAGCCATTGCGAAGATGGTAATGAAAGATGCTGTAGAGATACTTGTGACTTGCGCGGCTCTGGACTCTCCCGTAGATGGACGGTCAGAGGTGTAGGATGAAGAGGAAGGCTGGAGTCGTGACAAGCTGGAGGCAGAAATGTCAAGCTAGAAATGCGCGGCAGGACTCGATGGGGAAGTACTGCGGGTAGCGTCCAGGTACGCACATGCCTGGAACAGGGGGGCCGCTCAGCGTGTCCAGCGCTCCGGCAGCGCTCCGACAGCGCTACAGGGCCAGAGGTACCGCTACAAGCGCCACAGGTACAGGGTCAATCTTGGGTGACAGCCCTGCAGGAGCCGAATCTACAGCGTCAAGTGCCAGTGGAACAGCCGTGTTCAGGTGACAAACAATGGCATCTCAAGTGATACAACCACAGCTGGACATCTACCATAGTAGGTACCTTATATTCATACCTATCCTGAAACTCGCGATTCTGCCGTGATTCATCTCGACACTGCATGCAACCCATCTGTACCTACTGCATTATCCCGTCAGAGGTGCTACCGTCAGTACCAGGCAGTAGGTACCTAGCAGTACCGCAAGAGCAAGAAAATTTATGCCTTGGATAGGCCTAGCCTGACATAATCGGGAGACCCCTGATTTCGAGGCAATTGCTCGTATTGCCATTGATCTCTCCAGTCTGTCCTTTTCCGCACCAGCTTTGGTATTATTAGCACTACCGTTAGTGGGCGAGGGCGTTACCAGAGCACGAACGCAGATTCGCTCTGCTACGCCTGTTCTTTTCTTCTTCTTCTTCTCCTTCTCCTCTGCTCTGCCATCACCATCTCCCTGCCACAGACGAGCCAATCCCGCACCGTCGATGCCCTGACGCTCGTTTCTGCTGGGACGCACCAAGTTGCTTGGGGGTTAGTAATCAGCCAAGGCTCTGTTCCCACATGCGCCGCGCTGCGCTGCCGTCGAATTGATCGCGATAACGAAGATCCCAACGACAGAACCGCTGCCTCGCCGCCTCTCTCTGCCGCAACCACCGCACGGATACACCGACACTCCCACCGGCTTCGCTGCCATGGCTCGCCCCATGGGGTCGGTCCGCCTCAAGAAGGCCAATCCCTCGACGCTGATCCTGGGCGCCGTGCTCTGCATCTTCATCATCATCTTCCTCGTCTCGCCCTCGAGTCCCGCCTCCGCCTCCCGCCTGTCCATTGTCTCGGCCCAGCATCACCTATCGCCCCCTACCTCGCCGTACCAGAGCCCGCGGTCGGGCGCCGTCCAGGGTCCGCCGCCCGTCACGCGATACAACCTCAACAAGGTCACCGTCACGTCCGACCCCGTCCGGAACCAGGAGCACATCCTGATCCTCACGCCCATGGCCCGGTTCTACCAGGAGTACTGGGATAACCTGCTGCGCTTGAACTACCCCCACGAGCTCATCACCCTGGGCTTCATCCTGCCCAAGACGAAGGAGGGCAACCAGGCGACATCGATGTTGCAGAAGCAGATCCAAAAGACGCAAAACTATGGCCCGGAGAAGGACCGCTTCAAGAGCATCATCATTCTGCGCCAGGATTTTGACCCTGCCGTTGTATCGCAGGACGAGAGCGAGCGGCACAAGCTGGCCAACCAGAAAGCACGACGAGAGGTCATGGCCAAGGCTCGCAACTCGCTGCTCTTTACGACGCTGGGCCCGTCCACCTCGTGGGTGCTGTGGCTCGACGCCGACATTACCGAGACTGCTCCCACACTGATTCAGGATCTCGCTTCCCACGACAAGCCCATCATCGTTGCCAACTGCTTCCAAAAGTACTACGACCCCGAGAGCAAGAAGATGGCCGAGCGGCCGTACGACTTCAACAGCTGGCAGGACAGCGAGACTGCGCTCAAGATGGCGGAGCAGATGGGGCCAGATGACATCCTGCTCGAGGGCTACGCAGAAATGGCCACCTACAGAACCCTGCTTGCGTACATGAGCACGCCCGGCGGCTCCAAGGATCTGGTGGTGCCCCTCGACGGCGTCGGTGGCACCGCGTTGCTGGTCAAGGCCGACGTCCACCGCGATGGAGCCATGTTCCCTCCCTTTGCCTTTTACCATTTGATTGAGAGCGAGGGCTTTGCCAAGATGGCTAAGCGGTTAGGATGGCAGCCATACGGGCTTCCCAACTACAAAGTACGTTACCAGCCCCTTACCCTTGGGGTCCCTATCAAAGCTAACATGAGATGTCCCAGGTCTATCATTATAATGAATAAATCGGATATTTATACCCAAATCTTCATTTCTCTTCTTCCATAAGCTGATAGGGAGGGCTTTTCCCCTGTCGCTTCCCTATCATTACGGATACGACTTTGCTGTTGGGCTGAGCCTCGACGGCGTCAGGGGCTGGGGAGGAGAAGACGGAGGATAACCGTCCTATACACGTCTCTCCCTTGCTACAACGCTTGTTGAAACTCGATTTAAAAGATATTTGGGGTGTCTTGGGTAGGAAGTCACGGCAGGCAGGCAAGGTCAGGCACGGCACGGCGCGGTGCGGCGCGGGCGTTTTCTTCTCTCGTTGGAAGCATCTATTCCACCACCACCTCTTCAACCTCTCTGGCATGTGAATCTCATATATAGAAAAGCCCCCCCTTTCTCCCCCAATGTTTCTTCATTATTTCCTATTTTTTTTTTTAACATCTACAATTGTCAAACTGGCATGCATCAGCTGGCAGGACTGGTCCAGAAGCAAAAAAAAGGGGGCGGCGATGATGTGATGCGGTGGCTGTTCTTTGTATTTTACCACCTATAGGTAGTGTCTATTTAGTACATGTTTCTTCGGGATGGTGGCTGGGCGGTGGTAGAGCAATGATTATCACAGACGAATTGGAATAGAAGGAATGAATCGATGCGAATGAAAATGGTTTCTGCATGACATTGGTTGACAAGTGAATCCCCTTGTTCCATCTCGTGCTCGTGTTTGTCGTACTGTCACATTTATGTCTTTAGATTGTCCCAAGCCAGCCAGTTCATCATGATACCTTACCCAACAGTCAACGCACAGCCCATGGTTAACATATAAACACCAAAACCGTACCAAAATACCACAAATAACCAACCAAATCTGCCCAAACCCCCCCTCATGTCCCCTCCCCCCTCCATTATCAGTCCCCTCAAGGCCCATCATACCTCCCCTCCGCCTCCGAACACCAATACTCAACCAGCTTCCTCGTCCCCAAGACGTCCCCGCCCCTCAGCAGCGCCGCCACGTCCACGTTGAGCGGGCTGTCCGTCTCGGGATACCCCAGCAGCATGCGCACGGCGCGCACGCACTGCAGCACGCTGTACGTCGGCGTCCACTTGTCCTTGAGCAGGTCGAGGCAGATCTCGCCCGACTGCAGCGCAATGTTGGGGTGCACAATGGGCGTGACGAAGCGCATCTTGGGCGGCTGGAGGGGGTACTGCGGCGGTATCTGGATGTGCAGGAGCCAGCGGCCTTCTATTTATCACACACACACACACGCAAGTCAGCACAGGTTTGATCTCTTTAGTATAGAAGGAGTAGAGAGAGAAAAGAAAGAAAGGAAAGAAAAGAAGGAAATTGCGCACCGTCATAGCCGGATCCGATATCCCGCCCGTTAATCACAGCCTCCCACTCGAACAAATCATCCTCGTTGATCGGGCCGAGCCTTTCCACGCCCTTTTCGTCCTTGCGCTCTTTGCGCCAGGATTCGAGCTCTTTGATGAGGCGCTTCGCTCCGCTTCTTGCGCTCGACATTTTGTTTCCTTGTCTTGACTTCTTTATTTCCGTTTCGTTTCTCGTTTGACGGAAAGGGAAGGCTTGGTCGCAGATAGGTAGTAGGTGTTCGCAATCGAGTAAGGTAGTCAACTGACTATAACAAAACGTAGTTGGGTGTAAATAGAAGGAAGGGGGAAAAGGGTATCGCTTCGCTGGTAGATGTTAAAGGGAACAAGAACAAGAACAAGAGCAAGAAGAGAGAGAAGGAAAAAAACGCGCGATCCTGCGGATGGATGCTGTAGCTCAGATAGAGTAGTATTACGGGTAATGGGGAAATTTGGGAGGGAGCAAGAATAATAAACAACGAGCGAGGCTGGAGATGGGAGGGAGCTGAAAGGCAGGGATTAGTAGATGTCAGTCGCGCATGTCACCCACAGCCGCGGTACAGCACACCGGTTAGTCAGCAGGCTGGACAGGAACAGCTGAAGAGGGAGGTAATATCAAGACTCAGGATCCAAGCTTAGGGGTTAAGATTCTTTCAATTTCATCAGTTTCATATAGAAACATAAGGCTATTCAAAATTAGTCATGCCTATCAACAAATATGACTGAAAATACAATTCCAGTTTCGTTATTTAGTCCTAGCTGTAGCAAAGTTCTGATAAATGAGCACCACCATAAAAACAGCTGTTAAGCCTTGTCTTGCCGCGCCGACTTCAAGCAATAACGACTTCTTCGTAATGTCATAACGTCTAGAAACAGATATATTCATCATAATGATACGGGCCTACACACAATCAAACTTTTGCCATGAATCAGACGAAATCAACGCGCATCATCCCTCTTCTTCCTCCGCACCCCCGACGACGCCCCTGACCCAGTCGTCGTCCTGCTCGACACCGTCTTCCTTGACGACACAGACTCGGGCTTCCTTCTCGATGCTGACCGCGTGCGGGACGACGCTGGCTCGGGCCCGGTGGGAGATTCGGGCTCCACCTCGACGACAATCTCCTCCCGGCCCTTGGCGGCTCGGCTCGACGTCTCTTGCACCAACGCCAGTTCCTCGCTGGTCTCGTCGGAGCTTTGCCTCCTAGACGAATCCCGTCGGCTCCATTCAGCCGACTCGGGCCTGCCACGGCGCGACAGGGAACTCAGGTCAGACTGGCCAGAGCTGTGTCGCTTGGGCGCAGAAGCGGAACCGCGAGGCCCAGTCGTCAGGTACTGAAAGGGATCCTTCGACGAGTCCTCGTGGATGCTCGATGGCCGAGACGTAGAGCTGCCAGACTTTGGCCGGCGCGAGCTGGAGTGCGGGGGGAAGTAGCCCATCTGCGGCGATGCCTCGTCTTCTTCCACCGCGTCGCTTCCGGAAGGCTGTCTTGACAAGGAGCCGGAGCCAGAAGCCAAGCGTGAAGAAGAGCTTCCCAGTCGAGCCATGGACCCAAACTGGGCAAGCGGTATGGCCACACGCTCCTCGCGCCGCCTGCGGTTCCTGCGCTCCTCCGCCTCCATGCGCTTCTGCCTCCGTTCCAGGGCCGCAATCTCCTCCTTGCTGAGCCGTACGTCGGACCGGCCCTTTGCCTGCGCCTTTTCTATCCGGTAGAGCGCCTTTTGCACCAAGGCCTCCTCGCGTTCGTCAACATATCCCTCGTCTGAGTAGTCCTCGTCGTAGCTGTCCCCAGACGAACTGTCATCTTCATCCTCCGTATCGTAGCGGCGGCGGTCGCGGCGCGCAAGGCCGCCCTCTCCAGTCTCCCCATCCTCGTCGGAGGCCAACTCCTCCACCCTACCTCCATATTGCGCGACATCCCCACTTGTTTCCCTCCGCCCGCGCCGCGATGGTCTTCCCCATTGGGGCGCAAATTTGGGAGCTCGCGGCCGACCATTTAGACCGCCTCCCCGGAAAAAGCCTCATCGATAGGCTTGTCCATGAAACTCGCGTGACCCTAAGAGTCGGTTAGCAAGGGCATGGCCATTGGATGGATGGATGGATGGCTGTCTCGGGAATGCCACTTACAAGAATACTCGCGCCGCTCGCTCCAATGAGCCAGAGCAGGGTCGAGAACGGAGAGGAAATGAGACCGATGGGGATGCTGATAACCAAGAGACCCGTCCAGAGCTGCGAGGTGGTGGCCCTGAAGGTTCCAATCTCGAGATCGCGCCCGTCCAGCTTGCTGATGCAGAACATGCCCGACACCACAAAGATGATATCAAAGAGGAGCAGCCAGTTGGTCAGCAGAGCGTAGACGCTGAGCATGAGGAAGACGACGGCATAGTTGCTGGAGAAGTGGCTCAGGTTGTAGTTGACGCGCGACTGCACCTCGCCAAAGTTGGCGGGCTTGGACAGGCGCTTGAAGTCGAAGAACTCGGAGATGGGCCGCAGGTTGGAGAAGCGACCGCTCAGAGGTCCGGCGCGCAGGCCCTGGAAGCGCTCTCCCAGGTTGAGGCGGGACGTGATGAGGTCGAGGGGGATCTGGATGCGAGACATTTTGGACAGATGTTTGTTTCTGTTCCTTGTCGTGGTTTTGCTGAAGCGCCGAGGCGACTGTTTATATGCGGAAGGTCTGGAGATGGCTGAGCCGAGCTGATGAACCGTATGTTGCTTGTTGTCTGTCCGCGAGGGTTCACGGAGGATTCAGGCAACAGCGACGGGGAGATGCCACGGTAAGCCGACAGCAGACGGGCTTCCTACTGCGTAGTAGGTGACGAGATGCAAGGAGGAGGTCGAACACGCAGCTAGACGAAAAAGAGAGGACCCAATCAGCAAGCGATGCTACTAAGACGCGATCCGCGTGGAGGCACTCCGTTGAGAGCGAGGCTTGCGCGGCCGGGTACGCAGTCCCAACAGCCGCCGGATCTGAATGCGTTCGGAGGGGGGCGAAGCCGGCCGTCCGCAGTCAATCGAGCAATTTGGAACAGGAGGCACTTGATGCAGCCTCTTGAGCGGGATAGGAGACAAGAAGACGTACCAGAGTCGGAAGAAAGGCGACCGGATGGACTCGAAGCTGTGCAGAAGCGCGAGGTTTTGTTGGCAAAAGGAGAAGAAAGGTGTCGATCGCTGTATGTCGAACTTTTTTTAATTGGCGTGTGGTTTTAGAGTTCCAGGTTCGGAAGTTCCTGGATGGGATCCAAAGCCAGGGGGGGTCCGCAAACGAAGTAATAATACGTGGCCGATGCAGAGAACCAGACAATCTGGACAGTGAGAAAACGGGCGGGATTCGGGTGCCTCAGCCACCAACCCAGACACCCGCACTGGGGACTTGTTTCAGGGCCTATTTTTGGGCCAATTTCCCAGCCTAGAGCATCACATGTGAAAAGAGGTTAGAAGTGCTCAGCTTTTGCCATTGAAGCGTGATGCTTGATGATTGATGAGACAAAAGAACATCTTCCCATCTGCCACAACGAGTTCTTGATTCAAGATTCGCGCACCAATCTGCTTCTCTTTCTTCACCTCCGTCTCCCTGCTGCTTCTTCTTCTGTTTCTTCTCTGTAGCAGTAATACGTACCTGGAATTGCCGGGCCCCCTCAACCCCTCCTCAGGAAGCGCAGACCGCCACCTGATGGGGATTTCCGTCGCCGTGTCTTCTCTCTGTCTCTCTCCTCCTCAGGTCCGAGGCCTCTGTGAAGGGGCAAAGTAAAGAAGAGACAGACCAAAGTAGTGAAGTAAGGAAAGAGAGGGAAGAGGAAAAAAAAAAGGAGAAAGAGAAGCGGAAGAAAAGGAAAGAAAAAAAAGAAGAAACCAGCGGAGGAGGGAACGGGCGTGACTGACTGCAGCCGTGGACCATCGGGCACCTACAGACAAGTAGGTAAAGAGACCGCCGCTCATTGACACCGGGATTTCCCCCGTCGTTTTCGCTTATTACTGTAGGTAGGCCTGTAAATTGCTGCTGCTGCTGCTGCTGCTGCTGCGCTGCAACAAATTGAACTCTCTAGGTCATCTTTTTACCCACTCTGCTGCAGCTCCAGGTCACCGCTCTCTGGCTCGAGGCCCGGCGAATGAGAATCTCAGACCAGTCATCATACAGAAATCGACGATTACTGTAGGGATCGAGTTGGAGTGATACTAACACGAGTTACTTTTCTGCTGATTGGCACCTCCATTATGCTCATCCGGGTGGTCTACGGAGTAGGTAGTACTACATTGACTGAGACAATCGAGGACGGCACCAGTCGTTGGTCCGAGATCTTGTACGAAGTACACCGACGATGCGGTGAGCGCCTACACCAAGCTCCCTCTGCTAGTACTTACTACATGTACTCTTCTCATCAGGCAGCCTTCTTGAAACATCGTCGTGGTGAATAAGGTATTTGCTGGATGAGCCTTCATCCCCAAAGGTCAAGGTATCGCCATTTATCCGGCCACTGCCCCATCCCGCACGTCCTGCTTATTATATCCCATGCGAACGTGTCGCCCATGCAATGGTGGGAGCACGAACCCTCCCCAGTTCGGGCACCCACCATCAAAGCATGAATACCTAATGAGAAGACGCACCTCATTTGCCTGCTTATCATCTCGTCAATCCTCGACTCCAGCAAGGGATGCAGAAACTGGGCCCAGATACTTTACAATGCTTCTTGTATTTGATCGACAAATACTAGTGTTTTGAGGGGACCATCGGATATGACATCCGCTTCATGTGTCCGGAGGACGCCTTCATCTCCACCCATCCTTATCATTCTCATAGAACGCACTCGGGTGCTCCGGTAGTATTATACAACTCGTCTATTACGCATACAGAGTAGAAAGAAAAAGGTGTAACCCAACGCACAACCAGTTGATGCTCTCACTGTGCCAGACCTGCCGTTCAAAGATGGGGTATATGTCGCAAACAAACAAAAGAGAAAAGCAAGAAACAAACTGGGTGAAACGGACAAAGAAAACAAAAGAGGGGTTGAAGAATGCATCAAGAGGGTACCCGGCCAGCTTAGACTTCGTAGAAATAGTCCTCGTCCAGTCCCTCTCGACTGGGCACGATGCCGCCTCCAAGAGGGACTTCGTCCATCCTCACATTGAGCAGCCGAATCTTTAGCCCGTATCCGCAGACCAGATTGACCAGCTTGCTCGTCTCGGCCGTGATGGGCGCCTGGTTCAAAATCATCAACATGCCGTCTAGCCACTCCGAGGCCACGCTATGGCTCGTCGGCCAGAGGGACAGGATGGGCTGTTCCTTTGCGTCTCCGCCAGCAGCTCCGTCGGCTGGGCTCACGAAGCTGTATATCGTAATCTTGGTCGTCGACTTTTCTGCACCGCCGGCCAGGTTTTGAATCGTCGCACCGCTGGCCGTCGTCTTGGAGTCGTCGTTGGACGCGGAGACGTTGGACACCACGGAGCTGATGGTTGTGAGATCAATCTTCTCCGACAGACTGTTCAGGCCCGGATCTTGCGCCATCTGCTCCTCAAAGTCGGTATAGTGCAAGAAGCGGCGATTGTGCGACAACTTGGCGAATCTCCAGGGCTTGTTCTCCCCCGTCTCATCTCTCTGTGACGCTGGCCGATGGAACCAAGCGCCTTGGAGAAGGCACCGCACTCTCTGCTCCTTGACAAACTGCAGAGCTTCCTGCTTCAAAACGTCCCGCACCTGGTGAAGATGCTTGCCCCAGGTTTCCTCAAAGGACATCTCAAGCAGGTCCATCTGCAGCTCCCGAAGTCTAGCTACATCGTACTCCAGTAGATCGTCTTCCACCTCTGCAATGTCGCAAGTTCGAGGACACTGGCCGGCAACCCGCTCTATCAGGATGCGCACCAGCTCCGCCACCTTGTCAAAGTCTTCGGCTACGGCACCTGTGGCTTTCCAGATGCGAAAGAAGCTGTGGAGCCCGGCCGAGTGCAGACGAGGCCACTGCAGCAGCAGAGGCCGAAACACCCGGTCGTAGTCTTTGGTCTCGACTCCCTGGTATCCCTTGGTGTCCTCCACGTCTGCCTTGTCCACATCAAAGTGCTCGTAGAGCATCATCGTCACAGCCAAGCTCGCTCGGGCTACGGGGCACCGCTCATGCATCGGCCTCGAGGCTTGCTCCAACAGCAGCTTCTGGAACCGGTCCTCATGTTTGCGCACGTAGTCTGTCAGATCCATCAGGCCCAGATATCCAGCCACGTCAAAGTCCTGCGCGGGGCTCTCCGTCTCGAAGCCAAGCCTCCTCCATTTCTCAGGACTGTGCTTCCTATCCTGCCTCGTGGCTGTCGTGTCGCCCGATCCCTCTCTGACATGGCCGTTGGTCGTGGATCGGTCTGGCGCGCTCGAAAGGTGCAGGCTCTTGAGCGAGCGTCTGTGTTCGGGTCGCTCCAAATCCACCCGCACGTCTCTCCACTTCCGGATGATGACCTTGGTCAGGTTCTGAAACTCCATGGCAGGGTGCGCCAGGTCCTGCAGCCCGGTGCCCTGCATCAGCTTGTAAACCGCTCTGATCAGGCCAAGGTCTTGTAGCCGCTTCATGAGCTTGGGCCACTCCTCGCCAGCGGCCTTGCCCGTCCCGCTGGCCATGACGCTCTTGTTCGAGAGCGAGTCCCGGATCAGCGCGTTGACCAGCATGAGCGCATTGGCACAGAGGGCGTGGTCGGCGCTGTTGAGCTGCTGCACGACGACGTCGAAGAACTGCGGGTACACGGCGACGGCCGGCTTGAGCGCCCGGAAGCCAAACGCTGCCGCTCCCTGATCGCGGCTCGGAGGCTCGGGGCCGCTCGACTGCGAATGCCCGACCAGGGCGACGAGAATCGACATTGCGCCCCGAAGGATGTTAACCAGGGGGTTCGTGACGATGAGTTCCACCACGCGCTCGACCAATTCGCTGGCCGTCGGGCCCTCGAAGATGTCCCATCCCATGTCGACCTCGAGCAGCCTCGTCAGGCTCTGCAGCGCATAGGCCAGCGTGTTGCCGCCGGAGCTCATGATGAGGCGGCGCAGGATGACGAGGCCGCCGGAGGAGATGAAGACGTCGGCGAAGGAGGGGTCGTTGATGGACGACTGCAGCTTGAAGACGGCCATCTTACGGGCCGCATCTTCGGGGCTCGCCAAGCGAGAGAGAAGCGCGGGGATGTCTGCTTGGTCCATGGCGCAGATTCGGGGAGGTTTATCTGGGGAAGACGAAGAGGGGGAGGAGGAGGAGGAGGAGACAAGACAAGAGGGACAGGAGAGAAGAAGATCGGATTCACCAAACGCACGTGTCTTGGTGATGGTGCGACGATGATGTAGTATGCATTGCTCTGCTGCTGGCTGGCCGCAAGATGTTCGCAAGCGAGTGTATGATCCGGGGGAGAATCAGCGACTCGCGACGGCCGCTCGAGGACGGTGAAAAGGCTCTGGCGAGGCGTCGAGGCTCTCCAGCGTCAGGGGATATGATTAAAGGCATGGCCCAATCGAGCCTAGCCCTGTGATGGCTTTCTGCAGGTCCCCCAGCTTAGTGCCACTTGCCGCAAGGCGCGCGTCGGGCGCGTTTCTGCAGCAGCCCCTTCCAAAAGCGATGGAGCGGGTAATACGGCAGGCGCTGTAAGTCGGTGCATTTGTGTAAGGTAGGTAGACGGTGAGGGAAGACTTGAGCTTGATGTACCTAGCCAGTGATAGATAATAGTAGTATCTGAGCTGCTATATAACAGTTATAACAGTTTGCATGTGATTAATGCTTAAAGTACAGTCTGTTGGTGATTATAAATTCTGTTGCCCGAATCCTGGAGTCGATATCCAGGAACAACAAGCTTCCAGTGCATAGCACCTTACTCGTACAGGCAATCTGCGGCTGATTCCAGGTGGGTCGAACAACTTCCACATGGGAACACCCCCTTCAGCCACGCACGTGACTCAGCCTCGCCTCCCCATGTCTGTGGCGTAATGATCCGAGCTTCTTTAGCCCATGGATTCTTTCCAATCAACCCATCAAGCCAGAAAATCCCCCATATCATCACCATCACCAATCGAACCAAACCGAACAAAGACGATTTAAAAAAAAACATACAAAACCTATTACAACCGAATTCTTCACATCTACATACGCAACCATGGCCAATTTCCTCGCGTCCATCTTCGGCACCGAGCTCGACAAAGTCAACTGCTCCTTCTACTTCAAAATCGGCGCCTGCCGCCACGGCGACCGCTGCTCGCGCAAGCACGTCAAGCCCTCGTACAGCCAAACCATCCTCATGCCCAACCTGTACCAGAACCCGGCCTACGACCCCAAGAACAGGATGAACGCCTCGCAGCTGCAGAACCACTTTGACGCCTTTTACGAGGACATTTGGTGCGAGCTGTGCAAGTACGGCGAGCTCGAGGAACTCGTCGTCTGCGACAACAACAATGACCGTACGTTTTTTTTTCCCTTCCTTCCTTCCTCCCTCCCATTCTCCCTCTCTCTCTCTCTCTCTCTCTCTCTCTCTCACTTGACAAGTTTTCATGGCAATGGAAATGCTAACGCGATGGTTTTCCGCAGACCTCATCGGCAACGTCTACGCCCGCTTCAAATACGAAGACTCCGCCTCCGCCGCCTGCGAGGCCCTCAACAGCCGCTGGTACGCCGCCCGCCCCATCTACTGCGAGCTCTCCCCCGTCACCGACTTCCGCGAGGCCTGCTGCCGCCTCAACTCGGGCGAGGGCTGCGTCCGCGGCGGCTTCTGCAACTTCATCCACCGCAAGAACCCCTCCGAGGAGCTCGACCGCGAGCTCACCCTCAGCACCAAGAAGTGGCTCAAGATGCGCGGCCGCGACGAACGCAGCCAGAGCAGGTCGCCCACCCCCGAGCCCAGCAGGAGGAGGTTCTGAAATGCGATTGTCGAGAGTGATCAAATATTGAGAGGAAGAAAAGAATGAAAGGGAGAAGAGCAAGATTTACGCGCGTTTTGATGTGTTTTCATGCATTTGTTTTGGGATTCAGGGATAATTAGGGACATGTATACTCTTGCGCTCGAGGTTTGGCGTTCCGGTGGGCATCTTGTCATCTTGTAGAGCAAGGGTAATTCGAAAGTCGTCACAGTCAAAAGAGGTCTACAATTTGTACCAAGTAGGTATCGAGTATTCTACAAAGAAACCAAAAGATCTGATACGACATAATTGATATGTATATATATATAACATGCCAGCCCTCCCGCCGTTTGCAGTCCCGTCGCATAATGTATGTCCGTGTTGAAACCCAAGAAACCTGCTCCCGCAAACGGAAAATCAAGCACAATGCGTGATGAAGCGCCCATGTATATCGTAGCCTGGCCAGATGTTTGCGCCGTTACTCTGTCAGGATATTTTCCTACCCGCCTAGCCAATGATGAAACCCCCCAGATTTTCGTGCTTTACACAACCTCCTTTTTCATCCAAGCGAAACCATTACTTTACAGCAGGTCACCACCATCAGCCGGCAGGTCCTTCTTCATATCCTGGGCAAAGTCGATCAAGGGCCCTTCTGCCGGCTTGCCCGTCGCGGCGAGCATGCGCTCGATCTCGTCTGGTGACTTGGCGGCCGGTGCGGGAGCTTCATCGTTGCCAAAGTCAATCAGGCTGTCCTCCCCTTTGGGCTTTTCGGCCACAGGCTCCGCAGGCTGAGCGGGCCCCTGGGTCACCTTGGACGAAGATGCTGGCGGTGGAATCGCAGGCCCCTTGTTCAATGTCTGACCGGCCACGATGGGGTAAATGGCGAGTATCTGCTCCGTCTGCTTCTCGGGAGGTGCTGTAGGATCGCTGTGGGGTGTTAGCTGCTTGACCGAAGCAAAGGTGTTCAACTTGCGAGGACCACATTAGACATACATGTTGGCATTGATGATCCACTCCAAACTTTCCTCGCCTTCCTCAGGCTCTCCAGGCCCGCTCCTAACCGCTCGGAAGAGCCGCGGAACCCATTCGATATTCTCCTGGGCCCTGAGGGCAGCCTCCTCGCGCTGCCGGTCCTCAATCTTTGTCTTTTCGTCCGTGGCTAGCTCGTGGTTGCGCTCCTTGACAGCCTTGGCCGTCTTTTCCCACAGTCGCTGGGATTCCCGCTCTTCCTGCTCCGAGATGGGCCGTGAGAGCGGCGGGCTTGGCTTTGCCTTGTGGGCATCGAAGAACATTTCTCGTTGGCCCGTCTATGATTTGTCAAGGTCAGCAAAGTTGCGCCAATATCCAAGCATGAGCAACTCACCCTCATGTCCTTGATGAACATCTCCTCGCTCCAGAGACCGGAAAGCTCATACAGCACTTCGCCGGTGCTTTCCCTCTTGATGACACCGCCAATAGCATTGTAGGTGCCTCCAACCCAGCCTTTTGTTTTGAAGTCAATGTCGGCGGTCAGATCGAGCTCGGGACACCGTACGAAGCTATGGTCGCCAAGCTCGTACTTCATCTTGCCGAATAGGATTCCTCGCGCATACATGTTGGGCTGTGTCAAGATGCTGTGCCAATGTTAGCAGCCAGAACTGCCGCGTCGACCACAGTGGAGGGGGGTGTTTGACTGACTATTGCTCTCCTTTGGCCTTGTTGCTGCCCCGATTCAGGATGGAGAGGAAAGCAATGCCTTCCATCAAACTGGCAGCAGAGTTGCCCAGGAATCTACTTCGGGGCTTGAGCGTTCCGTCAATTCGAATGTGGTGATGGGGCGCCATGTAAAAGTAACTCGACTTGGGAGGGTGATGTGAGGTCTGCTCGGAGATGTAGTAGGCGCGCTTGTTGTCTTCAAGGTCCCAGTAGCAGGAGAAGATCTCGCCCAGGATCGGATTCAGCGGCTTCTTGACTCCCCTAGTGCTCGATTAGCCAGATGCACCTCCTTATGCCGGAACGAACGGGGCACGTACGGTGGCCGGATGTGCCAGCCGCTCAAGTAAAACTTGACAACGGATACGAATCGCTCGGTCGGGTCGTCGATGGTGGGGATGTGCAGGAGCATCTCGGGATGGCACATGAAGCTGCAAGCCGGTCAGCACAGGTGCCAAGGGGAACGGTAGCCAGCAGGACAAGTCGGCTGCGGAATGCATACTTTGTTATCCTCTCCAGCATGCTTCGGGGCTCGAGAATAAAGGTAGGCAGGACGACGCGACTGAGGTCCGCGCCGGGGCGCAGTTGGGAAATGATGTGCGAGAGAACTGCAGCGCTGGTGAGCCTGACGAACTCTTTCCTTGTTCCATTTCCACCATATTCCTCATCCTCCTGCTTTTTTCTCTCTGATACTCCGGCGGGCGATGTCGGCGAGGCAAGGCAGCAGCATCATAAGCCGAGCCCAGCACCCCGATGACATCGTCATGCCAAGCGTCATCTTCCCCCTCCCCCGCCATTCTGGTGTTGCGCAGCTTACCATTGCCCTGATCCGGCTCCATCACCTGGGTATCGTCATCGTTGTCGATCTTGCCTTCGTCGACGGAGGATCGATTGCCTGCGGGTTGCGCGAACCAGTTGGTTAACATTTTGCAAAAGCCGGAGTAGGTTTTTTTTTTTTGTCTTGCGCCAAAGGTAAGGTAGTTGAAAGGTGCAGGTCGCCAAGTGCCGAGTCAACGCCTCGAGCTCAGCTAAGGCGAGGTAGGGTGTAGGTAGGTAGGTAGGTAGGTAGTAATAGGGTGACGGAAGGGAGGACGAAGATGAGTGGGCGTTGTAGGGCTAGTCTCCCGGATAGGGAAAGGTAAAAAGCTGGAGAATGGAAACCGAAAAAAGGGTCTCTTTTGATCTCTGTGCCTTGCACTCGTCGTCTCCTAGACAGGGGCCGGGTATAAGGGTAAAAGGGCAAAGAGGAAGAGTGAGACGAAGTCATCCAGGTGTGAAAGGGCCGAAGCGGAAGGGGGGGGGCAAAAGGGCGAGACTCACTGCCAGCCGTCGAGGCTCTGCTCCTCCGGGGGTGGGCTAGCACGGACGAGAGCCCCATGGCCCGAAATTAAGCAGTAGGTAAGGGTAGCTGTTGAGCTTTGGGGGGTGAAAAGACAACTGCAGGCAGAACAATTCCAGAGGCTGGCGGCGCCCCTCTGTCTTGCCAGTAGTAATGAGAAGCGCAGGGAATTAAGAGAGTAAGCTGAGCAGAGGCCAGGACGGGAGAAAGTAGGGCTCGTATATGAGATGAGACGCTGTCGCAGCAGCCGCGGTATGCAAATTCCAGAAGGAGGCTATTGCAGGTCAGAAACAGGCCGAATCGCCAACAAGTCCGAGAATGTCTGCTCGGGGCTTGTATCCGTGCTGTCGGGTGGGCGCAAAGCAAGCAGCTTTAAAGAGGGTGGCGGAGCGGTTAACTATGGATTGGGGGAGGACTGACGTAGGTTGTGCTGGGGGGGGCGGGCGTGGGCTTTAGAGGTTTTCGAGGTCCGTCGGCTGCCGTGGGAACGATCAGGTAATAGTCAAGTGAGGCTTTGCAGGTGGGAACGGCGAAGGGGGCGGAATGACCAGGTTCGAGTAGGTGAGGTGAGGTATGGGCTCCGAGTCCGCGGGTCCGGGAGAGTGAGTGAGTGAGGAAGCGCTTAGTAGCAGATAGAGCGAGAAGAAGAGGGAAGCGAAGAGAAGTGAGGGCAGGAAAACGAAGCGGAGGAAGAGAGAGAGACGAGAAGCTGCCTATGTACACCGAGCTACGCCCTATAAAGGTACCTTCCTTGGTTGAGAACCAGGGCAGGGTGCCTCTTCTCTCAAGGTTCCAGCCGTGCTACAGTACCTACAGTACATGCAGAAGCCAAAGTAGCCGGTGAGTGATGAGCTCCAGCTGTTCTACTGCAACAGTTTGCTAACAAGATGTATTAGCATTTCTACTTTATTGGCCTGCAGGGGATGCTGGAGCCGGCGGCTTCATCCAGATATGTACGAGGGATCGGAACGTCGACAGCAGATCGGAGAGACCTGTCAGGGTCTTTGCAGTCTGCACACCTACAAGGACTCTAGTATCAACCACCACCAGTAACCAACCAACCGAACACAGATTGAGGCCCCTCTGATGATGCCACGAGGGCCAGACAATGGGCGGCGGCAAAAAGTCGCAGCCAGGACAAACAAACAGGTTGATCGAGAGCCAAGCCACATGTCAATACTATTCCACGCCTTACAACAAAAGTATCCAGTACCTGGAGCAAAAACTGCAGTGTCACATGCAAATTACGTACTTTCTACATACGTAGCTCCGCGATCCCCCGATGACGTTGCCGCTAGAGCTTTGTCACAAGCGCAAAAAAAAAAAAAAAAAAGAAAATGAGACAAATCAGCTTTGCTGGATCTGGTCGGAGCGACGAATCAACTCTTTTTGGGTGCTGGAAATCTTGATTACCTTATCTCAGCGGAACAAACTCCTGCAGATTCAAGTTTATGGACACACGGCAGCCATTGTCGCGAAACAGTTTTACTTGAAAAACTGCATGCATTGCATCTGCTGTCGAGTACTTGACTACTTCTGCTGTTAAAAGTACTACCTATGTAGGTACCTAGTAGGTATGAGGTAGGTAAGGTACCTTACTATTGCCTGCTAATGCGGCGCCATACAACCACAGCTCCTCCCAGATGCAGCATCGTGCCAATGTACCTACATGACCGCCCCTATGGCTGCATCATCCGCATCTCAACAAAGAACACAACGCGATGCTACTGTACCCCCATCAGCGGGTAGACAAAGATACCGTTACAGAGTGCTAGTATTGCCCTCTGTATGATTCCATGTCCTTTATACCCTGCCCCCCTAATAGCAGTTCAGCAGCAAAACATCAGCAGTCCAGACAAGCCCATCAGCCGCCAACAGAGAGAATCATCATTGGATCTTACAAGCACCTACTTACCGGATAACCGCGACAGCGCACAATATACCTAGCTCCCCCCAACAAAACCCTCGACCCCCCAAGTATCCCGACCTCTTTTTCTTCCTCGCCTTACATGTGATTCTCCCCTTATCCATCGATTCTTCATAGCTCGCACTCCAAACAGCAAGCAGGTGAATCTTCTTCGTACGTAAGGGCATGCAGTAATAAGACGAAAAGAGAGGAAAAGGGACGAGGACCCCCCTTTCGGCCACGGAACTCTCGCCGAGCCGCCGGTCCCCCAGCATTCGAAGCAGGCTTCTCGGAGTCGCTATAAACTCCGCCGACTCGTTCTTCTCGAAAAACATTGTGCCCCAAACGAGATAGAAGGTGCCTTAGCCTTGTGTAAAACGTACCACGCCAGCCCGCCGCTCCCGAAGTCAATGCCATTCACAACACATGAACATGCATCACATACAGCTTGCCGCCACAGAGACTCCATCTATCTAGTTGGCCTAACAAACCAATTTCTCAGAATCGGGAAAAGATACCTCGGAAAAGCAACATATATGTTTCCTGACTTGTTTCCTCCTGCACAAGATGGTGAGGGAAGATTTAGGAAAAATCGCCACCTGCGGTTTGTTCCGAGCTGACTACGCCGTACCTAGCATCATACCCCGTCTTCCGGTTGACGGAGAACCCCCAACTGCCGGGGCAGGGAACCTCTTTCTATACAAGGGGGGAATGGATGTGGCGCTCTCACAAGGCCGTCGACCTGCCGATGCATGTCTTGTAGTCAGTCACTGCTACATATAGAATCCCTGATCGTGGCATCTCAACCGTTCCCATTCTTCTAGTTTGCCTGCACCCTTCTTTCGAAAAGCATACAGATCTAAACAAAGGACAAGACCCAACATAGAAAGAAAGATCTCTAGATATACACAACATCCTAGAGCCATCAAGGCTGGACCTATGCCGCACTTTAACAGGAGACGATGTGGGAATATGGGTGTTAAAACAGGGGGTGGTGGTGGTGGTAATTCTCGAGGCGCTCTCAGCCAATGCTTCGCAAGACAACAAAGAAAAATACATCCATCGCTAAATCCGACTCTGCTCTTTCTTTTTTTCTTTTTTCAATATCAGATCAATGCTCTCGCCCTTCCTTTTTCCTTCATCTTGGGTATTCTCATATGCGCTTCCCCCCTCGCCTGAAGCGTCGGGCTGCTTTGCTCTGACCGGTTGATAACCTGACCTGACCAATGGCTGTCTTCTTTTTCTTACGATCAACATCCTCGGCATCTCTCACTTGTGGCTCCTCTTGCGTGGCGTATCTGGCCCCTATTCCGCCCTTTCAACCTCCTCACGGCCTTAGATCACAATGCCAACAATGGGCCCCAAACTCCAGTACGCCAGAGGCAGTTACGCCAGAGAGCACGGTTGAGAACATGCCGCTCAAATGGATTGCAGACTGTAGGCAAGGCGGCTGGCAGTCGCGGCGCAGCCACTGATCATGCACATCATTGTCGAAAAATGGGAAGTTTCCATGTACGTATCCGCATCAACGGCTGTCCCTTCATTTCATTCGTGAGATTCTCGAAGAACCCTTGATGGGGGCTGGAAGAACTTGAGCGAGACGGTCCCGGTCTATCTTCATTGTCAGCAACTACTCAATTGCGCACTCCATGGGGGGAGTCACAAGAAAAATAGGATGGGACTGAAAGAAATATTTCTTGTGAGTGCAGAGAGCTTACCTTCTTCGGTCTCAAACATGATGGAGATGTCGTCGTGCTCGCCCGGTAGGTCCGGAAGATCCAGGCAGACAAAGGCCATGTCATCGTAGTCCCCGTCCTTGTCGGCCGGCAGCCGCGGCAGCGGAAACTTGGCATCGACGAACCGAATACCCGACTTGCTGCCTCTGTGGAAGGCCTCGTACAGATCAGTGCCCTTGAGCACGAAATTCATGCAGTGACCGTGGCTAAAGTCCTCAAAGAACGCCAACAGCTGCAGCTGCTTGTCCTCCTGCTTAATGACCTGGATCCTGGTGTATCCCGCCTCCCACTTCTTGTGAATGGGCACAACCATGCGACGCCGCGCAATGGCAAACGTGACCGCCAGCGCGTCGAAAATGACCTCGAAGCCAAAGACTGCGTACTGGAAGGCGTGGAGGTCCTTGAGGTTGTTGAACTCGATGGACCGGATCGTCTGGTTCTGCCTGATGAGCTGCAGCGAGTCGTACATGTTCCGCGGCACGTCCTTGCCCACCTGCGACTCGGCAATGGCAATCGTCATGTCCTGCTGGGGCTGGCGGAGGAGCTTGAGCACCTTGGCGTTGCTGACCTCCAAGCGCATCCGCAGCTCCCCGGGCTCGACGTTGATCCTGTCGGTGATGGTGCCGTACTGATGCTCCAGGATGATCCTCAGCCTGTCTGCGAGCACGGTGGGGGCCGCATCTCCCTCGGGGCCGTACTCGTCGTTGACCACCCTGCCTGCCTTCCACTGCAGCCGGCTGAAGGGCGACATGCCAAGCGGCTCGCGAAGGCTTTGGGCAATGGTAACGGAGGTGACCGGTACGTCGGTAAAGACCTTCTCGCCAGGCTCAATGGACGTTCCGGTAAGCAGCGAGTGGAAGCGGGCGCGTTCCTTTTCGTCGCCAAAGACCATGACCATGCGGCCCTTTTGCCGACCATTCTCAAACTTGACTGAAAAGGCGGGCAGGTCTCCTTCGGCCCTGAAGAAGCCAAACTGCACTGGCAGCGGTGGGGGGTAGGTGTGAGACACTCCGCACGCCGTTCTTGTCTTTGGTCCTGTGACGACGGCAATGCGGAAGCCGGTATGCCAGCATCGCTGTCCTTGCGGCCCGTTGTCCTTGCGCAGCTTTTCAAAGAGGGCTACGTCGCAAGAGCTAATGGGTTCCTTGGGAAATGCTCGGGAGTTGGGGTCCGCGTCCAGGTACTGGAAAGACCGGAGCGTGTTTCGAAACACGACCTGCTCATCGGGTCGCGGCTGGAGCGTTTGCTGGAGCTTCGCGGCGTAGTCGTACATGTTGTAGAGCATTCTGTAGTCACTCTGCGTCAGCTGCACGCCCAGTTTGAAGCCGCGGGGCAGACGCAGGTCAAAAGAAGACGAATCGGGCCTCCAGCGGATGTCCTCCCAGCTGGGCCCGCCTTTGGTCGTTCGGTCCTGGATTGGCAGCTGGATGTTGCCGTCCTGGCTTGAAATCACAAAGATGAGTCCGTTCTGCTTGGTCGGCCGGACCAGGGACAGCATGCAGGGGAAGCGCAGCTGCTTGTTCTCCCTCCCTTGCTCCATGAGGAACACCTCGGCCGGCAGTCTGCCGTAGCAAAACGTTTCAGCCGTGTCGCCAACCGGGAAGGCATCCAGCAGCTCGAGGTAGCTCATGGGGTGCTGCATCGCCGTCAGACCGCCGCCCCAATTGCCCGTCAGCAGGGCGACCATGTCCTGGCTCAGGGGGGGATATTCCACCCAGATGGACTTGTCAATGGTCTGCGGCAGCACGGCGTCTTCGGGTGGCAGGATCTGGTTTCGCTTCATCGAGACGGCCAGCTTCGTCAGGGCCGTCACCACGCTTTTGGCCACGTCAGCGACCTCGGGGTCGGGCTCCAGCCCCTGAGATTCAATGAGGTCGGGTAGGACTTCCTGGCAGAGCCAGTAGGACTTGGCCAGATTAGAGTGCGCCTGTTGCCGGTCCAGCTCGAGCTGCATCTGCGACTGGGGAGAAGTAGGTCGGTCGCGAATAGCGGCCTCCAGGCCCATCCTACCCTTCAGAAACCACCACAGGCTTCCTCGTGCAAGCTGCGATTGAGAGCAGGATGAGAGGGTCCGTACTTGCTCGGCGTGCAGGCGAAACAGCGCGAACAAGTGCCTGCTTCTGGCTATAAACGTCTTGAGAGCCTCGGAGCCGGCCACCGCGTCGGTGACTCGCACCGAGAGCGCTCTCGAGGCCATCGAAGGGGGAGCGCGCGGCTGCGAGCTGTCGCTTGGGCGTCGAGGAGTGTCACGCAGAGGCGTTGACGAGGTTTGAGTGCTCGGCGACGGGTAGTTGCCGGAGTTGTTAGACATGGAGGTGACCGGGCTGTAGTCGGCCGTCGGCCTGGCCTGGGCTTCGGGAGACGTAGGCTCTGGAGAATCGTTTAGCTCGCGGGATGGGGGCAGCTTCCTCTCGCCCCAGTCGTGCTCAGAAGCAGCGCTGGCGGTGCGGGCAGCCTTGGCAAAGGCCCTTCCCTCGGCCAGCGCCATCTGCGCCTGGTGAATCTCGATGAAGGACTTTCTGTTTTCATCAGTGTTGTTGCTCGACACTCCCAGGAGGCCAGAGGACTGCTGGTTCCTGCCAGGGTTCTGCGGCTGCAGCTGGGACGAATTGGTCCTCGTCTTTGGCAGGGGCTTTGGCTCGGGCTCGGGGCTGTAGATGGACGAGAAGCCGGTCTGGGTTCGAGATATGGGCTTCGGTACGAAGTCGTCCTGCGAGGACAGGTCGCTGTTGGAGTACGAGGGCAAGCTCGGGGACGGCCTGGGGCGGGCCTGGGGCGGTGTCGGCGGGGGAGGCTGCTTGCGCTCCGCCTTCCTCCTCGATATCTCCATGGTGGGCACCTCGGACTCGTCACCGCCCTCGCCGATGACTTCGATGTGCGTCTCATTGAACCTGACTGTGAGGCCGCGTCTGCTCGGCCGTGGGCTTCGCCTTGGGGATCGGACATCGTTGCCGGCGCCTGGGGCTTGGCCGCGGTTCTGCTGGGACTGCTGCTGCTGCGCCTGGGGGAAGCGCGGGATGCTGGTGTCGAGCTTGGGCAGCGACAGCGAGACCTGGGGCGACTGCGACGGCGGCGGGTGCGAGATGCTGAGGGTGTCGAGCGAGCTGTGCAGGAAGGCGTCGACGGACGCGGCGTTGGCGCCATCGTCAACCTTGCGGTCCTTGCCAAACAGCTTGCCCATCAAGCGGCCGCGCTTCTTCCTGGAGTCGCCCTCCTCGGCGGTGACGAACGACTGTGTGCTCTCCATTGCTGGCTGCGTGTTGTCGGCTGGCGATGCCCTGGGAGAAGCTGTGTTTCTTTCAGCCCGCCGATCTGCTGTCGTCTCTTGTTCCTTGCGTCTGTATGTCTGCTGTATGTCTGATCGTTTCTCTCTCTGTCTCCCTCTTCTCTCCGTCTCCTGGAAATGCTGGGCGCACTTGGCGAGGCGGTTGGCCCCCCTCCCCTCGTCACCGGCTCTGGAAAAACACTGGCAGCGAGGAGTCTGACTCCCCGTGCGCGACCAGTTGTGTTGCGGCTAGCGGTGCTCAATGCTTGGCTATCTCAGGTGCAAAGAGGACGAAAGCTGCAGAGCGGATGTTGTTGTTTTGTTCCTGGCTGGCTGCCAGCATACCTTATGCAGAAGAGGTGCAGGCCTGCCCGCTTAGCATGGGGCGGGAATGTGGTGTAGATTTGGGGGAGATTGCTGTGCCAGCTCGCCTTTTGGGACAAGCAACTTCGGCACAGGTGATGGATGGGTGATGGTACAACCCACCAGCCCTTTTTTTGTTTGTCCGCAGGGAAACGGCAGCAGAATGCCAGCGGCGGCTCCAGTAAAGATACAAGGACCTACGAGGACAGAACAGAGCACGACAGGCAACGCGCAGCAGCTGGCAGCAGCAGGTTATTGGGATTTACTGCCGCAGCCGCAGGCTATGTCGTCACGAGGGAAGCCAATTGGCCTTGATCGGCGTCTCCAGGGAATGACAAGGAAGTTTCAGAGCGTTCAAGACGGCTAGACCACGGCGCCGCAACCCACAGCCCTTCCATGGGAGATGGAGACCCTTATCACGGAACCCAGGGGTGCAAGCTGTGGTATGTATGTACTCGTACTATCACCTATTGTACTACTTGAGCTTCAGGGTCCCTCGTGGCTTCAAGTTGAGCACCTAAGTAGGTACACTACCTAGGAGGCATTGCAGCTAAACGGTTGATACTCGTACCCTAGGTACCCAAGCATAAACGGGCCTCGTATTTCTCAGCTCTGCAGTTCCATCTTTTACGGTACTATCGTCGTCTCTCCAGTGACACTCACCAGACAGACTCCTCGAGCTGGGCTGTGCCTTTCATCATCTCTCTCTCTCTCTCCCCCTCCTCGCACAAGCGCCACGCCATCGAACCCACCACCAGATCAGCCATCCGCTCGCTGTGCGACCTCTGCAATCTCGGGCTTGTTGTACCGCTACCGGCATCGCTAGAGACGACACCTCGACATCCATCCAGTCATTCATTCAGCCATACTACCTTACTAGCCTGGGCCCTCCATTTTCATTCATTCTCCTGCTCCCAGAGCCTAGTCCTAGTAGTACTATGACCCCGGCGACTTGACCAGTGACCTCCATGTGCTCTTTTTCCCCCACCCTCGAGCCCCTGAAGTCTCGGGGGCTAGAGTGGATCGAGCCCAGGCCCAGCCCACAGACGGCGCGCCTAATCAGCTCCTAGCAGGAGAGCGACTGTGCCTGTACCTGGAGCCTCTTGGAAATGACTGGAGCTGGCTTGACCACCAGCGCAGCGCATCATTGCTGTTCGAGTTGATCATCGTGGGCTTGCACGGGAAGGGGACTTGAATGAGGCAATAAATCTGATCCTATCACGTAGTACAAACGCGCCCAAACACCCACCGCTAGCCGCGTAACACCATCTTTTTTCTTGTGCGAATCTCTGCAAGCCGCCTTTGTTCGCGTGAGGTGCCGATTCCTGACGTTGGCCCTCCCCTAAACTCCCCTGCGCGCCAAAACCGCCGCAAGAGGTCCAATGCTGGGGGCCGGGTTGCCTCAATAGGGAACGGATCCCTGAAACTAACGCCTTGGCCTCAAACCGAGTGTTGGAAGGATGGGGTTCTGCATCACAGGTCCTCGTAATGCCTGTTCCATCGCTTCATCGATGCTTGCTACTACCTACATACTCGTACATACCTATCACAGCATGTTGATTCCGCTCGACTTTTTGTTCCCTGGCCATTTTTTTTCCTTTTCCCCCTCGACTAGATCAAAGCAGCTTTAGTTTACCCTTTTTCTTCTACACGAGACTCTATCGCCTAAATAATACTACTACTAGGTAGTAACCCATAAAGGGCAGCTAGGAATGAGCCGAGATATTCCCTCTAATTGCACAGCTCCAATGTTTCAAAGGCCTGGATCAAACCATGGCAACCATTGAAGAACGGATCTGTCGATAGTTGCAGGACAAATCCGTCGGATCGGAGGAAAATTACAACCCTCTTCATCCATAGCGGGCGGCAATCGGGAGCGAATCAAGCAACACCATCTTCATCTGCGACCAAACACGAGAAAATCGTACGAACCCCCCTCCACTACGTAGGTTAGTGACAAAGGCGAACCTAAGGGTCTCGGTTCATTGTGCGCTGAATCGTCCGGCTCGTAAACGCGGCTTGACATTTGGGACTAGAGCACGCCTCCTCGGCAGCCACAAGTCCCCTAGGTAAGTATGTAGTAGTACTAGGTCCCTTATGTGACAAAAATAGACGCAGCCTCGCATGCATCACGAACATGGAACCCAAAGTTTAAGTCGGTAGGTAGGTGCGACGTACGGAACGCCTCGTATGTACCTACCTACTTCGTATGCACCCCGTAATCGAACCCAAAAAAGACATCGTAATATCTCCGTTGACGGATATGCTTGAAATAGAACATCTGCAGCCTCGTTCTTTGGTCCAGACCCAGCCTTGAGCCCACTCCACCAACTGACCTCCATGCCTGTTGGGAATTGCCTCCGAGTCCTTTGCCTTATCAACTACCTATTCTTCACATGCGTTCGAGACAAGACAGACGACAGACTGTCAAAGGAGAGCTTACTACCTTAGGTACCTTTTCATACACCATCTCATTCAACCTGCAGCAAATCTACCTTATGCACCTGCAAGCCCCGCCACAACCAACTTCGCGTCTGATAGTACTTGGGTATCATGACTGTCACGCGACCTCAATTTCTCCTAATATTGCAGGCGTTATCAATGGCAATTTAGCCAATATTCTTGCTACCCATGGGCCTGGCCTTGTCTTTTTCCATGTGATGGCTCTCGTAGCCCTGTCTATCTGCTACGCTTAAGATTTAGTGCATTCCCTCCGTTGCTGCGTGGTGATTTACGCATTCCAGGGCACCGCAATGCTTGAAAAAAAAAAAATGAATGTTCCAGATGTTGCTTCCTCTCCAGACCATTCCCACACGATCCTGTCTCGCGCAGACACATCAGCCCCAGGTGGCTGAAAGGCGACACGCAAGATGCGGCGAGTGAAAAGCCCAGGCGGAGCAGCGAGTTTCAAGTGTTCTCGGCCCCGAATCTCGGATCCACAACTCGGAGACGCGCCCCCAGTTTTCAATTACATACTGGGGGACGCCGCTATCGATAAGCGATAAGCGCTGATAAGCGCTAGTTTGAATTTCGTTTCGCGATGGCATCCCACCTTGTGTAGACTCACAATCTCGTCATTCAACCCAAGACAAGAGCATGTAGCGTCTTGCGCCAGAGTGGCATGTTTAGGCTGCTGAAGAGAATCATGGCTTCTTCCGAGGTCAAGATGGTCCCTATCCCTCGCCGAGGCGTCGACTACCGCGGCAAGGTGGTGCTTGCGCCAATGGTTCGCTCGGGAGAACTTCCCTCTCGGCTGGTGGCGCTCAAGTACGGCGCTGACCTTGTGTGGGGTGAGTAGACAGAAAAAGGCTTCGTTTGAACGACCGAACTGGTGTTTTCTGACAAGATCTGAACGATATAGGCCCCGAAACGGTTGATCGAGCAATGATTGGAACGACGAGGCGATACAACGAAGCCACACAGACAGTCGAGTGGTTCCGAGTAGCCTCCCACGGCCAGAAAGAGCCGCCGCCGGACGCAAAGGAAAACATCATCTACGCAACACACCCAGAAAAGGAAAAGAACAAGCTCATCTTCCAAATCGGAACGGCGGATCCGGATCGCGCGCTGGAAGCCGCAAGGCTGGTCGCGGCAGATGTTGCCGGCATAGACGTCAACGCCGGCTGCCCAAAGCCCTTCAGCACGAGCGGCGGCATGGGCGCTGCGCTCCTGCGGACCCCGGACAAGCTGTGCGCCATTCTGGAAAATCTGGTCAAACACATTGTCCCCGAGTTCGAGATCGGCATCAGCGTCAAGATTCGCATCCTCGAAACGCCGGCCGAGACGGAGGCCCTCGTTAGAAGACTCGTCGCCACGGGCATTACGGGACTCACGGTCCACTGCCGAACGACGCCGATGCGGCCCCGCGAGCGTGCCATCCGTGGTCAGCTCCGCATGATTGCGGACATTTGCCGCGAGGCTGGCGTGGCCTGCCTGATGAACGGCGATGTCGAATCCAAGGACGAAGGGCTGAGGCTGGCAAAGGAGTTTGGCGCGGACGGTGCCATGATTGCCACGGCTGCCGAGAAGAATCCCAGCTGCTTCAGGACCGAGGCGGAGGGCGGCCTTGCCCCTTGGGAGGAAGTCGTCAAGGAGTACGTCAAGACGGCCATGGACGTCGAGAACCGGTTCGGCAACACGAAGTATCTCCTTGCGCAAATGGTTCCCGGGAAAGCTGGACTTCACCAGCCCTTGACCCAGAGCAAGACCTACACGGACGTCTGCCGGATGCTGGGCTATGAAAAGCTCATGGAGCAGGCCCGGGAAGCAGACGTCAGGCGGGGCCTCGATAAGCCGCCGGTCAAACAGTCAAAAAAGGGTAAATCAAATGCTGCTGCGCTGGCTGCCGGCGGACAGATGGGACAGGCGAGGGCTAAAACGCAACAGAAGAAGGCACTGTCTGAGCGAGCAGCAGCTCCAGCACAGTCGGAATCCGAACCGCAGCCTATTGCTTCCGTCGGGTGAAGGAGGGGGGATTATTGAAAAAGGAAACAAGGGGGAAGAATATAAAAATCATATCACTCAGATTTCAAAAGGGTCCGAAAAGCGAGGTAGCTTTTGGAATTCACGCAGCATGAGGGACGGCCATGCGCTTGGCATCTTACCATATAATATAGACAAACGGTGCAGTACTTGCAATGATTTAGAGCGTGGGCGCGACATTTGACATCGGTACCTAGGTATGAACAAGAGCTGTAGAATATGAATTATATATCACCGCTATATCGCACATCTCTCTTGCACGTCTCGGCCCCTCTCTATTCCGTCTCTTTTCAGCATTGCCTCGACCATTTTTTAAAGCTCTCGTAAGACGTAAGAACAGACTGAAATATGTAGAACATGTTATAAAGGAAAAAAATCTCTATGTATGGTACAGTCGCTTTTTTGTTTAAGAATTTACACAGTCGTCCTTTTCGACCCTTCTTTCAAGCACTCCTCCCTCCTTTATTTTTCATTTCCCCTGCGCAACCCAGTTCTCGACCGCCTCCCGCACATTCGTCACCTTGTCGTCAACGTACTGCACGCCGACATCCTTGTGGACCTTTGCAAAGTGGATGCCCCTCTGGATGCCCTCGCGCAGCTTGACGTGGGACTCGGCCACGGCCGGGAACTTTTGCTCGTACTTCCACGCCAGGTCGGACACGTTGCGCATGGTGATGGGCAGGACGGTCCAGCCGGCGCCGACGCCGAGGGCAAAGGGCACGGTGGCGCGCAGGACGACGTTGCGGTTGCGGGTCACGATGCTGCCGGCCATGGCGGCGACGAGGACGTAGATGGCGCCGGGCATGAGCTTCTCGCCGCTCTCGCGCGGGGGCGCCAGGGAGGCAATTGTGCGGGTGAAGGACTGCTCGAGGTCAAAGGCCGAGTCCATGGTCTGGTTGACCTTGTTCTCGGCGGCGACGGCGATGTCGTAGAGGAACAGGCGCGCGCGGCCAATCTGCACCGCCAGGCGGTCTGTCGGGGTCGGGGCTCGGGAGGAGTGCTCGTGGTCGGCGGCCTTGTCGTCGTCGGCGGGCTTGCTGGGGAGGATGGCCGGTAGTGAGGGCAGTGAAGGCGCTGTGGGCTGGGGAGAAAAGGGCTCGGCGTCATCGTAGATGGGTTTTCTCTAGCTCATTGGGTCTCCGTCAGAAGCTGTAGGACTACAAGGAAGAAGATCCCCCTCAGCAGAGGAACGGGAGGGACGAGGCCGTGACGAACCTTGGGGCCCTCAGCAAAGACGACGGCCGGCGAAAGAGCAATTCCACCCAGGGCGGCTGCGGCCAGCGGCGCAAAGGAGCGCTATAGAAGATTCGAAAGGCTCAATTAGCTGGAGCTCGCCAATGATGTCGAGCAGAGACGTGTTGGGAGATGGGATATTTGCCTACCCGCTGCAGGAGCACTCTCGCGGCCATGATGCAGGCGAATTGGGTGAGAGCGAAGCCGGCTCAGGGAAGTCGAGGGAAGTTCGATGATGTTATTTTTTTGAAAAGGCTCATGTTCATCTTGCTGGGATCCCGCACTATTCCGACGAAGGCGGCGCAGGAGAAATTCCGGCCCCGGGCGGCTCTAGCTGGTGGGTTGCCGGATTGGGGAGGTTTGGCTGTTGAGCACCGGATATGAGAATCGCTGCATAATAGGAAGCAATTGTAAAGGGTTTGCTTCGGTTATCTTAATGTACATAGATAGCATGACAATTTGTTTAGACTTCACTGGATGGAGGTTTCCTACAATGTGCCAAGAGACAGCGAGTGAAGACGGGCCAAGGTGAAGCAAATGTTCAAAGTAACAACCTCTGTCAGTCTGATGAACATGTCCGGCAGAGACCTTCCACTTGACTCAATTCACATTATCAATTTTGGAGAATGGCATAGGCTCCTATAAATGATATGGCAATTATCAAACATTATCAAAGAAGCCGGGTTTCGCCCAACAATTGATCTTGGACGAGTAGAAGACTCTTTGTGCCTGTAAGTGAAATGTGCCTATTCTAAAAAGCCAATGAGGGGCTTAAGACATGCCTGCAGCATCACCATTATAGTTCGAATGAAACACATAAACAAAGATGTCAATTCCAAAAGAAATTCATGAGAGAATGCCAGTCAGTACAATAAAGCATACCAAGTCTCTTGGCTCTAAAAGTCATACAAGCACTCAAGCATGATGCTGTCCGTCTGTGTTGCCTAGGTAGGCAGTACTTGATGCTCATCGGCTTTCGGCATCTCGCGGGTAATTGTTCGAGGTACCGTCTCACAGCTCCGAACTTCGGTTCACACTGCATTTTTTCTGCCTCGTTATCACACCTCCGAATGCAGCTGCTTGTACGCCGCACACACGATAACACCCATGGGCTACTCATGAGGACGCCCGCTTCTCCGCATGCCGCCAGCTTCTTCCTCTTCTTCTTCCTCTTCCTCTCCAGCCAACGCCAGCAATGCTCAACTCCGGGGGCTCCCGCCTCCGGGTCTGCACCCGATGCTGCCGCCGCGTGATCAAGGCCAGGCCGGGCCACGTTCGATGGGAATCAACCGCCGCCGCCGCTGTCAATGATGCCGCTGCTCCAGCGTCAGGCTCAGACTCTGCAAAGCTGCCGATCGACCACTTCACAAGCTCCCGACACGACGATGCCCTCCTCCGCGAGCTGTTCGACGCCCCGTCCAACAGCCGGCCGTTTGCCAACTTCAGCCTCAAGAAGAGCCAGGGCCTGTTCAAGAACCGCTACCTCACGAGCCCGGATGGATTTCTCGTCTTCGCGCAGAAGAGCTTGCAGAGGGCGACGAGGATCGTCCACCGGATGCTCGCCGCCTCGACGACGCCAGAGTACCAGCGCCTGATTCGGGACCTCGACCGGCTGAGCGATTTGCTGTGCCGCGTCCTCGACATGTCCGACTTTGTGCGCATGACGCACCCAGACGTGCGCTTCCAGCAGGCCGCGGCCGATGCCTGGTCCATGGTGTACCAGTACATGAACCAGCTCAACACCATGACGGGGCTGAGCGACCAGCTGGGCGAGGCCATGTCCCGGCCCGAGGTCACGTCGACCTGGTCCGAGGAGGAGAGGACCGTGGCGGAGCTGCTCAAGCTCGACTTCATGAAGTCTGCCGTCAACCTGCCCAAGGCGGCCCGCGACAGGTTCGTCGAGCTGTCGTCACGCATCAGCGACGTCGGCTCGGCGTTTGTCCAGGGCATGGAGCCGGAGCGCAAGGAGGTGACGCTGCCGGCTCATCGCTTCTACGGCTTGTATCCCGGGCTGGCTGCGCAGCTCAAGATCCGGTCCAACATCACCATCCCCACCACCGGCTCCGAGGCCGCCGCCGCCTTGCAGAGCGTCTATGACGAGGAGACCCGGAAGGAAATCTACCTTGCCCAGCGGACAGCGTCCAGCCGGACAATTAGGCTCCTGGAGACGATGCTCAAGCTCCGAGCGGAGCTGGCCAACCTCGCCGGCTTCGAGAGCCACGGGCACATGGCGCTCAAGGACCGCATGATGGCCAAGTCGCCAGCTTCCGTCATGCAGTTCCTGCTTGCCCTGAGACACCACAACGCCCCCATTATCCAGCAGGAGCTCAACGAGCTGACGCAGAAGAAGCGCGAGAGGCTGGCCATGCAAGACGCCACTCTGCAGGCGTGGGACAGGGACTTTTATATGGAGAGGATCCGGGCCGAGATGCGATCGCGGGTTCGCTTTGACGACCACTTGACGGCGTACTTTTCCGTCGGCACCGTCATCCAGGGCCTGTCACGTCTCTTTGATCGCCTCTACGGCATCCGCCTGGTCCCGCGCGAGACGCTGCCCGGCGAAACCTGGCATCCCGACGTCAAGCGGCTCGACGTCGTGTCCGACAACGGCGGTCAAGTAGCCGTTTTGTACTGCGATCTCTTCTACCGGCCGCAAAAGTCGCCCAACCCGGCGCACTTCACCGTCCGGTGCTCCCGCGAGATCCTGCCGGACGAGATTGACGAGGTTGGCGCCGACCTCAACGGCCCCGACATGCCGGCGTTTGAATCCGCCGAGCAGGCCGCCAACGACGGCATGGAGACGTCGTCGCAAGACGGCAGCCTGAAGCAGCTGCCCACCATCGCCCTCGTGTGCGATTTCCCCAAGAACGACAACGCCCGGGAGCCCGCGCTGCTGTCGCTGTACTCGGTCGAGACGCTCTTCCACGAAATGGGCCACGCCATCCACTCCATTCTCGCCCGCACCTCGTTCCAAAACGTCTCGGGCACGCGCTGCGCCACCGACTTCGCGGAGCTGCCGTCGACGCTGATGGAGCACTTCGCCGTCGACCGCACCGTGCTGTCGCTCTTCGCGCGCCACTGGAAGACGGACAAGCCGCTGCCGTACGACCTCGTCGCCGAGCGCATGCGCGTGTCCAAGCGCTTCGAGGGCATCGACACGGAGCACCAGATCCTCCTCGCCATGGTCGACCAGGCCTACCACGCGCCCGAGGTCGCCGACCGCTCCTTTGACTCGACCGCCACCTTCCACGACATCCAGCGCCGCTACGCCCACGGGCCGCACGACCCGCCCCAGACTCGCTGGCAGGGCTTCTTCGGCCACCTGCACAGCTACGGGAGCACCTACTACAGCTACCTCTTTGACCGCGTGCTCGCCGAGCGGGTCTGGCGCGTCGTCTTCCGCGCTGGCCAGGACGGCGCCGCCGTCGGTCGCGACAACGGGGAGCGCCTCAAGGAGAGGCTGCTCAAGTGGGGAGGCGGCCGAGATCCATGGACGTGTCTCGCCGACACGCTCGAGGACGAGCGTCTTGCCCCGGGGAATGAAAAGTCAATGGCCTTGGTCGGTAGCTGGGGGATCAGGGGATGAGCTTGCATTGTGCTTGACGACAAGTCGTTTGATATCAGTCGGAATCCGTATGGGAAAGTCAAAATGATGGTGGAAGCTCAGGACTTGAGCTGAGCGTATGAGCTGGCATTCTTGACAATATATTTTGTGGCGTTCAGAGGCACGATAGAGCACGGCATGTGAGTTACATCAGGATCTCAACTCGATATGACATGGCACCACATCGGAATCGACATGTCTGTCAATCAGATAGCTGTACACCTCCTTTATCATAGAACTTGCACCATATCATGGTTATATATACCTTCAGAGTTCAAGTTGTTTTCTTCTATTTTTTCTCGAGGCATCCTTTTAGCCTACCGTCCCCTCATCGTCTATAGCGAGCCCTCTCTTGTCTCTTATCAAGCCTTGGTACCGGAAACCCAAGTCCTTTTGCCCAGAAACCATGATTGCCCACTCCACCAGATGATACGAACAAAAGAAAAAACTTCAGACGATATCACAGCATCGTCTGAATGGGGTATAAATACACAAGCAATAACAGCGCTAGTAATTGCCGAAAAGTCATCAAATGCCGCTCGTCCTCCTTTCTTTTCCGATAGTCTTTTGTGTCTGTTATCGCACCCTCAGTCACGAGCTGGGTTTACTGCTCCATCTAGACTGTCTGCGATAAGGCTTGCTGGGACGTCGGATATCCCACGTCACCAAGCATGGTCAGCTTTGAAAGCGACAATGTCGTATTGGGCCTGGTCAAAGGGGCCTCTGCTTCCTCTCTATAGTGGCCCGGGTTGTGGCTCTCGTCGTTTAAGGTAGCAAATGAATCTGGGTACTCTCTGTCCCCGGGCTCGGTGCCAATGCCAGAATCTTCGTTGTGGTCTTTTTTGTCGCTCATGCCGAGATTTTTGGCATCTGCAAAGTCGTGAACCGATGTTTGCCCACCTTCGGCTTGTGTTGGGGCCGCACAGGCGGAGGGCAAGTTTCTAGACAGACGGCTAACTTGTCGGCTAAGCTCCCTTACTTGCGCCTCCAATGCTATTCGAGCAGCTCGGTCGTTTTCCATTGTCGTCAAGATTGTGTTGTAGGTCTCGTGGTCCATGATGAAAGACCCAGCGGGTACCGACTTTGAAAGGGTAGGGAGACTAGACGCAAGAGTTGTTCGCTCCGGGGAGGCAAAGGCCGAGTGCTTCGTAGTTTGTTGGCTTGCTGATCGCGCATATATGGGTACCTCGCCAAACGACAGCCTGGATGTTCCAGAAAACTGAGCAGAGGAATGAGAAGAGGGTCGAGCTGCTGTTGGGAAGGTGGACGACCATGCGGGCATGGGAGGTGCCAGTCGTTCAGAGGCATCGTCTCCCAACCCAGTGAGAGGAGTTCCCTGGCGAACATGCGTCAGGATGCCTTCTACCAGGCTTAGACGATTCTCGACCTGGCCGATTCGGGTCTCGAGGCCAACAGCGTCTGTGATCTTCATACTCGCGCCGCCGGCAAACTCCGTCATATAAGGCATATTGCTAAACTCGAATGGTTTTACAGGCGACTCAACCTCATCCTGCAATCCGTCGTCGGACTTGGCCTCGTCGTCTGATCTGTCACTGATAAACGTGGCACCATCCTCGCCGCCTGGCCCGGTCGAGGACATAGGGGAGGTGGCTTCCTCGCAGCTTTCCCGCCATCCGCGAGGGAACTCGTCGCTGCGGCGGCGTGTGATGCTTGGTGTCGGAGTAGTTTCGTCGATCAAAGGAATAAATGACAGGCTCCTGGACCGACGCTTCAGGCCTGTGGTGATTGCGCGGCCAATCTCCTCTGGGTCGTGGCTCTCGTCAACCAACCTGCTACCCCAATCCTGGGTGCTGGCGGGGCGTGGTGTCAAGCCCGTCGTCGGCTTCACCCAGCGTGCACTGGCGGGATGGGCATCGCTCCCAGTTCCCGCTCGCCTCCTCTGGTGGCCGCTGTAATCTGCATTGACGGAGCTGCGCGCAGTCTGGATGGCAATGACGTCTTCAGGGCCAACGGAATGCGACCGCAATGCTCGATCGTATTCAGAAATAGGAAGGGATTCGGACATGTTTGGGAGTGGGTTCTGGGCAGGAGTAGGGCTGCTCGGAGCCTATTTTGCCTGCATCAGTACGTGGCATTCGCCGAAGTGCTTATGATCCTGTAGGCGGGACTTACATGATAACGCTGATCCGATAGATCCTCCTCAGAGCCAACAGAAGCCAGTCCAGTCATAGGCCGAGGCACCTTCTTGCGTCCGAATATCTTGCTAAATGCAGTTCGCAGGACTGACCTGGACCGCATGGGCGTCAACGAAATTCGGCGGCGGGAAAACTCCCCTGAAGGCCGAGAGTTATCCATCGAAGTCTTTGCGGTGCTGGTGTGCTGTGGCATGTGTCCAGAAAACCCAATTTCCTGTGGTCGAATGGACAGCTCTTTGTCAAGCGCTTCTGTAATAGGTATCGGGCTGGAGATTTGGGCCCGAGTTATCCTAGGAGCTGTCGGAGAACGAACTCTGGGCATGTTGTTGACGGCGGCGGCGCTTGATGACCGGGGCATGTCTTGCGGAGAAAGTGGTGATGTTGATGATCGGTGCATCCTTTCTTATCGAAGACGCTGAGAAAAATGACATTCAAGAAGAAAAAGAAGAAAAAGAAACGAAAGGACAAAGGAGAGAAGGAATGGATTGAGTTGAGCTTTTTTTGGAACTAGGGATCAAAGAAGGTTGAGTGAGTGTCGACAGCTCTTTGGGAGAGGAAGCACGGATGAGGATGACAGGGTTCAACGGCTGCGGGCAACCCTGGACTCCCAAGAGTTTGTCTCCCTCAGGGTTTGTTTGGATTCGTTCGCCTGGGACGGAACCCTCGGACCAGTTGGTGAGTAAAGCTTCAGATTCCGGATCTTCTGTTCATGTATGTTGACAGGTTTGACGACGGTGAGGCTGGTTCATCACATCGGGGCAAGCAGAGGCCGTTGTCAGTCCTCGGTTGTCAGATCGTCTAATCTCGAATAGCAGGCGATGGCGCTGTGATCAGAGAAAACTTGGCCCCGGCGTTGTCGAAGCGTTCCTGGAGGGGCGTGTCGGCCGCGGGGCGGGAAGAAGCAGCAGCAGGCAGCGAATCATAAAAAGGAAATATCACAGTCGAAACGAGAGACACGAAATAACGTCAATGCGAGGTGGCCAAACGGCGCCGGGCCAGTCGCTATGAGAACGTTGCAAAGTTGAGGTGGCACAAGGCGGTTTGTCTGGAGCAGGAGCAGCAGCAGAAGCAGCGATGAGATCGATTGCTCGCGGCCACGGCCGGGGCGAGTGCGTTCCTTTGTGTAATGGGCCTTGGGAAGACGGAGGATGAAACACGATGGCGCCCTGGCCGTATTTTAACGGAACCCCCCCAGATGGCCCCGAGCTGCAGCCAAGCTAGCGAGGGATTGGGATCGAGGCAGCCGAGGTGCATACCTTGAAACGCCCAGGAAGGGCAGGTCAGAAACGCCGCTATTCGCCGTGGAAGAACCACTCGAGATATGAAGCGTATGGGATACGGAATACCGGTGTCAGGACGGCCGCTCTGGTTCCTTGACGGAGGACTAGGGTGACAATTCCGCACCAGGGTCCGTGTAGATTGCTGGCAGCAATAGCCTGTGGACCCAGCCCAGAAGGACGAGGTGATGTTGAAGTTGCTGGCGACGCGGGCGCTGTTTGTAATACATCGCTCGAGCGTACGTACTTTACGGAGTACGCAGCACACGCACAAATGAGAGTCGCGTGCGTGGAAATACGGCTCTCACCGGAGTCCAAGGATGATAAAGCAGCGATCCCCAGGCGATTGACCCCCCCTCCTCTGCCGTGAACTGTGCATTCGTGCCTCGATGGAGCTGCCGAGCGGCACAGAACGTTCTCGTACACGTATGAGTGCAGAAACAGCAGGCGAATCAGTGGCCGGCAAGCCTTTCCATTCCACGGCCGAGACCATGCGTCTGCATATCGATGACGACGGGTTGAGTTCTCGTCGCCTGCCCATATTTTCATAGCTGCAGCGTCTCCAAGTCGCAACGACTCGCGATTGTCCGAAGGTGCATTTCGCCCAGCAGGGCTCTCCGCCAAGAGATGCCGGCCACGTTCTCTCGCAGGGGAGGATCTATGGGGCTCGGGAATGGACCGCACTCCGACCACGAAAAAAGGGGGCTTCTCGGCGGGTGCAGATTCGGTGCGGAGCCTGGAGCGGCGATACTTTGTGTGGTGATGAGCTGTGCAGAATACAAGCGCCAGGAATCCTTGCTCCAAGCCAACGACCAAGCTGTGCGAGCCAGCGTTAGTGCTCGTACGAGCATGTACACGTATAATAGAAAGTATTCGTAATCGGCAGCGACGAGACAAGATGTCCGGTTTCCAATAGACAGTACTGGCGGTCCGTTAGTACTTTGCAGGAAGCAGCAACAAGGTCTGGTGTCAACTGGTGCGAATAGCTGTCCCGGCGAGTTTGAAGTTAGTCGCCCCAGTAGTAACAAGGACTAGTAATGCGGCTGAAGCCGACGGGACCGCAGTTATTTGAAAGCCTATTGATTTCTCGAAGCTAATGACGACGCTGCCAGTGGCTCTGCCTGCGTTTGGGCTTGTCAGAAATGCACAGAGGCCGGGAATCGGGAGCATCAAAGAGGGCGAGATACGAGCACCATCATGCCCGTTCCGTATAGTACGGACAGGCCAGAAATGAGGGCAACGAGGGGAAATGAAGATGAAAGAGAGACGAGGATCAGCGAGGCTCATGTCGGCGGCTCGATGGCGGAGTCGAGGCGAGCAACCGGGGCAGATTGGGGTACCTTGTGTGCTGCAAGCTCCGTCTTTCGTACAGCTAGTACTACGACCATGAAGTTATCGCCATCAATTCCTGCCTGAGGCGCGAATCACATTGATACTCGTACCTTCCCGCTCTTAGATGCGATGCCTTCATGTTGCCATGAGCACGGAAGGCGCCCGCCATCACCGAGTCTGCACCTGCCCAGAACCCTCGCGGCAGCCTTGACCTTGGCCTGAGGGGATTACAAATCGGCGCCCAAAATCTTCGTCTGCAGCAGAACTCAGTCCCTGAATACCTTCAAGCCTTTCAAACTCCGCCGTCAGTTTCACCTCCGTCTTTCGTTATTACCACCGGGCTGCTAATCCGAGTTGAGCATTCTGCTACACGTATCATGTACGGAGAGTTACCTGCGCATGCTCTGTTACTCCACCGCTGTACGAAGTACCTGTGTGATGACCTGCGTCGTCTACTTCTCACTGCCAGGTGCCTGCTTGTGACATGCAATCAGCCATACTCGGCCCTACAGCCTACAGGTATGATGACTACAGCCAACTGCAGATGACTCCGGGCCTGCAGACTGTTACTGGTCTGCTTCCCTGCCTGCCTGCTAACTCCGCGCTGTCTACAGGTAGTACATGCCACTGCTACCTCCGAGCAGCAGACAGCGAGACACAGCAGACGTTTTGTGTTAATCAAAGCGAGCCAACTCGCAAATTGCCGCCAGGGTTATGTGACGACTTGACAAAATGAACCGCGCCACCGCTCCAGACGCATGCCTAGCTGGCAGGCGGGCGTCTATCAATTCTTTGAGGCTCTGGTCCGGGCGGCTCCAGAAGCATTTCAACCTCTCTGTGCCTGGTACTACGAGCCACTGAGGCAACTCGGTGTGCGAATTTCGTTCAGAAGAATCCTTCCGAGAGACCAGAGGGACCAACCAAGGGACCAAAGGGACCAGAGACATGCCAGGGAAGACGAGGACCCCCTGGTCCAACCCCATGCATGGCGCAAAACCAAAGAGAGTGGTGGGCTTTGCACTCTTCTTAGTCTGGCGGTTCCAGACAGACAACTCAGCAAATGCTTGGCATCGCATCCTGCCCCGGCGCCGTTTTCTCAGCCACTCTTCATTTCGTTTCCTCGTTTTCTTTTTGCCTGTTTTCTTCAACGAGAATTCCTTTTTTTTTTCCCTGCCCTCACTCGTCTTGTCCAGTCCCCGTTTGCTCTGTGACGCGGCCATCCGAGCCGGGGGCCGTTATCCGACTTAGCTCTCTGCAAAGCATAAAAGCGCGAGTGCTGGCGGCCAGCCCTGTTGCAACTGGTTGCGTTATCCAATCGTTTCAGACCGTCTTGGAGATCCGGACCAGGGGCCGGTTGATGCGTCGTGGTTCATGCGCAGATCCGCGTCCCTTGGAGCTTCTTTCTAGAAGGAATGCAAGGGAGAGGGCCGTGCCCTTCCCACCGACCACGCGGCGGCCATGTTCTGGGGCTAGTTTGAGAGGCCAACGTGAATCGTTGTTGACTTGTTCGTCACAGTTGCTGGCAAACGCCACCATCCTCGCGTCATTGCCGCTCTTATTACCGCTGTCGCTCCGTTTGACATCGACGGGTCGGCAGGGCTGTTTCTGCCCGTGCTTAGAGGACGCCGCTGCCAGGCTGCACGACTTGTCACCAGCTTTCGGAGCTGTTCGCACCCGATTGTCAAGGGGACGGACGTTTGCCAGCGGACGCCAGATGTTGTCCAAGTCCAATAAGTCGCTCATTTGTGACTGACCATGGCTCAACTCTGCTCCCCTGGCCTGGCATCTCGGTACCACAAACCCGTCTGCTGGCGGGCATCATCTCCAGACATCCGAACCTTGCTCGACATGACCTTCGGAGGACGGAGAATGGCCGGCGACCGTGGTCACAACGGTCGTGCACGGTTACACAGAAGCCGGATGTTCGGATGAGAATTACATACCTATGTGCTCTGGAGCAATCCCAAGTTTTGACATGCAAACAAACAAGCCCCCAAAGGCCGTCGGAAACACTCCCCGTCGAATCGCGAACAGAATGAGCCACGTGGAAATAAGTCTCATTTTAAATCCATATCTAAACGTAACCACCGCGCTGGTCGTTCAATATGACTCGGTCTTATACCTCGTACTACTAATTGTCCATTTCGAGACACTGGCGGAGCTTTTCCATTGCACTGGGGGGGGAACGTATCAACTTGAAGATTGCTCACCTGAGTACAAGCCGAGCCATGACTTTAGGACGAAGTAATCAGCACTACATAGCCAGCTGTTGGGGCTTCGCGGACTGTCGAGCGCATCATTTCCTGTCCCTGATTTGGTACCTTATTCTTCGTAACTGGGTATAAGAAGTAGTCTAGCTCTTCGCTTCACTCTCGGTTAACCTCTGCAACATCAGGATACCGAAGATCAGCATGCTCTTCCAGAAACTCCATCCACTTTTTCAGAAATTTGCTTCCCCTGAGAAAAAGGAAAGAAATGTCAGCATGTCTCTTGTCCAGGACTCGTGGAGCGGCGGAAGCAAATGCAAACACAGACTTACTTCTTGACCGTCTCGGAGTCTCCAATGACGGTTAACGATCGTTTAGGACGAGTCATGGCGACTGCAAGCATGGTTAATATCGAGATTCTGGCCCGGCGCCCTCGTCTATTGAACTTGGTGTCCCCATAACCCGGGATGGAAAAGCTGGAGGAGGGTCCAGGAAAGAAGGCAATTGGAAGGATAGACGAGGAAGAACGGTGAACCGCCCTGTTTTACGCGAGGACTCTTGACCTACCGTTGAGGCGCCTCTTTTCGCCCAGGAAGCCCACTTCGCCATCAGGATTGCTGCGGACGAGGCTCACAATCACAGCCTCCTTCTCGCGCCCCTGAAACCCATCCACACTGCCGAGTTCAATGCCGGGGAACTTTTCCTTGAGCGAGGCGAGTGCAGCAAGCTATTTTGTGTTTTCCCCTTCTTCGTTAGCAACTTTTCCTCCCCCAATCGGTCCCGATATCCCACTCTTCCATCTTCGCATTACTTTGGTAAAGAGAAAAGGGGGGATTGGTTTGGTACTCTAGTAGACAGCCCAGGGGAAGCGTATAACGAACCTGTGCATTATAAGGGGTAACGACGGCGATATCCTCGGGTCGAACGCCGGCTTCGACGAGCTGCTTGACGTGCAAGCGAACCAATGCCGCCTCCATCTCGTTGCTCTTGCTCTCCCCGTGCAGGCTGCCCCTTTTCGGATTCTCCTTGTCGTCGTCCTCGTTGCGCTCCGGGAAATCGCCTCCCTGTGTGTCAATGAAGATGACGGGCTCCGTCGTGTCTTCGTTGCTCTCGACGTCGTAGTCCAGGTCCCTGAGCAGCCGTGCTTTTACAGCGTCGGCCGCGATGAGTTTTGAGTCGTAGAGTTCGTCCGACGGGAAGCGCATAATCTTTTCGTGCATTCTGTATTGCGTTGTGAGCATGCGCTTGATGGACGGTCCGTGGAGTGCCAGCAGTCGGTCAAAGAGCGTCGTCTCGAGCGTCATGCCCTTGATGACGGGCGCTGCTGCTGCTGCCGCATCACCATCTACGCCTTTCTTGCTCTTTGGCTTCATCTTTGAGTTGAGGGACTTGATTGTCGGCGGCAGCTGCAGATGGTCTCCGGCACAGACGGCCTTCTTCGCCGACAGCAGCGGCACCCAGCACTGTGCCTCCAACGCCTGGCTCGCCTCATCGATGATGACCACGTCGAATTCCTCGTTGCGCAGCTGGTAGCCTCCCGCTCCGTGAAGCGTTGCGAGAACGACCTTGCTGCCGCCGACGAGGTTGCTGACGCATCTCCTCTCCCGCTCACGGTACTCCTTGCGTAGCTCTTTGAGATCAGTGTAGATGGCTTTCCGCTCCCTGCCGCTCTTGGTCTTTTTGATGGATGCCTGCTTTGCGTCCATTTCGGCACGAACATCCTTGATGATCGCCCCGGCTTCCGAGGTTTGTGTGAGAACGTCTAGAGAGTGGTTGAGAACCGATGGCAGAAGCCGAGCGGGATGGCCCAAGCGAAGAATGGGCACTTTGTGAGGTGCGAGTCGTTCCACAATGTTGTCGACTGAGATGTTGGAGGGGCCGCAGACCAGTATCCTCTGATTCCGCTTGATCATTTGCAGTATCAACTCGATCAGCGTATGAGTTTTGCCTGTCTGATTTCAATCAGCAGCCCGATCGATCAAGGTCCGTGTATCGTTTACGGCGAAACCTACCCCGGGAGGACCATGAATGAGAGCCACCTCTCGAGAAGCCAGTGCAAACCGAATGGCATCCTTTTGCGAGTCGTTCAGCGTAGGGTCAACCCATTCAATACTTCCCACCTCTTCGCTCGCAGCCAAGTCCGATGGCACCGGCGAAGGGCTCGACAGCCCAAACAACACCCTGATGAAGCTCGAGTACTCCGCCTCTCCCATCTTCTGCAGCTTCTCCATGGTCTGGTTCATGCTGCCTCACTTTTCGTCAGCTTTTCATCATCCTCAAATCTCGTCTCCCCCGCCACTGGGGTTATCCCCGGCTTCTCATGCATCATCTTCACAGACGACAGGCAGAAGACCAGTTGCAGAAATTGTCCCATACCGTCGATATGTAACCTCATCCGCCAACTTCACCATCCACACCCTCCCCGAAAACAAAACCTCATCCTTGCCCTCGTCCAGCGCAACGCTCACCGCCGCCCTCTGCACCCTCGTCACCACCCCTCTCGCCCCCTTTCTCTCCAGCTCCTTCACCTCCCTCTTCTTCGCGCTGCCCGCGGGCTGCTCCGCGACAAGCACAATGTCGCCCGTCCGGATCCCGTGCTCGGGCAGCTCCCCCGTGCTCGAGGTCGCGCCATCGGGCCCCAGCTCCAGCACCGTCTTGCCTCCCAGGCCCGTCCTCTGCGAGGATATCGTCAGGTTTGTAATGGCCAGGCCGGCGCGCTGGAGGCCCGTGGGGCTGTGGTTGGAGATGAGGCTGCTCGTTTCCTGGATCTCGCTCTGCAGCTCTTGGTCTAGCAGGGCGAGCTGAGTGGCTGCAAATGAGGGGACGTCTATTGGCTCCTTGGGCGACATCTTTTGATAAACTGCGGCAAATAGTCGCTGGGGAGAGAGAGATGAAGGTTAAGTTGGTGTGAGACGTCGTGGTGTGTTGGTGACAGAAAAGCAAACATATAACCCCACCAAATGCAAGCTATGTCATACCCCCAACCATATGCCGATTCTGGGCGATAAGCCAAAACCCGCATCATCACGATGCCACTAAACGAGAGAGCATAAGGATTTGATAAACTGCAATTGAAGAGACGCAGCTGCTCTGTAGGCCTTTGGTTATCTCGGTTTCTCTATCACGAGATGAAATTGACGGATTTTCCGCTATCTATGCAAACGCGAACAAAACCCCAATATATGCCTACCCTGAAAAAGGTCCGGTCCCAAGGATCATTATATTACGCCCATACCATCTCCAATCATACAATGGCACAGCTCTGATGCATTCCCAACCCAACAAATGGCCCAAAGGGCTCAAAGACCAAACGCCGGTGACCTCCATCCATCGCTCAACACAAAGCTACCGTATGACAATGACCACCACCAAGGACAAAATCATGAGCGCCAACGCTACCAATGACATGACGATGATGGTGCCTCGGCTTGCCGGGAATTTGCCCTGCAGAATCCATTCCTGAGCATGGAAATATCTCCTGCAGCCGAGGAGCAACGTCACGATGCTAATGCCCAGGAAGGTCGCACCCAATGGCCGTCCCATCTTTTGTAGCTTCGTGTGATCGAATTCGGTGGCGGAGACGGAGCCGTTGGTCTGGAGGCGGAATAGCTGCGTCACGGCGACGCCAATGGACGCAAAGGCGAGAGATGTTCTAAGCCATGCTAGAAATGTGCGCTCTAGACAAGAATCGAGAAAGTCAGCCAATTGATGCCTCGCTGAGACCATGCAGTCCAGCTGCCGACAACGCCAAAAGGCATGCGGTGCTCTGACACAGTGAGGCATGCGACATACCGAGCGCTAGGTGATCTCTGGCCACGCTCCCCTTGTTCTCCAGCTCGAGGCTCTGGAACTTGCGAAAGGCCTGTTTCGCCCAGGACGCTTTTGCTTTCGGTTTCGAGGGCGCTTCTGTGTCCCCCGAGCTCGACGCTCCGTTTCGCCGCCGAAGAGACTGGGTCTCGCTTCGCGGGTGGCTGCTGACCTTCTTCGCCGTATCGCTGTACGAGACTCTCCTCGGACGCGGTGCGTCGCTGGTGTCATCGTTGTGTATCGTCTGGTAGCCCTGTGTTCCGGAGGCTCCATCGTCGACGGAGCGATTGTGGGAAGAGTTCTTCTGGAGGAGGCTCAAGGACGCGGGATCCATGCTTTCTGCCCGGTGTAAACCCGTCTGCGTCATCGACATATTGGCTGTTAGCGACAGGTTTTTTTCCTCCCTCTTTTTCTCTCCAAACGACGGCTGGGATGGTATCGAGAAGTGCAGTCCTTATTGTACCTGGTCCCAAGGCACCTCCAAAGTCTTCCAACACAGGGAGATGGTGGGAAGTGGAACAAACAAGACAGGGAAGCACGCACGACGATATACCAGCCTTAAACCACACAAGATTTCAATTGCATGGAGGGTGGCCGCGTCTCACCTCGAGAATGTCGTTAATTCGAGTATCTGTCGATCGACGACGCTGCAGATCAGCCCTCGACAGCGTCCGCTTTGGCAATGCCACCGACGAGGCAGAGGCACAAGCATCGGCCTCGTTGGTCTGAGAGGGAGGACGAGAGCCCATGGTCACGACCAGGGTGCACGTCTCACTTGACCACCTGCCCGGCAGAACTGCAACCCAGAACCGGCACAAGCACAAAGCTGCCAGCACAAGCACAAGCACAAGCGCTTGTGGGGGCGCAAGAGCGGCGCGATTAGAACTAAGGCTTGGTTGCGTGATCGTAGGTCAGAGTGGCGGCAACGAGCCAAATGGTGGCGGGAGAGAGAAGCATTGCGTCCAAGCACGCAGGAGAGGGAACAGAAGAGGAAGGGTTCATCTTCAGTCAAGCAGATCGGCTCCCGCGATTGATTTAATAGCAGCTACCTAGTTCAGTTCGTCCACCGGCCAGAGCAGTTGGTGAGTGGCCACTTTTCATCTCCGGCAGCTAGAGGAGCGAGATCCGCAGCGCCGCGATCCAGCCATTGTTGCGTCATTGGCCGACCTTGTTTGAACGAACGACGACATAACATCTGGCATCACATCCATATTGGTGGCAGCCTTGTTCATGAAGACGCTCTTGCGGTCTCAACTGTCGGCTCCAGCCTTGCCTTCCTTGCATCCGCCGTCCTCGCGATGCTGTATCATGTATCACTGCTGCTTCGTGGGTGTGAATCAGACAAATACCAACATCATCGGGAGCCGGCGAGGAGCCAGAGTCTCAGTGAAGAGGTCACAAGGAGCCATTAGTGTTGCCCACATATCCAGATAAAGATTGATGCGTATCTTGGCCGGCAGATCGTCTGACAGGCCGTGGGGCCGCGGTATGGTCACGGCCATCGGCTCGTCGGGGATCTCGGCGCCCTGTCTTCACGAAAGCCTCGAGCAAGCATCTGGAGCCATTGGCGGCGCATTCGTAGAGAATCACTGCTTTTTCTTCCATTTACTCTTCCGCCTGTAGTCCCAGAGTGGCCTTGTACATTGCCACGCATTTTATCCTCTCTCCCTTTGCAGACCAGATCGTATGGCACGGAATCGTCGCAAATGGCACCGACGGTCCAGCATCGCCGACTTCCGGCCACAGCGCTGTCACGCCGCCAACCTCGACATAGGCCAGGTGAGGGGTTGCATTCAGTGCTGGAGGGGGTACTTCGAGGGCTCGGACTGAGCTGTTGTATGCAGCAGCGAGGTCTTGTTGCAGAGCGTCCCAGCTGACAATGTCGTGTTCAATTGAAGAGACTCGAGCGAGAGTTGTGTACACCAGTGTAGCCTTGGAGGTCCGGACAAGCACGTGCCATGCCCTCCAGCACGACGATGAGGCTTCTGGGTGATAAATAATCTCTGCACTGCTCTCTTCGATTCCCGACAGGCCAACATGAGCATGCCACTCGACCATGGCCTGTCGAGGTAGCTCTTCCACTTCAGCAGCGAAGAAAGGGGGGATGCACGACTCCGGCTCGTTTTGCTGTCTCAGAGTGAACACTGACCAGTCGGGCAGTCGTGCGCGAACCTTCTGCTGATCGCTCGCCAGAGTCATGTGTTGGTAGTTGTATTTGAGGTCCCAGATATCCAGGTCGTTCTCATCATCTTCGTCATCATCCGGCGATCCGTGAGCCAGCTTCCACGCAAGGCCTGATGCCGTAGCGTTGCGCTTCATCTCATCAGGCGATGACGACTTGGAGAAGTAGGCCACGCCGCTGGTCCAAAGCTGGACTTTCAGCTCGAGCCCAATTCGCCAGAGATGCTGCAAAGAGAGCACAATCTGTGTTCCGAAACTAGTATCGGATGGGGGCGGCAAGGTCATCGAGGAAGGTATCAGGGGAATCTGGCCGGCGATATATATGGCTCGCAGACCGGTCTGTCCTGCTTTGGCTGATACCGCAACATCGATAGCCTGACTGTACGGGCCAATGTTTGCGGGCGCCCAGTACGAACGGGACTGAACATGAAGTCCATTCCTGGAAGTATTGACCCCTGATCTTGGTATTGTAAGGAACACCATGACACTGTAACCCGGCGGAAGTAAAGCGCCGCATGAAATGGTGACTCGTGATGGTGGGTTTGGCCTTCTAAAGAGCTTGCCATACTCTGCGTTGATCCTTGGAAAATCTGCCATGTTGCGAAGGATGATGGTGGTGTTGGTGATGTGAGCCGCATCAAGGCATGAGGAGGAAAGGCGCCCTTCGATCTGGCCAACCACAGACTGCATTTCCGCTTCAATAGAATCGCGATCTGCAGAAGGGTCGGCCAGAACGGACCACCGCAAAGTATCATCGTCCCCGTCCAATGTCGAGGACGTTGTTTTTCCCAGTAGCCGTGGTCTCGAGTCTCGAGAGGCTTCCTTCTCGCCATACTCGGCCGGCCTTGTGCTTAAGATTGAAGCCAGTATAGTCTGGAACTCAGGGGCTAGCAACTCAGGAACCCTGATGGAAGACTCCGGGGTCGAGACATCATCGACGCCAATAGGTTTGTCTTGCAGCTGGGCTCCTCGCAGCATCAACCAGGTCGAGCCTCCTCCTTCGTTGACAACTCGTCGCCCATCTTCAGGGACCGATATCTTCTTCTTGAACAACCAAGATGGCCCATCCACGACGAGCGTCTCGAATTCGCCTCCCTCACCAAGTGCAGCACCTTCAGCAGCACCGAATTTTCTCAAAGCGCTCTTGATTCGGGTCACTCCTTCAATGCTTGATACTCGCTCCCACAGATGGCCTTCACCGAGCCCAGCACTTGCCACCTTGATGATCCGAGCATCAAGCCCTGCTGCAGCCATATCACGCAACAACTGAGCATCGTCCTTGGACTCATTTGCTGGGGATGGAAGCACGGGATACTTCCAGAGGAATGCCAAAGGGGTGAGGCCGAGTCTCAGCGCAACTGACTCGACTCGTGTCCGCTGGTATGTCGACAAGATAGCCCCAGAGCAGAGGGCGTTGGCTTCTGGGTGACGAGCCTTAATGGCCTCGAGCAGCAACAGCATGGACTCCGTCTCTTCGGCCTTGCCTGAAGCGTCTTTCTGCTCCTGGGACGTATGGTCATAATCCCGTTCGTGATGCAGCGCTCCGCCTCGGATAGGCATTCGATAGAGGGGCAGTCCGGTTGCTGCCGCGTAGAGCGGGATCACCTCGTGCCCAACCGTCTGATACATGAAGCTGTTGAGATCCTCCTCAATGGCATTTTCATCTTCAGCGGCCTCAGAAACTGGCTGCTCTGCCGGGTCAATGAACTGAACATCTTCGGCATGGTCGTCTATGCCGTCAGCTGCTGGGTACAGATTTGCGAGGGCCACGATGCGATGCCCATGGCGAATGCAGTGCAGCAGGTTGTAAAAGCTGTCTTTGCCTCCCGAGATGAGGGCAATGACATTTAGTGATTCAGACGACATCTCCTGTGCAAAGCTGCCGCCTTTCGTCGTGGGCATGAAGCGATGTTGAAGTTGCTGGAAATGGAGAGCATATTGTTCCTTCCCACGTGCATTTTTTGCGCTTTCCCAATTGGAATTTTTCCTCCAGCCCACAGCCTCACAACTCTACAACTCTACACCAACACAACGTTTACTACTACCAAACAAAGGCTTCTTCATACCAAACAACTATTTCCAGCAATCAGCACGAGTGATCATCACGATGTCCATGGAAATCAGTCCGTCAAACAGTTTACTTTTCTCGCCCTTAATTCCCTATCTGGTGCGAAGTGCCGCATCGTATCATGTTACACGATAAGACAACATCCCGCCACTAACCGCAACTCCCCAAACCACCACGAAACCCCAAGATAAGGCCGTCTGCGCTAATTTTCTTAGCAAAGAAGCCATCAAGGTCGATTCTCTTCAGCTCTGTTCAGCTCGGGCAGATAGTCTTTAGCAGATACACCAAAGAAACGAAGCCTACCACGTTGGGCATACTAACGACACATCTTCCGTCATGAAGTGGGATTCCCCTCCGCACGAAGCTACGATAGCGATGGCGATCTCCCTCACTTGACGACGACCCTGAGCCGCCGTCGGCGTTAGTTGACGCTGGCGAGGAAGACGGCAGATTGCTATGGGAGCACGTGCGCTGCTACTAGGAGCTCTCTATCGAGCTGTATTACTCGCGTTGCTACTGCTACGAGGACACCGAGTCAGGCATCGCCCTGAGATACCGCCCTGTGCTACGTCCGGGCTTAGCCTTCTGTGGGGTCGACGACGATTATCCATCGTTTGCTTCAAAGCCCCAGGCGATGCTAGCATAACTGCTTCATGCTAGCAAATAGCTCGGAGAGCTAGCACTTGTTCGAGAAGTGCTCCGTACAGCACGAAAAGTGCCAGTATGGAGACAGTTGGTGCTTATGGTGTTTGCCGCGAGAGATGAGCCTGGGCATTCTCACGATCAATACCTCTTACTGTAACAATCAAAACGCCCGCAGAGCACAATCGTCAAAGGATTTGTTCCATAGCAGGGCTCCGCAGAGGAGGAGGGTCGAATCCAGGCACCTCCAGTTTCTTCAGCAAGATCCGAGCACACTCCGAACTCCGTGTCCCCCTACCGGCTATGGAGCCAATACGAAGCACGTGCTCCAAGTCTCCTGCTCGTCAAGACGCAGATGCTGCTCTTATTCTTCGCTTGGCAGGCCAGGTGCCACGGTCCAGGACCCCGAAACTCCCATTCCCTCACCATGTTACGAGCAACACCACCACCACCACCGCCGAACCCCATTGAGCCAGCTCGCCGTCAAGTTCATTAACCACAACTACTGAAAATAGTTGCTTCGCCTCTCATTAATTTGCCGCCACCGTGGAACGCCACCGGGGAATTTGGGCATTCGTCAAGGCCATCACGGCCAAGCTTTCGCCTGTCTAATTTTGGCGTAGGCCATCTTTGGCTCTTCTTCATTTCCACCTTCCAGAGGACGACCCCACGGCCCAGTTCGAAGGGCTCAGTCTCAGCTCGGGCTAGTCCAGGGACCGTTCGGTACTCGTACGAGGTACACGTCCGGAATGGCCTGCAACTCGTACCCTTCTCGTCCGGCCAGGGGGGGTGTCGGTCGATAAACCCCCCTCCCAGGCTACGGAGCAGGGGATTCCGCGTTGCCCAAAGAGTGACCCCCGGGCCAGGCACGTTCCCTCTTCAACGGACCAGACGGGCCATACCCGGGCCCCGGATAGATTGCGCGAGAGATTAGCTCCATCGCAAGATAATGGAGTCGTCGTCGCGCCAAAACTCGTTGCCTGCGCTGCTTGATGCTACGCCGAGGTGAGTGAAAGGGCCTTTGTTAGCGTTATGCTACCTCGACGAGCAGAAGCCCATCCTGGAAGGGAAAGAGAAACACTACTCGTACCATGATATGACAACTCACATTCTGGAAGAAGCGCAGGTAGCGCCCCCGCGCAATGAACCAAGCCCCCAAACGAGACTTCTCGACTTGACCCTCCCCAAATGCCTGTTTGTTGCCTACCTTGCCTACTTATGTCCCTTGTTTGCCCTGTCAGGGACCCCCCGTAGCGAGGCTCCCAAAACCGAACTGCAGGAAAAGAAACCCCTTGACCGGCATCTTCGTCCCCTTCCCCTACCCTTCCAAGGAACTTGGACAAATGGGAACCAAAGGCAACATCCCCACATGTATAGAAACCGCCATGGAAGGTCGAGAAATGTGAGCTGAAGTCTACGCCTCACCTAGAGCAAACCCGGTTCTCATATTTGCTTGACCACCACTCTCCCCCCCTCCCTGGCCCGGCCTCCCCTCCCCTGCCCTCGCCTCCCAGGTACCTTGCAGGGTTTCCGAATGCACACTACTCGTAACCAGCTTCCTTTCCCCCAATATCCCCACTCACCACCGGTGAAGCCTTCCGTGAGTGCCCTTCCATGAGTGTTCTTCCGCCCATTCCATTCCCAGTTTTCTTTCCCCCTCTCCCCCTCCCCCAAAGGTCGCGGCGGAACAAGGGAACATACATGTCACAAAGTTGTCAAGCCTGTCAAACCGAATTCTAAACAACCCCTCCCCCCCTTGAAGACCCCTTATTACCTGAGGTAATAACAACGATTTGTTCACCTCTGAACTTGGATTTCAATCATGGAAAGTTCCGTCTGTGAACGGTTCGGGTAAAAGGCTCGGGAGCGTAACTCTTGTCCATAGACACTGACTGACTGTTTCTGCATCACATGCGTTCTTTCCACCCAAGGTAGGTAAGTGTTAGTGGTGATTTTGAGATTGGTGTTGATTATTTGTGATTTGTGTGTGCTTGCAAGGCACCATTGTCTCCGATGATAATGAATTTGGGCCAAGACTCCTGTAAGAACGTTATCTACGCTTTACCCCAGCCCACGGCATGCAAAAAAAGACTCGTCTCTTGTCCTTTCCTTGGGGGAGAAGGGGGGGCGAAGTTTGTTCCTGTCACATCACACATTGCGGCAAACACAGCCGTCCGGTATGCATCAAGATCACAATCACAGTCGCAATCACAATCTCTGTCACAGATAATCACAAGTCACATCTTTAGCAAAGTGGCACAGAGAATCAGATATTCAACCTTTAAGCAAAGAGACACAAATTTGATTGAACTCGAAAGTTGATTTAGTCTTTAATTCGAAAGTTGAGTTCGATTTCCATCGTCTATTGTCTATCGTCTATCGTAGTCTATTGTACTGTAATCCCCAGCATCTATATACCCAAAGTCTAATCCCAAATCTTTCTCACATTCAAGAATGAAGCATTTCACTGCCAGACAAGCAAGCATATGTCACCATCCCCAGGGCACAAAGTCAGTAGAAAAGATGTTTTGGCAACAGTGTTTTTTTTTTTTCTTATTGGTTGGCATAGCGTCAAGTTAAACTTCTAACAAAATGTGACCCGCACACTGCCGCCCATTTGCTCCCCGTGAGAGTGAGCAGCACAAAGCCATATTGCTTCGTGCTGAAAGAAAAAAAAAAATGAAAAAAAGGAACCAACCTCCATGGTGAGATGGGGCGATCCTCCCACTGGCCTCGATGCTTCCCAGAATTGTTTCCTCTCTATGATTCAGTTATTCCTGCCATGGCAAAACGACCTTTCCAGCCATCGCTCGCGATGGAATTGTTAGACACGAGCGTGTGTAACAAGAAGGGGCAAGCCGAGCTGAGTAGCATGCCGTCGTTGTATGTGCCAGATATAAAACAAAAAAAGAAATCTAATTGTCCGCCATGCGCGCCCCGAAAAAAACAAAAACAAATCATGTCCGAAAAAGAAAAGATCCTCTTCAAAGTTCGAGCCAATGTCGAACTTTCTGTCGTGATGCAAAAGTAGAGATGATACCAGGAGCAGTCGTCCCGATATGATATAAAAGTATATCATCAGTATGATGTTGCAAAGTCGATACAAGAACTGAAAGGTTTTGAAATGCAATCATAACCGCTTGAGCTTTTTCCCTGTATAGTGTGGTGGTGGTCCCCCTCTAGCAAAAAAGTGTATGTGTGGAAATAGGGCTTGCGCCGAAGCGAAGCGAGAAGTGTCAAAGTGTAAAATCGTGTCAGGCGTATGAGAGAGAGAGATGGGGGGAAGTCATTTAATCGGAGCGCTTGCGCTTCTTCTTGCCCTGCTCGCCCTCTTCTGAGGAGAGCTCGCTGGCGCTTCCGGGGATCTCTGAGGCGATCTGGAACAGGACCTTGCCATAGGTGCTGTAGTCGTCACCCACGGGCCCGGCCATCATGCTGCCATCGTAGGCGGGCACCTCGGAGGACTCCTCGATGAGGTTCATGACAATGGCACCACCAGAGTGGGTGCGGGCGTGCTGAGCCAGGTTGTCGCTGCGAGAGAACTTCTTGCCGCACTCGTTGCACTCAAAGGGCTTCTCCTGGGTGTGCAGGGAGCGGTAGTGACGCTTGAGGTGCTCCTGGCGACGGAAGCGGCGGTTGCAGAGGTCGCAGACAAAGGTCTTTGAGGGATCCTCGGTCAGCGACTGCTTGCGACCGCGGCGGTTGGTAGGGGCGGGCATGGAGGAAGAGGGCTCGTCAGAGGCAGAGGAGGCATTGGAGTCGGAGGCGGCAGAGGCGGCCTCGGTGGCGCCAGCCTGCTCGTTGCCGGACTGGGAGCCGCCGGCAGCAGAGTTCATGACGGGCTTGGCCTCCTTGCGGTCCTTCTTCTGTCTCTTGTCCTGGTGGACGTCGCAGAAGTCGACGGACGAGGTCGGGCTGGGCAGGGAGGGGAAGTGGAAGGCCTCGTCGTCGAAGCTCAGGTCCTCGTCGCCAATGAAGCTGCCGTGGCCCAGGGAGACGACCGAGGAGCCGGTGCAGGCGCGGGGGCGGGAGATGTCGACGGGGTTGATCTCGCCGAGGTTGACGAGGCTGCTGAAGTCGGCTTCCGACTCGAGATCGGAGAAGTCCTCAAAGGTCGGCAGGCCGCTGGGCAGCGCAGGGTTGAAGTCAAAGGACG